GCTTGCTCCTCTTGCATCAATGCCAGCGCAAGCTGTTGGTCAGCCACCACTTGTTCATAAATCGACTGATCCAGCGGCTCAACCTGAGACGCCTGTTGTTGCAGCTGCGACGAACCGGTTTGAACGTCTTCATTTTCTTGCCCCGCCAATTCCGCGGTTACATTGATCAGGTGGTCCAGGGTAGCAATGTCCAGATCGGGAAGAGCATGGTCCAAATCAGATAAAGGCAGAACGTTCTGCGTGGCCGATTCTGGCTGCACATCTGGACTGTGAGCCGGAGAGTTGATGGTCGGAAACGGGGCAGGCAACGGCATGGAGGGATCCCAATCTATGTCTTCTCCGAGCTGAAAAGGAGGGTAGCGATGGTCGTCATCGGCAGCGCTACTGGCACTGCTGCCGCTCGCTGATGTGCGTCCTCCCACAATGACACTGCTATTTCCCAGGAAGCGAGTCAAGTTTTGTTGAGCTTCCGTCGGGGAAATAATTTCTTCAATTAATTTTTCAGGACTCACCGAGGCAGGGAGTTCTTGTTCTGGAGATGGTTCATTCCCATTTTCGTCTCCACCCTCTTCATCTGACTCGGTTGGCAGCAATGTTTCCTTTTTCTCCTTTTTCTTCGTCGTACCCACTGATGAAGACGCAGTTGTATTTGATACGTTTGTCGAAGGCTGAGCTGAACTGATGTTTGTGGAGGGTTGAGCATGAGTCGTTGTCGTGGTAGAAGTCTGAACTGAAGTAGCAGTTGGAGACGGTTGTACTGCAGCCGGAGCGACTGGGTTGTCATCTGCGAACAGGTCATCTAACTCGTCCAAGGCTGTGGGCACAGGAGCGGAGGCAGCTGCTGCTTGAAGGCCCCGCATGTACTTGATAAAATCAAGCACATTGTCGTTTTCCACCATAGAGTCGGTTAAATAATCCCAGGTTCGATTCTGCCCGTCAATTGTGTTGACAATCACTTGGGCCCACTCCGTGAGTTCTGTTTTGTCAACAAAACCGGTGTCCTTTGTTTGGTACAGAAACCGGTCGAATTTTTCCGGATTGTATCCTTCCAACGTCAACGTAGGTTTAGACGTCTTCCAGAAAACCCGCAGACCCTTTGGCCACCGCTCTCCCGGTCGACGAATAATGGTGATCCGCAGTTGCGCATCTTCGTACACAGTCGACACGTAAACTCCGTCTTCCAACACCTCTCCTTCTTCCACTCCTGCTTCAAGAGGATCATCTACAATAAAGTCGTTTAAATCATCTCCGATGTCTAGAATTGGTCCGTACTTTGCACCACGAAGATCCACTTGTCCTTCTTCTTCCTCTTCTTCCTCCTCGTCATCATCCTCGCCATAGGTAGGCCAAAAACGTCTTTCCGTTTCCGCGCGACGCACAGCTCTTTCTTCTTCACGGTCAAAGCTGCAGCCGCGCTTCCGCTTTTTGCTGTTTTCCTTGTTTAAATATTTTTGTTGTTTTCGCATTGCGTGCTCCTCTTCGTCCTCATCTGACTCCGTGCACGTGTCAGATCCCGAGCTGTTTGAAGAATCAGACCCGGAGCTCGGAGGCTTACCGGCACACAGACGGTTGATCCTGGACATGTTCAACTGTCCATTTTTCGCCTTCGGCTGAATACGTGGACGAAGTTGCGGCAGCGGAAATGGTCGTGGTACACCAGAAGATGAAGATGATGCTTGTCCTTGTGCTACATTCTGGTTCCCGGAAGAAGAGCTTGCTCCTAAAATCAACACCGGAGGTGGAGGCGGGGACGGAGCCGGTCCTGTGTTCGGAGTGATAGATACATTAATATTTCCCGCATTTCTTGGTGCTTCTCCTCCTGCGTTTTCTTGCCCTTGATCCGGGACAAAAGCAGGAGACCGGTTGCCGTATTCGTTGGCTTCATCTTGGACAACCGGAGGGTCACGGGGAATATCCTCGATAGCAAGAAGTCCTTCTCCTTGTGCGTTTTCGATTGCTAAAAAATTGTTGTTCTCTTCCTCCGACTCCGAACTATCAGACAGCACGTTTTTCCTTCTCCCTTTTCCTTTCTTCTTTGACTGCTTCTTCCCGAATTTCTTTTCCTTCCACCTCGCCTGCCGTTTGGCCTTTAACTGTCTTTTATGTCCACTAGACGTACGCGGTCTTCCCCTGGCCGCCTTCGGTTTAGCCCCGGGGTTGGCGATCACAGGAGCAGCCGGAACCAGCTGCTGAATCCCTACCAGATTACCACTCGGATCCAATATAGGGATAAAACCCGCAGGAATCTGGAACTGACCAACAGCGTTACTTCCTTGCTGTTGCGGCTGTTGTTCCTGCTGATTCGGCAGCGCCTGTTGTCCTGGAGGCAGTCCTTGGTTGCGTGGCTGCCTCTTCACCTGCGGCTTTGCCTTGGGCTTGGCCTTTGCCTTCGGCGGCATCGTGCAGGAAGGAGTCAGATTAAGTTAATCTTTGGGGTTTATTTTCGAGATACAGCAAAGGAAGTTTTTTCAAAATGTCGCTTAAAGAGTCGCTTTAAAGTTGTCGTTGTAAATAGTCGCTGTATTTAAAAGGATGTAAAGAATGATTGCAATAGAGATGCGTCGCTTGTTTCAAATAAGTAGTGTTGATTCACTTTTTTGTTTTTACTCCAATCTTAAATCTTTTTGTCGCCTAAAGAAAGATACAGCCGTTTGAAAATGATTTTCCCTGAAAAGAAATTTTTAATGATAATTTCAAAAACAAGTACGACCACCAAAACCACCAACCAATGAAACAGCAGTTAAGATCTGTCCAATGTTCGCACGCGGAAAGTGTAGATCTTTTTATGAGAAGACGCTTCCACAGATGATAAAGACGTCTTCTTTTCCTTTTCTGAATAACTTGCTGAAGAATTCATCTTTTTGTCACAAAAAATAAGCACGAAGATGATCTTCACACGTGGATCTTTTCGAAAGGAATTGATCACTTATTCTCTTTCTCTTCTAATTGTTAAACCTGAAGTTGTTCCCTGAAAAGAATAGAGACTTTTTATAAACATCAATAAAAGATTTATTGTGACTCTTCCTGACTTCCCGATACCCCCGACGCTGGATCCTTTTCCGGCAGCTGTCGCGCAAACCGCTGCAGGTTTCCTCGTTCTTCCACAATTTCCAACTTGCTTTCACCTTTCCAGAATCTTCGCGCAGGAAATTCGGTGGCAAGGGGGAAAAACTTTCCCGCGGTATCTGGACCATTTTTGATGTTGTCCGTGTAGCAACGGATGCTTGTACCGTCTGCATACCAGGTATGGCGTTCTCCCGTAAGAGATGCTAAACCTGGCCCACCTTTCTGAGTGAGTGCCCCGAATAACTGCTTCCTTGGTGCGGTGTGGTGTATATACAGCCACGCCGCACGGTCACCCGAGTACAGCCACAGCGGACGTCTTAGCCGCAAGATATCCACCAAATCCAAAATTTCCCGTATTCCTGCTTCGCCTTGGCAAAACTTTATTGTTCCCGTAGAAGTTGTTGTCAAAAAAGTTTTGGCCAGTTTCGCAGTTATTGCTGGTTTACTGGTGAAATCTGGGAGGATTTTGACACATGGCACGTCATTCAGCTGCCAACTCGTAAGATTTGACCTCGCCGGGCGACGAACTCGCGCGATTTCACGTCCTATGGTGACCAGCTCGGAAGATTTTGCACCGTCGAGCCATGAGATCGCCAAGCTTTGCACTATAAGGCCACTACTTGGCAAGGTTTTGCACCGTATGGCCACCAACTCGGAATATTGTGTCGCACCACAACCAACTCGGAAGATTTCATGCGGTAGGGCGACCCGCTGGGCATATTTTTGTGCGCACAGCCAACAGCTGAATGGATTTTCCGTTGTAAATCGGGAAACGAGCAACAGTCCAAGCCTCGGCACAAGGGCACAAAAAGCAAGCCGGCAGGATTTTGCACAGTAGGGGTGTGACTAGACAAAATTTTAAACTGTGGGGCCAGTAAAAGGCAACTTTTTGCACTATGGGCGCACCAGCTCTGGAAATTTTGCGCCCTCTGGCTACAACATGTGGAGACTTTTTGCAGTACGGGTACCACCTATGGAGATTATGTGATGTCAGACGACCAATCATACGAATTCTGTGCTGTTCGGCCACCACCCACTAAGATTGTGTGCTTTGCAGCCACCAGACGCAGAGATTTTGTTGTGTCAGGTTACCAGCCACAGAGATTTTGAAATATAGGGCTACCAGCCACGAAGATTTTGCGCTACATGGCTACCAGGCATGGAGATTTCGCGCTCTGGGGCTGCCAGCCATGGAGATTTTGTGTTGTGGGGCTACCAGCCATAGAGATTTTGTCCTGTAGGGATACCAGCTATAGAGATTTTGTGCTGTATGGCTACCAGCTATGGAGATTCTGTGATGTGGGGCGACCAGCTATGGAGATTTTGTGCTCTACTGGGACCAACACCGCCCGGCCCCCGCCGCCCGGCCCCTTGCAAGATCCGCCTCCCGGTCCCCGCGGAAGCATTTGCTTAGTCGCTTCTCGACCGCGGGGGCTTCGCGCCACCCGGGCAAAGGCGAAAGGCCGGAGCCCGGCGGCCCGGTATTCACCTCCGGCGCCTGCTGACCCCGCCGCCCTGCCGCGGTACCAGGTTCAAGCCCGGCGGCCCGGTATACTCGTTCCTTCGGCGCTTGCGCGCCTCGCCCTCCGGCCAAGGCGAAGGGCCCGAGCCCGGCGCCCCGGAATTCTCCTCCGGCGCTTGCGCGCCCCGCCCTCCGCCCAAGGCGAAAGGCCCGAGCCCGGCGGCCCGGTATTCTCCTCCGGCGCTTGCGCGCCTCGCTTTCCGGCACGTGCCCGTCCCTTTGGCCCGCACAATAGCCGCCATCCGAGGCGCCGCCGCTTTTCAAAACTACGCGCGGGACCCCTTCCGTCCGCGGTCGGGCGATCGCCCGGGCGGCTGGTCCCCATGGCGCCGCACCGCGCGCGGCGCTCTTGTGTTCTGCCACACCCCCCCCCCCGTTCGAGACAACCTCAAACGCCGCCGCCAATGTGCAAAAGCTCGGCAAAGCCGCGCTCGTTCTACATGCTGCACCATAGTCGCTAGTGTATCCGCCCCGAGATCTTTGTGCTTGTTTGTTTGGAACGTGCCCTGAGTTATGACGCTGCGCGCCCCCATCTTTTGTACTGTAATGCGTTTCATCATACTTTGCTGCGCGATTGCGATTCAGGGCAGTGCAACGGCGTCGACGGATGGCCACTTGCTGCAGACTATTCGCGCGCAGACGGCCCCGCGGCACGATGCGGTCAAAAACACGGCGAAGGCCGCTCTCGGGATTATGCTCGGACGCGGCGGCACAAAGTCTATGGCGGCCGACCAATGCGTGTACGACCTGATGCGAGGGCAATTGCCGCAACCGACGCTCCGCGAGCAAGCGTGCAGCCTGGTATCCACCCTGGCCGCCGGGCTTACCGAGGTAGTCGCCCTAACAGCGTCGACGCAACCGTGCACATCGGCGGCGGTGCCGACGGGACTAGAAGCGTCCGGGCGAACGGATCCTACCGACGCTCCTTCGGATACGGAAACCGTGTCTCAACCGGCATCCTACTTCTACTGGCCAAGCGTGTCCGATTTCTGGCAGCTGTCGCAAACAGTGCTCCAGAGCTTGAACGAAGAATGGAACGAGCGGGCACTCCGATCGCACGACCACCTCGACGCACCGCCCTTCGACGACACAGCCTGCTTGGCCGATGTGCTTTTCAACCAGCGGAAGTGCGGTGAATCAATCGAGCGACAGCCGCATGCCACCGCAGCCGCGCCGCCGCGCCTGCCGGCTCCGAGTTCGGTCGCCCAGACGGATGTACTTACCGCGTTCGAGCTATCCGCCCTCGCATATCTAAAACCTGAGGAGATCAGAAGGGAGCTACTTGGGTGGACGGTCGCAGGGGACGCGTTTGAGGAGGATAGCGGCGAGGGACTCCAGAAGCTTCTGCACGGGCCCGCAAAGCCTCCGAGAATGAGCGCCGCTGCTGAGGCGCAAGACATTTTGCGTGAGTTGAAAAAACAGGTCGATCCGGTGGCAGGAACGACTGCCGCCGAGCCTGAGCCCGCCTCGTCCACGGTGCCGGGGCATAGCAGTATGCGCGCTTCCCTGCTGCAGTCCGCCGCCACTCACGCCACCAATTTTTTGCAGGAGGCCGCGGCCACGTCCGTTGCCGCGGCAACTGCTACGTCCAGCAGAAACCTGCCGGAGTGGTTTTTTTTCGTGCACGACCGCACAGCATACTTTGTGCTTCGCGGGACGCAGAATATCGACGACTGGGCGGCGAACCTCGAGGTCGAAGGAGACTTCGAATCACCGGTTTACGAATATTATCGGAATAGCCGCAAGTGGCGCGAATACTTTCCACTCTCGTCCGGGGTCTATCTTAAGCTGCACTACGGATTCTACAAGCGCGCGGAGCAAGCAGTTCACGAACTGGAAACGAAGCTGCGCAAGAAGTTTCTGTCTAGCAGTGGCGGAACCCTCCGCAGCAGTTCGTGGAGTGCGGAAAAGGTGTTCTCTCCGACTGCTTCTACCGAAGAAGATCCGCTCTTTCCCACCGCTGCGACGCACTATCAAAAGGAAGAGCGTGCCGGGAGGAACGGGGCGCCGAGGGGTTCAGAGCAAAAGCCTCGGCAGAGCGGTTTGGACGCAGACATTGCGTACCAGCAAGAATATTACGAATTCAAGGACTCCTTTGACAAAGTCGTGATCACTGGCCACTCGATGGGTGGTGCCGTGGCTTTGCTGATCCATCGGCTATATAAATTTAACAAGTTTTTGCGCAGGCTGTGGCAAAACAAGATCGTGTCGACGACCGTCTTCTCGGCCCCACCAATTTTTGCTTCCAGCAACGCAGCGAGGGCAAAGGCAGCCCAGGCGTACCTGATTACCGGCAAAGTGCCGGACTTTCGACACTTCTATAATCGCCGGCTGGAACCGGCGTATGACTTCACCGAGCGCGAATTTTTTCGGAACACGAAGCTGATCTTCTTCAACCACGACCTGGTGCCGCAGCTTGCGCACATGAACGGCATTTCCGAAGTGCAGCTAGTCTTGCCGCCCGTGGAACAGGTTCTTTGGCTCCGAGAAGAAGAAGCCATGGTGAGCCAGGAGCTCGTCTCGTTCTCGTCGCAACCGCGTCTAGCAAGACTTTCCGCCGCGCGGCCGGGCGGTGATAATAACAGAAGCAACATGCACGCGACGTACACACTGTCACAACCGCAGGAACGAGAGAGTAACCCGCGCCGGCGACCATTTTTGGAAACCGACAAGCCGTACCACCCAAGTGAGCTTCATCCGCAAATGCAAGAGCTGCACTATCCGAGTCCTCATGATATCTCGCCCGACTTGGAAGCGGGCGAGCCGAACTCTCTGGACACGCTTCCGCTCCTACGACCGGGGGACGTGTCTCTGGCGACATCGCCCCGCAGCAGTAAAAGCGGGCGCGGCGGTGTCTCGCAACCTTTGAGTCAGAAATACAAAACTCGTCTGCGAACAGTTTTCCCAGTGGGGCTGCTTGCCCAGTACTTGTACCTCTCTTCGAGCTCCGCAGGCCGAGCGCTCGGGGCGACATCGGTAGCATCGCTTACGGATTTTTTGTTTGGAAAAACGTTTCACGAGCACAAGCTCTCCTCGTTTCGCACGTTCATTCACGACCTGTTTGGCGCTGAAACCAAGTGTGACCAGAGCAGGCATCCGCATTGCGCAGCGGAGCCTTTCTCGCCGGTCACCGACAGCTCAATGCTAATCTCGGGCGAAGATGGTATGGAAGATTCGGATACCCGAACGGATACTCGAGCTCTCTACGTTTCACCAGCCGATTTTGTTGAGATCATGAAAGACAATACTAGATGCTGAAGTTGCTGTTCCTGATATATGTGATTCTGGTTTTCATCTTCACCTAGGCAGATGGGCACTTCCGATTATGTGCTCGTCTTTGCTTGTGTAAATTGCGACTTTCTACTACGATGCGACCCACCATAATGAATTTCGAGAATTCAGCAAACAGTTTCTGGCCTGACAGAGCAGTGGAAGTAATAAATGCATTTTTGGACGAGTTGAAGTTGTTTTTGATGAATCCTCCTGCAAACATGAACATCTGCGAAACGTGCTGCTTGCACCCTACTTCTGCGTAATATGTAAGCTACATGCCCGCGTCGGCCACGGAACAGAATTTCCCTCTGAAAGCGAGTTGTTGCGAAAGGCTCGTTGTTCCTTTTGTTGCCTGCTGCACTTACTCGTTTCGTCTGTGTGTCGCCGTCGTCTGTGCTTTTACGGTTTTGGTTGTTTTCTTTTGTTCGTCGTCCTCCGTGGTTCGCTTGCTCTATGTTTATCGTTCATAGCTTGACTTTTTGTTTTGCGTCCTTGTGCGTTGGCCCGGCTGTTTCGTCCTCGTGGTAACTGGTTTACTTCGTTGTGTCCGTCGTTTCTCGTTCGCTGCTCGTTCTGTTTGGGATTTTGAAGTCTGTTTCGCCTGCACGCCGATTTCATCGTAGATATCAATTCTAACTTCTGCTCAGTGACACTAAATAAGTATGCCCCCTTGGAACAAACAACCCACTGAGACTGCCTAACAGACAAATGCACCGATTGGAGTACCCATTTCACGTGCATATTTCCCTGGTAGGCAGAAGCATCGAATGTAATTCTGGCTGCTCGGTCTAGATGATAGGGCAATAGCCCACAAAAAAAGGCAGGTTAAAGAGAGAGAGACACACCCATCGTCTTCGTGTTATCGCAGGGGCACTGGCGACACTTCTGGATCTGGGTCGGTGACTAAATGGATGATGTAAGAGTCTACTACGGATACCTTCTATTTTGGGTGGGACATCACAATCGCGATACTCGTGGGTTTTCGACTTCGCAAGGGTATTTTTTTATCGCGCAGGGTGGGTTGCGCTTTTCTTTTCTCTCGCATTACCGAATGATCTCACGTAGTTGCATTGCTTACAATCGACGTCTCAACTGCGATTTAGAGTGTACTAGCCAGTGCAGTGGCTTTGTGAGTCTGCTTACGTTATTGTGATTTGATCATACGAACTTTAAGTTTCCACCACGAGAAAGGATGGCACACGGGCGGCGCATGTTGATACTCTCCAAATTCTGACGCCGCGGTAATAGGCAGCGCCAGACTTCAATTCGCTACGACCGCCGTCGCGCAGCTGCTCTCGAGCACATCTAGATGCCTCGGTTTGCTGATATTTGTTACCGTCTTCGATCGGATCTTTTTCCAGCTTCGTGCGGGTCCGCGTAAATTATCTTGCGGTATCGCGCTGTGGAGGTTCGCCGATGCCGTTGTATCAGCGATGTCGCGCAACAGCGGCGGCCGGCCCCCCAAGTTCTGGTATCTAAGAAGATATGGTGCTTTCTTCAACCACGTTGGCGCTCCGAGTTCAAGATATGTTGGTTTCCTCGTGCAGGGAAGTGGACCCGCTTCAACTTCGCAGAACCCTGACAACGATAGTATTGGTCGCGGGACCACTTGCTGCTGAGCTCCGTCTTGAAACGTGCTTTAGCCGGAAGAAATCGATTCTGGGATCACAATTTCGGATCCAGGACGTATTGTACGCCGTCCTACGCCGTCCTTGGTGGAATTGTCGTCACGGGCATATCGGATTCCGCAGGTGCTGTACGCCGCCGTTGATAATTCTCCGCTTACTCGCCTTCATCTTCCGACTCCTTCGTCTTAACACCTGGAATTGCGCGCTTTTGCTAAGGGGAAATGCGCTACGGGGAGGGTTGGGGAGTCTAGGAGGCATCGCGCCTTATGGTAATTGGGTGTTGGGGTAGTAGTAGAGGTATTCCGGTAACACTTTGCAATGCATGAGATCTCCTCTGCGGTGACGCCATTCACAGACGCTTCCTCTACTAGCACACCAGAAATTTGCGGCTCGCGTAGTATTAAGGCATAGCTGTAGTGAACATTCAGATGCACGGTCGAGGCATCGTCGTGCAGTTTTCATTTTTGCATGGCATGCTACCCTTTTATGGCGGGTATCTGTGTGATTTCGTATTCTCTCCGCGCTTGCTTTAAGAGCAGGAACAGCAAGAGGTACTTAGTGCGTCAACTGATCCTGTATTATGCAGGTTGTAGAATAAAGCTGACGCCCACGCCTTAAGCTGGAGCAGTTCTTGACTGCCCCCAGGTAGAAAATCGCTTTAAAAGCACTCATTTCTCTAACGTGAATTAAGTTAGCATCGGTCTAAAGTCTAACACATCCTCGGTTTTATCGCGTAAAGTTGTACAATGCATCGGTATTTTTGCATCACGACGTGTTCTCTGACTCGTGAGCAATATCATATATTCAACCGGGGAATCTAATCGTCAATTGTAGCGCAGTTTGGGGCTGTCATTGAGCTTTGCGAACATGTTAAGCGATTTTGCAGTTTTGTATTAGGACAAGCTGTGGTGCGCTCCTGCAGCTGCCACTCTTTACCGCTGCTCTTTTTTTTATGCATCGGCTGCGAACCGAGAATAAGAGCATCATCTGCACCGTATTCGCGCATGCTTGCAATGTTCACGACAGCTTCTTCAAAATGCAGGGTCGTGTCGATTATCAGAACGTAAAGCGTTAAGTCAGATGAAAGAACCGGGAGTATCGCTTTCGTGTCAGGACGCTTAATCGGACTCGTGAATGTTTAGCTCCTTGAGCAGGGTCGTTTCCTCTCAGCGTTGTTCAGATCCGGGGTGGTCGTCTCTGGGAAATCTCGTCTCCTTCGAGCCATCGGCTCTAGTTTGATTTTCGAAATTTTTGTGTTGTATCTCACCAAGATATTCTCACTACGCCTTATTTGCTTTGGAAGAATCGAAATGCCATTAAGCTTGTCTTTTACTTATCATTTTTCGATCGACTAATATTCTTACTGAGTACAGTTTTTTACTTTGATTTAAACTGCGTCAGCAGATATAAATTGCGTCAGCAGGCTTTTTCTCTCATGCTAGCTCTATGGCCTCTTCGCTTTACATTTGTCAATCAGCAAGAGAGCTAGTGATCCATCGCCGAAGGTCAGCCGAGGCGTTTGGTGAAGCTCGGCGGCTCTTTCTCTTTCAATTATTTTCAGGCGTGGTTTTTTTTCTTTTGTATGTGAGCCGCAAATTGGAGACAAATAGTATCTGAGAACAGCTATGGCACAGTAAAGCAAACAGCATCAACTTCTTCTACATCTTCCCTCATCAACAGCAACAACGTTGAGAATAATCTCCCAATCCAGGCGATCATGAGACTGAGAGGTCGAACAAGGGAACTCTAAGGCGATAACGTCGAACAGAATGCATTCATGTGAGCCGCAAATTTCGCAACGGGTTCTTTCATTAAGAAAGACAGTGCTAATTTCATACTCCGAGGACGACATTTCCGACGACGAGACTTCACGATCCAGCAGACTTTGCCCAAATGCTTTCCGAGACACGAAATGTTTGAGGAAGCGGCATTTTTCAGGATGCTCATTCAAATATCAATATGTATTGATCTTGCATTAAGCTTGTGTGCAAAGTGTTACCGAAGTACTTTTTGCCACTTCTAGAAAACACATTTTATGTGTTCGCGTGGCGTGCCATAATCGGTACGGGGCTTCGGACGGGTCCTGTAGGGCCATTCGTGCGAGGACAGGTTTGCCGGGACAGACGGCAAGTAATTGCCCGGCACGTCTGTCCCGGCACCAAAAAAGGGTCTTCGCATCGGCTACGCCCGGACGAACCCCTTCTCGCGGTGCCGTCGCGGTGCCATTTTTCAAAAATCGCTATGTTTTTTGTTTTGTACTTAGCGAAATTCGGAATTTTGCAGCACTTTCAGCTCGCGCTGAGAAGTTTCCGCCCCCGGGTAAAAATGCCCGCTTGCCGTGCCGGGGCCGGCACGGGAAGCACAAAATGTGGCGCGGAAAAGTGCGGTTTTCGGCTTGCAGTAGCATACGGTTTTCGAAGACGCACAAAGGCCGGCCTTCCGACGGACGCGGTACCTTTGCCGGGACAGACTGCAAGGAGTTGCTGTCTGTCCCGGCACCCAAAAGGGGTCTTAGCGGCGGCTGCGCCGTTACGAACCCCTTTTCGCGGTGCCGGGACAGGACGGAACTCTGGCCATTTTTCAAAAATCGCTATGTTTTTTGTTTTGTACTTAGCGAAATCCGAAACTTGGCAGCACTTTCAGCTCGCGCTGAGAAGTTTCCGCCCCCGAGTGGAGGTGCCCGCTTGCCGTGCCAGGGCCGGCATGGGAAGCGCAAAGTGTGGCGCGGAAAAGTGCGGCTTTTGCCTTAAAGTGGCATAGTGTTTTTGAAAACGCACAAACGACATCCCTCCGACGGATGCAGACCCTGTGCCGGGACAGACGGCAAGTAATTGCTATCTGTCCCGGCACCCAAAAAGGGTCTTCGCAGCGGCTGCGCCCGTACGAACCCCTTCTCGCGGTGCCGGGACAGGACGGAACTCTGGCCATTTTTCAAAAATCGCTATGTTTTTTGGTTTGTACTTAGCGAAATTCGAAATTTGGCAGCACTTTCAGCTCGCGCTGAGACATTTCCGCTCCCAGGTGGAAGTGCCCGCTTGCCGTGCCGGGGCCGGCATGGGAAGCACAAAGTGTGGCGCGGAAAAGTGCGGCTTTTGCCTTAAAGTGGCATAGTGTTTTTGAAAACGCACAAACGACATCCCTCCGACGAATGCGGACCCGGTGCCGGGACAGACGGCAAGTAATTGCTATCTGTCCCGGCACCCAAAAAGGGTCTTCGCAGCGGCTGCGCCCGTACGAACCCCTTCTCGCGGTGCCGGGACAGGACGGAACTCTGGCCATTTTTCAAAAATCGCTATGTTTTTTGGTTTGTACTTAGCGAAATTCGAAATTTGGCAGCACTTTCAGCTCGCGCTGAGACATTTCCGCTCCCAGGTGGAAGTGCCCGCTTGCCGTGCCGGGGCCGGCATGGGAAGCACAAAGTGTGGCGCGGAAAAGTGCGGCTTTTGCCTTAAAGTGGCATAGTGTTTTTGAAAACGCACAAACGACATCCCTCCGACGAATGCGGACCCGGTGCCGGGACAGACGGCAAGTAATTGCTATCTGTCCCGGCACCCAAAAAGGGTCTTCGCAGCGGCTGCGCCCGTACGAACCCCTTCTCGCGGTGCCGGGACAGGACGGAACTCTGGCCATTTTTCAAAAATCGCTATGTTTTTTGGTTTGTACTTAGCGAAATTCGAAATTTGGCAGCACTTTCAGCTCGCGCTGAGACATTTCCGCTCCCAGGTGGAAGTGCCCGCTTGCCGTGCCGGGGCCGGCATGGGAAGCACAAAGTGTGGCGCGGAAAAGTGCGGCTTTTGCCTTAAAGTGGCATAGTGTTTTTGAAAACGCACAAACGACATCCCTCCGACGAATGCGGACCCGGTGCCGGGACAGACGGCAAGTAATTGCTATCTGTCCCGGCACCCAAAAAGGGTCTTCGCAGCGGCTGCGCCCGTACGAACCCCTTCTCGCGGTGCCGGGACAGGACGGAACTCTGGCCATTTTTCAAAAATCGCTATGTTTTTTGGTTTGTACTTAGCGAAATTCGAAATTTGGCAGCACTTTCAGCTCGCGGTGAGAAATTTCCGCTTCGGGGTGGAAATGCACGCTCGGCATTCCGGGGCCGGCATGGCAAACACGAAATGGAGAGCGGAAAAATGCGACTTTTGGCTCAAAATGACATACGGTTTTTGACGACGCGCGAACGAAAAAGATGCTAGGTTGCGGCAATGCATTTTCAAAGGCTGCGTGGTTCTTTCCCGAACTATCAGAAAGATTTTATGATGTTCAGCGGTCTTGAGAGCCTTGTATCGGAGCTGGGAACAAGTAGTTATTTCCGGAGCTACCTCTGGCAGGACTTTGAGCGAGTTTTCTAAAGAAAGGCATAGTGTGTAGTTACAGTTTCCAACAACCAAAAGCTTATCGCTATTCGCAGACCAAAAAGATGTGAGTCCACCTGCACTCTGCGCACCTCCTCGCGTGCACGATCACGGCCTTGTGCATCGAGATGGCACGACGCTTCCGCTCGAGCTGCCGCGGATGCGTCCTTGGTAGCCGTTCGCACCTCGGTGCGGCACCGGAGCGGCAGTCGTTGACCACGCGGCTGCAACAACTCGCTTCAATCTAGCTTTCGGTTCTTTCTCCCGACCGGTCTCCGCACCGCCACTATGGCCTCCACCACCGTCGCTACGACGGCGGACGCCGGCGGCGGCACCGCCGACCCGGACGTGGCGGCTCCGCAGGAGCGCGCGGAGCCGTGGCGGTTTGTGAACCGCAGACGCATCTACTTCCAGCGGCTCCTCGGCGATGACTCCTTCACAAAACGCGATCTGTCCAAGCGGGACACCGTCTTGCACGGCCTGGTCGCTTTTCTGTTCGCGGTGCTGTTCGTCGCGCTGCTGCAGACGCGGGCGAGCGTCACGGAGCGGTTCGAAATAAATGACAGTGTGCGCCAGGCACTAGAGGAAACGCCCTGGAAGGCGTCCATAAAGCCCAGTCTGCTGTCGGACCAGGACGAGGCACATTTGCAGGAGCTGTACACGTTTAAGGACATCGAAAAAATCGAGGACGCCTACTTCTGGCTGGTCACCGCCCTGCTGCCGCAGCTCGCGGAAACCGCGCCGCGCAGCCAGGAATTTGCCTTGAACGGGAAGAACGTCGTGATTCCGTTGTTCAAGTCCAGCCCGCCGCAAATCCGCCTCACCTTGCGCCGTCCCCGGTACATCGCCAACAAGAATGTGCGGACCAAGGTGCTCTGGCCCATGGTGTGGAACCTGTTTCAGCTGGACCCCGAGGTGTTTGACTCCGAAGAAGATTTGACGCAGACCCTGACCGGCTCGTACACGTACGACGGGAAGGCAAGGGCATCGACGGATATCGGAAAGGTATTTGACTTGCTCATTAGATACCGAATTGCAATTGTGATCATGTGCAAATGTAGTTGTCACCATAGTGGAAAGTAGGGTTGGTCAAAGTCTGTGGCCACTAGTTTGTTGTGATGGAATGAAACCATGATTAGTCTCATCAATCATCGCCTTGAGATTCCTTGCCCAGCACACCTACAAACCACCCCTCAGCAAACGGCCCTCGTCGACGCCGCACCGTACGCAAATTGGGCTTCCATACCTGCGAACGCGGATATCTACGTGCAGTGGGAGCACTCCAAAAAGGGCGGTTACGCAGATACCGGTGGGTACCAGGCCTTGATCGAGCTCACGTACGACACGTCCGCACTGCAGGTCCGGTATTACAGTGAAAAATGCCCCCACCTCCAAAGTTGCAAAAATTTGTGATGCGAAGTTTCCAAATGGAAACTTTTTGTCATGCATGAAAGAAGTATGAATCTTTCTGATGTAGAGTCTAGGCGTGTATCGCATCGCTTGCATGACAAGCGCCGCTCTTGCTGGGGTCCTTCGCAATACAAATTTTTGGTATTCACGATTGGAAACCTGTGATGCTGATAGATGCAAGAGGGCGAATGTTTCATTAGGAAAGGTTTGCAATACAAATGCTCCCAAGTTCGGGGTGGGGGCATTTTTCATTGTAGTATCCGCGACCAAATTCTCAAGGACGGCGGCGAGAAGTCGCTGGCCGTATCAACTGTAAAAATGTCTGGGTCTGGAAGAATGCAACTTGTGATGCGCATCTCAGAGCACACAAAAATCTCTGATGCATAGGCAGCAAAAGCTGCTCACTTTCTGTCACCAAAACGGGGGATTTGTCATGCGGATTCGGCATTGCGGAAGCTTCTCGAAACCTGTGATGCTAGAGCTTCCATGCCAGACCTTCTGAGTCATGCAGAAACAGCATGATCTTCCAGACCCAGACATTTTTACATTTGATAGGCCGTCGTGGCCAACTATTTTGTTTCGCAGTTCGGCGTGCGGCTGGTGAAGAACGCGGTCGCGAATTCGGAGGACAAGCAGACGGACAAACCGGAGATCACGCAGGAACTGAGCGTGAAGAATTTCTTCCTCACCAACAGTTTCTTGAAGGAGTCGGAGACCGGAACTTTAGTGTTTGACTTCGTCACCTACAACGCAGAAGTGAATGCTTTCACCTACGTCGTGGTGTTGTTCAGCAAAAACGCAGCGGGGTCGCTGTCGAAGCGGGAGCTGCGGGTGGATACGTTGCTGTTGAACAAATCGGACGACGCGAAGTTCTACGACGTTCTGGACCTGGTGCTGCTGGCCGCCACCATTGTGTACGGCCTGTGGCTGCTGGAGATGACCAAAACCCAGTTCCAGCGCAACAGCCTGCAGACCTTTCTGTACAAGTTCCTCGTGGACCCGTGGATCTGGTCGGAGACTTTGTCGCTGATCGGCGTGGTCGTCTCCGTTTTCGCGTGGCAGGCCGCGCGGATCGAGTTGGACACGCTCTGTGAGAAGGCGAAGTGCGACGGGATTCTGTCCACGAGCAACGCGTTCAAAACCTCAATCGCAGTGCCCACCGGGGGGAACACCTTCGTCGCGCCGGATGTCACGACGAAGCTGATCGCGCAAACCATTCTGACGCAGCAGAACTACGACCGGTTTGCGGCGTTGACCGCCTTTCTGCTCTTCTTCCGCGTGATCCGATTTTTGAAGTCCAGCATGCAGCGCTTGGAGCTGTTGGAGTACACACTGCAGATGGCGCTGCCGCCCATGCTGGTCTACCTCTCCTTCACGGGCATCATCTTCATGGCCTTCGTCAACATGGCCTCGCTCGCGTTCGTGGCCTACAGTTCCGACTTCGAGTCGCACCCGCGGTCTATCGTCGCGCTCGTTCTCATGTGGCTCGGTAACATCGACGTGATGGACGAGGTGGAAAGCAGTCCCCTGGGGTTCGCATTCTTCCTGCCCTTCATGCTGTTTTTCTTTTTCATCAACCTGCAGATGTTCAATGCGATCATCAATCAAGCGTACAACAAGGCTTGCGCGGACTTGCAGAAACGATTCGAGTACGAAGATTTTCTGGCAAAGAAGCGCAAGGGCACAAAAACGCGCGCCATCATGGGACTAATCCACCATTTCTGTGGGCGGTTTCTCGCCAAGGGTGGTTCTTCCGCGGGCGACAAGGCGTCTGGCGGGGAAAAGGGCGGCGCATCGGCTGCGAAAGAGAACAAGCCGGGGGAGGTGGAGATGACGAAGAAACCCGCAGACGCAAAAGCAGTAGACGACGACTTGAAAGATTTGTCAGAAAAACCCCTTGTCGCGGCGCGGAAGTACTTTGAGCACGTTCCTTTAGATTCCCTCGACATGGAGGCAAAAAAGACCGTGATGGCCTACCTTAATGAGGGCAACGAGGGGTTCGGGGAGTCTTCGAACCTGGACGTGATCCTCTATGCGCTCTTCGCGATCTCCTACATCTACTTTGTGAACGCCTTCGTGCAGGTGGGCGACACGTTCAACTTGAAGCGGACCACAGCGGAGACGCTCGAGCAGCAGACCTACTCCGTGCAGTATGCCGACGGGAACGTTTTGTACAAAAACCTCCCCCAGGTGAACACACTTACGGGGATACAAGAGTGGATCCAGTACGCGATCAACCCAGTTTTCTTTTCTTCGATCGCGACAAGAGGGGACACGGATGAATCGGGCGAAAAGAACTACTACAACCCGGTGCTATCGCAGACCACCATCCTGCACGACGTGAAAGATGACGTGCCGAGTTTTGACGCGAAATTGCAAGCCGCGATTTCGGACAAACTGATACCGTTCTTCGACCCCACAAGCAGCACCGCGATCGGCGCCAACATTTTGACGCAGAAAACCAAATCCGCGCTCTGCGTCAACGGGTACAACTGCCTGCTCAAATCCGAATTCGCACTCGCAAGGCTCCTGGTGTACGAAAACGAGTACCCCGTGGAGCTCGCGTACGACCACGCACTGCTCTCCTCCCAAGCGACCTCGCTGTTCGCCTTGCGGCAGAAAGCGCTCTCGGGCACGGGGTGCATCCCCGGCCCGACGCCGCCGGTGAAGCCGCACGCCGCGGGCTTTGAGTACGGGTCCTTGGACACGACCACCACGGTGGCGCCGAACGAGCGGTATTGTGAGGAGGATTTGAACGTATTTCCCTTCTGCTACTACCGACTGGACGGGCAGGAGGACGGGTACGGAAAGGCGGACTGGGACGCGACAACAGATGGGAAAAACCGGTGGGAATGTCTGCTCCCCACCGACTTGACGCTGTTCAACCAAGTCCTCGACGTGTACAGCCACCAAGATTTGATTCACCTGCACACCAAGAAGGTGGTGTTGCAATTCGCCACCTACAATTCGCAAGCGGACACCGTAGTGGAGTCGGAGCTGGAGTTCAAAATCTCCAAGGGCGGGCAAGTCGCGCACGAGATTAAGACGTCCGCGTTCCAGATCTTCCCCACCTACGTGGAGACTTCGAAGGGACTGATGACGCTGGTGGCGGGCGGGATCTACTTGTTGCTGACCGCGTACTTTTTGATCCAGGAAATCCGGGAGATCATGGAGGAGATGGCGCAGAAGAAACTTCTGTTCAACAAACCCTGGCAAGTATCCCTCCGCGAGCACTTTTCCGGCGACTTGTTCAACGCACTGGACATCGTTTCCATTTGCATCTCCTTCGCGGGGATTGGGGTCTACTCGATTTACGTGCTGGAGACGTTCGCGTTCGAAACGGAGTACAGCCGGCTGATCTGCAAGGGGAAGTTGGACTACCAGTGTCCGGAACTGCCTCCCTCCCACCCGCAGTACGCTCTGGAGAACCAGCAAACCCGGACAAATTACGTGAATTTCATCGAGATGGTGCACTTGATCACGAAAGATAGCTTACTTTACATCCGCGTGTCCGCAATCAACACGATGCTGATCGGGCTCAGGATGCTCAAGTTCGTCCGGAACAGTCCGCGGATGATAAAACTCAACACCACTCTCTTCATATCCTGTGTAAAAACGTCCCCACAGCATGGTTGTCATGCAACTCTGCATACTTAAAATGTTTCTCATGCGGAGCCCCATGAGAAGCATTTTCTAATGCGGTTTGTAAATCTGTAATGCGCCAATCAGCATGAGATACTAGATCTGTAATGCTGCTTAGCTAGCTCAAATAGCACTACACTACGCGTCCAAATTTGTCATGCGAAACGGCCAAAGCTTATGGATTTGTCTAGCGGATTTCCCATCTTGACTCTGGGGTGGGGACATTTTTACTCAGGATACTTCAGCGCCGTGGGCGACACGATCTACCTCGTGCTGATGCTGTTCATCATCATGATGGGATTCGTCGTGCTGGCGAACCGGGCGTTTGGTGCGAAATACGGAAAATTGTCGGAGTTACTGTCCGCCTTGTACTACCTGATGGATTTCATCATTGGGAACATCGAGTACAAGCCACTGGAGAAGGTGGACAGTTTGATGGTGGTGTTTTTCGTGTTCCCGGCGATCTTCTGCTTTCACTTTGTCCTGCTCAACATGTTTTTCGCCATCACGGATCGGTGGTACATCGTCGTGGTGTCCGAAGCGGAGGAAGTCCCGAGTTTCAACTGGAAAAGGAGGCTGAAGCCGTACTTCGGGGCCATTTTCTCCTGCATCGAGTGGGACGAGGATTTCGAGATGGCCCGGAATCCGGACGGCGCGATAAAGCCCAAGCCGCCGAGTCGGAAGAAGGTGGTGGAGGAGATGAAGCGAGAGGTGGAATTTTTGGTGAAAAACCTGCAGAAAAGGCTGCTCGCGCAGGGGAAGAAAATTGGGAAAGACTTGGAGCAACTGCTGGGTGCCAAATCGGCCTCGGTTCTGTCCGGCGGCATGTTTGCCGACGACGAGGGCAAGCCGGAGCACGGGACCATGTTGAAGCAGCTGCTGCCGCACAATCTGCAGGACGAAAAGATCCACCAGGTGACGGACTGGAGTTCGAAGTTGGTGCACAACTTCGTACAGAAGTACCACGCGGAATTTTTGGAGCACGGGGAAAACCTCCACGAGTCGCCGGAAAGCCGGCACCAGCGGCTCACGGACGCCCTGATGCAGGACATCGTGATTGCGCGGCGCAAGGCGTCTCGACTCGAGCAGGAAGTGCGGAATTCCGCCGAGGTGTACACCCGGGCGGCGACCTCGGACCAGATCACGATCTGCAAGTACATCCACTGCCTGGAGGTGAATTTGGAGCAAATTTTGACGGAAAGGCAGTCTTTGGAGTTTGCGATAAAAGATTTGGTGTCGTTCGAGCACGCGGAGACGGGGGGCGGCGGCAAGGGGAACGTGTTCGGCCGCGCGGGCGGGAAGGCGGGTGGGATGCTGGGGGACATCTCCTCCGCGAGGTCAAAGGAAGACGGCGCGGGGTCGAAGCAAGCCAGCAACACAGCCCGGTCGAAACAGGACACGGCGCGGAGCGGCGGCGCGGGTTCCGCAGCGGCGGAGGCGACGGCAGATACCGGGTTCGCCATCATCGCGCAAGACGCCGAGGGCCCGCCCGTGGTTGCGGAATTGCAGCACAAAAAGCAGGGAAGAAAGAAATTGAACGACACGCTGGCCAGCCTGAACCTGACCGCAAAGAAACTGAGGCGGGAGCAGGAAGCGACGAGCGCTGCAAATTCGCCCGGACCGCAGGGGTCGTGATAGAAAGCCAATAGAGGAAGATAGCCGAGTTATGTTGTACAAGTGCTACACAAAGCTTCTTAAGTTGGTGAACAGTTAGAGATTTCCATACTGGTTTATGAGTCAAATTCAAATTTATGCAAGAGGTTGACGTGTGTGAATATTAGAGTTGATACTAAAGATGTCTGCAAAGCGTACCGGAAAAGAGGCGTGCATGGGACCATTATTGGTAATAGCCCGCACTAAAAAGACACGTTCGAAGAATCATACGTCCGCAACAAGGTTTATTTTTTCCCGATGGGCTGCAACTGAAGAACAAAGAGCAGCGCCATCGCATAATTTTTTTAGAAAGAGGACCAGTCGCGCATCGTGTGCCAAGAAACGCAGAGTTGGGCCGGCGGTGACGTGTTCAAATTTCCACTGGACGAGTGTTCTCGCTGCTAAGAGAAGGATCCAAAGACCCAAGAAGACTTCCGTTCATACCGATTGTTTTTTCTTGTCTGATGATCTCAGGTGGAATGTCAATGTTTTGCTTTTGCACTACTGTGATGCCCGTAGGTAGTTTTTGTTTTCGCTACGGGGACCTAGTATTCCGAGTCGTACTAGAAACCAAGACAATCGGAATGTGAATCAGAACACAGCGAGCAGTAGTTCTTTGATTTAGGTGTCTCTCCTTATAATTTTCGACGTCGATCAGCTACAATGCCGGTTCGAGTTCCGCAAAGTTTCGCTTCATGCGTGTTGTGGAATGTTCTGGCAATTGTGCTGACTTGCAATAATTTAATGCCTTTCATCACCTGCACGACAAATGCACCCTTCTGCGCCACCGTCACCCCCGCAGCAGCTGTGAGATTGACTTCAACAGTCGGCGATGGGGAGGGATCTTTCGCCAGGAAGATAAGCGATGTCGGCAGTAGCAGAGTTTCGAGCTCCAGTAGCGTTGGCGGAACAACGACGGTCGGCACCAATTACAACGTGTCGAGGACCTATTCAGAGTCCACAGCGCGCGATTCCGAGCCTGGAGAACCTTTTCCGGAGCAAGATGTGGGAGTGTTGGACGCAGTGAGTAGAGCGGACGAGGGGAGCACGGCGCCGCTAGCCCTTCCGCGTACCGTCACGCAGCCCAAGAAAAGTTCCGAAATCGACACGATGGAACTGGTTGACAATGGGGAAAAACTAGTATACGGGGGAAACATTTCCGATCGTCTTGTACTGCCCGCGCCGGAAAAAAAAGTAAAACCCACCCCGGTCGTTCTGTGCGAGAAGAAAAACACTAGCCGTGATCACGATAAGGTCGTGGTCGCAGATCTCCTGATTCCGCGATCCGGCAGCTTCTTGCCTGACCGCGCGAATTCGTTATCGTCCAGCTGTTCCACTGCGACGCCGGAGAGCAGTTATGCAAGCACGTGCGTGACGCCCCTCTCGGCGCTGCTTGACATACGGCAATGGGAGGAGGATTCAATGGAAGAACCGGAACCAGAAAAGGGACCTGTGGAAAAGAGCCCGGGTTTGGGTGCAGCAACTTCAGCGCGTCCTGGAAAAAGCTCTTCCGCAGCTTTCGGAGCCGCACCATCTCCGACGACCGCAGCAGCACCATGGAAGGAGAAGCACAGTGCAACATGGCCGGGGAGCAGTAGAAGTACTAGTAGCAGCGTGCCACGCCAGGGTGCGGGAGGCAGCAACGCAGGGAAAAATAAGCCCAGGCGCAAAGGTGGGGGTCTAGCGCTTGAAAAACCCATGCCAACTGTAACGGAGCAGAGAGTGATTACGCGCTCGGATGAAAATAGCGGCGACCGGATAGTCGTCCAGGTGATCGACTCTCCTTCCGTGGAGCTTTTTCGGCGGAAAAGAGACCCGACCTCGGGAAAAAAAGTAGAAGAACCAGCGGGACATGTTTACATGCGACCCTGGGATGAGCAGCGTGAGTATGGGACGATGGTGTATTCCCGGCTCGAGGAGCCGACAAGGGGGACACAGGAATCCGCTTGACTGTGAGGGTTTACGGCGTTATTTGCAACCGGGTAATTATGCAACGAATGAAGTAGAGATGGTTAGTACTTATTACTTGAGAAGATCCACATGCAGTAGCAATGGCGATTCTCCGCTTCACGATCTGCCGCTGAAAGGCAAGACTTATTTCTAAATTGGAATACAGTTTGGTTGGTTTTCAAAATGCATATGTTGAACGAGTTATGATTTCTGCAAGTAGGGCAGCCGAATAAGAACAAGAGCAGATCGTGTGCGCACGTTGAACTTTTGTTTGTCAGAAATTTAAATCTGCAGTGTTTGGTGGATCGTCGTGCTTTTTGATGAAAATGCAATCGACGCGCAATTGAGCCAGTTCTGCTATCGTTGGTGCCGGAGTTCTGTTATGGTTCCTTTGTTCTTCTCGAGTTCTGCCGATATCTTTGGATCCATCGTGAAATGCCTGATTTACAAAGCGGGGCGACCGCCAGTTCTTTACTTTTTCGTTTTCGGTCATATTTTCTCAAAACCTTTTCTTTTCTCTCGCTCCTAGTTTTTCCCGTACACCTTGGATCTTGTACGGCCCAAAAGATGCGGCTTTATCCGGGCCTGGCGCTGTTGCTCTCGCCCAAATGCGTCGCGTCCACCAAGAGTTTATCCAGCCATGAGCAGATCGTGAACATTCTGAAGCAAAGTTCCAAAACGGCGCAACCCACCGGCGCCGGGGATGCAATGGCAAATGTCTCAACCAGGGTACAGCAGTTGGTGTCGCTGTTGCAGCAGCTAGAAGGGGAGCTTGACCAGGAATTCCAGTCCGCGCAGAAGGCCTACGACAAGCAATCCTGTAGCCACGAGGACTATCCAAGAAAAAAAAACTGCGTTAGGGTGAATTTCTTCGAGTGACAGCGTGCTAGATTTCTTCTGCGTGACACAGAAGGCCGGCCATTCACCGACAGTTCGTGAAAACACTTTAACTGTATTGCACGCTTTTGACTAGAAACTTTCACTTACGCAGTTTTTTTTTCCTGCATAAACACACTATCGCCGGGGCAAAAGGTGCGATCAAAGAGGCGGAGATCGACATCGATAGGCTGGAAGAAGTGATCCAAAAGAACGTGGCTGATATCGGTACGACGTTTTTGTGTTATGCTGTAGTTCTGACTGAGATGTAATGCTGAAGCTCTTCCTTGACATCAAAGCAGCTGGCGGGCTCAGTGGCCGCAGATTTACTTAGATTCTGCTAAGCATGCGGACGCAGATGCGGCAATATGAATATTTAAATCACTTACAACAGCTGTCTACAAGGGCAAGATAAAAATGGAAGAAAACAAGATTGCAGAGAAGAAGAAAGCCATTGAGGACGCGATTGCCCAGAGAACGGAAGAGCATGGCGAATACGCTGATACCGTGAATGAGTTCGAAGCCGCCATCTCTTCAGCAAACATGGCTTACAACGTACATCCACTTTTGTTTTAAAAAGTTTCGGTCAGTTCTTTGGTTTCCACATCTGGTTGCGAGCTACGGGGGTATAAAGTGGCTCATTTCATCTGTCTGTGAGTGTTAAAATCTGAGAGTGATATTTAAAATCACAACCTAAACTTTTCTCTCCCAGGTCCTTTCGGAGGCACAATCCGGTGCGCGCACCACGACCGCAAAGGCTGCGGACTACAGTTTGCTCTCTAAAGCGTCTTCCTCCAAAGATCTGTTCCAGAACCTAAAGAAGGCGATTGCCCTCCTTCCCGTGGGCAGCAGGAAGCTGACCCCGAGCCGCGTGGAGGCGCTGTCTGAGTTTGTGGATGAGAAGATTAACACTGGGGACAAGAAGGCGCTGCTCCAATTCGGCCCGGGCTCGGCGAAAATTCTCGGCATTCTGAAGGACATGCGCGGTGAGTACACCGCGAAGTTGCAAGGCCTGCAGGAGGCGGAGCAGAAAGCCGCGACGGCGCACGTGCACTTCGTGGAGAAGATATCCACAGTAAATTTGCCGTACACGTACAAATGCAGTCTCTCCATGACAAAACTTGCCTTCAATCCTAGTCTAGCATGACAAGTCGGACACTGCAAGTTGGCGAAATTTGTCATGCATTTTGTACATGTGCGGGAAATTTACATTGCATAGAAGACCAACAAAATGATCGACGCCCTGATCAAGTCGAAGGAAGCGCACGAGGCGAAATTGTCCGAAACGGAAGCCGCGGAAGAGAAGCACCGCAACGAGAAGGCCGCTGCGCAGGACGCTCTGAAGGAAAACCAAGTGCTTTTAAAGGACACAACAGAGGCGTTCCGCGAGTTGTCCCGGTTGTGGGCCGACACCAGTGCGAAGCACACTTCGGAAATGACGGGTCTAGGCAAGGCGATCGAATTGCTGCTCAAGCAGGGACAAGTCGGCACCATGATGATCGACAAGGAGAGGATTGCGCTCATGCAGACCGGTATTTATTGAGACTGGTGTTTTTCTCAAAGTTAAGGAGTAGTTGTAGGTACTAGCGATTTCCATGATCTTTCAGCAGGTGAAGCAGAAGCTGCTGGTGTACAACTATTTGGTCTGAGCAGCACAAAATTGTTCTTGGAGTGCCCAACATCTTCGAAATGTTGCCAATCTAAGTACCCTCTAAATCAAAATCAAACCCAGCTTCCGCGGTTGTCGCCTCGGACACGTACGACACGGCCTTCAAGAAGATTGTTTGGGCCATCGAGGATATGGTCGAGGTCCACAAGGCGGAGATGGCGGAGAACCTGGAGAAGAAGCAGACCTGCCAGGATTCCATCGCCGGCACGGACTCCGCGGAGCGCAAGCGCCTCGCCAAGATCGACAGCATCAAGTCCAGCAAAGCCAAGGCCGAGGGAGAGAAGGGCGAGACGGAGGACAGTAAGGAGAAGGCGGAAAAGGAAAAAAAGGCGGCGGAGGACGAGACCGCGAAGGGGCAGGGCGAGTGGGAAACCGCGCGCGACGCCCGGGCCAAGGAGATTGGCGAGCTCGAAGAGTCGATTTCGCTGATCGCCGGCGCGATGCGCAGTCTGACGGAAAACGACCCGAGCGGGAGATTCAAGAACGTCATCGCCATCCTGGTCATGGTTTCCGACGAAGCGAAGGCAGAATTCAAGGAGGTGTCGAAGGCCAAGGCGGATGAAGAGGAGGCCTGGGTCAAGGAGAAAAAGGTCCTGTACGACCTGATCCAATTGAAAATCGAGCTACGTCCTGGGAAAATTTGATCCAGAGTCAAAGTTCTTGAAGTTCTCTTTTGCATGAAAAGCATGTAACTAACGGAGAGGACGCGAGCTAGCTTTTGTATCGTGTCAGTTCTCTTTTATACGCCCTTGGTAGATAAACGAGACACATTGGCATGCTAGCATGTTGAAACTTTACTGAGCCGTTTTCACCAGAGTTTTGACTCGAGTTTTTCCCACGACGCTGACAAATTGAGCAGATGGAGAAGACCATTACGAAACTTGAAGGCGAGATCGCCCGTTTGGACGAAAAGCTGAAGAAAACGGAGGCCATGGAGCGGCCGTCCACGGAGGAGTGCGAGACGTTTTTGGAAGAGTTCCAGGGAAAGCAGGATGGCCTGACCAAGGAGATCGAGGACCTGGATTACGCCAAGGCCGAACTCGGGGGCTGGACCAACCAGTCGGTCGAGGCGCAGCACTTTGACGCAGCGGAGGTTGCGCCAGAACCGTGAAGGGCGTTTGTTTAGCTCTCTTTGCTCACTCTGAATACTTGGGGCCACAGTGACGTGCTGTCTAGTTGTTTCCCCGTTTCACCGCACGAAGCTGTCGTGCCCCCGTCTACTGGAGGTGCGCCTCATAGCTGCGAATAAATTTTGATAACATTCTATGTTGTTTCTGACGGTAATTTTGCGATTGCGGCGTACTTTGAATTTTCAAAATAATGCACAATTTTCATGAAAAGCAAAATGCAGTTTTCGGTTGTATTCGTCATCACCTCAGTTTTTCTACGCGTGTTTTTTTTGTCATCGGATATAGCAACAGACCTTTTTATTTACATCGGATATTAGCATTCAACCTAGGAGTTCACATCGGATATTAGCAGATCACAAACCCTAAAACTTGATTGATATAGCATGAAGGTCGTATTTTGTCATCGGATATAGCCTCGAAAAGATCGCAAAAACTGAAGATGACGCGATGCTGTGGCTGCTTTGCTACGAAAAAAAATGATCGGAAAAAAAGTCCAGGAACAGAATTCACGATAGCTCCGCGAAGTTTCAGCTCAGAAAACAGCTTTGAATGATTGTATACAAAGGATGCAAGAAAGTGAGCCGAGCACGAGAGTCAGACAGATTCAAGTCATCAAGATGAGCACGACGGACTAGAGTCGATTCGGAATCCGCGTGTTTTCACCACCATTTAGAGGCAATCGGCGAGTTTCAGCGACTTCGCGTAAGTCATACGGCTTCTGCGATGTAGTAAATTACACAGACACGGCGATCTCAGGAGTGTAATAACGACATGCTGCGATAAAAGCTTTCAATTCTGATGGTTTTAGCGAATCCCGCGCATTCCCAGATGCACTATTGATTGATTGATTTGAGATCAGCTGGGTTCTTGGAAATTTTGAACGTAGTATTGCACAAGAAAATAACGGTGCGTGCCGGTGTCTTTTTTTCAGAACCTGGTGGTGAGAAGAGTAACGCTTTACGCTTGCAAAAAAACACAGCGGTGGAGGAAACGATGGGAGAGTAGTTACTTCCCAAGTTTTTTCGTTGTGTAAAGTTTAGCCGGGTTTTTTAAAGCCCCTGCAAGCTTGCTTTCTTTGCAGGCAAGATAATGACATGAAGCTACATTTTTTTTGTCCATTATAGAAAACAAAGAATAGTGCCGTTCAACATTGAAACGTTACAAAGGCTTCCGACTAGTCAGACCCTCAAGCAATGGAAGGAATGTGATATGTACACGTAGCCAAGCGCAATATAGTGCGAAGTTCGTAGTCGTCAGTTTTTTTGGAACAATCTTCATCTTCCTTCGGGAAATTATATAAGGAACGTTCTTCGCTAGACAATATCGTGTACTTAGCACACCACTGAATTGATGGACGCTTGAGTTCAATTATAAAGCAGGTGGTAAAATAAACACCAGGGCACCGACGACTCCAAAAGGTCCAGATGTGAAGCAAACGGCCGACGGATTTTTTTTTCGCAGCAAATTTGATTTTCTTCATTCTGCAGTGCGACGTGATTACAACCGCAGACACGAGGACACTGAGGCGAACTTCTCCGTATTCTTCCTTTCATGAGCATTACATCGACACTACAACAAGGACGAGAAACACATTATTAGAATCAATCACAGCAGGAGCAGGAGGTGGTTCTTAACAAGCGCGCCGAAATTATGACGCTGGGCGGAATGGAGTCTGTCTGCGAAGGGAGCGTTCAGCTGCTCAAGCAGACCCGTTCGGATTTTATCGTCCATATTGGTGTATTCTCCGTAGATTTTCGACGAGAAGAACTTGAAATTTTAGCTGCTGAGCTTCATCTGGACTTCGTGGCGGAATGTTTTTCTAAGGATAGCAAGAATGCGCAGCAGCCGCAGTGCGCCTCATTAAAAGATCGGCACCACAACCGCAAAAAGATGCTGAAAGCCGTTTCGGAACTATCAAAAGTATGGGACAGCGAAGGTCTACCAGTGAAGATTCTGGTTTCGCGGAAGCAGACGAGTAACAACGGACAGAGCCAGACGTCTCGCAACACCTGCACCCGGAATAGTAAATCACCTGTAGACATCATTGCAGTCGTCGCAAGTCGACAGCAGGCCGTCGAGATTGGTTTCTTCTGTGTGCAGGGCACACAGACGGTCCTGGGTCTCGCGAAGATCCAGGAAGTGTACAATCGCCTGCGGGGCTGTCGACTGTCGACCAAGCTTTTTCGTCGCCGCGTGGAGGTGGTGGTCCCGGTGGCGGCTTTGCAGCGCAACGTTTTTGTGCGGCCGCACGAACTGCACGACACCACTCCTCCGTCCAGTACGTGCGCGAGCAGCACCAGTTCTGGCGGCGACGCCAACACCGGTGGGCACACTGCGGCTCCCCCGGACGAGCACTCCGAGAATCAACATCGCAGGAGCACTACTTGCGACACCCGAGCCAGTTCCACGCATAGTGCGGCGCACAGTGAGAGGCGTGAAACGCACTTTCACAGCGCGGATGGGAGCAGCCGTATTTCCGTAGGTGATGAAAAGGGCGTCATTGTCGCGGATGTTGAAAAGGAGATGAACAGAGATTCCAGTGACAGGTCGACGCCTTTGCACGAACCGAGTCTGCGTTTAGCGCAACTGGAGGAGCAGCACCGCTCGGAAAAGTTTTCCGTTTCCCACCCCGTATCGTGTGGAACCTTGGACAGTAGATACAGCCCGCACGCAACGCTGCGCCACAACGCCGCGGGAGTTGCTTCCGAGAGGAATAGTAGCTGGACCACTGCTCCTGCTGATCAGGATGCTCGTCGGCAATCGAGGCATAATTTCAGGGGCGAAGTATCACAGCAAAACTTGCTCCCGCGAACCACCAACGTGGAGTCGCTCTTTGAGTACTGGTTGGAAGTGGAAAGCAAGTCGGGGGCGCTTGAACCAAACGAGTGGTTTTGCGTGTCAGATGAGGAGACGGGGGAAGCCATCGGGTTGCGGCGTTTTCAGATGGACCTGTGGGGCAAGCGTTTGCAGGACTGCACCGTTTTCGCGAACAACGTCGTCGCACCGATTTCTTTCTCGTCCATCTCTGCCAACAAAAGTCTTCTGGCCCAGACCAGTGCGAACTTCAAGTCGCAAAAGCAAAGTACTAAACACGTGCACAACAATTCGAAAACGCACTACGAAAGCTGCGGTTTAGCGCCCCCGGCCATGTCGCTGCGGCACGGGCTCCGCTGGACCTTGGACGGGAAGCGTGTGCAGACCGAAACGTTTCAGAGGTTTTACGGAAATCGCACGAATTCTGCATTTTTCTCGGCGGCGCCGGGCCCGCACGGACGCCGTGGTGCAGCTGCTGACGGCAATCAGGAGGAGGTTCCAGTCGTTGTGTACTCCTTGAGCTTCTCGTTGGCAATGAAAATGAAGTTGGGCACTCTGAGTGGGCGCCGTGTGGCGCCGGAGAAACAGAACAAGGTGAACCGCAGGAAGAACTTAGCATCAACCGCCGCAGGTCCCAGCTGTATGGGTTCTACGAGCAATGTCACGACCTCCTGCAGTAGCAAAATTCGGACCGGTGTGCTCGGTTCCCTGGAGGAGTGGAAGCGTCACAACCAGCGGACAAGTGCGGTGTCAGTGAAGAACACCTTTTACGACTTCCATGACGCAACCTGTTACAACAACCCGAGCGATCACGGGATGGAGACGGCGCTCGTAGATGTTGAGAGGCCGAATTTTCGTGCGGCCGCGGCGAACCGGAGCTGCAGCACGCCAGCGCGTTTTGTGTACAAGGAGAGTATGTTCGCCGCCAACGGGGAATCCGATCGGGATCCGCTCTGCGTGTGGTTCCAGCAGCAGACCTCCTTTCTGGCGGTCCGCACCGTGCTGCTCTCGTCCCGGAAGGTGTTCTACGAGTATCCCCCACCACAGATCGCCTTCGACCGCACTACCGGGTTCAAGCAGTGGGTGCACTCGCACATCCACTTCATTCTTTTCGTCGTCAAGGTGCTTCAAATGCCCGAACTGTTCCTGCTGCTCTGGAAGGCCGGATTCCAACCCGTCGCCAACCTGACCTTCCCCTCCATCTCCAACGCGGCCAAGGCCTGGAAGGAGGCGTGTGCGGAACTGCTCCTGCTACAGAAGGACCGAAAAAGCTGCATCGACATATGCGAACAGAACAGCCCCGCTCGGGCGCGAAAAGACGACGGAAAAAGTTCTTGTCCAAACAAGACTGGGTGCTGGAACAAAGAAAAACAAGTGACAGAGGAGAGTTCGTTACAGTCTCGCATCCTGGCCGTGCAGAAGCGCATGCGGTCGCAGGGCCTGGAGCCGATCAACCGGGAGTTCTGGTGGAATATGGACGCCCAGATGATAATATCAAATGTAAAAATGTCTGGGTCTGGAAGAATGCAACTTGTCATGCTAGAGCTGAAGCATGCAAAAATTTGTGTATCATGAGTGCCAAAAGCTGTCCACTTCCGACCAAGTTGGGAGGGAGTTTCTCATGCAGGATAGGCATGAGGGAGACCTCCCAGACTCAGTCATGCTAGGTCCCGCATTCCAGACCTCAAGGGTCATGGAAAACCTGCATGACAAGTTCACACTCTTCCAGGCCCAGACACTTTTGCATTTGATAGATAACCGGGGTGCTGCACGTCACGCACGCACCGCATCTGTTGCGGAGCGGGTACTGTCAGGAGGGCGAAATAACCGAATGCAACAGTTCGGTTCTTTCGGAGGAGGACCACGAACTACTAGAGGAAGACAACCTTGGTCCAACCACAGCAGCACCGAGCAACTGTGAAGATATTGAATCCAGTGGGGTGGAAAACAAAAGAGTTGTACTAGAGCGGGACGATGATTTTGAACCCGTGGACGGTCGCGATGAAGGAGACATGTTGATACAGACGACGACAAGTGAATCGACTTTCACTTTCGGGGGCGCACTTCATCGACGCAGGAGCAGAAAAAGCTCCTGTGATCTTCATCATGCCGTGCATGCAGACGGCCACCTGTCCGACGATGCTGGTGACGCGGACGCCTCCGGGGCCGCGCCGGGAATAATGAGGACACGATCCTCGCCACCCAGCGAGGAGAGGAGAACAAGACAGGAAGTGGGCAAGGACGACCTTGGCACAAACATGCCCACCCCCAACGGAGCGTACTACGCAGGCCGGAGCAGCGCGGGGGAGAAGCGGGACAGAATCGAACTGCGGTACACCAACGGCAACCACGTCAAGAATGGACAACACCGCAATTTATCAACCAGCACTTCTGGGAACGACGATGCAGGCGCTCCGTCGGGGCATCGTGGTGCTCGCTCGAGGTGCTCTAAACCGCGAGGACAGGAGCAGGAGGGGCAAGCAAGCCAGCAAGTAGTTGATGGAACTACAACGCGGAAGCACCGCTCTAGCCAACGGCCCGCCCAGCCGCTCCTGGAGCGGCACGCCATCGTGACAGACGTCGCCCAGGCGACCCACTCGCGGCTGCTGCGCGGGATTCCGGAGCACGTGTCGGTGCGGTTCATTCTGCGGAAGGTGGGCGAGGGGTTGGAGGCGGTCCACAAGGCGTACGCAGACCTGAAAACGCACAATGCGATGTACGTGCCTCTGGTCGACGACGAGGACGATGACGGGAACACTTCGGCCGACAAAAGTCCGCGCGGACAGCAGTCCGGAGGGGCCTCGCAACAGCCCGCCAAGCCCGCGGGCCCGACCACCGCACAGATTACAAGTTTTCGGGAGAAGGGCTTCCACGAGGGGGTTGAAATCGAGTACCACCGGCGGCGGGAGGCGGGGCGCGCCGGGCTGCTCTGCACGAAAAAAGAGATCGCAGACTCGTTTTCGGTTTTCATGGACGAATTCGGCAACATTTACTACATATGCGGTAAAAACTTTTACTCGAACAACCCCTTTTTAGGTGGACTATCCAAAATGGGCTTTTTAAGCTGTTGAGCTACAACGTCTAGGATATGGAATGGCGAGGTCAGGAGCAGTACTAGTGTAGCCCCTGTTGCCTGCCGTGCTTCTACCATTAACGTGCTGCTGCTAGTTGTGCTATTACTGAACACAAATTCTTCACTCTCTAGTACGTGATTTGCTGCGGAAAGTGAATCAAGCTGCAAGAAGATGGGAATGTCCCTGAAGAAGTTTTTTCGTCCGCGTGTCACTCTGTCTGTAGTACGAGTTTCCCATGAGGACTGCTGGTCCGCAGAACAATCATTGCGGGCGACGGAGTGGTTTTTATTTTGAGGATGTAGTCACGTCACCCTATGTTTTGATCTTGGCTGGGCGTACTTATCGCTGGCTTCTCGTAGATCGATGGATTCGCCGGAAGCTCCAAAAAGTTGGTGTTATGATTCAACACAAAAATAATTTTCCATGGCTTTGTTTGCGACTTCGGTATCGTCAAAATGCTGAAGATAGTGCCGAGTGGTCTTAGTAGAAAAAAGTCGCTTCTGCAACGTTTCTGAGATGTACTGATGGTACTGGGTTTTTAGGTGCTTCTTTCCAAACACTACTTACTCGTGCATCGAATAGACGATTATGGCGTTATTGACAAAATTGCGCACTCCAGCTTTTCCGTTTATGTTGGAAAACTCAAAAATGGAGTGAGTACTATGTCATCTGTTTCATATTATTTTTTGGTGAAGCGCCTGAAAAAAAACACAAAAGCTTCAGGCACGCTCTCCTGCAGACTTTCTATCCAGTTTTTTTTTCGAATTATCTATGACTGAAGGAATTTTCGTTTGGAAAAATCACTTATATCTTTGTCGTGTACAGTTACGTCGGAGCAATAGAGACTGGAATCTCCAATTCGAGTCGAACCTACATTTTTCGATCGGCTCTTTTTTTCTACCTTTTTTTTTTCAAAAGATGGCAGTACTTTCGGGTAGAACTCTTTACCCTTTCCTCCTACACAAGATGGAGGCTCTGCCCTTTTGTTCTCGCTATTTTTTTTTAAGTACCCGAATTGAATGAGAATGTCTTTCGATTTTCTATTATGTTTGCTGATATCAGCATCTGTCCATATGCGCCCGTACGAGCTTCTAGACAAAACGACCAGAACAGGCGTTGCAGCACAAAAACAGACGAGAATGCGGGTCCGAAAAAGAAATGGCTTTCTCATTGAAAAATGATTCCTGAAGACAAAGAGATTGCGCCCTTTAGGTGGCGAAACAAAAAAGCGAAGCTTTGTGTGCGAAGACGCGGAATTTACCATAGAAGGCCAGTGTTGTCAAGTTGAGAATTTGAATTTCGCTGCTGCAATTGCTGAGAAATTTGAGCGACGAGAAACATTAAGGAGAAAAGGGACGAGGTACTTCCATCAAATATCACATGATTCATGGCGAGGAGCTTTTTCGTTTTGCAGGTGTAGCCTGCCTGGGGGGGGGGGTGCTTGTCGTTCGACAGATTAGCTTTTTGCTTCAGGCAGTGTCTGTTTCCTGTTCCTTCAGAGTGTGGCAACGACTGGCAGTATTCCAGGCACGAGTAGCAATGAAGCCCGCGGCGCTAAGGCCGTCGCGGTCCACGTTTGTGTAACAATACAGCAAGAAGCTGACTTTTCTGTTTGAAAACTCAAAATGGCCGTGGTCGAGCGGAAGCTCGGCAAGTGCTGCATTTGTTTTCCGCTCCAGAACGGCGTGGCGATACTGACGTTCATCTTTTTTTTTCTCGGACTGTGGTCTTTCCTGGTCCTGTTTCTCGAAGACGCGCGACTGCAGTTCAATGGCGCATTTATTGTCAGCACGGATTTCGCCTCGTCGCTGCAAAAATTGGAGCCGTTTGTTGCCGCGGGATATCTGCTCACAGCGCTGGTCGGGTTCATAGGCGTGGTGGACGAGAAGGTTTGGCAAGTGAATGTCTTTCTCTACTACATGGGTTTCCACGTGTTCGTCATCTACGTGCTGGTCTTCGCGCTGGACATGTACGGACTAGCCTACTACTGCAAAAATGCAAACACCTCCGCCTCCGACACCTCCGCGCTCCTCCCGGTCAGCGAACGAAACATGAGCTTGCAAGCACTGCAGTCCAAAAACCTCTGCGCAGACGCAAGAACAGCGTACACGATCGGATTTCTGCTGCAAATGCTGCTCAGGGTAAGTAGAAACTAATTTTATAGTACAACCGTACTTACTTTTTTGCGCTCAGGCTCGTCGTCTTTTTCTTGATTTTCATTTCATCTCGGTGAGGAGAGAGGTTTCCATTTTCTGCAAATTTTAATGTGCTAGTGTCCCTGTCACGTGCGTAATTTTATCTATGTCGTGAGGTCCTCGAAGTAGATAGACCACACCATCCATTATACAGGTGTATTTTTTCCTGGTGATTCGCAAGTATGCGAAGAAAATCTCCACGTCGATTCCGTACCCCATCGCGTTCGAACAGACCTATACGGAGAGTGTGGAGGTGGATATTCCGAGCAATGTAGGCGACTTCGCCAGGAATAGAAAGGAGCAACTGTTCGAGCAAAACATAATCGCGGACATGCACCGAAAAGACGACGATTACATACAGAAAATGCTCAAAGAGTACGGAACGCAAAAAAGCGATAAATACGGCACCAATGCCAATCAAGAATGATGAAAAACTACTTGCGGGAAAGCTGCCTTTTCTCATATTTCTGCTCTTTATTCGCTCAAGCTGATTTCCTGCGGAAACGATCCGAGCGACGTGATATTTAAGGCTCGCAATTTCTGTGTCTGAAGGAAGATGACAAAAGCGACAATTTTTGTTGGAACAAACTGATGTTCGTCTTGCCTGAAGCGTGCATACCTGCCCCAGTGAGTGTAGTTTTTTTTTCGAATTATGGTGGAAACAAAGAGACGGCTTGTTCATTGTTGCTGCGCATGCATAGGCTACGTCACGCTAGGTGTCTGATAGACGAGATCTACTGCGATGATGCTGAAGATGAACAGGATGTGGCTGTGATGTCTTTTCTGAGGATCGGATGAGCTCTGGCGCTGGTGTAGCTCCTATTCTCATATCAACAGAGGATCTCCAACAGGATGAAAGCAGCGTGTTTTGGTATGGCCAGGGTTCAACACAGAAGCCTTAGCGCGCTACTTCAATACCATTGACAAGCTGGTGTTTTTGTGAAAGAGCATCATTCTTCTGACTCCAGGTCCTCAACACAACTCAATGTTCTCATCCGCTGGCGTCAACATTTTTCATCCGACGTTTATTGTTACGCACCATTTCTTCGGAACTATGTCTACTTTAAACCTGTTCTCAATCACGTTGCTGTTGCTTCTTCAGTCCACGAAAAACAAAAGCAAGGCAGAAAGAACATGACGAATTATTTATCTGCTCGTTAAGGTAGTGGTGAAACATCTACATGGAGGTATTATTTCTACTCGAAGATTTCTTCCTGTTTGGCTGATCAATCGATCATTCTTACGTGCTTCGACGTTGAAAGAGCAACCAATAGCCATGGACTAAATTATGAAATAGGTCACATCTTCGAATTTGGCTGAAAGAACTACGAGATAAATGATTTTTCACGGTACATAAAAATGCTCACACCTCCTGTGGATGTTGTATTTTCGTTCCCGTTTTTTTTTGAAAGATGAATTCGTCGTCCTCCTCGAAATCCTCCGTATGAGAACGGAAAAGGTGCTGAGTATCGATTGGCGTCGTAGAGAAAAGTAACAGCGGTTCTAAATTTAGCAGAGCCCTCACAACAGGTCATGCATGACAACCGCTTTTTCGTTTTTGATTTTGTTCAAATGATACTACGCTCCTTTCCGTCGCTCCCCTTTTCCTATTCCATATGCCAACAAACTGGCGTCAAAAACCAAGAGCGGCGCATCGGCGCAGCCCAAGAAGGAAGACAAGAGCAAAACCTCCGGAAGTAGTAATGCGATCGGCCCCGCCAAGCCTTCGAAGCATTCCTCGACTAATTCGAAGCAAGAATCCAAGTCTGGCACCAAGAAGAAGCCAAAAGCCCAAGCGACTGGCTCGAAACCAAGCAAGGTTCTAAAGAAGAAAAAAGACAGCGCTAAAAAGAAGAAAGTGATTAAGCCGGAAGGTGGTTCGAAAAAGACTAAGAATACCGCTGCACCATCTTCCGCTGTGGCGAGCTCTTCGTCTGCTGGAGCTGTGTCCTCAGGTGCGAAGAAAAAGAAACCCGCCACGGGTGGAGAAAGTAAACTCGGAAAGCAGTCAGCTCCGGTTGGGTTTGGCGGGTCCTCTAGCTCTGCGTCTGGCTCGAAGAAAAAAGTTGCAAAAGAAAAGGACAGAAGCAAAGCGGTAATTCTGCCGAAAGGGTCTGCGGCACTTAGTAGCGCAAAGGGCGGAAGTCGCGGGGCGAAAAACGCTCTTGCCGGCAGTTCCTCGAAGAGCAACAAAAGACCTGCAGCTCTTTCTGCACCGGCGGGTGGTAAAAAACGGCAGCGCGTCAGCGATTCGGACGAAGACGCTGGGGAAAAGATGGGGTACGGAAGATTCTTTGCGAAGAGTTCTGATTTTTCTATTAGCAACTTGCACGCATTTTTAACACTACGTGGCAAAGAAAAGTTGGAGAACTAAATCATGTTCTTGATACGTGGCCGTGGTATTTCAGCATTTGTCGTTTTTTTGTAAGTAGGCGCGTTGAACAAATTTTGACTTTGAGACGTCCCCCATATTAACCCAGGCGGTCATCTCCCAAAATTTGGTGGCAGCCGAAGAAAAAGCAGGATGGGGAGGGGAATTCAGCGATCGACGAAAATGGCAATGCCGGCGAGGCCCAGCAGGGGTCCTCGTCTTCTTCAAAAAGCTCCGGAGCGGCTGCTGCTGCAGCTGCGGGAGGGAAGAAGGGACAGTCGGCGGCTCCGGTCCTGGCCGCGTCCTCTTCCTGTGGTGTTGCGCATCAAGGTGCAGCTCCTGGGAAGAGCACAAAAAAGAATGCGAAAGGGAAAAGCAAGTCCAGTTCGAAGTCAAGGAACCGGGGCGCGAGTTCGAAAGGTTCTGCCACAAGAACTGTGAAGAAAGACAACGAGAGCTCCACTGGTGCGCCGCGATCTTCGAGCAATGCAAAGGGAGGAAAGAAGTTGTCTGTGAAAGGAACAACCACCAGCAAGAAGCCGGTGACAGAAGAGATAGATGAGGAAGGCGAGAGTTCTTGCGGTGAGAAGCAGCAGAAGGGCGGGAGAGGAAAATCGAAGAATAGCTCGAAGAATAACAAGAATAATAACGGAAAGAAGTCCTCCACCTCCCCGGCGTCCTCTTCCGCATTCAATTTTCAGCCCGGCAAGCGTAAGAAGTCCTCCGCGGACGAAAAGAAGAGTACTTCGCTCCTCCTCGGGGACGACCAAGATAACTACTCGGACGCAGAAGTAAAGTCAGGCAAGAAGCTGCAGGCGGCCTCCTCGTCGTCCGCAAGGGCTCCGGGCACTTCGAACAAGGACAAATCTTCCAAAAGCAATGCAGCGAAAGGGACGATGTTGGCGAGTACAACGATGAAAGCGGATAAAAAAGGCAATTCCACCGGTGCGACTACCGCAAAAGGGAAGGCAAAGGAACGGAGCAAGTCCTCGAACAATAAATCGTCGAAAAATAAGGTCGCTCCCTTCGAGGAACCGGAGGAGGAGGAAATGGAAGAAGAAGCAGCTTTCGGAACAAGTAATAAAAGTCCAAAGTTGATGTCCACCAAGAACAAAAACCGCCGACGTGGTGGCTCGGGAAAGAAGAAGAGTCCGCCGCCCATGAAGAGCGCAAAATCGTCTGTCGCGGACGAGGACGAGGAGGAAGAGGATGAGCTTTTTGGCAACAACTTCAATAAAGGCAAAAAGACCACGGCCGCAGCTGGCACAGCGAGCAGCAAGATGGGTAGTAAGCAAAAGAACAAGCCCGCGAGCAAGAAGAATGATAAGCGATCGCAGTCGCAAAAAAACAAGTCGTCCGCCGCGCTCCAGTTCACTACGTCCAATTTGGACCCGGCGTCCGGCAAAACGGGTCCCGGCTCCTCGTCCACAGCGGCGAACAAGAATGCTGCAGCCGGAGCAGCCTCATCGTCCGCGAACCCGTTTGCGTCCTCCTCCTATTCGCTGTTCGGACCGCCGCCGACCGGAAGCGCGAATCACAGCTCCTACTACCTGGGCGGGGGAGGTTCCAGCTCGAGTTCCCGCTGGGCGAACACGGTGAACGGGCTGAAGGATAAGAAGACGAGGTTTGTCTCCCTGACGGAATTGAACGAAACGCTGCAGTACTGCAGTGAGGACATGCTGCTGAACTTCCCGATGGAGACCGCGATTCCGAATCTGCTGAAGATCGTGGAAGGGGATAGCAATGCGAACCCGTTCGAAATCGCGGACCCCTTTGGAGGCGGGGGCATGGGCGAGGACCAGCAGACCAACATGATTTTATCCTGTCGGATTCTGTACACGCTGATCGACATCGTGCCGCCGACCACGCGCTTGATCTCCACCTACAAGGGGATTCCGATTTTGGTGCAGAAACTCATGCAAATCGACTTCATCGATGTGGCGGAACAGGTCATCTCCGTGATCGACAAGATCGTGGACGACTGCGCCTTGCAGGTGCTGCAGGCGAACGGCCTGATGGCGATTTTGCAGTTTCTGGATTTTTTCCACATCAGCCTGCAGCGGAAAGCGGTGTCGTCCGCGAGTAAGATGCTGGGCGCGCTGTCCGTCTTGCTGTTGAATCAGGAGCAGGCGGCCGCGAAAAGTGCGGCTAATGCGAAAGGAGGCGCCGGCGGAGGGTCAAGCGCCTCGTCGCTCGGAGGTGGTGCGGTTTCGAGTGGCGAAATGAGCAGCACCCAGCTGAAGAAGACGTTCGAGGACCAGGTGCGCCCGGTGTTACCGCAACTCTCGTCGTTACTTACGCATCCGGACGCGCAAGTGACCACGACCGTTTGTGAGTGCTGGCGGAAGGTCTTGGAGGCGTTGCTTTCTCTGTCCGCGGTGGAAAGCAGCCGGGCGGCGATTTTGGCGGGAGGGTCTTCAAAGGTATAGAAAAGGTGGAATGATTTGTTCTTTTCCTGTCGGCACCACATGAAAATAATGCCCGAAGTCGTGAAAATTAAGCTGCAATTTTGAACAACAAGATCAACTCTTTCCTAGTTCTTGCTGCAGCAAAATGCGTTTCTGTTCATTTTTCCGTATTGTAACAGGCGCCCATCGCAGCTGCACTCGAGTCCGACGACCAGTCCACACTCGAAGAGATTTGTCCGACTAGCGTGATTGAGAATTTTCTGCAACTGATCGAGAAATCGAATTACGCGGTGAACTCCTCCGGGGCGGACATTCTCTACATTCTCTCCATGCTGGTGCACCAGTCCGTTTCCAGTACCAAGGCGGCCTTCGATATGGCGATCGAGAAGGTTCTGAAGAAAGTACTAATTCAGACGAACGAGTTCTCGCTCCAATCCGGCAGCGCGGAGATGAAACTGGCCGCACTCGGCCTGATCACCAGTCTGTTGCCCAGCGTCAGCTACGAGTACTTCGGCCCGGGGAAGGTGGTTGCGGGGGACAAAGACGCGACCCTGTCGCCGAACAAGTCGGTTTCCAACAGCAGTGGCGGAAAGCTGATCGAGTACGGGAAGTCGCTCACCTCGTTTTTCTTCCGAAATAACAACGGGAACAAAGACAGCACGGAGAACACCGCGGACGGAAAGAAAAGCGGGAAAAACAGTCCGAATAATTCTCTGCAAGAGAAGGCTGTATCTGGTGCAGCAGGTGGATCATCATCGTCCGCTGTAGGTGCCAGCAGTACGGCCTTGACAACAACCACCTCCGGAAATAACAATCAGGGCGAGAAGAATTTGACCACATCTTCAGAGGCGGGGGGTGAAGGGGAAAAAAACATTGCCGGGCAAAATGTCCGAAGAGTTGAGTTTCAGATCGTGCGGTCGAAGCAGCAGCGGCGGATCGATTTCTTCACGGAGAACGGGTTTGCGAACCTGAAAAAGCTCTCCGAGGCGGTCTTGCCGGATGTGTTGGCGTTGCACGCTTCCGCGGGTTCTGCGGTGACGCGCGCGATGAGCTGGAATTGCCTCTTGCCGATCGTTTTGCTGTACAGCGCGAAAGCGAATGAAACGGCAGGGGAACATCAAGTAGGAGAACAGAGAGACCACTTTGGGCTGTATTTGCAGAAGAATATCGATGTGATGCAGCTGTACAGCACCTCGTCGGAGTCAAGCTACCTGGCTTGGCTGATTCTCGTGGAAGCGCTGTATATCACACCTACAAGGGAGAAGAAAGACGCGTCCGTGTCTGACATCCAGCAAGCAACGGCGCTCTACTCTTCTCCCGGCTCCGCACCGGAAAAAATCGAACAGTTACTGCGCAGCGGGATTTTCAGTGTCGTGCAGGAGAATTACGCAAAATTACAGTCCAGTAGTTCATCTGCTTCTGACCGCGGCCTCCTGGATGCGGAACTCCAGATGGCGCCGCCGTCGACCCTCCGCGACCTGATCCAGCTGGTATCGACGAACATTCTGACTTTTACGGTTTCCACTACCTCGACGGCCACTGGAGCGGTGCAAGACTTGTCTTCGATGAAAATCGCGGCGAATCACCTGAACAACTGCGCTGCCATGATCATCGCTGGCCTGCTGGACGCCGGCGAGTACGAGAAAGCCTTCCGGGGCTTGGGATCCGCGATCGCGGAGAACGAGATTGTGGCCAACGAGGTTTTGGAAGTGATTCTGCCGAAACTGTTGCCCATCTTGCAATTTGATAGCAACACATCTGCTGCTTCGGGCGGGGGCGCTGCATTTTTCGGGGGCGGGGTTCAAGATAATGGGACGATCATGTTGAACAGCAGCGAGAAATCCTCGTCCTACATGGCGGAGCACATGGCGAAGCTGCGACTGTTTTTGCAGAACGTGTTTGAAAAAAATCACGTGTCCACTTCCTCAACCGGGAACGCAACCACTGCAGTGTCATCGTCCGAAACCGCGTTGCTGCAGCTCAAGCGATTTTTCGCGTTGTGCTTGAACAATTTGACGCCGAATCTGGTGGAAACTCTGCCCATCCACCTGTTCCCCTCCAAGCCGCCGACCGCATTGCTGGAAATCCTTGCCAGCAATGCCGCTGGTAGTAGCGGAAGTGCAGCTCCGGCCGGGAAGACCACCGCGGCGGGAGGGCAGTCTTCCGCGGCTGCCAGCAGTGCTCTGGCCGCGACCGGAGCAGGGGGAGCAGCAACGGCGTCGCGCGCGGAGACGGATTTTTTGTCGCACCTGTCCGGAAAGTTGCCGCCGGAGTTGCATTCCAGGCTGCTGCAGAAGTACGGTGCCTTGGAAGACGCTTTGGAGTCCGCGTTCTCGTCCGCCAGTGGGTCCGCGTCGTACTACGGCGGTGGCTCCAGCTTTGGTTTGTTCGGTGGGTCGGGCTACGGCGGAGCGTCGCGGCAGGTGGCGAAACCGAGCAGCAACCCGTTACCGCCCCACCTGCGCCCCATCGCGGGGTGCGAGTCTTTCTCTCTGTTGTCTGAGAATGTGAAGCAACTATCGAAGCCCGTGAAAATCCGCTTGATGTGTGCGAAGCCAGAGAAAACCGAGAAAGAGGCTGCTGCGGCGAAAGACAAAAGTGCTTTAGCGGTGGCCTCCTCAGCTACTGTTGCGAAAGATGGCGATGAGAAGGAAGACAACAAGAAAACTGTTGCCGCTGCTGGTGCGCCGGGAGACAAAACTTCTGCAGAGATGAAAACTTCCGCAGACGCAAAGACCGCTGGGTCCTCGTTACTGGATGCCAGTTCTACTTCTAAGCCGTCCACCAATGCCAAGTCTATTTTCGCGGCCGCGTATGAGGCTGAACGCGAGCGGGACAGGGCAAACCGCGACAAGGCGGAGATGCTACTGGTCGAGCCATTGGCCCACGTTGGCAGCATTATCGACTATGTGCGGGACCGGCACCTGGGCGGGAGCCATTCGTACGGTGGTGTTGCTGGGACCGGTACAGACAAGCAGGTCATCGTTTACAATGCCAATGGGGAGGAGCTGCAGTCGGATATGAGCATTGTTCGTGCACTGACGGAAGCAAGCCTGACGAAGAAAGTGTCTGTAGCCAGCACGTCAAATAGTGCCAGAAGCAACACCAAAAATGACCCCGCGATGTACCCGTACCAGGCGGATGTGTTCTTGGCCCAGGGCGTTTCCCGGCCGGAGAAGTTCCGCAGGATTGGGGAACTAGCCGCGGAAGCCGCAGAGGTAGATACCGCGGGTGGCGCTGAAATAAATGCGCAAACACGACCCCCAGCGGTTCTGACCAACACGCAGATGGCGAAAATGCGCATCAAGGATGCGCCGACGATTTTCACGATTCCAAATCTTGGCGGCAAGCTGGGTGAGTTCGACCGGTTTTGCGTCAGCGGGAAAGATTGCGTATTTGCCGCGAGCAGCTTCATGGAGAAGAGCAACCCAAACAGTACCTGGGGAACGGTTCTGTACTACGAAATCGCGACCGCGGAGAAAAAAGCAGACACTTCTGCAGACGACGACCGCCCGGGCTCGAGCACGAAGGAAGAGCTGATCAAGCAGGAGCTTCTGAAGGCAGCAGCTGCCGCTTCTTCTACGATCCACCTACCCGACCCGCAGTTCAGCTCGGCGGCCTTCGCCACCACTGCTGCTGCGAAGAACCCGACGGGGCTCACGCTCGCGCCCTTCGACCCCGCTGCGCACAACACGTCCGCCACGGCGCAGACCGGTGGAAGCAAGGCGAAGAAGGGCGGTGCGAAAGACAACTCGAAGAAAGGCGCGGCCGCAAAGCAGTTGAAGAAGGAGGACAGCGAGGGGAATTTGTACGCGGCGTTTCTGCAGAAATCCCCCCTCTCCGAGTCCGATGCCAACCGCATGAACAGCCCGCCCGCGACCGCTCTCGACAGCGGAAGTAGTCCAGAAATGGGTTTCGCGCAGCCGAAGGCGAGCGCCGGCACGTTTGGCGCTACGACGAGCAGTTCGAGCGCTGCGTTTTTGAAGACCTTCGGGGCGGAGCACCACGCCGCGGTCGCGGAAAAATCGCTGCAGACCAGTAAGCCGCTGCTTTCCACACTATCCTCCTCCGCATCAAGCAGCTTTGCCAGCTTAAAAGCCGACTGGCTGGAAGGAAATAGTGCCAACGAAGGGGGTAAAAAAGATGACAATGTTGACACGAAGAATCAAGCACCGGGTCGTGGCGACTCGTCGGCAGAGGCGAAAGCTGCTCTGGCTTCGTACGACGCGAATGTGAGTGCAGCGCTGTTTGGGTCGAGCGCGACGTCGTCCAGCGTCGCAGCGGCCGGTGCTGCTGCTGCTAGCACATTTGGCAAGGATCGTCAAATAGACTCGGCCTCCGGCGCGTCAGCTGCCAAAGAAAAAGTTCCAGCAATGTCGTCCGCGGACTCCCTACTGGCCTACACGGGGAAAACCGCTGCAGCCGCGACCAAAGCGCACCGAGATCATGCGGGTGCAACTTCGAGTTCAAAAGACAAGCACAAACTCTCGCACAAGATCGATCGCGACGTGCCCAGCTACGGGGAGCCGTTTGTGTGCGAGTCGGAGCTCGACCGGCTGGCGCTGCTGATCCGGTTTTCGCATTTGTCGCTGAAATCCATGAGCCGGGACGCGATTTGCAAGGTGGAAAAGTTCTCCGTGCCGGTCAAGGTGAGTGCATCCTCCTCTTCGAGTAGTGGGGCCGCTAAGGAGAAACAAGGAGCCGCTTCGTGCTCTTCGAAGGCGGCAGCGAGTAGCGCGGAAAATTTCTACAAACAGCACTCCTCTTCGAGCTCGGCATCCAGCAGTGCCAAATTGATGCAACAGTTTTCCGACGAGTTACCGAGCGTGCCGAGTGCATCGTCCTCCTCCTCCGCGCTTGGATCTTTCGAGAGTGTGGCGAAACAGAAATCCGCATTCATCTCGAGCACGAAGACCAGTTCCTTCAACTCTGGTGCGGCTTCCGCCTTGGAAAGCAACAGTTTACAGCTACAACAACGTCGCCTCATTTTCGCAAATACGGGCTTGACGGAGGCGGAAATGCAAAACCAGCTGGGTGCTTCTAGTCATCTCTCCTCCGGTCCTACACCCGCCGGAGCAGGCGCCGGATTAGTTGCGACGTCCGATGCAGTGGGAGCAATAAACCAGTTCGCACAACAAGAGCAGGCTGCGTCTCTGGTACCGGAGTTTGAGCAAATCATCGTCCCTGACGCGAAGTTGCGGTCGCTACTTGAGTTCCTCGCTATTCTGTACCACATTGGAGAGTACTACGAGCGACTCGCCGTGATGCAGGTGTGGGAATCGACCAATGGGCTGAGTGTGCAGAATCTGTTCAACACGAACGTGCACTTTCTGGAGAAGCTCGAATCGGATTGCTTGACGACGCACGCCTTGAAGCAGCTGCACGATCCGGTGTCGGTCGCTAGTCGGTGTTGCGCGAAATGGCTCATGGTAGTAGCGAACCGGAATAATTTCCTGTTCTCCAAGCCGGCCAAGAAGGCCCTTCACCAGGGCATGTGCTTAGGTAAATAATTGTGCTGCGTTTGTTCTTTTAAGATCTGACCCTGTGTTCCTTTAGATTTCTTCGGAAAATTGATACTTTTGGTGACCTCATGCGCACGCGCATGTATCATGCGGAACACCGTGGTGTTGAGGCCGCGCAGTAGCGCGTCAACAGGCATTGCCGCGCCGTCCTCTGTTTTGTTTGCAGATCCGGAGAAACATTCATGCATTGTGATTGCAATGAAGGAGCTGCCCGTGTTTGACCACACTATTTAAAAAGATAAAAGCATGCGTGCATCGTGGTGCAGTAGCATGCGTGCTGTAGGATGCAGCATGAGTGCTGTAGTGCAGCTTGTGTTTGACCACGTTGCTCAGAAATGCAGTATGCGTGCTCTTGAGCAGTTCGTGTTTGACCACGCTGATTGAGAATAAGGCATGCATTCTGTGAAGGAGCTTGTGTGTTGACCACGCGTGCAAGAATGCAGCGTGCGTGCGTCAGAGTGCAGCAGTTCAGGAAGAGGACGCAATGAAGTACAAAAAAGACACCTACTTCACACCACAGGTTTGTCGCGAGCCTTGAACTACGCCCAGAACCGCACGAGCCAGCAAAGCAATAACAATAACACCAGCAATAGCAACAATAACCGGATCCTTGCCCCGATTCCGCGGCAGAAGGTGAGAATACAGCGGCATCGAATGCTGGACTCCGCGATCAAGCTCATGTCGCTTTACAGCACGTCTCCGGCGATTCTGGAAGTCGAGTTTTCCAACGAAGTTGGCACAGGAAGCGGGCCGACGCTGGAATTCTACAGTACCGTGGTGGAGCTCTTGAAGCAGCCAGTAACCACAAGCAGGCATGGGAACAGCAACGCCGCGATTCTACCCATGGATAGCGATCCCGGTACTCTTTCGCTTCTTTCTTTTTGCTTTCAAGGTTTCTAGACAATATTAATGCAACTCGCATTCATACACGGCAAGGGCAACCGCCTCCATACCATCCTGCGTAAACTTCCCCACGATGCTGTGGTGTGAGCTACCTATAACGGACTTCTGAGCCAATATTGATTTCAAGGTTTCTAGAGAATATTAATGCAACTCGCATTTATACACGGCAACCCCAACCGCCTTCATACCATCCTGCGTAAACTATCCCACGATGCTGTGGTGTGCGGTACCCATAACGGACTTCTAAGCCAATATCAATGCTTGCATATGAACATTTCTAGATACTTGAAAGCAAAAAGAGAGAAGCGAAAGAGTCCGTTATGGGTAGCGCACACCGCAGCATCGTGGGAAAGTTTACACAGGAGGGTACGGAGAGGGTTGCCGTGTATCAATGCGAGTTGCAGTACTATGTAGAAAATCATCGAGTTCGATGTAGCCAGCCTGCGTGGAATTGCGGTACATTGAATCTTCTTCTTTATCAGATAACGTCCGTCCACCGCCTACCACGCAATCCCAGCCGAGTCAGGGGCAATCGCAGCCGGCTTCGTCCTCCAACGCCAAGCGAAGCTACGCAGTAAAGACCAACCTGTTCCGCACGGCGCATTCTTCCCCGTACCTGTTCCCGAACCCGCTCACGGCCCACGATGATAAGCAAGTGGCGCTTTCGTACTTCAAACTGCTTGGTCAGCTGGTAGGGAAGGCGCTCCTAGACCAGCGTTTGCTCGACCTGCCACTGCATCCGCTTTTTTGGCGTATGGTGAAGTCCACGGCAAACGAGCCTTCCATGTTTTCCACTAGCGACCTACGATTAATCGACCTGGAACTCTTTGAATCGCTGAACAAACTGCGCATCCTGAACGAGGACGATCTGGAGGATCTGGAGCTGACGTTTGTTTTACCTGGGTACGAAGGCTACTCCCTATGCGACGCCGGCGAAGACCGTTTGGTGACGAAGGTATTGACAAGAGCAGTTCTGTACTTTTAACGCCGGGTCATGTTGAAAATGGATCTATCCGTGCCATCACGACCGGGAAGACTTCTGCATCCGTCATGCTTGTAAGATCAGCCATGCATATCAGCCATGCATGAGCATGCTGTTTTAGCAATCATGTTGATAGAGTGACTGAAGCATGACGCATGCTGGTTACGCGGCTTCAGGCTGCTGGAGCCCGCGTGCGTTCTTGCATTGCCACCGTTGGTATCGTGAGATTCGCTTTGCCATGTTGTTTTCCTAAAGAACTACTTCTGTGATTGGAATCACGTGGTTTGCTGCTAATTATAAATGAAGAGTATACGGCAGGCGCGGTTTGCATAGTTTTGCCATGAAGTTCACGCTGCAGAAATTTTCGGCCGTTTGTGCGAGTAGAAATTTTCAGCATGCCCTCCGCACCAGAGCGCAAACGTTCCAAGCTCTGCACTAGCTTGAACGCATGCCATACCGCCCGCAAATTTGAAGGTGTATGATACTAGACACCGGCGCCATACCCGCGCAAAAGGATTCGGATTCAAAAAGGCTTGCTAGGACGAATCCGCGTCCCACGTGAAAGACCACATCCTGGAAGTGGGATTCGGTTTTGCTCGGTGACCCGCCATCCCGTGCGCGTTAAAGTTCTCTGACCGAATCGGCGGCTGTTTTTGTTTGTTTATGCAAGCATCTTCATGGCAGCTGGTCATCGTGAAAGTAGGAGCGTTACGAAGCTTTTACCTTTCGCCGCCCCAATGCGAAGTTGTCTGTACCAAGTCGCGAATAGCGCGCTAGTAGTGAACATTTTGAAACTAAAGGCACATGCATCGTTTGCGGCTTCTCATCACTGTACAGCTTCGCAAGGTGGAATTCAATCCACGGTTCAGCTTCTTTCATCTTTTTGTTTTGTTGTAAAAGGTAATGGCCTTTTTTGTTTGAATATGAATTGCAACGAAAATCCAAATCTCCGCAGGCCAACCTGTCCGAGTACATTTCCCTCGTTGCCTACCACGTGTTGTACGGGTCGATCCGGCAGGTTATCCTGGAGTTTCGGCAAGCCTTTCTAACCATTCACACGGTGGAGTCCCTGCGGATTTTCAGCGAGCACGAGCTCTCTCAGCTGATCGTGGGCGCCAGCAGCCGCGACAACGAATTTTGGACGCTGGAGCACCTGACCAAGCACATTATACCCGCGCACGGGTTTACAAGGGAGTCCAGTACCTACGCTGACCTGCTCACCTTTCTCACTGAGCTCTCCTTCGAGAAGCGAAAACTGTTTCTTTCCTTCGTCACGGGCGCGCACTCTTTGCCCGTGGGAGGGTTCGCGGGCTTGAAGCCGCAGCTGCAGGTGGTGAAAAAGGAGGAGTCGAGTCCGGACCTCTTTCTGCCTTCCGTGATGACCTGTGCGAATTACCTGAAGATGCCGCAATACTCCACCCCGGAAATTTTGGAAAAGAAGATGCTGCAAGCGATTTCGGGAGACGGCCAGTCGTTCCTACTTTCGTAGGGGAGCGCAGCTTCACTTCTATGTTTGCGGTCCACTAGTGTTTGTCTCATGCCGCTAGAGCTGCTGATTTTCATACACTTCGTAGCGAGAAGCACTAGCAAAGGAAACAAGTAATAGCTAAACACAACAAGAAACTTGGACCAGGTTTTCTCCTACAAGTGTTTTTTTCAACTTTACTTCAACCCAGGCGAGTTGAAACGAAAATACATAGGAAAAATAACACGAGGCTCTTTTTTCAGGCTACATGCGAGTCTGAAAAACTAGTTCAAATAAAGCGAGGACAAGAAGTTTTTGACATTCGCAAAAAGATACATTCCCTGGTTATGGGCTTTTCGAAAAAACTCATTCTGTAATAAGCACGTGTAATCCTGTACTTCAACGAAAGCGACAACTGGGCTACACTTTTTTTATGCGGTACCCACACCAATTACGAGTTTTGTGCAGCAAACGTGAACTATGTGCAAGTCCCTGTTTTTGTTTGTGTTGTTGCTTGATGCGTTATTTTGATGCGGTTGGGTTTTGCATGAAGTGAAGCGGGATATCATTTTAGCCATGTTGTTGATCCTTCTGGAAGCGTCGTCCGGATGACATTGTGTAGTTTATTGTGCAGATGAATTCGCAGTAGAGGCTTGACATCTTGCATTTTCTTTCTTGGTGGAACAGCAACAGCGTTGAGTTCGTCGTTGAAAGATTGCGTCTATGTCCTCTTGCGTGTTTGTGTTTGTTCGTTTGCCTAGGCTTTAATGTTTTAGTAAAGTTGAACTGTCTCTAACTCTATAACTGCGCATCGTACCTCCATCTTCGTCGTCCTGGCGTCCATCTTTGTTCGTACAAATTGCAAAAGATCAGGTTGTTCAAATTCGTGCTTCAAAAGTGTCGTTCGCTCTGTAAAGACCCAACGTCTTGGTGGGTACTACTTTTCGTACGAATCGTTAATCGTCCGCATCGTGCTTTTCAACGTGTCGAAGATCAAGTTACCACTCATATTTTTACGGGAATGATGGCTGTAGTTGCTGCTATGTACGGAAGTCTTCACACACGACGTTTTCTCACCAATTTCCACCACGCCAAGCAGAATCTACCAACTGATACAAATTTCCACTTCACAAGTAACTATATTCAGAACAAGCAACTTAACTAACCGCGAACTTCAACTACGTAATTTTTCAGCATACGAGTCATCATCATTAAATTTTTCAGCATACGAGTCATCATCATTATACTAGTAAATTTCATTTAACAGTAAAAACTTGAACTTCTGCTTCTCCAGGATGGTGCAGGAATTCCGTATTGCAGGGGAGGATGAGACCGAAGCGCCTGGCCTGTTAGGACTACTGATGAAGGCGGAGAGCAAGGAAATGAAGGAGGTGTTCATTTTCGACATGTCGGACTCAGAGGACGTGCATGAGGCTATGGGTACTATTCACTTTCTATCTATTTTCTTGGATTATTTGCGTTTCACTTTCAAAAAAGAAACTTATTGAAGGAATCGATCCCGCTTTTTCATATTCAAAATCAACATCACAGGTGAGAACGACGAGTACTGTCCGGATTGGGCATTTTACGAGACGAACGATGAACGGCCTGCTCCCGGTACAGTGTCCCTGCCGGAAAACTGGTTCCAAATGTCCTCCTGGTTCCTGCACATTTCTACGGACGGGCAAAGTCTTGTAATCATCGTCGTGATCATGCAGCAGTGCCAGTGGAGCGGTGGATTTTTTTCTCTGACGACAATTATCTCACTCATGGTCTGCAGCAAGCCAGACTTCGAAGCTCACGCGCTCGCCAGCGTTTCTCATTCTGTTCCCTGTCCGTGGATGCACTGCAGTCGTTTGCGGAAGCAGCCACCAGCGTTGGTGTGGGATAAAGGTATTTTTCGCGATTTCTTTTGGTTTTTTTTCTATGTTTGCTGAGCCGCGTGCCCGCAGTCGACACGAGAAGTCTTGATCGCACCCTGAAAAAACTTCAAATCTAAAACCAACAACAGGGGCGGGCAAGGGTGCCACGGCGAGCGAAATGATTCAGATGAAGATGCCAGGCAACGAAATTGTGTCCGAGGGTGGAAGTACTCCGCCAGACCTCATGCATTTCTATGGTTTAACCAAAGCCGCAGCTTCTTACCAGGTGAAAGTGCTGATCTGGAGAGCCTGCCTTTTCCTCTACTTCACTCTGTTTGTGTCATTTTTTGTTGAAGAGATCGCACCACTTTCATTCTCGCAGCATACACGCACGCGTACAGTAGCTACCACGTTACAGTAAAGTCCATGTTTCTGTCTGGTTGTACACCCTGAACTGATCAGCCGGGATTTTCGATGTTGTTTCTTCGTATTGTCATGTCGCAACGAGTTGCAATTTTAGCTCTCCGCCTGCTTCTTGCGGTCCGCTGCTCTGGAGAATTTGTCGAGTTGTATTCAGCATAATTATTATGGCTAGAAGGCTCATCCTTGCCAAGAACAAACAGATCGTTCGCATGTTGCAAGTATGACCTTGCTGTGGGCTTCTCGTTTTCGTCGTGCTCCTTCATGTTCAAAGTGCACGCGCAATACTTTCGTGATAGGATATGTCAACTTCATCCTCGTCGTAGTCGTTCTTCGTGGCTAAGATAGTCATCCGTTCATCGTTCTTTTGTTGCGTTTTCGTTCTTTCTTGCTCGTGCAGACACCGTGCATTCTTTCGTACACATTTTCTTCCTCGTCCGTCATAGAAGCATGTAGTATGCTAATAGAATCCTTCTTGTGCGTCGTCCTATTGATAAGCATCACATGATTGAATTTATCTAATTCAGGAAACTATTTACACAAACCAAATTTTCACCCTCTCACTTTCTTACTACGGTAAAACGACTACCACCGTCGCCAGCATTCGCAGCGTCATTGCAATTTTAAAACCTGAAACAACAAAGAGAAGATGTCGATCGAATATAGTAGTTGTGTCGGGAAAGAGGAGGAAGAGGCGTGGGGATATAAGTGTAAAGTCCTGGAGAACCTGGTGGTCGCGAAGGAGGTAGTCAACCAGAAGCTCAGTGAAGACGTGACTAAATTGCGTCGAAAAGTGCTTGTTTCGGCTATGAAGGTGGAGTTGCTGTTAAAGCAGAAATTGAAAAGCCACACTGTGGAAAAAGCCCCGCAATCGAAGGACACTGGGTCTACGAGTGGTGGTTCATTAGACCACGAGAGCGGCGGCTCTATGTCAGATACTGAGTCAGAGGGTGTTTCTGCGGCCGGGTTTACTTCGCGCGGGCTGGGGCGAACCTGCTGTTCGGATGTTACAATTTTGCCTGAGGCGAACGAGTCCACCACACACACCACGTCCACGCTTCGGTTGCTTGCCCGCAGCAGCACCTCCTCCTGGGAAGTTTTGCCGCGGGCAGGAGCCACTACGCTGGAGCACGCTTGCGGAGCTACATCTTGCCTATCGGGTAGTAAGAATTATGCGGCCACTGCTGAACAGAAAGATGGAGCTGAAGCGGGCGGAAAGCTGGTTGAACTTGAAGCGAAGGAAGGAAAAAATGAGTCCGAAAAGAACGCGACAATGCCATCGGTTGGCGGTAAGGGGAAAGGCAAGTGCGCCGGACCCATTGCGGGCAAGGGAAAGGGCAAAGGGCCGGCCGTCGGTGGCAAAGGAGCAGCCGCACCTGCGGGGAAAGGGGGACGACACCTCCCGGGGAAAAAGACGGAACGAAAATTTCGCAAACCAGCGCTCAACCGAAGGGGAACGACGGTCAGTTTGTTTTATGACGCCAAGTACTTGCCCGTGGAAGACGAAGATTGTGGCAAGAGCGAGACAAAGGCGGCCACCGTCTGGGATACAGCCGTTGAACAAGAAATTTCTGCCGATACAATACAAGATATGTTCTCTACTGCCACAGGTGGGATGAAAAGCACGAACAAAGCCAGCGAGCAGGCGGCTGTTGACGAGAAGGCTGACCTCTCGAGTACGAGTTGTGCGACGAAAAACCCAGTCACGTCCTCTCTTGCGGAGAGACCAGAGAGCGCAGTGCGCAGGTTCGAGTTTTTCTCCAAAGACGAAGTTATGCGAATCGGGGTGGGCAAGCGCAACCTACCAGAGGGGCGGGAAGCGCTGGGTGAGGCGATGAGGACCTTGCAGGGGATGAACCTGGAACAACTGGAGGCGCTGAAAAAACTTCTTCCGACAGAGGAGCGCATGACGGAGCTTCGGCAAAGCCTGAAGGAAAACCAGGAGGAGGCGGCAAAGCAAGGGCAAACGCTGAAGATTGGGAGGGTTGCGCGATTTTGCTTGGATCTCTTCGAGATCGACGAGCTCAGGGAGCGGCTCGATGTCTGGATGTTGCTGCTCGAGTTTGACACAAAAAGGACCGAAATCGCAAATCACTTGCAGCTAGTCGAGGACGCGAGCCGGTGGGTCCGTGGTGAAAAAGCTGTGGCGAAACTCCTGCACGGTATCGTCCAGATTGGCAATGCGCTTAACGTAGGGGCGAAAGCGAGGGAGCGAGCCGATGGGTTCGGCCTGGACATCTTGGCAAACGCAAAGCTGGAAGCTGTGAAGCCCACCAACGGCGGCGTCCTTCGCGACGTCCCGCGATTTTTCGCAGAGCACGCACCCAACAAAGGGGACCTGCCGCCGGCAAGAAATTTAGTGGACATCATTGTGATGGCACAGAATCACACGGACTGCCGGAGGGTGTGTGCGGAGGGAAAGATCCAGTTGGTAAAAGTTGCCGCAGGGATGGGTGCGGTTGAAATGGCGCGGCGAGCTGCACTGCTCAAGGCCGAGGTGGAAAGCCGGCTAGCGTTTATCAACAAAAAAGAAGTAGCACGTGGCTCCGGTGCGGCAGGTGATAGCGTGAGTATCTCGGGGCTGGCAGCCAGCAAGCACTTCTTCGAAACCGAAGCTTTACCTCAGTGCGAAGCGCTGGTGAAAAAAAACCAAGAGGTGGAAAAAGATTTTGCGGCAACACAGGAGTACTTTCTAGACAAGATTCGTGACTACAAGGACTTCTTCGGCATCTTCACCCAATTCCTGGAATCTGTGCGAAAGAGCTATGACCACTGCAAGCCGCTGATAGACGAGATCGAACGAAAAAAGGCGAGAAACTACAAGTAGATTTTGTCGTCGCGCGGTGGTGGTTGAGCCGGCATTTCTTTCCGTTACAGCCAGAAAAAGCAACTGAAGCGTTGCGGTGCGGCTCCTGGCGGGACTAGGTGGCATCTTAAATGCACCACCAAAAATTCGCTGCAGAAAAATCCGTGTACAATATTCAGTTTTTTTCCGTCACTGTCACTCAGTTTTCATCTTTCTTGTTGAGCCAAACTGGGTCTCGACCGATGTTATCAACTTTCAGTAAACCACATGAGAATCACGCGTTTCCGAATGATTTTTTGTAGATTGTTTTCATTTATACGACCATTTTGAGGCTACCACGTCCAGTTTGAAGTGCAATTTTAATACGCTGAAAGATGCTACCTTTTTTGGGCAATTTGTTACAGTTTTTTCCATCATATCAAATGTCATATTCTCATACGAACGCATTTACAAGTTGCAGAACCTCCGTCTGGACGAACGGGAAGGTTTTTTTTTCTCTACACATTCAACCGCAAGCACCAACACACTTTCATGGTCAAGTACACATTCAACCGCAAGCACAAACATACAATCATGGTCAATAGCGTCAATATCCAATTCAATCTTTTCGAAAAAGAAGTAAAAGTAATTGCAAAGGGAAAGGTAAATTCTGAATAATGTTAAAACGGCTACCCCTACCCCTTCCTGATCCGAATCCCACCAGTGAACGAAATACCGTTCCCCTGAAATCCAAAAAGATACCGAAAACCAGAAATCAAAAGGCCCAGCAGACAGGGCGAGGAAGCGTGGACCTTTTCTTCCTCCGCGGACAGATGTAACTTGAAATTGGTAGAGTGGTTGGTTGCAGATATCAAGCACTGTAGTTGTACTTCATCTTGTACACACATCTTCGTACAGCGTAGATGAGAATATTATCCTGTACCGTCCAACAATCGTAGTTGTCGTTCCCAAGCCGGGCGCCAGTTTTCGTCAATTCGTTCTTACTCCCGCGTTTCGTTCAGTAAAAAGCGTGTTGTTTTCGTACTCTTGTGTCGTTCTTGCAACATCACATATTTCGTTCTTCTTCGTGCTGCAGGGAGTTCGTTTCCTGTCTTTTCACATCCCGAAACTTTCTAGTTCTGACCTATTTATTGTCTTTTCGGCCCTCTTCCCAAGGAAAATCAACAGGAAAAAGCGCTCAGCTTATCTGCCACTAGTGCATTCACCCCTTAAAAAAGCAACGAAATAAATTTACCTCACTTTTGGAAACAACTAAACTTTTCACTTTCCGCCGAATCGCTTAAGTAGATCTGCCCAACATGGTGTTTTCGCTCTTTTCTGAGAAAAAGTCAGAATGGTCCCCACCCACATGGGACTTGCACTCCTGGTTTCAGCCGGATGCTCATGGTGCGGGGCGGAAAAACAACTACTTCGACTTTTCTGCATGCTTGGACTGCTTTTTTCGCGACAAAACCGTGGTGCCGGAGGACGGAATGCCATACGAAATCACGAAGTTGAAGAAGAAGAAGCAGGTCCATCAACCGTCGGCCACGAATCCTCCAAACACGAAAATCACCTTTGTTAGCGAGGTGGTTGATGTGGAACCATCTGCGGTACTGGAATCCGGGACTTGTTTTTTCGAAGGAGAGGAGGAAGTCTATGCCGAGGAGCGTGCCGCCGGAGATTTCCAGTATGACTCGGAAGATGAATCCGCTACAGTGATTGCCCGACCGGCGTTGGAAATTCGGAACTATTTCCACGAATACGAAGCAGATGATTGTTGTGCGGAGGTTGGAGACGAGGATGATGGACGCGGCGTGCTACTGACATTGCTGAACAAAGAGGAAGGTATTGACAATCTGCTGCTACTTCCACTAGGGGCTAGAGTCATTTTTTCTTCATGGATGTAGAAAGTGATTCCTTTGCGAGCACTTGCAAATGAAATCCGAAAATGAAACCATCAATAAATCAGGGCATGAGGAAGGCGACCGCATGTCAGCTGCGACCACCACGGCCTCGGAGGAGGAACCGGAGGATTCGCAGGAGCCGCTTGTTTCTTCTGCCTCGCCATTGACCCCCGATTGTTCGTATGCACCGCAAGAGGAGGAGCAAGACCTTGTACTTGTTGCTACAGCTGATATGAAGCGAGACGGCGAAGAACTGGTACTTATTATTGTTACGTTTAGAAATCTACTGTTTGTCCAGCGTGTTGTGCGAATAGCAGAAGCCACAGTCGTGAACGATTTGATAGAACCAGAAAGCGGGAAGTGAAATTGAATTTGAAATTCTTGCCCAAAAATACCTCAGGTCTCTCCTGTCATGGCTGTGTTGGAAACGAGCGCTCGTCGTGGTGACCAAGACCAACAAACTTTCTTGGAATTTTCCTTCGCTTTCCTGTTTGTGGGCCAATCTAGTTCGAAGACCGCGGAGATTTTTCTCTTCCAGCACTCCAGCTTGAAGTTCGACTACACGCAATGGCTTGACAACAACATGTCCTCGCATTGCTTTGTCGCTCTGGGGGATGAGGGAAAGCTGGAACTCGTGCATCGCGTTTGCGTTGTCGAGTCTGCTCTACGCCTCTACTCTGCAGTACCCATTTTACCGTACGACACAACGCTGCCAGGAACCAACTCAAAATTGCGGTCTCTGGCGAATCCGGCAGATGAAACCAGCACTGAAAAACTTTTTTGGTGGACCTGCCTGTGCTTGAAGTTTCTCCTTGACCTACCATTTGTTGTTTCACACAACAGTTATTCCATTTCAGAAATTACCATGCAGCTATCCAGTTTCGAGCATTTTGCACATGTCGTTCAGTTTGTTTTCATGTTTCTCGTACGAGCGGTCGGTGTTTTCATTCTTATTCACGAGTATTCAAAGTAAGTACCAATTTCCCAAGCATGCACAGTACTGCTCTTTTTCGAATTTTTTTAAGTTACCCAAGTTACCAAGTAAATCAATATAGCGCAGCACGGCCCAGCCCCAGCGCAAGTACATTAGAGCTTGACGCTCCTCCCCCACTGAATTCGATTTTTACATGTGTGAAGGAGATTCACGCTGTGAAATATTTTGATTATCCCGAAGAGAAAAGAGCGAGGCCTTAGTTTGCTTGGACCTCAGTGCTTCGTCTTGGTTCTACGCAGTCAAGTAAGTCAAAGCCTGTGCATCGTTTCTAGTTCTTCTCGTCAAAGGCGAAGGTCTTCTTGTTGAATCTTCGTCCGGTTTCGAAAAAGCGATCGCGTCATCGTTCATCCTCGTGTGTCGTACTTACAAACAATGATTTTTCGTCCTCCGGAATTATCTTCGTGCCGTTCCTGCTTGAATCACATTTCATTCGTCCGCTAGTTCCGTTGAAGTTTCGTGCTACCTTTTGTGCGTGCTCAGGATCAAGTTGGATTTCGTCCGCATGAATCGTGCTGCTTCGCTTTCTGCGTTTTGGTCGTGCCTGTTTGCGTCACAAACTGTTTCTCTGCGTGCTGGTGCTGCTTTGTTTTGTGAGTCTGATTCTCTTGTTCGACGTTTTCTTGCAGTACTCTGACTCTCCAGTTCCTTTGTGACTATGGTCCAAAAACCTATTTATTAATCAACTTACAATCGATTTTTTTCAAAAACTATTTTTTTTTTCATCCGTGCAAGAAGAAATTTCATTTGTTTTCGCCAGACATGACGCTGAGTTCCCAGACGATCACGAAAATCTCCCGGGCGTTGAGCGGGCCCCTGAGGCACTGGCCCGGCATGCCAAGAGACGGAGCAGGCTGGGTGCCGCTGGCGGACGTCCGGGCGCGAGTGAGAGGCTTGCGGGGCGTAAGCTTGCGGGAGGTGGAGGAGGTGGTAGCGAGGGACTCGAAGCAAAGGTATGAGCTGTCTTTGTGCCGGACGAAGATTCGAGCAGTGCAGGGCCATTCAGATTTGGGCGTGGAAATCGTGCACGAAAGAATCACAAAAGCGGAGAAGCTGAAGTGCGACATTTTACACGGAACCAGCAGAGCCTCCTGGGAGAAGATCAAGACAAGTGGAAGACTCGATCGCATGTCGCGGAAACACGTGCATCTGGCAGCCGGCTGGGAAGCAGTGTCCGGGATGCGGAAGGGATCTGAGGTCGTTCTCCAGATCGACGTAAAAAAGTCCATGGAGAAGTACGGCCTGCAATTCTGGAAGTCGAAAAATGCGGTGATCCTCACCGGTGGACCGATTCCGCTAGACTGTGTGCGATGCATCCGGGGTGAAGAGGAAGCAACGGGTTTCAGTGAAGTAGACCACAAAGTCGAAAACCACTGGAAGGAAGAGGAAGAGGATCTGAGCGCCACTGCGTCGACAAGTAGCACCAGCAAGTTCGAACAAGGCATGTTCTCAAGTACCAGAATGGTGGAGGCCAAAACTGATGCGAGTGACAAGAACGTCGATAGCAAGAGCACCATTGCGTCGACAGATGACGAGGCCGTCGAAGGGACAGGAAATAGAACCCACCAGACTCAGAATTTTACACAAAGCGGTTATTACCAGTCCCCTGTCGTGTACCACAGTAACGGTTTCAATTACACCTACTACTACCACAATCACTTTGCCTACCATCAGCAAAATATCCGAAGCAACCAGCTAGTGATGCCGACTGCTGTGGCCTATGCAGAAAAGCTGGCGGAGAGAGAACAAGCGGCAAGGGAAACAGAGGAGCGGCGGCGGAGGCATCAATCAGCCGAATTACAGCGCGACAACATCCTGCGCAAGTTACAAAACTTCCAAAATCAAAAGAACTCATTCCAATTTCAGTAAAACCATGTAAAGTTCTGATCAGTTGTCACATGCAGTTTCAGTTTCGCAATTGTACACTTTGAGTTCATCCAAGAAAATTTCAAGCTGCAGTAAATGTACAGGTTTACATGAACTACGACTATTCGTGCTTTCCTATTTTTCAAGTTACCCAAGTTGCCAAGTAGTTTCAAGTTACCCAGTATATCAGTTTAGCACGCCACCCAGTACAAGTACATTAGAGCTTGACGCTCCCCCCAATGTGAGTTCGATTTTTGCCAGTATGAAGGGGATTCACAATGTGACCCATTTTGATTTTATCCCGAAGAAAGCGCTTAAGCTTCATGGATCTTGGAATATCCCAAAAGGTTCCATGGATCTCCGTGTTTCGTTTTGGTTCGACGCAATCAAGTAAGCCTGCGCATTGTAGTGTCTAGCTCTGCTCGTCAAATGCGAACAAACCTGTGTCGTGCACTCTTCGTCCCGCTTCTAAAAAGTGTCAGGTTCTTTCATTTTCAGCGCTAGTGTCGTCCTGCGTGACCCAACATATTTGCACATCGTACACAAAAATTTCATCGTCGTGCACTTTTTCGTCGTTCATAAAATTTCGTCGTCATCGTCCCCGTGTCGTTTTCCTCGTTCCCTGGTCACTGTGTAAACAAACTTGCACTCTTTACATTTTCATCTCCTACGGATCGTTCGCATGATGATTTGTTTGGTTTTTGTTTACCACTTCTCAGTTCCTCTCCTTTTGAGAATTCAAATTCTAAAGGCCTCGGCCTCCACGGTTTGAAACCAGTTGACTAACCAAAATCTGCTCTCAATTTCTCAAGCAGTTGTTGAAGAATCAATTTTTTCCCAGGAGCAACCGCAAGCCACTTGATACAAGATGTGTCTGCAAAGCAAGGTTGTCGAGATCATCGATCTCGAGGCGCGGTCCCGAGGCGTTCCCATGCAGAAGTGTCCCTATGGGACTATTCCCGTGCCAGCGCATGTGGTGCAGTTTTCGATGGCCGATGAACAAAGTCCGGAACACAAAGACGGCGTCGAAATGTTGGCAGCGCAGGCACAAAAGCTCGCCCGGATGTTGACACCGGAACAGGAATATGGGCGCGACGTCGCGACCATCGTGTTTTTCTCGGCGCTTCTCCTCTTCTGGCTAGTGGTTTGCGGAGTTGCCATGGCGATGGAGTTGGTGTTGTGGAATTTTTAGCTGCAGGCGGGTGATGACGACCTCATGACCTGGTACGCAGATGCCGCTGGCGACACCCTGTCCCGTTCTTGCGACTCGAATGTCAGTGCTCTCGATTGCTGGTACAGCGACGAGCTGGAGTCAACTGCGAGTGACGTCTCGGGAAGCACGCATGCCACGACGTGGACCAACGTCAGCCACGGGCGATGGCTCAAGCAGTAAAAGGAAGACCTCCAAGAACATAAGTATTCACAGCTAAAAAAGTGATGTTTCTCATGATTTTCTCTAAGCATCTTCACAGCACTCACCACACTTTCTCTACACATTACAGTTTCGCACAGCAAATATCTCTCCGCATAGTACAACACGTTTATTCACATCAGGTACCCGATCCTTTTGGTAGCCTCATGAAAGACAGATGCGCCCTTTTCGAATTTGTTTTTACACGCAAACAAGAACTACGCGAAAGCGTTTGCCTACCCATCATTTTCTCCTTGAGACCCAGAATATTCACCATACTTCTCCAGTGGAGACGGTCCTCATGCACGTGTACATAAGAGCCTCTGAAAGCATTCCACGCCTAACAAGGATGTTGCCACTAGCTGTATTTCTGATGTTTCAAGAATTCAAAAACCGCAAAGCCAAAAAACCCGCAAATCCAAAAAAATAAAACGACAAAAAGAACGTGGCCGTTGGGTTGTTGCCCCATTATGCAAAGATCAAGTTTCGTGTTCAAGACGACGCGACACGCGGTATGCTACATTCGAGATGAGAAGTAACGGAGCACAAGCAGCTAGAACCCTTACAATAGCCCGAGGCAGACGGAGAGCGCGACGTCCGTATTTTTCGAAAACCTGGAGTGATTTATGGGGTCAATTCCTAAATCCTTGAGCGGTCAAAGCCAATTGATTTGTTGAATATTTCATGAAGGTTAGTGTCTTTCGCCTCATGATGACCTACTCTGAAAGGATGGCGCGACCACCCCCGGGGGCAAGGTTAGCGGGAACGAAAGTGCTTCGCTGTGCCCCTCTTAGATGTGCCCCGAAATGTCATGAGGCCGCCGCCGTTTCTTCCTGTCCATGATGGAGGTTCTGACGGCAATGCGTCCGATCGGTATGCGGAGGACGAAGCGAAAGCTGCGGCGATGCTCGAGCGCAGGCAAGCGGTCTCCTACGGTTTGGACTGGCTTCGCCCGCAGCCGGCGCAGTTGAGCGACCTCTTCCAGATGCGCGAGCTGTTAGTCGGACCGACGACCGCGGCCGATGCATGGGTCAACGTCGAGAACCGGGTCGACGCAATCGAGACAAAGGCAGCGACTGCGCCGGCACTGCTAGCCCCGCGCATTGGCCCAACCGCCGCCCCGCCCAAAATAAATCGGGCCGCCGCGGCCCCAGCACAGTCGGGCGCCTGGGTGCCGCTGAGGGCCCTGCGCCAGGCAGGCCGCCCCCCGGCAGCCCCACGCGTGGGCCTCCCCTGCGTGAGGCAGCGCGCAGGCTTCTGCTGTTCGGCCAGCGGCCGGGCCGTGTCACACATTTGGCGGCCGGCGGGGCTGCCAGCGCGCGGCGTGTTAGTATAAGAAAGCTCTGCGCGCCTTTCGCGCCCCGCCGCGCGCAAAGGGGGCGGCCTAGGTCATCTGTGCAAGCACTCACATCCAAGCACCATTACACAGGAGGCTGCGTTTTCGTCTTCGTATCTTTTTCATGTTCCACGATCTTGAGAGAATTTTCAAGGCGATAATCATTTTCGTTCCAAGTGTCTCCGTCCCTGAAAGTCGTGCTTGATCGTTCAACTCCAATAGGTAGACATAAGTCGTCAAAAACGTGTTTTGCTCGTAGGTATCGCGTCCTCTCTCGTGCCAATGTCATCTCTGTTCGTCCAAGGAATCCACGCGTCTAGTTGGTCGTGCTGTTCAGTTTTTTGTTTGCGTCTTCGTGCAGTGCCTCGTGCCTCTCGTCGTGTTACCTTAGCCAATGTTTTCAAACTTTGACTCCAGGATACCAAGAAAAAGCTCAGTTTGGTCATTCCGAACCCAAAAAAATCTACTCAGAACCAGACACAATTTTTACTTTTTACAAATCACACTCAGGCTTCAAGAAATTTTATCCAACTACTACTCTTAATTTCTCAAGCAGTTGTTGAAGAATCAATTTTGCCCTGCAACCACAAGCCACTAGATACAAGATGTGTCTGCAAAGCAAGGTTGTCGAGATCATCGATCTTGAGGCGCACTCCCGAGGCGTTCCCATGCAGAAGTGTCCCTATGGGACTATTGCCGTGCCAGCGCATGTGGTGCAGTTTTCGATGGCCGATGAAAGCCCGGAACGCAAAGACGGCGTGGAAATGTTGGCAACGCAGGCACAAAAGCTCGCCCGGATGTTGACACCGGAGCAGGAATATGGGCGCGACGTCGCGACCATCGTGTTTTTCTCGGCGCTTCTCCTCGTCTGGCTAGTGGTCTGCGGAGTTGCCATGGCGATGGAGTTGGTGTTGTGGAATTTTCAGCTGCAGGCGGGTGATGACGACCTCATGACCTGGTACGAAGATGCCGCTGGCGACACCCTGTCCCGTTGCGACTCGAATGTCAGTGCTCTCGATTGCTGGTACACCGACGAGCTGGAGTCAACGGCGAGTGACGTCTCGGGAAGCACGACTACCACGACGTGGACGCACGTCAGCCACGGGCGATGGCTCAAGCAGTAAAAGGAAGACCTCCAAGAACATACTCACAGCTAAAAAAGTGATGTTTCTCTCATGATTTTCTCTAAACATCTTCACAGCACTCACCACGACACTTTCTCTCCACATTACAGTTTCGCACTGCAAATATCTGTTCGCAAAGTACAACACGTTTATTCATATCAGATACCCAACCCTTCTAGTAGCCTCATGAAAGACAGATGCGCCCTTTTCAAATTTTGTTTTATACGCAAACAAGAACTACGCGAAAGCGTTTGCCTACCATCATTTTCTCGTAGAGACCCAGAATAAATATTCACCAGATTACTTCTCCAGTGGAGCCAGTCCTGATGCATGTGTACATAAGAGGCTCGGAAAGCATTCTACGCCTAACAAGGATGTTGATTCTAAACCGAAAACTTGCAAACACAAAAAAAATACTAAATCAAACTCCCCGGCGTTGCGTCTGTCTGCTCCTATATAGGCTTAGCCTAGTCATCGAGGGCAAGCCGGATTTTTTTTTGTCTCGTCGGAACTGGTTGCTTTTGTTGAGTCTACAAGCGTCCCAAAGTGGTCAGAAACAATTCGTCCTTACACACAAACTTGCTGAAATAATGATCATGATAACAATTATTTTCGTCCGTGCGAGTCCGTCGTGCTCCCCTTCGTTCGTACCAGTGCGTCTTGTTTGAAAATCGTTCCTGTCAGGTTTTTGTCATCGTCCAGCTCGTTTCCGTTTCGTCACCTGAAATTTATTTTTTTTCTCGCGGAGCCGCTTTTGAAAAGCTGCTTTTACTTAGACACAAATGCACTTCTTCCACTATGCAGTGAAAACGCGAGTCTCACTGAGAACCTCCACTAAGTACAACTACTTATCAAACGCATCAAAACGAGATTGACCGTTTGTGTCCCCTACAGCTTCATCGAAAACTATATCCACTTCTTCAGTAGCGTCTGTAAAACTGACCTGCAGGAGCATCAACATGACTGTTTGTTCGAAGTGTGTTTTTCTGCCCATGTTGGAGGGGGAAAAAACCGTCGTATCGGAAACGCCCTACGGCAAGGGGATGCTTCCGCCGGCGGTCCAAGACACCCTGTTGGAGACGGACAGCGAGCCCGAAGCGGAGGAGGCTACCTTTCCCTCCGAGGAGAATCCGTCCCGCGTTTCCGCCGCTGCGCGCTACGCCGATGCCGCCGAATTCGCAGCCTGGCGGGCCCGTCGGTGCACGCTGAAATCTACCACGGAAGCCGTGTCGCTGACCGGTATGCAAGTAGCAGGACTGCTGTGCTCTTTCGTCCTCTTCATGGGCGTTTTCGTGTTTTTTGACGTGCTCAGCGCGTTTTTACCCTTTCTCTTCGACGGCGGACAGGATGGCGAGAATGAGTGGTACACAGCTGACACACCACGCGAGTCGTTCGGCGGTGCGACAGTTTTTTCCGTTTTTGACGACGAAGATGAAGGTTTTGATGACAATTTGTTCGATTGGTACGTGGAGGACGACGCACACCTGGCTGCAGCGATCCTCGAGCGCCAGCAATCTGCTTCGACCTGGATCCACGTGGGGCACGGCCGATGGGTCAAGGCAGAGAAGTAGTGCCAGCGTCTCGACGCGCGTCCGGGTACGGAAGGAATGAAAGTGCTCAGCTTCAGTTTCCAGAAAGAATTTTCCAGGTGGTACTTGGACTAAATCTGAGACGCCTGACGTTCCGCATTCTTGTCGTATTTGCTTCGCACAGAAATCTTGACTTCTCGCACTTTGTACAATATTACGCCGTCCGTGCCTACCCTGATTCCCAGTACTCACAGTTTTTTTGCACGAATAATTCTCCAGTTGTCATTTCATTTTCTCTCGACATTTAAAATGTTACCCGGGGTAAGTTTGCACAACTAGTAGGATAAATCAAAAATACACTTGGCTATTCCGACGGAGTACAATAAAACACAATCATATTTTATTCTCCTGCATGGAAAACAAAAACAAAAAAGGAAAGCGGAGTTGCAGCGCACGCTCACATGCCCGGTATTCTGTGGGTCAGTGTCGTCGTTCTCAATTTTCAGTCTCATGTCATGACGCGTTTCGGTGTTATCATTGGCGTTGCGTTTTTCTTGCACCCGTTCATGGATTTCTCCGCACAGATACATGAAGCAAAAAACTCGTACAAGTTGTTAACACACAGTTGTAGTGCAAGTTGAGAGAGGCCAAACGACTGGCAGAGAGCCGAGAGAGAAACTTGCGCGAACGAGGATGCGTGGACTGCCATCATTCTTTCACTTTCAATTTTACTTGCAATTTCATTCTTCACCTTCTAGCGTTCAAATTGCGTGTCTACTGACTCTACCAGCTTGACTGCCACTACGAAAAGTAAAACAAACCCCGATATCTATATCAAGATGTTCGAGTGCACCAGGAAGGTCTACTCGGATCAGCCAATATCTGCCGCCTCTGCGAAGGTGCCTGGGACACCGGAAGTAAGCAAATGACAGCACCATGGGGCCGAGAAGGCGTATTTCCGGAGCGGCCAGGGTACGGCCATTGGAAGCCGCTGAAAGCGGGAAAAATTTTGCCGGTACGGATAGGCGAGCAGACATTCTGTTTCGCTGTCGATAACACATAGTGACTTCGGTAGAAATAGAAAGTCCTCCTACGGAGCCGCGTCGATTTTGAAAGACAACGCGGGCACCGCGACGCTCAGCGCCGCGCAGCGTGCTAAGCAGAGCGCTTCCTTTGCGGCGAAGTTTTTCGACGGCGGCGGTGCCCGCGGGGGCGCTGCCTGCCCCCGGCATTCACTGCGGCCCCGCCCCGCTTGCTAGCGGGCCGCTGTGGCCCGGGGGGGATTGGGGCCCTTGATGGCCGCGGAAGGCCTCGCGCCCGCCGCCCCCCCCCCCCGGCCGCCCCCCACGCGGGCCGCCCCTCCGCACCAGGCCGCGCAGACTCTTCTGCTTTTCGGCCAGCACGCAGCGTGTTAAGAGCATTCCGCGCGCCGTTCGCGCCCTGCCGCAGGCAAACGGGGCTGCCGGGCTCATTTGTGCAAACATGCCTACTTCCCAGTTGCCACTACACAGTGGGTTGCATTTTCGTCTTCGTATCTTTTTCATGTTCTACGATACGATAGAGGTCTGCGTGACGGTAATGCTATTCGCAAGGGTCTCTGTCCTTGAAAGTCGTGCTTGATCGTTCAACTCCAATAGCCAGACATAAGTCGTCAAAAACATGTTTTGCTCGTAGGTATTGCGTCCTCTCTCGTTCAAATGTCATCTCTGTTCGTCCAGGGAATCCACGCGTCTAATTGGTCGTGCGTTCAGTTTTTCGTTTGCGTCTTCGTGCAGTGCTTCGTGCTTCTCGTGTTACCTTAACCAATGCGTTCAAACTTCGACTCCAGTATACCAACAAAAAGCTCAGTTTGCTTTGGTCATTCCGAACCCAAAAAAACCTACTATTACTCAGAACTAAACACAATTGCTTTTACAGAACACATTAAATTTTCACTTGTTCGCAATAACCATTCGAGATTCAAGTTTCTTGTCAACTTGTTTCAGCATATACCAAAACAGTTTCAGGATGATGCCGTCACTGCTGGTCAATAAATGTGACGGGTTTATTTCCGCTTCCATGTTCGACGAGGAAGATATGTTTGAGGAATGGGGGTTGATGTACGAAGATGAGTACGGATCCGCGGACGAGTTCGCGCTTGACGACAAAGACACTTTCGACAGCCGTGCTGAGTGTGAAATTCTTGCCATGGAGTCCCCAAGTGATACGGTGGAAGAGATGGGTATTTTTTCTGCTCTTTGGTGATGTAGATGTACTAATGCTGTATGACTTGTTCTTAATAGCTTTTCGCTCCAGCTGCGAGGAGGTATTGAAGGTGCAGCGTGTTGGGCTTTCTACTGCCTTGGTTCAAGCAACTCTTCGTAAAATTGATCGCAGGTGACAACTCCGTTTTCTGTCCGGAGGTCGATTGGGAAGAGCTGACACGTTTTACGGCAGTGAAAGAACAGCTTGGGGGAACGAGCGATGTCAGTACCACGAATAGCGATGCTGAGAGCGAAACCGACGATGAAGTGGAGGGCTACGCGTATTGTTTGATTGTTTCGACGGTTGTTTTCGATGGTGTTTGATTGTTCCGACTTTTGCTAGTATGGAATTTCATGACAACGTCTGAGCGCTCCCTACCTTTTGAACCAAAGATGTATGAACATAACACACTACAGATATGTTCAAAAGAACCTCTCTTACGCCGGCGACAACCAGCCGTCGAGTGACACCCTACAGTATGCCTACCTCACTTCCGACGCGTATCCGATCGTGGAGGATACTTCGGGCCACAGCTACGACAACTGCCAGTTCCACACGCTTTCACGCGACCACTTCTTGTCTTGCATCAGAAAATTTTTTGCCAACATTTTCATCCTTTTCTACATGCTTCAGTTCTTTCTTTTCCTTTTTCACAAGCCGTTGTTCTCATAATTGTGATCTCTGAAAGTTCGACTACAGTACGTAGCTGAGTGGATAGGTGATACCTGCTCAGCTGACATTGAGTTGTAACAGAAATAGTAGCTCAAGCTCAGTTGCACAGTGGGAAATTTTGCTTTTCCATTTTTTTGCCATTGTTTTTTAGTACTTTTTGACTCATTGACTTTCCATGTTTCGTGCATTCGGACAACATTTTTTTCTATTGTTTTTGCTGCACCTGCAGTTGTAGAAAACAAATCTGGAACTTTTCCTACACATGCACAGCAGGGCATTCTGACTCATTGCCCTTCTTCTTCTGTTCAATACGCACTTTGCCCGTGACGCGCAGAAAAACGGGAGAGCAGTGAGATAAGCACGATAGCCATTAGTTGGGGCCGAGGCGTTGTCGAAAGAGATCTCCATCTTACAATGATGAAGCAGGAGTGAGCGCGCAATCGTGAAGTGTGAGCGTTTTGCCTACAGATGGAAGGAGAGTTGACTAGCAGTTGAGCAGCAGCTAGATTCTATCTCATTGATTTCATGCTCGGCACGGTTGAATATTTCATGAAGAAAAGAAAGCACTTTGCTTCGCCTCATCTGAAAGGGTTGCGCGACCAGCCCGCGGACCCATTTTAGCGAGAAAATGCTAGCGTGCCTACCTCTCTGCCTCCGGGAACGCTCCTCGTGAACGGGGCGCGGTTCTTCATCGAGCGCAGCGGTTGACCCGTCTCCAGTGAAGGGCGGAATGGCAGCAGAGCCACCTTGCGGCACGCAGTTGCAGTGTGTGAGGAAGGCCGGGAGTTTCTTCGTGACAAGAAGAAGACCATGAAAACCAAAGCTGCGGCGATGATGTGCGGCAGCGGTGCGGCGGCTTTTCGGCGCGTTTGGGTGTGGCCTTTGCCTGGGCTGCCCATAAAAGGGCGCGCGGAGAGCAACAGGCGCCAACGAGCGCCCCGCCCTTCCTGAACTCGAAAAAAAAGCAGAGCTGCGGCATCATGCAGAAAAGATTGCCGAAGATGCAACGTTTGCGGCACTGCTTGCAGACTATGGGCGGACTTTCGCGGACCGTGCAGCTCGCGAACACGCTGGGCGCGACTAATTCGCTGCAGCGCGCGGGCCCAGCGCCGGCCCCGCTTTCGCTTTCAATGTTGCGGCCCCTCCCGCGCGCCATCACCCGGCGGCGAGCGGTGCGGGGTGGCGCCGTGTCCCCGCGCGCCGACGGGCGCGCTTTTTGCTGGGGCCGTGCCGCGACCGCGCTGCCCCGGCCAGCCCGCGGACAAGGCCCCCGCGCTCCCAGGCGCGGCGGCATTCTGCCACACCGGCCGCCTCTGCCGCGCGCTCCTCTGTCGTGCCGCAGCCCGTCAGCCAGGGCCCTGTTCGGGCCATCCGTCTTTCCGCCAATAGCGCGCCGCATCACGACGACAAATCTCTGCGCGCCTGCTGCGCCCCACTCACTGCAGGCACCCGGGGCGGCTGACTTTGTTTGTGCAGACAATATTTCCCACGAAACGAGACCCAAAAAGCGAGGGACACGCTGCGCGTCCGTCTTCGTGTGTGTTCGATCTATTCTCATTCTTGGTCCTGACGCAAATGAAGTCAGAGTTGTTGACTATCGTTCGACGCGACGATGTCTCGTCTGGCGGTCTTCCTTCATCGTTCAAATTGTTCTCTTCCTGCTTCGTCCAAATAATTGCGTTACTATTTGTCCAAGAAATTTATGCATGTGTTTGGTGGTGCTCGCTCTCGCTTCCAATGTGTGGTTTGCGTCTTCGTCCTGTGCTTTTCGTGCAATCATAAAAAATGCGATATTCGTACACGTTTTCTTGTATGTAGTCGTGCACGGTATTGGCGTCGTCGTTTTTCGTTTAGAAGTCGTGCGCTGTACTATGTATTGTGTTTTAGTGTGTCTGTATCTGTGCCACCTCGCTTCTCGGACATTGGCAGCGATGGCATCGTCAATGGTAGTGGATTTCTAAACCAATAACGCAGGAATCAATACTCGTTGCCAAACTTAATACTTTAAACTCCTGTTTTCAATATTTACTGGTTTTAAATTCAACTCTTAAACTCCTGGCTTCAAATCAAAAAAAATCACAATGGGTAGAGTCATGTGCGTTTGCAATTGCAAAGAGGAGCAGGAGGCTCAGGAATACAAGAATCGGGTGTTTGAGATTCTCGTGATGGAAAAGGCGGAGGAAGTGAAGAAGTTGAGCGGGGTCGTTGCGGAGAAGGACCAGAAGATTCTCGCGTTGCAGAAAATCGTAAAACTCCAGCAGCAGGAAATCGATGAGGCGAAGAAAAAACTAGTCGCGGAACAACAATTCGAAGAGAAAACCCAAGAGCGGAAGGCAGAGACGATGGCTCAACAGAAGGCGCCGACGAAAATCGTGGAAATCGTGGCGGAAAAGGAGGCTCCCTTGTCGGATGCGGAGACGGAAGCAAGTGTTACCGACACCATTGTGATCCCAACCCCAGCAACTCCAGGAAAGGGCAAGGGGCCGACCGTTGGAAAAGGCAAAGGCAAGGGTCCGACCGTTGGAAAAGGCAAAGGCAAGGGCCCTACACCATCCACCACGAAGGGCAAAGGCAAGGGGGCAAAAGGAACCGCTAAGACGACCGCCGGGGAGCAGGAGGGTGGAGCTGAGCGGAAAAAGGGACAATACTTCAGGCAGCCCAAGATTATTGTGGACACCCCTGTGAAGAGTCTGAAATGGGAGGCGCGGCGTGTTCCGGAGGACAGCGCAACCGACAACATCTGGTTATCCCTGCGCAACGACCACCCGGAAGCATCCTTTGTGCTTGCAATTCAGAGTAGCTTTGCCGCTCGAGCGCCTGCGGTCAAGCCCGTCACGAACAAGTGCGTATCGAAAAAGAAGGGACCCGAAATTTTGTCGGCCGCACAGCTGCAGGAAGTCGGCTGCATGCTCGCGAAACTGCCCGAGCCCGCGCAACTCAGCACCTGCTTTCGAGATTTCTCGGGCCTGACGGGGGAACAGCTGGGCCGGCTCGTGAACGCCTTTCCACAAGCCGACATCATGAAAAAAGTCAACGAGGCGCTTGAGACCCACGGCATGGCGGCCCTGCGCAAGGAGGAGCAATGGGTGGCAGAGGCATTCGCGGCCGTGAAGGATCTTCATTTGAAGGGAAAAGTTTGGTTCGCAGTGGAGGAGTTTTCGCACGAGATGGACTGGGTGGCGATGAAGGTCCGGGTTTTGGTGGACGGCTGCGATTTCCTGCGGAACGACGAAACCGTCCGCGCCGTGCTGGGAAGTGTGGTCAGCGTCGGAAATGTGCTTAACGCGGGAGATGCAGCGGGGGAGCGAGCGGACGGCTTTGGCCTTGGGCTGTTGCAGAGCGGACTGTTGACGTCCGTGAAGGCAACGGAGGGGGGCACGAATGGGGTGCGCCACGTGCTGGATTTCGCGGTAAGCAGCGTCGGGCCCGGACGTGTGGCGGAGGTGGCAGAGAAGAGTCAGCAATTGCTGCGGGCGGCGGCTAAGCTGGAACTCAAGGATGTGGAGCTGGAGTTAGATAAGCTGGGCACCAAAAACAGAAACATTGCGAAGCAAGGAAAGGAGCTGGCCGCCATGGCGCAGGACATCGCGCTGCAGAGAAAGTGCGAAGAGTTGGAGACAAAAAATCTAGAGGTTGAGAAGTTGCGGGAGTCTTTTAATGAAGCAAAGAAGGCGTTCTCGGCACTACGGGAATACTACGCAGATGACAGATACCATGATGTTGCGGATTTCTTCGGTGTTTTCCAGAAATTTTTCCACGAGCAAGCTGGTCCTAGCGCAAAGTATCTTGCCACGGCGAGGAAAAATGCAGCTTCCACCAAGAGATCTGTCCAAAGCCGCGCAGCAAAAGTACAGTAGGGCACTCACCATGTAACGTTTTTTTTCAAATTCAACCACAACATGGTTTAATCGCATTTCCGATGGATTACGCAAGTAGCTCAAGTCCAAGAACTCTATTTTCGAAAAAGTACACAATACTTCACAGTTCATGTCCCTCTACCCGCACATCACTGTATCACTTTTAACATGCGACTCTGTACCAAGTGTTTTTTTCTCGACATATCAGATGAAACAATTTTCCAAGGTGCGCTACCCGTTTCAGATTTCCACGGATTTTTCATGCTACACACTCGCACAAGAACTACTGATGTGCATTTATTTCTCATTTTTCAATGAAAGTATGGTTTTGGGGTTATTTTCAATTTCAGTCTCAGCAAGTTATGTTTCCGTTTGACACGGAAGTGCAGTGTTTCGTTTCCCGCATGCAAACTCAGCTCTCACAAGCCATGTAACAAAAACACAAAAAAATTGATATTCCAAAAAGACAAAAAAATTGATATTCCAAAAACACAAAAAAAATCCTATACCAAAAAATAAAAAACAGCAGAGCGCTTCGCGGATCTCGTCCGAGAACCCCTGAAAATGATGTGGTGGACTAGGCAAAGTTTGATTCGTTTCCTGTCTGGCCGAACAAAGTTTGGTTCTTGTTTCATCGGTATGATAGATGTCACTCGCTCCTCGGTTATTTCGTGTGTGCTTCCGGTTACCTGATGGGACTGGCACCCACACGACAGAAAGCATCGGTTCTCAGCTTCGACAATAGTTGAGTTTAGCGATCTGCTTCGGTTTGCTGCAAGGTTTCACTTACAACTACTCATATCGGTTTTATCGTGCAAGTGAAAAATGCTGTGTCGTACACGTATTCTTGGAGCACTTTTCCGGACTTCATCATCGTTCGAAGCTGTAAGCCGTCGTCACCCCTTACCTTTTTTCTTGATCTTTGCAGTCAATCAAACTTGTACAGGACCCCATTACCTGCAGTTGTATTCCTTAAGTGACAGCAGGAGAGTACGTATTGCTCGTGCATTTCATCAACAGTAATCTTCCTCTGACTTCTCTCCCCGCGTTTCTTTCCGAAATTTTTCAGCCTTTTGAACCACGACGATGGGCGACGCGAAGTCCGAAGTCACCTCCTACGAGAAGGTGGATTTTCCTTCACTGATAAAGGAGGTGAATGGGAATTTTGTCACTCTGGACGACGTCCGCCGCATATCCGAGCTGCTGATCACGCGGCTGCAAACCCGAAAGGCGCCACTGAAGCACGTTGCGAGCACTGGCGAAGACGCGACCTCCGCGCCAACCACTTCCGCCATGCCAGACGTGGACCACACCATGCACGCCCTGGATGATGGAGTCCGGGGCAGCAAGACGGCGAACGCGCGCGCGGACCCGGGAAAGCGCGCCTCCGTGGCGCAGGATTCGCTGTTCAACAATTTCGCGAACAAAAACTCGCCCGGGTGGCTGATGGCGGAGCACGCGCTCAGCGAGGGCTACGCGGGGCTCGCGGAGGTGATTCTTTCGCAGGAAAAGCAGTGCTGGGAAAACGTGTCGATGTTTTTTCTGCAGACCCCGGGGGTGCACACCTACAGCAAGGAGGCCGACGACTTCCTCTCCGCGCCGCCCCACCTGTGGTACTACCTGAAGGGCAAGTGGGTGCGGTTCCGGGAGCGCTGCCGCAACCCGGAGAAGTTCCGCACGCCGCACTGCGGGGCAACGGACAATTTGCCGACCATGTCGGGCAACAAGGTGTTCGCGATGCACGCGGCGGTGTTCGCCGTTGTGCTCGCACTCTACATCCTGGTCGCCGACGCCTGCGCGCGCGCCAAGCCGGGCGATTACACGGCGTTGCGCTGCCTCGAGGCGGAGTCCTTCACTAGTCAGCACGTCCCCAACGTCCTAGTTACCTCCCTGCCGGTGTTTTTCGCGGTTTTCACGGTCAACTCCGCCTTCCAGCACTTCCGCCGCACCTGGACGCAGACCTACCGCTTCGGCGAGGAGTTGAGTGAAATTTTGACGCAGTTCCTCATCATGTCCTCCATCGAAGTGAACCTGTTCAAAGCGAAGGTCGTGAAAAAACCGGCGAACAAGACTACTGCGTCTGCCGCAGCCAGCACGAATGACGTGAAAGTCAGCGTTTCAACTACATCCGGAGCCGACGGTGCGGAGAATGATGTTTCTGCGGTGAACAAGGAGGAACAGCAGCAGCAACCACCAGCTCAAGAAGAGGTGGAAGAGCAGGTGGTGATGCCGAGCGCGATTTTGGCGAACAACTTGGAGATGGCGCGGTACTCCGCGCTACTGGCCATTTTCCTGTACCACAGTCTGAACCCGATCACCTACAACATCGAGGCCTTCGTGCCCTTCATGATCGAGCGGTACGGGCTGTGCGAGTACGGTCTGATGGACGCCATCGACTGGCACCGCTGGATCCAGCCACGCATCCTCGCCAACCAGAAACACAACATGCTGTGGAAGAACCACGCGTTCAGCGGCCGGGTTTCGCAGCTGCACGACGCGCAGCACTGGGGGTCGGCCGTCACGCAGTGGGCCAGCGAGGGCGTTTTGGACGTGATCATGCGGTATGGATTGTAAAAGTGTCTGGGTCTGGAAGATTTCTAGATTTGTCATGCATATTTTCCATGACCCATGATGTCAATGTCTGTGATGCATGCCGTAGCGTCACAGATTTTTAGAGCGCTTCCTTGTGCCTATTCCCGGAGCGCAAAGTCTACTCCTCTTACTGGTCATGCAATACAAATTTTTTTCGAATCCAGAGACAGCATCACAAGTTTATAATCTTCCAGACCCAGACATATTTGCAATCCATATGCGGGGCCGCCACCTGGCGCACACCAACGACCCGCCCATCGTGTCTTTCAACATCAAGACGTGGCAGGACCTCGTGGTGGCCAAGAACGAACTGGTCGCCGAGCAGGCAAAGTTGCTGCCGAAGGTGCTGTATTACACCATGTGGACGGCGATTCTGTTTTTGTTCTTTTTCCAGTTCATCAAGCAGTCCACCGCCTGCGGGAACGCGCTGGCGCGCACGGGCGCCAGCTACGGGGGTTTGCTGTGGGCCACGATTCCCGGCACGCAGCAGCCTTTCCACCTTTCCATCGACGAGGACCAGGAGTACATCATCGACGCCACGCAGGCCGCTTTCGCCGGCTTTGCCTACATGTTTCTGTGCTACTTTTTCTTCACGATCGTGCGGATGGTGCTGGATCTGCTGGACCCGGTGGCCGCGGACGCGGACTCCGTGCCGATCATGCCGCTGCTCGACTCCACGCTGCAGCGGCTCTTCAACCGCGTGATCCTTCGGTGCGTCACCGTGATGGTCCGCCAGGAAGCCTTCGAGGAGCAGCGGAAGGTGAGGAACAAGGACGCAGCGGGGGCGCACAAGTCCGGCGCGCAGCAGTTCTCGTCCCCCCTGGCAACCTTGCAGCTGCGGCCGGACGAAACCGAGCGCGTGCGGAACCGCCGGTCGCTGCAGGACCTGGGCGACGCGCAGGTGCAGAACAACCAGTCCGGGTGGACGCTGCGGACCTTCGACGGCCTGCCCGCGCCGTTCCCGCAGCTGAAGGCCTGCAGCGGGAAGACGCGGCACTGGGTGCGGGCCGTGCTGGGGGCGAAGTTCGCCAGCGGGGACGACGACGACCTGGAGGCGGAGTTCCGCAGCGGCCGGTTGGGCAAACCGGAATTGGGGAAGAAGAAGAGCGGACCGAAAACGGAAGGGGAAGGGAGACATGTGGACTTCTCCAGCGGCGAGGAAGATGACGATTTCGTCGCCGGCGCATTGGATGCGTAGTCGCAGAATTATTTGGGTCAACATCTGGGATGCTAGCAAACTTCTGCATTTCTTTTTGTATCCAGTTTCTCTTTTCTCAACGCAGTTAACGAATCTATCACGTGTACATTTCCTTCATTATCACCCCGGTTTTCTTGAGAATGAATTCTTTCGAATCTTTTCAACCAGAACGCAGAACGAAGAAACCTCAGCACTTCTTGATACATACGAAAAAAGAATAAATGTCTCAAATTTTTTTACACTTGATCCCCCAAGTGTCATTGAATGTGACAAATACGCCGACATGTGACGAAGAACTATCACAGAGGAAGTAAGAAGTACTTAGAATTGTGTTCTCTGAGAGCTTTCCCGAGTGTTGAGTACCAGTGCCGCAAGAGGGAAGAAAAAGATGAAGAAGGAGGCATGCAGGACATCGAAAAGGGGCACAGAGTGATACAAGACCTGCGCAATAATTCATGTTGAGCTATTTATCTTTCTAGAAATTGAAGTGAATGTTGTGAGGCCTTTGCTCGGCAGCGGCGTAGCGGCTACAAATGGCTGCGCCGCGCATTTTCCAGGATGGCAATCGAGCCGGAAGGGCCTGGACGCCGCGTTGTCGTTCTTGTGTCGCCGATCTTGCGCGACAGCGCTCAGTTTGGTAGTGGTCTCCCGCAGGAGCTCGGGGGAACGCGCCCTACAACAAGCGCCGAGTCCGCTGGGCAAGGCCTTCGCGAACGGGGTGGGGTATTCCGCGACTGGCGAGCGCAGTGATCTCCATCGGAAGGCGCAGGAAGTTGGCCCCCGTGATCACACCGCGCAGGAGGAGAAGTGGCACTCGTGTGAGCAGGAGAAGTCGGCCGATGCAGAATTTCAGTCCTTCGAGGAGCAGCCCGAGCCCCCACATGGCAGAAGTCCTTCGCGGAGCCGGCCGATGGCAGCCAGGCGCGCGACCTATCCATCCAGCCGGGCGCCGGCGCGGCGCCTCTTGCCGCAGTGTTCCCCTCCCTGCGCCGCCCCCTTTCAGGCCCATTTCTTGTAAGGACCCCCGGCGCCTTGTGCGGCCAGGCGCCATCCCCACCCTGCGCAGCGGTCGGCAGCTTAAGAGGTCGCGCCCCGCCCTTTGGGGTGGGCTAGTGCCACCGTTACCGCGCGCGGACTGCCGTTCGCGATAGCTGCGCGCAGAGAGCAGCTGTCTTGTCGTTATCGTGTGTTGCAGCTTTATTTTGGACGGGCATGCTCCTTGCCGCTCGTACTCTGTTGACCCTGACCGTTGATGCTTATGTCGGTCTGTGATGTAAGTGGCTGTGTTGATTCTCCTCGCAAATTATTGGTTGATTTGATTCTCCTAGCTCGCGTTCGTGGCTGTGTTGATTCTCCTAGCTCGCGTCATCTGCTCTCCCGCAAAACAATGCTCTTACAACTCCTTGTAAATTTGTCGGTTGTCACACGTACGATGAGTTTTTTGGAAGCAATATGACTAAATCACAATCAGCGTGGCAAGAAATTGGCTCCCACGACAAAGAGATTCTTTTGTACAATAGGATAGGCTCCAGGCGAGCCGTTTAGAATGCACTAACCCAGGCTACATGATTACTTGAGAACCGCGAGAATTTGGAGCATCGGTTACGCTTTCCATCGGGTGTGTCTTGATTGCAAATAGCAGTCGGTGTTGAAGATACGTATACTTCGGATCGCAGAAAGCTCTCGCCACACTGGAAGTTGTGGAAATTGCTACTTCAGGATCACATATAAGCGAGTCCGGAGTTCCGGTTGGTCCGAAAAAATATCTGATGCTAAATCACCAACAAGCGCGAATTTGGCGAAAAGCCAGTGTTTTGACCAAACACCGTGAGGGTTTCCGTAAACTCATGTGACAGCGAGCTCCACACATCTAATAATAATGTCCTTGTGAAGATTCACCAAAAAAATATTGTATTCCCTAAAACCACAAAACCACCAAGTACTTATTATCGTTCTCCTCGCATCAAAAGCTTTTTACAGCAAACTGGCAAATAAAGATAATGATGGGCTTCAACGCTGTGACCATTGGCCTCCTGCTGCATGCGGCGGAGGTTTTTTTTCTCGGTGGCCTCCATTTCTACGATCCTGCTGCCACGGCCGCCCTGCGTGGCTACCCAGCGGCGCCGTTCTTGCAGCGTTCTATCGCGATCGCGGCCTTTGCGCTTGGGCTCATGGGTCTGTTGTTTGTCAACGCCGCGCGTGCCACATCAGAAGCCACTAATTCTACAGACACGACGAAAACCGCTCCTCATAAGTACTCCCTGACCGCTCTGAAGCGACTTGTAGCGGGTTTCATGACGTTCCACGGATCCTTCGTGCTGAGAGGCGCTATCATTGCCGACTACGGGGCTATTCCGACTCACGGCGTGCCGTTCGTCGGGCTTTTTTTCGCCGCGGTCAAGCTTGGGCTTTTTTCCACGGACACACTTTTTTCGGGGTTACAGGAAATTACTTCGGTGTTGGGCTCCTACGCGACCCTGCGCAGATCCTACGGGAAGCCGAGCAGTCTGCAATTCCTCCGGCAGCCGATTCTGGCCTTCGCTTATGTCACACAGATTTTCGTGGCGCTGCTGGAGGGCTACTTGCACTGTTTCCTCCCGGCGCAGGCGCTGAAGCCCCTGGGCTACGGTGTTCATGTGATTCAAACGACCCTCGGCATGGATGTCGGCATCGCTTTTGGGCTGATCCCGCTCTTCTTCCTGCCCCTGGTGTTGGACAGCAAGAACTTCGAAAAATCGGACGGTGTTTTGCGGAAGATGTCACTGGCGGTGCTCGTGTATCATGGCGCGATGTGTGCTATGTTCGTGTTTGAGGAGCAGGGCATTGCGGGGTTGCTGCAGCTGCATCCGGTCTACGTCATCCACCTGGTGCCGGCCTGCGCCTTCGCGATTCACCTGCTTCTGGGCGCGGTTGGCGGGGCCAGTGGAAGTGGTGGTACTAGTACTGGCGGAAAGAGCATCAAGCGCGGTAGCAGCCAGGTGCGTACGCCGAAACGCAGTGCGAGTAGCAAGGGAAAGCGTCAGGAGTAAGGAGGATTGAGGTGACAGGTGTAGTACTTCTAGCGGTATGTTGTATGAAGTTGAATGTGCAGCAGGACAAATTCCTGCTTGCGCGATTAATCATCGACAGATATTAAAAATCTTACATGCGCTCGAATAAGTAGTACATCAAAGAGCGACCAGTGACGCAGCGCCTCATTTTTGCGTGCTGACTACAGTACGGCCAATACAAACTCATATTTTTCTTGAAAAATGTATGATTCTCTGACACCAAAAGCACTATAATACTGAAGGCAATGGGTTCTTGCGATTCGCATGCCACCTGCGACATAAAATTACTGGCGCTCGATGGTTCAGTCCTCACATAATTGCTTGTGGAAGATTGATTACGCCCAGCTTGTTTGATTTTTCTTCCGTGTTGTCGTTGTGCTTACCTACTTTGTACTCGTGCAACGTCCTTCCTGTGTTGTCGTGCAGCTCGTTCTTCAAAGGCTTCTTACTATTCGTCGTGCATTTTTCATCGTCTTGTCGTTCATGTTCTTCTCTTTCATGCTCTCGTTCAAGTTCGCGTTTTCGTGCGTCCGGGACTACCCCGCCAATACGTTTGGTGATTAGTACTGGCACACAGCTTTGGTCGTACTTCGTCTAGATCTTCGTTTTCAAATGATCGCTGTAGTCCAAAATTGTGTTCCTCGAGTAAGAAATACAGGTTTACTCATTCAACTCTTAGACTCTTACGCGTTCCACCCTTCTTCGAAGTACGTTTGAAAAGACGAAACACAAGAATTATAACAGCGAAAGCAGCTTGAGCAGGAGACTTAGTTTGCTTTCAGGAAAAGCTCGCCCCTTCGCTCCAAGTCAAAATGATTTCATTTTCTGCTCCACGGGTCCTGGGCGTCGGCATCGCGCCGCCCCATCAACCGCACTTCCGTTGCTCGTGGGCTCGCCACCACGGACGGGTTTTGCAAAAGCCGAAGCAGCTGGTGAATTTCACATCGGGGGGTTTCCTGCGCGGAAAAAACGACCAAGGGAGGACTGTGTACATTTCGTACACACAACGAATCACGGTATACTTGTGTTTCTCTTTCACCTTAACTTTCTTCAGCGCATGAATGTAAGTAGCTTGTCGACGTACAGCTGCACTCGCTAAGCTGGCAGGGCGTCTAGGATAGTTTTACTTTCAGCACAAGGACCTTGCAAGCAGAAAGTAGACGCTCACCTCATTCCGGAATAAAAAAATGCACAGCACGTCAGAAGGCCACGGCATGAGGGGGCGGCGGAATTGCAGCGGGGAAGCAGCAACGTCACTGGACAAATTCTGACAAAGAACGTTGTACTGCAGGCAAGTCCAGAAGAGGAGGTACTTCACTGCACTTGAGTTTTTATTGGATAGGATTGTGCAATTAAAATTATCAGTTGGTTGTGCTTGCTTTGCAAGCGCACAAAGGCAGAGAAACGTCTTTCGAAATATAGGTTTTTTCATACACATCATCTCTCGACTTCATGTTTACGAATAGGTAATGCAAGGCACTGCAACGCCATGTACCGATAGCTCGTGTATGGCGACTCCGGGCACGTCTGAGGTTGAGCCGGCGGCTAAAGTTCTAGTTGAGAAATTGGAGGTCGAGGAGCAGGCGTTGGAGAAAATCACAGGCGAGAAATCAGACGGAGAGCGGGCAGTGGAGAAAATTGCCGTTGATAAGGTGGAACAGCAGGTGGCGGAGACAGTTTCCGGCGAGAAGGAGGCGGTTGTAGCGGAGAACGAAGCCCTAGTCGAGAACGCCGAGGACGTCTACCCACCGAACAACATCGAATTCGAAATCGATAGCACTAGCGAGGCCTCCGTGGCGGAAAGTGGGAAGAAGGAGAGTTTTTTCTCCTTGCCAGAGTGCTCTCTCGAGGAAAGTGCGTTTTTCTCCTGCGAAGAAAAATCGCGATCGTGGGGGAAGCGAGAAGCGGAAACTTTTTTTTCACTCGAGGAGTCAAAGTCCGAGTTTGTTTCTTTTGTAGAATAAGCTTTTTGTGTCTAAAAACAGCCTTCAATTGAGTACAAGCATGCAATTCTTTTTCGTTGTTAGAGTGTGAATTTGATTTCATTTGGAGCCCGCACAAGCACTTCAACCAAGTCCAACATGTATGATCATTGTTAGCGGCACTTTCAGGTGCAGGTGGTCGGCATCTCTTCCTCATTTTCATCCCCTAATTAACATTTTGTCAGCGTGATTTCCGGAATCTGATCTTTCTCAGTCCAGTATGGCAGTAAGAGCTACGTTTCAGTTTGGCATGAAAAATACCCTCGTTGTCCTCGTCGTAGTGATCTCCGGCTTCCCCGCCGTTTTCGAGTTTTTTGCTGAAGGAATCCAGAACGACCCGGGTCGAGTTTTTGCGTTTTAACCCCGGTATTGTGAAAAGCATTCGTAAAAGTCATGCTTTTTTACCAAACACGAAGCCCACGACCGTTTCACAGCATAGTCCTAATGCCTAGCGTACTACTGTTGCTACACCCAGAACAATTTTGGTTCTCACACCAAAAGGTTGCGTAAAAGTGTTCACACGGCTTTCTTTCCTGATGTGTCTTTACTTTTTCTAAGTGAGATATAGTTTGGAATTGTGTAGCAGAGTGAGTGTGAGTGAATCTGAAGCTGGCATTGTGTATTGGAGTCGAGTACATGATTATGAGGAGCGTCTGGGTACGGAAAGGTCCAGATCTCTATGTGGGCGTGGGCCATACTTCTTACGGTGTACCTAGAAACATGGCTGAAATTATGTCGAGAAATATAGCGCCGGGAAGACTCCTGTCAACATGTAGTGCGAGCGTCTGAAAGATGTTGCGGGCATTGATCGCCTCAGAAGGGCCCGGCACCGGACGGTCGCGCGGTTCCGCCTCACGAAGGTTGTCACGACGCCACCTGATGAAGAGGAGAAAAGTGGAGGCGTTTCTTTTGCGGCGCGTTTCGCGGTTTGCTCGGTGTTCGCGGCTTTCTAATGTGCGGGTGCGAGTTTGTCTTGTCCCAGCCAAGGACCTACGCGAAGCGAGCGCGCGGGGAGCACATGGCCTACGTGGTGACAGAGAGCGCGCCTATTTTTCGGGATGTCGCAGACCTTGTCCGCGACATTCTAGATCTAGAAGAAGTGGCTCCGTTACAGGATTCGTAGAACAGGCAGCGCGACTACTGCAGGACTTTGCGGGCGTTTCGCACTACGTATATGAGGAGATGAACGAGAGCCGCCGGCGCCGCCCGTGCTGTGAAAGCGCGCCCGCGCGCGCTGCGCCCCTGCTTTCCACCTCCCCGCCCCGAGGGCGAGCGCGCGGCACACTGCGCGCGAGCGCAGCGCCGAGGCTGTTGGCGCGCCGGCCCGCCGGCTGGTTTTTGACTAATTCCGCCAGCGCCGCGGCCGGTCCTCGCCGGCCGCGCGCGGCCCTTGGGGCGGAGCAAGAGATGACAGGACTAGCGGGCGCCCCGGCGGCCCCGTCTTTGACTCCTTCAAGCAACTGCACGGGCTAGCCCCATGGCGCAGCGGGCATATGGTCCGGCTGCGGCCTCAGCAGCGCGTTGGCAGGCTCGGGGCGACGTCGCAGCGTGCGATTTCGTCCGCATGCGTCCGGGCACGGGAAGATATTTGCTTCTTGATAGTGTGACCATCTGGTGGCAGAGGAGCTCTCTTCTGAGGTGTTCGTACGATTTTTGCGATGTCTGGTCCGCCAGCTTTGGTTCGTGTCGTAGTCCTGTAACTGTATCGCATTTCGTACAAAAATGAAGATTATTGCTGGAGCCCATGGGTCAGCTTTCGTTCAGTCTCTACTGTATCTAAGCGCGTCGTTCTCTCCACAATGTTACCGGTATACATGCTTATCTGCTTTTCTGTCCTCGTGGTTTTGTCGTTCTGGAGTTCGTCTCGTCCGTTCATGCCACTGGGCAATTGTCTTTTCGTCCGGTTGGCGTTGTGTCTTGTTTTTTTCTGATGTGCGTAAACGTAGCCGAGATTGATCGTCAGACACACTCTAATCGAATTCAAATAAATCAGGACATTATACCCACACCAAATACAAATTGCATCACCAGTTTTCCAAAATCGCGTTCAACTAAATTGTACAACATTTATTCATCGGCATTCAATACTTACATTTCATCCCTTTATTCCCTTCTGGTTCTTTCGCAGTCCAGACCCAGAGTCTTCGTTTCTGAAACCTATCGTCTATCAAATTGTCAAGCGAAAACACGATGACAGGTGGTCTAGATTGTCCCAAAGGCATCGCATTTCCGGCGATCACCCCAGTGCGACGGCTGGAAGCCGCTCCTGCAGTGTGGGCACCGACCCCGATTTTATTGTCAGCACATACCAGCATCCCGCCATTGAATTTCGACGCACTACAGACCCAGAATTCCCTCGGTGGGGCCGACAGCAGTAAGTTCCGGGATCATGTTCTTGAAGTGGCGACAGACGTGGGAAGCGACTGGGACAGCGCCAGCGAAACAGATGTGGATACGGACGAATATGAATACGATGAGGATGATTCCATATCTGAATGCGAGTACTCGGCCAATGTATTTCCTGCCCCGAACACCCATGCAGATGCAGAATCAGGCGACGTAGTTTACCCTCGTACCCAGCATGCGGCTCCACTTTTTCCTATCCCGTCCGAGGAAGACGTCGACACGGAGTTCGGCACGGTTGCCAAGGAGTGGCCAGCGGAGGAGGATCCGTGGAAGGCGGAGAAAGCTGCGGCGACTTCCGTTGCGATCGGCCTCGGGTGCGGGACCGTCACGACCTTCCTGTTCGGCGCAGGAGTGGTCGCTTTGCCTATGATGGTAGCCAAATACTTCGTCGGCCAGTCATTGCTACACGGGTCGCAGTATGTCCTCACAGAGCCAAGTACGAAGGGCCGAGGGGCTTTCGCAAAGGCATTACCGGAAAAGCTCGGGGGTCACATGACCCGTCTAGTGAGCGAGACCGTACCTGTCCTCGAGGATGTTGCGGACGTGGGCTACTACATGTTCGAAGAGGTGAAGAGAGACACCTACTCACTTTTTTTCCCGGGAGATCGAGATTCTACTGCACAGGAACCAGAAAGTAACTCCGAGACGCAGAGGCACTAATCTTTGTAACAGACTTTCATCGTGCTTTTCTGATGGAACGCGGCCTTACGAAAGATCAGTAGCTTGCAAAGCAACCCTTTTTGTACGCCTACCCCCTTTCCCAAACGCCTACCTGCTTTCCAATCCTGGACAGGCAGTTAGTTTACAAGCACGCACGATTGTATTTTTTTCTCTACCCGGATACCAGTCCTATTTAATACTCAAAAAGGCAATCCTGTCGGAAGAAACCGGCATCAGCTTTTTCCCCTATGTTGTGCCTGGACATCTTCCGTGCAAGAGGATTGATTCCAGTCAGAATGATAGTTTGTGACACGCCCTGCATGAAAAATCAAAAAAAGCTCTCTCGCGATGCGTCGTTCCGTTTGTAATGGTTGCGTTTTTATACCGCCTCGCTGTGTTCAAGTCGCCATTTCTGATATGATAGCTCTCAGAGCTGTATGGCAGCACTAGTATTCTGAATAGACTAAAGCCATCTTGTTTTTGTGTCGTACATCATGGACTTTCGTTCAGAGGTTGCAGCTCGTTCAGTTTTCGTCGATTTTGTGATTCTGGCCCACTGCGTCTTGCAGGTCAATTTCGTATCATCGTACATTAAGCGTCGTTGTCGTGCTACACCGTGTTTGTCGTTCAACATTGGAAGTCAAAATAACAGTAATGAGCCCGTGTTTTCCTCTATGAAGCTTCAATGGTTTGTTGGTTTCGCATCTTCTACTACCGTCCAGTTCCTCTCTCTTTCAAAAACACAAATTTCGAGGGCTCTGCCTTTACTTCTGAAGCAAATCTAAGTGGCAACCTTTTCAAGTTTTTCAAAAAAAGCATGTGCGTACAGAGTAACATGGTGCAGGTCGTCGACCTGCGAGCGCAGTCGATCGGTGTTCCTTTGGAAAAGGCACCGTATTCCGACCTTTCCATCCCGGCGCACGTGCTCCAGGTGTCCATCTCGGAAGGTCAAGTGGAAGAAGCGGACGGCGCTGAACTGTTAGCGATCTACGCACAGAAGCTTGCCCAAATGCTTGCGCCCGGACAGAAAGCGGCTCAAGATTTGGCCACGATCTCGATGTTTGCTGCCTTCCTGCTATTGTACGCGGTTTTTTTCTTCGCCGGGGTTGCCGTGGAGCTCCTCCTCTGCGCCTGCTATCAGCAAGAGCGAGATGACCTGATGATGTGGTACGCGTACGACAAGATGGAGGGGGACAAGCACAAGCTCGCAGTCAGCTTCTGTTGTGACGCTGTCTTGGATCATAGTCTGGGTGACGGAGACGAACTCGATGCGTGGTATGCCGACGGGGACGAGACCACGGCAAGCGAGACGTCTTCCACGAGCGTTACCACCTGGATGTACTTGTCACATGGACGGTACGAGCGGGTCGTGAGACATATTTAAAATCCGAAGCATTCAATTCCGAAAGTTTACCGACCTTTCTATTATTTTGATCAATTTGAATTTTCCAAAACGATTTTTTCATTTCTCGCCGAGCCAGTTTTTTGTTATGTGATAGTGACCACGACAAAACTTGTTTCTGATTCCTTGTTGCACAATTTTTGTTTTCCCACACTGCGTCGATCTGTTTGTCTTTCACTGATCTAGCCTGATTTTTTGCGTTTCGATTTTCATGTACAGCGAGTTGAAGCTTCAACATTTTTCCGTTTGATCACTGCTCACACGTTCGCTTGTTGCGAGGTTTTCCTATCACTTTAGAAGAAAAAGCATTGCGCGCTCGATGAAATATCTACGATCTGATGACAATAAGTGCGAGTTAATATTTTACGCTTTTTCACTTTGAGTTTTCCGAATACTTAGATTCGCTACGTTCATATTCATCATGTATTTCATGCACCAGTACGCCGCCCCTGGATGGTGGTACAGAGCTCCAGCTTGAAAGGAAGAAAAGTTTGAATCATGTATATACGTTAGTATCTGGCAGTTTTTTCGTGCTAAATTTCAGATGGGCAATTGAAAAGATCACATGGTACCGGACATTTTCGGTATCGTCCACCGCGGTGTTTAAGACACCTGGTCAGTATGTTCCGCCCCATATTATGCAGGTTCAAGACCACATACATACGTAGTTTGTACTTGTATTGCTCCGTTTGTGCAATTCTTTTCGTTCAACAATCTCTTCGTGCAAGGAGCTGAAAAGGTGTTTGGTCGTTTTCTGCGATGCTGGTCGTTCACATCCCGACTCGTTCTCCCCTAAAGATAGTTTAGTAAGATAGTACATCCACCGTCGTGCAGTGACCCGGACGAAATTTTGAAAAAAAAATATGTCGATGAAAAACCACAACCAGAGAAAAGTTTTCCACTCTCCTTTCCCTCGGCGGAAATACCTCGCTTTTTCGAAATTTTATCTCACAGTTTTTAGCCAACACGCTCCAATAACCTCTCGCACACAGAACCATGTGTCTCACCAGGCCGATTTCGCTTGTTGTTCCCGCCCCGGTGGCGGTGAAAGAGGAGAAGGCGTCGCACGAGAAGAAACCCACGGCACAACACACGGCCAGTTTTTACGATCTGACCACGCACGACCGCAACCTCGACACCGGCAAACCGCCGTGCGACGTCGAGTACGTCCACACTTCCGTTGGTGTCGCACAGTACAATCTTGCCTTGCACGACGACCCCGAAGATGACGACGCGCTGGACCACATTGCGCCGCTCCTTGCACTCGCTGCCCAATCACAGAAGATCGTCCGTTGCTTTTGCGGTGAGGGTTCGACGCGGGTGCGCCCAATCCTGGAAATTGTGCTGTTTTCCCTGTTCGGCGTGGTCGCAGGCATTTACGGGTTGCTGTTTCTCATCGCGGAACTGCTGTTTGCGCCGCCACAACAACCGTTTCACTCCTCCGATTTGCTCAGCGATTGGTACCTAGATGAGAGGGCGAGGACGCGGCATCAAAAGGTCAGCAAGCTACTTCGCCCTTCAGGGGCGACGTTGGTGAACAAACCATGACCCTGGAGGACTGGTATCTCCACGAGGAGGCCGATTCGAAATCCACTGTTTCCACGGATGCGCATGAGAAGCAAACAACGTCAGCGAGGACCAGCCGAACCACTCTGACAACCTGGCGGTTTGTCCGGCACGGGGTCTACCAGAAGGAAGTCACGCTGCTCTGATGGGGCCCAGTTGTCCCCTTTGGAGGTTCATGCCGAGGTGTGCCTGATTCTCGGCCTAATTGAGCCTTTTCTGCCGAGCTTTCCCTTTACCTTTCGAACGATTCATTGCACTTACACGTACAGGATTATCTATGATTCAAGCGTTCTGCCTCTGCTGCACAAATTTTCTAGTTTCAGCCTGCTCTCTTTTTAAATCGAAAAATGTCTATCACACTGCTCAGGTAACCAACACACTCTACGCCTTTTGATATTTGAGAACGGGTTTTCATATTTGAAAAAACAACACGGGTCGACAGTCATTGTAATTCCATTTTGCAGCATAATTCTTTTGATAGCATCAAGTTCAAGATCTACAGTCATGACGTTCTAATGCCCAGCAAACACTTGCAAGTATGTGCAAAATGAAACTATGTTTTTGCCTGAATAAACGGGAAGTTGTTTATTTCTATGGTGCGCAGACGAAAGAAAAATAATGCACAGTCCAGAGGCGAAGTAGCGCTGTCAAATTGAGCTACGCTAAAGTCGTAGCTTCTCTCCAGTCTGTATTTCGAATTTTGTCAAGTCTGATTTAGTATCAAGAAGTCTTGGTCGTGCGTCGCTCGTCATCGTTCTAAGAAAAGCTGGCTGGCTCGTCGTGCTGCTGCCGCATGCCTTTCTATCGTCCACTCGCACCGTCGTTCTGTTGAAACATACTTCTCATCGTCCATGTACTTCGTCGTTTTTGATGTGGTTGCCTCCAGATCCATTATCGATCTGAAGTTTTTGCAATGCCGAGTTTGGTGAAACATATGATGTCACTACTAACTCAGACAACTTACGCGCAAATCTTCCAGACGTATCAGGAACCTGTTTTCCAAACCTCTCAAATTTATCTTTTTTCTTCTTCTGCTAAGGCTAGCATTCACTCTCTCAGCGTTTCACTTTATCACTACACGCAACGATGCAGTCTCCCCTGTGCGGAATGTATTGCTCGTGCACTAGTTGCTACGAGCGCTCTATCCTCGAAGCCTGCACCGAGGCGGAGTGCAGTGCGACCGATTTTGGCACGGCGAAGATCTATAACTTGGACGAGCCTGCTCACCTGCAACCGGTGACGGAGCTTTTCCAGATGGACTCTGAAGACGAGGAGCAGCAGAGCATGGGTAAGCGCATTAGTTTTCTTATCACTCTACCCAGTTCGCAGCTGCATACTTTCGGTGGAAACATTTAGCAATTGCATCAGGTTCTGTTTGTCAGTTTTAGCGCGCAATCATTTTACGTACGTATTGTTCAAAACTTACAGGTGAAAACGACGAGTTCTGTCCGGACCACCTGTTTCCGTCGAGCACGTCAACCATCTCTTCGGCGATCGTGCACGTGCCGAAAGCGAAACGGACTCCCGCCCCGAAACGGTTGCGCGTCGTTGAGATGCGAAACAAGGGGAAGTTGCTAATGCCTTCCAACCCCGGACCGAAACAGCAAAAGCACTTCTCCGGCATGGTCTTCACGTACTACCAATGTGTTTTGGTTTGCGGCAAGCAGGAGTTTGACGTGCGTTTTTTCGCCTGCCAGGTTTATATCGGGGGTTGCCTCGTTTCGGAAGCAGCGGCTTTTTACCTAGCGCCTACGAAAAGTGGGGAGTTGCAGGATACGCAAGTAAAATGCGGCTTGGAACGCGAACGGTCTGGAGTGCAGCTTCTTCCCCTTCTATCGGACACGCTGGATTCGCGACGGGCGCTGAAGTACAATTGCATCCAGGCGCGGAGCTGCAGACTACTTTCCCCAGACGGTCAGGTGAAATGCCTTGCAGCACTTGCTGGCAGTGACGAAAAGGTCTGGAAGAAGATGTTGCCATCGGGGCCTAAGTCAAGCAAAGACGACTTTCCCCATTCGATTAGTGTCCTCAGCTCGCCGAAAATCTCGGCGCTCAGGTTTTTTCCGATGTTTGCTGTCATCTGCTTTTTCTTGTTACCAAGTTTCGCATTTTTTGACATGAGTTCGAGTCTCGCTGTTCCTTCCGTTATCCGCAATGAGATGTAAGTTTCATCTACTCGTTCAAAAAAAACCGTCAATGCGCCGTAGCTTTTATCCTTCTACAGTTTCATGAAGTACACATTCGTCTTTTTCTCAAAAGGTCATAGTTTTGTTGGCAAACATTCTGCAGAAGATTATACCTCCCATGAGTTCAGTTTCTCTCGACCGCCACAATCGGATTTCTGTACATTAACAAATAGTCTTCATAGAGGTTGTCCTCCAAGACATAGGATTCTCGAGCGGATCAGTGCTTCTTCGATGAGCGATCCTGGCGCAGGATTGCGTTTGGATCGTGTTCACTGTTCTAAGAGCAGGAATAGCCTCTGCTTGACCATGTGATTGAGAGCATCCGTAGTACGGGCGCAGAGGACTACCAGCATCAAAAGAGCGTGAGCAAACTGACTTGAATAAGCAGAGTTAACAGAGGAGCGCTTGAAAATGAGTGAAAAGCAGAGAAATGGCTTCTGAGGGAGGACTTCACAGAAGTCTTGCTATGTTGTCCTTCCCTATGAATAAAAGATGACGCGACCGTCCGAATGTGGCACAGTGGCCAGGGAGTGGCCTGGGGAGGAGATTCGTTAGTGGGCAGAGAAGTCTGCTACTTGGTTTCCTGCTGTAACTCTGGCCGCCTGTCGGTGGTGCAGCGTCACTCATTTTTGGACATTGGGAACGCGGGGAGCGAGCTTCCACTATTTGTACGTGTCCCCCCCGCAAGAAGAAAAAGAGGGGCAATGTCCTTGGCCGGCCGTCATCGCCGATCCCGCTTGGGAGCCCGACGGGGGCGCCGCACTGGCCGCATGGTATGAAGATAATGAAGCCGCCCCACCGCGGGCGTGGCGGCGACCTGGCTGCGTTTTCCGTGCGGGGCCTACTTCGCCATGTTTGGCCGCGGTGCTGCAGGAGGTTTGGCCGAATACAGAAGAGCCGTTTCGAGGGCCGCACTGAGGAGGCGGAGCGCCGCATCTCTGCCGCAGAGCGATTCCTAGGAGGGCGCGCGGTTGTCGGAGACTTCGGGGAGATAGAAGGCGCGAACAGGATGCGCCCGGCCTCTTGGCGCGCTGTCTTTGCGCGCGGCGGCCTTCGCCTTGGGGCCCGTGGCACGCCGGGGGGCTCCCCCCGCTCCACTGCCTGGCGAGGAATTTACCCAGGCGATTTCTACCGGGCCCGTCCGGCTTCCTTTCTGATTGATAACCTGGCAGCAGCCCGCTGCCGCTCCGCGGGCGCCCGGCGCTGGAATCCTGCCCGGTGTGCTGCGCGTTCGCGACGCTGCCGCGCCCATTCAAAAATTAATATGCGACTGCGTTTTATCCGGAAAGCTTTAGCAGCGCGCTTTTCCGCGGGAGATGATGACTGTTCGACTTTTTCCTAAAGGATTTTGCGAGAAAGCCCCTCAAAGATCATGCGTTCGATCACCAGTGCAACGTCCCCGAAGCAGCTTGCACGATTTGAAAGCACTAGCCACACGTACGCTGTTTCTCTCGAGTCTGTGCTTCCGAATTTCGTCAATTCCTAACGGAGTAAAGCAGTCAGGCCGACTCCAGAGATGTCGTGGTCGTGCTGCGAAGATCGTCATCGTTTACGTTTTACCCACTCGGTAGAAGCAAACTTCTGGCTCGTGCTGCTGCCACATGTTTTTTTTCGTCCACTCGTACTCTCGTTCCGTTAAAACGTAGTCCTTCCTGCTCATCGTCCATTTCTTGCTTCGTCGTTCTTGAACAATTGGGTGTCCCCAGATCTATCATGGATCTGAAGTTGTGCTTGGAATGCCGAGTTTGATGAAACACCTCTCTACTCTTCGAGACGTAAGTACCAGGAACCTGTTTTCCAAACCTCTCATACTAACTTTTAAACTTCTACTCTCGCTTGAATTCTGGGCTTACCACTTTCAATCTATTTTCTTCTGCTAAGTAGGCAAGCAGTAACTTACTCTTTCAGCGTTTCACTTTATCGCTACACGCAACGATGCAGTCTCCCCTGTGCGGAATGTATTGTTCGTGCACTAGTTGCTATGAGCGCTCTATCCTCGAAGCCTGCACAGAGGCGGAGTGCAGTGCGAACGATTTTGGCACGGCGAAGATCTATAACTTGGACGAGCCTGCTCACCTGCAACCGGTGACGGAGCTTTTCCAGATGGACTCTGAAGACGAGGAGCAGCAGAGCATGGGTAAGCGCATTAGTTTTCTTATCACTCTACCCAGTTCGCAGCTGCGTACTTTCGGTGGAAACATTTAGCAATTGCATCAGGTTCTGTTTGTCGGTTTTAGCGCGCAATCATTTTACGTACGTATTGTTCAAAACTTACAGGTGACAACGACGAGTTCTGTCCGGACCACCTGTTTCCGTCGAGCACGTCAACCATCTCTTCGGCGATCGTGCACGTGCCGAAAGCGAAACGGAGTCCCGCCCCGAAGCGGTCGTGCGTGATGGAGTTGCGAAAAAAAGGCAAGTTGCTGATGCTTTCCAACCCCGGACCGAAACAGCAAAAGCATTTCTCCGGCATGGTCTTCACGTACTACCAATGTGTTTTGGTCTGCGGCAAGCAGGAGTTTGACGTGCATTTTTTCGCCTGCCAGGTTTACATCGGGGGGTGCCTCGTTTCGGAAGCAGCGGCTTTTTACTGTGGCCCTGCGAAAAGTGGGGAGTTGCTGTATACGCATGTAAAATGCGGTTTGGAACGGTCTGGAGTGCAGCTTCTTGACCCACTGGACACGCCGGTTTCGCGACGGGCGCTGAAGTACAATTGCATGCACCAGGCGCGGACATGCAGACTACTTTCCCCAGACGGTCAGGTGAAATGCCTTGCAGCACTTGCTGGCAGTGACGAGAAGGTCTGGAAGAAGATGTTGCCATCGGGGCCTAAGTCAAGCAAAGACGACGACTTTCCCCATTCGATTAGTGTCCTGAGCTCGCCGGGAATCTCGTCGCTCAGGCTTTTTCCGATGTTTGCTGCTATCTGCTTTTTCTTGTTACTAAGTTTCGCATTTTTTGACATGAGTTCGAGTCTCGCTATCCGCAATGAGACGTACCGGGGCACTGCAGTTTTTATCCTGCCATAGTTTCATCAATTTCATCTCGAAGTACTTACACATTCGTCTTTCTGTAGTCTCGTTGGTGTTTTTAGGCAAGCATTGTTCTGCAGAAGATTTATCCATGAGTTCAGAAATAAATAACGTCTCAGATCCTCTCGATCGCCACGCATCCAAATCCTCGCAAGCCACCTGAATCTTGTACAATAAGAAATAGTTCTCATTGATGTTTTCCATCGAGAAATGTTGCAAAGAAATGTTGAACTCCGGAATCGGACGCCTCTGTCGGGCTCTGCAACCCGCGAGCGGAAGAAGTTCCGGATCAGTTGTTTCTGCAGTGTCATCATCTTTTGTGTTGTCGCTTGCTTATGTTTACGCCGTTAGAATTAGATTTTTCGTCCCTCCAAGATGATAGTTATCATCTGTACAAGTTGGTGCCAACGACTTTGGCAGCCGATTCGTTCTTCTGCGTGCGCGTCTTCGTACAGTTCAGGGCTCTATTTCGTCCTCTTCAATACTTCGTCGTACAAAGTTGTGGGTGCCCTACCTTGTAATTTCGTATCGTTCTTCTTGTCCTCTCGTGTTAGTCTTGGTGTACCGCGCGTGTGCGGTATTCTTCTAGAGAACTGCCACGTGATCGTGCTAAATACGCCTTGCGAGGCCACTTCAATTGAAAAAATCAATCAACTTCTTCTGACACCTTCAACAGTACCATGTCCTCACTGACATCACCACAACTTTAAGTTTACTAAACCGGTTCCATGTGACGAATCTCAACAAACAAACAAATAAACAAGTTTACTAAACATTCAACTTTTAAGATTTCTTGCGTAGTTTCTAACACAATAGCACAATGTTGGAGGAACAACTGCTCGTGTTGCAAATTTTGAAGGAGAAGTACCCGTTGGAGGAGGGTGACCTGGAGGGCGCAAGTGCCAGGATCAAGGAACTGGAGGCTCGAGTCGCGGAGTTGGAGGCGGAATTGGAAATGACCAAGGCTAAGGTCCAGAAGGCGGAACTAGACCAGAAGTCGTTTTATCTGGTGGAAGCAGTCAAAAAAGCGGAACCCCAGAAGATGAGCAAGGTTGACAGCGACGCAGAGACCACAGCCTCCGAAGATGAAGCTGAGAAACAGGAGGCGAAAAAAACCGCGACCACAGAACCCGTCGAAATCGTTGAGCCGCTGCCGTCGAATTTGACGAAGGGCGAGGGGAAAGGTAAAGGCAAGGGAAAAAAAGGTTGTTCAGGCCCAGCACCGCCCGCGCCACCGGCTCTCGAGTGCGTTTCCACGGAGAAGTGTAAAGAACAAGTTGACCACGGCAAGGGTTGCGCTCCCATTATTCCAGTGAAGGGCAAGGGTAAGGGACCCAGCATCGGCATCAAGGGGGGAGCTGCGCCGCCTGCCAAGGGAGGGAGCAAGGGCAAAGGAAAAGGAAAAGGTTTTGCCCGGCCCCCCGGAGCGCCGGACGTTGCTGCAGAACTGTGCCCGGAAGATATGGAAAGTCCGGCGTTGCACTGGTCCATGCTTTCGGTAGAGGTTTACAAGAAATCCCTTTTCTTGAAGGCAGAAGCGCACTTGACGACCACGAGCAGGTTTAACGATCGCAGCGGCCTCATCCAGAAGTTCTTCCGGCCAAAGAAGACAAGCGAACAAGCTGCAATCGTCCCGCGCAAGAGACCGGTACAGGAGGAAGTGCCGAAGCTCCTGGAGGACAGGGAGAAAGTGCGCTGCGTCGAGATCCTGTTGCAATCTCAGTCCGCTGAAGCCAGAGTGTCTGCCGCGAGCCTGGATAAGCTCATGACCTCCAGCACTACCCCGAGACCCGAAGACTTGGACCTCCTCCACCGGGTGTCGATGTTTGCCCCGACGGTCGACGAGCAGAGGCAATTGGACAAGTACGACTTGCTACCAGAAGAGATGCAGGGCAAGGTCGGGCGAGCTGAGAGATTCCTCGTGAGCCTTGGCAAGGTGGAAAAATTTGCGCAGCGAGCCAAGGCCACAGTTTTGCTCGTGGAGGTGCCGGACACGGCGGAGCGCCTTCGTCAGCGTCTGTTAGCGGCGGAAAGAGCCGCTCACTGTCTGCTCAGTTCTGATGCCCTCGTAGCCGGCTTTACCTTGCTGGTGAAGCTGGGCAATCTAGTGAACGCCGGGACGAGCAAGGGGCGGTGCTTTGGGTTTAACCTCGAATCTCTGCAAATGCTGTGCAACAGGGCGTCGGTGACGGACAAGAAGTACTCGCTCCTCAATGCTTGGTGTGAAGAGCTCTCCGCCGAAAACGACACGACGCTGTCGGATATCGAGGAGGTCCTGGCCGGCTGCAAATGCCTCGGGAAGGTGGTCAAGAATCTACCGGAGTTCGAGAAGGAAGTATTGCAACTGAAGGAGGATGCTGATTTCTTGCGCAAATCAGAACTCGTCACGGTCCCGAACGAACAGAGCGATGCAGTTGCAGCGGTTGCTGGGAAGTTGCGGGAACTGCAAAACACGGTCCTCACACTGCCGACCTACTTCGCGGCAACGCAGAAGCTAACTGACGTTGGCGAACTGTTGTCGTTCCTAGACGAGTTCGGAATGCTGATCGGAAAAGCGAGGCTCGAGAATATGACTAAGAGAAATGCAGAAGAAAAAGCACGGAAGCGCGCGTCACTTATGAAGAAGAAAAACGACGCAAGCAAGGTAGCGTTTCAAGGTCAAAGCGAGCCCTTTTAAAAAAATCCTCTCGAGCGAGTGTCACTCTCAGAGAGTGTACTATCTACATTACCTCACTTTTATCTCTCTTGGAATTTTTGCAGGAAATAAACTCACAGGTCTACATCTTTCTACTACAAGCTAAATAAACAGTTTTGAAAAGGAGTTTCAAGCAGTCTTCATTCTTCAATTTTGATTTTCGTTTTTACAAGACTATGCACAGGCTTTCCATCTGCTGTCTGCAGTGCACGAAGTAAGTAGCAAACCGCTCTTCTCATGATATTGGTTGCGTTTTCCTTTTCTATGGACATCTAAAACCCGGTCTTCCATTACCAACCCGCTGAGGGTCGAGTCATCCATGTTGGCCTATAATTCATTGTCGTATTTTACAATTCCATTTGAAAACGTTGTACTTGTACTGTTTACCGAGAACGAAGCACATGTCTTTCATGATGAACGCGAAACTGCCTCATCTTTGTCAGCGCGCTTACGACGGGACCCGGTTCTGCTTTGTCAGATACGAATCATGTTCTGCATCTGGTGCGAAGAGAGTCACCCGAGCCGGAGTTCTGTTTAGTGTTTGACTTGAGGGGATACTTACGTTTGTCTGTAACTGACTCTGAGTACTAGTGCGAACGAGTACCGCTGGATGTTACTGCGATTCTGGCTTGATGGCCCGAGTGCTCTCGTCGTGTTAATTTTCATTCTTGAGCTGTAGCTCATCTCTCACATTGACCGTCTCGCAAAAGTCTACACATAAAGAGGACAAGAATCGTATTGCTTTTACAATGGGGCCAGGCAGTCGCAGTCATCGCTGCGACGTTTCGCAGAAAGCCGGTGCCCGCTCGCAGAAAGCCGCTGCCGCTCGAATTTGCGCGACTCCATCGCGGAGAATTCGACGACGACGATGCCACGGAAGGGGGGGCGCTTTACTTTAATTTGGCAGAAGCGTTCGCTTTCGGACAAGTTGAATTGCTGCGCTACGGCTGACGCTCCCGCACTCCAGCAAACGCAGGCGCCGTCCGGTCTCGCGAGCTATCTGCCAGAGCCTGCCCAGCGGGAGGGCGCGCGTGAAGTGTGGCGTGCGCCGTTGCGTCTTGTGCCACCTGCGGCCTTTGGGAGTGGGGCCGGCCGCTCCGCGTCGCCTCTCCTTTAATTATTGCTCCGGCCGGCCCGGCCCGTGCAGTGTCCCAATGTGCCCGCGCCCACGGGGCAGCGGCTTGCGCGCTCGCCCGATCGAGTGTGGCTGCAATTTCTGAAGTGATTGCCTTGGGTGGTTCTCGTTTACTAGGCGGAAAAAAGACTGCTGCTTGTGCATGTCGCTCTCCTGATTGATTTGCTGTTCGTTCTGAGATGGGTTTGTTTAGTTTCGCGTCGGTGCTGCTGGGTAGTTTGTGGGGCAGTGGCGTTCTTCGTTGTTCCTAGGCTCAGTTTCTGGAAATATCGACTTAGCGCAAGTTTTGCCAGCACCGAGTGACTTCTTTTGCGTATTCTCACTATTGGATCACAGGCGTTTTCTGTATTCGTGTGTCTCGCCCTCATGAATCAATCGTGTTGTCCATGCTAAGCGATTTTCCAAGTTAAAATGTCGTTGACTAATAAATTGACTCGTTCACAACGTTGCTCCGTACGTGTATTCGTCCATGGTTTGTCGTACAGCTTCAGCTTCATCCAGTCGTCTTGTCGTTCCCCTCTTCGTGCATTAAACACATTACTTGGGTGCTCTGCCACTGGCGTCTCGTTCTCGAGTGCTATGCATATGAGGATGGCAAAATCATACTGATGTTTATCTCATCTGATTCTCAATGTCAGCCACTTGTGTTTGCGAAACCCGTTTTGCAAGGCACTCAATTTGAAAATTTTTTATCGTTTTCAGTATAACCCTAAAAGGAGTTTTAAGTACGCATTATAAATCACATACACCAAGATGGAGAAGTTTGCGTGTAAGAGCACTTGTGTATGCGCCGCATGCTACGAGCAGGAAGCGATGGTGGCCTGCCTCGATGTGGTCCAGGCAAAGGAACAATGTGCGAAAGCCGTTGTAAATGAGACGCCGCTCCAACAACAATGTGCGAAAGCCGTTGTAAACGAGACGCCGCTGCAACGTAAGAAATTGCCAAAGACAAAAGCCCTGAAGAAGTGGGAGGACTTCGTCGAGCGGGCATTGGTGAGGATCACAACCATTTCGAAGAGAGTTGCAAAAGTGTTGCGGCACGACCGAAAGACGGTGTTGGATGCGCAGGGCTACGCCGCCGTGAACCACGTTGCGAGAAAGTGCAAATGCAGTCCCGAAACCATCCACCAAGTTGTCAGGATCGACACGAAAAAGCGGTTTGGTTTGAAGCGATCTGACCACGGGAGCTTTGTGCGGGCGGAGCAGGGCCACAGCAACCCGAAAGTCAACATTTCCCACCGGCTGCTGAAAAGCGCGGAGTGCCGGAACCTCAAAGTCCCAATTTTGCACGGAACGAGCCTGCAATCCTGGAAACAAATCCAAGCCACAGGCGGGCTCAAGAGAATGAAGCGGAGCCACGTGCACCTGGCCAAGGGGTGGCATGCCAAAAGCGGCATGCAAGCAAACACGGAGGTGGTTCTAGTGGTCGATGTGGTAGCCGCGATTGAAGAGGTGGGACTGGAATTTTTCGAAAGTGCGAACGGAGTTGTTCTCTGCGCAGCTGACATTCCACTCAAGTTCATCACAGTACAAGGAAATGGCGTCTTTTGCAGCAAGACAGTTTTACCTCTATCCATGCCGTCAACGCGAGCTCCGTCCGAGGCCGGCAGTGATTCGGAAGGCGAACAGGAGGACTTTTCCGGGAAGAAGGCACTGAGGCCAACGTACAGCGCTCGAATCCCTTGGTGGTTAAGAAGATGAGATGTCGTGGAGGTTGAGGAGAAATGTCAAGGGCAGTATAATGTGACATCACCTTGAACTAGCCCGAATGACGGAGATACGAGGGGAAAGGCGGAGAGGATTCCGTGGTGGCTGCGTCAGCGATGGTCGGGACAGGAAAAAGACTCTCAAGGCGAGTACCGTGGCAAAGCATGACTACAGGAGGAATTGCGCCAGAGCGACTGCTGAGGACTGTGCCGCATGTTGACAGGTGGAAACTGCCAGGATATGAGGAAAACTCCGCGGACTTCGCGAAAGCTGCCAGCACAAAAAGGTCATCTGCCGGGACAGGAGGACAAGACGAAAATAAAAGCGCATCTGCTAAGAACGGTAGCGAAAAAAGTGGCTGCGAAGACCCACGCTGCACAACTTCTAACTTTCGTTTCCAGGATTTCTGAGTAAAAGCAAAAGGAACTACTACTTTTTTTCTCGTGCATTAGTTTCTCTTCCTTGTTGCCAGCAAGTAGAGCACTGTCAAAAAAGCAAGTTCGAATGTACAATATTTCTCGATGGTAAATCATTCAAGCAAATAAAAGCTAGAGGTCAAGTTCGATGTTCCAAAGCTCGAGTTTCAGAACTTTGTGTTTTCATATCATTGTCAAGATCATCACATAGCCCTAGTTACCCCGCCACTTACTACGACGAGCATGAAAGTTGAATCGCCCACGGTGTACCTTGTTTCAAACTTCTACCAATTTAGATAGCGCCTGAGCGGCAAGTCTTCAGCAAAGTATCATGAGCACTCAAATTATAGCACATTCTATCTATCACTACCCGTCATTGTTTCCAAACGTCGTCTTACATACAGCAACAAACAGTATCAAGTTTTTGAGTTCGAAAATACACAGGAAGTACCCACAAAAGCATGCAGTGAAGATATGAGGCGGCAAATCGACCGAGTCACCAAGATGTATCTCAGCAACTAGAATCTGAAGCTCTTGATGAAGTTCAAGCGAATCTTCCGACAAAAATGGAATCAGACCTTGTAGCTGCAAGGACACGGCAATGAACCGCGTTGCACGTCGTGGTGGGATCCCGTGGCGGAGGCGTTCGTTGTTCATTTTAGTTCGCGTAAGAGCAGCTGCAATGCGACCGGCTCCAACACGGTAACACATTTTTTTCGTGATTCTCTTTTGGCGATCTTGTCGTTCTCGTTCAGGATCTCAATTCGTCCGATAGCAGGCTATGGTGAAGAAATTTATGCTCGCTTCACGACAAGGCACTCGTTCAAATATACTATGCAGACTTTGCTCTCGTCGACCCTTTCGTTCATTTTCTACTCATACTGTGCTAGCAAAGCTATCTCTTCGTTCACACTCGTGCTCGTCGTCGTCGTCGTCATCGTGAATGCCCCCGTTGTTTGTGCTTTTGTTCTTTCGTTCTCGGGATGGTGCAGTTAGTTCAACTAGACAGCACATATGTTTTCAAATTTGCCAGTGATTACCCTTGAGAAAATCCTCGATTTCTGCTTTAACCTCTCAAAGAACGCAAAACTTAAACTACCAACACCACTTGGTCAAAGAATTCAGAACCACCCTCATAACAGCTGTACAGCTTTAAAACTTGCTTTCATCTTTCGGCTCAAATCCACTAAAGATGAACGTTCTCAACCTTTTGAAGTCTCGTCAACCTGAGTTCTCTGCCCCGAGCTGGGACAAGGACTCTTGGAGCGCTCGGTTTTGCGGAACGGAAGACTCGGTCCAGCTGTTGCCGGAACAGGAAAACTTATTCGAGCCGAAAACTTTTGCGGACTACTTCAAGTGGCAGTCTGTTGTGGATGCGTGCATAGCCCGGCCGGGGAAGGAGGACAAATGCTTTTTCCACGCAGAAGGCGATGCAAAGACCGTCGAAAGCAGCAGCATTTATTTCCAGAACAAAACGCAGCGGAAATACGTTTCAACTACAGAAACCCCCTCTCCCGCGAGCACCAGCGCACCCAGTAGCGACTGCGAGGACGAGATTGTTTCGAATGTTGGGATCTTCCGCAGCTCTCCGCACCAGGTTGTTTCCGAGGTTGATTCCCAGGCCGATGCTGCTGCTGCTATTTTTCCTGATTCGACGACTTACGGAAACGACGAGAAAGATGTTGCTTTCGAATACGAGCACGATTCCATTGCTGACGAAATCGAGTACGACGACAGTGTCACGGTCATTGCCACGCGCGGACCCGATGAAGACTTCGGAATCTACAATGCGTGGGGAAGCGAGCAGATCGGGGCAGAGCAGCCGGATTGTACAAGCTATTCCCACCAGCAAACTGATTCCCATCTTCACCAGAATGCCCTCGTTTCATCTGCGGTCACCACGGAATTCGAAGATGACATCGCTATCGGGGATGTCGCTGGTCCTGCTAGTACAACCAAAGACGAAGCAGTGGTGGAGGAAGCTCCGAAAAGAGTGCTAGCGGAGAAGGGCCAATTGCTGATCGCGTCTGCCGCTGAGTCTGCGCCGAAAAGGGACAAGTTCAACCTCATCAATCTGAGTCTCGGGCAGTTTGTTCAAGCCGTTCGTGTTGGGAAGAACGTCGCGACAGGAAAGGACCCCTACATGCTGGGAAACACCCTCATCAAGCGGTCAAAGCGGGGTCATGATCTGCCTCAGGTATACTATAACTGCTATACTTTTTTTTGCCGCTTGTTTGTTTCCTCTGTTGCAATTGGATCGTTTAAGGCTCCAAAGGATGAATATCATGATGTATTTGATAAAAAACTCAAAAATACAGGTGCTTAACCTCGATCGCTGCGACGCTTTACAAAAGAACATCGCGGTCACTTTCCAAGAATGCGCAGCACCGGCACCGATGGTTTTCTCAAAGTTGCAGCTCGTGGCGCTGGCGCACTACTTCAATTACCGGAAGAACCACGTCGGCGAGTTCCCTGCTACGGCAAGAATGATGCACGCGGAAAACCATTCGACTGGTGTGGAAACCAGAACTCTTTCCCTTCTGCAGGTGGCCTCGAATCGAATTTCTGATGAGCATTGCTGGATGCCATTGCTTTTGCTAGTGCCCACCACGCTCACAAGCACGACTGCGCTGGCACTGATTTTCCGTGCACCTGGAACAACACACAAGTATTTTCCGACCCGCCTACCCCTACCTGATGCTTTTTCTGTTTTGATTTCGTCCCCAACATTCCGAGTTCACACGCGGCAGGAAGGCAGCGCAACGCCATTTTTTGCACAAGATTTTATCAAGACAGCCGTGGCAGGGTTGAACCTCCTACTCCGGTTTTTGCTCATTTCGTTTTGTAAAATTTTCTTGACAACGTATTTGCTTTTCTCGAGTAACACTTTCAACCTCTAGGAAGTGCTCATGCAGGGTTTTTTTTGTTGCTGGCTTTCCACATGTCTTTTTTTTGTTTCTTCATCCATGTTTTCACTAGTTTGATCTCGATGTCTGATGTGATTGCATTTAAAAACAAGTAAAAAGTAGCATGTGCTAGTAGCACATGCTGCTCAGTTTTGCGGCAACATTCACTAAGATCTTGCAGTTTCGAATTCTCCTTAGGGAACGTGAATGCAATGGTCTTTACCTAAGGCGCACTTGCACGAATGACGTGGCATTCTTTGCACAATAAGTACTTGAGTTTTCCGTATCAGATATTTCCGGGTAAAAACAACTGTGACGTGACTGCTTGGTTGCGAATTCTTGTCCTTTTGTTCATGCCAGTCGTTGTTGTGCGATGGCGTGTGCGAAGATAGTGACATTTGATGTGGTATTTTGCTCTTGTCGATAAACCGTATCGATGAAGTAATCTGATTTCGGTCTGCTAGTACCACCCACACTCTAAGTCCTGCGCGCTCTCGATTAGTTACCACACTGAATTCATGAGACCTAGTCGACCTACATGCACATTTGATCACGACACTGCTGTGCAACCATGGACGCAGAGCGGGCTCAAATAGACCGCAAGAAGCGGGATCTCTGTAGCACCCTGAGTGGGTGCAAGTGGTTCGACCCGCGACACATCTTGACGTACAGAGCCACAGCACTAACTCTTACGAAAAGACAAAAGACTGCGCTGCTGGAGTTGCAGCGCATTGAGCTCGAACTAACACGAGAACAGCGAAAGGGTAGCACGTGTGCGAATTTTCTTGCTTTGCCGTCTCAATATCTTCATACTTCCGCCCATGAGTATTGAAAAAGTGTTGATGGATATGAGTTACGAAGGGTGTCCCCCCCCCCTCATGTGGGAGGGCAACGCGAGTTTGTGTGCAGCACTCCTGCGCCAAGCGACGTACGTCTGCGGCCAATGTACGCCTGCGGCCAATATGTATTTATGCGCGACAGGTGCACAGACCCATGCGCTGCGGGGATTCTGGTCGGGACAAGGACGCGCACCTCTGCGCGGGCGCCTCGCGTTAGGCTGAGTGCCGCGGTAGTGCCGAGCCGTGCATCCGCACTCTCGGCCTCCGAGGCACAGCTCGCTGATGCGGGGTCGCACCAGCGAGCCTCATCCCCAGGGGACGGTTCTTCTGCTAAATGCAGAACTCTAGCCCCGGGCGAATTACGGACTCAGGCTTTTTCGGCATCTCGCGTAGGGCGAGTTTTAGAAGTGCCGCGCGCACTTTTTCAGACCCGATGCTGATTCAGGTCGGGTCTAGAGTTCTTTTTCTTGTGTCCGGGGCTAATTACAGCAATCAGTCGACGCACTCGGCGATTGGGTAGATATGCGGCGACTGGGAAGATACCAAATCACCTCGTGCGCGCTGAGTCGCATGCACGATCACAGGTACTCACGCCATCTGTATGGGCTCGGTCGTACCTGTTCGCACCTTGTGGAGCTTCGCGTGAAGCTGGTGCGGCCGCGCGACCATGAATAGGTCGCTTTGCTGTTGACGTGAAGCACTGTTTTCTTCGCGTTCGAAGGGTTCGCGCATCTTGGGTTTTATCCTCTCTCGCGCGACCACAGGATCCGAGTGCCCGACCCGGTCGTGGTCGGTGTCCACGTGCTTACTGAGTTTAGGCAGATGCACGAACATAGCCTATCGATCGAACTTTTAAAATTAAGCCAGTCGTTGTTGTGCGATGGCGTCTGCGAAGATAGTGACATTTGATGTGGTATTTTGCTCTTGTCGATAAACCGTATGTTGCATTTTCGTCTTCTGAATATAGGGGAAGTCGTACTTTGCGTAGTCGCACATGAAGTCATTTCGTACGTACCTTTGTGGCTGCGCAGTCTTCGTCTCGTTTCGTTCGACAGCGGTTATGCCTTACATCGTCCCTTTTCTTGTGCAACATTCTCCCGTTCGAGTTTCTGGTTTCGTTTCGTTCAGGCTCGTTCGTCTTTGCTTGTGTCTCCGTTTATGCTATTGCTGCATGGAGTTTGAGGTTGTCGTCGTGTAGTTGCGTCAAACTCTTTTGTCAGTTGCGTTGGTTTGTTTGTGCGAGGCGCGGTCAATGCAGTCTCCCCATCCGTTGTCACATTTTGAAAACGCCTGCAGTGTAAAAAGACCCGTTTACAACCCTTACGTAAGTTTTTCTCAAGCTTTCTTCGAGCAGGACTCGTTGTTTTGTGATTTGAAGTCGAGCTATTTTGTCATCAGCATTCTTTTTGTTTTCTTATTCTTCTGCAACTAGCTAGCAAGACCATGCCGATGGACATGTTGGAGGCCTCTTTCGGGCCCTATCCAGCCACACAGAAGGTGGCGTCACCTAGCCCCGATGTTTATGTGCAGCGCATGGCTGCTTACCTCAGCCGCACCTGTGGAGAAGCTGATAAACAGTGTCGTGGTCGTTCATCGCAAGGAATAAATGGCTTCCCGGACACGAGAAACTCTGCTGGTACAACGAAGTCCACGAGCTGTGGAAGCGGTTTGTCAAGTGAAGGCGTCACCGAGAAGGAGCAGGGTCCTGCAGCGGAACAAGAGGTGCGTCCAGTTGATCAGGCTTCTACGATCATCGCAGATCCGTTATCTTCGCTCACGCATGAAGAATTGAGGTTTCAGCCGGATAAAGATACGCAGAAGCTGAGGACTGCCGCACTTGAAGCAATTGCCGTACCTGCGGTGTCACCAGCGGTCGCCCGGGTATTTGAATATGAACGAAAATCTCCCGAGGAGGGCGCCATGGAGAAGGAGGGCGACGGGGAAGAGTCCTTCGAAGACACGCCCAGCGAGTTCGAGGATGATGATGTGATGGACGCAATTCGGTTGGAGCAGAGCGCGGCAGCAGTAGACTCTCCTCTTTACGAGGCGCCGAAGGAGTCTCTGCGTAGTTACATGGAACAGCCTTCGGCCCGGACCGATGTGGGGGTCGTGAAGCACACGGTGAAGACAGTTCTCGATTCAGCCCCCGGCCGCATTGCGTCCGGAGCTGCGAAATCTGCTGTTTGCCATGGCATCTTTTGCGGGCCCCACACAATGGCTCCCGCGGCTATGAATAGTGTGCGCACCGGACTCGCATTGGAGGCGCTCAACGATACTGTTGCTGATCCTAAGCAGGAGCTAGAGCTCGAAGGCCCTGAAGCCGTAGGCGTTGCAAATTATTTACTTCCGCAAACGCTCGCCCGTACATGCAACGCCACCCTGGCAGCAGGATCCTCCCGTGACAACGTGTTGAAAAGTTTCAGCCGCCTCTACGCGAACCCACAGAGCCTCGTCGCCGACAGCGAAGAGTTTGTCGTGACCGATGAAGACCGGAAGACATTCTACCCGCCCCCGCCGAAGGATTACCACGGCAGCGCCGCAGCTGAAGATCTCAACACAGACTTCGGAACTACGCGGCCGGAGTTGCATCATGAACGCGAAGGCCATTTCGATCCGACCACGGGCCCTTGTTGGTGGTGGTACTGTTGTGGCGACTTTGTGGAGAGATTTATCGTGGGACACAGGCTGCTGACCTAAAAACCACGGCTGTGGACGAACTGCGGGTTGTGTACGATGAAGATAGGTAAGAACCTGGTTTACGTCGGTTCCCGGCAGACGCGCTGCGGTGCTCCTCCACGAGTCACGGTCGTTTCCTAAAATGGGACGGACTGCAACAGGGGTCTCTGCTGGCATGGTGCCACCATTAGAGCTGGGTGAAGGTACTTCTGAGGCCCCAACAGGCTGAGCATGACAAGGCGCTGACCGCCGCCGGAAGTTTGAATATGGAGTATCGTTTGTGCTGGAGGTTGTTTACATGTTGCGATTTGACTGCGTGGCAAGCCCAGGGCAGTGGATGGGGAAGACCCGGCCGAATACCTTCACCTTCACGTCAACCGAAATAACTCTCGTTGTGGGCCCCAAAGTAAGGCGCAACTTGTTTTTTTGAGCGTTAATAATAGTCCAGCGAAGACAGTCAGTTTTTTTTCCGTTTTTTGCCTGAAGATGATGTTTAGAGTGATGGTAATTTTTTGCAATGTCAGCAAGTATTTTTTCCGTTTAACCACCAAGTTCGAGCTTGAGACAAGACACAACTTCTTCCCACTCTCATTTTTAAGTTTCTGCTTCCTCGAGGTGGAGCCTCGGTTTTCTTTATCGTTTCCTCGACTTTCGAGAGAAGATGTTTTTTCGAATGATCCCTTTTCGTTGGTTTTAGCACTGGCGCATGCAGTTCCCTCGACAGAGTGCGCGTGCTAGAAAGTACAATAGATTAAACGGACACGCACTGCCATTGCCTGACAAGGGTAGAAGCAGCTAGCTACCCGTCGAAATTCGCATACACAAATATTTTGTATGTAGTACCCACAAAGATTACCCCCTGCCGCCTTCAACCTTGACCTTGCGTTCCCAAGACCCTGTCCACTACTCAATTGCTATTTTTACGAAGACCCACATAACATTTCTTGCAACTAGCAGGATACCTGTACTTTTTTCGCAGGAAAGTACGACTCCACAATCCACATATGGACAAGCACGCGATTCATTCAAAGTATTTATGAATGTTAGTTTTGCAAGATAACGAACTTGAACGTTAGAACTCTGCCTGTTGAGAAAGCAAGCAACAAAGGTAAAAATGCCACTGGATGCGCTGTTGGAAGAATGCGTACCAAAACTCGAACTTATGTTCGCGAAGCAAAATGTCTTAAGTGATCGCACTGGAAAGGCTTTGCGAAGGAAAATCCTGAAGGTTTCTTGTTTTGAATCGTCGTGTGTGACCCCCCTAGTCAGTCTGGGTGGCATGCATGTGGACGAGACAGTGTTTCATATTAAAAGAAGACGATCAACAGCACATATGTATCGCTGTATACCCTTTCGATTATGTCAGACGGGCAAAAAAAGAAAAAAACGTCTTCAGGGTTTCTGCACTTGCACTTGCGGACAAAAGCCGGATCTTCGCAGTGGCTCAACAGTGTCAAGGCGGACATCAACAGTCTGTGCTTACTCTGATCCTCACTTCAAATCTCCACACAGTTTAGAGGTTCTCGTACAGTGACACCTGTGCGCATTTATTTGCTTGATCAACGACATCGCATTCCTATATCCCCAACTATCCCCAACAAGGAGACGAGGAGGATCTGTGGCGTGTCAAGTGAAGTGATGCGCGTTTCCAGTGCGGAAGATCGCACGCGATCTTCCCACTGCCTGTGCCAGACCGGTCACGGGTGATGAAGACATGAGTTCCTCGAGGATTCTCGTGTGCAAACTTTCACGTTAACCTTTGTTCTTTTCTTTTTGTGAGGCGGTTTCTCTTTCTTCACAATTTTTTCGAACTCCGTAGCCGTTTTCACTCAAGCATTCTTCATGAGGTCGGTGTGAAGACAGAATGAAAGAAGATGCGTTTTTTTTTCAAAACAGCAGGACCGGGCTCCGTCCCTCTGTTTTGCCTCCTCGTCCACCTGTGCAGCCACCGGCGTTTTTCTGCTTTCCAGCGGTCTTGCCTTTCTGCGACTTCAATTTCCTTCGTGATAGGGGCGCGCCACGTAATCCGGCGGGAAAGTGAAGACGCGGACACCTCCGGCTCTGCTGCGCGCGATCGAGGTCCTACTGATTCCGGGACAAACAACAGTTCCTCGGCCACTACTACAACGGCGCAGGAGGACCCGCAACAAGCCACTTCGATTGTACCATCAGAAACGCCTGACAAGAATGCCACAGCGCTGCACTCCACCCGCGAGAGGCACACAGAAATTGGCGCAGGTCGTGGGGCGGACATCGCAACAGGTGCGAACACTTCCACTTCTCCTTCGACGCCTCAAAGGCTGCACGAACGCAACGTAACCGGTGATGCAGTAAAGCTGGTTGACTCGTCCCCCGGTAGTTTACTTCCCCGCAACTTCAGCACGGGTGAGTCTCTATTTCTCGCCGACGAAGACGTCGATTATGTGCAGCGGCCGAAAGAGGAAGCAACCGCAGCAAAGGGACCGGGGCCGCTGGTAGCTGAGGTCCGCGGCGAAGATCGGGGGAAACAGGCGCAGATTGCAACACCGGAACTTCCCAGCGCGGTACCGATGAGGACAAACCATGATCATGAGCATAGCGCTTCGGCCGGAGAGAGAACAAAGAGCCCTGGTCGTGAAGTGGCTGAAGCTGGAAACGCCAGTGGGGCCGGGCATATTTCCTCAACAAACGACGAATCCAGTCTTCTTGTCAAGTATGAGTATAGCGCACCGCGCTGTCATTTGGAATGGGGAAATTGGTTTGGATGGCACGCGGAAAGGAACAACTGTCTTGGTAACCCGTGTTGGCGCGAAGACGGACAGTGGCAAGCTTGGGAAGAGGACAGCGGCATTGGCTATCCGGGTGAGGAGTCGACAGATCAATGCGGATATGGTCAACCGAGAACATGGACAGGCCGGAGGCAGTATACAACAGAATATTCATGCATAAAACAAATCTGTGTCAACTTGGGGTAACAAAATAAAAAAAGAGGGCCGCGGGGAACCTCTTGTCCACCCGGCCGGGTGGACAAGAGGTTCCCCCCTTTCGCTGCCGGAGCGGCCGGCTCGCAGAGGTCCCCCCCCAGCGTCGCCATGTCGGATCTCCCCCCTCGTCGTCGTCCGCCGCTCGCCGGGTGCCGGCTGTATACATTTCTTAAATTTCTAAAATGAATTGCAAAAGTTGTTGTTGTACCGCGCTAGTACCTATAAAAATAAAAGCGCGTGCATTTACGAACGAAATTCGTGCTGTGGATTTGCCATACTAAATAGATAACGAATGATGAAAAAAAAATTCGGGTTCCCGCCGTTGTTGCGCAACTTCCTCCTCGCCCCGAGCTGACAGGAGGTCCTGCCGCCCAGTCCGTCCCATCGTAGGTTCAACGGCCCCCATCCCAACGAGACCACTTCCAAATAGTTTTGTCGTAGAGCAAAAAACTTTACAGCGGTCGCCCGTTTTGCATCGGCCGAGGTTGCACATGCGCCCGGAGTAGTTTCCACTGAAGTCCCTCGGCATGGGTCGTATGATGTTTTTCGTCAGGTCGCGCAGCCTCTATTAATGCGATTCGGGTCGATCGCGCCCTATGGCTAGTGTCGGTGATCCAGTTCGACCATATATTTCGGGGGGCAGTAACGTGAAGGAAAAGCGTCCTTTCGGGGGCGCCTAGTAACCACGCAATCACGAACCCGGATAACGCCCCCTATGGGTGACTATCTCCATACACAGCGGTCTCGCCCTATCTTTACTATCTTTCAGTGCAGCGGCTTACTGCACTTATCGCCCTACGGAGACTGTGATCTGACCCCCCTCTACCTCCCCTGGTGGACGTCTGCCGCGGCTTACGGCTCTGGACGTTAACTAGGATCAGCGCGTTGTGCGGGTTTAGGGTTTTGAAAGTAATTTTGTATCTCCCACTGTTGCATGAACCTGCTGCAAGAACTTGTCATGCAAAACAACCTTCGGGTTGTTCCCGCGCTTCAGGAGTAGTCCTGTTGCGTGAGGGCGGCAGAAGATGAAAAATGGTGTTGGTTTAGGGGGTTGAAAAATTTTTGTGCATGTGTAATGCAAAAAATAAAAAAGATTCGCGCGTGGGAGCGCATTACTATGCACAACGGGCGGGCGTCGTTCCCGCCGTCACACAATCGCTGAAAATTGAAATCGAAGCACAAGAGCGGGCCAATAAAAAACAAATTGTCATGCGGATTTGCCACTATGCTTTCAACTTTTTACATACACATGGCAATACCTCCTAGATATGCAGACGCAATGCGCATCTTTTTGCGTCCGCCATTTTTTTACGGGCGGGGAGATTGAACCAAGCGGACATACAGAGGGAAGACGGAGACGGAGACGGGAAGATGCTTTTTGCATTGCAAGAAAAGATGGAGCGTTTGACGCATATGGATGCATGGGAAAAGTTAAACGCAGCTAGCAAGTCCGCATTACAGTAAACGCGCGCACTTTATTCGTACTCATGTATGGGAAATCCGCATAACAGATTTAATATGGAAAATCCGCATTACAGTAAATGCGCGCGCTTTTTTTACAGATACTAGCGTGTTAAAACTTTTGCAATTCATGTATAAACCTTCGAACAAATGCATACAGCAGGCACCCGGCGAGCGGCGGACGACGACGAAGGGGGAGATCCGACGTGGGGACGCGGAGGGGGACCTCTGCGAGCCGGCCGCTCCGGCAGCGAGAGGGGGGAACCTCTTGTCCACCCGGCCGGGTGGACAAGAGGTTCCCCGCGACCCTCTTTTTTTATTTTGTTACTTCACTTTCGGTACCGTCTGCTCGGGGGGTGATGAGTGCGATGCCGGCAAGCCATTCACGCGCCAACGGCCATCGTGGGGTAAATATGTCAACAAGGTTTGTGAGTATGATGATTGCAGGTGCGAGACATTCAATCCATACTGCGGCAGTGACCACTTACTCAATGGCGCGCACGCGTGCGGGCTCCGAACGCATTGCACCGCAGCCAATTGCTGTCGCAAGAAGTGTGCCTTTGCGACCTGTAGAACCACAGATGGGATCCCTGCGGCTGAATACCACATCAAAGATTCCGGCACTTGTCTCGATCACAGTTGCGCGAATAATAACGCGAACCATGTGCAGTGTTGTGCTTTGAATGAGCCCTGCCAGGCGTCGCTCTGTGCAGATTTCACGTCACTCAAGGACCAAGCGACGAGGCCGATGTATTGCGAAACAAGGGAGTGCGTGAGCAACGAAAACCAAAACCGTGCGCATTGTTGTGAGGACAACGAGAGCTGCAAAGATATGAAATGCAATACGGTTTCTCGTCGGGGCTGGCTGCACAAGTCGAATATTGAAGACGACAACCTCCGCTGCAACGCAAAGAGCTGCGACGCATCTGATTCGTCCGCTGATCTTGAGCATTGCTGCGTGGAGGGCTGCAAGCGTCCAGTGGATTCGGACCGCTACTATGGATTCGACATTGCGAATTGGGACGATCTGCGCGAGCAGGAGCAGCTGTATCCGAAGTCCACGTCCGATTTCCAGGCGTCTTCCAAAGTTGGATGTAGCACGACGCACTACGAAGACCACAGTGTTTCCGAAGTTGTCAAGTGCACGGGGTCAGGTGCTGAATTAGAGCTGAACCCTAAAAAGTGCCTCGAGCTCTGTAGCTCATCCGGAACGGTCTGCAACAGCAACCAGCTTCCAGCTTCGGGGGCGTATTGTAACACGCACCGCTGTGAAAATACTGAGAACTCGCATTGTTGTCGGGAGAAATGCACGGAGATCGACTGTCCTGCTCTGCCGCACTTCGATCCCGGCGTGGATACCGCTATTCCGGGCGGTTGGTTCCAAACGTATGACGAAGCTGCTGTATGCGTCGAAGCCTCGTGCGACCCGGCGAAGGATACGGATGTAGAAAGTTGCTGCAAAAAAGGCTGCTACGGACCACCGGAGGCCGATCGGGTGCCGTACAATATTGCTGGGAACGATTGGTACACGCAAGTCTTGAAGAAGACATACTTCGACACTGCGAATAGTGCTAAAGTCGGTGAGCACTCGGAGTGGGTAAATGACAGCGACTGGAGCTGCTCACCCCACTACCATGGAACACCGGAATTCAAGTGCCCACGGAGTGGGGAGGTGCTGCAGGTGAGGGGCTGCCATCCGACTTGCCGCTGTACAGCCGACTTAGGGGATGACAGGGCCCTGGGGAATCCGGAGAGTCCGTGGGGGGTTGACGGTTCCGGATTCTCGGAAAGTCGCTATCGTAAAGCTGTGGATGGTAAAATCATTGACGTGGGCACATGCCCCGCGCCGGGCTCGTCCAAAGGACGGCAATTCTGTGGCACTTGCAAGCCCGGGTACGGTAGGCTGCTTTCGCACAAGCCAGGAGGAGAACTTCGCGAATTTCTTCAGCATTATATCCCGGTGGAGGTTTCGAACAAGATGCAGGCTGATAACGTCGCAGTGAAAGACGAGGTCCGGTGCTGGGCTGTGTGTGCGGAACAGGTGCAGTGTGGGGTGGATGCAGATGCAAAAACCAACAGCCCCGGCAACTGGGCGGATCCTTGGGCTCCCTACTTCGTGACGCGGAAAGGTCATGACCGCGTGCTCGTGGCAGCAAGGCTCCAGCCCGACTTTGATTTTTCACTTGCGGTTGACGCAGAGACTCCTACGGACACTGAAGAGACCCTGCTGTGTAGCGGACAGGAGGGCACAACAGCGAACTGTCGCGCAAGTTGCTGCGTGCAGGGCTGCAAGAGACCAAGAGGAGATGGAATTTGGTCCCACGATGTGACCCATGACTCCGGAGCCGGGTACGCTGTAGCAGTGGGCGGGGATGAAGACCGTGGCTGGGAGGAAATGCTGACCGACGCTGCTGGGAATCTCGCCTACTACCCTGACAACGGCGGCGACAGGTGGAGTACACACCAGCGCCTTCGTTGTGCGGATGGATACAAGAAGTCCAATCCGGAAAAGGAGCCAGAGTACCAGTGCGCTGGCCAAGGCGAATACGTTCAGTTGAGGGGGTGTGAGCCCGTATGCAAATGCACTGATGGCGAGGGCGCTGATGTTGGCGAAGTGGATCAGGAACTTTGCAACCGCATGGCGGTACCGGGTAAGCAGGCCTGCAAGAGCTGTACCAATGCAGACACACTGTTAAGAGAAGAAACAGAGGACACCATATCCACAGAAAAAATTCCATCCACATCCATTTTTTGCATGACAAACACGCGACTTGATACGTGGTTTGCGTGACAAATTGGATGTGGATGGGTTTTTTTCTTTGGATACACCAACGCCGGAAGAGAGAAGAAGTGTTGGGCATGGTGCGAGGGTCAAACTATGAGGACCACCTACGGATACCAGTACGCTGGTCAGAGCACGACGGGAAATAAATGCAGTGTTCAGGAGGAGGACGGGGACGCCTGGTATCAGAGGAAACGAGAGGACCCTGAAGACGACACCTCCAGTTTGGTCGTGTATTGTGAAGATTGGAAGTTCGACAGTCTCAACTGCTTTGAGTCGTGCTGTGTTCTTGGCTGCAGTCAAGTTTCGGCAGATGCGAGATATGTACAACCCCAACCCGCCGGCACGTCAACCCAGATCCCGATTTTGTACGAGTACGATCTCAGCGCTTCTTCTCGGAATGGAGTAGAGAACGATTGGCAGGCGGTATTGCAAAGCAAACACCTGTACCCAAACCCACACGCCACGTGGAAAAGCTCCATCGAATACTGGCACTGGAATGGAGAGAGCCTCATCGAAGACGACGGATGGGGACGCTGCAGTGACGGTTACTATCCTGACGCTGTGTTGGAGATCCGCTGTCTGGGCGAAGGGCAGGAAGTGAAGGCCCGAGGTTGTTCCGATAACTGCAAGCTGGTTCAGCAGAACGCTGACATTGGGGACGCTAAGATGTATCGTTGCGGCGACTGGGGCTACGGGGCCGCGCTGTACGCCAGCCAACGGGTTGTAAAGCCGGACGTTTTACAAGATCGCGCGGCAGGCTACGAATCCGTGCGCATAAGCGACACTAACAAAGAAGGAAACAGCGGCCCGCTAACTGTGGCAAGTTGCTGTGGCCAGGGAACGCAGTGCGGCGGTTTGTTTCTGCACGAAGGAGACCAGAGCCGGGACCTGGGGACATTTGCAGACATTGGCAGCGCAAATCGGCCCCGAGCGAAACACTTTTGCAGAGACATGTTTGGTTACGGAGACCCCAAGCCTAATCATGTCCCAGTCGCAGCACCTTTTCGGCCAACCGCCGTGCAGACACCGCACAACGAAGGTTGGAAAGAGTGCTGCGAACCTGTAGCCAGTTGCAAGGACGGCTACTTCGCAGAAGCTTTGGCCGAACCATCCCCGCCGCAGGTGAGTGCTCAATTTTTCTGGTATGGTGCTGCATATTCAGGGCGGGACGATGGCACTATCATCACGAAACCCTACCGCTGCCCGGATCGCGAGTTCCGGTTTGACCTTGATTCGCTGCACAATGCGCGCCACGATGTGCAGGAGCACGGCTCTGCCGGCGTTACCCAAGGCGTCGGTGGCACGACGGGCTTTCTCGGCAACCACAGTGGGCGTGTCAGAACCGCTGGCGAGGGTGCGGCCGGCGGGTTTGGATTGCACAACGGCACGTGTGGAGGAAGTAGGCAGTGCTCCTGGCTCCGCGACGAGGTGTCCTGCTGTAAGCAGCGCGCGGTGTGCCCGTTTCACAACCCCGTGGTGCTGGAGCAGCAGATGCGGCGCGCCGGTATGGCCTACGTCTACGATAGGCACTTCATGTTGTACAGCCAGTACTTCAGTTTTGAACAAGACCGCACAAAGAACAGCAAAGTGTTTGCTTTGGTCGACTGGTGTTCGCACATGGCGGCGGATTATGGTGCCTACAGCCTCGGAATCCCGGACTACGATCCGAGCAAGATCAGCGGTGAGATTAAGCTGGACTACTGCAAGTCCGATGAGTGCAAAGTTACCGACCTGCGGACCTGTTGCGTCCTCTACCAGGAGTTGCCCCGCCCGGTAGATAGCTCCACCGGCCAGTCCGAGCTGGTGCCAAGAGCATGCAGCGCAGCTAGTGGAGCAGTAGGGGCGTACGACTGCATCGCTAACGAAGTGTGGTTTTACCACTGCGACGAGCGGGGCACTCCCGAGTTTCACTACAGTCACGAGAGTGCAGCATGGGCGTGCAACGCGTTGGGTGTTCGGTGCCATGGGTACCAGTACTCTCCGTTGTTCGCGCGCTACCACCCCAGGAATCCCGACCCCGAGAACGCGCTGTACACTTTGCTTGTGGATTACGGCGAGTTTGCTGAGTACTACGCGAACGCCTCCAGTCCGGCGACTGGTCATGTGACGACGCCAGCAAGTGCAGAAACCCCAGCGGAAGCAGGCGCGACGAGCTCGAGCTCGTTCGAGCGGCCGACGGATCACATGCTGTGGGCGGGCACTGGCATCGGACAATGCGCAGCGGTGTCGGCGGACGAAAGGATCGGGTTGGGCCTCAACGACAACCAGCGTGGAGTACAGAGGGATGAAGAACAAATACAGAGCATTGACACCATGCGGACGCACCTGAGTGGAGCCCTGCGTGCCTGCCTTGATTCCCCCGACTGTTGCTACGTCCGCTACGACTTCAATGGGCCAGATTTTCTTGTCGACGGCTTGTCCCGTGTCGAGTCTGTGGGGCACCCGGTAAATAATTACATCTCGGATATGGATGACGCAAAGAAAACGCGTGTGCCGGGCTTCACCCCAGAGCGGGAGGACGACGACGCGGACCGACTGCTCTTTGAGCTGACCGACGACGCGTTTGAGTTGCGAAAGAAGATGCAGTGCTGCCTCCGTCGGTATTCCTGCACTGAGAACATTTTGCCCCAGGTGGGCAGCAGCATCCAGGAGACGTTCGTGAAAGCCAGCTGCTTGGGTCAGCAGCCAGGATTGCCCATGCCCATTACTGCGCCAAACGCCAGGCCGTGGAGGGTGGCGACCGAATTTAACCCGACAACGAACCAGGACTGGTTTCCGCTGTGGGTGGAAGATGGATTCGATCCCCCCGACGGGCCGGAACTCATCAAGGGCGCCAGTAGCGCCACACGTGCGGACGACATTGAGCACTACCACGGAAAAGGGCACAACGGGGAGGATATTGAGGTTTCCGTCAAAGATCGGGGAGAGGAGCAGTACTGGTTCCACGAGTGCGCCGAGTACTGTCAGCAGGATTTCGCAATGGAGGTTTTGCGCGCGACGAAAGAAGCGGTGCGCTGCCAATGTTGGCGGAGGGAGGCGGACTACGAGAAACGTGTCGCCTGGCTGAAGAGCAAGCAAGACGACTACCGACCGAAAGTAGACAGTGAATCCAGCCGGGCAAACGCGGGGTTCTCCTTTTTCTTTCTGAACACCGATGTGAAGCAGCCAGTCAAGTGCGCCAGGATTAGCTACAAGGAGCTCCTGCAAGACTACAACGAAAATTTGCTTGCGGCCGCAGCGGAGCAAGACAAGGAAGATCAGTCGGTGCGCGAGTTGTTGGCGGGAAACGCTGCACCCGGGGGATCAATCCCCGAGATTTCCTTCGAGAGCCTGCGAGTGTCGAAGGAGTACCTCGTCGACAACGGGCTTGTGTCCCGCGTCTACCTGAAAGACAACCGAGTACTGGAGCGCAGCTGGCCCGCGGGAGATCCGAACTCGAAGGACAACGTTTCCCCAGCGGACATCAAGGCAGAGATCCCTCCATTCGTGGGTCAGCGTGCGCCATTGCCTCCCGGAGCCAGTTGGTTGACACCACGGATTTCGATCCTCGAGTCTGACCTGAAAGCTTTCTACGGGAACAGCTCCGCGCTGCGACGGGGAATGGAATCCGCCCTGAACAAGCATTTGGCGCACCAAACGTCCGGAGGCTCCAACGTGGACGCTGACGTTGGCGTGTTTTCACCGTATAACGGCACGGAGGACAAAAAAACCAGTGACGCAACGATGGACGCTTCGAGTTCCGTCGATTCGGCATCAGCACTGCTATCGCTGGTCGCCGAAATCAAAGAAGTAGAAGCAGATTACTTTAACTAGCAACATGACACATAGTGCTCCGATATGACATATGGGCACGGCGACATGAAAACTCCTGCAAGAGCACCACTTCTCATATTGTAATTGTTGTTTTGTATAATTGTCATATTATTGCATATTGCTCGTGACCGGCTGACGGTGACGGCTGAAAATTGGCCCCAACCAAAACGCTGTCTCTCGGCTGTTGTGGCCATGAGGTTAGGGCGCGCATGCTCTTGCGCCGACTTTGGGCCGATCGAGCAGGCGCCTACTGTGCACCTCTTTTGCGCCTCTTGGCAAGGCGTCTCGCCAGCCTACAGTGAGGGCGGCGCTAGTCCGCTCGGGCTCCCAGCAGTCTACTTCTTCAATTGGTGTCGCAGCTGCGCCATGTAGTGCGCCGCTGTGTCTTTTTGCAGCATCTGGGCCGGGAAGCTGGCCTCGCAACGCAAGTAGCGGCGGGCGCTGCCAGGTCGGCTTCCAGGTCCCGACGTTCAGCAAGGTCATATTGCTCAAGCTCTAGCAGTCATATTGTCATTTTGTGATATTGCCATACTCGTATTGCATATTGTTATTGGTAAAAGTGTCGAAATTTTGCTCGTTAATGCAATATGTAGAAGGCCGTCCGCCGCGGGGCCACGACCACGACCAGGCAGGAGCTACAACAACTGTAAAGAGGGCCAGCACGGTTGACGATAATACGAGCGGCAGAATAAATGGCGTAGAAGATAACGCAGTCATGCTTTCACGGGAAGAAAAGCAGCGCGCTGCGCTAGAGAAGCTGCAGCAGCGGGGCGGCGGTTCCGATTCCGAACGACTTGAAGAAAGCACGAGCCAGAAAAAGGCCAAGCTTCTCCGCTCGATGGCAACGTCTGCTGCAACTTCCACAACAGATCCAGACGATAAGGATTCTCGTCGTGTCTTAGCTGCGACCGACGGGAGGAGCGGCAAGACTAAATCGCTGCTGCGACTATTGCAAGTTTTGCACCGAAGTAGGAGTGCCTCGGCGACAGTCATAGGAGTGTTGAGTGGCCACTTTCTGGGCGAAGAACCCCCCGGAGAGAACGACGCGGAGTACTACGAAAGTGGCGGAGCTGCAGGCACTTCCGTAGGTAACAAGGACGCGGCCAACACGGAAAGCAACTTGTTTGCAGAAGAAGTGTACGTGGATTCTGCTGCCGCAGCGAAGGCAGCAGGGGGCGACCGCCGCGACGCACTCCTCTACGAAGAGGGCGGATTTTCCGTCCATCTCGCGTTTCTCACGCAAGCCGCGGAAACTGAAGGGGCCAGCAAGGTGGCAGAAGTGTTGCTGCGTGACTTTTCCTCCGATCCAGCGCAACAGGAAGGGGTCGCCACCATCCTGGAAAAATACCTAAAAAAGTACATTGCAGAGGAGCAGCAGCAGAAGGGCTTGGGCTCTATGACCGAGGAGTCTTTTCGCGTACTTCTCAAAGGTCCGACACGGGTCGCCTATCCGTTCGATCCAGATGGACTTCATGCCGCACTAAAGGCCTCGGCGTCGGGAGGTGGCGGCGAAGGTAGCGCGTCGAGTCTCCTCCACATGGCTACAGAAGCTTCGGCAGCTGCAGCCGTTTCAAACGTGTCCTCAACTTCACCGTCCGCCTTGTTGTTGTCTGCTACGCCCCCGGCCTCGCAGCTGACGAGGTTCTCGCGAGGAACTACTACAGAACAGGAAGCTACAACGGATCGTGTTGAGGATCTGCGACTTGAGGACGTTTCGCAACACCAGAAAGAGACGCAGGTGCTCCAAGAGAAGACGACAGAAGAAGAACAAGAAGGAGCCGCAAACACTACAAGGCGTAGGAGAGAAGCTGCTTCCTTCGTCGTTCCTCAAGTGGATTTGCAAATAAGAGCGAATCAAGCACGGGCCACCCGACGAGGCGATGACGTCGACAGCCAGGACGAGACGACTGCAGACGCCGGAGGCGCTGCAGACCGGGCAGAGAATACAACGGCGGCCCTTACGGAAGGGGATGCGGCCAAGGCAGAAGAACAGTCCTGGTGTAAACTAGTATTCGATCCTGGGTACGCCGAGCTGTTTCAGAACACCATCTACGGCATCTGTGTCTTCGGAGAGGTGATTCTTTTCGTGGTCTTCTTACTGTACACCTGTAGGCATAACCTGCTGGGTACCCGTCGGGAAAACCCGCGCGTTGCTGAATTGGAGGAGCAGCGCGAAAGCGCGCGCGCAGCGGCCGAGGAAGCAATGGAAGATGCGAAATTACAGCTCTCGCATTTCCGCGGCCGCGCAAAGGCGAAGCAGGGGATGCAATTGGCGACCGGAAAGCTTGCAAAAGCCGGGCAGGCGCTCGCAAAACAGGCCACGACGGACAATGCGGCAAAAGCCAAGCCGCAAGGAAAAGGGCAGCGGGAACCGGGCGCGTCCGAGGGCGTTGGCAACGCAGCCATGCGGGGTGCGGGTGGCGTTTCCATCAGCGGCGGCAGTAGTGCTTTTGGGCAGATGGGGAAAAGTGCCACTGCAAGCGGGGCCTTCGGGAAGAATGCGGCGACCGGCGGCGGAAGCTTTGCGTTTGGGGGAGCTGCGGGCGGCAGCGCGGCCGTAGCTTCAACTGGAGGCGCGGGGCCAGCTGGCAGCGTCGGTTTTGGAAAAGCCGCAAACGTTGCAGGTGGGAGCATGGCATTCGGCAAGTCCGTCGGTGTTGGAGGCAGTTCGGCTTTTGGAGCGAAGCCCTCCATTGGTGGAAGCTCTGCTTTTGGTAGCGCTAGCACTGCTTTCGGGAAGAAAACAGAATGAAAAACTAAAATTCAAATCAATGCAAATACTGTAACAACGTGTTAACTACTCAAAATATTCAATACATAGACTTCGATATCATAAACTCTACTTTCACTGCATCTCGCACCGCAACGACTCGTAGGAGACCTGGACGAGGGCGACCGCGAACACTTTCTGCCATGCGTGATTGCTCTTAAACTTTTGAAGAATTGCAAAAGACTTCTAGTACAGGCACACAAGAATAAGAAATGCACATCGTGACCCTTGTTTACAACGCTTAGTATTTTTCAAGGTTACTGAAGACTACATTCAGGAGCCACATGGTGCAAAAAGTACTTTATCAACGAATATTGCAGTCTTTTAAAGAAGATGCAGTCTTCTTCTTCATGACGACCATCTTGTATGTGAAAAGTCACAATAATGTAAAAAGAAAGCGTTCTTTCACCAGAAACACGACAACGGAAAAAAATGGGCGGATCACGGTTCCCGTTTCTAGAGGGAAGGCACCCTGTAAGCGAGTTTGTCCCTCTCCAAAAAAAGTGATCCTCGCTTATCGATTGGACTTTTTTGTTTTGATCTTGACGGTGAAGATCATTGCTTGCGTATTGGCACCTGCTGGTGATCGCACTAGTCAGATCATCCTAAAGCATTGTATAAAATTGCGGGAAGAAAAATTCGATTGAGAAACTAACAAGCAACGATACAATTGAACCGCAAGTTCCGATAGATGATTGCGGTGCCCCTCCTGTATGTCAATTGATTTTTTGCGCCACAACTGTCGCGTTGACTACGATATGATCAAACTTTGACCGATGATCATGCCTGCGCCTGTGGAAAGCGAAAGCTGAGGTCTCGCCTTCTGTGAATTTCATGGTATGATCTCAAGCTCCTTGATTGTGTTTTTGTAACAGTCAGCGATACTGGATACATAGTACTAGTAGTGACAAACCGATTCGCTCGCGATCGGTCGCCGGGTCCCAACTTGGCAACGACCACACGAGCTAGCAAACATATCCCGATTGGATATCTTAAACCACCTATCATCCCTCACATGTGAATACACATTGACATTAGAAGGCAACAAACGACCGAGGCGACTCGTTTTATCGTGGCTACTTGTAAATACATCTTGGACCAAGAACAGATGCCAAACATTGGCCACCTCTCGGCCAAGCTGGTTCAAAGCCACTAACTAAATGGACAGAGAAATGTACTACGTAAAGAACTTTTTTGGAAATAACACTGAGATACACAAACTGATATGAAAAAGGTGCAGCATTATCGTACCAGTTTTTACATGAAGAATTTTTTCGTATTTTGATGTGGAGACCGGCAAAAGCAAAACTAACTAACTTTCTGCCATGAAGTATCTTTCTAAACTCCTCCTGGTACCCTTCTGGTACTGTGCCCATCGAGCAGCGGCGTTAACTTCCGCGTCGTCTTCCGCAGCTGCCGCTGGAGAAAAGCATAACACGTCAGCCTTCGGGGCCGCACAACGATCCGCGACCTCGTCGAAAGCCCGGCGTGGTGCGACCACATTCGTGGTTCCCGAGCCCCAACCGAAAGCTAGCATCCTGGGCGCGCCAGCCGCGGGCCTAGGAGAACGAGCACACGACGGAAATGTTTGGACGACGAAAAGCGTTTGTGGCGCTGCGGCTTGTGGCGCGGGTGACCACGACAAGCAAGAAGATAAATGTGCTAGTTGTACTCTTCCGGCGTCTTCACTGTCACGGCTAAAGCGACCGGACAGCGATAGCAACCTGCTAGAGGATGTGGACGACGACAGCAGCTGCAGCGGCGGTAGTTCTCCAGTGATGGAACGCCAGACCAGCAAAGATCTCTTGGTTCCACTAGATGAGAATGATGGGGACGGTATCGACAGGTTTTGCGGTCCGGAAGAAGGCGGGAACAAGAAAATGCTACGCAGCCGGGAAAATAATCGAGATCAGCATCAGCGTCACGACTGGTTCCACTGCACCGGCACCAGCTGCAGCAGTGATTTGCAGCGGGTTTCTGTGGGTAGTGTGTGCTCCAAAAGTACCGTCTGCCCCTCCAGTACCGCGTCTGCATCAACATCGCCAGCGACACTAGTGGGCGTTGACCTGCTTCGCAGAGATCACGGATGCCATGGGCAAAGACAGTCTTGCAAAGCGCGGACGTCTAGCAAGGACCGCGGCTCAACGCAGTCTTCGCGACAGAGGTCGAAGCCGCTGGGAGAGGAAAGCACCAGCTTTTCGGGCACCAGGTCCTCGTTCCGAAGCAAAGGGACCACGTGCGACACGCAACTAGCCGACCGCAGGTACATTCGGAAGCTGTGGCAGCGTTTCCTCGCGTTCGTGGTTGGTGCGGGGACTTTCTCGGCCGGCTGCTACAGCATTCTGCAAGCACAGCAGGCCACGAGGGAGGAAAGCCGCGAGGCTCTGCGGTGCCTCACTGCCATCACCGGGCACTACATTTCCAGCGGGAGCGAGTTGTTTCTCACACCGCAGCGGGTACTGGAGGACCTGTCTCGCGGGACGCTCGAATCTCCCGGGGGCGCGAGAGTGCCGGTTTTCGGCGGGACGCTGGGACAAGGAACACGCTCGCACTGCTTCCCGCCGGTGTCGGATGTACTAGTAGGCCGATCCGGTACGATTGCGGTGCAGCCTCCGTCGCCAGGACCCGTTTCGGGGGGAGATGTTGACACCAACGTGAACAACTCCACCGCCTTTCGTCCCACTACCGCCGTGCCACCGGACAGCGCGGATCAGGAGTTGTACCTCGACACACAAGTACTGAATCTGCGAAATAGCGGCCGCCATGTTTCTCCCGCGACGGGAGAGAAGAACTCGACATCAAGAGAGATTTCCGCGATCACAAATCCGCTAGAATACGTCCGAGCGGAGCTGCAAGACTGGTACGAGGACGATTTTGTGCCCTTTGTCGACGATTGCTGTCCGAACGTGTTGGTCGCTCCTCGCAGCAGGGAACAATCTTCGTCAGCAACACAGTCTACTACGGAAGAAGAAGATGAACCGGCCTGCGTCTGTCCGAACCTGCGGCAAAAGCAGGTTGCCTGGGCGTCGCGTTTCCGAGCGGCCCAACTACACGCGGAACGCCTCGTTGACAAGCACGCAATGGAGAGCCAAATCGTTACGCTTGCCGGGACTGCGTGCCTCGTCCCGGCGCTGTGGGCGGCGTCGCAACTGGCAGCTTCGGCCTTGCGTGTCGTCCGGCGCTTGGGTGGTGGAGGGGGAGGTAAGCGATCTTCTCAGCGCGGAGGTTCCTATGAGGAACAGGAAGCAGGAACAAGCACGATGTTGGTGGACGAGGAAGATGCAAATGAAAAGCCGGACGACCTCGAGTCGTACAACGACTGGCGAGCTAGAGGCAGCACGGGTTCATCCGATTGCTCTTTGGATCTTCAGCAGTCTCGTGGGGGGGGACTGTTGTCTTCCCCTTCAGTGTCGAGGCCGGCGACGCCCGAGAAGAGCTACAACACAAAGCAACCCGACAGGTTCAACTTTTCGAGTGAAGAGGTAGGAAGCGTTAATGGCACGGGCGAAGTGGTTGACCACTTCGATTTTCTCCCCGTTTCTGCCTTCTCCCCGCCGATGTTTGTTCTACCAAGCGCGTTTCCTGTGCAGGATCCAGACCATGCGAAAGTAGCTGGTGCCGCATCCGCAACGCAGGACGGTCACGGCTACTCTAGAACAAACAAGATGTCGTCGAGCGACAAGCGAACAGTTTCGGGCGGAGATTCATCGACGGCATGTGCAGACTCGTCCGCGACTTTCTCGTCGTCCTCGGCAAGCTCCGCGCAACCCCCCGCAAGGTGGGTCTTGGATCAGCAGCATCGGTGGGTGAACGGAACGGCTTTACCAGGCAGCATCGGTCCGGTGATTGGTTTGGAGGAGGAAGCGAAGGGGCCCCCGCGTTCTGTCTGGGCGGGCAGCGGTGGGGATATCGACGTTTCTTCGGATTCTGAAACCGTGTCAAGAAGAACAACAAAAGTTTCGCCGCGAGCGTCCCTCCTCGCTACCGCGGAGCAACGGAGCAAGACCAAGGAACGTCCGTCGGGCCGACCAAGTGGACAGCATCAAGGGGCGATGACTTACAGCGATATCGTTCCGGGTGGAGCTGTGGGTGCTTCGACGACGCGTTTCGAACACGCGCCTCCACCCATGCCGGGCGCAGCCTTTCCTGCCAATAATCATGATTTTTTTCCCGCAGGGTTCTCCCTTGTATCCCCTGCTCTGAGAAGTTTGCCGTCGCTGCAATTATCTTCCTCCGAGGACGAGTGCGTTTACTTCAAGCCTGGTCAAAGCGCGGGGGCGCAGCAGTTCCCACTCGCTGAACAATTTCCGAGTGCCTTCCCATGTTCCGTTCCCCGAAGTAAAGCCTCGCAGCACGGTGGTGCAAGTACGGATCCGCTTATGCGCGGTGGCAGAGATCCCCTCAGCAGGGCTTCGACGCGGGACGTCGGCACCTCCACGAACCCGAGCACGTTCACTTTGTCGAAGGAAGGCAGCAAGGAAGATCTTGATGGGTGTCTGTCGATCTTCGAAAACGTACCCAAGCAGTCCGGCGAACAACGCAGCTTGCTCGCTGCTGGTGCTGTTGACGCGGAGCTATACGCGAAAGAAGGCACAACCGGCGCAATGGATACTCTCAATGATGCCGTGGTTGCAGATTCGGATACCTTTGACGCGGATGAAGTACCACTTTCGGTGCAGCAACTCCTGTGGCAGAAGTCCGGGCACCTGGAAGACTCGCGGCAGCTCAAGGTGCCCAAAAGCTGCGAAGAGATGCACGAGACCGGGTATCTGTATACGGGTGGGAAGGTGGCTCGACTCACGCCGGCCGACTGCCGGAGGCTGGCTTCGACGGTGCAGGGAGGGCAGGGCAGGAGAGTTTCGGGCGACTTGCTAAACATGCACGTGCAGGGAACGTACCGCGACGCAATAAAGCCCATCAGTACAACAGCGCGCCAGCAGGAGCAGGAGGAGCTCCATGGACAACATGACGGCAATGGAGTTTGGCAGGGGGCGAGGCTCTCGCCAGGAGAGTCCGTTTTTGTACAGGTGTTCGAGAAGCTGGAGGGCACCTACAATGGGGTGTTGGATGCGCTCGATGCAGAGGAGCCATTCGATGTGGGCAAGCATTTGAGCGATCGAGATTTGGAGCGCATGGGCGAAAATATACGGACAGCGGTCAGTACTGACGTAGGGTGGAGGCAGGAAGGAGATCTGGAAGAAGGACTGGACAATGGCGACATGCGCCAAAGTTTATTCTTGCCGCACCACAGTGCATCATCTTCATCGCCAACCGCGAGGCGGGGCAGTTCGTATCGCAACTTTCTGGCCGAGACCTCGATCTTAGAGCAAATTGAGGAGAGTGTGTCGGCGAAGGTTCTGGACGAAAAGCAAGAGGCCGGTACGCTATTTCCGGACAGCGAGGAGGCCCTGCTTTTCACCGGAAAATGGGAGAAGGTGACTGAAAACACTGGCGCCGACAGCGATGAACAAGACGAAAGGCACCTCCACCGACCCGGCTCCACCTCTTCGCTTCGGCCTCTGTCGACCGCTTCGCCGGTTTTGGAGATTCTCGGGCACGAGATCAGTCACCACGGATCTGTCACCTACAGTTACGATCTGCAAGATCCGGACTTCCTGCTCTCGCACGACCAGCACGCGGCCCTGGCGGCGACGGCGCGCGCCGAGGAACAGGCAAGTCGCTTTCTGCAGAGCACGAGCACCACGGCCGACTCCAATCTCCCGGGCGCGGATGCGCTTCGGCCGCGCGACGGGGGGACAGCTAATATTCCTCTCAGCCTACAGTTCAATTTTCTCCCGCCCGTCTCGCCGCGCCCTCCTGCCGAGTCTGCTACTAGTACCGTAGGTGCGTCGTCGTGGTCTACACCTTTGATGTTACAACCGGGCCACCACGCTAGTACACCAAGAAATGCGTCATCTGGGGGCGGCTCCCGTAGTCACAAGACGAAATTCTCCTCCTGGCGCGCCGTGAAGAAGAGGCAAATCACGAAGAGGCACACTGACCTGCTTCGCAAGACCCCGCATGGCGTGCGGCGGGACCGACTCGCGAGTCAGACCAGTGGTCCGACCACACCGGCCTTTGGGACCAGTGGCGGCTCGGTGGCCCAGGAGGAGGCGCAGTGCTTTGTCGTGGACGAGCAAGACGAAGGGAGCCGCCAGCTGCTGAATGAACCGATCCTGCAGCAGATTCTGCAGTTCCAGCCCGGAACTTTTTCTTTATCTTCCCCGATCGACCAATATTTTGAGGAAAATGTGATTCTCGACTCCAGGCCTGAGTACCAGTTGCACCCGGCCGGGCTGCGGTTGATTATGTGGCAGCGCTCGCCGAGTGCCCGCCGTGGGGGGACGGCGCTGGTCATGAGCATGCGTTTGCTGCGCGCCGTCGCGGAAGGGGGCGGTGGAGCCGGGTCGCCGGCACAGCGCTGGGCGGAGTCGGACTGGAACTACATGATTCGCACGCGGGAACGGCAGGCCCATCCCGTCCTCTCCGGCGCACAGAGCACGGCGCATTTTCCCGGGTCGCCTCCCTCCGAAATCACCTCGACCACCCTGTACCGTCGGTTGACCCCTCGGCTCAAATTTCTGCCCTCGCCGGACGAACGACGGAGGAGGAAGACGCGAAGTTTACTACTTGATTATTGAAAGGAAAAATCCCCCCTCCCCATATTGAAAAGGTATGTCTCCGAAAATTTGTGTTGCTGATTTGAGGCCACAAATCACATTTGTCGCGCAAGAAGGCGACCCTACTGTCTCCGCCGCACTATGCGCGCGGTTTGTGATGCTGCCTGGCCTACAGCATAGGCATTTGTGATGCTAAGCGTCCACGTCAGAAGCTCTGTACTCAGGCACGGCGCATGCCTTCAGTCCTGCACTGCAAGACAGCCCTGATTTGTGTACGGAAATCCAGCATCAGAAACTTCGTTTTGATATGGGGAGGGGGGATTTTTCCTCACAATATTGATGGCACGCAAGAACGCGGCCAACAGCAGGCCGCAGAGTTGTCCTATTTTCAGCTCAACGAACTGCTCTCGGTGTACGAGCTGTCGGGCGTCTGGCAGCGCGTGGTGCCAGGCTCCTCGCTCTCTGCGGAGGAACAGCGTGCAAAAGACAACGGCGCGCCACGAAGAGAGGAGCAGAATCGACGAAATAACCGTTTTAGTTCCGGTTCGTTTCGCATATTTGGCACCCGCATTGTCCCGCTAAATCGGGAATCCGAAGTGCAAATTGTAGGAGATGCTGGGCGAGGCGCGGCGAACACGAGGCGCTCATCTTTCGCGGCAGTCGGCCAGGCGAAGGCTGTGGACAAGCTTCGTGGCGAGGCGTGCGCGCCGCGTAGCAGTTCTTCGAGTACTGGCGGAGCTGTCTTGCAGTTCTTTCCCGTTCTGTCGGATTCTGCTCTTTCGCAAGCGCCTGCACAGCGTCGAAATCGACCCGCGGCAGCAGAGCCGCGAACGCGGTACGAAATTTACCTGACGGCATCCGAAGACCAAATTGACCGGGGGCTAGAGGGGGAAAGTGGTGACGTTCATCTGGGCGAGGAGAGGCATACGATCCGGGTGCCTATTTGGTACTCTCCGATGACGCCGACCTTCATGTTTGTGGGAGGGACGCTCTTCATGCGTGAAACACCGACGCTAATGCTTGCGTGAACGGGGAAGCAACGACAAAATGACTAGCAGTTCAAAAAAATGTGCTGCGCTGAAAAATGTACTGCGCTCTACGCAGGAATAAAGATCCAGCACTCCAGCAGGGAGATTATTGCAAAGCGAGAAAATGAAGAGCGCTAGTACACTGAGAAATGAAGAGAACACGACTAGCACACTAGAAAATGAAGTACACTACTAGTACACAATCTCAAATGTATGATCAGTCACTACACACGACTCAAGCACGATGAGACTGTGCTAATTATACACAAATAGGCTTTATTGGTTGAGAGGTTGCAGCACGGGTGCAGATACGAAATCGAAACAATGTGCGCCCGGCTCGTGGAACAAACAAGGCAGACCAAAGCAGGCACGCCGTATCAAAATCCTCTCGTTTATGATCTGTAGCTTTTAGACATGAAGATTAGTTGTGTGACGTCAAAGGAGTCGTGGGCGTTCATCCTCGAGCCTATTCGCGGAGTAGGTGACATCTGCGGAAGCACTTATCAGCTGTAATTAACAAAGGCCTCTTATCCTGAGTAAAAACGTACCCACGCCAGAGTTGTAATGCAGATTTGCAAAGACAGCGACAGGAAGACTCGTACTGCGCATCCCCATGAGGGCCATTTCCAGTCGTGTTTTGGAATTTGTGATGCTGTGAACAGGATGAGCAGATGAATCTGTGATGCGGCTGCACTTGCTAACCTGCACTACACTGCAGAGTGCAACTTGTCATGCGTGACTCACAAAACTCCTAGGATTGTGTTGCAAAATCCTCATCCTGACTCTGGTGTGGGTACGTTTTTCCTCAGGATACCTCTGCCTCTCCAAGTACACTAGAAAGTTGGGCCCCGTGGTGCCGGTTTCTCGGCGCGATGCGTTTTCGCATCGTTGTGAGAACAGACGTTGACGCTCCGTACTACTTACTAAACAGTGAACGCAAGAGACGCGATGAAGTTAGTATCACTGTGATTTCGTTGCCGATAAGTGAAGGCATTCGAAGCGGAGCGATGCACCCACTGCAAGGCGAATGATCGCTCGACCAAAGACTGGGGAAGCCTATACCTAAAGACCCCTGCATTATTTTCAATAAGAAGAAAAAGGGCGCAGGCAAACGGTGAGCGACTTGTGACGCGCCCAGTTTCGAAAACATCTCCCGACATACTAGTATATGAGTCGAGATATTTTAGTCACGAAAACACGACGGCAGTGAAAATGAAAGCAAGTGACCACAGCCTGCTAAAGACAACGATAAAAGTCACAGATAACTTCCTCGAGTTGCATGATTTTGAAACAGAGCCACCGATACTTATAGAGAATCAAAACAGAGTGATTTTCAAGGTGAAAGAGACCACGGACAAGGAATGGGAAAGGTTCACACGAGAAGTAGCGAAGTTGTTTCGAAAGGTGAACATAGGAGATGAGACAGACGAAACAAAAATAGTCGACTATTGGACGGAGGGGATTCTTCGCCGCGAGGACTGGGTGCCGGGGCAGGAGATCTCGACGAAGAAAGCAGATGGGCTCTTGATAAAAATGCGAAACATCTTCAAACAGGTCGGGAGACGTACGCTGAAGTTCAAGCATGAGAAGAAAAGGAAGAAAGACAAGAAGAACAAGGAGGAGCAAAACATGAACAAGCAAGACGTAGATGAGAAAAATCACAACGAAGAGAAGGCCAGCCGAGAAGAAAAGCACGGAGACGAGCAGGAAGACGTAAGCGCATCCCCCCCAGAGATAGACTGGGATGGGATCATCAAGAGAAAAGGCAAAAGCAAGTGGAGCACAGGCTTCCCCAAAATGATGGTGAAGAGCGACGAAGCGACAGGAGTAAAGTATCTCAAGAGGGCGACGGGGGTCGAAGCCAAGGACCTGAGCGAGGCCAACAAGGAACTAAAGGCGCGAAAAGTAAACATACCCCCCCTAGAAGACGAGTGCACGCGGGCGCCGGCGGAGATATGCAGGATAATAAAGAACTTCTTCAGAGAAAAACCGTTCAAAGTTTACGAAGAATTTGCAACGCGTCCGAGCTCGAAAGACGAAGTCGCGCAGGCGTGGGGAAAAGCGGAAGCCGACTACAGGACAGCGCAGGCAGAGGCGAAAGAGGAAGGAGGCGCGACGTGGTCGCTCTCATACCAAGAAGTGGAGGCAGCAATAAGAAAGTTGGAACCAGGTCGCACGCCCGGTTTTTGCATGACAACGCATGAAATGATCAGGCATGCAGGGCCAAATATGAGATGGGCAATATTTCAATGCATGGCGGCGTATGTGAAGGACGGAACGTATCCGAAGATGGGAAGGCAAATATCGATGGCAGCAGTGCCAAAAGTTTCCGGAGGTTGCTACATAGAGTCCCTCATGCGACCGGTGAGCCTTTGCTCCGTTTTCAGCAAGCTCCTAGACAACGTGCTGGACACACAGACGACAGCCCCTCTTCCTAGACGGGTGGAAATGGGAGGGGGCGACCCTCCTCGGAAGAAGCAAAGCGGTCCAGCCGGAGTTCTCCAACGCGTGCAGGCAGTCACACGGTAAGGAGTTTTCGACGGTCGTCATCGTAGATGGCATTTTCAGGCAGGCGCACTGCTCAGTCATCCTGAATGACTGCTGTTCGGGTTTTGATATTGTTTGTCATGTAGAAGCCCTAGGGCAGCTGGAGTATAAGCTCTGCCCACCACAGCAGCGAGCATCGGTAGCAGGTTTCCTGAAAATGAGGAAGATAAAGCTACCAGGAGGAAAAGAGTACAGCCTGTGGGTCGGCAAGCCGCAAGGATCACCGTTGAGCGGCTCGGTGTGGAACGGATACACAATAGAATTAATAGTAGACCTAGTTGCCCTAGACGTTGTGAAGGCGCTGAGTGCGTACAGCGACGACATCACCGCAGTAGTGGTCGAGAAAGACGAGTCCGAGAACATCCCCGAGAAGATGCGACAGCTAGGCCTGAAAAGAAAAATCTTCTTCGACGCGAACAAGCACAAGCGGATCACATTCAACGCGAAGCGGCCACCAGCTAAGTCATGCACAGGGGTGGGGAAGTCTCTCGGCGTCACGTACGACGGGACATACTCCTTCACCTCGCAAGCGGATCAAGTCCTGAAAAAAGTAGGAAAAGAGTTTGCATTTTTGCAAACAGAAAAAGGATGGAGCAAAAAACAGAACAAGATGCTCATCGAATCTTTTGCATACCCAGCAGTGACCTCAGTCTCAGTAGTAACATTTCCATACTTCACGCAGACAGCGAAGAAAGAAATCGCAAAAGAGTTCTCGACGAAAATAAAACAACGACTAGGCATTCCGAGGCACTGCAGCAATTCGGTCATGTATAACGCCACAGGGCTGCCGCACCCAGTAGACAGTCTGCTAGTTGAAGCATTAATGACTTTCTACAAGGGGGCCGCGCTCAGTATCTGGCCCTTCCACCAGGAGGAGGAAGAGGTGCCAGATTTCAGGCCAAGCAAAGAACTAGAGCGAGCAGCAGGCTCGCAACCCCATCCCCCCACACAGGTACAAGCCCCGCCGGAGGAGGCCGCGCAGCCGGCGGCAGCTGTCTCGCACGGCGAATCGCAGGCAAGCGCGGACATCCCCCCCCCCCGACGACATCCCGGGCGACGATGCAGTTGCTGCTCTGCGTGACCCAGTTGCAGCGACAGTAATAAGAGACAATCCCCTATGGGCCCACTGCGACGAAGCATGGACAAGCAGAATGAACCGAATAGCACTAAGCCAAGAATTCCAACCCATAGCAGCAAGCGCCGCCAATCTGCAAGTAGGGCGGCAGTTCTGGCGCGGCGTGAACAGGATCCAAGTCTTCCCAATGAGCAAAATAGCGAGCAGGTTCCGTCTACGTGATCCCGCGGACATCAAGAAGCACAAAATGAAGAACAACACGAGGCGCATGATCTCGCGCCTGATAGAGAAGGAGGCCAGGCGGCACCTTACGCACGCGGACACGATGGCGACTTTCACGGACGGAGGAGCAAAAGGCGAGCGGGGAAGTGGCGGGGGAGCAACATGGCACAAAGTCCTCCCGTCGGCGCCGAAGCCTGCGCCAGTAGTAGCCAGCTTCTGCGGAGTAGAAGCAAAAATCCACTACGAACTAGAAATCAACCCGGACTCCTTCGACGGCGAGTGCTTCGGCTTGAAGCATCAGATTAATGAAATACTAGAGAAAATACCTGCAGCAGTACTGAAATCCATCAAGCGGCACGTCTTCTACATTGACTCCAGCGGGCTGGTGATGGCGATAGAAGCACTGCGGGACAAATCCAATGTCATGGTGATTGACATTGTGCGAGCACTTGAAAGACTAGAAGAGGCATCAGCGCCAGGAGTTGAAATTATTTTCAACTGGTGCCCGTCGCACCTAGGGTGCTACTTCAACGACTTTGCAGATGCGATGGCAACAAGAGGCCTGAAGTACGTAGGAGACTCGTCGCAGGGACGTAAAACCTTTGAAAAAGTCATAACCGAGAAGCTGCTAAGAAGGATGATCAGTCAGATCGTCTACAGCTGCCCCAGAGGCTATAGCAGCACCCACCCCGCCTTACTACGCAGGTCCGAAAAGCTCGGACAGTACCAAAGCGACGAAAAGCGCCCTCGCTTCATCGACAACGTCATGGCTCTAGTTTGGCTAGGGGTGGGAAATCAGGGGCAGCTAGGAATGGGCAAGACAGTTCATGACGCTAAAAAACCCGAAGCAAGTTATATGCAGTGTCCTATCTGCAAGAAAAAAGCGACCCCGACTACAGATCGCGCACTGTTTGAGTGTGAAGACGTGCAACTAGTGCAATTGCGCAAAGAGTGTCTAGGCTGGCCACGACAGATGTCGTGCGAAAATCGCAGAAGTTACCTACAGGAGCGGAAAAACGTGAAGAACATTCTGAACTACTACGAAGCGGCATCGCAAAAACACGCGGGAATTCTTCCCACGGGGCTAGCCAACGCGATCCGGGCCGGGCAAGAGAAATTCAACGCGGCGGAGTTCCAAGACCTGCAGGAGTGGCAACCGGAAAAAGCACAGACGAAAGTGCACGAGCGAGACCTAGAAAAAATTGCGAAGTGGATCGGCGACCTGTAGCGCGACGGCGACAGCTGCATGAGAAACAGCAGAAAAAGCGGCACGGCGCAGCTTCTTCCCTTCCTGTTGATTGGCGCGGCGCCAATCAACGGACGAAAAAACCACAGCCCCGACCACCCCCAGAGCCTGTCTTCTACGGCGCAATTTTGCCACCGAACCAAACCGCAGGGCAGTACCACGAGGCGAAGCAGAAATCCCCACCCTCCCCCCCACAGTCTGGCCATGGCGGTAAGAGATACCCCAGGCGGTAGGGCAAGTGTGGGGCGTTAGTGCGGGAGGAGCGGAACCACACACAGTGCGTCCCCTGGGCTCTCCGGAGCCGGAAGTCAGGCAACGTGGGTGCGCCAAGTGGGAGGTGGGGAGGCCGAGCAGCCAGACGGAGACAAAGAAGCGTGAGATGATGTTGAGGCGCGTGTTGAGGTGCTAACATAGCTAAAGGCACCAAGCTGCAGTGCATAGTTAAACAGAACAAGTAGCGCAAAAAGCTGTCCCTACTGAGCTCGATCGCGAGTTCAAGGCGCGGAGGGCATCAGAGGAGAGCAGTATACTAAACAGCGGCTGTTTGGGACCGGCGCGGTGGATGATCATTTTCGTCCCATTTTCTGCCGGATTTCTTTAGTTTAAGATCCGTCGACGGCCGCCTCTGTTTGGTCGTCGATCGATCCCTTGGAAGGACCTAAATTTTCACAATTTTGAAAATTTTCAAACAAAAAGTCATCCTTTTTGTGTTCCGAAGTCGTCGCTTCCGCCCCTGTTAAGGTTTTGGCGGTCAGTGTGTTCCGCAAATGCAGCAGTCGCGGTCGTTAAGTATTATAATGCGTTTTCGAAGTAAAATAGATAGGATTTGTGATGCAGAATCTGTCGATCCGCATCACAATATGGACTCGACAGCGACGGCATGGCCGTCCGCACTTTTTCGTGCTAGTGTTCTCCCCCATGCTATGCCGATGATGATGCTTGTGTTCGTCCGCGCATCTCCTAGCTATTTCGAGGTCGTATCGTCGTGTTTTCTTCGTGTGTGTTCAACGCCGACATCGGGGACCGCTAGCAGCGACCACCGAGTGTGCAAGCCGGGCGCCCCGGATTGGATTGTATCAAAAAAAAAATGGAGACAACTATCGATAACTAAACTAGACAACCCAAGAGGTGACGTGCATGCGAAACAGGTGGTACTAAGTGCATCGCGTTCTCCATGCATCTCGTGACTCGATTGCGACATTATATTTAAACAAGAAAAAGCAAAGTGATTAGTACTGCCAGCTCCGCAACCTTTTTGGAGCACGTGGTCGCAATAGTTGGGTCGCATGTCAAAAAAAATGTTGTTGTCATGCGCTTTTGCATGTTGTCTAAGTCTTTTCGATAGTCGTCTCATGATTAACCACGGGCATAAAGCGGCCGCACCGAAAGCCGTCGTTTCCAGAAGATCGTCTTGAACTACACCCGATCGCGTCGTACTGCATCCAGGAACAGCCATCGGAGTCGTTGCGGAGCCGGCGATGCATAACGGAGACGCAGGTATGGTCATCGGAATCGGAGGAACATATCGACGAAAAGTATGATACTAATGATTGAAAGCTAGCTACACACGAAGTAGCTTCGCTGCTTCGTATATTCTTTTTGGTCTGTAGTTGCAAAGTGTTTAGGTCAAATGCAAATAGAAAACTGCCATCTTGCCTCCGAAAAAAGTAATGCGATTTTAGTGCACCACGTGATGAGAAAGCGTACGACTTCCCTACTAAGCTCGGACGCATCAAGCGTCTAGGCAAGTGGGATACCCACGAACTGACAATATAAGTCTGATGCTTTTTTCCTTCTTTCACAAAACCAAAGCAGGACGACCGCCGCTACGACGAATGTCTTCGTGTCGCATCTATCGCAGTCAAAACGCGGGCGAAGGCCTTGAGAAGAGTGTTTTGCACGTGGTCGTGTGCAACAGTAGCTGATGAGAAAGAAAATGCAAAGTCGAATTGTAAGTTTTTGCCCGAGTGTAAGTGTTTAGCAGCGTCAATCTGACTACCCTGGGAAGCATTCATCTTAGATGTACAAGCACCGCCAAGGATGAGAAATCTAATGAATGCGAAGGCGAACTCGAAGTAGTTCGGGACCGCTGCCGAAAACAGCAAAAATCCGGATGAAACTCTGAGGCGTTTTTTCCATCGAAGTGTTCTTACTTTTCTGTTTTCGTGTCGCAAGAGCGGGCGTGTACATCGAGTGAAAAGGGTCGAGCATTAGGTCGGTGCTTTTTTTTGCTTTTGTTTTTGCTTATGTACTAGTTTATAGCTCAAACAAGCGTACTACCGTTCGCATTTGTTGCATTTGCAGGAAGAAGAGCGGAAAGTCACTTCTGCGAGGGAATGAGTACGTTTTTCAACGCACTTCGTGCGATAATACTAACGGGGAAGATGAGAGTGTTTTTCGTGTAGGTTTCGAGCAGATAAAGCAGTACAAGAGCGAAGGAGCGGATGGACAATGGAAGAAGAAGTCGAGACGCAACGCAGGAGAAGATGCGAAGCACAATATTTTCTAAAATACTAGCAGCTTCCCCCCTGGTTGTAACATCAACATACCGCCGCGGTTTGTTGATCTAACATCTGCGTCGTAGTATCCCCGCAGGTTTTACAAGATGAAAAAGCAGAATAAGCGGAAACCTGCGGAGACGGACCTGGTGGTAGCAGAGGAAGTACCTGCTCCACCTCCTGGGCCGCGAGAAAACAATCCGGTGATCGACTTCTTCTACGGGTTAGGAGAAGTGCCTGCTCGCGCCGCGTGGAGGTTGAATAGTTTGCTGTGCCGAAACGCGAAAAGCACATCATCGACGTACTTCAACGACATCAAGTACGAGGTCGTCGATGTAAAATGCGAAATGGACGGATCGACGACCCAACAACTATTCTGGTCCGGGTCGACAGTGGGCAGGCTGCGAATATTTGCGCACATCATGTTCATGTTTTGCACGGTGTACTTCATCATCGGGGGGTACGACAGTATCGGCACCGTGTGCATTCCGGCACATGCAGTATTGTACCCGAATAGCAGCAAGTATCCAAATGAAAAAACTCGATGCTGATTGGTGTGATCATTTTCATTCTATTTGCATGACAAATCTCAAAACGTCCGCAGATGATAGTCAACATCACCTGATGATAATAAATACCAGCTGCCTCGCAGCTGATCTGTAATGCAGAACTTGTGATGCAGAAGCACTAATCTTTCGAGTCACGTCAAGCATCGAGTTTGGTTGTGATATTTTTTTTGACCGTGCCAAGCTGGGCGAGAAGAACGCATCCTGTTTTCGGGGCTTCAGTGAAGCGTGGGAGGTGGCTGAGCAGCTGCTCAGCTACATCCGACCGGAGGAGTGGTATAAAAATCTACACCCGGCGACCGTCAAAATTTTTAGTCCCTCGACTGATAGTGGCGGATCCACAATCAACAGTTTTTTTTATGTGGGCGCCGTATTCCTGTCCAACTCCTGGCTGCGGAGCAACGTGATCCTGTGGCCGACTCGGTGCCTCGCGCACCAAGTCGCCATCACCGGCCGCAGCAGTGTCGAGCTGTATCTGGGATTGTGTGGACTCGACAAAACGCGATGGCAACGGAGGGTGTATCTGCAGGTATGAAAATTTTTGTCATGCAAAGGGTGATGCTGTGAAGATGTGGATAGTATGCAAAATAAATTTATTATTTATTTCTTACAGGGGATGAGCATCAAGCTGATGCAGGATCGGGTGCATGCAAAGCTGGCAGAGATGAAAGTGCACATCTCGCAGGCGTCTAGCGAAACCTTCAACCCAGCACCGCAGCCGGAGTTCGTCGACTTCGTAAACCGGATCCCGATTCCAATCAAGAAGAAAGAATTCTTCTTGAAATGCAACGTAAAATGCACCAACCTGATGGCGCCCCACGCCGCACGGGAACAGGCTATGCAGGCGGTACATAAATTGTACAAAGGAACCAGATTGCCCGTCTGGACCAGATGGCTAACTGTGTCCATCGCACTGGCACAGTACGCGGCGATGTGTGCATTTTGTTTGCCGCTGATTCTCATCGGGCTGGGGTCGACGATAAAGTTCGGAGATGAACAATACTTGTCCCACGAATTCCAGCTTAACATGAGCGGAAGCACAAGTTTTTTTTTTTGATATTTTGTTGTGATTCAAGATATGACGCAGAAAGAGCACGCGTGGCTCTTCGTTCTAGATTTTGCAATGCAAGTGTCATGCTAAAGCAACCACATGCATTACAGAGTCGTCGCTTCCAGAATGCATTACAAATTTCCAAATCTGAAAACACGACCCAGATATGCAGTTCATCTACAACATTAGCATCTGGATGGCGATGATTATCCTGAACCCGTCGGACAACTACTGCCGCGAACTTTTGAAGTCGAGCGACCGAGACGAATCGCAGAAACTGTGGCGGACGTTTTTGCAGGAGGTAAGCGACGCAGTAAAATACCTCGGGAACCGGGAGGCAGTTTTGTCTGACATGAAGTTCTTGTTTTGCCGGGTCGGGCAGCCGGACGTGCAATTTTCCGCAGCGCAGGAGGCCTTGGTATCGACGTTGAAGATTGCTTGACTAATGCAAACCTGTTTTCGCATGACAAATTTCCAACATCATCATCAAATGCATGACAAATTCTTTACAGATCGACTTTCACCGCGTTGCGGCGCAGTTGGGATTGTACTTCTCGATTACATCAATGCGGTGCCGCGAGTTTTCAACCAACAAACACGACTCCTGGCTCGTCAAGTACATGTTCAAAGACCGCTCCAAGTGCATCGAAGAATTGGAAAACTGGCAGGACGGAAACTACGAGCAGGGGGATCCGGGAACGATGGCACTGGAAAGCCTCGCGGCGTGGTACAAGGCGCAGCCGCCGAAGCAGCGGAAGAGTCGTCTGCATTCGGCGTGCTGCTATTTGTACCGGCGGAACCGGCTGACGAAGAACGTGGAGAGGAAAATCGGCCGGTGCAAGCGGGTATCGCGGGAAGTCCGCCACGGTTTGAAAAGCACACCAGGGGCCGACACGGCCTGCAACAGGACGGACTGGCAGAATTGCAGGGATTCTGCTGTGGACGAAGCAAAGCGGTTCGACACCACACCCGCAGACGATGACACGCAGGCCCGCGCACCTGCGGCGAAGAAGCGCACCTACCACGTTCCGCGCGCAATCGACATGAAACGGAGTCACCAGTGCAAGACGGTGGAAAAGCAGGAAGGAAAGCATGGATCGCTGAAGACAACGCACCTGCTGAACAGTTGGGGCAGTGCTGCGGAGCAGACGAAGTACGAAGCGATGGCGCAGCTGCAGAACAAAAAAGAAGTCAAAGCAGGACCCAAGTTCGAGTCGGAAAGCGAAAGCGAGGATGAGTGGCCGGATCGCGCGGAGCCGGTGGCGCTGGCGGAGCGTGGTTGCTACCTCGCGGTGGAAGACGCAGTGTGTAGTGAGTTTGTCACTGACAAGAACGATTACCGGAAGCTGTTGCCAATCTCCACCTCCCGGGTCCTGCAGCCACTGCAGAACGAATCTCCGCCGGAAATACGCGTCAAAGCGCGGAAGGTGCCACTGGTCGCGGCGATATTGGATAAGTACGTGCGGGCGAAGAGCAAGACGCTGAAAGAGAAGTGCAGCACGGATACAAAAGAAACGAAGAATGGTATCACAGTGAAGAACTACTAGCTTTTCAAAAAGAATGCGAGCTTGTTTCGCTTGACCCACAATTTGTAATGCAACACTTGCGCATGACAAGTTCTTTTTTGCAAGAAAAAGCGTGTTTTTTCTGTGATACCTTCTTCATATGTGGAGCAATTGCAGCTGCACCACCTGCAGGACGACGAAAGCTTGGAAGATAACCTGCCGGAGCCGGAACCAGAAGCGGAGATCATCGACGGAGATTTGAAGGTTGCTGCCGCGGTGGAAAAGTTGGCTTCCGACTTGAAAAAGCTGCTGACAAACGTCTTGATCACGAAGCTGCGGCACAAGGAGACGAACGAACTGCACGACTTCATGATCCTGGAGATCATGTGCGGTCCGGCGCATTTCAAGGCGATACAGCTGCAGAAGCTGCCTGCTGGAAAAGACGAAGTGCAGGGCGTTTTTGACGAGAAATTCGCGCCAACCTGCGTGATGGTTTACTCCGACTGCGACGTGGATTACGACCTTGGGGAGGCGCACAGCTTCTTCACGATGAAGCTACTACCGGACGCAAAGATGGCGCTTCCGTGCGTGTGTCGCGGAGAGCAGGTCACGATTAACCTGGATAAGACGGTGAAAGTGAAGCCGCAACCCGACAAGACCATCTCCGAGGACGCGATCAAGCAGATGTCATTGATGGAGAGATACGCTCTCAATGATAACGTTCAGCGGACGATGCGGCCGGTGGCACTGCGTATTGTATCGGTGGAAACGTAACCAAGCAGCTTCGTGGTCGGTTGCTGGAGAAATACGACCAGAACGAGCGACTGGTGTTGCGGTTGGTGCTGTGGATAAAAAAGCACTGCTCCGCAGCCGAAGCTGCGACTGAAATACAAGCATTTTGTCATGCAAAAAGCATGCATATGTGACGTTTCTCCGAACAGACCGGGTGCTTGGTTACGTTTGCAGCGTGGATAAGCTGCTGACCCGCAAGTACAGGACAAAATCTACGTGGTGAAGGAGAAGCAGAGCGTCGTGGTGCGGCTGCACCGCGAAGTGGATGAAGATGCCGCATTGGCTGCTGACGACCTTATTCCGGAGCTCTCTTCGCAGAGCAAGCAGAAGGATACCCAAACGCAGCAGACGTCTCTGGATTCCCAAGTGTCGCAGAAGGCGACTGTGCAGATCGATGGACGGGAGTACAAGGAGTTCGTTTGGCAGAAGAAGATCGTCGCATCCCGGATGCATCCGCTGCGAATTTCCGGCTTCAAGGTCAGCGAAAATACCAGCAAGTCCGACAACCGCGGGAAAGCCAAGGACAGCTTGCGTTTCAAGGTGGAATGCATCCACGGAACGATGAAAAAGCAGATCGTGGACTGCTATTCGTCGCGGTGCTTGAATATGAAGACCGGGGCAACGAAAAACGCCGTGAAGTACATGCGGCATGGCGAGCACAGCGACCACTTCTTCGTTCACCGAGTTGATGCTAAACGTGTGGAGTTGCCGTGCGCGCTTCATAGCACCACGAGCCGTCCTCCACAACAAAGATCCCACCGCTTTTCCTGGCCAACACCACGTGGATGCGCTGAAGCTGCAGTACGACGAGGCGATGAGCGAGATTCTGGAGTACGCGAAGCAGGTGGTAACCGTGAACGGGAAGAAGTGGGTGGAGATCGAAGCTGAAGCGACAATCGGCGACGGTGAATTGAAGTGCTTGGGCCCTGCGTTTGTCGCGCCGCATTACCACGATTTTCCGGCAGCGGAGGACGCGTTGGATGGTGATGAGTTGCCCGTGCTGCTGGAGAAGAAGAAGCGAAAGAAGAAGAACGGAAAGCTGCCTGCTATTGCGGAAGAACCAGAGCCGGAATCCGCAGAGAACCTGTTGCGGAAAATGGGCACCGCGTAACGGGCGGATCGACGACAAGAACACAACGATTTGGAAGGACCAGGGGGGAACGCAACTCGTTCTCCAGCAGCAGCCGGCAGCTTCAGAAAATAAGCACTCATTTTCTCTCTTTTAAGACTCTTCTGTAGAAAGCGTGATCATTTGGTAGTCAAAATATTAAGAAAATATTAAGAAAATCTTATGTAGAAAAACATAAATTATTTTGTCCATTCGAGAAAATAATGAGACCTCTATAACCGTGATCGTAGCATCGTGGAACGTACAAAATAATGGACATACGTTTTTGAAAATAATGAGATAGTAATTGCCTCAATAATTCTACTCAAAATCTTGCTCTCCTTCTTAAGTTTTCGCGAGTCGTTCTAGTTGAAGTATTCTTAATAAAATGAACAGCTTTCTTCTTGTAAAATCTAGATTTTCACGTTCCCAACTTCAATCATCTGTAGCCGGAATCGACGAGAAGGTGACCAGGATCGACTTGGCATGACCTCCGCCATGTAGAGCAGCCTGGATCTGATGCGTTCATGAGCTTGTCATGCTGGCAGCTTTGTACTTCAAGAAGGCGACCTTCTGGATTTGTAATGCAGCGTTCCTGAGTTTGTATTGCCAAGGAGATCCTGCAGATGCATACCGAAGACCGCGATGAACTCCATGGCCACGTCCGCGTCGACCTGCACGACCATGGTGTCTACTTGGTGGGCTGCACGATCTTCGTCACCTTCTCGATCGACTCCTCCAATAGTACCTGATAGAATGTAGGATAGAATAACAAATAGTAGAAGCACGCTTTACAGTAGTAGGCTTCGCAGTAGTAGACGTCCACTAACAGAGGTATAAAAGCGACGCGATGTAGTACATGAAAGTGAAGAAATAGTAATAGAATACATGAAGAAAAGTAACACATCTTGCATGGCATGGGAAAGCATTGAGTTGAAGCTTGGAAAAGGGATAGATGAACACAGCATAGCAAACATAGTGGAAAAGTAACAAAAAAGCACGCGAAAATCTTGTACAGTTTCAGTGTATAACTTTGCTGCATACTTCGCATCAGTTGCGCGTCATATTTACAGTACAAAACCAGAAAAGAAAGTAGTAGTACCTATTTGCCAGCGTGCTTGAGCTCGTTTTCACATCTTCTGCACCGTGTTCGCGTCGAAGGTCTTGATGAATAGAAGTTCGCTGAAGTGTATTTTTCGCACATGATGATTGAAAAGTGATCACGGATCCAGTTTCGTACTACAGATTTGAAATATAGTAGAAGTACTTCTTTGTTTCTCAGCGAATTGATATCGCTGCACACACAGAGTCGGTTCTTTCTTTCTCTTTTTTTTCAGAGCGAGGTAGCTGCTGATTTGAATTCTTTGAACGTCCTTTTCAATAAAAAACCGTAGCCGATTATTATGAACAGCCAATCCAGCCTTCGCAGTACTCCTACATCAGAGCGCTCTAGCACTTATCACACTTTGGGACTTCTGAGCGCTACACTGTGGGCTGGTGAGGCTTTAGCAGCAGAGAGTATTCTTGATCGTGAGTCTAGTTCTGAGGAATCTGAGCCACTCATGCCACCGCGCCTTACACGACATGATACTGAGCAGGTGGCTCAGGCCGTCGCAGAGTCGACGCGCATGACAGTAAAGATGGGTTTTCGTTTTGTTAGATACTTAGATGGAAAAGATGCGATGCTTTTGAAAACCAGAGTTCCTGATGAACCGGTATAATGAATGTTTTCATCATGCAAAATGAGAAACAGATGCAATGCTACTTCAATTTCAAATTCAAAAAAAAAAAACATCACAGAACTCGGCGTCGATTTTCGAAGCTTTGAAGCAACTTGTGCGTGATCAGAATTATACGCGTACAAAAATTAACGCGAGAATCGCGGCCCTGGGACGTAAGTCCCAGGCAGAAATTCAAAGACTTCCTTTGAGTCATGAGCGACTGATTGCGAAAGCAATCAAACGGGTGCCGACATTTATTCGTGAAGTTTTGCTGCTGACCCGTTTTGATCGTATTTTGTATGATAGTAAATTGTGGGAATTCTGTGATGTATTCGTGCACTTTGTGTCTAGTTCTGCATGACAAACTTGCAATTCTAGAAAGAGTCATCTTGAATCATCTGCGCATCAACTATTTTGATGTCGCGACGCATGACAAAGCAGCTCAGGAACACTTGACAACTAGGCCTCAACATACAAAACAGGAATTCCCACCTTGCATCACCATAACCGCGCGACGTTCCGCGACTCCGACAAGACCGTTTTGAGAGGCTGCGCTGATGAATCCGTGCAGGCGCTCCTGGTACTAAAATATTTCAACATGTTCACTTGCATCTTGTCTTGCGTAGATTCAAAAAACTGGCTTTGTCGCCAAGGTACATACGACACTGCATGACAAATAAGAACTTTGTGCCAATTTCCTAGCAGCATGTCAAGAAAGGGATTTTGTGTGATCAGAAAAGCAAGATCATGTTGAAATTGCATAAAAACTTCTTTCAGGAACACCTGATGAGCCGCGCGTTGAGTCTCAGCGACGAGTCCACCGCCTTGTCCGCCTTGTACGTGTTCGATTGGTGCGCTGAATTCTGCAGCGACAACTGGTTGGCCTGGTGCGAAGTCGGAGCCATCGACTGTCTCGACCAGGGTATCGTGAACGCGGCGAGGTCCAATGTGAACACCAAGATCCGTACGTTGCAGGGAGTGGCAGAGTGGTATTTTTGTACTTCATGTGAGCATCAAGTCTAGTAGTGATACATGTGTTTTTCATCGATGATGCAACTATTGCGCTTTCTATCTTGGACTCGTGTAATATTGAAAAAAATACTAATACCAGGGCCGAGAACCGCGGTCGTTTCTTCATCGGACCTACCACGCACATGCCCGACTTGAAGGCCAACTTGAAGCTGGTGATCCGCGCCTGCCGCGAGAAGAAGGTCCAGAAGCTCCAATTGAAGATGCGTGACGTCATCGCCCTCAACCAGACCGAAACGCCCCAACATAAATTTTGGATGAAACTCGAAACGGTATGTCATACATAGCACCGTTCTGAACTTGCATAAGCAATCACTTTCGCATGACACAGTGAGGCTTTCATGAAAGAAAATCCCTCTACTTGCATTTGAAATTACGTACAGATTGTGAATACCGCTGCGACGGTGGAAATGTTGGAGGAGGGCTTGGTCAAGGTGGTGAACCACATGAACGACCCGATGCTCATGTCGATCGACAGCGCGTACGTGTTCAAGCTGCTGGATGCCCATGAGTGCGGTGAACTCTTCATCTGGAAGGTGTACAACAAGGCCCACGGGATGGTCGAAGTGACACTGTTTCAGCTGGTACGTATCTGTTTTGTACATCAGTGTTGAGTCGGTTCAGTTTCACACATTAACGTAAAAAATACAACATCACGTGGCACAACGTCATATTTCGGCTTTCGGTTTACTTCGGTTTGATGTGCATAGCATGTAGTGGAAAGAAAAGTCTGAAATTAAATTAATACCATCATCACTACAGCGTCGTGATGACATGCGCGACTTCATGCAGAACTTGATCGACGCCGTCGGATCCCTGGACGACATGCCGCACCCCTGCATCTCCAGCTTGGATCGCCTGCGTCAGTCCATCCATGAGAACGACCTGGAGGCCTTTGCCAAGTTACCCGCCCGGATCACCATCGATCTGGTCGGGGAGGTGCGCTCCATGATCCTCAAGCTAGATGAAGAACGGATTGTCATGGACGTGAAGCGGATGCTGAACATTTTGTCGAAGATGAAGATGATGTTCGAACAGACGCAGGATGCCGGCGGGAACCACAACGTGGCCCTCCGCGACGAGGTCCACGCTGCGTTGGCCGAGTACAACAACTTGTCCGTCCGCAACCAGTTTCGTCCGTTGATCCTCGCCTGCAACATCGTCCACTCCGAGTACCAGATCAACCTCGAGACGGGCGAGCAGAAGGCCCGGCAGGTCGCTGCCCACTTGGACTATGTAGTGCAATTCGATGTTTCCATCACGCTATCGTCTTCGGTTCTATGCATAACAATGTCATGTAAAAACAACACTGGCACAAGTTCGAGTCTCGCATGTTGATTCTATGTTAGCTGGAAATAATGCTGATCTTGAAGTGAAAAAGCGTGACAAAGAGACGAAGTAGTGTGATGGAAACAATGCTTTCGCTTCCATATCGCCGTGTGCCGGAACAAAGTGTTTTTGTCCTACAACGAGGTCGAGGTCGCCTTCCAGGAGATGATGTCCGCGTTCCGCGTGTACACCCTGTTGCCGGCGCAGGCCGCGATCACCACGGCGATTATCGGAAGTATGATTTTGCTTTTTGTTTTCTAGATCGGTTGCGAGAAAGAGTTGTGAAGAGGGAGAGGAAGTGAAGAAAGAACAGTATGAAAAACCCAAACGCGAATCTTCATGCCTAGTTGCACTTCATGCAAGAAAACTTCATCACAGACATGCAGATATGTTCTTCACTACACAAAAACAGCTATCAGGTGACTTTGATGCTGCCAGCTTGGCGTTCGAAAACTCGGATGAAGTCTGGGAATTAGCGTGTGGGGAAGGTCGTAACAGTCTGTACCGCCAGATTACCAGGAAATGGCCGAATGGCAATCCCGCCGACGGGGATCAGGCCATGCCGCTGCAGATGCGACCGGACATGTACGTGCAGAGGCGCAGGGTGTCTATGGACTTGGGCGATGACTTGGACGCCGCGAATGCCGCGCCGCAGCCGATCGAGGATGCCAACAACGACAATGTGAACAACAATGAGGCCAGCAACGGCATCGAAGACGAGGAGGATGACCTGTTGGCCGATGACTAATCGGCTTTGTAAAAAAGCGAAGGCTATTGTGCTACATTTATTAGTGTTTTATTAGTAACATCTAGTGATCACGAAGTAAGTGTTGTACAGTAGTTTTTACTTTTTGTTCATGTAGAGAGCTGGCAGAAAAGCACTCTCTCTTGAACGTATGCTCTGTAAAAGGGCAAATAGGATTTGCGTTCTCCGCGCAGCGATGCAAAGATAGTGTACCTGGAGCATAATTTCGAGGTCGCATCATTCGAGAAAATAAATCTGCGTGGGTTTTCCCAAAAGACGTGAGGGTGTATCTGTTAGCCGTCTATACAAAAGTTTCTGTTTCGAGAAACCCACCAGATTATGCGACTATTCGAAAACAAACAATTTATTTGTCGATGAAAGTAAAGGACCTGTGCAAATCCTTCTTTTTGAGACCACAGAGTAAAAGTGAAAATAAAAAAAGAACGTGCACCGCAACAGCTTTTTCAAAATGCAAGCCTCGATGTTCTTTCCACAAATGCAATATCGAATTGATCACCTTTCTCTTTCTCACATGTGAAGAATGCAAATGTAACAATCGCGACGCTGTTATTGATTACAAATGCAAAAGAGTGTCGTATTATGTCTTTCGGTTTGTGGCAATTGATATTGTGAAAAGTCTTCACTTACAACACCAGCGACACATGAGAAAGAGAGAATTATGCGGTGAGTATGTTTATTGATTCATAACAAAGACCGCACTTGATGAGAAAGCATTAGCTTAAGTTCATACTAGTTACAACACCACCTCTTCCGCAGGTGGTGAATGAGTGAGAGATTCTGCTGCGCTGTCTCGCGCGGCAGCTACTTGGAGCCGCGGTTCGACTGCTGCTCTGGGCCACTTGGAGTTGTGGTTCGACGGCAGCCGCTACTTGGGAGCGGGTGCGGGTGGAGGCAGCGTGGACGGTTGAAGCCGTCTTACCGCCGTCCGATGCCGTGGACGCGCAATCGTCCAATGCCGGGTGGAGGCAGCGTGGATGCCGGGTGCCATCGATGCACCCGACGGTGGACTCTGCAGATACGGACGAGCAGCTGCGAGTGCGGGTGGAGGAGCAGCTGCGAGCGCGAGTGGAAAGGCAGCTGCGATGGAGAACGGGTGGACCACCAGCTGCGATGGGTGGACGAGCCACCACTGCGCGTGACGCAGCTGACGGTGGTCACGGCAGCTGCGAGTGACGCCGTGGACGGGTGGAGGAGCTGCTGCGTTGCTCAGTGGAAGGTGGATACGGCAGCAGCTGCTGGCGCGAATCGAGGAGCAGCTGCGAGTGCGGGTGGCACTGCGAGTGCGGGCTTTCCCGCGAGTGCGGGTGGAGGAGCAGCTGCGACGGAGGACGAGTGGACGACCAGCTGCGCCGGCGAGAGGAGCAGCTGCGCGTGACGGAGCGGACGGTGGACACGGAAAGCAGAAAGGAGAAGCTGCGGTGGAAGCGGAAATTTGGACTACGGGCATTGGAGCCAGCGCGTCGAAGGAGCGGACAGCGGTTGTTTGATTCGATCAAACCTGATGGAAATCGCATGGGACGCCGCGAATATCCAAAAAAAAGAGCTATGGCCAAATCAATAAGCGGTGGTGAAGGTCATGTCAAAGTCCCATCGTGGAATACTTCTTCAACTCAGGCAAAAAAAACGATTGCCTTGTATCTATGTCGCGTTTTGTATGTACCACATCGATTTCAAAAAAACCCCGCTTCGCATGTTCCGGATTCAATGCAATCTTTTTTTTGCGACACGACGTCAAGTCGACAATCGTTTTGACGATGCAGCACGTGATCGACATTTTTGCACAAAAGCATGATCGCGCGCGACTGCGAGTTGATGATGGCCATAGCGCTTTTGTTCTGCATATCCTGGCAGCAGCGGATGCAGCGGACCGGCGGCGAACAAGGACGAAAGGAAAAAGAGGAACAGATGCGAAAACGCCGCCGGATGGAAAAATGGAAGCGCGGAGAACCCAGCGGTCCACGGATGGTGGTCGTGCATTGCATTTGCATTGCACTTGATAAAGAACCGCTTCTATCAAAAAAAAATCTCTCATGTTGCTTGCGAACACTGACATATCGGGCTGAAGCTTCACAGTGCAGTGGTTTGCATGCTTGGGAAGATCGAAGGCAGTAGCTCATGAGAATTTGATCTTCGTGAAAAAAAGACTTTAAATACGCATTTAGATCCTACATTGAGGCGGAGGTAAAATCTCACCGGATCTGCACTGTGAAGCTTTTAGCCCTTTAACTTCTCAGATATGCATGTAGTGTGTCAGTATGGCGCTAATGATCACAAGCATGTCGTTTGCATATGAATAATGCTTCACAAACCAGCAGCGAACACACGGCAGGAGAAGCAGCCGAACAGGAGCCGCCGACTATCGTCTAAGCGAGTTCGTGTTGCGGACAGACAGAACGCCTTCCGTAAAGTGCGTGGGTGGCTTTATTCATGTCACCGCGATGCACACCAAGTGCTTAAACTAACTAGAACACAAGCTGCTGCGACACAGCAGCGACGTGACTATGCAGGATCGGTTGCTTCTGGTGTTCAACAAACATTGAAAAAAAAATTTTAAACTTTAAGAAATCCGGCAGCTGTCTGGTTTGCGTCATTCATCAAACCGCGCCGGTCCCAAGGCTGTCGCTCGCCCGCTAAGCCACTCCTAGCCACGAGAGCTCTAGCGTAACAAAGACAAAATCAGGCGGACGGCCCGGGGCGGGGGTGCTGACTAAATTCGCGCTATAATCTGGCTAAATTTTTCCGCAGGCCGCGCAGCTTTTCGGCCCCACATTGATGGGCCGCGCGCCTTTGCCCGGCCTGCGCCCGCCTCGTGCGTGGGGCGGCCGGGCGCCGGGGGCGTTCCGCGGCTTCGCGCGAGGCCCTTTGCGCTCCTTTTTCGGCGGTGCCCCCCGTGGCGCCGCCCTCGAGCGATTAAAAATTTAAAAATTCGGAGTGGTTTCCGTCCGAATTTTTAAATTTTGCAAAGGCCGGCCCGCGCCCCTGCCGGCTTCGCGGCCCCGCGCCACCGCCCGCCGGGCGAGTTCGCCGCGCTGCCGGACCCCCGGATCCGGAATTCGGGGAAGCTAAATCGGACGGATAAATCTTCGTGATTTTCCGCAGAAATTTGGCTAACCGGACGCCTAAAATGCCGCTAAAAGTGCGCTAACTTCCCCGCTAAATATGTCGCTAAATATGTCGCTAAATATCGCGCTAAGTGTGTTGCTAAATCCGACAACAGGGAAATCCCACTGGATTTGGATCCGCGGACCAAATTTAGAAGATTCCCGGTCGGAATTTAGAACACATTTTTTTAGAACGATATTTAGAACGATATTTAGACACATACTTAGACACATATTTAGAAGCATTCCAAGTGGATTTCAGCCGCACCTTCCACCCGCGATCCGATCGTGTGTGAAAGGTCCAGCTGACTCTCCGGGGGCGAAGGGCAAGGTGTTCTTCCGTCGAGCGCGGGACGTAAGCTCCGCGCGCAAGCTTGGGTAGGTCGGCGGGCGTTGACTTGAAGTTGCCCGGCCGCTCCCGGCAAGCAAGGTCCGCAGCAAGGTTCCAAGCTCCCCGGGCGTGATGGCCGGGTGGCCGCGCCGCACGGCCCGGGCCGAGCGAAGGCCCCGGCGCCCGCTCTGCGGCGCTTGGCAGAGCGGGGGCGGCGGTTGTTTTCCCGCGGGCTTTTTCTGCTTTGCCTCTTAGGCAGTTTCCTGTCTTTGGGGCCAAACTATTTAGCGGGAAAATAGAACAAATTTAGCGCGTTACACCGCCCCGCCTCGTCCGTCTGAACAAAAAACTTTTACACGGGCTCGAGACGTCTAAGCCCATAAGGCTTACGCGCTAAAATAGCCGCGTCGAGCCGTCGCAGGGGAACCGCAGAAGCCAGCAGGCTGCTCTATGGAGGGGTTTTCCTTAGTTCGGCTCGCCGGCAGGTTGCGTGGAAGAGCACCGGCGGGGGCCTGTCGCCTTTTGTTCAGCTTCGCAGGCTCATTCACAAAATAGCCCGCTCTTGGCCTGATCCTTAATATTTACGTGCGCGCCACGACCGGTTAGTACAAGACAGCGGCGGTGCTACAAGGCCACAGGTAAACCATCCCTACGCCTTCCGGTTGACCTTGACGAACTGACTACCAAAACCGTTGCAGATCTCTTCAGCATCGCAGTCGCCCAGGGTTACAACGCCGCGCATCCCGAGGGTAGATCAGACGGACCACAGAAAGGCGTTGCGAGGTGGCCAAACGACACCACGATAGCGGGAGAGCGGAAGCAAGGCCTTTGTTCTACTGTGTGGCGTGCGTTGTTCTAGTCCTGTCTAGCTTGCTAGAACAACCTCTACGAGTAGCAAGAGGGACCTCTGTCAAGAACCTCTACGAGTAGCAATAAAGCGCCAGTTACTCACTCCTCTTATGTTCAAAGACCGCCCACATACGTCGTTCAGCATTACAAATTCCGTTTTCACTTTCCGCGTTTTGTTTTGACATTACAAGATCTACCCGATTTTTATCTCGTTTGTCATGCGGCTCAGCCGCCCGACATCACCATGCTGCTGTCCACGACCTGTGCTGTTCTGCATTTGGAGATAGTCTCTCTCTTATCTGCTTTGCACTTGAAGAACGAGCTCTCTTGTCTCTCTCTTTCTCTTTTACAATTTCTTTTTTTTTCACTTGTTTAAACGGATCTCGTGATTATTTTTTTCGAACTCTGTTGCCTTTGCAGCGCATTAGCACTTACCACGGTGTGAACGTTTTGCACGTCTCGCCTGGCCCCGAAGCGTCTGCGTTTTGCTCAGTGATAAATATTATCTCCCCGGTGTAGTGCTCGCTTGATCTAATGCCCGGCGTACTTTGCAAGCGTACGTTACGCCTTATCCCGATGAGAAACACGCGATCTTATCCCCCCGACCTAGTAATCGCTTGCGCCTTAAATATATACTCTTTTTGAAGAAATTGCACAGTTTTTATCTCCCCGAGCGGTAGTTGGTTTGAGGGTGTCGAAGGGGTGTGCGCCCTTTTTCCGGCTACAAGGCGTGTTTTGCTCAAGAAGTCACTTTGCACGCCTCGCCTCGTCTATCAAAAGTGTCTATTTTCCCGATCCAATACTCGCTTGCGCCTTAAGTCTAAAACTTTTTCATTCGGCATCGGGGTTTTGTGACTTAGCGCTTAGCATGGTATACGCGATATTCGAGGTTCAACTCGAAAGGAAGGCGTATGGTTTTCTTAAAAATAATCACTAGCTCCCCGACTTATAACTCGCCTGAGCCCATTTTCGGGCGTGTCTGCTTTTTCGATCTCTTGCAGCTTTCCACGGTATACGCGATAAGATCGCCTCGCACTTCTCGCCTTGTCCCGACGAAAAGATGACGCGTGTGCGGTTTTCTTAAATAGCTGTTTACGTCTTTCCCCCGTGTGTTAGAAGGTTCGAAAGATCGAGCCGTTTTTTGAAGTCCTAATCCCGCCGAGCTAAAACAGCGACTTTTAGAAAAACAAGTAAAAAATGAAAATTTTCAGAAGGATCAAACTGACTAAAAAGACTTACCCCGCCGGGCTAAAAGAGCTGATTTGTAGTCCTTTTGATATTTATTCACTTTCGCAATTGATCTTACCACGGTATGCTGGATGTGAGTTCATATCTTTTTGATGTCTTTTTGATACTTTCTGCGCCTTTGCACCACTGTTCATTCATTTAGTTTTAAAATCACTATGGAAAAAAAAGATAAAAACGTGGCTTGTAATGCTTATTTGTCGCATTTCCGCAGATTTTGCTGTAAAATCCTTTAAAATTTATGCACCACCGCTGTGAGACGGCTACATGGATATTCAAAAGTTGCCGCGCATCTCAACTCCGTTGCGCTACGGCGTTTTAGTCGTCATTTTGTGTCTAGCATTAGCTTCTAGTGTTTACAGGTGGTAAAATCACATGATGATAGCAACGCATCCGAAGTTGCTAACTTAGTTCCGAAATCAGCTGACCCGGGCACCTCCGTGCCAGCAAAAGTAAAATCTTTTGGCACGACTGTAAAATTTGAAAGGCTCCTTCTAGTTATTATTGTGGAAGGTGCAGGTCTTAGGGTTCACCAAATTTTACTCACGTTTTGGTCTTGCAACCTCATGCTTAATGATCCATGCCACAGTGCCTCTTTACGCTTTACCGGGCTAGCATTGTAGGCGCACAGCATTTTCAAAAACAAAAAAAATAGCAGAAGTCGCCACGAGAAGCAATCGCAACCCCCGGCTATTTTAGTTCTACCATAAATTTTTGCGCATTTAGTCATAGTCCGCATGTAGATCTGGCATCGCCCGCCGTGGCTCCGGTTTCAGCTTCCACTTCTCCTGCTCGGCCATTCGGATTCTTGGCGATATTACGGCGGACTCGCTCGCTATGAAGAGGCGATGGCAGCGACGGTTATAACAAACCGACCCCCAGATGTTCTCGCAAGCCCGTGCTGGCGATCCGGTCGAAGTCTCGCTCTCGGTCTGTATTTCTGGCTGCGTGCGCACCGACTTTGACGACTGGCGGTCCAGGTGCTCCGAACAACCACCGCGGGCATTTACTATAGTGTATAGCACAATCACGAAAGAGTACATTTGTCCTGCGCACTGCTCATGCTTTTCTTTTGTATTTTGTCGGCTGATCGGCCCCATTTAGCCTGTGCTACAAACTTTCATAAATGCAGCACTACCAAGCTCGTGTAGATTTTGTTTCCCCGACCCGGATACACGCTTCCCCCGCTGCTGCCTCTCGGTTGGACACCTCTTGGGTGCTCAGCTGTTTGTCAGGGCTTTTTACATGCGCGTGTGATCCGGTGGTGCAGGAAAATGCGCCACGATGGAGGTAATCCCCCGGTGTTTCCCCCTGTCCCGCCCTTGCGCACTCGGGTTCCGCCGTGGACATGAAAGCTTTATATGATGATCGGAGGCTAGTTCGTTGTCTGCGGAGTTCCATCATGGCGTCTGATCGTAGATAGCTTTGGGTCAGGTCTGCTAATCCTGGCAAGTAGTTTCATATGGCGCCGGAGCTCTAAACAACTTACTTGTTCCTCAGCGCTATTGCGCTTGCTACTGCTGCTTGTCAAAAAGAAAGTTTTATTGTTTGATCTCCGCTTGTGGATGATCGGCGATTCGCGCCTGCTCTGGTCTGCTAGCCGCGCGCTACTCTTTCAGTTCGTGTGGGCTCCTGGTGCTGCGATCACCGTCGGGAGTTGAACAACATGAGAACATAAGGACGTCGGTGTTTGAGAGCTATTCAGTATTCGACTTCCTACTACGTTTTGATCCTTTTGCATCCCTCACGCACATCCAGGATCTTTGTGTAGTTCGAAGCCCGCCGAATTTTTGCGAGCGGATTTAGCTTTCTTACCCCCTCGAAAAAAGGGGAGTCTCCTGACCCTTATGGTCGTCCCTGCCGCCGGTGGTCACGTCCGCGTGGCGCTTTCAGCTATTACTACGCCTGGCGTTACTACGCCCGCTACTGCTTTTTGGTTGGTAAGTGGATAGATATTTTAATGTTTGGTCTCCGCTTGTGGATGGCCGGCGACTCGCGCCACAAATGCACGTGTAGCTGCGCGCTACTCTTCAAGTTCGTGCGGACTCCTGGTGTTGCTGCCACCGTTGGGAGTATAAGAAAGAAGAACATAAGGACGTCGGGTCTTTGAAGGCTTTACTTTGCAAGACCTCCTTCCGTCATTTTTGCTCTTTGCTGCGTTCACGCGCAAATTGTATTTTTGATGGATTGAGGCCCGCCGAAGTTTTGCGCGCGGGTTTAGCCCTCTTCTACCCCCCGAAAAAAGGCACGTCTTCGGACCCTTCAGGTCGTTGCCCCTCCGCCCGCGTTGCGCCCGCGCTTCGCCATCAGCATCAGCATCAGCTATATAGGTTGTCTCTCTCTCTCCCTCTCTCTCTCTCTCTCTCTCTCTCTTTCAATAAGAAGAAAAAGGAAACTGTTAGTAATTACATCAGTTGTTGTGGCTTTCCTCCCAAGAGGTGCTAAAGAAAAACCTCAAGCCTTAGAAAGTCTTTGCCTACTGCTCTGTTGAATGCCAGCGAGTCCTACCTTCAGCACGCTCGCTAATTGCATATTGGAGTTGGTTTTTATAATTTTATCTCCCTCGATGTCGACCCGACTCATCGCAAACAGAGCCTCTGCGCAGAAGAGTATGATCCGCTTTTTTTTTTGCGTCTCACGCAGCGAACATTTAATAGAATGCAGAACAAGAAGGCAATCTCATACAGAGTTTCCCAAGACCGTTTTTTTTGCCCTGCACGTGACTCGTTTCTCGATTTTCCTTTTTTCGAATTACCGTAAGCCTTATACAGTACCTGAGCACACCATCATACTGGTAGAAAAAGAATACTGGTTTGTCTGTTGGTAATTAAATTTTTTTTTTTCCGATCAGATGAATGTGTAGGGGAAGCGTGCCGCAGCAACCATGTTTTTGCTGTTTTGTTATCTCCCTCTGGTACAAATGAGGGGAAGCGACGTTGTGGCAGCGGGAATTCTCCTATTCGTTCTGATTGCGAAGTAGCACTGACGACCAATAAGCCGAAGTGAAGATTTGTTTTTACCGTTACGTAATATCATAATAAAAATACCTTTTTTTTGTTGTTCCCTAATACCAAAATTTTCTCATCCTTCTGCGTAGAAGCAATGCGCATTTGTGTCCAGTTCTTAGTTTCATGCTTAAATAAATGAAGCAGTCCGCTCGCCTTGAAGCGGAAGTCAGCACAGGATACTTTGATGTATGATTTTTCTATGTGGAGTCTTTTTGTTGTGAGAAAAACGGCAAAGATACCGCTCTTGATGCGGTATCGCGTTTCTCTTTCCCACTCGTAAATAAATGCAAATCTAACGAGAGGAGGCATGTTTCGCACTACCTCTCAATGTAGTACTAAAAAGGCATGTCGCTATGTTTTTTTCTCTACAGTACTTACTATGAAGACTACTATGGCAACTACGCGAAGCTCAAGCTATAGTTTTACGAAGAAGAGCAAACAAAGACTAATATCCAACTGTTGTTGGCAGTCATAATGATCATCCGCATTATCAGAGTTTGCAGCTTCTGAATCTGACTGATTCTGCAAGCAAAAACAATGAATCGAAGCCCACGACGTAAAAAGTTTTGTCTATAGTCGGACCTGCTGTACTGCTCAGCAATTCGAAGCTTCGTGACAAAGCTGATTGCGAAAGACTTCTTGGGGATTGCGAGCGAGCCAGCAATGAACACGCATCGCAAGAACAAACTTCTCGAAAACCTGGAGCTTTATTTTTGCAGTCACATCAACATGATCTACACCAGAACTCAAAAAAAATTGACTCTGGTTTCGTATTTCTTGGCAATGCTACTTATTTCGATTTATTAATTGCAGTTGTTCGTCAGATCGGGACGACGACAAGTGCTGGCAATGGTGGACAAGTTATGGTCACATGGCCAGGTTTCTTGCACGTGCTCTGGCTGCATACTTTCGCACTTTAGCTTTCGTTGTCTTGTTCGTCCATGTCCCTCGTACCGCAGTTTTTGTTTCAAGTCACCAATTCAATTCTGACCAATTATCTTACGCACAATCGTTCGTACCCGCAACCTTGCGTCTTCTATTACTTGTCAGAAAAAGTAATCTAATCACAGCCGAAAGAGGCCAAAAGGAAAAGCTGCTATGCTGCGTCGTCGGCGCGTGGCTCCGCGCCGGAGCGTGACCAATCAAACGGGTCGCGCCGACACCACGTGTCGAAGCGGTATGCTGTCCGTGTCCGATCTTTTTGTCCTCAAGAAAAAAATCGAGCTCCTTCGTTTCAAGGGCGCAAAATTTCATTTTCAGCAGGGCGAGTGGACCATTGCGCTGACGCAGTCGCCGCAGCGCGCCCAAGAATCCGCGATCTCCGCGATGAGCTCGGCCATTTTGGTGTTTGCCTTGCTTTTGAACTCCGTGGCGTCCACCGCTTTTTCGCCGCTTTCGAACGAGAGAAATGACGTCACGGGCTTCGCGTTCAACTGGGTTCTGGGACTCTGTTTCACCACCGCTGGCGGGTCTACGCTGTTCATGAGCTACGCTTGTCTGATTCTGACACTAGAGTCCGAGTACGGAGCGTACCGCCAGCTCATCCGATACGAGCAACTGATGGAGTTCTTTCTTTGGCTCACGGCGATCGCGCAGTGTTCCATGGTGGCACTTGCGATGCTGGCCGTGGTGTACAAAACGAAAATGGAAAACAATTCCGCGATGCAGGGCGGGTCCGAAATAAATCAAGAGGATGCAAACCAGCGCGACTTATACTCCTACCTCACGCTCGGCACGATGCTGCTTGCCTTCCAAGCCCAATTTTTCTGGTTCTACCACCGTGGACTCACAGTGATTCCCGTCCACCTACGGCACTGGGCACTGTGGCTTGCCCCGTTCGTGCTACAGATGCACTCCAAGCAGAACCAGGTCGACTGCGCGAGGGTCGGAGAACAGTATGCGCGGATGATTGTGCAGAACGTCAACAAATATTTCAACTGGCGCATGTTCCCATACGACCCCTTTTTCTGGTCGGATTTGACCTTCTTTCCGCTAAGTCTTGTCCCTCCTGTGGGAGATGAAATTGCTGGTGCCGACTACAACTACACCAAGGAGGCGGGGAAACAGGATGGTGGACAGGCGGAGAAGTTCGGTATGAAGGCCGGCGAAGAATTTCACCAATGGTGCAAACTGCTGAAGGAGTGGCATGTCATAGAGAATGCTGAAGGTGAAATACCGCAGGGTGCTGGGGCCGGAACAGGCGACGACGACGCTGCGACGAAACTTCTGGAAGATGAGTTTTCCTCTTGGTGCGTTCTCAACAGTGAGTTTGTCGACAAGCACAAAGTGGAGCTTGTGGCTACTGAATTAGTGATGAATGACTTGTGCTTATCAGATTTCAAGAAGATGGCACTTTTGAGTGCTAGTGCTCTGCCGGGCGAAGTGACAGCGGCCACCCATGGCGGTAGTCAGCTTTCGTGCGTCGAATTGTGCTTCCATCTTCTTGACTCAGCGCTGGAACCAAGTTCTGCCGGTGGCAGTGGCGGGTCCACTGTGCTGCTTTCTACTGGACAAAAAATGAAACTTGCAATGGCCATCTGCAAATACGCTTTTGAGCGAACAAGTCCGTCATTTTTGTGTAGGAGGTGCTCCCGTATAGGTGAGTGTGCCGCACTGCTTGTTTGGAATGATTTGTGCGGTGGAACTGGCGTGGTTCTAATCCTGTCCTTCCGTGTAGTCGGGGGGCAATAGCGCGAAGACGCGAGTAGTAACCTTTGGGACCACTCCTGACACTGATGAAAAGACTTAGTCGCGCTCGCAAGCGAAGCGAAGAGAGATTCACAGCCAGATGTATGCAGCTTTCGCTTTGTTTCCTATTCCTTTTCGTGTCTTTAGGCGGCTCTTGCGTGTGAGTGTGAGACTGACGACGAGGAATGCAGCGAGCGTGTGGGTGCAGTTGAGTCGACAGTAGTACTCGGTGTGTACATCTGGATAGGACATGTAGCGAACCATGGTCGGAACCGGAACCGCGTCGAGCGATTACTCCAAGACGGAGGGCACCATCAGTTCGCGTGGGGGTGCTACAACTTCTGCAACCAAGCCGAAGCAGGAGGGCAGCAGTTCGCGCGCCAAGCATGCGCACGGCGGGACATCTAACAGAGCCAACAAGTTGCCAGTGGCTGGCAGCTTTCTGTTGCAACACGCTCGGCGAACTGGCACACCCAGGTGGTCGGCCGAGGAATCGCAAGGCCGGACCCCCCGAGAGCTTGCGACACAGAATACCACGACGAGCGAGTGCCTTTCGCCGTTTCCGCGAGTCTTCCGTACCCCACGGGGTGACCCTGGTAAAGCGGAGCAACAATCGACCCACACAAGGACTCTGCTGGAGGATCATGAGCAGGGTAGTTTACTACACGAGGGGAAGAGATCTGCGAAAGCGAATTACAAAGCACACTTCCTGACAGGAGTTAGCACTGCCACTGCAGAGCGCGACGAAAGCGCTCGGAAGCACGATCGCTTCGAGCAGATTCAACGGATCTACCAGGTACTGCGTGCAGCTGTCGGGGCTGCATCTTTTAGATACATTTGTTCTCGCTAAAAGCTCTTTCAGCATGGGAAGATTTGTCTTGTCAGCAATATCACGAACAACCTCGGTGTAAGTAGTGAATGAAAAAAAGAAATCATTTTCGTCCAGCCTGAAGTGTTCGCGTCGCAGCAGTCCGCGGCTACGCAGAACCCCCCTGGTCAGAGCGGGGAAGCAGGGACCTTGGGCGACGCAGCGGAGGACGATAAAGACAAGGAGAAAGAGGTCCAAGACCACCCGGGCCACTTCCTCGAGGCGGAAATCGAAAATTTGCGCACGGGAGAGCAAGCGATCGCGTTTTTTGCCAAGCATGGTGGCACCACACGCAGGAAATTCGTGTACGCACGACGGCGCTATCTCGTTGAAAATAGGAGCGGACTGGTGATTGGGGGGGACGGCAATGACGATGCGGGTGTTCTTGACTTTCAAGGTCCTCGACAAGGTGCACAGGAATCGTCTCACTCAGGAGTTCTTGCAATCCCAGGCGCATGTCCGACAGCGGTACTTTCTCCTACAGCGACACCGCGTCGAGGAAGTAACTCGGCCCGTCTGCAGGCGCAGCGAGGAGAGCCAACCCAGCAGGTTGCGGCCGATTTGCGCCGCGAGCAAAAGCAGGCCCACCTTGTGGACCAGCATGCCTTCTGTGAGCATCTGCCGTCCGTGGGAGGCTTGAAGCTGCAGGTGAACATCGCCCCGTTGCGGCGAAAGAGTCGCCAGCTCGTGCAGAGCGCCGATTTCGAGGAAGGCGCGCGGTTCGAAGACATCCCGGTCTCATCACCGAGGACTGCCGCAGCTCCACTTGGCGCAAAGACGAGCCAGCCGTACAATGATCAACATCCGGACCAATATTATCGTGGACACGTAAAAAGTGATTCATCCCCAGGAGTCTCTCCCGGAGCTGCGGCTGATGACGGGGGCGAGGAGGAAGACCATTCGCCTAGTCCAGTCCACGGCCAGGATTTATTTGCAAGGCTCGCGAGCCCGGGAGATCCGTTTGCAGCGTATCACGACAACTCGAGTTTCGCTGCGAGCTTTTACGACCTGGTCTTGGTGCCGGAATCCGAAGTAGGGCATGCAGCAGATAGTACCGCAGCTTGTAGTGCCGGGGCTGGAAAAAATCATGCTTCTGTCAGTACAAGCGAGTACTTCACCATCTCGTCCACCGGCGTTGTGCACATCGCACCAAATCAGCCTAGTGAGCAGATCAGTCTGGCGAACTGGTTGCATCAGCGGCTGATCCTTTCGGTGTGCCGACCGATGAAGTTCTTTAAGAACTGGCGGAAGTACAAGATGCTGCAGATTTGGTTTCGCAAAGCCAAGTACGGGAAATTTGTGGAACGACGAAAGCTGCTGCAACGGAACTGCTTCTACCTAAAACCTTTGTTCGCCCCTGTGATAGCCGAGATCTTCCAGCAAATGGCGATGAAATTTTCCGCAGGAGGGGTGGTGGCAAGTGGTCATAGTACCGGCTTCGTTTCCTCTTCGAACGTCGGTGGAGGCAATGTTGTGGCGAGTAGCACGAGTGGAGGTGGGGTTTCATCATCTACTCACGGCAATACTATGATAAACGCCACCAGTGGTGCTACGTCAACGATTGGCGATCATCAAATTGGCGGGCAGAGCCATCTCAACCTGAATCTTCTGGGCACGAAGACTCTGACGCGTTTACCCGTAACCACAGCTGGGGCGACAGCTGTGCTGCAATCTGCAGCTTCCCACCACCAGCACTCTAACGACCTGAAAGCTCCTCCTGCAGTCGGTAGCGGTGCTTCCGCGACGCACGCGAGCATGGTGACGCAGGCACAGCAGGCGGCCAACGGAAGCGGTGCACCGAACACGGCGGGGCAGTTGAGCGTGCACGTCCTGATGAACAAGGTGAAGCTGCTGAACCTCGGCGCCCAGTCCGGAGCCGTATACCAGCTGGAGGAGTTCTCGGAGCTGCAGCGCGTGCAGCGAAACCACGCGATCAAACAAATCGAGCAGGTATTTGAGAAGATTTCGCTCGCTTTGGAGCAACTGGCGAAAGAGGCCTGCGCGGTGTTTCAAGTGCTGGAAAAGCAGGAGATCTTGACCAAGTCCATGGCGCAGTACAAGCTCGAGGTCAAGGCTCTGAACCGGGCGCGCAAGCTTTCGAGATTCGACATCGAGCAGGTGTTTCCCAAACTCGTAAAATTAGCCGACGTATTTCTCCTAGCGGAATTGGTGAAAACGGTGGAGGAGGAGGCGAAACGGTTCGAAACACGGCTGGACTCGGGGGTGAAACTCTTCTCCGTCACTGTGTCCTTCCCGAAAAAGGCAGCGGGAAACAACGCGGACAGCCAGGAGAACAACTCGTCGCGGCGAAATTCCCACGTGTCTAACAGTACGCTGGACGGAGCGGGGAGTGACGCCGATCTTCATGACGGACTGAACACCAGATCGCCCTCCAAGGCGGTAGGAAACTCCGCGTCCGTGGTGAATCCGATCGACGGGACGAACGCACTTCTGAGAAACCTGATTCCGGGCAAGGTATACATAGCAAAATGACGAACTTTTTTGATTCTACCGTAATAATCTGATCAACACAAACTTACAGGAGAATGACACGAGTGTGGCGCAAACGATAATAAAAACAGTCATCGATGACTGATGAGTCATGTATTTAGAACAACATCGACGACAGAAACTTCGGCTAGGGAACAGCGGAGGCGGGACTAGTAGCAGCCAAGGTCTGCTGGAGTCGATGCAACTCGAGCCGGGCTTGCCCGAATTGCAGGAGATGGTGGCGACGTTGTGGAGCAGCACCCTGCAGACACTCTCCTCCGCGGTGCCGAGCTTTGTCACCCACATGCAAGACCGCCTGGCAAATCTGCAGAACAATTCTAGCGCGACGGTTGGAGCTGCTGGGAATGGGACCACGAACAGTGCTGCTGGCGGAAGTTCGTCGGAATTTTCCGTCGAGGGATTCCAAAAGTTGAAACTGAACTTTTGTGGCGGAGAAATGCCGGAAGAGGTGGCTTTAACCGATATTGCCGATAGCAGGAGCGGCACCACGGCAGAAGGAAACACAAAAGAAAACGCTCCCCAAAAGGGAGAGGATAAAACTCAAATATCGGAGCGCGCCGCAAAAACCATGTCACTGCAGGAGCTTCTCACCGGCAGCAGAAATGCAGCCACAGACGAGAGTCATAGTGCACCATCAAAAGATCATGCCCCCAGCACGACCGAGACCAGTAAAGCAGCAACGGCAAGTAGAGCAAGTGCGGCCATGCATGGAACCACAGCAGCGGCATCGAAAACTAGGAAGAACAGGTCCAATTACAGTGTCACAATTGAGCAGATCCACCACAAGATCACGGCTGCGTTCCAGAATGCGCAAGTATACGCGGACACCACGTTTTCGCAGTTTCGCCGCATTTTCGACTACGGTTTGAAGTGGAAGCCGGAAAAGGTGCAGTTGATGGAGAGCCATTTATTCTTCTTCAAAGAAATGAACCTGATGCGCAACTTCCAAGAGGACCTGGAGAAATTTCGCCCACACCACGTGGTTTCCTTCATTCTGCTGGACGCAAAGGTTCTGAAGACCGACATTCTGGTGCCAATCCCGCAGAAGGTGCTCGTCGTCATGAAGGAGTGCTTGCAGTTGATTGCGCGGAACATCTGCAAGCAAGCCGTGCAAACCTTCGATACCGCAAACAAGTCTCTGGAGATTCCAACGCAGTTTCTCTCCGCGGTCGGCACCGGGACGACCGCGACGGACCCAGCGACGTCTGACGGGTCCACCGCAGCAGCTCCGGCTGCGTTGCAGCAAAACCAAAAACAGCTCTCGCACCTCTTGCCCCACTACATGGACCACTTGAAGGTGTTGAAAAGGATGATCGAAAACAGCCGCGAGATGGACCACGAGAGGGAGCAGGCCGACGTGGTGTTCGCCTTTCTGCGCGGCTACACGAAGACCTCCATGGACGACCAATTGCTGCTCGAGCAGCTGCACACGAAGGCGGAGGAGCTGAGCTCGAGGCGCATCGTGCAGTCGTTCCAGTTCGTGAAGACCAACCGGTCGCGCATGCTGCAGGAGTTCGGCGCGCGCGTGCAGAAGGTGGAGGAGGACTGTGCGCACTTCACGGAGGAACTGTCGAAAAACCTGTTCGTGAACGTGGAAGCGCTGACCGGGGGCATGCAGGACAACGTTTTGGCGGAATTGAAGCATCTGCACGACAAGTCCATCAATCCCCTCGAGGAGAAGGCGGACCAGTGCTTCGAATTTTCGCAGCTTTTCCACTGGAAGTACCGACCGCCCGTGACCAGCAACAGTCTGTGGGGTGCGGGCGGGGCAGCGGGACACAGTCCGGGAGCACCAGGCGGAGATCACAACATGATGCTGGGAAGCCCAGCCTCAGCGCACCACAACAACATTTTTGGGAGCACGACCAGAACCTTGTTGGAGTCGCCGTCCTCCCCGAAGAAAACGGAAAACCTGATCACGAAAAGTCTACTCGACGATTTGTACGACGATTTTGAGGATTTGAGCGGAAACAACTTTGAAGGAGCGGAGGAGCTTTCCGCGAACCAGCCAGGGGACTTCGGGTCTTTTCGTCAGGGGGCTACGTCGCGCAGCGGGAACAACGGGCAGCATAGTTCTTCGCAGAAGAGCAATAGCGCGTTGCCGGGCGGGAATGTCATCGTCGTTCCGGAGTTGAGTACCGAAGTTTTGCAGCGACTAAGGGACACGTTTGATGCGACAAAGCGTGTCTGGGAGCTCGCGGAAACGTGGGCGGTAAACGTCCAGAGCTGGCTGAATACGCCGTTTGTCACATCCCTGCTGCAGAACTTCGACCAGAATGTCGCGCAGAAATGCGAGGAGACGATGCGGCAAATCGACGACCTCCTGGAAATCGACAAAAATCTGGCAGCCTCCGGTAGCGGTGACCATTTTCAGCTCCAACTGGACCGAAAGTCGCAACGAAACAACACCAATGCGGCAGTCGGAAAGGAAAGGAGCTACACCGGTGGAAGCAGTAGTCCTGCGAGCAGAAATACGAGTCCTAGGCCGCTGACAAACCTGATCCTGGCGCTGAGAAAAGAGATGGAGAAGTGGACGGTCGAAAAGAACCCGACTCTGCTTTTACTAGCAAATATCGGTCCGCAGCAGGGAGCTGCTACCGGGCAACAATTCCCCCTCAGCTCGTCGAGCATCTGGGAGCACGTTTTCAAAGAGTGCGGGGTGCCGGCAAATTCCACCATAGCCGCACAAGTGCAGACCATTTCGCTGGCGAATTTGGAGAATTACGGCCTGTTTTGGAAAAAAAAGGACTTCTTGCAGCAAATTGCCCGGGATTACTCGTCCTAGAGCACATGACTTGTCTTGGGTCCACATTGCTTTTTTCATGTAACTGAGTTGCGTTTTACATTTACTGTTTCTGTTTCACTATTTGATAATATTTGTCGCTTCCTGAAGTTGTGGCTGAAAACGAATAAGCTCATCTTCCATCCCATATAAAGGAAGATCAACGAAGATGACTCTCTCCGCAAGTAGTTCCGCCAAATGACGAGTAAAGGGCATCGCCTACTGGAAAAGTAAAGACATGAATTATGTGCCGGAGAATCTATGTGCCGGAGAATCATGAAGTTGAAGACTAGTAAACGAAAATTTAGAACATGAACAAATATTAGATGAAAAATCTATAGCAAGTAGAACCGGTGCTTTGACGCCATGCCCACGCTTTGGGCCTTGAACCTTTGACGCCATACCCAGGCAAGGAAAGAAAGAAAGCGCCGGTGCTGCGGTCAGAGCATACAGTAGATCGTGATCTCAAAAGTATCGCAAGAAGTGTATAAAAATGAATTCGAAAACTTGATGACCTACAGCAGTCTTGCTGATCGAAAAATGTAAAGAAATGACGTACAAGCTGCACGACTCCGAGATGGAAGACATATTACACCGCAGCTCGTACAAGTTCCATTTGATCCGATCGTAGAGAAATCAATCTGTGTTCATCGACTACTCACGACGTAAAATCACGCTTTTTTCATCTCGGCGCGAGCTTGTCTAGACGATCAAAGAAGGAGAATGAATTCGACGGCTCGCGGCCAAAGATAAGGAAGCAAGTTAGTAAAGACATTACTGTGAAAAAAGTTCGAGTAGTGCTTTGTAGACCATACTAAACTAAGAAACTAAGTAGATGCCAGAGCCAGTTGGAATCGCGCTCGTCTAACGTTAGTGAAGCGCTTCGTAAAGCTAAAGCAAATACTATCTCAACTTTTTCTTTTTCGTTTCAAATCCGCTATCAAAAAGACCGTGACTGTTTGTAACTGAAACTGTAGGATTATAGAGACCCGTACAAACGAGATATCTTTTTTTCGGTATTTGTTTCTGTATGATTTTTGTAACAGAGAAGCTGAACAAGTACAAGCAAAAGAATGAGAAAGGTTTCCTCGCGTCACGGCGAAAGCCCGATGTCGCTGCTTTCCAGATCAAAAATCGGCGGCCTTGTACTTCTCGTCTTTCAGCTGCAGGCTGGTTTGAAAGAAGTTCGATGTTCGCTGATGCAGACCACGACACCGGTCGACAGCAAGCAGACCACGACACCGGTCGACAGCACGACACTGGTCGACTGTAATGGATATTACCGCCCTGTCGGCGGGCACCCGCCAAATCAGCTGCCTTCCAGCAGACACAACTACTTTCCCTCTACAACGTTAAAACCGAAGACAAAACAGATCTCCGCTCGTGCGCATGCGGCCAGCAACCAACCAGAACAGACCTCCGCTTGTACTGCTGAACAAGACTTGCCCGAAGCGGGGTCGGGCAGAACGGTGATGCCGCCGGACTTACTTTCGCATTACGGAAATCATTTGATAGCTGACGGTGCTGCAGCTGGATCTGGTGTCGGGGTTGCAGCTGCATCTGCTGAGGAAGGTGCACCTGACGGGGCCCCAACGTCGCCGGCGGCGGAAACTTCTTTTAGAATAGACACTTCGGATGAGGAAGTCGACGGTGACGATTCGTCGAACGCGAGTCGAGACCAACATTTGAAACCCTCCGGTATCGGAGATGAATACGAGGAGGCTTTCGAGATCTGCAACGATCGTGCCCAGAAGGAGCAGAAAAGAAAAGCTTTTCTGAATGGAGCCAAGCGAATTTTGACGAAGACGGGGCCATTTCTCACGCTGGCCTGCTTGTGGCACCAGGGAGTCGTGCAACAGAAGGCACACCAGGCACTCGCGTTCCTGGACCGACAGGCGGCAATTCCCGGTTCCACGGCTTGGCATGAGTTGCAGAGCAGGGAGATGCGGAGAAAGCAGAAAGAGCAAGAATTTTTTGCCGCCTATGAGCAGAACTACACGGCTACCATCGACAAGCTGAGTGCCACTGTCTTGCGCGCCGCGGATGAGGCGGCTCTGCGTTCGGTGGAACACATCACCACTCTGGACCATGCGTACGATACCACTGGCAGTGACGGTATCGATCTGAATAAAGCACTGACTGTTCCGGACCATATCCGGGACGCTGTGACTGCCGACCAAGAAGTAGTCGCAAAGCTAGCGTCGCTGCGTGGCTTGCGGAAGGATAACATAAGGCAGCTTCGCGACCAAAGAACCTCTGCCCTTATTCGGGAAGCCAAACACACGGCCGTCACGTTTGTAACTATGCTGCAATGGCTCCCGCGCACCGCAAACGGCGATTTGCCGGCAGACCAGCACGATAAGATCATGTCAATGCTCGATAGATTCACAGACGGTGGGCTCGCACAAGAACTCAGGGAAACATGGTTCACAGCGAATGCAACGGGGTATTCGTGGAGACAAAGAGAGAAAGATCTGGGGGACGCGTGGGCAAAAACACTTTCGGATTATAATCAACTTTGGTGGCCTATTGGAGGTGAGGCATCTCCGCTGGAGGCAGAAGCTTCAGTGGCCGGAGTTTCGGCCCCGGTCTCCTCCGACAATTCGGACGCAGCTTGGACTCTAACGAGAAAAGCTCGGGACTCCTCAGCCACCCCGCCGGGCCGTTCCAACACGCAGCTGCGTCAACAGTGCTCGAGCTTCATTGACAGGTGGCAGAAAAGAATCAGGCAAGCCGCAGACGGTGCGAAACATGTAAGGTTCACCAACATGAAAAGTCCGAACCCTAGTTTGCAAGACTCCCAGAAGCGCAGGCTTCGGCCAGTAGTTTCACCTGGCGCAATCATTGCGACTGTGGTTGCTACCGCTTTCGCGGCATGTCTGTAGAATTATCGAGCTGGTGCCTGCTGTGACTAGCTGCAGAGTTCCTTCCGCAGGTACCGAAAGAGGGCAGCGCTCCGACCACATTCCCTAGATTCACTTTAAAACTGTGGTTGAACTGGTTTGGTCACATCTCATAGCTTCTTGTTTCTGTTTCTGTTTCAGTATTTACATAAGAGCTGGGAAATCATTCTCACCCCGTCAGCATGGTAAATCATTCATTCGTTCTTTTTTTTTTACGTGGTAAACGGACAAACTCCTCATTGGATTGCATGTTAACCTCAGCTGGCATGTACGTAATAATCAGAGTAATTAGGAAAAGAGACGTGAAGTTTTTCAATCTCTTTTGTAAGATATCTACGCTCATAATCTGCTTGTAAACAACATAATCTGCTTGTAAAATATCGAATGCACATGTATAATCTGCAGGAAAGACATAGAACAAAATGAGTACGACATATTTTTAGAAGACCGAGAACCGTCATATTGAATCAAGCAGCAGCACAGGTCAAAGACAAATACGAAAATCTGAATCGGATTGTCGATGATCGTTCAGAAACTGGTGTTCTTCGTCGTCTTTTTTTCGTGAGGTTTCTGTTTGAACAAGTTTGTGAGTGTGAAGAGCACGATTCCAGTTCATTCTGATAAAAACTTCTTATTGGGTTTGGGGCTCGGAAGGAGCACAGAAATGTGGAAGTGATCGAGAGATGATGCACTGTGCGAACATACTTTTTTTGGACTTTGCTGGAGTGATGAAGTGGCAAAATTCCAAATTTTGTCCAAAAGCGAGACTGTATATTTAACCAGCGACCCGTCGGGTTTTTCATCTTTTTACCCTCGTAGTCGTTTTCCCCCGAAGATGATTGCCACCGCTGTCACCCCATCCACAGCTGTTTTCTACTCATTTTACTTTCCTAGCATAATTCCGCATCGACAGGGTAAAACAAAAATGCGATTTTCCACAAAAATGATCGATGTCTTCTCGTAACCGGCGGCTGGCGACGCTGCTGCAGCGGTTCGGCGTAGAGAGCACGGTGCATAATTCCGGTGCGAACAAGGAGGAGAAGCAGAAGGCGCTTCGGCAGGCCTACTTCAAACTTGCGAAGTCGGCGCACCCGGACGCGGCCCCGGAGTCCCTACGAGAGCAGGCGGAGCGAAACTTCGTGTCGTTGAACCGCCAATACGAGGAGGCGAGGACGCTGTTGGAGCAGGAAGACACCTATTTTGCGCAACAGAGGAATTATTACGAGCATGCTCCACCCCACGAGGATGGCAGTACAACTGCAAGTGGAGGACCACGCGGCGGCCCCGGTTACAACCCCTTCCAGCGCACTGGCAGTACGCGCACGGTGGGGAACAATCCCTTTGAAGACATGTGGGCCGAGACGGAGCAGACGAAAAGGTCGGAGAAGGACTTTCAGGCCGGAACCACCGCTGGCGTGCACACGCGCTACACGTTTTACCGCAACCAGGACGCCAACAACAAACACCATTTCCACTGGACGGAGCGCGACCCGCAGGATTTGCTGCAGCAGAGCGACGCGTTTTCTTTCTTCGATAAGGCGAAAGCGGTGACGCTGGTCACGGGGGTGCTGTTTGGCTTCTACGTCGGGAGCCGGTTCACCGCGTCCGGAAAAACCTCATGGTTCGATCCCGCGAACGCCTCGGAGAAACCGATCGGGTTGACCAAGCCCGACTACAAAATCGGGGTTTGGGTGGACGTATCAAATGCAAAAATGCCTGGGTCTGGAAGAATGCGCGACTTGTCATGCAGCTTTTCCATGACCCATGAGGTCTAGAATGCAGGACCTAGCATGACAGATTCTGTGCGATCTCTCTCATGCCTATTCTGCATGAGAAACTCCCTCCCGACTTGGTCAAAACTGGACGACTTTTGGTAATCATGCAACACAGATTTTTGCATGCGTCAGATTTAGCATGACAAGTTGCATTCTTCCAGACCCAGACATTTTTACATTTGATAGGACGCCGACACGGGCGAGAGCGTGGACGCGCGCGCGTTGCGTCGTGAATGGCTCGAGCAGTCCTGGTGGAAAAGCCTGCCTTTTGATCATGTCCTGTCTGGCGGCGCGCCGGTGGGAAGAATAAAAGCTTTCCATCCGAACGCGTTTGCGCCGAACTATTATTCCGCAGGTGTTGATGTCGATGAAGATACACGAAATAATTTTGGAGTGGACGATGCTCGTGGACCGGCGACAGAGGATCAACTACACTCCGACGCAGTAGACAGCACCGTGAGTGTGTATCTAAAGCCGACCCTGCTGCGACTCGTCGACTTCGCGATGGTATGGATTGCAAAAATGTCTGGGTCTGGAAGAGTTGGAACTTGTCATGCTGTTTTTGGACTCCAAAAAAAATTTTATTGCATGGCCAGCAATAAGGGTGCACTTTGGGCCACACGGATAGGGCATTTCTCATGCGGAATGTGCATCAGGAAGCCCTCCAGAAGTCTGCGATGCTAGGTCATGCATTACAGGCGTCATGGGTCATGAGAAAGATGCATGACAAGTCTTGCATTCTTCCAGACCCAGACACTTTTGCATTTGATAGATGGACTTCGGGACCCCGATGCGCGACGTGTACGATCGACGGGACTACTTTCGCGGGAGTCACATGTTTCGTCGGACCAGGTTATGCATTGCAAAAATGTCTGGGTCTGCCTCTGCAAGAATGCAAGATTTGTGATGCAGGTTTTCCATGTCCCATGAGGTCTGGAATGCGAGACCCAGCATGACAGATTCTTTGAGGTCTCTAGCATGCCTTTCCTGCATGAGAAACTCCCTCTCAACTTGGTCAAAAGGGGACAGCTTTTGGCACTCATGCAACACAGATTTTTGCATTATTCGGAATTAGCATGACAAGTTGCAATCTTCCAGATGCAGACATTTTTGCAATCCATACAGGTCCGAGCCGATTGTGGTGTTGGAGGAGGAGCAGGAGTTTGTCGTGTGTCTGCAGGAGAACGCAATTGAAGTAGCAGAGAACAAGAACAACACTATTTCTGGTGGCACTTCGTCAACAACATCCATCAGTTCCGCTCTGAAGGTTGCGGCAACTACTGCGTGTCCAACAAAGGAGGAAATCTCGCGAGATTCGACGACAGTAGAAGTGGACCCAGCATCCTCCTGGAATCAACCAGGCAACGAGGATTGTGCCAACGATAGTGGCGTGATGTTGCTGGACATGACATCTACAACTTCCAGTGTTGACCCATTGGAAGTATCATCTACAACGACTGCGGATGATACAGCGGAATCTGTAGCAGGAGCTCCGGAAACATCTTTGCAGTTGCAGCGGCAGAGCGTGGCAAAAAAGATGTCGACGGCCAACCCCGTCGTTGTGTCCTGCGTTGCCAACAATCTCGACTCGTCATCTCCCGTTTTACTGCTGTGGCGGCAGGAAGTTGTAAACAGAGACGACCTAGTCCTAGACGTTCCTGCAACCGAACCTGTGCGCAGCGGAGTTCAGCGAGCAACTGGTCAAGCACGGAAACTTGCAGAAAATAGAACAAGTCCTGAACAACAAACTGTATCGACAGGCAGTAGCACGAAGAAGCCGCTTTTGCGGGGTCGTTCTGGTGGTAATTTGCGGAGGAAAAGGAGCGTCACGGATCCGCTGGCTCGAACCCGTTCTGGGTCCTTGGGAATGGTCCCTGCCGATCTTGCGGCGAATGACGTTTCGTTGGGCACACCGTCGCAAACTACACATGCTGCATACCCTTCGGAGACAGCGGGTGTTGAGACGCGGCCGAGGCAGCATCAGTCGTCAGATGATAATCTTCTCTCTGCTCACCAAGACCCGCGCGCGTCCGTCTGGATCATGACGCCGCCCTGGTATCGTGATTCGGTGCCGCAGGAAGCGTTAGCCACTGACCGAGAAGCGCAGGAAGCGGTCGTTACGCGCGGGCTCGTGGAGCTCTATGATCCAGTCATGAGGAAAAAGATCGGCTGGAACGAGGGAGAAGCAATTTCGAATGGAGACGGTGGAACAAGCAATTCTATTTCGAGTAGCACTTCTTCCTCTACGAGAACCTCCGTGAGGACAGGACTTCTAAGCGGCCAAGGGCAGCAGGATGATTTTCTGCAAAACGCAAACAACCACAGCCAGCATTTCGACAAAAGTTCCGCGGCGAACCCCGCGCTAATCGACAGCACACGGTACGGCGACATTTCCGGCTTGCACCGAACGCGGTCCTATCTCCAGCATAATCTACTACCATTACGTGAAGAAGGGCAAGGGAGTCTAGTTTCTGGGTCTTCATCATATGCGCGAGGAGCTGGCGAGCAACAGGGCATACTTCAACACCACACGACCGCGGAAGATGGACACTATGACAAATCCGCACCAGCAGCACACATAGCTGCGGGAGAAGGGTCTTTCGCTGTTGTAGAGCGATCGACCGGCCAGACGGTCGTGCCAGCAGATGAAATTCCATCCAGCCACGGCCTCGCGAGAACAACCGCGAACCACCCACGACCGTTGGACCCACGTACGCTGACGCGGAGCTCACGGCAGGAGCAGCGGCTTATGCTCAAGGAGAAGAATCTGAAGCGGGAACAAGAGCGACTTGCGTCTCAGATCGAGAAGACCAACGCGCGAGCGGCCGAGAAAATGTCAAGCAGTATCAGGGGAGAGAAAGAAGAACCAAATTCATACTTGATCATCGATAATGTTTTCAAACGAATCATCGGTCTCAGCTAGCGATAAGGAAAGAGGAAGTGAAATAGAATCACTTTGTAGCGCTGGTGCAACTACAGACGACAAGTCTTTGCGAACATGTTACAAATGATCCACCAACTCCTGCTTATTGCACTATGTAACCCGTGGTCCTCGGTGCGTGGGGATGGCAAATCAATGAAACGACAAGACGCAGTCTGCTGATTGTAAATGCTTGCTCGAACGCCAACGCAAATGAAAACAGATACAAAATCTGGTCAGGGACAAAAATGAATAAGAATCGCGATCAATGCAAATAAAATCAAAAAACCTGATCTGGTCCTGGTCGCCGTGCACAGTAAGTATGTCGGATCAACTACAAAATCCAGCGTTCGGAGGACAATCCCGTTGTTCGCGTTCCAAATGAAGTCGCGTCTGTACGGCCCAGCAAAGGAAAATTCCAAGATCCTGAAGCGGTCCTTCTCTGCAGTTGCGAGAGCGATGAATAACCTGTGTTGCGAAAACCGTTTTCACAATGCTGCGCCGGAAGATATACAACAGACAATCTTCAGTGACTGTAGCTACCTCTGAGACAGCTCTACCGATGATTTTAGAAATGGTAGACCTCACACGTAGCGTATTGTTGATTTAATTTCAGAAAAAAAAGTATACACACCACTTCTGCCTGAAGTAGATCTATTGAGTGAAGAGTTAGAGTGCTTGTAGGTTATTATTTCCTGTGTGCCGGAAACAGAAAGTAGATACTTATTGATAGTGCCAGTTGTTTGTTCATCATTGAGGTCGGCTTAGTGGCAATTTATTTAGCCAAAATAGGCTTCGATCTTCAATATTTCTCGAATATGAATATCTGAAGCCCTCAATGCGGAAATAATTTTTTACAGTGCGATAATCTCATTGTTTGAAAGGTCGATTTTATTACGCCACCATACGTCCTGCTGACGTAAGCACCGGTCGAAAGTGCTTTTTTGGAAAAGAAGTACTTGCTTTTCCTCGCAAACACCGAGCACCATCACTCAGCACCCTGCGCGGTCGTTCACCAGACGCGCCAGAGTACCAAGTTCTTAGTTCGATTTTTTTGGCATCTCGCGATCCCACAGATCCAGACTTCGGTATAATACTGTAAATATGCAGTGGCGCTTGTATTTCAACCATCCACTTACCTTCACCATCTGATTGGTTGCAAACTTCGCCTCTGCACATGTCTGGAACAAGGTGCTAAATCAAGAACGACACTTGTGCTCTTTGTTCTTACGCAGACGCTCGGCTATTTTACCTATTTTTTGCGCATAGGTACGTACGGCTAGTACAGGCACTGCCACTGGCACTAAAAGAAGCATAGCATACGAATACAGCTGCATTCTGCAGCATATACAACGCATAGGAACTACGGCGGTCGTCCCGTCAGGTGCCAGTGCCGAAGTCTAACGTTTGAAAAGAGTTTCTTAAATTTGTGAAATTTCCACTCGGAGGTATTTTTACAAGTACATACGCACATCATCAGCACCGCTTTGCTTCGGTGCTGCCACCAGTTCCGGCTGCGGTAGAGTCGTTGCAAAGTTACTTAGTGCAGTAGAACATTTTTCACATTTTCACGTTTCTCTATCTTTTCTAAATTTGTACCTCTCCCCGTCGAAACACGGCTGCATTGACTGTACAGTGTATTTTGTAGCCGTTAGGAACAGAGTCACTGTGCAGAGACACGCACAGTAGCTTTGTCTCGACTTATACTGTGAAGGACCTCCCCACCTCCTCCGTCACCTTAGTGCACCGTTTGCTTAGGTGATCCCCAGGCGCAGCCAGGCTATTGCAATACGGCAGATTTTCAGAAGCTGCAACGTCGTTTCAGCGGACGAGAAAATGTCGTAGTGCGAAAATTTGGCTCAACACCGCCATTTTCGCTACTTTGTAAAATTTTTTTCCCCACCAACTGAACCCCCAGACTCCACTGGTTCTTGTAAAAGTTTACTATAGAGACTGCTCTGATAAAGAACGAACGAAAAAGGCGCGGTGCTTCGGCTTGTTGTACTACATTGTTACAATCGACCGACCTTAAGAAGTCGTGCTGCTTGTAGAGTTCAGCCTCATCGGCCCCGCCACTTTGGTTGCTCCATCCTTGAATCAGCTTCAAGCTGGAACAAGTATGTAAGTAATTATCTTCTATCGATACTAGAAAGAGGCTCTAGCTCGGATTGAGTCTAGAACAGACATACATGTTGGAAGAGGCATTTCTAGACGATTATGTATGATTGATCTAGAAACCACACGAAGCGCATACGTTAAAGTTTAACATCACAAGTGGAAAAATCAATCGGATTTCTTATAGCACTAAAATACAATACGTCTCGGACGAAGACAGACTGCTATAATAAGTTATCATAGGAGACTGATCGCCTACTCTCGCTCTCTCCGACGATACTAATCTGAGAAAACATAAAAAGAAGTCATGGCCTCATTACGACATCCACTGCCCGCGGGAACTCACGCTGGAAAAGAAAAAAAGCGAAAGACGAAAGACGAGCCGGGGATGTTGTTTCTGAAAACATGACGAAGATCCATTGCCGACCAGTTTTGTACTCTTGACCATCGATTACAGCAAAACCGACGACAACAACTCAACGAAATTCTTAAGCTGGTGAAGGCAAAAACTGTGGGCTCTCCCTGCCCGAATACACCATTTGTTACTCCACAAGCACCTACCACCTGACCTTTCGATCCGACAGGAGATAGAAGGGGGCAAAGCAGGTGAAGCAATATTACCACCAAGAAGTTTATTCTTGTTACCTTTTATTCCCCCAGCGACACGAACATAAATCCTTTTTTTCACCTCGCGCACGACTAAAACCGCCCCGCAAATACGATTTGAAGGGGAGGACGCAGAACCACGAAAAAGCAGGAATCAGTATCGCCAGAGCCGAGCGTCTTCCCGATTCATTTGAGCCACCAGTTAACCCTAATTCAGTTTGGCAGATCATCGCAACAACTTCTGGAAAAGCTCGGATCCAGCACACATTGCTTGGAAGCCGAAACGATCGGAGAAGTTTTCTGCCTGCAAGCAAAGAGGACCCTTCTTTTGCCGAATTAACAGAATTGCCTTACCACGTTCATCCCTGCTGCAGCTGCAACTGTTTTATTGTGGACAATAATTTTTCTGAAAAACAATAACAAAAACGGAGCCAAAAACAACAGACGAAACCAGCTAACATCAAAAGATCCACGAAGAAGCGAAGACGGCCATCAAGCTGGCGAACAACAGACAAAAAGTGACAAGTCCTTAGCATGGCTGCCGCCGTGAGTAGCCAGCAGCCGCTAATCGGCGGCGGTTCCGCGGGCGCGTCCTCGTCGCTGCAGGTGCCCGTCCCGCAGCCCCAGAATGGAGGCGCGCAGAATGCGACCTCCCCTACCTCTAAAGCGAGTACGCCGTCCAACGCGGCGACCAATCCGCAACGCATAATGGACAGCCAGTGGTTCATTGACCCGAAGCGCGCGAAGCAGCTCATCGAGTTCGTGGGCTTGAAGGGGCAACTGAAGCCGTTCGGGTCCTACACCTCCGGGTTGATCACCAAAACGTCCGACCTCGACGTGATGTATGAACGCCACGAATCGGAACAGCACATCATTCCGGTACAGATTTTGCAGAAGTTTATGGAGGCCCTAGGAAAAGCGGGGTTCGTCAACTTTGTCACGGTCTTCCAGGCACAACTACCGCTGCTGAAACTCGCGGACCGCCACGGCGTGGACATTGACATCATCGTCGACAACCAGCTGGGCTACCGAAATTCCGTGCTGATGGGGTCCTACGCGCGGATGGACCGCCGCGTGCCCGAATTCATCCGCCGGGTCAAGTGCTTCGCGAAAAGGTTCGAAATCGTCGGTAGTACTGACGGACACTTGAACAGCTACGCGTGGACCCTGATGGCCATCTACTACCTGATGAAAGCCATGCCGGCGCCGCTGGTACCCAACCTGCAAGCGCTCGCGCAGGACGACCCAAGAGTGGAAAAAAAGTACATGCTTCCTTTTATATATTCTTCTACTAAGTACAAGTAGTAGTTCATACGAAAAATATTAAATCTTTCTCTTATTGAAACTTTCCACTGATTTTTGCCGGCTGCGCTGTGAAAAAGTCGGTGTTCCGAAGTGAGTCGTCGCAGGGACGCAAAATTTGTATTCTGGTGCATGAAATTCAATTTGCAGGTACATCAAGGACGGTCGTTGGGGCGCAGACCGGGAGTGGAACGTGACTTTTTTCACGGAGATCCAGAAAATCCCGCCATCCGCCAACACTCGGGCGACTACCGAGCTTCTGGGCGAGTTTTTCGAGTACTACTCCCACAAATTTGACTGGGATAAGAAGTGCGTGTCCATTCGGCTCGGGTTGACGCCGCACGACAGTCAGACCGGAGCGGACCGGAGCCAACTGGACCCTTACATCACAAACCCGAAGGACCAGAGCGGCTGGTACGTAGAGGACCCCTTTGATTTGTGTCACAACTTGGCGGGAAACGTCACCGCACGGGGGAAGGAGCGGATCATGACTGCATTGAAAAACGCAAACAACGAGATTCGGGCGCGCGGACCGGCCAGACTCGAAGAGGCGCTGAACAACGTACTTGGAATTTTTGGCTTCCTATATTGAATATTTGTAGTGGTGCTGTGTCGGGCTCGGGTCTTTATGTTTTTGTAGCGATTTTTTCTTCTCGCGACTACCTAAAAGGACAGATCGCGCTGCAGTATCTTCTCATGACTTTCATCATGCAAATCTAAAGGATAAAGATTTGGAAAATATTTGTGATATTTTGTTCCTGAAGCTGAAAAAGAAGATGGAGAAGAAAATGAACAAGATCTGTGAAAAAAAAACAGCTCTGTCCGCTCTCCTGGCGAGCCGCGGCCTTGTTCATGAAGTGCCGGGTAAATCTGGAAAAAGTCACGGAGGAGCAGTTTCGCGAGGCGTTCGCGGAAATGAAATTTGACGACGAGGTGATTTTGTGGTGGCCATCGAACCGGCCACAAACGAGCCCAATCATGGATGCGTTTCTCCAATTTAGGTCGGATCACGACCGAAAAAGGGCACACACGAAATCGGAGTCCTACGTAGGACAGTGGCAAATACGGCTGCTGTACTGCTGCTGCGCCGTGCTGAAAGACGTACTTATTTTATACTTTGGTTTTCTCCTTGAGATCATGAATGTTTTTGGCTTTTGAAGAGGACGAGGACCAAGAGCAGCTGCAGCTCGCAGGCTTGTTTATTGGATGTTTTGTTGATAGGACGCAAACGCATAGACGTTCGAATTTTTCGATTCATCGATTGAAGGACAAAAACCGATTTCTTCCAGGCGTACAAAGACAACGACAACCACCTGCAACGGGTGACTGTGAACCCCGCCGCCCGGCAGTCGGGTCTCCACGTAGACAACCCGGTGATTCCCTCGATCAAGCAAGCCTTAGCCCCGTTCACCGGTGACCCGAGGCAGAAAAACTTTCAGGCGCTCCGGCACCTGTACTTTATCTCGCAGAATTCGCAGCACCTCCTAGCCCCAGGATCGGTCGACAACTTGGAGTACGCACCGGAGGGGGAGTCCCGCGTGGCCGCGACGGATAAGCTCGGCTCGAACATGTCTACGGTGGCGTACCTGTTGGGCAACATGGACGCGAACTTTCTGGAACACTTCCTCCAGGACCCGAGAAACGGCCAGCTGATTAACACATTGCAAAAGTATCAATCTACAACTCAGATGTGATACAGATTTTTGCTGTTGCGAATGCAATTTTATTCAATTTGCTACGTAGTTTGGGTTCTTGTGATTTTTGCACTCTCTATACAACTAGTTGAGTCCAGAAAAGGCCAGCGCATGTCTTAGTCACATCGGGAGATGATCCTATAGCTTCATTGTCGATTTCGCGATATATTTCAGGTTGTACGACCTATTCGTGCGCAGAAGAAATCACGAGGGTCGCGGCGCTGCGACCACACCCATCGGGCCCCCCGGTCTCAACAAGGATGCAGGAGACCCAGCAGCAAATGAGCTGGACACGGCGAGCGGGAGCGCAAATGCCGCGCCCGGCGGCGGCTCATCCCCACAGGGGAATGCCGCAAATGGAACGGGTGCACAGAGCCGGAAGCAAAGTGTAGACCCGGACGCGAATCAGATGTTGACTCAAGCACAGATCGAGCTGGACGCGATGGATGCACTGCAAATGTCCAGTAACAACAAAGAATACCAGCCGCCGCAGGGGGCCCCCGCGCATTCCGTTGCTCCACCTGGAGCTGCGACGCCAGGCATGATGCACGCAAATACAACAACTTCGGTGCCCCGCGCAATTCCACCGGCGCAACAAGGAGGTCAACATCTCAACACCAGTAACCCCGCGGTACTAAACGGCGGAAAAGGTGGTGGACCACTGCCACAGAATCAGCAGCAAATGCTGGAAAATCAGCATGCACAGCAGCAACAGCACTCAGGCACGAACGGCAACCGGCCACCGGCGACCACGCAGTCCTCGCACAGCAACTTGGGCACCCCGACCGGAAATCAAGGACACCAGCCAGTGGGGACGAACAATCAACAAGTCCAACCGCAGCAGCAGCGCAGTCCGCAGAACAATAATAACATGCAGGGGGACTCGTCCAGCTCCACCGCACCGTATCCGCGGGACGGCGCCGGGAAAGGCGGGGTGAAAACGATGCACCAACTCGGCGAGATGATCTTCCATGGACTTCACGCCTATATCCCGAACCTGGGGACGTCGGTGCCGAAACCTTTCGTGGAGGAAACCGTGCGAAGTCTGGACAATTACGATGCCGAAGAACTGAGAAGAAGACTGCAAACGGTGTCATGATTTTTTCAAATTATCGGTCGACGTAAGGAGCATGTTGAAAACTACTACGGTGAGTGACGCGCGAAGAATGGCTTGTAGTGCTTAGATAGAAAGTCCTCACTGCAGCTCATGACAAAAATGCGGTGTGTCACAACGTAACAAAAGCGCGAACATATTACAACCATGCTGTTTCTGACAAGAAGATTTTTTTTGCAAAAATACATGAAAAGCGCAAATATACAACACGCAGATTCAATCGATCGCCATGAAGCACAAGTCGTACACCCCTTCGATTTCGAGCAAAGTTAACGGCGGAAAATCTGGCAGTAATCAGAAATTGTTGTTTGACTCCTGGGTCAATTCCGTTGTCGCAGATTGGGAAACTGCGAGAGTATATTTGTTGCCTGACTTTTGTAATTTCAAATGCAGTTACAGTTTACTTTCTTGAAGATGTGCATGTGCTTGCACATTTCTTTGTAGAGACTTGTCATTGATATTGTCCTCTTTCCTGCTGTGTGCAATGATTTTAATGCGAAATTATAAAGCAATCACTATCACACAACAGGCCCGTCATCCTGATGCCGCTGCTGTGGACTCGAAGCGCGAAGTTGCGCCCACGATCATCAGCAGCAGTGCCCAGATGGCGTCGCAGATGCTGGAAAAGGCGACACAGCAGGTCGGCAACCAACCCTCCAACCGCGATGGCGGACAGCCGGGGGGAAACCAGCCCTTTCTGACCGAACAGCAGATGATCGCTTTTCTGAAGCAGCTATCAAATGTAAAAATGTCTGGGTCTGGAAGATTGCAACTTGTGATGCTGCCTTTCGATTCCAAAAAAATCTGTATTGCATGAGCAGCAAAGGGAATGTACATGTAGTTTTTGCGTACGCGGAGAGGGCATTTGTCATGCGGAATATGCATCAAGAAGCCCTCAAAAGATCTGTGATGCTAGGGCACGCATCACAGACGTCATGGCTCATGCAAAACGTGCATGACAAGTCTCAAAATTTTCCAGACCCAGACACTTTTACACTTGATAACAGCATCCGAACCTTGTGACCGCGGCCGCTGAGAACCCAAGCTTGGTCGCCAGCTTCATGGGCCCCCACCAGAGCAAGCGAGCGGAGGAGATCGTGGAAAGCCTCGTGAATCAGCAAAGCGACAGCGAAATGAACACGAACGCGCCCGTATCGTAAAGAAAAATCCCCCCTCCCCATATCGAAAAGGTATGTTTGCGAAGATTTGTGTTGCTGATTTGAGGTCACAAATCACATTTGTCTTCCAAGAAGACAAGGGCAGAAGCTTCCACCCCATTACTGAAGCGATTTGTCATGCTGTTGGGCCTAAAACTGAGCCGCTTGCCATGCTGAACAACTAGACCCATACGCCCCTGCCTAGCCTGGGGATCTGGCCGCAATGCCCCTCTGCAATACAGACCTGATTTGTGTATCCAAATCCAGCATCAGAAGTTTCGTTTTGATATGGGGAGGGGGGATTTTTCCTTTTGATAGCCCGGTTCCTGGGAGCAGCGCAGCACGACCCCCCAACGGGGGATAGTCGCGGGCGGGCAACAAGGCCCACCGGGGGTCCCCGGGGGCGGGGGTCCCGGAATGAACGCTTTGCCGAAAAACGGCACGGTGCCACAGGTGCTGCGCAGGCCCGAAAATGCGGGACCAGGAGTCAATGTGAATGGAGCGGCAGGCGGCGGCCCAGGAAACCAGCAACGGGGAGGCCCCGCTGCGCAACAGCAGTCTGCGGATCGGTCTGCATCGCTCAACCAGACCCCGGACGTAGCACCCCCACCACCGCCTCCGCTGCAGTTTCAGTAAACGTCTGCATATTAGAGACAAAGATAAACAACAAGCTTGCTGCTGCAGCAAGCTTGGTCTCTATTCGCAGAGGGTACAGCAGATGAATCATCTGCGGAATTTCCTCGAAGTTGAGTACTACAGGAAAAACGGATTTGGCATTTCTAAGATTCGAGTGTGTCGCTCCTATGGGAGGACGCACGCACGCGACAAAAAAAAGTACAAAAATCTCAATTTGGCATTTATGTTGTTTTCGCGCACGCACAGTATACTCTTTCTATTTTTTATTCCACGAATTTCTTTCACTGAATCTTTATCTTTTCTACTACTGCTACAAGGCTTATTTGTTCTGCTACAAGGCTTTTTGTTCTCTCTCTACTTACTCTGTTACTTACTTACTGCTTTCGAAGCTGTAGAATTCCGGATGAGCGGCCCGAATTTTTCTCGCTAGTCAAACTTCGCTTGGCTATGCATTGTTTATCGAGGAGATTCGCTCATCCGATGTTTGTTTGATGAATTTTAAAGCACGAGAAGCGAATGTTGATCATTTGTTTTACTGGCAAGCACGGGGTGAAAACGCTATCGTTTTAGGAGCGGTAGAGGAACGGCGACTCCATGCGATACTGCCATTTTTTAAAAGCCGTTAGGGAAGGAAACTATCGACATTGAACACAGACACGAAAAATACCGCCGCAGTGCTTTCTACTTTGCGACTATAATGCGGCAGTGGTACCATAATCAACGCGTCACATGATACAGGCGAATGAACCATGGTAATGAAACGCGAGAAAATGCCCTTTACTCGTATATAAGATGATGAAATAAGTAAAAAAGTTATATCTCCTGCGCCGTGTGCTGAGGAAGTCAACACCTTACGCTAATCGGCTAGCTCATCTGCACTTATTTTGTACAAAAAAAATATATCTTTCTAGAAGACGGGCGGCAGACGCAGACACGCAATGACTATGGGGAATAATGGGGACTGAAATAACGAACCAAACTTTTACCCTTTATGGTGTAGAGATTCATTTGATCTAACAACATTTTTCAACCAGTAAAGTTTTCCGCAGGAACTATTCCTCTTCACCACCCGCCCTGTTAGGTAAGGAAATAGCTGACAACGCAAATCAGAGGACTCCGCTGTTGTCAACACCATGTATGATCTACTATCGAAAAGTTATCTACACTTCGTACGTCGACCGGCGCAAGAGCTAGTGCAGTGGTGGTGTAAAATAAATTCCAGCGCCAGCAAAGGAGCATGTAATTTCAGTGCTTGAATATCATCGAAAGATATACACTCCGAGTACAAAATTCTATCTGTCGTTGAACGATTGTTGTGTCAATGTCAGATTTTCTCAAATTTTGTGCTAGTAGAATACAGTACGAATCAAGAGATCAGACAGCCGCGGCTTGGATAAAGGCGTTCGGATTATATGACTCCAGATTTGTCGTGGCGCAAGAGGGGGTTGACGAATCCAGGTCTCTCGCAGGCCAGTTAGATTCGTGTGGAGTAGAAGAATTTTTCTTCTCATTCATCCAAGAAAAAAAAGAACTGGGATGCTCAGCCATGGTATGCGTGCATTTTTGGAGTTGTTGCACCGCATCGGAAGCTTCCTTCCAGAGGTCCTTTTCTCCGAGGCACGGATACTGGGCGGTCCGCCCCAGAAAAAAACTTTTGAAGACGTTTCTTACCGCACTAGAAAACAGCTCTGAAATCTCGTCGATATCAGCTGCGAGCCTATTCCACCTTCATATGTTTTTTACTGATTCGATACATTCGCAAAAATAGAAGTAAGATGATATCTCGAGAATGCCTCTTTTTTGCATTATGAAAAGTGTAGACATCATCGAACAAGTTTATCTTCGAGAAGAAGCACTTTTTAAAAGTCTAGTAGAGATATAGGTATTCGGACGAGTTTAGTCTCGAAGAAAGATCAAGCAGAAAGCTCTTTCTTCATTCTCTATCTAAAGTACGCCGCACTATCGATGTTTCGTAGAACAATCTCTATCGTGGCCAAAAATCGAAAAATCCTTCCACAGCACTGGAGTCATTTCCTCATACTACAACAGAAACGATTCTTTTGTACTATAAGAAATAGAATTTCTCGTCTTAAATTGGTTCTCTGAAAAATATTTTTATGATTTACCATTTTCTAGCGGCTATTTGAAACAAAAGAGATGGCGCTGAAATGTGTTGAAGAACTCGTGGGTATGTCTTGAAAAGCAATACAAGCGGCTTCTTGTTAACATTTCTGTCCATTCAATATTCCAAGCAGTGATTTGAAAATGAGTAAATGCAAAAAAATGCGACTTGCGACGATGATGGGAGCTATGTAGTAGCTCCTGGTCTATCATTGTCTCTCTGTTGCAGCTTTGCGCCATCAGAATTTATGATGTAGGAAAACCAGCTCTGAAGTGTGTAGTGGTCGGGAAAACCAAATTTTCCACTTGCCAACAAACGTACCGGAGAAATGGTAAGATATTTTGGTCAGCTGAAAGAATGTTATCTTCGGAAAGAAGAACGCGAACGGAACGGCAAAGAGAAAAGAAATCCCATGTAGTCTTTTTTGCAAATGTGTTTGTTCTGTGTGACGTTGCTCCCGTTCCTTGCGTTCAAAAATGACAAAAAGGCACTCAATTTCGCAAGACCCAGAGCCGCTCCTTCCTAAAAAAATGGATCGAAAAATTTCAAACGTCCATGCGAGATCCTTTTCGTCGAAGCCGAAAATTACAGGAGCTCCATCTACTAGAGAATGCCTTTTGCACGTTCTGCGATCGATCCGTTATGTAGAAGGCAATTTCCAGTAGGCCGCAAGATCCGAATTTCTATTACGATTTCAGCTTTCAAGTGTTTTCCGCAGGTTTTGTAGGTTTCCTATTCCTTCCTACATGACGAAATCAATATTTTTCAAATAGCACTACGTCGAGGAGCCTCTATAATTGTGGTTCTCTCATTCAATATTTTCCGTTTCCATTCTATTTTTTTGATTCAAATAACTCAAAGAAAGAGGAAAGCGGCAAGCAACAGCATAATGTGTGTAGAAACTTCGATCGTGTCCTGGTCGCATGGAAGCGGGGGTCGCATCCACGCTAGCAAGAGTGCACCGCGCATGTGCAGCTTTGCAACACGTAGCACGGGACCGCTGCAATGGTTGTTTCTGTTATCGCATGTTGTTGGCAGCACTGTTTCGCGAGCCGCTCCGGAGCAAATGACGATGGGGACATCATCTGCACGCGGAGCTGTGCCGACAAAGCGAAAATCCACAAGCGCTGACCGAACGACCACCAGGCAGTCAGCATCCGCCGGAAGTCGTGCTGTTACAAGAAGCTCAGAGCACCCTGAGCCGGCGTCCACAGCCTCTCACACTCTGATCTCCGCCTCCCGCCTTCAAGAAGAAGATAGATTTCGAAAGGCGCCGGAGCAACTTTTCGGGGCCGAAGACCACATCGTCTACGAGTTTCTCCAAAAGGTGCTAAAATACAAGGGAGGGCCGAGATTGGTGAACGACGAATCTAACGAAATTTGTGCCGTTTGTCACGATCGTCCCTTGGTTGAGCAACAAAAAATGTTGGCTCCAGGGAGCGCGGTATCGGGGGATGACGTAAGCGCGGCTCTTGCAGCACGCATGCGAACACTGGAACTACATGCTTCCCACTGCGAGGTCAGTGCCATGAAAGAACCATTGCGGCCGAAGATTCATATTCATTTTTGTGGCCATGCCGTGTGCGACGGTTGCGCAGCGGAGGAAAAGAGAAGGCAAGCGGAAGGGAAACAGCAACAGAAGTGTTTCTACTGCTCTGCGGGCTCGGAGCGAGACATGCTACCGATGCAGCGAACCGAGATGTTGCAGAGGGAGTGGCCAGTAACATCAAGCGAGCAGGTTCATCATCCACGGAGTCGACGCGGTGGAGGTGTGCGAACTGCAAACGAAAGAAGTGTGGCGTCCTGGTCGAGTGATGATCTTCCCGCTCCGAACGGCAGTTGCAGCAGCGGTGATGAAGCTTGTCCTGAAATGCATGGCGAGAGGAGCCACGACGATCAAGCGAGAAAGACTGCTTGCAGGTCACACTGCCCGAAATGGCTGAAGCACCCTGCACTTACCGTCGCGGAGGTCGAGAAACGCTTCTTGTCTAAATTTCTTCACCCTGTTCGCGCTCGTGTTGGGACGAGGCAGGCTCTTCAGCCAGAGAAGTTGTCTGACACGGATCGGGCGGAGTTGTGGAAACGACTGGAGACGTACATGGAAAGGCAGAAGAAAGAGTGGACAGCATTTCTCAGGAAAGAGGTCCACAGACGCGGACAGCACGGTGGCAAGGACCTCATGTACAAAATTCTAAACGAGGGACCCAATGCGCAGGCTGACCTGCAAACAACGATTTTCGTACGGCACCAGGCAATGCTGAAAAAGGTATTGGAAAACGAAGCAGAAGCCCTTCACTGGGTCTTGCAAATGCTCATCAAAAACGGAAGCCGACCACGTGGCGGACCGACCGACCATTTGGCGTCCCTAACCGCCTTGGTGACTCGCATGGGACTCGCGGAGACGATGCCATTGCACGTCGCGCGGTGCATGTGCCTGCCGATGTATTGCGCGGCACACGTATATGTGGCCGCACGCGAAGGTGACCCCTGTGCCGGAGTTTTCTTCCCTCTCGCGTGCGATGTATCTCAGGCGTTATTGATCTCCTACGTCGGTCTGGATTGGTTTAATCACCTAAGCGTGTCGGCAGGACCTTGCGAAGTGTTTTTGCCTATGCTCGTCACTATTGCCTTGGCGAGTGGGTGCTGCACATCGATGCGGAACAATTTTGTCCCACCTCTCACACGAGCCGAGGAGTTGTCGATGAGGGGCCAACACTCCGTCAGAACTACAGAATTGGCACAAACTTCGGAGGAAAATGCGCCTGCAAACGAAGAACGCGATGCTGTCGCCGTGTGTCTCGATAGACTTCCAATGCTGCTTCCCTGCTATCGGTGCCTGCGTGGACCGCGCCTCATGGCGCCCTACCACCGCCTGCGTGCTCTCCTGCGCCAGTCAAGGGAAGAGCCGAGGCGCAGAGAGTTGTTTGCACGAAGACGTGCTAGGGAACGAGGAGGTGAAGAAGAGATGACAGGGGGCACGATGTCGGATGATGCGGATGACGTCGAAAGGCCTGCTCCCGTCTATGCGCTTGAAGAACAAGACGCCATCGACAAATTGCGGGACGCCTTGTCTGTTCGGCGGAATCGCGATTTTCGGCGGGAGCTGCGAGAAGACAAGAACTTTGCTGCCGTGGAGATGTACGTGACAAAAATAGCCAGAAGGAACGGGACTTCAGTGGCCAGGTTGCTGCCTCTGGATGACCTTTTCGCACTCAATTTGCTCGAGGACCTACACTACGCACTTCGCTGGAAAGACGAAACTGCACCAAGATGAGGAGCAATTGACGAGATTCTTGGCGAAGAATAGTATTGAAAAGCAGCCATCTTGATTCATTTATCGCTGTGATGTGAAAGTTAGGTACCTGAGTATAGAAAATAAAGTGAAACTCATTGACATGAAATCCGGAATGGTCGATGAGTCAATGATTACTATGGAGCGCCATTTGCTGGAGGGCGGGAATCAATCAATTTCATTGAGTCCGCCGATTTAGATAAGAGGTAGTAGCGATGCAGTCACAACGCTAACCTCAACAAATCCAATTGTTTGTCTGTGTAAGATGCTCCTTTTGCGCACTTCGTTAGGCGACCTTTTGCGGGTCGGCCACATCTGTTTTTGAGAACTCACTGAAGATGGGCTGAAACCTTCAGAGAAAGGGAAGAGCTTCTATTTCAGCTGCTAAATAAGAAATCGCGGAACTGCTAAAAGATGGATGTCTCTGATAGAAAACATTGGATATTAGCTTCTGTGTTCCTTGTACTTGTTTTCGCTCGTTTTCGACAGACTTGGATCAGTTTTTGTTGATCTAGGTTGTTTCTTCCTCAGCGATATAGGAAAATGCTGGGGATCGAATGGCGATCCGAAAAATGGACAAAGTGAAGCGCAAAAGAGCCTCTCAAACAGGATGCAGGAGTAATGATATCGCTAGCTCATTGCTTATAGTGATAGTCATGCTCATTCGAAACTTTGGAATCTGGGCCGTTATTGATCTACCCCTACCAGGACGATTCTTCGTGAAGTGAGCGGTTCCGCAGACACTACCTCGACTCAATTTTTTTTTCCGTGTTTCATCTGTGGCCTTTTATCTGTGTACACCCACTGAAACGGCACCTCGTGTTTCTACCGCAGTTAGCAGATCCACAAAGAACACTAGCACTCGCACCCATGGCGTCTCAGGTCCAGGATATGCAACCTTGTTTGCGGCCATGCAACTGGGCCGAATTTCGGTCCAAGTATGGAGTCGATCCCATGAATACGGCGTCGGAACAAGAGCTCATGCCTCTTGTGCAGCAGCGGGGAATCGAAGCGATGAAGCGCTACGACGTTGCCATGACGCTTTATTACGGTCTAGATGTCGTACTCGGAGGAGCCGACTTCCTCGCGAAGAAACTCGCTTCGCAGCAAGGAGATGGGCCCCTGGATTTCACGATCCACCTCGTGGGGTGCGAGATTGAGCTCATGTTCCTGAAGGATATCAAGAAGTTCGTGATGGACGAAATCGAGCGGCAGTGGAGTGCGAGATTGGGGCGGCAGGTGAAGTTGCATGTCGTTCTTTTCTGCGCGCCGAACAACGCTGCAAGCAACATACCCCCCGACGTCGTGCGCGACATCCTGGCCGGCGACCTACCCCCAGGAGTGAGTGGACATGAAGCGTTGTGGCAGGATCTTGTCGGGGGCGGTGGCAGCAGCCGGCTCCCGTTTCCGGACGTCGCCTTCTGTCTGAATGCGGGTTTCGGAGGGGGTTATGTCGAGTGGGGTGGCGCGCTCGAGCTGTTTCGGGATCAGCGCATTCCTGTGATTGCGACCGACTACACGGCCTATTCGGCACTGCGCTCGCTGCATCTTCTTTCCTCTGCCTACACGTGCGCGAACTACCTGCCGTGCGTTTTGAATCCCTTTCGCAAACTAAAAGGGCCAACGCCCCCAGACCAGTTTCATCTCACGGGCGAAAGGGAGCTCGTTTATCAGAACTACCTCTTCGGCATCAACTTGCAATCAACGCCACAGCTGATCCACACCTATCGCGACTACAATTCCCCGGGTGAGCTGCTTCGTGTGCCGAAACCCCCACAAGCAAACGAGGTGGTCATGTCGTTTTCCTCCGATTCACGCAAATGCTTCTTCCACGAGAAAAACAACGAAACTGCAGTCGCCGAAAGCAAATCTCCTGCCGCCGTGGAAGTGCTACACCTGAATAGCAAGACGTACATGATGGTGCATGATTGTATCTTCGACGCCGATTCGGGACGAGCAGCGGCGTACTTACTAAGGGGCTTTGAAGCCACCGCTGTGCCGCTCAAAGCATTGCCGGATGATCTGCGACTCAGGTGAGCTTCATATGGACTTACTTCCTTTTCAGTATATGTTTAGACTGACTGTCATCGTCAGCGGCATGAATGCAAAATTAATAGAAGCAAACAATCAGAAAAACCGAAACTTCGTCATCTTCTAGGATTATCAGGGTTTGCTAAAAAAAATATTTCCTACCCCATCACCGCTGCGCAGGTCTGGCACACTTTGCCGCATTGTTGGTCTGCAGTCGGAGGACGGAAAGAAGCACAATAACAGAACCGGGATGATTGTAGACTTCCGGGAGGAAAAAGGTCGGTACATTGTCCACTTTGGTGGCGTAAACGACACCGTTTCCGTGAAGATTGCGAACATCGTAGTCTAGGCGGAGATAGTCCCGCAACTTCGCCAGAGCTAAGGAAGGAAACACAAGACTTTCTACCTCTCTCAACGAACTCGGAAGGATGTTTGCGACTTAATTTTTTGATTACATCATCAAACAGTGTCACTTTAGTTTTAGTGTTGGTGTTTCTGCTTGGGTCTGCCTCATCGCTACATTTTTTTGCTGATTTATGACGAAGCACGAGCGCCATCCTCTTTCCTATTCATTCACTGTGATTCCAAAGTTAAGACAAGGAATCTTTCCTTGGACTTCTATTGCCAAGTCTCTCGATCATGCGGGATTCGCGGCGAGGATTCCTTTTCTATCAGAAGACTGTTTTTTTTTGCTGTAAGTTCTCGACGGGTCTTGCACTTGCTCCAAATTGTTTTTTTTTGCTCCAGGATCAAAGGGCATTTGTATTTGAAGCGACATTAAAACTCCAACTCGAAGAAAGAATATTTTCCGGGTTCGCACATGGAATCAAGCACATGGACATGTGCACATCAGCGGATAGAATTTTTTCGACTTCAGGTGAAATAAAAGCGACAAAAAATGCAAAAAGTAAAAACTCTCATGGACTTTACTACTAGTGAAAGCAAGCGTAAGCGATGAACTGATTCGTTGGTCGTTTTGTTGTTGGCTTTTGAAATGGCACGCCAGACACACAGTAAATCCGATTGAGTTGGAGAGGCCCTGTCAGAGGGACGTAGGCACGTGTTGTAAGAAGTGAGTGGTGTAGAGAGTTTTCGAGGATTGCGTTTTCGAAAAGTGGTTCCATGATATGTCGTCAAGTTGGTCTTCCGAACGGAGCGTTTTTGTTAGTTGCAACGTAAAACAGTGGAAAATTGAGGAGCCTCACACCACGACGCGACCCAGAACCAGAAGTGATGGCTTTGTCATGAGTAGAAAAAAGAACAGACGGCCGCTGCTTCATCTGCATGGTTCAAGATGATCGCTACTCTACTGACTCGTGCGGATGCAGCCCTGTACCAGTCTCCTTTGGCGGGGAAATTCATCTCCACAAGGAGTTTCAGCACGCGCGTCGCTGTCAAGACCAACGAGTACGATGTTGTCATTGTCGGGGCGGGCGTCATCGGTTCCTCCACCGCGTTGCACCTGTCGAAAAAACTGGCGTCGAAGAAAACCCCGACTCGTATTCTCGTCGTGGACCGAAGAAGCGAAATCGCCGCCGAGCAGTCCAGCAAGTCATGGGGCTTCGTGCGCGTGCAGGGTCGGGACTACCGAGAAATCCCGCTGATGCTCGAGGCGAGGGATTTCTGGAAGAACCTCGGCGCGGAGGTCCAGTGGCAGCAGACGGGGCACATTGCGTTATACGACAGAGCCGATGCGCAGAAGGCGGGCCGAGTGAGGAACTGGGCTGAATACGCAATTCAGCACTTTGGAGTCAAGTACGAGATCCTGAACGAAGGGACGACAAGGCAAGAAACGCAAGACGCACGAGATGAGCTCCACAAATTGCTGCCAACCTTACGAAACCCAGGTCAATACGGGGCGTGTTTCACACCAGAAGACGGGAACATTGATCCGAGGCTGGGGACGGAGGCGCTGGCAAAGAGAGCGCAGAGCGGAGGGGCGAGCTCCTCCTGTAGTGTCGAGTTTCGACTGAATACAGAAGTGCAGGGAGTTTCACAGGACCACAATGCACGAATCTCCCTGAAGCTCGGAACAACTCCTACCGCGACAGAGCGTATCACTGCGAAATCTCTTGTGATCGCGACTGCCGGGTGGGCGCCCGAGTTTCTGCGCGCCAACAAGCTTCCTACGTACCCGAGCCTGCGGCTGCACGCGAGTGCGGGGGAGTTGATGATGAAAAATACCGACAACCTCAAAAGCGAGACCGACCACCCGACGGTCTGGTACCATGGGTTGTCTTTCCGAAAACACAAGCACATAGCAAGCTCCCCTTCACAGAATAAATCGGCTGCGAGCAGTTCCTTCACTTTTACTTTCGCAGACGGGGGCGCCGCGGAGGAACACGACTTTGGCTTGGAATCCGTCCTGTACGGCTGGCGATTTCTCCCGCACCTGAAGGACTTTTACAGTCAGACGAATCTGAAGTTTCGCCCGGAAAGCTTCCCGTCACCAAGGATAGACAAGTGCCCGGACGCGAATGAGAAACGACTGGAGAAGGCAGTGGCTAAGTATCGGAACATGTTTGGAGTACTACACGGAAGCACTAGTGGAGCGCAAACGCCGCCGGTCATCGAAATGTCGAAATCTTGGGCCGGTTGGATCGACATCACGCCAGATATGATCCCGGTGATAGACTACGTACCAACGAAAGAAGATTATCGCAAAAATACAACCAGCAACATTGTCATCTCCTCTGGGTACAGCGGTCATGGGCTCGGACTAGCACCAGCCGCAGGGCGACTGACCGCTGATTTGGTCGTGGCAAGTTTGATGCCAACTGGCACTCCAGATGAAATGGAGTCTTTGAATGTTGAAAAGGTAAAAGAGGAAGCATACCCATTCAGATTTTCCAGGTTCCAAGAACAGTGGTTTCATTCTATTCAGAGTTTAGTTTAGGCTAGGACTTTCACCAAACGAGTTGGATTTTTGGTTTCGATGTTGTTTGGCTGGTGCGTTTTTGTGCATAGTTGTACAGCCTTCAAGAGTTTTTGCTTGCTGTTGATGTGCAGATCTTTCCACAATTTTGCAAAGTGAGGATTTGATGTTGTTGTTTCCAGTGCCACAAACAAGAAGTGTAAGTGACCCAACGGTGGTCTGCGTCGAGCAGTTTGAGCCAAGAAAACGAAGTGACGAAATTTGGATGTTGCCTCAAGGTCGTTGCACTGACGAAGCAGGTCCCTATGCTGCAGGATCATGGTAAGGTTCACATTGAAGATCACTACTTTCACACCAGCTACAGATGCTTACTTCTGCACAGAAAAGCCTAGTACGCACCAGATCCCGTGAAACTTTCGATCACCGAAAGAAAAAGAAAAGAAATGCAGGCGCGCTCCGAAACAACAACAAGCGATCCGTAATTGTGAAGCTCCGGAATACATGAAGAAGACAGATAAAGCTCCATTTGATCAGCGTCCGACATGCTAAAGCCCGCATGCGTTTGAGATCCTGTCCTTTACACCTGTTAGCGGAATGATGATCTTGTTCGTCAATTTCATTTTGTCCATACGGATTCCGCCAGGAAACTGACTGTTAGCGACTTCATCTCTGTCTTCATAGTGGCTTCTTAGCTACATCCATAGTGATCTTTGTCAAAACGCAAGTTTTCATGCAGATTCGGATTCGCATTTTCCAGTGTCAGTACCTGTAGCTAGGACAACATTTTGCCACAATATGACGGCAATGAAGAAGGCAAAAAAGCGACCCGCACCTTATTGCGATTCGGGGGTAGCTGAGAAGGAAGCAAAAAGCCCAGCCGCTACTGAGGAGCCAGTTGCGGTGAAGCCACTGGGACGTTTCCTCGGAAAAGTGCACGAAATCGAAGAGGCAGAGAAGAATCAGGCACAAGATCCAGCACCAACCAAAGAAAATGTGCCAGCTGAGGAGCAGCCCAAGAAGAAAGTAAAAAAGAGCAAAGCCTCGGAAAAAGAACCAGAAACCCCGGGAAACACGGATGCCTCCACCGTAGCAGAGGACGACCATGTAGTTGCTGCTGCAGTGAAACAAGACGAGCCGACAAAAAAGGTTAAAACTGTCGAAGCTCCGGTCGACGAAAATCTCCCCGATGAAGATCCTGCGCCCTACCCGTATGAAGCGGACGTCGCCGACCATTTCGAAACGCCACGAGAGGCGTATCAGGACTTGAAATCTATTCTGGATTTTTACATCAAGCAGACACACAACAGGTGCTTGCTCGGCTCCGACGACCGAAATGCGAAGATCACGATCTACGACCCCTACTACTGCAAGGGAAACGCGAAGAGAAAGTTGACCGAGGTAATGAATAGCACTGCAATATCTACAACTCCAGACGACGCAGAAGACGAAGACAAAGTAGAAGGCGAGGAAGTAAACGAGAAAACGATGGAAAAGCGCAAAAAGGACGAGCAGCGACACACTAAGCCCCCGGTCGAAGTGGTGAATCAGAAGCGCGATTTCTACAAAGATCTGGAAGAAAAAAATCTCCCAAAACACGACATTCTCGTCACAAATCCGCCCTTTTCCGCGGATCACAAGAACAAACTTTTCGACTACATCTATGACGAGGCGGTGAAATGTGAAAAGGAAAAGCGCGACACAAAGCCCTGGTGCGTCTTGCTGCCTTCCTGGACCTGCTCGAAAAAATTCTACAGGCGATTTTTGTTCAAACTCAGCGCCGTGGTGGAGGAGAGGAAAAACCGGGTGAAGGAGCAGAAGAAAAAGAAGAAAGCGGAGCAGGGGAAGAAGGTCACAGATTCTTCAGCTGGAGCCGAGCAGAATGAGACAAAGAACTCCGATGACGCCAGTAGCAATAACATGAAAAACGCTGTTGCAGCAGAAAACAAGTTTGACGAGTTCGACGCAACCTCAGAGCGGAAAGCCGAAGTCTTTTACATTGCGCCAAGGAAGAAGTACGAATTCCAGCACGATTTCAACGCCAGCAACACGAAGTCCGCACCGTTCTTCGGGCTGTGGATTTGTGGCGGATTCAAGAATTATACCGGCTATGCGGATAAGTTCGGCGGAAAAAAGCTGACGCTAGACCTGAAGGGCCTGCAAGACCAAAAGCTCGCGAGGACGCGCGAAGATGTGCAGAAGCGGCAGGAACTGAACCCAAATCAAAAGTGGCGGGCGGAGAAGTTCGGCGGCAAGAACGCAAAAGGAAACGGCAAGGGGAAAGCCAAAGGAGTAGCGAAGGGACAAAAAGGAGCAGACTCTTCGTCGCAGGGAGGCAAAGCGAAAGCTGGCCAAAAGGGTGTCAAAAAGGACAACGACAAGAAAGCCACGGAGGGCAAAGGAACGACGAAAATTGAGGCAGGAAAAGTGGAAGCTACAAAAAGCACAGAAGCTGTGCCTTCCACGAAAGAAGCGAGTACAGCTTCCACCCCTGCTGCCGGCACGGCGGCTCCGAAGGTCGACAAGGCGAATATTATCTGTCGCCACTTTCAATCGGCAGCAGGTTGCAGTCGTGGGGACAAATGCAAATTCAGACATGTTAAGGCGGATGCTGAATAGATAGGAAAGCGCAAACTGTATTTCTCTGCCTATCAAGTTCGAACGTGCTATGCAGGACTAGTTGAAGAATTTTACGCACGTTTCGGAATCTCGGGCCGCACGGGTAATTTAGACCCTGAATTTGCAACTGGTTACTTATTTTGCTGATGTTCTCGATCTAAGTGGTAGTTTTGTCTGAATCGCAACTCCGTTTCGTTTTTGTTCGTGGTGCGATGGCAGGTTCTGGAACCATTTTCCTTTCCTTTTCACACCAGCTTTAAGAGATTTCGGCACCGCTGCCATCCAAACGGTTTTCACGAACACTTTTCGTTGCCACTTCGATCTCTCTTTTGCTTCTCACAGCAAATTGTTGATGATGAAGATGGTTTTCTGCAAGTTCAGAGCTATCTCTATCGGTACGGTCTGCCCCTTGAGAATGTCAGAAAAGTCTTTGGAGTCGGTCAAAAAGACACAAAATCGGTAATTTTTTTCCTTGTTTTGTTTCGTGGTGTCGGAACGATGCGCTACGTGAAGGCTTGGTGATCATCCCGGAACACCTCCTCGTTCATCAGCCAAGGGTAGCAAGCAGTTGCTTATTTCTTCATAAAACTTTCTTTTTGCATCAGCGCTACTACGCATGATCATGTGAAAGCTGTGTGCTATTATTTTTTACGTTTACGAGTAAAATGCTGTCATCTTCTGTCGTAGCGAGCTCAACCAGGGCAACTCGGCGTCGTGTACGCGCCGGAGTTCTGCGAACGGGAAAGTCGCACACGTGTCGGTGGGCTAAGTGGCACGCATTCTCTACGAACGTTCCTGGTCCCCGGAAAAGCCGAACACCCGCGGTCGACGATGCTGTCTTTGGGTTCGATGCAGTCGAAGCGCGAAAAAGGAGCAAAGCGTCGACGATTGGACAGGGAATGTTTGGAAGCCATAACAAAAACGCCCCACGCGAAAAGAAACCGGGCACGGACGGGGCGGGAGCGGACCAAGAAAACGATATTTTTGTCAATCCAGATTCATCTTCAAACATCCCGGGCGGGAAGAGCCGGCGCGCCTTTCACATAAGTAGCGAAGGCAGCATGAAGCCCGCACTTGATGCGAATTCGCATCTCGAGGCGTTGGCCCAGCAGCAACGGGATAGCAGATCCGCAGGAAAAGTGCGGCAGCGGTATCTTGGAACTCAACCTGACAGCACAAACAGGAGTCGAATCGGTAATAACGACCGAACGCCTGCGAGCGGTAGCAGCGCTGCGAGTGAACCACGGAGCGCGGCAGCTAGCGGCGCCGCAAGCTCCTCGGCAGCCGCCGCAGCTGTGACACTGGAGGGAAAAACTGCTTTTTCCTCGACGGTGGCCGTGAATAAGGCGCACCAAAAACGCATGCAGGAAATGGAGGCTCGGGAGCAAAAGCTTACATCGCAGCACCGAGCCTTGCTCGACCAGTTTTCAGCGGTGGGATATTTTTTTTTCGGGCTATGAAGAAGTAGCTTTCCTTGAATATTGCAAAAGTGCAGAGCGAGATTGCCGCCATCAAACAGAATTTTTGGCACGTTGTGCTCATGATTTGAATTTGGAAACCAAAACCTTCAGCTTCGCGCCCGTCTGGCAGTATTGGAAAAGGAGAACGAGATCGCGATCGAGGAAAAAGTGGAATGGCAGCAGGAACGCGCGTGTTTGCTGCACCAGAGTGCCGTGTACCGGCGCCAGTTCGAGGAGCTACAGGAGGAAAGGAAAGCACAGGAAGAAAAACTCGCTTTCGAACGCGAAACGCTACGAGCTCTGGCCACCGAAGAACTTCTACCGATTGCTGCGGACTTCGCGGAAGAGACCGTGGACCGGGAAGAACCAGAGCAGAATCAAGTCAGCGCAGTCGAAGCAAAGAATCTCAAAACTGACGAAGACCGATCGCTCTTGTCTCCGTCTGGGCCAACATCGGCAACGGATGTACCAGCGCAAGCAGGAGGACAAGCTCCTTCTAGTGCTGCCTCGCATGATCCAAGCTGCAAGAACTTTTTGTCCTCTACTTCACCGGCAGCTGCGGCGGCATCCTCCGTGAATATGAGGGCACAGCAGAAGGAGGAACAAGTTGGCGATTCTACAGACCCTGTAGTAAGTCGACAACTCTCCATGGCTTCAGTGAAGATGTCCTCAACCAGAGACAGCAACATCGATGCGATTGCCAAACTGTTTGAAAGTTTGCGCGATCGCGCCGTGGAAACAGAACGGCTACTGCAGGAGGTCATCGACGGCGATTTGCATACTAGCGTTGGCGAAGGAAATTCAAGCGCGGCGCTGCAAGCTGGAACAGATGTTGCTGACGTAGAAAGCAAGGGACCTCCCAGCGCAAGAAGTGCAACGAGAAAATCAGAATTAGGCGTTCCTCCGGCAGACCTGCGAATGCGGCTAGCGACTCTGCGTTCGCAACGCGCACCCCTAAATTCACTGAAAAGTGCCTTCGAACTGGTAGCCGGACTGAACAAAGATGCTTCCGTACACGGTACTAGCCCTTCGGCACAGGTGGTGCAGACCGACTCTTCTAACCCCGAGCAAGCTCCGACAGAGCTGCGACTCAGCCGGCTCATCGAGGAAGTGTCCGCGAAGAAGCAGGCAGCAGCCGACCAGAAAGTGCTGCGCATGCTCGACCAGGCGGAAAGCGAGAAAGAGGAGTTGATGAATCAGATTGCTCGATTGGAAACAGAGGTTGTAAGAAGTTCCAGAACGACCACGACCAATTCCAGTGCTGCGTCCGTTCTGGGTGGGAGCGCTATCATCAACACCGGTGCTCAGAGAAGCGAAGCCGATTCCCTGGAAGAGCTTTTGCGCCAAGAGCTGGCGGACACGCGGGAAGAAGCGGAGCTGGAGAGAGCTTTGCGGGAGACGCAGGAAGTAGAGCTGGGAACAAGTAGTACTGGTGTTTTGACCGCGGGCAGTAAGGAAAGCGAACAAGAAAACAGAACTGTGCCTTCGCTCGGAAACTCCGAGCCCTCCGGTTCTACTCGGGGGAAGTCAAAAGCCTATAGTGCTGAAGATACAGGTGCCATTTCTGGGACGGGTAACAAGGAGCAATTCCATGGTGTTGATCAAGGAATATCCTTGCGTTCCGATGCAGAGGCATCTTCCCACATCGAGTCCAAACTTGCAATGCAGCGACACGAACTGGAAATACAGCATGCAAGAGAGTTGGAAGAAGTGATGCTCCTATCGGGAGAATTCAAACAACGAGCTCTCGGGCAGAACCAGCGCGTTGACATTCTCAGACTCTTGAAGGGATTGCTGAAAAGCCGAAAGGCAGAGCGAACTACGTCAGGATCATCAAATCACGGTGCTCGCACGGAAGGAGAACGAGAAGCCAAGGTTGAGCTGACTGGTATAGATGCTGAGAAGAGCTCTACGGGAAAAATGGACGAGATAACAAGTTACGCTCGTCAAAAGGCTCTCGACAATACGACCAATACTTCTATCAGCAGCGCCAAGACGACAAGAAGTACAAGTAGCAGCACTGCCGCACCATCGAATGTTCCTGCCGTCGCTGAACTGTTGGAGATAGAAAAACGGAAGTCAGAAGAACTCCAGGGAAGACTGCAGGAGGAGAAAGCGCGCTACGAGTATGAGAAATCCTGGATGTTGGAGCAAATGGTGGCGAAGAGGCACAGGGATCTGCTGACCAGTTTGTTTGACAAAAGCAAGATTGCATCTGGACATCATTTATTGCTGGACAAGACAGAGAAAGTAGAAGCAGGAGAACAGTCCGGCGCAGATCTTCTCGCTAGAAGTTCTTCTTCGACGTCCTCTTCCTCGACTGTCGCATGGCAGCTGAAACTTACCGCAGCCGAAGCAAACGGAAACTTTGCAGACGTCGCAATTCTGCTCTCGCAAAGAGCATCGGTGTGGCTGCAGCGAAATTTCCGAGGCGGTGAGACTTTCGAGGTGGTGAAAAGGAACGTGACTGGTGGGAAGGAGCAGACCGTGCGGAAACCCATTTGGCAGAAATACTTGGTCCGCGCGCGGCCTGCAGCGCGTTCTGGTCAGACGGCAGACGGTGCTAATCTTTCGAATCGAATTAGCAAGCTTTTGCACTTCCTTCCGCCGGCGCTGTTGGTGTCCTGGGTTCGCGGATTATCCGTGGCGGACGCACCTCTGACCTACACACTGCTGCTGAATTTTGTCAGCCGCCAGACGCAACGAGCACAACCAAGCGCAAGTGCTGGTTCCTCGAGTGAACAACTCTCTCCGAGCACGAGCGGCACACTTTGCGGCCTCGTGGATCTCTTAGCGCAAGCGGGCGCTTTCCACCGGCTAGCATCAATCTCGCGTGACAAGGCCCCATTTCCAATGGAATTCTCGTCATTGCCGGAGTTTCGAGGGCGTTTGCTAGAGCAGTACGAGCGGACGGTGGTCGTGCATTTGAGCCATCGCACTATTTTAGCAGAGTTGGAGGCAGCAGCAGCTCCATCTTCGGCAGTGTCTGCCGCTGCGCAAATCTTGGGAAATGAGCACCAGAAGCAGCCGACAAGACCTTCGTCGGGCTGCTACCCGCGGTTAGAGCTGCTCGAGGCCGTTTACAAGGCAGGAATGGGTCTCATCGGGAACGAATCGGCCTTCCTGCGGATGCGCAGCCAGAATTTCATGCAGGCTTGTTTGGGATCCCTGTTTCGTACTTTTCTGACGGACTCAGATTTCGAAGTGAATGAAACGGTGTTTTTGCGGCTTAACCTGAGTTCGCCGAAGAAGGTAGTGGAAGTGCGACAAGTGAACCCAGGCGGAAAAAATGATGCAGTCGATGTCTCGGATGGGGCAGCAAAAGCCGCACAGGACGATGCGGCATCAAGAGAAGAGGTAAAAGTAGGTGACATACGAGTCAATTAGTTTGGTTGACCATGACCACGACTGTATAGATCAATTGTCGACTTTTTCGGTAGGTTTCATTTCCAATTTCTCTCGAATGACACCGCAGCTTCTGGAAAGAATTGCATTTGACAGCAAACATGCATTTTCATTTTCTTTCAGGAAAAGGCGACTCCCCCTCCTGCCGCAGCGGACCCTAGCAAGCACCGAAGTGTTGATGTTGTGCTGGAGTCGCTGAGCACGACCAACAGTGGCGAAAGTGACGAACAGAGTGCAGCGTCCAGTACTACAACTACTCGGTTGCGACACAAAGTTCCCGGCATGCAAGTGTACAAGTTGAGAGAGGCACGCTTAGGGGATCCCCAGCGCGCCGAGAAATCATCCGGCATCGAGCAGCTGCCGCAGCGCCTGGTGTCCCACACCCTGCACGGCTTGGCTTTTTTGGACCAAGTCGCGTCCTCTGTGGAGGCCGGTAACTACCGGAACAAGAATCTCTTAGCTGAGCTGGACCTAGAGTACAGCTTCGCTCTGCTCGCGAGGATTGCCATGGACGATGCGGTGCGGCGAGAAAAAGTAGCTGCGCGTTCCGATAATGACCGAACGGTGTCACAAGGACAAGTCAACGTCGTGAAGCAGTGGCGCATGATGCATGCCCTGCTGTCGAACGGTGAGAAAGTTCAAAAGGCGTGGCCAACTTACGACGCAGATCTCAGAGATGCTGTGAGCAAAATGGCGCGGCAGCAGGGCAGGGATGAACAGAGTGTGCTGTCAAATAAAACAAATGAAGATAAAAATTCGGAAGCAGAGCAAGGAAACGCCGCAGTCAATTCCGCCGAAAGCTGCGACACTACGGGAAATGAATCTGTGCAGGAGCAGAAAGCACTGACAACTCCAGTATACGTTGATGATCGAACGCGACGGTTTCTTTTTTTGCCTTCGGTAGACGCGAGTGGCTCCTCCCCGCAGAATGTTCTGCTCCACCCTCTCGATCCGCAGGCCGCTGAATTTCAGCGAGCCGCGTTGCTGCACCGTGCGATCGCGCAGGAGAAGGAGAGTCTCAGAAGGGAACAAGAACTGGAGGCAAAGCAACGGAGGCTCGACCAGGAACGACAAGAGTTTGAAGAAGAAAAATCCCTGTTCGAAGAGGAGCAGAAGGACCCAATTCTCGCTCGGAATGCGGAACTCGAAGAGGCCATCAGCGAGGCGTACACGCAGTCGGAACAGTACGGCGAGGAGATTTTCCACTTGGCCACTGAGTTGACAACCAGCTCGACGAAATTGGAAAAGTTGAAGTCCAGGGATGACTCCGAGCTGGTGAAGGCGAAAAGAGAAGTTGCGGAGTTGAAGAAAAAACAAGCCGAATACGAAGAAAAAATCGTGGAGAAAGCAGCCCTGATCGTCCAGGAGGAAGTGAAGTTGGCGAAGCAAGAGTGGGAACGGAGTCATTTGTTCGAACAGAACAAACGAGACGGAAACAACACGCAACCTTCTGGCGGTCACCAGCACAAGAAGGATCGTGCATCTTTCCCATCGACGTTCGAAACAAATGCGAGGATGTTCAGGAACAACCCAAGGTACTATCGGGACGGCTCGGATTCAACCTCACCTTTTACCGCACCAAGAGTGCAGAACACTCGAACAGCGAACGACAGTGGAGGCGATCCAGCGGGCCAGAAAGAGCTAAGTTTTGTTGGAAGTCGTCCGGTTCTGTGCTCGTCAAAAAGTGAGGAGGTTATACAAGCGCTGCAGAGGATAGACGAAGCGGAAAAAACCAATAGCAGTGTCGATGGCAACATGTGCACAAGCGAGCAACACGAGAACGTGGACCCTGATCATACTCCAAAGCTCCGGTCGGAAACCAGCAGCTCAGGTGTGACTCCGGCAGAAATTGGCGTTTCCGGCATGCAGGATGAGATCGCCAGAGCCGAAAATGACAACGAGACTTCATCTTCTGCGGGAGTAGGTGCAAAGCGCGAGGGCGATCGCTCCATACGCAGTGCTTTGTGCGATCTCGTTCAGATTGTGAAAAAGGAAGCCAACCTTTCCGTGCGCGCAAAACAAGAAGACGAAGGAGATGTTGTGAACCCCGGTTCAGATAGTAGTGCTGCTGACCTACACCGCGATAGGGTCGTCTTGGATCTTTCGCAGGAAGCTGCAGCTGCCAGCGTCCCCGTATTGGAAAAGCTCTTCCAGCTGCTGCGCCGAAAATCGCGAGCCTACACGGTCTTTGTCGAAGAATTGGGCGCGCGTTTAGCGTCGCCTGAGGCCGCCAAGGGGCCTACGATCGGATTTGATGCAAATGCGGAATTGAGTGCTTACCTGGCCGAGCTCGGAGAACTTCTTTCCACGGCGCACGTACTGGACGCACAGCTTCCAGCGCGCGTTGAGCATGATCAGGTGAAGCCGATAAGCGCCCCAGTCGTACAACCTGATATCTCGCCCGTCCTGCAAGCCGAGAATGCACTTCGTATTTTGTTCTGGAAGGAGCTGCGACGCAGGATCTTGGAAGTGGTCCCGGCCTACGTGCCGGAGGAAGGACCAAATCCTGCGATTTGTGGTCCAGAGCACCTCCATCTGCTGCGCGCCGCCTTAGCGATCTACCGCCCAGGCTGCGAAGACGGTAAGCGATTCATGCGCGCTGCATTGGGCTGTTTCCGGGATTTTACGGCCTTGGGTGAAGTAGGGTCAAATGCTGCACCCGGGGAGAAGAATTACGGGACCCGTCGTTTTCCCGCAGCAAGTTCTGCGAGCCGCCCACCATTACGGGGTGACGTGAGGCAAAATGCAGAAAAGCTGCGAGTTTTGAGTCATTTCCTCTGGGAAGTCGAGAGTTTTGACATCCAGGACACCAGGCTGGTGTCAATGCTGGCACAACTGAAGGGTGATGTGCAGCGCGCCCGTGAGAAGCATGAATGTGAAGAAGCGTCCGCAGAGAAAGAATGATAGCCAAGTAAGTACCGGCACCGGTACCAGAAAGTGCATGTGCAACAATTGACCTGGAAGCAGAGACAGTTGCGCTGGGGTTTTTTGACGCTCCTGTCGTTGCTTCAATCATAGAAAATGCGATAATAATAAGATGCCGACATTGTTGTCTTGTCTGCTTTCGGCGAAACGAAAAGCTGTTCACAGTTCGTCTTGCCAATGTGGAATGCACTGTCTAGACTTTGGAAATTGCATTTTTCTGTTGTGGGTTTTGGTTTTCCTTTTCGTTTCGCGCAAATATCTGCGTTCGCATCGCCGGATGATGTTTCTGAAAAGGACCTTGTGAGAGCGCGTACAGCTTTTGTTCCGCACACTTGTTTTATCTTGTCGCGAGAGCGAGACGAAGAATTGCACCAGAACTCCCAACACGACTGCAAAATGTTGCGTTCGCTCACGGTGGCGCTCGCGTCACTGCTTGCAGCCTCGCCCGCTCTCGGCTTCGGGCTTTCGCTGAAAAAGGGCTTGCCGAAAGTGGAGACAAGGAAGGACTGCAAAGTCCGTTGCCAGCGGTTTGGCATGAAGTCCCTGGGAGAAGATTTCGCGGGGATGACGCCGCAGGAGTGCAGCGCGCATTGTGACGATGTTTTCAAAAAGTAATTCCGAACTGCCTCGGTCACGGAATAGCAATACGAATACGAGTAGACATCGCTGTTGCATTCGATGGTGACTTAGTTTTTCACTTTTTTCCTCCTCTGTTGAATATTCAAACAAGATTCGATTTCATGTCGGTGTGAAAGGGTTGAGTACCACTCTTCGACAGTACCTCTAACCGTTTCTTCAACACGTAACTCCGTGCTGCCCTCCAAGCAGTACTCCGAAAGGAATCTTCGGAAAAATGTGATTTGCCTCAGCCTGGAAGAATATGTGTTGTGCCTCAGCCTCACTGTGGTTATCCATTTAGCATTCGACGAGCGATGATTCTGAATAGAAGACTCTGAGTTTTTCATGTTTTTTTCACTGATGCACTCCTGCTCGGTGACGGTGTCGGTTTTTTTTTTCTTTCTCGAGATGGGAGAGAATCGAGAGATGAGTCTGGAGAGGAATAGATGAAACTTAGATTTCGGTTGTAAGCACGGATGAAGAATTTTACCTCAGGAAAAGCTACCAGTTCCACACAGCGGAGGATTTCACCTTCCTTCCGACCCAATCTAGTAACTAGAAAACTTCAAATCGGCATTATCCGAGAGACCACGATCCGACGGGGAGATACATCGCTCCAGATCACAAGAAAAACACCACCTACACCTACTACTAACAACGCTTCGAACGGCGTCACTCACAACCATGAGTGCTGCCACCGCTGGTGCGGTTTTTGGGAACGTTCTGCCCTACTGCGAGCCGAACTGGTATTCCTCCAATTACAAATCGCCGTACTACAAGCAGACCCACATCGAGTGGCGGGCTCGCTGCCGCGAGTTCGTGGAGGACAAAATTCTGCCGTATGTCTCCGACTGGGAACAGAGCAAGGAAATTCCCCGCCACGTTTACAAGGAAGCGTACCAGGCCGGCCTGATCCCGTGCGTAGTCGGGGTCAAGGGCTTTGAGTTCGTCGACTGCGAGAAGCCGAAAGAGTACTTAAGTAGGGATCATGTCCTTAGTGTTTTCGAAGGTGACAATCACAATACAAAAATTATGAATGTTCTTTGGGTTTCCTACTCATGCATAAGCACATAGGTCCTCTTGTGCTTTGCTATTCCCTCTGAAAATGGTAAAAATTTTGAGGATGTCCTACAACAGCTACGACTACTTCCATGAGCTGATCTTCGTGGATGAGCTCGCCCGCTGTGCCAGTGGCGGGACGCTGTGGGGTATTGTCGAGGGACTGCAAATCGGGTTGCCGCCTGTAATCAACTTCGGATCAAAGCAGCTGCAGGACAAAGTTTGCAAGCCGTGCTTGACCGGAGAGAAGATCATCTGCCTTGCCATCACCGAGCCCGGAGCAGGGTATACAGTCGCATCCTTTTGAGTCGTGGCTTTGCGCACATACTGTTTCCACTCTTTAATAGCGAAAATGTTCGTGCATGATGTATTATCAAAACCCAAAAAAAAATTCTACAGGTCCGACGTCGCCAACATTCGGACGAGCGCGAAAAAGGAGGGCGACCACTACGTCGTGAACGGGGAGAAGAAGTGGATCACCAACGGCATATTCGCCGACTTTTTCTCCGTCGCGGTGCGCACGGGTGGCCCGGGGATGAAGGGAATCAGCATGCTGCTGATCGAGAAAACGATGCCCGGTGTGAAGACGCGCCGCATGGACTGCCAGGGCGTGCACCCGAGCGGTACCACATTTGTCACGTTCGACAACGTGAAAGTCCCCGTCGGGAATCTGATCGGGGTCGAGAACCAGGGTTTCGGCGTGATCATGAAGAACTTCAACCACGAAAGGTGGGGCTTCGTCATCCAAGCCAACCGGTTTTCGCGGGACCTCGTGGAAGAGGCCCAAAAATACGCACTGAAACGGTCCACGTTCGGCAAGAAGTTAATCGACCATCCGGTGATCAGATGGAAGCTCGCCGAGATGATACGGCAAGTCGAGGCAATGCACCACTGGCTCGAAAGTACTTCATGGTTTTATGGGGAACTGTTTGTCTGGCATAATGGTATTTGCTCAGCAACTGATGACACGAATTCGTCATTCTCGGAACCTCAGGACACATAAAACGAATCAAAATTTTTTGAAATGTACAGATCTCACCTACCAAATGAACACCATGCCGTTTGAAGTGGCCCAGACGGAGCTCGGCGGCACGATGGCGTTGGCGAAGGTGAACGCATCCAAAATCATGGAATACTGTGCGCGAGAAGCAAGCCAGATTTTCGGCGGCAATGCCTACACGAAGAGTGGACTTGGTAATCTTCGATGAGGCCTTTTTGTAAATGCTGGCGTCAAGCCAGAACCTCTTTAGTAGGCTCTTCTTCCGTAATATTTTATCCTGGCTGGTTCAGAAGTTGTAGGGTCTTGTTTGTTCTTTTCCAAAATGAGAACGCACAATCAGGACAAAAATCACATCATCAGGTGAAAAAGTGGAGCGACTTTACCGTGATGTGCGGGCGTATGCTATTCCGGGCGGAAGTGAAGAAATCCTGCTCGACTTGGGCGTCAGAGAAGCAGTCAAACTCGGGAAATCTAGACAGTCCAAGTTGTAAACCACATAGAGCAAAAGCGTCCGGCAGAAGATCTGAGCAATTTAGTAAACTGTCAGATGCCCCCTTCGGACGTCGCTTCGGCACCACCGTAGTTCTTGCACTTCTTTGTAGAAAATCAGTTTTATTTTCCAATCTGAGGCCGCCAATGTCGTGTCACGTACTTCTTCTTGTCCACCGCTGAAGTTTCGCCTCTATGGTGGAGCTCCCCGCCTTATGAAGACCACCCACATACGGCGTGACGAAGTAAACAATCTCGCTACCGTAGTGCGCCACTTTTGTCGTGACAAGTGCAACCTCTGCCTCACACTATCTGTATCTTCGACTGCGTCCTTCGGGTGTAGAGAGTCAACACTTGCGGAAATAAGGGCACGTTTGGTTTATTGATTTCTTTGAGTCTCAACAAGCAACGACAAATGGTTGAAATGAATTCTAGAATATACTGAAGTTGGAGTAAATAGCAATTTCAAGATACTTGAGAAAATAGAAACAAAACAAAAGAAGGACGGGTGGCCTGTTTGAAAAGAAAATGAAAGATCTCACATGTCTGCGAAGAAAATAAAGCAGGAAAGAACAGGCGCCGATACCTCTTCTACCATTATTTTCCGCTTGTGGCAAAACACCGTGTCAGCAACGGTACTCCTGACTGTGACGACTACGTGGATGCGCTACACACGTGCTGTATTAACTCTGGCCGCTTGCTCTTGAGTTCTTGTGTTTCCGGGCTTTTTTCTGTTGCTCCAATTTTTATTGCCAGGAATCGTCGCCGCTCCATGCCGTGGCACAGTCACACAGCGAGGTTTGCATACAAAAGATGTCCTTACAATTGAGTGTGCTGGATTGAGTCGAGCGGCAAGTTGTACTTGGAGTGCGAAGATGGTAGGTGAAAATCTATCGTGTTTCGGTATGTGGTATGATTGATGTAGCTTTTTCTGAATTTCTATATATCGAAAGTTGCCGGATCCGGAATCGAAGGGGAGGAAAAGGAACAAGGTCCAGCTTTTCCCGCGTAACGGAGCAAAACGTTCGACTTGGCAGCAGGCGATGGAACGACCCACGCGTTAGCATCGGCGGAACGACAGGACCAGCACTCCAGCGAAAACGTCACAATACTGCTGAGGATGGAGCACTGATATTAAGCGGCAACCTATGTCGTGAAGAACTGCGACTTGCGCACGACGAGCTCGCGTAGTCATCTTTTTTTCTGGAGTCGGGACTTCGCGGCTTTCGCTTTTCTGAAGGCATCTCGTCCTTGCGAGGACGATGAAGATGAATCCGTACTATTCCGCCCTGCACCGATTTCGGCTGCACAAATGGGAGGAATGCATCGACATCTGCACGGACCTGCTGAACGAAAATCCCCGAGACGAGGCGGTGTGATAAAAGTTAACGTTTTGCCGCGCCCTATTGAGCTGGTTTTGTGGCCCCAGAAGTACTGCAGATCACAGCAACGTTTTTCATTGGATGAAATAAGTTAGGAAATCAACATCACAACATTCATACTTGACAGGTTTGGTTTCTCAAATGCCGTGCCATGGTCAAGAAGGACTACCTTGACGACCTGGAGATGGAAGAGGAAGGGCTGGGCGACCTCGTTATGGATGACCACGCAATGGCCTCCGCGCCCCGCCCAGGTACAAGTCTTCGAAATCCAACCAGCGCGGGCACCGCGGGCGGGCAAGGACCGTCCCCTGTCATCCGCCCGGTGTCGCAGTCCGGGCGACCGCTCACGGGTTTCGCCCGCGCAGGCACCTCCCGAGCGACAAGTAGCAGCGGCCGCAACGAGCTAGCGACCGCGATGGGCGCAACGAGGCCTGGCTCGAGTGCGCGACCCTTGACAAGTTTGGGGCGGCTGGTGAGGCTCGGCACAGCAAGCCTGAACCAAGCCAACACGAAGGAATTCATCATCCCGGAGCAGCTGAATCTCCCGAGATTTGCCCGAAAACCTGCACTGGCGAAAGCGCTCTGCGACTGGCTGCTTTACGTCGCACGCCACCCAAAGCGGGCATTAGAGCTCGCGGCGGAAGCGACGCAGGTCGCAGAGTTCAAGGACTGGTGAGCTTCTGGTTTGAAGTTTCGTTCTTCGTACTCTAATCACGTATTTGTTTTGCTGGTGCGTGTCAATTTTTTTCTCAATGTAAGCATTCCATCGCCTGTGGTCCAGCTATTCTCGCTTTATTACAAAAATAAACAGGTGGTGGAAAGCGCGGCTTGGAAAGTGCTACTTCCAGCTCGGCCTGATCGAGGACGCCAAGCGGCAGTTCTACTCGGCCCTGCGCGAGCAGGAATTCGGCGAAACGCATTTGGAGCTGGCGAAGGTCTTCCTCAAACTGGACCAGCCCAATGTCGCGCTGGAACAGTACCGCACCGCCAGCGACAAGTTTGTCGGCGACACGGCGCTGCTGCTCGGCTTAGCGCGCACCTACGACGCCCTGAACCAGTCGCTGAACGGAGTGGCGATCTACAAGCAAGTGCTGAAGTACGACAGCATAGACGCAGAAGCGATCAGCTGCCTCGCCAGCCACCACTTCTACACGGATCAACCGGAAGTGGCCTTGCGCTTTTACCGCCGACTCCTACAGACGGGACAGCAAAGGTCCGCGGAGTTGTGGAACAATCTTGGGCTGTGTTGCTTCTACTCGGGACAGGTACAACTTCTACTGGGAGGGTGCTGTCGCTCGATTTTTCAACTGTCTTGGTAATTTTGCTCTAGTAGACGACGACTTCTCATCCTCGTCATGCTTGGCTCCGATCATGCATTGTCGATGTCGGAGCGTATGACGAAGTAGATCTAGATTCCTGAGACGCCACCACTAAAACACACAGTACGACCTGACGTTGTCTTGTTTCGAGCGAGCCCTTCTTCTGGCAGACGACAGCAACATGGCCGACGTTTGGTACAACATAGGTCACGTAGCCGTGGGCGTAGGTGATCTTGGGCTGGCCTATGCAAAGGAAAACTTTCCGACTTGTCTTTCTCGTCTTATGCAGGTCTTGGTTGAGTTGTTCTCTCGCATAGTTTTGCTTGTCGAGACATGAAAAGTTCGCTGAGTTTTCTTTTGATGGCGGTTATCAGTCATTCAAAATCTCCGTCTCAGTAGACCCGAATCACTCAGAATCCTTCAATAACCTGGGCGTTCTGGAGTTGAGGAAAGGTAACAATACCGCTGATTTTATTGCCTAGCTTCGTCCTGTAGGTGTAGATTGAGTCAATGTGGTTCTGGTTGATGACGAATGATGCAGAGTCATTATACAGAAAATCCCCAACGACCATCGCAGGCAACATCGAGCAGGCGCAAGACAACTTTAAAGCGGCAATAGGACTGGGCTCCCACTTCTTCGAGCCGGCCTTCAATTTTGGCCTGCTCGCTTTCAAGCTGGGCGAGTTCCGCGATTCCTTTGAGTACGCGAACAAGGCCCTGACTGCCTACCCCGACCACATCGAGTCCAAGGAGCTCTTGAAGCAGCTGAAAACGCACTTTTCGACGCTATGATGGTCGCGGGGGGATATAGTTGCATATGCTATGGCTGTGGTCTTCCTCTCCTGGCTGTGACTCCTTCTTGTGTGGCTGGTCAATGCTGTTCTTTGGAAGTTTTTCGCCGTGCGGTAACGAGCTGGAAGAACATGAACATGCCGGCTCGGGGAAGGTGTGCGGTTCTTAGGTGTCGCAGGCCGTAGTACTTGGTACTGGGGCTGAGGCATTTTTCAGTGAAACAATTGTCGTGGTGTCATCCATGCTACTAGCGCGCCATTCTCTCGGTAACTGTGCGTAGTTGCCACGGTATGATTTCGTGCAACATCGGTCCTCCACGAAAAGGAACGCAGACGGCTACAAATGAGGAGTCAGCCATGGCGAAAGTGCTCGAAAGAAAAGAGCGCAGTTTTCGCTGTGTGTAAATTGCTAAAAAATACGCAAGAAGTAAAAGTGGCAGTATAGAACGTACATCTGTCCTTGTCAATCGGCACAATTCCGCCCTGCGGAATGAGTACAAGTACTTCGAGTTGTCTGCGCGAAGAGCGATATTACTCAGAATCTGTCAGAGTGTGCTCGTTCGAGAATGTCGGCTCGCTCCTATCGAGACGACAACAAATTTTGGTTAACCACTCGCCTGAATTATAGCAGAAATGGCATGTCCCTAAGGAAATCGAGAAATCCTTTGATCAGGTCCCCATTCACCTAAGTTACCCCGTTCCCCCGCGCTTGCTATGCGCTATTGCGTGATTCGGATTCCAAAAGGAAAAAATACGCTATTCTTTTGACAAAAGAAAACTTTTGCCGGGAAAATCGTCCCTGTCGCTATTTTCACTGCTTTCCTTTTTAGGTCCATTACAATGAACTCATAGTTATGGCTGCTTCCGCGAAAACTTAGTTTTACGATAATAAGCTGCTCTTCCAAGAAACAGAGAGATAATTTCACCTATTAAACCACTTGACAAATAACCAGCACGACAGTTGCATCCCATTGACAACAATGTGGAACTCGAAGTTGGGCAATGCCTTTCCCAAGGCGGAGATCGACAAGGCCGACGCGGGGCGCATGAAGTTTCTCCGCCAGTTGCGCAACGAGGGCAAAAACAGCGAATGCGTGGACTGCGGAGCAAAGGAGACCGCGATCCAGTGGGCCGTCCTGCCAATAGGCAGTTTTGTCTGCGTCCGCTGCGCAAGTTTGCACCGAGGGTTGGGCACGCACATTTCGAAAGTCAAGGGACTGACGGGCACCTACCTCTGGGGACCGGACGAAGTTGCGCACATGATCGGCAACAGTGCGGTGGCTGAGATTTACGGCGGAGCGCAGCAGAGGCAGCCTCCGACCGCCGACGATGCAACCATTCGGGCTTTCATGTCCGAAAGGTAAAGATTAGCAACCGTAGGCAGCAGCTCGGAATGGAAAAATGGAATCTTGAGTCCTGCCCAACAGCAACACCGCTGTGCGATCGCCTAGATCATTATACGAGTTTTAGCCACACAAATTCGCATGCGCCCGCCCAGCTGCGTTGACAAAATGAAAGCCGCGAGAGAACGCCAAGAATCTGTACCGCAGGATATGCGCTACTAGACGCCCACTTTCGCACGCAGATTAATCGCAAAGGTGCCTTGGCGCTCGTCAGCCGCATGAGTTTAGACTTGAAATGTGCGGACATGTTACGTAAGTTTGGCCGCAAAAGTGATAACGGCATTAAACTTGGCTTCAGATTGAAGCTCTGAAACAGAAAAACAAAATCAATAAAAACAGACTTAAATCAATATCTTGTGCAGTAGGTTTTGCAAATTGAATTTTCAGGTATGACCGTCGGGCCTGGTTCTCTCAAGAAAAATTCAACGCGTACGAGCCGCAGAGGCACGGATGGAATTCTGAAAACAGCGCAGCGAACGGCAACGGCATGACGCGGCCCCAGGTGGTTGATCCGTTCGACGACAGCACCTGGACGGCGGCACCGCAGGCCGCGAAGGCTGGCGTAGTAGCAGCGAAGGGCAGCGACAAGCAAAACACCAGCCTGATGGACGAAGTCGATGCGCAGTTCGCTAAGAAGGAAACAAATGACTTTTTCGACTTGGACAATTGGTGAATACTGCTAATAATTTTGTCGCCGCATTGATAAGTACTCTAGCTCTACCACTTGTACAAAGTCAAAAGATAAGTTCGCGAAGCTACTTTCTACCCCTAGGAGATAGTTTTTTTGGTTTCACTGTCTACAGCACAGGCCCCGAACTTTTGGAGGCGACGCAGATGAACTTCTTTCAAAATGCGAAGTATATGTTGAGCAAGCAAGAGCGCAAATTTCTCTGCGCTGGAAGTTAAAAGGAATAAATTGGACAGACTGTGTATATGTTGAGGAACGCAGACGATGTTGCGCGCTAAAGTGTTCGCTGTTTTATTTTTTCTTACGACGCCGCTTCGCATTGTAGCCCATTCTATTTCTCCTTGCCATCGTAGCAGCAGCCCAGGCGCGCGGCCATGTGCGCGGCGCAGGCCGCTCCGCCGCGTAAGAGGACCAACGCGACCGGGTCGCATTTTTGTTGTTCTGGGGCCCTCTTCCGTTGCCTCTCCGCGGCCTTCCTCGGTGTCGTGGCGCGGTGATGGCGCGCGATTTGGGAAGCGGGGCCGAGGCCCGGCGGATGCGACCCCGGACCGACGGCGCGAGCCGTGCCCGCAGGGACCCGCCCCATGGTGTACTCCAGGCAGGCAGATGAAGAGCCCGGCCGCCACCGCCCGCGCAGCCAGGCAGGCAGGCGGGGGCCGCGGCGCTTGCCCGGGCGAAAGGCCCGGCCGGCCAGCGCCATCGGGCATGGGGCCCCGGCAGAAGGTGGCGCAACAGCTCGGCCCCGCCTGCACGCGTTCGCTGTGCGAAGGGTGCGAAGATTTTGCCACCTCCGATGCCACCGCCGCAGGTTCCTTTTGTTGCCCAGCGCCCACTTACAGCGCCGCCGGCAGAGCGCGTGGGGCAGGGCTGCGCAGGCAGGCGCAGCCGAAGGCGGCCCATTTGGCGCGTTCCGTGGTGGCGCCGCCGGGGGGCCTGCATTCGAGACGCTTGGGAAGAGTTCGCTGCGTGTTGGCCCGACGCCGGCTACATTCCTTCGGCATTTTGGCGGCAGAGGGAGGGGAGCCTGGTATGGCCTCGCCCCCAGTCAGTGCCTGCGTCCGGTGGCAGCAGCGAAGGAGCGGCGTGCTTTTAGGTTGCCGGCCGGGCCCCAGGGCCGGCGCCGGCGGCTACTGGCAGACAAACTCCCTTGGGCCGCGCGTGGCGTGTCTCTCTCTATTTTGGCGAGGGGCGCCCGCCCCACCCGAAGAATTCACCAGATCGCGGAGTGGCGGGGGGGGACTGGCTCAGCTCACTGGATATGACGACGGCGCTCGCGGAGGTAGTGCGGACTTGGTTTGAGGTTATGGCGCAAGTCATTGCTCGGGCCGGAGGCCGCGCGCCGCCCTTCCCGCCACGCTCTTCTGTTCTTGGGCCGGGCCGGTTTAGGGGAAGGATGCGATGCCCAGGTGGGCAGGAGAAGAAGCGAGCGCAGGGGGGGGCTGAAGCACTGAGGGGGTTGGGGGGGGAGCATGCGAAGGGCAATCGCTCCGGCTCTGCGCTGGGAAGTAGATGCCTGGGCCATCGCGCTCGTAGGCCCATCGGCGTCATTCTTTCTGCTATGCAGATACCGCAGCGCTTTCGGGGCTGCTTTGGCCTCTGCCTATAGAAAAAACCAACGGCAGACACTGGAGGCCTGGGCCAGTGCGTTTCGCCGGGCCTTTCCCAGCCTGGCCCAGCCAAAGTCCTCTTTTTGGCAGTGTCACAGATTTTCTGAGGGGCGAAGCGCCAAAAACGAAAAGAATTCGGCCAAAGTCGCCAGCGGCGGGCACTTACGCACACAACGCGGGACGGGGCCGACATTTTTGAAGGCGTGGAGCAGAATCGGGCAAGTCCCCCATCCGGAGGAAGGCGGCAAAGTGGTGCGAGCGGCGGCGCCACTGGCGCGTCAGGCTCCGGCGGCAGTTTCCAGATGCTAGCGGCGCCGGTCGCGGGCGGGGCGACGGGAGTCGGCCGAGGGTTGGCGTGTGTTTCAGCTCGGCGCGGGCCTTGCCACCTTGCTGAGGAAGCCCGGCATTGGCGCCGCCGCCTCCACTGCCCCGGCCGGCGTCTTTGGCCGCTGGGCCTTTGAAGTTGCGGCCCTTTCTTTGCCCCGGTTTCCTTGGCGGCGTTCCCTTGCCCGCAGCAGCGCCGGCGGCCAGCGAGCTGGGTGTCTGCCCGGCGGCGTGAAGGTGGCGGCCGTGCACCCGGGCAAAGCCGCGCGGCCCGGTGGAGCCGGCGCCAGGCCGAGAAGTGATGGCCCTTGCCCGGGCTCCCGGTGGTCGTGGCTGGTTGATGGAGTCGCCCGCCCAGATCTATCATTTTGCGTCCCCGCCATTGCTTTTCGGTCGGCCCGCGCCCACCGGATTCCCGGCCGCGACCGAGCACAAGGCCAGGCGGCGCCCCTTCGCAGAGGGTAGCAAAGGATGTATGGAACGGGGCCGCCGAAGAATTTACGACATTGCCGGGTTTGCCGCGTAGCTAGATGAATATGGGTGCCCGAAATTGATTCTACCGAATGTGTCAGGCTGTGTGGTCAATTGCATAGCCTGCGCGCCGGGTCGCTTCCCTTGATGAGTCGCGCATCTGGCTACACTCATCATTTCTGTTCATGTTTGCACGAATTTCGGCACGAGATGTCGTGCGTGCCTGCGTTCGGGCACGCTAGGCGCAGTTGGTTAGAGTCTGAGAGAAGATGTCTCGCTGCGCCATTGCATGTGCGGCCGCATCGACTTCTGCGAAGCACACAGATGCCGATGCAGTATAGGCATGCAAAAAACAAAGTTCTCCGCGCGAATCCGTATTCTCAGGCAGTTTTGGCCGACTACGGTCACAGACTACATACTGAGGAAAACAGTGCCAGTGCGAAAGAGTTAGCGGGATCGAGAGAGGACCCTTTTCGATTCCGTTGTTGGGAATTACAACTACGTACCTACTAGTACTTTTGTTTTTACTTATCTTTTTTCATCATGCGACAGGGACAGAGCCCGTCAAAGAAATCTTGATTACTTGGCATTCCGCCACTGTTCGCTCTTGCGATTATTTCGGCATCTTGATGTTTGTCTTCTCTTCGTCTCCGTAAATGGTATCGCTTTCGTCCGTTCCGCGGCAAATCATCCATCACCACTTATTTTATGGTAACTACGACGGACATCCGCCGGGCGATCTCGAACTCGCCATCTCCACATTGCGGCGACCCATGACGCCACAGTTGACACAAGATGACAGCGACGAGCGCGCGTTGATTTTTCTTGCCGGCGACAGCAGTCTGGACAACAAATTTTGGCTCGGCCAGCGTGCACAGGCGCTAAATGGCTACGAAAATATCATCCTCCCCCCTCTGATGAAGCAAGACGTTTGCTTCTGGATCAACTCCTACCTGATCAGAAAAAATCTCCACGCAAATACCGCCTGCGTCAACTGCGCTGTCGAGGCGAGCTCTTTGTCCTCCCGAGCGTTTGGCGTGCTGCACAAACAGGACGCGATCATCCAAAAATCCCTAACGCCCAAAGACACCCTGATTGTCAGCATCGGGGGGAACGACATCGCACTAGTGCCGAGTCTGTTGACCGTCGCGAACTTACTTGTCCTCAGTTGGTTGGTCCCGAAAACCTGCACGGAAAAATGTGCCTGCAGCGTCGGGCCGCCGAATCTCGTTCCGGACATGGGCTGTTGCTGCGGCTGCCATGTGCTGAACTGTGCCCAGAGCTATCTCTGCGGGTGGCCACCGGGATTTGGGTACTTCGTGGATTTATTCAAAAACCGCGTGAAGAACTATGTGAAGAAACTGGTGAAGATCTCTTCAACCGGGCGGGTGAAGAAGATGAAACCGAGACGCAGCAGCAAGAGCAGGCTTTGGAGCTAAGGGTGAACGCAGCAGAAGTGATTACCGAAGAGGGCATCTCCGAGAAGGTTTTGCCGTTCGAGTCATACGATCTCGTGGACAACGAGAGTGCCATCAGCCGACTCTTGTCGAGGGAGGCGAGCCATGAGGGAGACGTCCATATGTTTAAATCAATTATGAGGGCGCAGAAGTTGAATATCATGTATCCGCGGTCGATTTTACATATCTCGGACCTCCTCAACTTGGCAGACGTACTGGGAAAATACTTTCCTAGTACGCATGAGAAGATGCTGAGGTTCCAGGAGGCTATGAGAGGATACTTCAAGTGGTCGCTGCCAGGAGACAGGAAGATGGTAAACGGAGGTCTAGGAGTGCTTCGACGGCTAAAGCAAAAATTGTGATGCAAAAGGGTAATCTGTTTGTGGGCCTTCTGAGAGAGAAGTGCTAACAGCAGAAAAGAAAGTGCTAGTGGGCGTTCTGGCCGGGAGCCAGTACTGCTAACAGCCTGGAAGAGACCAGGGTCATTTTCGAACGGAAGGTAATTGGAATTGAGTGTTTTCGGATGCGGTTTTAAAGAGAAAGTAACATCACTACGGAGTCAAGGCAAGGAGGAGAAAAAGGAAGTTGTTTGAGTTGAACATAAAGCAGTCACTCTACGGGCAGGACATGCGTTTTCGCGTAAGCTTTTACATGTTGGTTTAGTGCCGGTTTTATAACATTACAAAAATTACGTTTTATAAACTTTTCAGCCGCGAGGGCTTCTCTTCCAACGCGAGGTTGGAAGTCTCCGTCGTTTTGTATTGCGCGAGGCAATAAGAAATGACACCCACTAGCGGTCACGCGAGGTGACTGCGAAACAGAAGACACAACAGTAGTAAGAAATAAATTTAAGATGTTTTAGTTGTTTTTCACTGAAGAAGCTCTATTCAGCGACAGTTAGTCATGATCTTTGTTGTTTTAAAAGATATCCAGTTCTCATAATTTGTGATCGTTTTATCAGAATAGGTTATACATATTTGTTTACGAAACTACTTTAAGTCGGGGGGTATGTTAAAATTTGATGTGCAAATCGATACCAAAATGCTCACATAGTTTCTTTACAAATGTTGTTCGAGAGAGAAAGCGATCGGATCCTTTTTGTTCGTGCGAGTCGAGTCTGCTCACAAAAAGCGATGAAAGAGCACCAGAATCTCGAATGCTTCCACCTCAACTTTTCCCCTCTGGGCCTCTGGCTCAAGCCAACCAATAATACCGCAGCGAGCTCTTTTTTTGTGCCAGCGAGAACGTGCACTATTTCTACGTATACGCACCGTGTTCTGCCACTGTTTATGATCCACATTTGCATGCGCAACTGGATCGAGCCCTAAAATCCACATTATTCAAAAACCGCGTGAAGAACTATGTGAAGAAATTGGTGAAGAACTGCGCTAAAACCGCGACGAAAAACAAGCCTCTTCGTGTGGTCATTTGCATGATTTACTTCCTGGACACGAACCCGCGGTCGGAATCCTGGGCCGGCTTTGCCTTGTCCTGCATGCGATACAATTCCTACCCCGCAATCCTGCAGACCGCGATCCGACAAGTGTTCTACTGGGCCACCGCGACGATCAAGATTGAGAAGTGCGAGGTCATTCCTTTCGCACTGTTTGACGTGTTGGACGGAAACACACCGGAGGATTACGTGGCACGGGTGGAGCCCAGCGAGACCGGGGGAAGGAAAATGGCAAAAGCTCTCGTGGAAAAATTGTATCCGGAGATGAGAGGCGAAAAAAGCGAGACTAGCATGATCACTCAAGATTCTGAGCACGAGGACGCAGATTCTCAACAGAACACACTGGCAACCGCATTGGGCGCTCCAACGCCACAGTTCATGACAAGGAGCAGCAGTGTCAATGATGATGTTGAAAAAACGCAGTTTATTCAGCCCCCTGGCATGGGTTCTTGACAAACGATTAAGTGCGTTGTTTTACTACTTGGCTGCGCTTTTTCTTGATGTTCTCGCGAACTTGCAAAGTTGTCTTATTCGCCGTCGACGATATTTCTGGTGGGCAGAGGCGCAAAAGAAAAGCCGCCGCGTCATCATAATTCGCTGGTAATTGTGGTCGTGAAGAAATGGTTTCATGCAAAGTGGTCAAACGTGTGCGCTCTATCAGTCAAATCGTGGACGTGGAATTTGAAAAATGTGGTCGGCAAGGAATTGTGCGACCAGTCGTTCTTTCACACGTTAGAATCAAAGTTGCTTTGTTGATTTGTTTTCGTGCCGGTTGTCGACAAACATTGACGACTATAGTAGAATCTACATCTTCCCATCTTCGCAAATAATTTTTGCCATAGGAGCCAAAGAAGCTGCGTTGACTTTGTGTACACGTAGAGGTGTTGAAGCCCGTGCTTTTCATTTCGCAAAAGGTGCAGAAAACTATAGCGCTTCTTTCACGTCGGCCAACCGCCGCAGCGCCGACTAGTAAAACGAAAATGTCAAACGTCCGACCTCAGCAGCTGACGAGCATCCGTCAGGAGACGGCGCAGGGCTTGGCCGAGATGCGACAAGGCCAACAGGAGGAGCCGCACGCGAAGCGCCAGAAAGTGGAGAACCTGCAGCCACTCGACGCTTCCCTGGCGGACATCCGCCGCGAGGCTATGGGCGTCGGCGCGGCGGGGTCGTCCAGCAGTAGCAGCAGCCGGCCCCAGACCATGACGGCACTGACGGGCAACGCGAATGCAAACCAGCTGTTCCCGCAGGTGGACAGTGAGAACGCGTTTTGGTTCTACTACCAAGATGCCCACGAGGACGTCTCTCTGCGGAACGGCGTGTGCCGGGTGTTGCTGTTCGGGAAGATTTTCCTGCCGAACCAGCAGCAGGTGTCCAGCACGTGTTGCGTCGCGGTGCACAACATGAAGCGAAACGTGTACCTCTTGCTGCGGGAGCAGGGGTTGACGCCAGAGGAGCACGCCAGGAAAGCCCAAGAAGCGTTTTTGGAATTCCGAGAAGCACAATTGAGAAAATCGCTGCGACAAGGAAGAAGTACCTATTTGTGCATTTTTTTGGTGGAAATTGATGCATGATGATGCCGACCCCACATATTTTGCAAAAGAAGTTCTACGGTCAACGATCATGAAATGATCGCGACTTTCTTGCGAGCGCCGTATTATAAAAACAAAAATGACTTCTAACATGAGCCCTTGGCATGATCTCTACTCACAGACGCCGACGCGGCTTTGGCGCAGGTGACCTGGAAGGCGGTAAAACGAAAGTACGTGTTTGAGCGCGAGATTCCGCACCCGCACGGCGAACTGCAGTGGTGCAAGGTCACGTTCGACGGTTCGTGCAGCCAAATTCACGACGTTGGAGGCACCCACTACTCGGACATCTTCGGCACGCAGACCTCCTTCCTGGAGATGTTGTTCAAAAAGCGGTCCCTGAAGGGCCCGCAGTGGATCCGCGTGACGAACGCCCAGCGGGGAAATGAGTCGCTCTCTTACTGCCGGTTCGAGGCCCACATTCCCAGCCACAAGTGCGAGTACCTCATGTCCAGCTACGACCTGTTCATGAAGAAGAAGACCCCGGTGACCAAAATGCCCTCCATCTCCCCGCCCATCACTGTGGCGATTCTCGGCGTAATATCAAAAGGAAAAATCCCCCCTTCCCATATCGAAACGAAGTTTCTGATGCTGGATTTCCGTACACAATCAGATTTGTCTTGCAGTAGAGGACTGCAGGCATATGTCAAGCCTCAGTCGAGGGGTTTTGACGTAGGCGCCTAGCAAGACAAACGCGTATGCTCTAAGCCCAACAGCATCACAAACCGCCTGCGAAATGTGGGGCGCTGTCTGGTCTTGCCTTCTTGCAAGACAGACAGGATTTGAGGTCACAAATGCGCATCACAAATTTTCAGACGGATACGTTAACGTTTTCAATATGGGGAGGGGGGATTTTTCCTTACGATAGGTAAAGACGCAGCAGAAAACCAAGGGCGGCCAGCACGAGTTGACCTACCTGTCCCTCTATCAAATGTAAAAATGTCTGAGTCTGGAAACTTGTAATGCTGCGTTGGGAATAGTGGATGCCCTGTAATGCACAGGCAAGCATGAGAAATATCTGCGCTAGCTACTCAGATAGAAGGAAGAAACATATACAAAAAGTGGCGACAGGGTTGCTATTTTAAAGATTGCGCTAAAGCAGCACCCCCCTTCCCCAAGGGGTTCCCCCGGGGCGGGCGCGATGGCGGCTCCGAGTAGGCGGAGCCCTGGGGCCCGATTCTTCGGAAACGCATAAGAAGGGCGCGCGGAAACAGGTCGGCTAAAGTGCTCGAAAGGGGTACGCTTTGGGGTTGTCCGTCATCGTGATAGGGTCAGCAAGTATGACCAATAGCCCCCCAGTTTACGTAATAGCGCGCAACCGGCCAAAAAAGTAAGACTCGAGCAAGTTTGTAAGTCTAACCCTTCAAGGCCACGCCGAAGCTCCACCTTGCTCGCGGGCTTGGATGGTAAGGGGGTTCTGCCACATGTAGCGCCCACTGGTCGTAGTTGCGCGTAAGTAATCGATAGCGGTTTTGCGGATGCGGCCGGGTGGTAGTTAGGACGTGGAGCAAGTATCCACCTAGGGGTATCGGCAGAGGCTAAATCTGTTCTAACGCCCAGGTATTGGCAGAGGCTAAATCTGTTCTAACGCCCACCCGCCAGGAGTCAAATGGTCACTACTACTACGACTTCTTTGTGTTGCGTTTTTCGCATGACAAACTGCGTTTTTGCATGACAGGCCGAAGGGCCTCTTCTTGGACACGCGTCACAAACTTTTTGGTCATGCCAGACAACCATGACAACTCTCGCAATCTTCCAGACCCAGACATTTTTGCATTTGCTACCCTCGGGTGTCCCCAGGGGCACGGCTTTCAGGTGGACTCCCCCGCGCCCTGCAACGAGTACCAGGATACATTCTACCGGTGGGGGATATTGAGGGCCATCGAGCTGCCGCCGACGGCGAAGCCGAATCAAAAAGTGGTCGACTACGTCTCCGCGCTGCGCCAGCCTCTTCCTGGTATACAAAACTACGAGATGCAGGTGGCAAACTCCGAGAAGCAGATGCTACTGGATTTCTTGAAGAAGTTGCAGCAAATCGACCCGGACGTCATTGTGCAGCACAACGCGTACGGCTTCGGGTTGGACGTGTTAGCGAACCGCCTCTCCGTCCATCGCGTGCAAAACTGGGACATGGTATAGTTAGAGGCTACGTTTATTTGGTACAACGCGGTCGCGGCCCCCCTGCGTCCACCAGAAAAGAAAGATATTTGCGCTAGTGTAGATTTGTTGATCTGTACAAGAAGATCCATGATGGTTTTTACCTTTACCCATAAACACGATAGATGTCCCGTCTGCGCCGCGTCGGGGATTTTCAGTACCGGAAGACGAGCAACTCGGGCTTTTACCTGGCCCGCCAGCTGACCGTTGGTCGGTTGGTTTGTGACTCCCTGCTCTCCTCCCGAGACTTGGTCGGAAAGCTGACCAACTACGAGCTGCCCAGTTTGGCGAAGAAGCTTTTCGATCAGGACGTCCCAGACCCGCCAGACTACCACGAGTGCGTGCTCGTTTCCACCACGGCGGCGGTGCAAAACTTCGACATGTTTCGGTACTGGCTGTGCTACACGTTTGACGAACTGCGACTGACGTTCAACATTCTGCACCGCCTGGAGATTCTGACGCTTTCCAAGCAGCTGACCATCATCGGCGGGAATCTCTGGGCACACTCGCTGCAGAACAAGCGCGCAGAGCGGAACGAATTTCTGCTCGTCCACGAGTTTTACAAGGAAAAGTATCTGTGCCCGGACAAGGCGGACATCTACGCCAAAAAGAACAAAGCCCCCGCGAACGAGCTGGATTTCATGATCAACGACGCCCTCGACGAAAGCCAGCAGGTTGCGCAGCAGCAAAACGCCCCAGGTGGGAAGGGCAAGGGGCCGCAGTACTCCGGGGGGCTGGTGCTGGAGCCGAAAGTGGGGCTGTACGATGACTTTGTGCTGCTTTTGGATTTCAACTCGCTTTACCCGTCCCTGATCCAGGAGTACAACATCTGTTTCTCCACCGTGCAGAGACCCCGAGGGGACATCATCGGCACCATGACGGAGCAAGAGCTGATGCAGGCCACGAAGCCGCCGCTGAGCAAAGACGAGAAAAACGAAGGGATTCTGCCGCGAGTTTTGAGACGGTTGGTGTCCAGTCGGAAAGAGGTGAAGAAACAGATCAAAGAGACACCCGCGTCCGACACAGCGAAGTTGCAGCAGCTGGAAACGAAACAAAAAGCCATCAAGCTGACCGCAAACTCCATGTACGGGTGTCTCGGGTTTTCAAACAGCAGATTCCACGCAAAACCGATTGCCGCCCTGATCACGCAACGGGGGCGGGGCGCGCTTTCGGAAACGCAACAACTGATTGAAGGGTATCTATTCTATGATAGATTGTCGTCTGTTTCCTATGCAGTTTTGTCTTATTCATTGATGTGTGCACGCTGGTGTTGAACAGAATATTTGAACGAAATGCATGTCAGTCAGGAACAGAACATGATGCAGCACACTGTTTAACTGAAACAATTTTCTTGACGTCGCCGTACCAAACACTACTGGTCAAAAACAGGCTTCAATACGACGTTGTGTACGGTGACACCGATTCTGTGTTTGTGCGGTCGTTCACGAAAGAGTACGGGGACGCCGTGAAAATCGCGCAGAAGATAAAGTCCGAGGTGAACAAAAAATACCGCAAATTGGAAATCGACCTGGACGGCGTGTTCCAGCGAATTTTGCTGCTGAAGAAGAAGAAGTACGCGGGGCTGAAGGTGGTGAACTTCGAGAACAAGCAGTTCGAGCAGGAGTACAAGGGGCTGGACCTCGTTCGTCGCGACTGGTGCAAGCTGTCGAGCGACATGGGAAAGGAGATTCTGGAAAAAATTCTCGGCGGGGAGTACTCCGAGGACGGCATCGTGGACTGGATACACGAATACCTGAAGGACATCAGGAAAAAAATCGACAACAACGAGATTCCAATGTATGTCCATTTTTTTTGGGCTACCACTTATGTGTAGTTGTGACTCCTAGTCTTTGTATCCGCTTTGCTGTGAAGAAGCGAACGGGAGCAACCAGTTGCGTGTGAATGAAAAGCATGAAAAATATATGTCTATGTAGTACTTATCATCACATCAGCGCGCAATACGTGATCACGAAGGGTATTTCGAAGATGCCGCACGAGTACCCGGACCCCCGCAACCAGCCGCATGTCATGGTCGCAAAACGCATGATTGAGCGCGGACAGACGGTCAATGTGGGTCTCGAAGTTCAGTACATCCTGTGCCGGCCAAAGATGGTGGAGCAACCGAACGCTGACCCGATGTCGGACGAGAAAGTGTACACACCCGTCCCGAACTCGGCCATAAAGCCGGAGAACATGAACAACGTGGGTCTGTGTGCGTTCCACATCTCGGAGCTGGAAGACGCGAACAACAACATAGAACTGGACAAGGAGTGGTACCTGAAAACGCAAATCCACCCGCCACTCATGCGGCTCCTCCAGCCCATCCCGGGGACGGACAGCGGAAAAATCGCCGAAGCGCTCGGCATGGATGCGAGCCGGTTCCAAATCGCGAACCTGGGTGGCGGCGCTATCGACGACGAAATCGACTTTTCAAATTCGCTCGTCGAGGAAATATTGAATCCTATGACCAGATACAAGGGCGGGAAGTTGAACTTCGAGATCAGCTGTATTTCCTCCTTTTTTTTTATGCGACAAGGATGGACCTCTCCAACGACGGAAATACATGCAATTCTGTAGTACTAGATTTCCTCCGATATGCATAGAAGCTATTTTGACACAACTTGCAGGTCCAAACTGCAAGAAGGCTTCCTCGCTGCAGAAACTCCTGGGATTGAACGAAGATTTGAAGGTCATCGACGAAGATCTCGTGCTGCGTTGTGACTACTGCGGCGCTTCCGATCCTTCCAGACTCTTCTACCAGATTGCCGATTCCCTGCGGCAGTTCCACAACCGCTATATGGACGGCTTCACGAAATGCACCGAGCCAACATGTATTTCTCTTTCATTTGGAAAGAGCATTCACGTTTTTTCGTGTTTCTTGGTTCTCTTGGTTCTTGAGTAAGTACTTCGCTATGTGAAAGCGTTTACGTGCTGCTGCCACCAAACCTCAACAGGTCGTCGCGTCTCGAAAACCTTATCGCTCGCCAGTATTGGTAGGAGGTGCGAGAACCCGCATTGTCGGAACGTGGTAAAAGAGGAAGTTACGCAGCAGATGTTTCAGGACGAACTGAATTTGATGTTTGTGTGCGTTACGCAGGCCATAGCCGGCGTGCAGGGCGGCCGAAAGAAGGACCCGCGGCTGTTCCGGGCTTTGTCGAGCGTGCATGGCTACTTGAACGCTGCCGTCGGCAACAGTGCCTACAATCGCGTGAACCTTACCAGTCTCTTCGGCAAAGTCGGCTTCACCGTCCAAACCCCCTTGACAAGCGGCGTGGACGCAGCGGGGAGTGGGGGCGTGTAGTAGCAGAGTGGGGTCTTCTTCTTTCCCATTCGAGGTGATGATGAGAGAAATGGCGACGATGCGAAGTTGCCTTGGATTAGCAAATAAGGATGTAGGTGTAGCAGCTAAGCCTAAGGCCGAGAAGAGCTTTTGCCTTTTGACTTGATTGAACATTGAAACTCGTTTTGTGACGAGAAGAACCTCTAAGTTGGAGTTCTCAGTTATTTGACTTTTACGCATTGCGATCTATGCTGTCTTTTGCCGCAAAAGTGCCGCTGAGAACAAGCAATCTCACGTCTTGAAGTCGATGAGTCGGCACTTGCTTGGAAGGCTGTTCTCATGTATGAATGTAACGATCACCTCGAGTCGCATAAGGGGGATTGGAATGTTAAGTAGAATAGAAGATTGATCTGTTGCTGGCGTTCGAGTTGGAACAGTGTTCACGAAGTGGACAAGCGCAGCACTCTAATATTCAAGGAAAGCTGCAACTGTACGAGCCAAAAGCATGTAAATTCACGAGTAGTTGCCACTCAACTTATACGCACACCGCAGCTACGCAACGGCGATGTCGAGTTTCCTGGGGCTCGGCAACGACACCGGCCTGCTGAAGGCCCGGAAGACGAGCGATCCGCGGTCCGCTGCAGAGATGAAAATCAAGCGACACCGGGACATTTTTCAAGTGGTCAATGAATCGGTAAAAAACCTGCACACGGCTTTTCAGACCATCCAGAAACACCAGAAGCAGCTCCTCCAGTGTCTCGAGGAGCTTCTCTTCGACGGGTGCGCCCAGAATTGTGCGGACTTGGTCTCAGATTTCGGCTCCTTCTACAGTTTTTGCGCCAACGACGACGAAACGCGGAAGGCGCTGAACCAGCTGGAGTTTGTGGAGAAAAAATCAACCAAAGTGTTGAACGAGCTCGAGGACAGCCTCTACCTGTTCGAGCAGCGCGACATCGCTTGGGGGCAACAGCAGCACTACGAAAAGAAGGTGTACGAGCTTCGTGCCGGGCAGACCGCGACGAGCGCGACGACGTCGAAAGTTTTGCGCAACGAGCAAAAGCTGAACGCCGCCAGAATCGATGCCACGGAGCTGCAGGAACAGTGCCGCTTGCAGGTGGAGGCGTGGAACGTGGAAATTGCGACCGCAGGGGAACTGGACGACTGGCTCTTTCGTGGCGTGAAAACAGGTATCGTAGGCTTGTGCAGTCGTTGGGGACAAGCCGCAACCGGGGTGCAGAACAACTCGAAAGCTGCATCGCCGACCATAAAGCCTGTGGCGCAAGTCGCGGCAAAAGCACAAGGGACCAGCGTCGCAACTGGCATCCCTGTAGTTGTTGCGAACAAAAAAGCGGCTGCCCCTGTCGGCACAACTGTCGCCGCCTCTTCCAGCTCCTTCTCGCCGACGAAAGCAGCGCAACAGACCACGCCCGCGAAAGCGACTACAGCTGGCACTGCAGCGTCGAAGGCCACGCCTTCGTTCTCTCCGTCTGTCCGCGAAAAAACTGGAAAAAAATCGGACATCAAAGAGAGAAACAGTACGAGTGTTGCAACTGTACCTGGGGTTTACCCAAACAACTTCCCATCCGCAGCTTCTCCGTCATCTGTTGCGGCAAACGCAGCGTCCTCTGCCTACCCAACGCACATCGGCGGCAAAGTCGAAGTGCTCCACCGGCCGTCTTCGAAGAGCCTGCTGCAAACACCAGGAAGGAAGAGCGACAGTGGCGAAAGCCCGTCGTCCGCCTCGACGTCGCCGAAGGCAGGGTTGGCTGGTAGTTCTACCCAAGTTGGTGCGGTAGAAAGAGGTTTTTCTCGAGAAGTTGTGGACCAAGGCGGAATGGGAGCGCCTCCCAGGGACGCCACTGCGGTGGCGCCGCAGCCCAACCTAGTTGCACCGGAAAGGACTGCCACAAGGCAAGACAATCTCACGGAGGTAGTATCGCAAACACCACAGGAGCCAGCAGAGGAAAACCCGCCTGACATTGAGCACTACCTTAGCACGCGGGCGCAGTTGAATCAGTTGGACGCACTAGCGCCAAAGCTCTTTAAGGACGATGAAGATGCGGAGCAAGAGATATCGATCTCGCTGGCGGCGCCCATGGTATTTCTAAATTGCAATTTGTGCTGGTCCCTCCTTGTCATGCTCGTGCTCACGGCTAAGTGTGAAGACCGTGACACGATTTTTACGAGCTCCACTCGTTAAGAGAACTTGAACCACTATGCCATCAAATTCCAGGTCAGCCGCATTTCCCGCGTGTCTCTCGCTGGTCAGGATCTGCAAATCGTGCGGAGCACCAACCAGCAGGTAACCATTCGTGGGTCCATTCCTCTGACACTCGACAAGCATCCAGACGTGATTCCGCTCAAGGAACTGTGCAAAAAGCGCCTTCCGCTCCGCATCGAGTCGTTCGGGATAGAACACTTCTGCTTCCGCAGCGACGTCGAACTGGATGTCTACACGCACTTGCAATTTTCGCAGAATTGCGGCCTGAACTTGATCTTTCCTGATGCTGAAACAGAAGAAGGGCGTTCACCTCGTCCGACGGCAGAACTAAACGATCCTAATCCGATATTACCCGAGCAGGACGCGGTAGGAACGACAGAGGCTAACAGCTGCACAAATATGGGCCCAAGCAAGTACGAGATCGTGGAGCGCAAGCAGGGGAGCATGGACGCGGTTTGTTTCGCCGAGAACGCAGTGGACTACTACGAAATCGAAATTCTCGAGGTCATCCCGAGGGGCCAGACCCGCACCGCCGCGTTCGGTTTTTTCTGGGAGCTGCCGACACAGAAACTCGCGCGGATCGGGAAGAACAGCCAGGAGCTGCGAAACTCCGTCGTGATCGGCGGGGAGCTGCCGCAGATCCACCTGGACGGGGTTTCCATAAAAAGGAACCTCGAGTGGCGGCCAAGAAAAGTACTGCAAGAAAAGGATCGGGTCGGCGTACGCTGGTTGTGGGCGGAAGCGACCATCCAGGTCTTTCACAACTCGGAGCTCGTCGTGGAGAGAGTCCTCGACGGGGCCATCCGCGGGAAGAAGGAGCTCTTTCCTTTGGTGGACTGTGCCGGCAACGTGCGCAAGCTCCGGTTCGTGCAAGCGGCGAAGCCGCCGCGGAGGAAAAAGCGGGGCGCGGGTTGTGGAGAAGACGATGACGAGAATAGTGTGTCGTCCGAAGACTCTTAATGTTGAAACATCGAATGTGTATGCCTGCAGATCTCCGACTCTTGTCGTTTCTGCGAGAGCAAGTACGTACCTCGATAAACAAGGGTATAACTACTGATAGTGATAGTGTTCGAACTCGAAGCTGTAGCTGCATAGCACGACAAGAAATTGAAGTGAGGTTTGCACAACACGGTGACACGATCTCAAGGTGCGCTATGGATTCTATCACAATGGTGTCGGTCGACCTGGATCAGCTTTAATGCACGTAGGTCGTGTACTACCACTAGCGGTGCAATGAATCGGTCGTGAGTAAAAACCGTGAAGATAATTCCTCATTCGGAACTACACCGTCAATTCGGTCTTATCGGTCACTCAGAGTCTCATGTTGTGTTGCCGGATGCAGCGCGCTGTCATTTGAGGTCAGGTGAAACGAAGCTAAAAACATCTTTACCCTGCTACTCTACTTGACCCCTAAGCCCACAATTTTTGGAAATTTCTAACTGTTCGCTATCTCTTTTTACATTCAATTCATCTTGCGGCATGTTTTCTCTGGCATTTGCTTTCACTGACTCCAATTTTAGGCCGCCCTTAAGGCTACGCCCTTCTTGAATCATACAAAAGTCATTGCCACAAATCATGCCTCGTCAGACGTCCCAAACGGCCTCCACTCCGTCGCGCAGCAGCAAGATTGTTGCCGCCGCGGGCGTGTTTTTACAAACAATTCCGGGCGTTAACAGTCGCGCGCCCAATTTTGCGAAACTTTTGCGACGTTTTTGCGAGATTTGCCGTTTTGGCCCAGATCAGTCACGAGGACTATTTTGCTGCAGCTGCGGGCGCTTTGGTAAAGCCCGGCCACCCGCGATCCTCCCCTGTTTTCGCGCCCTTGGAGCGGGGCAACGAGAAGGCCGACCCCGAGCGCGGCCCCGATCTCGAGCGGGCCGCATTAGCAAGCAGACTGGGGCTGCCCACACATCTCTCCCGGGCTGCCCCTTCCCCCTTTCCAAAGAAATAGGTAGCAAAGGACGCGGGCCAGGCTTTGCCTCAGCCCCGGGGGCAGGGCGTTGTGGCCGCCGGCGATCCGCCTTGCACCTGGCCGTATTCATTCTCCCTACCAGCCGAAGCCACTAGGGCCCAGCATTGGCAGGCTGGCAGACTGGCGCCCTGTGTGGTCGCCCCGGGTACCGGCCAGGGGGCCGGCCAGGCAGGACGGCGGCGGCCGTTGCCTTTGCAAGAGTGCGCCTTCTGCGCGCCACATTGGCTGCGCACAGGCCCGCTTCCTTGGGTGGCCCAGCGCGGCTGCAGCTGGTGCGCCTGGCCTTGAGGGGGTGTCTGTGGGATAGATTTTCCTTTGGCCGGCGGCCTTGTCGTGCGCAGCATGAATGCCTTGCCGGCGGGGGGAACTTTGAAAACTTGGGGGCGAGGAGGAAAAACGGACACAAGGGATGTCGGAATCTTCCGGCAGAAATTGCGCACAAAAAAATCGACTTCGGGGAAAGCGAGCCAGTAAGCCTATTCGCAAAAATCTCGCAAAAATTTGGGACCCCTTTCGCAAAAATCTCGCAAAATTACTAAGCCTGTTCGACCATGAAAAATGGGAAATCGGACAAATCGATTTGCGCCATATGCAATTTATAAGCCTGTTCGCAAAAATCTCGCAAAAATTTCGCAAAAATCCGGCATCCTTTTTTGCAAATTTCGCAGAAATCTCGCAAAAATCTCGCAGAATTCCCGGGAAAGCGAAAAAGCGCAAGGGGCCTGCCGCTTTTTGTGTGTTGCCCCGCTCCCAGCCTCGATCAGGGGTCGGCGGCCATGGCCCGGGGCGCCGACCTTTGGCCCCGCGCGCGCGCGGCCCAGGCAGGGGGTGGGCCATGTGGGCGACGCCGCCCGCCTAGGCACGGTCGCCGCTAGGCACCGGCGCCTGCCAAGGAAGGGCTCCGGGCCACGCACCCGCTATGTGGGGTGGCGGTGTGGCCCGGTGGGCTTCGCGTTGTCGTGGTGCTTGCAAGCGAGCCGGCAGCCGGGTGGCGCAGTTGCCTGCCAGCCTGCCGGCTTTTTTTGTTTGGCGGCCCGCGGTGTTCTATTATGGAGCGCCTTAGCGGGGGCGCTGGCATGGGTTTGGCCGCACGCAGGGACCGCCGACGGACACCCCAGGTCGGTGGTCCGCTTTGTCTTCGCCCCATTCCTCTATTGGGCCTTGGCGCGCCTGCGGAAAGGCGACCATACCAGCGGGCTCAATTTTGAGCCCGGTGCTATGGTTGATCCCCGTTGTCGGGCTTCCCCGTCTCGCCTGTTGCCCCGGGGTTTCGGCCTGCTCTGTGGGGCGTGTGTGTCTTGTTGTGCCGTGACAAGCGTGGCGCCAGATGCAAAATTGCGAAACTCGCAAAAACCTCGCGGAAATCTCGCAAAATTGGGCCCCGCTCCGTTAACGCAGATTTTGTTTGTAATGTTTGGCCAGGCCAGGTCAAAAGAGCTAATGGAGCAGGAGGGAATGCAACTTGCCGAGGAAACTGGGCTGGACGTATTTTGGCGGCCAAAGCAAGATGTGAAAACCCTGGCCAATGTCGCGATGCGCAAGAACGGCAGCAGTGTGCTTGGATTTCAGCGCGACATCGATTATTGTGCCCGGGTCGGGCCCAATGCCATGTGCTTCTGCGGGTTTTGTTTTCAGCAACACGCCCCGAGCGCTCGGCTCGCGGATGCGGACGGGTTTGGCTGGAAAAAGAGCTTGCATAACATGGCGCGGGCACACAACCCCAAGTACGACTGGTCCTTCGCTGATGATATCGCGCCCGAAAACGACACTCCCTGCTCCAGATTCCGGTTTTTTCCCTGCACTGCCGCGGAGCGGTCGACGCTGGACATGCGCGAAGTGTTTCAGCACAACCGCGTGAAAGACGTGAGTCTGACAGAAGAAGAGAAGCGGCAGGGGGTCGAAGCCGGCTTGTGCATGAACTGCGGCCTGAGTCCCACGGTGCATAATGTGGAAACGCTTCTCTGTCCAATGGCCTCAACGCAGCCTGGTGCGAACCGGACCCGGACAAGATACGAGTCCGCGTGGGAGTGCGTCGTGTGCGATCGAAAGTGGGAGGACCATGAGACCGTGGTGCAGCTGCGCGAGGAGCTGGACCCCTATCAGGTGAAGGCACCGAATGACGCCAGAGTCATCCCCCTAGGGCAGATTCTCAACGAGAATAGCTATGGACTGCTGGGCAATTACCGGGATTCAGACCACTATCTGGACAAGAACCTGAAGCACCGGATAGCGCGGGAGAACGATGCCTTCCGAGAACAACTCAAGATGCCTGCGCGAGGGAAGTGCATCGTGCCGGCGGAAGGCAGACCGGGCCTGCACGTGGAGCGTTTTTTTGATATCCCTTTGCGGGGCAAAGACGCACTACCTACGATGATTGACACCTCTGGCGCGTTTCAGGGGCGAGGGAGCATGGCATACGGTAATTCTGGGAAAAAAGAGGACGATGTTGGTTCTGAATTTGTCGGCCAACGTGCGGACGGGTCCTGGTCACACATTTGCTAGATTTTTTGGTCAAACGAATACAAATTAATCTAAGTGTACATCTGTAGCTGCAGTGCAGCACGACTATTGTCGTATCTGGTTCGGTTTCTGCTTGCAATGATTTGTTTGTCCGCCGAGCGACATCATCTTCAATTGTAATTGTAATCTTCAATTTCACAGGTCATTTATACATGCATAGCATCCAGCACTTCCACTTCAATCACCACAGCCGATATTGTACGAAGCGTTTCTGTTTCAAGTATTCTTGCTCATTCAAAGATGACACTCTATCTCCCATGTTCGAAGTGTAGCTGTGGCACATGATAGCACTTTCAACGAAGAGTGAGGTAGTGTTGAAACATCTGTAAAAAAAAGGTAGACAGTGACTGTGCCTGATATTCAGACGTGGGATGACGATAAAGAAAAACTGCAATGCATCAAAATGCATGCAGGTGATGGAATTCTCACCGTGTGTTTTCCTCTGTCAAGATCCATCGCGCAATTCGAAAGAGATTGATCAGCTTAGCAAATTACCTCTGTGAAGGGAAGCATGTACTAGACAGGTGCGTCTTGAGATCGTGTACGAAATAAGATGGGTAGCATTGATGAAATTCTCCGCCTCCAGGTTTTGTTGAGGCGCCTCTTGTGAAACAAAGCTCGTCGATCGATGCACCTGTCAAGAGGCCACCGCCAACCCCCACCCATAGCAAGCGAGAAACTAAATCTGTGATCTGTAATTCCAAGAGTAAGACAACCCGATCTATCTGCCCGGAACGCTTCGGGGAGGTTCAGGCAGCCGTCGACGCTGCAGTGCAGGAGAAGGAGGAAATTTTGTTGAATAAAAACGAACATGTCCGCAAGATCAATGCTCTGCGTCGCGAGCGCGAGCATGCTGCAGCTGCAGCCGCAGCGTAAGGTGTAGAAAGCCTCAATAGTAGTGGGTTTGTTTTTTCTGTTTCCTGGACCTGTCCTTCTCTCCTACAGGGTTAAGTTCTTGAAGGTTCGTCATTTTTTGAAAACGTCATCTTCTGTTATTTGTATGTTCAAAACCCTGACGCCCACTTAATGTAAGGGCTTAAGTTAAGACAAATGCGCCGGGTGGCCTAACGCCCTTACCTAAACCGCGCTGGGGGCTTGCAAATTCTATTGCCGAAAGCGATGGTCTTTGTAGGTCAACGTGAGTCCGCTGGTTGGGGGCTACAGCGTAATTTTCCTGGCTAAGCATGCGCATAATTTTCTACAGAAGCCGTTCGATGTCTCTAGGTCGGTTGACATGCTCTCAGCACGGTATGATCAAAAGTTCTCGAGTTGTTCTAAGCGTATCCAAGTTCGAAAACTGCGAGTGAAGACAAAGCAGCTTCAATCTCGTCACGCATACCGTCCTAAGTGCAACTGCGCAAGAAGAGGCACGAGATAGATCGACTAGCATTTTTGAGAGGCGGTTCTTGTTTTTTCCGGAGGAAGTAGTTGCGCAACATTTTTATAAGCCAAGCAGTACTAAAGTTGAGGTCAGGACCAGTTTAAAGCTTTACCAGGCAGTTTCTGTAGTAGCAGCGTGCGAGCGACCCAGGCCTAAGTCAAAAAGCAAGTGCAAAAGCCTTTTTTAAAATTTTTTTTTCCCTTATCGCTTTTTTCTAGTTACACAACGTCCCTACCGCCGCTTTCGAGCGAGCATTTGTAAACTTACTCTTTATGAGTATTTACAAAAAACTATCTGATCTGATCTGATCTGATCAGTGTGGATGAAGCATTAGAGAGAAGAAATTTCGATCAGGGTTGCCTGGATTTGCAGAAGCGTCATGATTTTTCTTGTCGGTCCTACGTCCATAAAATTAAAAACCATGAACCCCCCACAGTCAAACAGCAAAACTGCGCAAGGAGATTTTCAGTAGCCGGAAACAGTGTATGATATCTATACGGCTTGTAGTTATTCGTTTTGATTTTGAAGCCTTGAGGCTGGTACAATCTTTCGCAACTGTTTATTTTCGGCGGATAACGACTCTTGAACGAACAACGAGGACATCGAAAAATTTTCCATGGTGAACAACAACAAGGTGACCTTCTTACGAGCAGCTAGTTGCAAAAGCAAAAAGTAGAGAAGCGCAACACTGTACTGGAAAACGACTCGATTCTTTCACGTAGAATCACGCGCTTTCAGAATCTATTGAAAAGCGACTAGGTTCTTTCATGTTTTTTTTATAACTGTAGCACACGTTCACATTCAGAATTCAGATTCAGTAGTAACTGCTGCCAAAGGGCGACTGTCTATTTGTTCTTATTTTTACCGCAGTATCTATCAGATGCAAAGTCAAGTGGTAGACTTCTGGTACTGTTCTACGTAACAACCAACGCGAAGAGGTACAGCAGATTTGTAAAGAAACTCGCTCGCTACTCACCCTACAAAACCTCCTACCTAGAAATACAATATAAGTACATAGATGCGGCAAGTTGACGACTTTTTTTCTTTGTGATCAACTTGTCTCTCTAGTCTTTGATTGTCCACAACTTCGAACGAGGAGATTGTCCACAACTGCAGCGTAGTTAGGTGGTAGCAAAGCGTAAAAGGCTAAAAAGAAAAAATAAAAAACAAGAAGAAGTTCCTCCTGCTCGTCACAGCACAACTTTTAGACTTTTCAGCTCAACAACCTCTCGATCACTTCACAGACTTTTAGAAGCTACAGCTTTTTACTCACAACAGAAACAGTTCATGCAGGCTTTTTACCTTTTCAAAACAGCAATTTTAACAGACGACAACTCCTGTTCAGGAGCAGTTCTATCAGTCGACTTTGTAACTTTTAGCCAACCAGGTAGCTTTCGACAACAAAAAGACTTTAGATTAAGGCTCTCTTTCCTCGAAGACAACTTTTCTGAAAAACACGTTTTTGACATTGACTTACGACACACGTTTTAACTTTTCAACAACAGCTTTTTACTTGCAGCAGCAGACTTTTAACTTTCGACGCTTCTACCTTTCTAAGTTTTACAGCAGGGTAGACAAGTTAGGCTCTCGCTCCTAGCAACAGTCCATTTTTCTAAGGCAGAGGCCAAAGCAGCTCTGCCAAGTGGTCCTTTTTCTTGAAATAGCGCTAATCATGTGAGGGGAAACACAAACTTCCAAACGGTTCCACATGACCTTCAACAACAAACAAACAAACAAACTTCGAACGAGGAAAATTAATCTCCATCTGTATAAACTAGTTGCATTTATCTTGCTTTATTTCACTATCATATCTCCGCAGTTGAGAGAACTATTACCTACCTTCACTAGAAGTAGTGCACGTTTCTTCCACTGCTGGTCCGTAGTTCGTTGTGTTATTATTTGCACGTCGTGTCCAACTCCAAGTCCAATCGGGCGAACAACATGGCACGATTCTATTGGTGCCGGGCGCATTTTTCGCCTGTCATACTGAGCTGGATCACCACCTTCCTACTTTTGAACAATCCGGCCCTCCCCACTGGGATTGTGTCAGCGCACGAAGTCCTGGAGAAAGTTGTCTTCGAGGTTGAATGGAATGCGAAAACGGGCGAGGCAAGACTCAAGTTGCGAAGTCCTGGCCCTGCCCCCCAGACCGACGAGCTCTCCGAATTCAGCGGCGATGACGCTCGATCCGATGACGCATCGTTTCCACAGGCGGGCGCACCGGCGCTTCGCGCAGCCCCGCAGACCGACACAGTGAAGGAGCAGTCCTACAGACTGCGGAAATTCGCAGCGCAGGAACGGGAAAGACTCGAGCAGACGGGTGTCTGGCCTGCGGTTCTGGAGTTCCAGATTCTGCCATCCGCAGTCACAGAAGAAGAATTGCAGAGGCGCATGCTGGAAGAGAAGGCGCAGCACGATTTGCAAGAGCAAATTTGTGCGAAAATGGCAGGGATGGCGGTAATATCAGTCCCACCTTCTGAGCAGCGGCGTGCAGAACAAGTCGTGCCAGGAATGCCCTCAGCCCACTCGGTGAAATTATCCTCACCCGCCGGGGGCAGCTCTCCTGACATGAGCGCGCCGTCTTGCAGCAGCTGGGTGCCTTCCGCGGAGCTGATGGAACTGCGGAGGCAGCTGGAGGAGAGCCAGGAGTTCCCAACCAGCATCCGGGTACTGCGTGACGTTCTTAGCACCGCCGTCGTTGACCGTTCGAAGAACACGCACCGCACAAACGCGGCGGCGCAAATGCGAAAACACCAGGTCGGGCGGGAGGCGGAGTCGTATTCGCAGGCGAGGGCGCCAGCGCCAGCAGGGCAAGCGCAAGTTCCAACACCTTACCCAGCAGCTTCTTCGCAGGAGGGCAGTGCTCTATCCAGCGCTGGCTACTCCATTTCGTATCCGAAGCTGCGGCTTAAAAAGTTGGGCAGGCGCCTCCCGCTTCCAGCTTCACCGCCCCGCGCGAATCCGCCCATGTCCTCGTCTCTGTCTGCCGTCCCACTGGAGACACTCAGCCTGCAGGTTGTACCCGGGTTTTTCGGCAATGATCCTAAGGAGTTTCCCAGAGGGCGTTTGCGAGAACAGGAGCCGAGCGACCTGGTCGATATCCATCTTCTGGGCAACGGTTGGGACACGTCTTACGCAGGGTTCCACCGAAAGCTTACCTACTGGCCCGCCGATGGTCGGTGCGCAAAGCTCCGCGATGGCCATTGGGCTTTGCCCTCGGCGTTCCGGGAACGCCTGTGGGATTACAACCAAGAGGAATTCGAGACCCCGGCTTCGGAGGAGGACCGAGAACGTGATCCGGGATGTATGAACACCGGTCCGGTTCACCGCAAGGATATGGAGCGCAAAAAGAAGAAACTTCTCCGCGAGTGGGCGGGCGCCAAGTATCTGACGTTTGAGCTGAACCGCCGCGTGAACATGTGCCAGCAAACCCTGGACGCCGCTCGTCGCAATCTCGGAGATCTCGCCGCACCAGACCGTAGCGGCGCATCCAGCGCCGAGCATCAGCCGCGCCCGGGAAGGACCGCCGAGCAAATCGCCGTGCTACAATCTCGGAAAGAAGAGGCGAAGACGGCGCTGCAGTCGGCACAGACGGAGCTGCAGTCTGAGCACACTCGGCTCGAGCAGACGCCGCCAGCGACACAGTGGGACGAGATCAAGCGCACGCTGCGCCGCAGTGGAGCACCAGAGGCGTTGCGGCAGGGTTTGAAGGCGGAAAAAGAAGCACTGGACGAAGCGCTGCAGACATATGACCAGTTGCTGCAGAATCTCGCCCAGGGACTGGTCGAGCCTGCTTATCACATACCGAACCTGCACGTATGGCGAGTCCGAAAAGTGTCCGCTGACAACGATATCGCTGACGAAGTTTTCGAGGACGACGACGCCTACCAGAAGGAGCTCGCGGCGCAGCTGCAGCAGAACGGCGCGAGTCGGCTTGCGCCCTTTCAGCACGGCAACGAGCAGCTGCGCGCGATTAAGGAGACCAATACGGCAGACAGCCTTCCACCGCTCAATACCAGCGAAGGCACGAGCCAGCGGGTCATACCAGAGTACGCCAGTGCTGCTGCACCTGTGCCGGAAGGCAGCACGCATCCACCGGAGGTGACTCAAGAACGCAGTGGGAAGAAGAAAAACAGTTTTTCCTCGTAAACAGTTTCTCCTCGTTGGGAGTTGGTCTTAGCCTTCCCCTAAGCAGCAAAGTGCTTCAAATTAAAGCACGAGCGTCCAAAATCAAGAAGGACCTGATGAGCAAGGCGGGTCAAGCGGTGCGCCGAGGACGGGAAAGAGGACGCAGCAGCAGCAAGGCGTCGCGTGTGCACGTCGCATCCTCTGGGTCTGGCGCGCGCGGCGACACTTTTTACAGCGTTGTCCCTCCGGCTGGTTTTGGGCTGGCGTTGGCATCGGGGTCATCTGGAGCCGCGGCAAGAGGACCTGCAAAGCACGGCACAGGAGCAGCCTCATCGGCGGACGGTGTGTGGTCGAGACAAGAAAGTCATTCAAGTGCTGCGTTGACATCAGGCCGGTCCTCATCACTCTTGTCGTCATCTAGCAGGAGTCGGTCTCGATCTCGGTTTCGGTCGGGCTCGAGCGAGCGTGCCTGCCATTCAGGAAAAAGCGACCACTCGCTTGGCGACATCGCGAGCCCACCCAGTCCGCGAACCTCGGGACGGGGGAGTTTCAATCTGAAGCGTGGAGCAGGTGACGAGGGCTCCATATCATCCTTCTCGTCGTCCGACCTTGCTGCTGTGAAAAGACTGCTCAAACAGGATGTGTTTGCCTACCCGACCGTTGTCGATTCGCAGGGAGGCGACACGCTGCAAGAGACGGCCAGCGAAAACCACTTTATGGTGCTGATTGCAATCACGCAGCCGCACACGGACGAGCCTAGTTCAGACGAAAGCCCCACCAAGCGACAGCAGCAACATCTAGATGCGTCCTGCGCAACCGCCCTAATCGGTGCGTTTGCTTGTCGCGCCGAGATGGCACACCTGCCGCCACCTGGTCTGTCTATGGAGTCGCAGGGAGAAAAAGAAACCAGCGCTGGCACAAGCTTCGCCAGGGACATCAACAACTTTTGTTTGCCCTCCCGGACGCTCGGACAATGGGCCGAAAGAAGCACAAGCCTGGACGAAAGCACGCGAGCCCCTTCATCCGTAGACCCGGATCGGCGGTCCGAGGCGTCGAGCGCGTGCACCAGCAGCGCTATTAGCGAACCTCACGGACCACCGCAGCAGGATTTATCGTTTTCCATAACTCGACAGGTGACGGTGAGTCAAGGCAGCAGTAAGAGCGCAGGGGGGAGGACGAGCAGTAGTACGGGACTCACGGGTGAATCGTGTAGCCGCTTGACCGGGGATCTCCGGCTTCCCAGTCTTGCCGTTACGCCACTCGCAGCGCTGGGCGACCTCCATGAGCCGAGCTCCCGGGCAGGGCTTGCTGGTGTTGAGCAGGCGCCCCAGGCGCATCTTCATTTTGGTCTCCCGCTGCCGTCGTCAGCGTCGCCACGCCAAAATTCCACGCAGTCACTGTCGCCGAAGCGCGGTGGGCGCGGCAAAGGCGCTACATCTTGGACCATAAGTGGCACAGCGACTAGCGCCGGTACTAGCACCTCCGCAGGGCGGGCGGAAAGTGCTTTTTCTTCGATCTCCTCTTGCAGCGGCGGCAGTACGCCGCTTCCTTTCTACCCACAGAAACTCCTCCAGAGTAGAGAAACGCATTCTGCAGCAGGAAAAAGCGGAAACGCTGCCTGCAGCAGAATGCCCTCCAGAGAGAGAACAGCTGCTCCTTCGCGAGCCGCGGGTCTTCACTCACCACAAGCTCCGACCGTCACTGTCAAATTGATGATGAAGAACGGGCGGCACTGGCAGCCTGCGGACCAGGACACTCTTTCCACTGCGGGCGCGCGCCGCGTTCAGCTGGAGCAGCTTTGGGCGGAGGCGGTGCCGCTCAGGAACGTGTTCGTCCTGCAAAAGCGGCTCATCGGGGACGATCCTCTCACGCGCGGCGAAATCGAGCCGACAGCGCGAATGACCCGCAAGGCGAAGGAGCAGATACTCGGCTTTTCTCAATACTACACCTCAGTCGCGCAAATGAAGTCCGCGGCCGCTTTTCGCCCAGTCGAAGTGCCGCAGAGTCAGCAGCAGGCAACAGACTCTATGGTCGCCGAAAGGGCTGCCGCTGCGAGTTCTGCTTCTGGGCAGGGGCAACTTCCACAGCGCCAGCAGTGCGAACCTGAACACGAGGACCTGCTACCCCCGGTCACAGCGGAAACGGCAGGCGTTTCTGCTGTAAAAAGTCGGAATGCTTGTTTGCGGAACACTCCGCAAGCCGGTGTAACGGTCCCGGAGTGGTGGCAGTGGCACCGTCGCTCGCTCTGGCCAGGCGAGGAGGACGACGGATCAAGATTTATGGCGGAGGATGACGTATTGATGGGAGTGCTGTGCCGAAATTTTGACGATCAGTCGGAAGAGGACGGTCCTCTTCCAACGCAGTGAATGCAAAGCTAAGTTATGATCGTACACTGATCTGCACTTAGTGCTTACCTCCTAGTATTAAAACAGAAGCCGCACCATCAACATCCAGACCAATCAGCAGGCAACACAATGTTTGAATCAAACTCAGGCCAGATCAAGAAATCGATTTTTATTCATGTGCTGTGTCCATCTTTGCCATTCCTATTGCCGATACGAGGCAACATGAAACGCAAGGTCCACAACAAGCCTGAGACTTTGGTAGGCTTAAGCCGCATTGGAAATTGAAAAACGATCCTGAGACGAGACATCATACCAGTGCCAGCTTCATCCCAATTGTCCGGACTTTAACTACATGTTGACGACAATCCACAAAAGAAAGGCGAGACCGTTTCTAGTCTCCCTCCTAGACCCCGGATTTTACCAATTTTATGTCGATCTTAGTCCGCTGGCAAACACAGAGATAGAAGGAGTTTCTGTTTCTTGTTGCCCGGCCTTATTTTGAAAGCAGTGCTGTACTTTATGTCATATCGTTCATTTTCGGGGGTCCGACATGTATGATTTTTTTAGGCAGAAGCTCGAAACAATGATTATCACCCAAAGAATTCACGAGGACCACACTAAAGCGGTCGCTATTTTTTTCCACCTTGAATGCAGTAGCTCGCAAAAAATTATGGAAATGAAAGAAAGCTTCGCTTTTAGCTTAAGTAAGCTAGATGCTGATAGGACTGAGAGGGATGTCTTTGTATTCGCAATTATTGTTGTGCATGAGCACAATGGGATGTCTTTGTATTCGCAATTATTGTTCGTGCATGAGCACAATGGGATTCGACATGCAACGTGCCGATGTCTCAGGTTCACCGATAGACAGTCTAATGTTGTTTATTGTTTGTTGTAGTTGGTTGTCTCTTACTGTTAGTGCTCCCTGGAGTACATGCATCGTAAATTAGACGGCTTCATCATCGCCATGCAGCTTTTTCGTGAAGGCTGTGACGAGTTTTGAAAGAGAACTATATTTTAGGAATGCAAATCGAAATGCTTGTTGAATCGCAAACGCAAAGGCCCCAAAGCTCTTTACCAGATTCAGTTCCAACGAATGTTGGCTTTCAAAGGTTCCACTTGCTGGAACAGGTATTCGCACGCATCATCATGCTCATGGTTCATAGCTTACAGTATAGCTATGAAATATGTGGTTGATGACTGGACATAGGAGTATCGAAAATGAAAGAACAGCGTACACGAAACGAATTCAAGTTGATTTGATGGAACCGGAAGCATGGCATGTGTTCATGGAGGAAAGGGTAGCGGTTTTGTCGTGTGATATTTGGTCGTCTTTAGCAGTTTAACTTATGTTGAAGGTCTTTTGAATAGTGCACAGATCCACCGAAGCGGCTTGCGGAAATTAACCGAAGATCCAGTGTCTCACGTCTTGTATTGCTTGTGTGTGGGCGAGCTTTGCATCTTGCGTGCAAGCGTTTGTTCACCAGAGTTGGCATAGTGGCTTTCCGCTGCTAGTATAGATGTTTTTCTTATTGTTTTTTTTTACGTGTTCGTTCTTTGAACACCGTTCGAATTCAAGCTGCAATTGCAGTTCGTTATTGGAGTTAGCGTGACGAGGTGCGTTTCAAGCTTGTGTCATCCCAGTGACAACATACGAAACATATAAAGGTTTGAACTAGAGTAGTGGCATAATGAGAAGTGCGTCGAAGCACCGGCAACTGACACGGTGGATTCTTCCGGCCCTCACCGTATCACTCCACCTTTCGTGGTCCGTATTGGTCACCGTCGAAGGTCGGGCCAACCTCGTTACACCGGCGGCAGCTCCGGCAGGGTTTGCCCCACAAGGCGCCTTTCTTCCCGCCAGCAATGCCCCTGTCGTGCACCCATTTCTTCTCCGACCTGGAGCAGGTGCTGCGCAATTTGTGACGCCGCCAAATAATCTCCAGCTTGGTGGAACTGGATTGGTCAATGCGGCTGCACCCGCGCAACTGCAAGTGCAACCACAACAGCTGCAGCTACCGAACATCACAGCCAGCATCGCCGCCCTGGCCACCGCCCACCAGGCTGCTTCCGGAACAACCGCCGCAACTGGTGCGAGCAATTTGGCTGCGCAGACCAATCGAATTTCCCAAATCTGCCAAGCTTTGCAAACCGGCGTGAAGAACGGGCAGGCACTGCCGATGATTCTGGGCGTGGCGCTCTCTTACTACCTCGGAAGCGGCGGGGATTACGAAACACTACTGCAAAAAGCGCAGGAGTACGCGCCATACATTTCTGCGGCGTTGACGCTGTGGGGCGTCTATGTTGCAAGTACGGCGAACACGCCGAAAGACACCGCCATGGAGAAACAGTTCGCGGAGCTGCAGGCTTCCGTGGAAAAACTGAAGCTTCTGCGCTACCAAATCCAGCAGTGGCAGACGTACGCCGACCAGTGGCAGAAACTCCCCGTAGCTGGTGCTGCAGGAGGGACGGGTGGCATTAATATTGGAGCTGCTCCCGGAACAAGTGCGGCGGGCGGGTTTGCTTTGCAATTCCCCGGGCAGCAAGGAGCTGTTGCGCCGGCGCTTCCCGTGGGAGGACACCAGCAACTGCAGCAGCCAGCTGCACAGGGAGCCCAGCCTTTCATTCCACCGGCGGCGCGGCTACCTGTTGCAGCCGATGATCCCCCTAACGCCCAAGCAGGCCCAAGCCAGGGTCAAGATCTGCCGGCGCCCCAGCCCACGGGTGCTGAGCGAAAAGAAGACGCAGCGGTTTCTGTTGGTCCCCCGGAGTTGCAAAATACGTTTACCTCCACGGCAAGCAGTCATGATCAATGGAGTGCTTCCAACCGCTTGGACATCGAGCGTATCCGGATGCAGCTGGCTTCCGGCCAACTGAAGCTGGAAGACCTCGTGGCGTCAGACCCGATGCAGCAACCAACTGCCACGTTGCCACAGGTTGTGGCTCCTGGAGCTCCGATCACAACAGGTGCAACGCTGGCACCACCGGGCGCTGGACCCTCAGTAATGCCATCCTTCTTGAACAGACCTGGTATGATACCAGGTGGGCAAGCTACGGCTGGCGGGATGCAGCCTCTTCGCCCTATCTCGTCTCCTCCGCAACCGCACTTTGCCGTGCAGACTCGAGAGATCAGGATCGGAGCGTTAGATGCCGGTGAGGATGAACAGGAAGGTAAGATTTATTGTATGAGATCGGTGCTTCTGCTTTCGAATCACGAACGCAACAAATAACCCTGGTACCGCCCTGGGGTACCTCTACTGTGAGTAGTTGACGTAGATATCTGTTGAATGGCTTGCCTATCTATTTCTCTACCAAAGGTGATTCCGCACCCACCGTGATCCAGTACGCAGCCGATGCGAGGACCGCCCCTGCTGCGATCCCCGCAGCAGCCACCGCCGGAACTACTCCTGAAAATGCCCTGGTCCACCCAAACGCGATGGACGCGCTTGCCACGCACACCGCCAGTACCCCGCTGCTCCGCAAAATGAAAGCGAACTGTTCGACCTGTGCGAAAGACAAGACCCGCACACTGCTGAAGCAGCAGCAGGAGCTAGTGCGTTCGTTGCTGGAGGCGCACGACGCGTTGGCTAAATCTGCCGCGGACAAGTATAATCTGTATCTGTCGCTGCTTGAAGAAGACAAAAGCCGTGTCCGGCAAGAGTTGCTCAGTGCGGCATTGTTGGAGGATCCGAACTCTCCGTCCGCACGAGGATCAACAGCCGCTCCGGTTGTACAAGCCCGCGCTCGCAGCCGGCCGATGTCGTGTGGGGCGTCCGTTTGTAACCGGATGATCTGTCCCAGAAGGCGCGCCAGATACCACGAACCGGGCGCGCAAGCAGGCGCAGACGGAGAAGCTCCTGCGCACGACGTCGAGGACATTGAAAATGCTGAAGGCACTGCGGATGAAGATTCAAGCGATGACTCCGAATCCGTCGCAGCGCTATCGGATGAAGAGATCAAAACCCAGCTGGTAATGAACGTGCTGGAGGCCGGAGACGAGGGAGCGCTTTCCCTGACGTCCGCAGAACAAAAAGTGAAACTGCACCAGAAGCGGAAGAGCAATCGCTGCATACGCGGAGCGAACCAGGTGGCCGCGTTTTTCCGAAAGGTCTTGTGCTGTGGCTGCGAATGCTTCACGAAGTGGTGCACCTGTTTCCGAATAGTGCCTCCAAAGTCCGCAGCAGAGCTCAGCCAGCGCTTGTACGAGGGAGCGGACGACAGTCGGCTGTGGCTCGGCCAGCACAGCGCCCTCACTGCTATAGCCCATCACCGCGTCAATTTGGCACTGCATCAGCTACAGGCCGCGGAAAAAGAACTGGCTGACGGATAGAGGAATCTAGATTTTGGATGTAAAAAATTGATTTTGCACTAGTTAAGCTTTTTTAGAACAAACGGTAGGCGCGTGGAGCCATGTTTTTCCGAGAATAGAGTCTGTGGGTACCTAGGTAGTGTACCGCTTTTGTTACTTGAGGTAATCTTAGTACTTAGAAGTTTCCGATAGAAAGAACCCCGAAAATACAGTTTGCTGATGTACTCAATTTTCTGAACAAACCCGAGCGCCATTTTTGGTTTTATAAAGAACAAGAAGAAGAATTACAGACACCGATAGCCCATTCGGAGACGATGACGACGATTGAACCCAAATATGCGAAAAACACCTAAAGTGTTGCACACAAAAGGGAGTTTTTTGGCGTTGCTGAGAGGAAGAAATTGCTCGCTTTGATAAGGAGCACAGAAGTTAGGCCTAGGGAGTGATATAAAACAAAAGTTTTTTCACGTGTGCTGTCTGGACGAAATGTGCGCTTCATCGTGCGGACTACATCAAATTGAAAGTGTATATTTTGGACGTTTGCTAATCACTAAACGAAGCAGCCGTGTGTGAGTACCATCGTGAATACGATCGTTGAATGACAACTGCCCAAAGGGCTTAAATCGAAGCTTACGAGAATTATGTCCCCGCCAGGACAGCAGGAGCAGCAGGCGCCAGTCCGCGCAGCGCGTCGGGCGCGTTTCATATTCTTTTCGAACGTGGACGGCGAGGAGCGCGCGTTTGCGCTCGAATTTCCGGGCGCCTTGCCGAAGAACGCGGAAGAGCAGGTCTGGAGTATCCTCGAAGCCTTCGCGCCGTCTGATGCCGCAACCGCCAGCGCGGACCGATTCTTGCAGCAACTGCAGAAGTACGTCGCGGCAGAATTCGAAAAAGTGAACTTACCCTGTCCGCGAGTCACCAGATACCCTCAGAGTTTGCCGTCCGCAGCGTCGTTGAAGACCGCCGGCAAGCACAGCCCGTGTTCCGCACACGGAAACAAGCGTTTGGAAGGTGCGACGGGCGCCGGTCCAGAATCACCATCGTACGTGTTAGGAGCAGCACACGAAGGTGCTGGGGGTCATGCCGTAGTTGCGTATACCAGATCTGCTGGTTCCTTCTCCGCGGTATCCCCGCCGGTACACGTCGACACCGAGAGCGTACTCGACCGGCGGTGCGATCAAACCGAAACAATGGTCGCACCCACAGTGCCGCGCCTCTCTGGACGCACCAGCACGTCTTCATCACAGCCCGAAAGGTTTTCTTTCGCCCACCGTCAGAGTGACCAGCCGCGTGTGACCCTGCCGGTCGCGGAAAGCCTGGGTTTTTTGCAGGAGCAGGAGGGAGTTGCTGCGAATGTTCGGGTGCAGGAACTGAAAGTTGTCGAGACGAGGAGGGGAAGAGATCCACCTGCTGCAGAAGGTACTCATATTTTTGTTCTTGGTCACACAATGTGATGAGAGGCGGGTGTTCTAAATCCTCATGCCCCGAAATAGGAACGCATGCTGACCGTTGTCGGTAAGTACCCAAAATCCAATCCCCACCAGTTCTGCAACCTATGGAAGCATCGGACTCGTACGAGTACTGGCGAGGACTCTCTGCTGCCGCCTCTACTGGTGATCTGCCGCGGGATACCCGCCGCCGCACTCGCAGCCGCACCGGAGCAAAGTATGAAGACCGGGACGGGCCGCTTGAGCGAAGTCCCACGATTCGCCTCCCGACGCAGGAGAATGGCGCCACATCGTGCCGCACAAACTCGATTCCGCCCCGGGCAGCATACTTGTTTCGCGAGCGCTCGGCCAGCCCCACGTCGGTCGCGGAAAAGGCGAAGAATCGGTTTCGATCGGCGAGCCCAAAACCGACAGCAACAGCAGGCCCATCGTTTTCATCACCCACGAAAAGTAGTCGGAGAGGCAAAGAACATCTGTTCGTGGGCCAGGCAGGTGGTAGTTTTAAAGGTTCAACTACAATTCGATCTGCACAAGCCGGTCCGCTGATCTCCTTGTCGACGCCCATGCTGTTGCAGGGCGGTGGTTCTCTGCTGCGACCGCAAAGCAAACGAGACCAGATCCGGGCACAGGATCACGTGGACGACGAACACAATGCAGCATCTACACTATCAAAGGGGGGAAGCAAAGGCCCCGCACTGTTTCTACTGCGCAAAAGCCCAGGACCCGTTGCGCGCAAGATTGAGAACTGCGGCGGTACAGAGCCGATTGAATTTTTTGCTTCCGGAATAAAGAGCAGAACTGGGAGCGAAGCTGCTCGGACTACCAACGGCATTGACTCCCGATCGAAGAACAACATCACTGGACGCGATCCTGCCGCGCCCGCGCGTTCCGTAATCTTAGACAGCGACGACCTGACGGACCGCGGTAGCGAACAGGGCCAAGGCATGGCTCGTGAGCAAAACAAGAATGCAGTCTGCCGCCCCACCGTCCTGACAGCCTTCTCGCCAGCGGGAGAGCTCGTTGCTTCGCCTCCAGCCCTTGCGCATAGTGGGGGTAAGATGAACACACCGCAGCACATAGCTACATCGCCGTCACAGTACCATCCGCCCTCGCAGGTTCATCATCAGAGCGAAACAAACAATAAATCCAAACTGACCATCCGAAAGAAGCCGGACTCGCCACCACCCTCCCGGCGGAAGCCTCGCGAACCTTCGCGAACGCGGCAACTAGAGGACGGCGATTCTTTGATTCAAGGAAGAAAAGAAGTTCCTGAGTTGGAAAGACACACGAAAACCGAGACTAAGCCGCACTTCGCGGATCCGCGCGTGATGTCCCCGGTTCTGCGAGCGTCGCGAAACCGAACCCTGCAGCGCGTTGGGAGTCCGCCACGGCTGGAACGCGAGCAAGGGCCCGGGTCGTCCAAACCACCGCGTGCGACGAACTTGTTCAACTTGCCAACCGCTGCGGAGAACGACCACGACGCTAGTAAAGCAGCTGCTATGGAACAGGTTCCGGAGGACGAGAATGTTGTGTCGAAAAGCGAGCAAGACTTGAGCGGCAGTACGTCTGTGGTGGTCACAAAGAGCCAGTCGGACAAGCGAAATGTGAATGGCTTCCAGCACCACCGCACCGCAGACTCCTTGAACGCCTCCGCAAGTTTGGGAAACAGACTCTCGGCCTTGAATGAGAAGGTGTGAAAGTTTGCAATTTTAAAGCGCAAGCGCTACTATTAATCTTCCTTCGGCTTTATCCTGGAGGTGAATTTAGGACTACAAGTGGAAATTGCATAACTCTTTAGTGCAAGATATCGATTACTTTCACCAAACTCTTTCAGGTAAACCAGTTCATCCTGATGCAACAAGCCCAGCAAGAGTTGGCTGTCGCTGGACGAGGTCCGCAGCAGACGAGTATGCTGGAGACCATGAACTCCGAGAATCAGGCCCAAGAGTCCTGGTACAGCTTTCCGTTCAACAGCCAGCAGGGAACGCAGGAGCCGCGCTCGGACGAAGCTGTGGCGTTGTCAGGAACCAGGACAGTTGGCTCCTCGACGTCTTCGTCGTCGCTTATTCCGCGTGGAAGTGGAGCTGACGTCCCTGGTGCTTCAGGCTCGACGTCCGGATACCAAGCAAAAGAAGTTTCCGCGCAGATTCAAAGTCAGGACGCAATTGTTGCAGCTCAGCATTTAATTATCGAGGAGGGCGCGGATTATGGCCTCGAAGACTCTGCTCCGACGGTACGAGAGGTGATCGAAGAGGCGGCACCAGTGCATGTTGAAAGTCTAGCGTCAGCTTCGCGGAGCCGGGTCACAACGTCGGAGGCCGTTCTTGGGTCCTCGTCCAATTTGAAAAACTCGAGTCCGCGCGAGACGGTCACACTTGATGCCGGGTCTTCCCGCGAATCCTTGTTTCCTGCAGGATCATACAGCCACGCCGCGAATGAAATCGCTCCAGCTTCGGTGGAGTGCCTGCTTTCGCAGCCGAAGCAGCGCTCAACCAAAATTGTTGCGAGGAATTTGGATGCAGGTCACGCTCTTGACACGCTTGAGATGCATGACCTTGACGTTGAGAAAGAGAAGAAGAGGATCAAGGCGCAACCGAAAGAAGCTGATCACCTGAGTTCTTCATTCGCATCGACGTACAGGACAGGCCGCGTTTCTGGCAGCCGCAAATCCTCTCCTGTTTTTCAAGGTCAGGACTTCCTACGCTTGTCGAGCCGCCCGCGTTCGCCCGCTAACAGTACGGTCATGCAGCAAAACGGTCCGCCTCCTCCGAATGTGACGGTTGGGAAGTCGCGCACAATCGGTGGAGTAACAAAATGGTCCTCTTTTACATCTGACCCACAACAGCAAGAGAAGGCAAAGTCGACTCGCCGGCGCACCACCTCTGGTGCCTCGCTCGCGGCAGTGCAAGGCTCGATCGCAGACGACTCACCGAAGGAGGAAACGACCACTCTTGATTCCATTCGCGCTGGCGCACGTAGTAGTGTGACGCAGCGGAAACAGGCGAGCCAGACCGACTATACAAGAGCCCGAAGCGGTCGGGCGCGAGCGATCTCTGCGCTGGCGAACGGAACACCGTCGGAATCGGAGATGGTCCAGCTTGCACAGGATCGTGACGTGCAAGCACGTCAAGGTAAGTCTCGCGATTTACAACTGTTCGATAACAATCCGAACCGCGTCTCCAGTGCGAAAACGTTCGATTCCCCTATGGGGCAAAGGGACCAGCACCATGACGACATGAATCCAGAACTGTCCTCCCTGATGTTCCACTCGCTCTCCATGTCCGCAGGAGATATCTCGCTATCGCCGATGAAAAAAGATGAAAAACGCTCCGAGGACGATGAGACCACGGACTTGACCAACGGCCGCAAAATGACTGCTGCCCAACGAACCCGATCGCCGAAGCCAGTTCTGCCGGCTCAAACCCAGAGCCTTCTTCTACGACCGAGAACAAGGAGTACTCTGTCGAAGGCGGATGCAAATCATCTTGCCCGCTCCAAAACCTTGCCGACCACGTCACCGAAGGTGCTGGGAACGCGGCCGCGCTGCTTGGTGCAGGCTTTTTTGCCGAGCAAGTACGAGATGAAGGCAAAAGTAGAGCCAGCTGAGATTTATTCAGAAATGCGGTCGCCTTCGTCCGGTACTGCAAACAAACTCGATCAGTCGCATCATCTGCTGCGCCCGGCCCTGGATCGCAGTCGCAGCCGGTCTTTTTCCCCTGTTGTGCAAGTGCAAAGTAGAAACAGTGCCGCCGCTGACCGAGAAGTCTCGGAAGTAGATGCGATCGGAAGGAGCTTCCAGACGAGACAGCAGAGCAGGCCGACGAGTCTGGTCCAACGATTGCCATCGACGACCGCGCCTTCTCCCGGCGTCGAGGCCGCTTTGTCGCTCCGGCACCACCTCACCTGGATCACCGTTGTAGACGGCGACCAGCAGGCCCTGACCGTGCGGTACTGCGAGGACGTCGTGCAAGAGGTGCTTTGGCTGGATCTGGTTTTCCACGAGGAGTCTTTATTTCAATCCCTGTCCGTAGAGTCAATTGCCGCTGCACTTGCCGAACAAAACTTCGACGTGCACGAGTGCGAAAAACTGCTTGCCGACTCCGTCTTTCGCGTGCTGGTGAAGGATCTCTCGGAAAGCACCGCAAAGTTCACCCTGGACAGCACCCTGAAGAGGTTGCAAGCGATCTTTTGCACAGCCGCTTACAAGAATCACAGCACGAACGGAAGCAGCGCTGGTAGCCCGTTCTGGTTTTCGTTGCAAGAGCACGACCACACTCTGGCGGCGAAGCGGTTCCTGGATCGGCAGAGCGACTTGGCGTTCTTTCGGGACGCGAGGTCTGTCGCGCGATCGGTGGCGCAAGACATGGCAGGGTTGGATCGCATTCTGCAAAACAAGAATCGCAGTCTGATGGGACAAGAGGAAGCGACTGGTGTTGCGAATGATGAAAGTGACCTTGCGTCTTTTCCCGAATCGAACGAAATGTCCAGCGCGGAAGTCAACTATGACGCCCGTCCGTTGTTTCTGAACGACAACGAGAGCGACGCTGAAGCTGCAAGTCGTCGAGAGTTGATTCGCTTGGCCGAGCCGGCCGCCGCACAGACCCCGGACTCGACCACCGGCCTCTCAGAGGAGACACTTTCGAACCCGATTTCCTCCACGAAGCACACGCCGGTGGACGATCTGGAAATCTTAAACGTCGAGCAAGTCGAAGCGGAACTTGCACAATTGCAGCGAGACGGGTCGCTGCATGGAGAAAACTTTGCGGCTTCTCGTCATACCCGCGAGCAAAGCGTGGTTGTTCTCAACGACCTGTACCAGTCTGCGGTGTCCCACAATGCTCCGGATCATGGTGTTGACAACTTTCAGAGCTTCGCCTCCATTTCCGCAAGCGACGACGAGCCTTTGGTAATTGACCAGAATCTTGCAGTCGAAGGCCCTGACGCGACGAATGAAAGTATGGTCTCCCTAGAGCCGCTACCAGCCGAGACCATTGAAGAACGGAGTACAAGCACGCGGTCAGTGGCGTCTCGGACTTCAGGTCGACCGTCGCGAAGTGGAAGCATCTTCAGATCACCAGGACCCAATGATTCGCCGAAAGAACAACTGGTCAGTAACCGCTCGCGGACGCGATCTTCGATTAGCAGAGCCAGCGGCAAGAACAGTCGCCCTCCTTCGCAGCATCGGGTCAGCTTTGTGGAGGATTTGGAAATGTCACCGCCGGTGGTGCTATTGAACGAGAAGAAGAAGGCAACTTCCCCGTCCAGCGACCAGAAACGGAGAGCCATGACCAGCAAAAAGGCGAAGTCGATGGTGGTTTCGCAGAGAAGGAAAGATTTGGACGAGCAGAGTGAAAAAGTGAACGCTCAGCGCCGCGCTACCGCCTCGGCGGTGCTCGCACCTACGAAGAGGTCAACGTCGTCTCGCGTGAAAACGACGATGATTACTGACGACGCTCCACTGCGGAAGACAAGCAGCAGTGTGAAGAAGCCTGTAACAGTTTTTGCAGCGGCAAGCGCTGTTGACGTTGATGAGAAGCCGAAGCCAACAACGAGGACCACGCTGCTCGAAATGGAAGAAGGGGATGGTGATCTAGTCAAGCGCATTGATCCCACGAGAAGCGGATCGCTCCAGATCGACAAGATGACGACTGAAAAGGAGTTGGTGCGAGTGGTGCCGTTGCCAAAAGCGGATGCCATTACAGATTCTGTCTCCAATTACGCACCTGGCGTAGTTCCATGTGAAAGCTACATCACGAAAAGAGAAGCAAGCCCCGTCGTGTCCCTGAAAAGTGAGCCCGCTGGTACGCAGAAGTCGATCGTGGTTATTGCTGAGGAGAAGCACCAAGAGGATCATCTCTCCAATGACGCTGTGCAACTGCAGCACAACGAAGCTGTAGAGGCAGAAGTGCTTTTCCAGGAGGACGTTGATAAAAAGTCATCCTCTGCCGCTTCTTCCTCGGTTTTCTCTTCTGAGACCGATTCCGTGTCGTCCTCCTCCAGAACGGGCAGCTCGTCATCTTTCACCGGTAGTTCGAGCGCAAGTGGGTCGAGCTCGTCTGCATCCTCTTCTAGCGCTTACATGTACTCGAGAGCGAGCTCCTTCTCGTCTTCCTCATCCTCAAATGTCACCGGTGTTGCGTTAGCGGCAGGGCCTGAAGAACAGAACGGGGAAGGAGTTCAACAAGTTTCATCATCCATGTCTGCAGCCACTGCTGCTCCGTCAGGTGGTCTACTACAAGCAAAGTCTCCTGATCCACTCTTCTCTAGCACGATCAAGAATTTTCAGCACACGCAGCAGCGTTTGCAACAGGAGCAAGTCGACCACGTCCCCTCGAGCCTTTGGAGCGACAAGTTTTACATCGCCGGTCGATTGCCCATATTCCAAGCGCAGACCGAGCTGAAGCGCGAGATCGAGGCCCACCAGGCCTTCTACCTGAGCTCTTTTCTAAAAAGCGAGGAGTTCCACAAGCAGAGCTACTGGGAGCACCTGTTTTCGCTGTTTAACGTGAACAAACTGCCGATGTTGAAAACCGTTTTCGGCTACCCGCTCGTTTTGCTCGTACTGAACTGCGTGAGGAATGGGCTTGAGTGCCTGCTGGTGAAGAAAGCAGAGCACTTGGCATGGAACGGATCTGCAGGAGGTGCAGTTGCTGGGTCCTTCAACCAGAAGTCAACAACGTGCTTTCTGGAGCAGCAGAGCACGAAGAAGGATAAAGCGGCCGCAGCCACTTGGAGCAGCTACACTGCTGTGCGGAGATACTTGTTGGAGAAGGTGCGGAAGAACGACGGTGAGGTTTTCCGGAAGCTCATCGAGTTTGTGGAGAATTGCGATGTGGGCAGTGAGAGTGACGGCGCTGCTTCTCAACACGCAGACCAAAGAGGGAATACTAAGTTGCAACGTGCGCAGTTGCAGCCGCCGCAGAGCGCTCCGATGGACCTGGCTTACGTTTCTCTGCTGGTCTTGCGTGGCCTGGTTGAACTGTTTGTTGTCTCCAAATCCAGCGCCGCAGGAAAAAAAGAGTCTGATGCGAACAAAACGAAAAGAGCCTCTTCCCGGACGACCACAAACTCCACGCGGAATTCGACGGCTTCAAAAAACGATCGAAATTCAACATCTTCGACCCGAGGCTCCAGGATTTCATTGCGCAACCTCGTCCGAGGTCGTGCGTCCACGCTGCTATTCCAGGGTGCCCAACAAACAGGGAACGGGGAAGATGGCAGCGACACCGATGAAGCGGAGCATCCAACCAGTGTCGGCACGGTTCAAGAGCTTTTTTTCGACTACACTTCAGGGGCAAATTCAGTTGCTGAAGACCAAACTCTAGCTGCAGTAAGTGCGAATAATAGTGGTCCTGCCTCTGATCTCGTGGCCGTTCTGAGTTCACACTCCGCCAAGATTTTGACGGTAGCTGTGAAAATGAGTGACCCTTTGGGCCGGACGAACCCGCTCGAGGCGATCATCGTCAGAAGACCGATTTTGCTGCAGCTGAGGCCGGTGATTCTGACGCTCTGTCGGATCTTCGAAACCAAAAGTGGCACTACTCCGGGACCTGTTCTTGATAATCTTGTCGACCAAGAATCTGGTGTTGCTGACACGATTTCACCCGCTGCTAATCTGGTTGACATTCTCGCAGCAGCGCAGTTGCAGCAGCAGAAGTTGTCCTCTACTTCCACCGCGCCGCATGAGCCGAAGAACCTCTACCTCACGGCGTTGTTGAGTCGGCAGGACGAGGAGCAGCACTCATATTCCGAGAAGAACCCTAACATCGAAACCGCATTTCTGACTGCGCTCGCTGCTGTGACATTCGTGACCACAAAACCCGCACAGCAGAAGAGTGGATCGGTCGATACGTTCGCAATCGCGGTGGCCGGGGAAGTCTCCGTCGCACTGATCAGATTGCTGCAGTTGCTGTCGAATGAAATGAAAAAGAGCTCTTTGGGGCCCGGTGCAACCGAGGTCGGCGAATCGACACGTGGTTCGAGCGAGCGCCTCTCGACCCGCTTGTCCAACATGATTTCACGAGGAGGGCGGGATAGTTTCAGGCAGAGCCAGCGCGAAACTAACGACGTCAATACCGCGACTACGCCAACGTCAAACGCTGCTCAGCAGCAACAGCGCGCGGATTTGCAATTACTCTTGTTCGCGGAACACCTAGTGCCGAATTTCGTACTACGCTTCCTCACCAACGGACAGTTTCTACTGTCGAAAGTGGTCAAAATCGGATTCGTCCTCTCCGATTTTCTACAGCAAACAACGGAGCAGCAAAAACACTCGCTTGTGAAGGACTTCAAATTTATCGAGCATGTCATTTTTTCCTTTGGAAAAAGCTTTTTGCAACTCGGCCAGGAGCTGATTCGCATCACTTTCGCGTCAACGAAAAAGGATTTGAATGGAGCTGCAGACGTTGGAATTGGCAGCCCGACGCCCGCTTCGATCGCAGAGCAAGCGGAAGCTTCTGTGCAGGAACAGCAGCAGCAGGTGGAAAAGTTGCATCAGCAACGACTGCGGGTGTTCCGCATGTTCGTCTTGTTGCTGCAGGCGGTCAACACGCCGAAGTTGCAGAAATCCATCGTGGCAACGTTGGAGAAGTTTTTGGTTGAGAAACTCATCATCGACTCGTTTCTGGGGAAGACCGTGGTCACGACGACAAATACGACGTTGCCAGCGCAGATTATGCCGCTCAAAAACTTTCAGCAACTGGTGGAATTGATTGGCGTGGGATCGGGTGGCGGTGCGGCGAGTGTGGCGCCTAACTACGCGGAGCGGAATATTGTAAGTAGTTGATTTTATATATGCTTTTAGCTGTTAATATCATCCTCATGATCATCATGAACTTGCTCTTCATCTACGGACCACGATGCGATAATCGAAAAAGGACCGGAAGAACAGGAATACCTTCTACGGATGAATTTAATTCAAATATTCCCGCCCCGGAAGATCACACGAAAGCGAAAACTGATAAACGCGCCACGGCCAAAAGGCTTGTATGATGCACTGCTCCTAGTAATTGTCAAAGTTAATGCCAACACTAATAGATACATGGCACATAGGTAGCAGTAATAAATGTTTCATAGTAAACTGCTCGGTCAATTTTTATTCCCAGGTGAATAGACTAGAAGCTTTTTTGTAACATTCCTCACATCACGATCACTGAGCCCGAGTAGCCACGCAATAAAAGTTGGCTCTTCATCGAGTCGCTTTACTGCCTGGTTCTGTAATTGTAATTTTTTGGTTTGTGCTACTTCATGTCAATCTTTTTTTGCAAACGCAAACCCCAACTCATAACTAACACTAGCCCCATGAAAGAGCCAAGGAGAATGTTACGCTACAACTCGTCGTGGTCGTTTCTTTCCTTCCACAAGTACAATACTGCGAGATGGAAAAAATGACGTTGCACCGATCGCTAGCACGAAAAAAATGATCATATGTACGAGCGCATTGTAGTTGAGTTTTCGAGATGGAGGAAGGAAAAACAAAATGCTCATACATAGAAAGTGGCGTTCTTAATACGTTCCTTGACTGCTAAACTTGAAAAACTCCCTGATTCGCGTTGGCACCGCGCATCTGCATCGATTTTTTTTGTTTTTGCGCCCTTAGTTTTTCGAAAATGTTGTGACGATCTAAATTCTTGACAAATCGTTTGAGCTGTTTTCGAAGCTGGAAGAATGTTCACCCAGCTGACATAAATCAGTAGTATCCTGACACGCGGGAGACTGGTGTGATCAACTTTAGCTGACGGAGCGATCTGGAAATCTCTCTTCATCGATCTATAGGCGATCCGGTATATGACCCAGTCGAAACGGTACTAGATAGATTGATAGATGCCGCCGTTTGTCACCTCTTGATTTGATACGGAACAAAATGAACGCATGCATTAGGCGAGAAGCTGGTTTGGCATATAATAAAGGTAACCGGATCCTGAACCTGCTGGTCGACGAGAAAATTTCATTATTTATTTATAGGAACACCAACACGGTGAAGAGTCTTTTCAAAAAGTGAAAAGCTTCGAAAATGTTGACGCTGCGATTGCCGTGGGTGCAAGGCGTTCCGGTTTGTTTTTCTTCCTCCTGATCATGCGTTTCGACGACAAAGGCACGCGGCTTCTCGGCAAGTAAGTCCTTTAGTTGTGGGGTGCCAAAAAGAGCTTACACCAAAATGGACCAAGTGGACATCAACGGAGCGCGAAGGACCGGAGGACGTGTCCCACGCCCTAACATCCTTCCTGGGGACATCTGCAAGGCAGATGGAAAGTTCTGGGTCCTCGCCTGCCGTGCCTATAGAGGGGTGCAGACACATGCCCTTGTTCGTCAACGAGTCCTAGTCAGGCTGAATCATCAATCTAGTATCACTTCTCCAGAAGACGATAGAGATGTAGGATCGTCTCTAGCTGGCCCCGTCAACTTGGAGATCCGCGCGATGGCACCGCGCTTTGCAATACGAAAGCAGAGAAATGGAACGAGAAGACAGTGGTATCGGCGTCTACAAACGCCTCTGAACTACGTCATATCTGACAAACAGACGCGTGACAAAATCGCCATTGCTATGAAAGCCAAGGCGCTGCATAGTTTTTGCCAGAAGAACTTGGATGCAATTTGGAAGGAGCTGCTTGACCGCGGACTTGTAACCGACGAGATGAGCTACGAAACGATCCAAAGCAGCACACCAAGAGCTTGGTCGACCCCGATTCCGGGGATGTTGCTGGTGGCCCCTCAAAAGTCATCATAGGCAACAACGAGGACGATGAGGATCGACCAGATTTCGGAATTGACACGGATAAAGGGGGCACTGGCTTCTTTTGGCAACTCTCGGAGGAGGCGCTTCGCAACGAATTTGATATTCGCCCCAAGAATTCCGCTAAAGTCGTCGCGGACATGGACGCGGTTCTAGGCCAAGTGGAAGGCGAAGGGGACAGCTCCGATAACGACGACGCGTCTACCGATGAAGAAGATTATACCGGAGAAAAAACCATGCGCAAGCGAATCTACCAAGGCGACTTGGTCCGCGCTGACAACGGTTTCTGGCTGACGCTGTTCAACGTCTACGAGACCAAAGCGCACGTCCCGGCGAAGAAAGTTGTGCGTCGCGTGCTGATCCGACTTTCTCAAAACCCAACCAAAAAGGGGAAACTCACTAGCGGGCTTGACATTGAAGTGCGAACCATGAAAACTCGTTTCCAGGGCGGCAAGCGCACGAACGCAAGGCGCCACGTTGGCTTGCAAGAGCACTTGGAAGAGGTCGCGCCCAACCCTGAACTTCGGCAAAAAATCGCGGACGCGATGCGTGCGGAGAAACTGCGGGACTTTGCAAGTAGCAAAACTCTCCAGAAGCGAATTTGGAACCGTTTGCTGGAAAACGGCGACATATCGAGTTCGATGGGAACTGAAAAACTGAAGGGACGTCACGAAGTAGAGGGTGCAGAGCACGAAGAAATGGTAGGAGTACAACAGGATGACGATTTGGACGACGCTGCGCAAGCTGATGCCAGCAAGCGGCAAAATGGCGGTGAGAAAAAGCAAGAGCCAGCAAAAGCGGCAATAAAAGCAGATGCCGGTGGGACGGGCTTTTTTCTGGACCTGTCAGCAACAGACCTGGAAGAAAATTTTGATTTGAAAGAGTCCTCTTCAAAAGCCATGGTGAAGGAGATTGCGGCAGCGCTGCGTGAGTCAAAAAAGAAAGCGAGTAGCAAAGTTGCAGCTTCAGCAGTGAAAGAGACGAACGCGAATCATGCTAAGCGCAAGCCCAGCCTCGATCTTGAGCTCGACATCCCAGGATTGGAAAGCGACGACGAGGAAAACAAGCAGGCAAAGACGGTGTCTTTGCAAGTGGGGGCAAGCGGAGCAGATTTTGACGTCATTGATTCAGGTAAGAACGCATCCAGTTCATCCACCATGAGTGTCGATTTGACGAATCACACGAACTTGTCGCACCCGACACCTACTAGCTCTTCCAAGACATCAGTTCGGAGCACTGCCACCGCGTCGAGTGCGCCCAGTGACAAGCCTAAAAGCATCTCTTCCGGTGGTGCCGTCCCGTCCTCTTCTTCCGCACTGGAGCCGCGGTCGAACCTTCCTACTTCCAGCGCTTTCCACTCCAAGAAGCGAGGCAGGAGTCCAGCGGAAGGGACCCAGCAGCCCGTTTCCGCCTCCGCCGGCAACGACGCTAAGGATTCTGAGCCCGACCGTCTGCAAAAACTAAGTTTGTTCGAGAAAAGCACCCGTCAGCGGATGCACGTGCGTGCCTATTTCGACTACGAGACCGATCCAGTGAAAACGCCGAAGAAGGAGGGAAAGCATAGGGAACCAGCGACTTTTTTCTGGTTCATGTTTGACCATCCGCTTAAGGACACACTGTTGTGTCGTGGAACGGTGAAGAAGGACCTGCTCTCTCCTAGCACGCTGGAACGAATTTCGCAGGGACAAGCTGTTGATCTGCAGGTAGTCCCGTGGATCGACGAGACAAGGAAAAAAGCGTCCTCCATCAAATTGGCGTCTCGTTATGCGAAAAATGATACGTACAGGTTGCGTGAGATAGGGAGTGCGAAGAGCTAAAAAACTACATCTTAATATTACCCGCCCCATCAGCATTGACAAAGAAAAGCGACCGAGTTAGAAATATCGAAACGTTCCAAACTGACACTCACATCACATTGAGTACCGCTATGTACATGTATCAATACGGCACAAATACAACACCTGCGACAGTGCACGACGCTAAATGGGGCAGCTTCATCATGCTGTGTTCGCGATGCCGAAGCATGATCTTTCACTTTGCTGTCTTGGGCTAAACGAACAAATAAGATCGTTGTGCTGGTGTACCAGTTCCATTTTTGCTCGATTCTTTCCTTCTTGGTAACTACGGATCCGCACAATGATAGAGTGGATGCCTCTCTCTGGTGGTTTTCTTTGTTTTTCGTGTGTGGTTCTCTAGTGTCTTCTTCTGAGAATGATCAGATTCCACCAAACGTCTGTCTGTTTTTCTGTTTTTTTCTGAAAAGATCCGAAATCATCGCTGGATGTTTGCATCGAGAAACCAGCTCGCCTTCGCCAAGTATCTACATCGGTAAATTTCGACAAGTAGCGAGAAAAATGCGCTCCGTGCCATCCGCCCATGCGAAGCTGCTCCAACTTCCCGCACGATTCACGGCCACTTTGGAGCCGCCGAGAAACGCGGATGAGTTGATCCGGGTTCTACGCCAGGTCTATGCGTACTCGCAGCGAGGTTCGCAAATCAATGCCTTCTTCAAGCAAACCAGCAAGCAGCGCTGGCGCTTGGACCGGGTCACGGCAAACGCGTACGAGTCTAGTACAAGCTTGGCGCCGACCACCGGCTTTTCGAAGAGAAAGCGGGGAGAAACCTTTGGACGGAATGGAGCCAACGGAGAGGATGTGATGCAAGCCAGTAGCATCACGACGACCGAAGTGGAGGAAGAAGCGGGCCCGGCAGGAGGTGCAAGAAGAGGTCATCAAAACTCTAGCGGTAGCGACTCTTTGTCGCCCGACGCCGAGCAGGCATTTCGCTCGGGAAAAAATGGCGCAAGCTCGTCTACGACGAGCGTAGAGCAGGTCAACATTTCTAGCTCCAGCAGTTCGTCGACGCATCCTGACAATGCTGAAACTATCACCGCGAATCGACCGAAGCAGAAACCTGCTTACGCCAATAGTCGCGTCCACTGGCTGGACCAGGAAACCACGCTGCTGAAGCAGCTCACGGCGACCTTCTTCGAGACCTGCGAGAAATACTACCCGCCCCAAGTCCTGGAGGTGCTGCACTTGTTCAACGAGATTGAGTATTCAGACCTGAACCTGCAGCGGGCGGCGGTCGGTCGGATTGATGACTTGCTGCTCCTGCCGACACCAAGAAGGATTTTGCAGCTCACTGTTTTTTTCAGCAAAGCCAGAATACCGGTGGAGCACTGGTGGGACGCGAAATTAGGGCCTCTCGTCGAGGAAAATCTGCAGCACTTCACGCACGGGATCCCCAATTTGTTGGATGCGTTGCTGTTCGTAAGGGACCAAACACAGGCTTCCAGCGATAGACAAACACAAGCCGACGCGCAGACCGGAACTGAAAAGGACACTATGCCGGATGAAGAGAATAGTCTAGAGCTGATCATAGACGGGCTAGCGACGCAGCTGTTGCTCGTGAAGCAATCAAACACAATCAAGCCTTGCGTTTTCGCCCGTGGATTCGAGCGTCTGTCGGTTTTCGGCTACGATTACCCGGAATTGAAGGCAGAGGCAACGAAGATGCTGCGGAGTGGTTCTTCCGAAACCAATGCGAATACAGATCATTTTGACGACGGTAGTTCTGCTGTCGACGACTTTTCGGATATCGAAGACGAAAACGAAGACATTTTCGAATCAAGTTTCGGAAAGTCAAAACCGGGCAAGGCAGTGAATTCGAGCGGAGCCGACACAACTCCCGCCGGCATCGCCACACGGACCAATCTGGTCGCGGGGTTGCAGCGGTACAGTTCCAGCAGTTCAAGTCGAGGAAAAAGCACTGACTTTTTGGATGACATTGCCTCTCTCGACCTGGAGATCGCGGTGAGGCGGGGGCTCGTGTGTTCCGAAAGGCAGTTGGATCACTTTCTCAACAACACAGAGCAGCTGCTGTCCGATGCAACTTTTCTTTGGCGCCGATTCCCGCAGCAAGTAAATTTGCTAGCGAGACTCTGTTTGAATAAACGCGACTCAGCACAGTCCTCCGCACTCGCCGATCTGCGCGCAAACTTCATTCTGACAGCGATGGAGACTCATCTGCTCGACAGAGATTACGACAGCGCCACGTCGGACACCAACGCAAACGAGGCATTACTGGAAGCGAGCGCGCTGATGCGGAAATACAGTCCGCGGCAGCTGGTCGATTTGCTGGAAACGGTGGCACTGCTGACAACCGACCGTGCTCCGGCAGGAAAATCAGTATCGACACCGACAAAAACAGAGCGGAGCCCACAACCTGAAGCGCAGTTGATCTCTCTACTTCTCCCCTTTTTGCCACAGTTAGATTTGAGGGCAAAGCGCCGGCTGTACCGGCTGTGCTGTTGCTGTAGCTTTAGCAACTCGGAGGTAGAGGCTAAGCGAACCCCCGATTATGCACCAGCAGAAGTCACGAATTCGCAACAAACGCAAGCACTCTGGCGGAAACTGACCCTAACGCTGCTGACCCGACACGGTGAACCGCCGGCGTTGCCCGTCTACAAGGTGGAGCCTAAAAATGGCAGTGAGAGCACAAGAACTACAGTCGTTGCGGGAGAGGTTGTCTTTCCCCTCTCCCCGCAGCGCGGTGCTGGGAATGATTCTCGAATGAACTCTTGCCTCCGTCCTTTGTCACACTTGGATGTCGATACACGAGGAAACTTCACACCAATTTTCTCTCTCCAGCAAATTGCATGGAAACAGCAAGCCTGGAATGTCCGACATGATCCATAGAACGCGAGCCGAATCAACGATAAATGAAGGCAAGATCATCAGGCACCGCAACAAAGAAATATTGCGGTACGAACGCAAGAAAGGGCTGAAAAAATCAACAGCAACAATCTTTGCCATGTTCAGAAGATTCCAGGAAAAAATCTTGGAGATCAAAAGCCAAGTGCAAGAATCCACATCCACGCCATAGTTCACTTGTTCCTGAAAATGTAGCCTGGCGGAGAATTTTTTTTTCCACAAGAAGGAGAATCGACACGCTAATGTATTGCTTTTCACGATCCCATCTCTCACCGAACAAGTTTCTCAGGCTCGATAACAGTTCGCTAACGCATTAGAATTGGCTCTATTTTTTCATCCAAATGCTGTGACTAGACGACATTCAAGCGCTGCACTGCGTTCGACTTCGACATCATCCAATAACGATTTGTTGGTTCCTCTCAGCTCGTAAAAGTAAAAATCATGTCTCTTCTTACCGACGCTGACGAGAAAACACCTGCAATGCGGGAGCAGGTGACTAAACCGAGCGCAGCCCCCTCTCTCGAACAGGACGCATCGGAAACTGCGTCCCGGGCCGGAGGCTCTGGCGCCGAGACAAAAAGCGACACCGAAGTAGATGTTGGAGTTACGGAAAATGAAACTGCGGGAAATAAAAGCAACCCCTGCGTCCTCATGGAGGACATCCTGCAGATGTATGGCGGGTTGGACGAGAAAACCAACGAATTCAAGAACGATTTCGTGTTCCTCGCCGACGACAAACAGCTCTGGAACGCAAGTGTGGTCTTGCTCCGCTACTTGCAGAAGCAGTATCCAGAATCCTCCTGGAAAGGCAAGAAGATCCTGGAGCTCGGGTCCGGACTCGGCCACCTCGCGTTCGCCTTGGCCCAGCTCGGAGCAGACGTTACTTGCACGGAGCAACCGAAATGCGTACCTGTGTTACAGGATTCGCTTGACAAGCAAGCGAAGGAGACGGAAAGACGCAGAAAAATGCAGAGTGACGACACAGTAGAGCCGGCACGTGTGCCCAAAGTCCGCACGCTCAAGTGGGGCGACGTTGCCGCTTTTGAAGAACTCTGCTCCGCGACTCAAAAGGCTCCGTCTTCAAGTAGCGACTTCGATCTTGTGATTTGCTCTGAAATCTTCTACGACGAGAATGTCCACGATGACCTAGTCGCCACGTGGCGGCTCATCGCCGAAAAGTTCGGGCCGACGGTGGAGTTCTATTCAATCTTCATCAACCGTCCGTTCAGCTGGAACTTTTTTGCGAAGTTGGATGACTCTGATAGTGTTGACGATGCAGACGGCGAAAGCGGTGCAAGAGGAGCTTCTTCTGTCAAATTCCACGTCGCATCAGTTCACGACGACAAAATCGACTTTCTCGGTCTCGACGACGTGCACATGCATCACACGACGGTAGAGGTGAGGAAGGACGAGGACAAGAATAGTATCGTGAAAAGTGCACCTGACGCCACAGTGACGCCTTCCACTACGAAGGATGACAACAGCGGAGGGCTTTTGCTGGATAGCGACGAGGACCCGAAAACCGGCGGGCAGCAACTCGCAGGCACGGAGAACGCGACAGATGAGAACAAACTAAGTCAAGAGGAAGAGGAAAAGACCGTGTGGGAGATCCTCGACGAACTCATCGGCATCGCGCCGGACAAACTCCGCATTTACGTGCAGTGCGCGTTGCTGATTTTGGCTGGTATCGCAATTCTGTTGATCCAGCAGGCCAGCGAAGCGGGGGAGCAGCACTTGGTGTACTTGCACGGAGGGTTTTTGTTTTGCGTGGTGATGCTGTCTCTGTCAGTCGAGTTTGTGCTCGCCGAAGCAGGACGGCTGATGCGAGAGAAGGAGCTCGCTGATGAGGAAAAAAAGAAAGAAAAATGAGAATGCTATAGTTCGTACTTCATACGTTCTTTCACAACGGACGACATGAGCTTCTCCCTGTTCTTTGTATCATCGTCATGATTTCTTTCAAAATGAAAATTGCTACAGCTAGACTCAATGGCTCCGACTGACCTGCCCATGGTGATGCTTCCGGCTAAAAATAAAGCGGCCGTGTGTTCGCCGATTTTCTATAGACCATTGCGTCCACGAGGGTCCTGTGTGTGTGAGTTGATAACAATCACACAGCTCCAGCAGCGCGAACGCGAGCAGACCGCGCCAGCGCCCGAGGTCGCGGGCTTTGGCCGATCGCTTTGGCCGCTGTGCAAGCGGTTCCGCGAGGGGCTTCGCGGGAAGCCCGACAAGCCCAACGGCGGGCGCTCCGCGAAGGTGTGGCGGGCCGGGTGGTGGGGCGTGCGATGCTTGTTGCGGCGGACCGGCACGCGCAGGCGATGGAGCGCGTGGCCCGCGTGCCGAGCGAAGGGCTTTGGGAGTTTTACGAGACGCAGGCCCATGATGGAGATGTTGCGCAGCAGGCAGTAGATAGGGCGCCCGGCGATGCACATTGGCACAATTGAGCCGCGGGGGTGGGGTGTGGGAATGCAGGCGCGGCGCGGGAAGATGCGGCCGCTGCGCGGGAGGAGGCGGCGGGGGCAAAGGCACGCGGCACGTCCTGCCCCTTGCCGCAAGTAAAAAAACGCTGGCCCCCCCGCAAACGTCGCGCCCGAGCCATTTCGGCGCTAACGGCGCGGCCGCCGGTGGGCGCGCGGGGTGGCTAGGTTGGCCGGGACCGAATTCGCGGACTTCGGTGGCGCGCCGCGCCTGGAGGAGTCAGGCAGATCAACGGGATCGGCCCCCAGTAGTCAGAAAAGCAAAAAAATCACAAAAGCCGGAAAATTTTCGCGCTTTTAAGCAGAGAAATTTATAGACAGGGAGTAGGGAGGACCCTGGAGGACCAGGGAGGACCAGGGAGGAGCGTTCGCGTCTATATAGAAAAAGCATCGGGCATATTTTAAAAATGTGTTCACCGATGGCATGGCGAACTTTCAAGCCAAGGCCCCTTCAGCTTTCTGATAGCCATACCAATAACAACTGCGTGACGAAATTGAACAGCGACGCAGTAAATTGCTGAAGTAGCCACTTCAACAGTTTGCGTTGTTGTTCAGTTTACAACTTGTCACGCAGTTGTTATGGAGGTGGCTACTTCAATTCGCACAGGCAAACTGTTGAAGTTGCCACTTCAAAAACTTGCGCTGTGCAAATTTTTGAAGTAGTCACTTCAACAATTTGCGTTCTTGTTGTTGTTCGGCTTGGGTTTGCAACGTGTCACGCAGCTTGTGTTGAAGTGGCTACTTCAACTTCGCGGAGAGTTGAGGTAGCCATTTGAATAGCAAGCGCATGACAAATTGCCACAATAGTGACAATTTATTGAAATTGAACAAAAATTGCGAAAGTGGCCACTTCAACAATTCGGGTTCTGCGAATTGTTGAAGTGGCCATGATTTCAAAAATTCGGGCTGTGCAAAGTGTTGAAATGGCCATTTCAACAAAACCCTAAATTGCAATTGTTGAAATGGCCATTTCAACATTTTGCACGACCCGAATTATTTCAACAATTCGCAGAACCCGAATTGTTGAAATGGCCACTTCAACACTTTGCACAACCCGAACTGTTGAAGTGGCCACTTCAACAATTCGCAGAACCCGAATTGTTGAAATGGCCATTTCAACATTTTGCACAACCCGAATTGTTGAAGTGGCCACTTCAACAATTCGCAGAACCCGAATTGTTGAAGTGGCCATTTCAACAATTCGCAGAACCCGAACTGTTGAAATGGCCATTTCAACACTTTGCACAACCCAAATTGTTGAAGTGGCCACTTCAACAATTTGGGTTGTGCAAATTGTTGAAATGGCTATTTCAACAATTTGCGTTGTGCAAATTGTTGAAATAATTGTGCAAAGTGTTGAAGTGGCCACTTCAGCAATTCGGGTTTTGTTGAAGTGGCCATTTCAACATTTTGCACAACCCGAATTGCTGAAGTGGCCACTTCAACAATTCGCAGAACCCGAACTGCTGAAGTGGCCACTTTCACAATTTTTGCTCGCACACGACGCAAATTGTTGACATAGCCACTTCAACAATTGGCGTCGTTGTCCAGCTTCAGTTTGCAACGTGTCGCGCAGCTGCTCACGACACTCTGGTGGAGAGTTGAAGTGGCCACTTCATCAAAAGCTGCGTGACAAGTTGCAAACTGAACAACAACACAGATAATTCTTGCTGCAGTGGCTATAATTTGAACGCGTTTGCGTTGTTGTTCAATTTCAACAACTGCCACTACTGTGGCAATTTGTCATGCAGTTGTTATCGAAGTGGCTACTTTTTCAACTTTCTTCCGATGGAGGACAGTTGGAGTAGCCACTTCAATAGTTTGCCCTTCATTTCTGCGCTACAGCTTGCCAATCATGATGGCAATTTGTAACGCAGAAACGAAGGACAGGAGAAAGCTCTTCGCGTTTCTTTTGTCCTTCATTTCTGCATTTGTAACGCAGAAACGAAGGAGAATAAAGCTACTGAGAGTTGAGAAAGCCACTTCAACAGCTTCGCACTTCCTTGGCCCCTCAGCCTCATTTGTGCGCTACAGCTTGCCAGCCGTTGACTTTGGCAAGCTGCCACGCAGGCCGGCGAGCGCCATAGCCATAAAACTCAGGCGCCAAAAGTCGTGCCGCCGTGCAGTTTTCGCCGGGAGCTGGGTCCGAGGAAGGCTGGACTCCGCTCCTGGGAGCTGAATCCAGACGCGCTCTCTGTTCGTAGAGCATGGCGCAGAGCAAGGGGCGCACAAGTGGCGACCCCTGTTAGCGCAAGTTCCCCACCCACTTTCCAAAATAAAAGTTTCCAAAGCCCCAAGCACTTGGCGCGTCTGTTGCCCGCCAGCCGGGGCGCCGTTTGTGCGTGCCGTGCCCTCGGCTGCCCAGCTCGCGCCGCGTTTGGCATTGGGAAGACACTCCGGCGCTGCGCGCCGCCGGGCCCTTTTTTTTTTTTGGAGCCGCCTGGCACTAAGTATGTACAAACACCGAAAGGGCTGCCCTTCGTGGGTCTTGCGTTTTTCGCCATGCCCAGGGGCGCCCGCTCCCTTTGTTGTGTCGGTGGCCCTTTTGGGGTCGCCAGCGCCCCTCGCGCGCGATTTTGGCAGAGCAGCGCGGGGCGGGGGCGTTGTGGCAAGGCGGGGCCCCGCGCGGTTTTTGCAGGCCAGCCTTTGGGAGGTCCCGCGAGTGAGGCCGCCCGCCACCGGGCAAAATGGCAGGCCGGCGGGGAGGCGACTTGGCCCAGGAGCCAGGATGGCAGTGGGCGCACGCAAATGCCTCCCGCTGACCTTACATACCGCGGCGCCAGTGGGTGCGTCCGTTGGTGCTGTAGGGTATTGCGGCTCTTTGGCGATCGCGGGCGAAGCAACTCGGGGGCGGGGGCTAAGGCCCCCCCTGCGCTAGCTTTTGATTGGGCCCGGGTTTTGGCCCCTGCGCCACGCACCCCGGGTGGGCCATTAGAAGTTGCCCGGGCCAGGCCCCCCCGCCGGTTTTTTGTTGCAGAGTGAAAGAACAGCCGCGCGCCGGGGGCCCGGCGCCCGCTGGCTTTTGCGCGCGAAGCCCGGAGGCTTCTTGCGGCCGGCCGCAAGCGGCAAGCGTCTCTCTGGCCTCCGCGGCCTTGTGCGTGCGCTCGGCCCAACCCGAGCGACCGCCCGCGGTCGCCCCAAGGCCCCGGCGGCTATTTCATTCGGGCGGGCTAGGGGGGTTGGTGGTGTTCCATTTCCGCCCCGGCATAGGCGCGGGCTTCTTTTGTAGCTATGCTCGCTGGGGATGGGGTCCGGAATGGCTCCGGGCGGCTTTGGCCCGCCGCGGCCCAGCGCAGTGGGTGCTTCCGAAAGAAAGTATTTCAAGGGGGCGCCGGGTGTTTTCTGCGTTGGCTTTTCATTCTATTGGCTTTGGAAAATTTTGGGAAGGCTTCGGGGAGATATTCGGGAGGCCCCTGCCGTGCTCTTTCCAGTTTTTCCAGAAGAAAGAAGAACGAGGGGGCCCGCCTACTTGCGGCCTCCGCGTGGGTGCGTCTGCCCGGGCCCGCCGCACGGGAGGCGCGCCCGCATATTGGAGGCGTTGGCCCGCCCCGGGGAAAGGGCGCGCCGCAGAGCGCGGCCAGGGAAGCGGGCCAGTCTGCCCTTTGCCGACCGTCCGAGCCCGCGCGCCCCGGCGGCTTTCGCTTCTGCCCTGCCCTCCGCCCCAGGGCAGTCTTTTGGCCGGCCTTGTGCTTCGGGGCAGCCAGGCGGCCTGTTGGCGCGCCTCCGTCCGCCCCGGCGCGCGCCCGCCCATTTCGCCGGGGGCCCCGGGCCTTCGTTCCTTGTATTGCCCGGCCCGTGCGCGTGTCCCACGCACTCGGCGTGTGGGTGTACCGCCCGCGCCCTACCCAGAAACTGCCTGCGTGGCGCGCCCCGCCCGCGCGGGCGGGCACGAAAACGGGGCCGGCCCCAGGACTGGCGTGCGTGGGCGAAGGGGCCCGCAGGAAGGGTTGCGCCACTTATTTTGCCCACTGGACTGACTGACTTCGCCCGGTCGGTCGCAATGGCGGTGGGCACGCACCCACGCAGGCAAATCAGCTCGGCGGCCGAACTGCCGGCGAGGGCCCGAGGAAGGATAGAGCAGAGAAGCTGCATGCCACCGCCCTAATGAGAAGACTGGCAAAAAGAGCAGGGGTGGGGCCCGCCAAAAGTTTAGGGCGGCAGTGGGCCTCGGCCCGGGCATCCACCCCATGTGCGCGCCCATGCTATGGGCACCGTTGTGACAGCCGGGCGGGCCGTGTCCTGCCTGCCGCGCGCGGCTTTCTCTGGGCCCTCTCGCGTAGTTCGGGTCCAGAGGGGCCGTGGGTCTTGGTCTTGCTTTTCGTTTATCGGTCGCCGCGCCGCCGTGTCCTGCAGAACGTTACTCAATAGGCATAGCCATTATTTAGTCATGACGGCGTGGCACGGGAGTAAAGACCTTGGAACTAATGCGGGCAGGGTGCCTAACCCGCGGGGGAGAAAACAGTCCAAAGCCCGGGGCGGTTGGATGTGGATCAGGGGCAAACTTTGTGTATGTGCTGGAAATTTATTGTTGAAATATTTTTGAAAAGCTTTGCGCGGTCCGTTTGTAGGGTAGCTTTGCCTCTGCCATCGCGTCGCCTTATAGCTTTGTCTTTTGTCGCCGCATTCCCGACATCGCACTACCATGGAGATTGAGTATATTCCGCATGGAAAACTCGCGCAAATTGTTAAAGAGCACCATACCGCCGCGATTGGGGTTTTTATGATTTTTCGGTTTTCGGTTTTCGGTTTTATATAGCAAAATCCCCTCCCTGGTCCTCCCTACCCTGGGACCCGGGATTCTATAAACTCTTCTGTTTAAGTTTTCGCAGGGTTTTTGCAGTTCTTGCAGCCGCTCGCTGGCGAGTTTTCTTTTTCTGGTTGTGTGTCTTGGGTTTGTGGGCTGGGCGGGAAAAGCAGGCTTGGGCGCAACAAGGGATTGGAGTGGGGCCGGCAGAGGGAGCCCATGTTGCCGGTGTGTGTTTCGGGATGGAAGAGGGATTTTGGGTGGGAAGGTTTTGGGTGGGCGAGTGGCCAATTAATTCTACGACAAAAAATCGCCTTTGTTGCGACAAAAAATCTGAAATAATTAAAAGAAATCGGCTTTCGGCCGTGTTTTTTTTTTCCTTAGGGATTTCAGGAAGAAGCCGAAAAATGTCGCACCCGTGTCGCACCGGTGTCGCACTCGTGTCGCATGTCGCAAAAAAAAAATTTTTTTTTTCGTTTTTCTTTTGGGATTCGTGATTTTTTTATTTCCGGGCCCACTGGGGCCCGATCCCGTTGAGGCAGAGACTGCTGAGTCCATGCTAGACGAGCCAGGAGCAGTCGCATACTTGCCGACTCAGGAAAGACATGCGCCACTATTCGATATTTTGATAGACCAGCACGGCAGTGGTGTGCGTTCAAGGGAATGCCGCGCCTGACCTGCTGCCGATGGGTGTCATTGTCTAGCGGCCTCGCGGCAACTAGGCAGTGGGTTGGTCGGTGGCGGAGGTCCTGCGTGGCGCCCTCGGAGTGGATCGGCCAGTGGCGCGTCGCAGGAAGGTGAGCTGCCCCTGCTGATAGGATGGCGCGACGACTCGGGCCAAAGCGGCGCCGTGCGACGACGCGCGCAGATTGGGCACAGTCCTAACCGAAGCGGAGCCGGGTGCCACGCGCCGCGAGCCCAGCGCACGACGGTGGCGCGCCGCCGGTGTTTTTCGATTGCCAGGCGCCGGGGCCCCGGCCGCGCGCCCGCCGGCCAGTGTTGCGCTGCCAGCCGGGCCGGTCGCGTCTGTGTGTGGGCACCGTGGCGGAAGGAGGGGGAACCAAGATGGCCAAGGCGTCGAACCGCGTCGAGCAGCGCCAGCGCGCACGATCCCCAAACCCAGCGCGTCCGGTCGTACATCAAAAAGCGATCCAGTCGCGCCGTAAATGTGCCCGCGCGGAACTTCGCAAATTTCTATGCCGCAGATTTGATGTTGCTGATGCCCTCGAAAAACGCGCCAACCCGAAGCGCGCCGGCCCGCCTTTCGCACGCGTAGCGGTTGGCTGCGCCCCGGCCGGCCATGCCGACCGCGGTCGGTCGCTGGCCGCCCGCGCCCTTATATATTTCGAAAAGGCAACGGGAGTGGGCCGGCGCTGCCGTGGCGCCTTGCTGTATGGGGCATTCATTGCCGCCCCACACCAGTCCGGCTGGCCCAGCCCAGCGCGCCCCCGGCGCGGGCCAGCTGGTCCCCCGCCGGGCCGGCCGCCGCCCCTTCGCTCCGAGCGAGCCGCTCGCATGTGCCGTTTTTCGGCATGCGCGCACTGGCATTGAAACACTCAGGGTCAGGCATTGTGTTGCATGGCCGTGATGCACCTGCGTTGTGCGGGCGTTAGATTGATTGGGCCAAGCAGCAAAGCACATGCCCAGCATTCCTTGTTGGTATCGTGCGGGGACAGCTGCAAGTGAACTACAACAGCAAATGGCGGAGCGATGGCATGCTTGAGTGTTCTTTAGGGCGGCTTTTCTCTCTTGGTGACGCATTTTTATGTTCATTTCTTAGATTCGTCCGTTGATTCCATCCTGGTTGGTTCTTTTCGAAATCAAAGTAGTCGAAAGCGATCAATCATACTGCGAGACCAAGAGAGTGGACGTGGAGCGATGACCGGCCACGCATTACCATATCAAAAATTCAGTTATTTTATACAGTTCTCCATCTCGTCCTGGTCCTGCTACAACAAATGAAAGAACCAAAATGTGCGAGTGTTATTGATAGGAGTTGATACTCCTGAATGCAAGATGGATGCGATTGCGATTGAAACTTCTACTTGACTGATTGCGGATGGTGGAACGCGAGCAAAAGTACTTGACAAGCAGATTCCAAGAATCTTCAAGTCCATTGTAGAACAAGAGCGACTGTGACAGAAATGCTGTCCGATATCCCTGGCAGTCCTCCCGCGTGGTGGGGGGCTCTCGAAAATATACCGCCGAGCACGAGCAGCAGCAGCTGTATGGGGTTTCAGGCACAGTCGCACCATGCGGTCAAAGACTCTGGTGCCTCAAACAGAGATCATTCATCCGCAAGAACGTGTTCTAGTCCAAGATCGACTACTAACACTAAGGGTCCGACTCCGCCACATGACCATGCGTCCTCGAGGAACTTGATACCAGCGACCCTTACGAGGTCCGACACTACTGATGGAAAACTAGAACCAGGACCAGCGAGGTCTGCTTCCGCAGCTCTACGAATCGCTGGTCGCGATGGGCGGGACACAACAAAAACGGAATGCACGCATAAGATGCGTTTTTCGACTTCCGGTCCCGCAGGGCCTGCGCCTTTGGCCGGCACAAGCCCTTCCAGCTCTTCTTCCTCTTCAAGAAGGAGGATGCGGTGCAGAACCAGGGCTCCTTTGCCAGCAATGCGCACCGACCGTAGGGAAAACCTCAACCTCGTACTCTCTACTTGCCCCAACTCCTACGTCCTCTGCAACGATGTACCAAAAGAGTCCGGAAATATCGAACGCAACACGGCAAAAAGGCCTGCGACTTGCGCGAGTTACGCTGCGTCGATCAAGCTTCTCGCGAAGCTTATTTTCGCAAGACACGTTTGTGCACTAGATTTAAGACCGCAAGCCTCGGACTTCGATCCCTTTCCAGTCCCAATTTACCCGGACTATACCAGGGCAGCACGGGTGGAGGCTTCTAGCGGCTTTTCCTCCTCGTCAGGTCCGGAGGTGGAGCAAACAAGCCCCAGCAATGCGAACTACGGACTGGAACTTCTGCAGCAAGGGTCTCGGGCCGGCAGCGCCGCTGAGCTTGGCTCAACAGCAACTTCCGCAGCGGCGCAGCGCGCAGCGAGACAAAGCAGATCGTCCTCTGCTATGACGAGAATGACGACCTCAAACCAAATAGCAGCTGCTGCGCGAAACAAAGCCGTCATCCGGAGACGGACGAATGACAGGCTGCCACCGTACAGCTACAAGGACATTCCGAAAAAGCCCGATGTCGCGCTGCCTGCCCTCTCGGCCGCGGACCCAATGGAGGTGGCTTTTAATGTGACGCGGAACGACCTACCGCTGGACGGCGCGGTGCGAAAAGTCAACGAGCCGTACCTCGTCGAACACAACTTGACTACCCGGGTAGTGCAGCTTGACGGTAGCAACACAACATACAAAACGGTCACGAACACGCACCGGCTGAACCAGTCGCTTTACTGGTACTATGGCTGGAGACGATTCGTGCGTGAAATGCTAGAGCGTCAAGATTCGGCAGCAATGTACGTAGTCCTTCCATAGCTGCAGCAGTTTCAGCTCTGAAATAGCAATAGAAAATTTTTTGTACTTAGGTATCACACGGAGGAAGAGGACGAAAGCAGCAAAGAGGAGAAATCCACCACGCCGCCAGACAGCTCGGCAATAGAAGACGAAGGGGAAGAGAAAAAATCTGACACCGCGGAAGGGACCAGGCCGAGCAGTGGGCCCGGAGTTCTAGCGGAGTCCGGGGGAAGGATACCCACTGACGTTGTGCAGACGGAGCCAAAGGACTTCCCGGAGGGCAGTCAAATCGGAAACTTGCGGTTCTCCGCCGACGTGGGGATGTACAAAGTACGTACATATTTTGTCTGCGTGGTGCTCTGCGATCTAATGTTGTTTAGTATTCAACAGCGGCACCACCTCGAACTTCTTCAAAAAGTCAAAATCACTCCTCATACACGACAAAATCGCAGACCACGGTGCGCGGCGACACAGAAGGGAGAGGGATTTTGACGATCTCGAGCAGTCGGCTAGGCGGAATTCTGATTAACCGCGGGCCGAGGACGTCTATCGAAGCGGACTCGATCGTGCACGGTGGCGTGACCACCAGCGGCGAGCTACACTGCAGCTATAGCGAGCTACGGTCCGGGCTGAACGCGGCTGCGTACGTGTATCTGGACCACTGCACCATCTCCGGGCTTTTGTACTGCGACTCAGCGAACACGGTCATTGTCACGAGCGGCAGCGGAAACGTCTTCAACGCACACAAAAACTGTAAGATCCAGACGTCGGAGGAAGTCAAGGCGGTAAAGATGAGTATGCTGCCGAGTGTTTGCACGACTTGTTGTATACAGCTTGTCATGTATAGTTGCGTCAAGACTGAGTCTGCGATGGACAGACTAGCACAGCGGCTCACGAATCATCCACGAAAAGTGCTCACGTATCTATACGAAAACATCAAAACAGGGCACCTTCGGAATGTATCCCATGTGGATGTTTACGGTTGGTTCCGTGGTGCTCTTTGTGGTTCTCTTCGGCCTGGCCTCTCAGGCCGTGGATGAAGCGCACAAGGAACGGGAGCAGCTGATGCGCGCAGCGGCGGGCATCGAGAAGGAGGAGAATAAGTGAGCAGAGGCAGCAGGAGACTCTGGAGTTTTCTAGATGCTCTCAGACATCTTGGGCTTCGAAAAGGGCGTCGACGAAATACCACGTTCACGAATAAGACAGAAGAAGATATTGACAACGACCGAAGTTTTGTAAAATTTTCAAAGTCAGTAACGGAAATTATACAGTATTCACGACTCAAATCAAGGCATGACCAAAAAGATGGCTGCGATAAGCCAGGCGTTTATGAATATTTGGCTGAATATGGTTTCGATTCATAGAATCAATATCAATCACAATTCCCATACTCGATCGAAGCATGTTCATGAACGAAGTTGCTTCGTGTCACGTTTTTTTAACCACTGTACAAATTTCAGAATAAACCACATGATACGAATGCCCTGTATAATACTCAAGAAAGAGCGTGTGCATGACCATAAGCAGGGTGGCGGCCGGAACGACAAAATGAGTTGTACTTTTGATAGGTTTCCAAAATGAAGAAGTTGAAGAGAGAGCCGTCTATACGAGAAACGGTCTTAGTCTTTCGTCAGACAAACTTGGCTGCTGAGCTGCCCCTTGCTTCAGCATTGTGCGATGTTCGCTACGGTCGTTTGCTGCTCACGTAAGTAACATCAAATCACTTTTACACCTTTACGTTGGTGTGCTTTCAGCTTTTTTTTTTTCGTACATTGATCACGATCTCCCATGTGGCGCTCGCTTGTGAAACGATGTGACGATCTTGTACAGTCACCGTGCGAACCTTGACGCGCCAAGTAGCAGCTTGTGGGTTTAGCGCGCATGATCTTTCCACACCCTGTTCCAACATAATCCAAATATTCTTTTACTGCTTTAAGTCGCCATATGGCAAAATGGTCTTCTACGAGACGTGCCTCTTCTTTCACAGCAAGTCGCACTCTGGGGATCAACAGGCGTTGCTGCGAAAGTTCGGGCAGCTCGTCGCAGAGAACCACGGAAAGCTACTCCGAGTTAAGGACCTCGGGTGGCGCTCGACGGCCTACCCAGTGAGCAAACCCCGGGTTGGGATTTTTTACCACGGCCGGTGGTTTTCGGTGTTATATGGCACGAATCCGAAGTGTATACCACAGCTGCAGGAGTTTTGGAACCACAATTCCATATTGCTGCGACACCACACTGAAAAAATCGATTTCTTCAAGGGGTCCTTTTACAAACCGAGGTCAACTTACTACCCAACCTACGGGAACGCCAACAAGGGCACTTTCGCAGCGGGAGATAGCACGACCGCTAGTAGTTCTGGTGGAGCGTCACCCGCACAGACAGCGTTTTCAGAAGACAACTTCATGAACGTGTAAAGCAAGTTTTGGGTTGCTATTCTAATAGTCCGAGCCTGCAACTCCACCTCGCAAGCACGTAGGAAGTGTGCTGCAGCTCATTTCTTTTTTTTCAGAAAAGAAGCAAACGGCTACATGCAGTTTGTTCGATGTCAAAAAACGGCTCATCGTTTTTTAGGTGTTGTTTCCGTAGTTCACTTCGGCGTCGGGAAAGAAGAGATCACAGTTTCCGAACCACTGGATCCGTTTTTCAATTTGTGTTTTCTTTCTTGTCGTCTGCTCTATTATTGCGACAGCGGCAAGTTGGTCAGTGACAAAGCCGACAGTTGTAGTTCTGGTGACGCATGTCTATGACAGATCCAATTTGCAGGGCCAATAAAGGGGCCGCGAACACATTCATAAGATTTTGGACCTGCTGCGACATCAAGAGTTGGAATTTTGAATGACTCGAACTGTTCTGCAGTTTCGTGAGCCCTTGGATTTATTTGATTGCCTAGCCCTAGTCGAAAGCGAAACCGAAACTTTTATCGAAGTTCCAAAGTGATTTACAACTTGAGTATAAAGAAATTTTTGATTGCTAGCACCGTCGGGAGGAAGTGGCGCTGCATTGGCATCCCTTATGATGCTTGAAGATGCAGAGGACGACGCCGTATCTGTCGCATCTTTTGCCACGGGGCGGTCGGAGCACGATAGTGACGATGAAGGAGGATTCCCGGTGTTCGTAAACCAGGGGAGGGAGTCGTGGCACAGCGCTCCTTGTAGTGCAAAAGAACAAGCTGGTGCGCAACTACCTCCAGCTGCAATTGATACGAGAAGCCAACATGCCTCGACACAGTTGCCTCGGGTGGAACTGCAAAATTACGAAAGTGATGCAGCGCCAGGTTCTCACCAACACAATAACGCAAGAGTTGCCGCTTCTCTAGCAGAGGAGCCTGCAGAAGATTTGCGTAGTCTTCGGGGAAGCCGAGAGACACACAAGAGCTCCGACGAGAACAAGGATGCAAATAGAGAAGAGCACCAAACCAAGAGCCCCCCATCGTCGGAAACTTCGCCGATATTAAACAAACGAAAGGACGACGAGCATGGTCGCACCAGGAATACAACATCCGCGTCTCGTGTGTACTTTGGTGAAAGTAACTCTGATTGCATTCTTGACGACAAACCGAACGCCACTAGCACTGCCTGTACGGCGGAAAAAGAATACGCCAGGACGAGCGGACATGAAACGCAAGATGAGAACGAAGCAGAGCGGCCTGCAACTTTCACAGAAGGGAAGGACAAACAAGATTTTCGTGTCGAGCGGGAAGAAGACGATGATGACGCATCGTGGACCGAAGTGGTCAATTTCAAAAAGAACAAGAAAAAGCGAACCGCCGTCGGAGAAAACGTAGTAGAGCAACCTCAACAGCAAAACGAGGGAAACAAGGAAGAGGAGGACAAAATAGACGCGAGGTTTTTGAATTGGCGAAAAGAGCGGGAGGAAATCTGCAGCAACGAGGCGAAAAATCTGCACGTGAAAGACAAGGCAGCACTTCTATCAAAGGCGAAGAAGCGCGACAACTGGATTGTTGAGGACGATGCTGACAGCGCCCGAAGCACAGGTGGTCCGCATTTCGCCACAAATTTCGCTAGTCTCGCAAGCTCACATCTTCACCATGACTGGGCGGACGAGGAGCTCGGGGCAGATGATGACGCTTTGATCCACCCTGACGATCTGAAAAAAATGCAGGAAGAACAAGGCGCGGAAAGCCAAAAGGATGGTGACCGAGATGAGCATGCTGACTACAACAAGACGGGCACAACCGCAGGAGATGAAAGTTCCTCCTGGCGCGCATCGACATCATCTGCGGCCACCACAAGCCGGGCCGAGCGAGAGCGCGAGCGCAAGCGGCGGAACAAGGAGAAAAAGTGGGCCAAGTGGTACGGCTACGAGGAAGCGGATGACAGCTACTATCACGATAGTTACAGCAGCAAAAAGAACAAATCCTCCAGTGCTGCTGGTACTAGCACCTCTCTGTCCACCTCTTGGGACAAATACCAGAAAAAATCCTCCAAGTACAGCCGGAATAAATGGGACGACGACCATGCGCGAGACGAAGACAACTTTCACAATCGCGACGGCCGCGAGGGTCGGAACAAGTACAAAGATTCGACGTCCGGCTACTACAAAAAAGACAAGTACGACTGGAGCAGCAAAGACGACTACGATAGGGACAACCATCGTAAGAACAGCAAAGAAAGTAGGAAAGAAAGCAAGCGGCGAGACGCAGAGGAATTCGATGCGAGCGCCCGCCCGCGCCGGGTGCCTTTCGGTACAACTTCTTCTAAGCGAGGCGAGCAAGAAGACCGTGACTCCGACACGCATTTTTCAGCATCTTCCAAAACAAGAACGGCGAACACGGAGCATGGCTGGCTGTTTGACTTTTCCATCACGGACGCGATCAAAGCGAGGAATGCGCGAGCTAGAAAGGAACGCCAAATGGAAATTGATGACAAGAACGAGGACAACAAGGAACACGGCGATGATTGTGGCGATGATGAAATAGCAGCATCCACCTCTTGCAATAAGGATCGCTTCAGCCAGGACGAGGACTTAGATCAACTCTCCCCTGACGTAAAAACCACCGCAATGAACTCGTCCCTGGCTTCTACCGGAACGCCGCCTTCCTCCAGCCACCCGACCCCGCAGCTCGGAGACGAAGATTGCGGTCCGTCTTGTGACACCGACGAAAAAGGAAAGAAACAGAAGGAAAGCAATTGCTCGCACGTCGACGCAAAGGTCTTGTTCGGCACAAGCAAGGAGATAAACAGGGCGACCGAGCATGCAGATACTTCTTCGTTAGCAAAAAACTACGATCATGTTTCCACTAGTACGAGAAACCCAACGCGTCAGACACACGACCTTGAGGCTGCGGCTTACCTTTCGCACTTGCAGCAGCTGCACGCTGCGTCTGCTGGCAACATGCCTCCTGTTGTAGCAGGGACGACCGCTCAGACCTATTGGCCAAGTGCGGCAAGTGGCATCGCACAGCAGCACGTGGGTGCAGCGACCACGTATGGTGGGGATAATATGATGTCGCACCTGGTACACGACCCGCATCAGCATTCACATGCCTACAACCAAGCGGGACACCAGCATCTACTTTCCGAGCATCAAGGATTTGTCGACGGGGGCGGTGGTCACCTGCACCATAATCAGCAAGCTGCCACGCACGCTGCAAATCAACACCACAGTAACTTCGACGAGCTGCAACAGCAGCACATAGTGCACGGCTTTGGCACCTCTTCCGGTCAACACGGTGCTCGACTGCCTGTCTTGCCCGCCGGACCCAATCCGCTCGTCGAAGAAAACGTATGAACGATCATGATCTACTGCGAGCCGGCACCCATATTGTCTGGAAATGCATCATTATCTCGCTTTGTCACAGTTATATGTGCATCATGATTTGTTTTCTCAACTCGCGTGGTACTGGTCCAGTACGAGGAGTTCTTAGAGGCATCTTTTATCTCGGTACGTTTCCGAATCACGCACCCAGCCCAAGAATCACGCACCTGAATCACGCACCCACGCACCTCAGAACCAGCGCACCCAGTTCGGTGATGTTTTATCCATTGAAATAGTTAGGAACACACTACGCAATGAAGCACGCACCCGCCGCACCAAACACACGCACGCACCTGCCGCACCCACTAGGCTGACGCTGAAAGCGGACTTGGCCAAGAGGCGAAAGAGATTGGAAAAAGAGAAGCGGACTTGGCCAAGAGGCAAAAGACATCGGAAAAAGAGAACCGGACTTGGCCAAGAGGAAAGGCATTTGAAAAAGAAAACCGGACTTGGCCAAGAGGAAAGGCATTTGAAAAAGAGGCCCGGACTTGGCCAAGAGGAAAGGCATTTGAAAAAGAAAAGAAAAAGAAAACCGGACGTGGCCAAGAGGAAAGGCATTTGAAAAAGAAAAGAAAAAGAAGACCGGACCTGGCCAAGAAGAAAAGGCATTTGAAAAAGAAAACCGGACGTGGCCAAGAGGAAAGGCATTTGAAAAAGAAAAGAAAAAGAAGACCGGACCTGGCCAAGGACGTTCTTGATGCATCGAATTAATTCCACAGCGAGGAGCACGACAGTCCCGTGCGTTCTATTTTTTTCCTAGTCTTGCGCGCTTTATTTATTATCTTGATCAATGAATAAGAACTTGGATCTGCACTGCTGTTTTTTTTTTCAATTGCGCCCCAACTTGGGGTGCAACGTACGACGACGCAGTAGAAGTAAGTGCTTTGCTTTTTCACTTTGTGAAGCGACTGGCGCGTCCATGCATTCGTTCCGCTTTTAAAAATATGAAAATGGAGTCTATTACTATTGCGCGTTTTTTTAAAGTTTTACGCTTGTGATTTTATGTTGAGTAGTCGATCAGGTCTATTTGTAAGTGTCGCGCATGAAGACGCCAGATTTGCATGCGGTTGGATCCTATGTATCTACTGGCTATCCATGCTGAGGACGAGCGAACGACTAGGCGCTTGGTCCTCCGCACAGCCAGGAGCCCGAGCTGGTGTGCAGGCGACAGAGCCAAGGGCGCCAGGAAATCTACTGCGTGCGGACGAAGATTGATCCGTACTGTCAGGAGTAAGCCGCGCGCCCGCAGAGAGCGCGCCTGTGGTGGCACCCAGTAGGTACTAGGAAACAAAAAAGCGGCCCATGGATCATCCACAAACTGGGGCAGCTGCCGCTCCTCGGCGTGGTACTGGTCCAGTACGAGGAGTTCTTAGAGGCATCTTTTATCAACACACAGGTAATTGCGGAATTCAGCGACTGGCGAGTAGTGCGAATACCCGGCTCCACGAGGCCGGCTTTCATCTACCGTGATACGGGGGAGATCACAGAACAAGTGCCACCAGAACTTGCGAACCTCGATGTTGATTTGGAGGTTTCTTTGATCATTTTGTTCGAGCGGCACATGCTTTGTTCGGGAAAATGCAAGCCGTTGCGTAGAAACTTGACCCAAACTCGGCAATACCGTCGTGCTTCCGCAGACGCGCAACGCAGAAAAGTTCTTTAGTCGAGAACTTTCTCCGCGCTTGTGTCGAGCATGCCGGGCGGGAAAGCTTTTACGTGGGGAAACGCGAAGCGTACAAACTTGACCCAAACTCGGCAATGGGGTCGTGCTTCCGCAGACGGGCAACGCAGAAAAGTTCTTTAAGCAAGAACTTTTCTCGCGCTTGTGTCGAGCATGCCGGGCGGGAAAGCTTTTACGTGTGGAAACGCGAAGCGTACAAACTTGACCCAAACTCGGCAATGGGGTCGTGCTTCCGCAGACGGGCAACGAAGAAAAGTTCTTTAAGCGAGAACTTTTCTCGCGCTTGTGTCGAGCATGCCGGGCGGGAAAGCTTTTACGTGGGGAAACGCGAAGCGTACAAACTTGACCCAAACTCGGCAATGGGGTCGTGCTTCCGCAGACGGGCAACGAAGAAAAGTTCTTTAAGCGAGAACTTTTCTCGCGCTTGTGTCGAGCATGCCGGGCGGGAAAGCTTTTACGTGGGGAAACGCGAAGCGTACAAACTTGACCCAAACTCGGCAATGGGGTCGTGCTTCCGCAGACGGGCAACGAAGAAAAGTTCTTTAAGCGAGAACTTTTCTCGCGCTTGTGTCGAGCATGCCGGGCGGGAAAGCTTTTACGTGGGGAAACGCGAAGCGTACAAACTTGACCCAAACTCGGCAATGGGGTCGTGCTTCCGCAGACGGGCAACGAAGAAAAGTTCTTTAAGCGAGAACTTTTCTCGCGCTTGTGTCGAGCATGCCGGGCGGGAAAGCTTTTACGTGGGGAAACGCGAAGCGTACAAACTTGACCCAAACTCGGCAATGGGGTCGTGCTTCCGCAGACGGGCAACGAAGAAAAGTTCTTTAAGCGAGAACTTTTCTCGCGCTTGTGTCGAGCATGCCGGGCGGGAAAGCTTTTACGTGGGGAAACGCGAAGCGTACAAACTTGACCCAAACTCGGCAATGGGGTCGTGCTTCCGCAGACGGGCAACGAAGAAAAGTTCTTTAAGCGAGAACTTTTCTCGCGCTTGTGTCGAGCATGCCGGGCGGGAAAGCTTTTACGTGGGGAAACGCGAAGCGTACAAACTTGACCCAAACTCGGCAATGGGGTCGTGCTTCCGCAGACGGGCAACGAAGAAAAGTTCTTTAAGCGAGAACTTTTCTCGCGCTTGTGTCGAGCATGCCGGGCGGGAAAGCTTTTACGTGGGGAAACGCGAAGCGTACAAACTTGACCCAAACTCGGCAATGGGGTCGTGCTTCCGCAGACGGGCAACGAAGAAAAGTTCTTTAAGCGAGAACTTTTCTCGCGCTTGTGTCGAGCATGCCGGGCGGGAAAGCTTTTACGTGGGGAAACGCGAAGCGTACAAACTTGACCCAAACTCGGCAATGGGGTCGTGCTTCCGCAGACGGGCAACGAAGAAAAGTTCTTTAAGCGAGAACTTTTCTCGCGCTTGTGTCGAGCATGCCGGGCGGGAAAGCTTTTACGTGGGGAAACGCGAAGCGTACAAACTTGACCCAAACTCGGCAATAGCGTCGTGCTTCCGCAGACGGGCAACGAAGAAAAGTTCTCTAAGCGAGAACTGTTTTCGCGTCTGTGTCTAGCATGCCGTGCGGGAAAGCTTTTACGTGGGGAAATGCGAAGCGTACAAACTTGACCCAAACTCGGCAATAGCATCGTGCTTTCGCAGACGGGCAACGAAGAAAAGTTCTTTAAGCGAGAACTTTTCTCGCGCTTGTGTCGAGCATGCCGGGCGGGAAAGCTTTTACTTGAAGAAATTCAAAGCGTGCAAACTTGGCCCCCAATTGGCAATACCTTCGTGGTTCCGCGGACGCGGAACGCAGAAGCAAGAGTTCTGTAGCCGAGAATCTTTTTCGCGCTTTTGCCAAGTACGCCACACGGAAACGCTTTTACAACTTGGGAGAATGCGAATCGCACAGACCATCTCTGACACTTACACGCAGGTTTTACAGCGGCTCGTGCCATCCTACGCGCACCAGGGCAGCGGATCTGCGTCCGCGGCCGAGAGCTGTAATCGCCAGCTGATGCTGCAGAACCTGTACCCGACCGGTGTGCAGCTGCGAGTTCTTGAGAGTCTGTGTTCGGCCTTGAACCTGCCGAACGAGACTGAAGACGCGATACGCAGCCAGGCGAGCCGAGCGATGGTATACAACCGAATCGCGTACCTGAAAAATGTGTTCTTCGACCGTTTTCAGTGCTATCCCCAGTTCCCCCTCGCAACTGCTCAACTTCCAGCCGCGGCAGCTCCTTTCGCCAACTACGCTGCGGCAGCCGCGGCCGCAGCCTTGACGCAATCAGGTGGGGTTCCCGGTGTTGGAGCTTGCTTTGGCGGACCGGCTTCGGCGGCCGCGGCGCAGCTACAGCCACACCAGTTTGCGGCCACAGCAAACGCACTCTCCTTAGTGAACAGCACGCTCGCGGCATCCGCTGGGCTTCATGAGCTTGGTGCGGGAGTGGCTGCTGGTATCAAATGGAACGTTTATCATGTGGTTTTTCTTTTCGCTTTCATATTTTTTTATTTTCGACCCCGCAGTTGGGTACATCATCACCTAGGTTCAGACTAGCTCGCTGCAAACGAGAACAAGGCGTCAGAAGACCCTCGCACGTCTCGTTTTATGAAGCATGAAAAAGAAAATGATCATGATGAAATCTAAGCAAATTACAGGTAAGCACCTCCACCAGCAAGGACTGCATGCGCAAGTGCGCTACTGAGAGCGGTACTGAGACGCAAGTTTCGCGGGGCAGAACTACCGGCCGCCGTGGATAGCTGTGCGTTTCTTGACTGTTTGGCTTTACTTACCGCGATTCTTCATGGCGCTAAACCTCATGAGAATTTAGTCATTTAGAACAGAACAAGAACATGTCCGTTCAATACGTTTTTTCCACTTGCCCTCGTTCATTTTTTCAGAAGGATATGGGTAGGAATACTTCCGAAGTCCGTGACATGTGTTTCTGGGAAAGTGCAAAATATGGGTATGCGTATTGCTTTTGTTTCTTCATCTCACCAAGCTGAGGAAAACTTGTCGGACAGAAAAAGCACGACATACTAGAGTCTGTTGAGAATACAGCTTGGATTTTTTACAGCGGTTTGTGTAGAAGATATTGTGATTTGTTATACTCTTTCTTCCATTTGAATTTCTTTTTCTTCCCGACAAAAGCACCCCGATTCAACATCAGTTGATGATTGATTTTTTTCCGGCACTGAAAACACAAAAAATACGAATTCACAGATGTGTAAAAAAACGATGGAGCAGATGAAGTAGAAGATTTGGCTGATGAACCAAATCACCAATGTTGTTGTTTCTTGCGCTTCGTTCTTCGCACTTGCGACAGCATGGAGACATCGCAAAAAAGAAACTAACATCACACTGTCACAAACTACAGCAGGGCCACGTCGTTTCTAAGTGAGCGAAGCTGGTCGTGGTCCGCCAAACCAGGCTACCTTCCGAGTCGCGATGCGCTGTCACAGGTTGCAGGCCGGCCTGAGGAAAAGATGTCATGGCGTCAAGACGTTCTCCGTTGAGCTTTCGGCCTCTTGCTTGTTTTCTAAACGCCTGCTATCGCGAAGGTTTTTCGCAGCGCTGCTGCAAGTACTACTGTGCTTTCCCAGCAGTCGTTTCGTCACGGCGGTGCTGCGCTTCCCAGACGACGACTTCGACTCGCGCTGGCCATTGCACTATCAAATGTAAAAATGTCTAGGTCTGGTTCTGGAAGAATCCGAAATTTGTTATGCTGTTTTTGCATGACACAGAATGTCTGTCATGGAAGCCCTAGCATCACAGATTTTTAGAGGCCTTCCTGATGCCTATTCCGCATGACAAATGCCCTCCACGCGTAGCATAAACCGGACTCCTCTTGCTGGTCATGCAATACAGAATTTTTTAGAGTCCAAAGTTAGCATCACAAGTTCCAACCTTCCAGACCCAGACATTTTTGCAACCCATATGCACTACACAGACTGCACAGGTCGGGGGACCGCCGAGCCTGGAACTGCCGGAGACTCTTCTGCAGCTGACACAAGCCTTTTTCCGCACGCCGATTTATCAGCACACGAGGACGACCGATGTTTCCGGCAGTTGCAAGTCCACACGGGCGAGGACTTGGTATGCGGTCAGGTGATACCCGAGTTTTCGTTCGTGCCCCACACGCTGGATCAGGTAGCTCTGTCCACCTGCACTGAATTTGTCTCACTTTACAACGAAACTTTTGCCGCGGCTGAGGAGCAGAGGCAGACGGCAATAAAAGGAGGCGATAGCATTAGCAGCGACGGGAAAAGTGCTGATTCCAAAAGTCTTATCCGAGAAACGCACGACGCTTACCTGGCGAAATGGCAGCAGTTTGTGGAGTTGGTTCAGCGGCGAACCACGGAAGTTCTCTCGTACCTGCAGTCTGGTGCGGCTGAGGACCCGCAAAAGTATCAGGAGCAGCTGGACGTGCCCGCCTACGCAAACACAACTCTGGACGTCTTGCAGGCACATCTTTCCAAGCTCACAGATGAAGTCGAGGCGGTGTGGGAGAGCGGAGTGCCGAAGCTGCTGCGAACCCCCATGTCTGGACAGGGAGAAATCGTGGAGGACGCTGCTTCATCATCTGTAACAACCGCAAACGCTATGGAAAGCCTTTCTGACCTACTGCACGCCACTGCGCACGTGATCTACACCAGGGTCTGCCTGCTCATCGAGAACTGGTCCATGACTGTGTTAACAAACTTTCACATTTGGCGCCTGGAGGGCGATTCGGCCGCAACGCACATACTGGCAAGCCTGCGAGGCAACACGAAGATACCCCAGCCGAATTACATTTTTCACGACATCGGCCCGAAAAGGTGGAACGTCTTGCGCTATCTGATCGAAAATAAACTACCAAGAAAGGGCCTACTCGCTAGCAGTACCGACGGGAAAGCAACAATAATAAATGGCGACAATCAACCATACAAAATCCGCATGCTGGAGGTCGGCGTGGACCAAGCCAATACGACCGAGCGCCTGCTTCAAACCTACTCGAACCTTTTCCATGTCGGCGTAGATCCTTGGCAAAATAAACCAGTGGAGACGGGTGTTCGTGATGTTGCGGTCAATGGAGATCTGACGTTCGAACGGGTTCAGTCCAAGCTGCGGCGGTTCGGCGACCGGTCGGTACTACTACGCATGACCAGCTACGAGGCGTCGCTTCTGTACGAACCTGCTTCCTCTGCCGCTGCGGTCGGAGCAGCTGGCGAATTGCAGCAGGACAGAGCTGCAGCTTCGTCTGCGAACTCAATTAGCGAAAGCGATGGCGAGAAAAAATTCGACCTGATTTTTCTCGACGCGCTGCATGACCACGCAAGCGTAGTGCAAGATGTCCTGCAGTGGATTTGGAAGGTCGATTTTGCGAACGGTGCGATTCTCTGCGGACATGACTACCAATGGCAATACCCAGGACTTCCCATGTATGGTATTGAAAATCTTGAGTCAAGGCAGAGCATGTTTCTCAGAAATATTTTATGTAGGTAGTCGTGCTTCAAGAGCAGGAGACAAAGAGGTGGAACGTGTGTCTTCTACACGATGCCAAAAGGCAATGTGCAGGCAGTGCTGGTTGCAAGTGTAGCGCATGACTGACGTCTTGATTCAAGATTTTGCTATTATACGCTGGCTGTAGTCACGGTAGCGCAACGTGTAGGGAAGCAGGTTCACCTGAGCAGTGATGGTATGTGGTGGATGGAGTTCCTGTAGCGAACAAGACGAAGGAGCGGAAGCAAACATATTGACATACAGGCTCACGAAAGAACACCGCAATATTGCCACCAAGATAAGCCTGCCGTTTTTTTTTCAAGCTACAGTAGCGCACACGTGTTCATGCGATTTGAGAAGTCGAACTCGAAGTTCCTCTTTTTTACTTTCCTGGTGGTCGTTTATTCTGGATGCTGCATCTAGTGATCGTCATCGTGGTACAAGAATTTCATTCACGGCGAGTAGCAAGGATCTATGTTCTCTGGTGTTCACCTCGAAGAAGAAAATGAAATGCAATGTTTAAAGTCCCTATCATATGTAAAAAATTTCCCAGAGTACTATATCGCCATGACCACTATCACACGATACGAGACCTCCGCCGTGGTATTGCCTCGTTGACTAGTGCCGACGAGGATCATGGGCCGAAACGACAACTCCTGCGTTGCACGACCCTTTTGGCCCAGCTAGACACTGCAAGCGAAAAGGCTGCATCCCCGAGCCGGTGCTTACACGTCGTCCGCAAATGGGCGCAAGAGGTTCTGGCGCACCTCCAACATCGAACAGCTGAAGAAACTTTTTCTGCACAAGATTGTGTCCTGTCGCTATTTTTCCTGTCACAGAGGTTTGAAATACTTGTCCCTCAAGGTCTATGTGCCGGCACTTATCCTCCTGCATCTGGTACCAAGGTGAGGCCGCGTGGAAGCCTACTTCAGCAATCATCTGTTTTGCTGCATTTTCGGACAACGAACAGTAAAAGCACGAGATTCAACATATCTAGGCCTGCCAGCACAAGCGTACCCGGTCCGAGCTGGCCGATAGGATATCGGAACTCCAATGCACTAGCAGCCGACATCAAGAGCAACTTCGTTTTGGAGCTACCGCCAACGGTCTGGAACGTCGTATCACAGACACCTTTGCGATCCCACTTGGAGGCTCAGGAGCTCAACCTCAGGCAACTGGCACTTCTATGCTATTCGTGGGCTCGGCTGAGATACGCGCCTGACTCTACGGTGTGGAAACTTTGGACTGCTTCCACCGAAAATGCATTTCTCAAACCAGACTGCTTTGAAAGTGAGGATGAGAAAACACTATGTAGACAGCATGCGCGCTGCCCTACTACTCAAAGGAAGATCACTGGACCCCATGGCGGCATATGTGGTACCAGAACTTCTCATGTGCTTGTCAAGATGATGCTCGGGCTCGGTGGCCTGCTGCAAATGGAAGCTATCGCAGTACGAAGAGCAACGAAATTTTTCAGCCCCAGAAGCGCTCGCAGCCTCTGTGGACAGGCGCTTCAGGCGTTCGGCAGCACTGGCGTGGGACGTCCGACTTGTGCCACGACCCCGGTTGACGTTGCGTACGTTATCACTGCGAGTTTTCTGCGCGACAGCCTGTTTCCTCACATACAAGCACTATTGCCGAGCTTGTCGCGCACTGAACTAGCGATGATCGTTTATAATGTGAAAGCGTTTCTGCCCGAAAGTTTTTGGGAGGCGCTTTCCGAAAATATCGATTTGCCGTTGGACGACTTCCTTGATTCGAAGGAAGCGGACGGGAAGCACTCCAGTCTATTTCCGCCAACTTTCTTCGACGATCTGGTTTATGCGACACTGAACGAGGTGGAGCGACCAGAAGGCGACACAGATGAAAAAGCGCACAGCTCCGCCGGCGTCTTTGTTTCTGTGGCGAAATTGGCCGTACAGGGAACAACCAGAATAGGAAGCGCCGCTCTTTTGCAATTAGTCCGGAGTGTGAGCAGTAGAATTTCTGCCGGGGAGTTTCGAGATCTTACACTCGACGCTCGTACTGGTCGGAAGGCACTGAAAGGCAGATCTTGTCCTCAAGTTATATCTCATTGCGCGCAGGGCGCCGCAGACATATATTTGTATTGCTTGGACCAAAAGATAAAGGACTCTGAAAGTACAACTAGCCTGGAGGCCCACAACATAATTTTTTACGATCGAGCGCGGAAGTTGTAGACAGCCCGAACAAAAACAATCCTTCACTTCGCCGACTACTTGAACTGGTGCTGTTCTATCACTTCGAGCACGCGGATACGTCAAAGAGTACTTGCATTGTACCTGTCTCGACTGCATGATCAACCAAACCACAAGTCTCGCTCTTACGAGTCAGTCACGATTGTTGATGTTTTTTCTGGAGATCTTGCAGCTACCACTGCTGCGGTTTTTGTGTCGCATTTTCGTATTTCTGTCCGAATGTTGTCAATTTCAATTTGCTTCTCTAATTCTAATTGTGACCTTTTCAGGCCGATCATGTAAAATTAGAAATGACGAAGACGAGGATAAGAAAAACCTCCGAAAGACAGGAGACTAACTACGGTAAGGGTTTCAACGAAAATGCGTAATACCCCCCACTTAGACTAGATGTAGTTGTTTCAGGTGGTTTTGGAAATTTGTTGACGCTAGCATCAACAGCTTTTACGTCAGCTGGGCCCTGCTAGATTTCGAGCTTGCTTCTGTCGACTTCCAAGAAGAAAGCGCATTCTTTCACGACCAGAAAGTGCGTGAACCCCAACAAAGATGATCATTCAGGATGGGGTGGTCCCCTGGGTCGAGAAGTACCGACCGGACAACTTGCACAACATTCACGGTCACGAGGAGATTCTGAGCACGTTGCAGCGGTTCATGCGCGCCAACCAGCTGCCGAACCTCTTGCTGCACGGCCCGGCGGGCACGGGCAAAACCACCACGGCAGTCGCGATTTGCAAGCAAATTTTCGGGAACAAGGAGTACAAAATGAGCACGCTAGAGTTAAACGCGTCGGACGACCGCGGCATCGGCGTGATAAGGAACGAAGTGAAAAACTTTGCGCAGAGCACCAGCTTTGGCTCCTTCACCTTCGAGAAAGTAGGGAAGGAGCAAGCGAAACAGCAGCAGGAAACTTTGAACGACGGGGACGTCGTGATGGCGGACGCAGCAGGTGACAACTCAGGTGGTTTGGATATTTACGCAAAAATCCGATCGCAGTACAAGGTGGTGATTCTCGACGAGGCGGACTCGATGACCAACGTCGCACAATTCGCCTTGCGCAGAATGATCGAGCAATATTCCTCAAACGTGCGATTTATGATCATCTGCAACTTTGCCCACAAAATCATTCCCGCGCTGGTGTCTCGATGTACGGCGTTCAGGTAAGGAAACAGAGCGTGTTTTCGACGTTTTTTTCTTGATGGTCTGGGGGAAAAAAAAGAATGAAAAGTTTGCAGCGCTGAGCAGCCAACATAAGTAGGACTCGAAACAAGCAGACCGAACTACATCTAGGATCACCGTTCCTCTCTAAAAAAAGGTTTTCCGTTCTCCCGGAGGAGCATACGGCGGCCTGCGTGCACAAGGTCGCACAGCACGAGAATCTTGATGTGGATGTTCGGGCGGTCTCTGCGCTTCAGAAGTGCAGCAACGGCGACTTGCGGAAAGTGCTGAATATGTTGCAGTCGCTGGCGATTTTAGAGAAGGCGAAGAAGAAAAAGCTTCCCAGCACCTCTGCGAGCAACGAAAATGCACAAGCGCACAAAACACGCATCTCCGAAGCCGAAATCTATCGATCGCTCGGCCTCTGCACGCCCCAGGAGCTGGATCTGGTCGTCAAAGAGCTGCTGACAAACTCCGACCCGGAAAAGTTGGTACAACTGATCTTGTCCCAAAGAGGGAACCTCCAATCCATGCTCCCGGGGCTGCACGCGCGCCTGATCAAGCTGCCCTTCAAAGCGCCTGCGACTCGCCTGAAAGTGGTGGAAGCACTCAGCAGCGTGGAATGGCGATTTACACAGGGGGCCTTCAAACCCGAGTATGAAGCGGCCTACTTGGTCAACGAAATTATGGTGCTACGAGCCGGCTGGCAGTATTGAGAGAACAGGACTGCTGTGGTGCTTTTCAATATCCGAACGGTCCTGGCCGAGGCGTGAAGAACCGCTAAGACTAGAATGAAAGTAAACGACACCGTTCAACGCGTAAGTAAACGCACTCTACGAAAAACGACTCCTAGACTAAGTAATGTACATCATTACAATGATTGCCGTGGCCGTCACCACATTGCTGGTTCTGCCGGCCGCGACTCCGAGCCTCTACATGGCGTTCTGCTAAAGATAGTTGACCAAATTGATAAGTAATTGCAATGCTTTGTCGAGCGCAAATTCGGTTCTCGCTTTGTTTCTGATGCTCCTCTTTTCACACTATACATAGCCAGAACTTCGGATTCGGTCTTCATCGATAGCGAGCGCAAACAGGTCGACCACAACTGCCGAGCGAGTTTTGTGCTACTAGCTTCGTTTCTCGAACTTGATAAACTATTGGCTGTCTGTCCCCGAGTGCTGCATCGATTTGAGTGGCCCAATGCCAGAGTGAAATTTCCGTCGTTAGATACATAATGGCTCTCCTACATATTCGGCTAACCAATTTTTTCATCCGCTACTTTTTGATCCAGGTCCCCCCAAGTATTCCGAAGCTGTGCACTTTGTAAGGCGTATAAAACTGTACAGATTTTCGGCGCCCCTCACCGAAAGCTACCATACCTTTTTGAATTTGAAGAACATTGTTGGTTGTATCAGCTTCTTTTCGAACGACCATACGCACTATTAGTTGGTAGGAAAAAAAACAAAAGTCGTAGACCCCACCGATCCTTCCTTCTTGAAACACAGTGGTCAGTAGGGTTCTATCTCTTGTTTACAGTGCTTCACCGCGGTCCCATTGCAAGCATTTGGTCGGAAAGCAAGTACCTAAGAAGATATTTTCTACACCAATATTTGTTTTGTCGTGGAATTTGTTCGAGCACTAGATCGTTCTTTTTTGCATGTTATCGCAAATTCTGAACAAGAACTACAATTTGTCGATATTGAAGCAAGAAGTCAGGTTGTTTTCCTCTGTAGATAAAACGTACAACCTTTTATGCACTACCGCACTGTTTCTCTTTTTTATCCTCTGTCTTCTACTCACGCTCTTCTATTTTTTCCTCTAGAAATATAAACCCACAAAAATATACATCCGAAATACATAGTAATAGTTAGTATTCCTTGATAAACACGGAGCGAAATCTTGACTTCTGTCTACTGTTGCTAGACTCCCTCGGTCAGATTTGTTCGTACTTTTTTTCGACTTCATAAATTTAGAAAATTTCTGTGGTTGATTGCTTCTGTTTGCAAGAAGTCCACATTACCATAGGTCTCTACTACCTAAAGTCGGTTTTTACCAGAAGATAGCTTTGTTTATTGCTGGGGGGCAATAGGACCATACTTTTACTTTTCAAATAAAGGTTTCTGCTAGACGATTCCCATAGCGCGGTCTTATCCCGCCTGCTTTACGTCACAAACGTCAAGAAGTTCGTCGTCTTTCGTCTTGTTTTTTGGGCGTGATAATAAATATTCAGGCTGTGCTTCTAGGCAGGAAAAAGAGCGTGGCTGCACAAGCGTACGTTATTGAAAACAAGCTCGGGATAGTACTACACACTACAAACAGGGTAAAAGGGATAATCTACAACAATAGGCTGAACCTGAAGAAATAGCGTACCACTGAGAGAATTTATTATCGAGAAAAATCACAGAGAGCAGGATAAGAAAGAATTTATTATGGAGAAATATTATGCCAACGAACAGATTGGGCAGTCCAGCTCCTCGTGTGCCCGGGATCTGAACAACGACCTGAACGACAACATGGGTACGACATCACAACCGGGCTTCCTGCAGCGCATCATCGGGAAGTGCCTGCACAGCCGGCAGTACCTGCCGCTCGGCCACGATGCGGAGCAGCAGCGAGGGGGCGACGGAGACGTGTCTGCGGGGCACGTCGGGAGGTACATCTCCCTCGCGAACAACGACCGGGCAAGCAAGTTCGCCTGCCACGTGCCGGCGATCATCACGTTCAGTTCAACGGCACTGTTTCTCTTCGCGCTCTTCTACTCCCAGGTGATGTTCATACATCTCACGCTTTTCATGGGCGCCTGGATGTTCGGCTGGGTGAGTTACATGGGCATTTGCAGCTACTTCGGCGTCAAGAAGATGCGATACGAATGCAGCCAGGACTGGGGCAAGCAGTGGGAGGATTATTTGGTACCAATGGGCGAGTTAGTTTCAATTTTATGATACTACGTACACTTTCATGATGACACATTTGTCAGTAACTACATACTTAGATAGATTTGGATTGTTTGCGTATGTGCGTGCATGTGGGGGTTTTTACTCATGTGCCAACTCGCATTCCGATCAATCAACAGGCTCGCAATCCGGGTTGCGACGAGGGTCTGCTGCATTTCGTTATTTTGCCAAATTACGACGAAGAGGAGGAAATGATGTCGCAAACGATTAACAACGTGGCCAACAACAAGCTCGCGAAAAAATACATGGTCGTTGTGCTCGCCATGGAAGCACGAGAGGGCGAAGCAGGACAACAGAAAGCAAACAAGTATAGCTAGACTGTAGTGTTTTTACTCAATGGTTTGTCGTAGTCGTGCAGAAAATTTGTTCTGTCGCGGGTTTGCAATGCTCCCTACTAACCCGCGGATGTCACAGTCATGTCAGTCATGATTTATGAATATACTTGCAATTATGGGACGCGATAGATACTTACAAGCAATAAGCAAAATCAACAACGAACCTCACAGCCTGATCCAGAGACACCAGCACCTGTTCAAGGCCATGTTTGCGACTTACCATCCGGCAAGCATCCCGGGCGAAGTGAAGGGGAAATCCTCAAACACGCAGTGGGCTTACCGTGAAGTGCAAAGATGGTATGTTTTTCGTACCCAAGAAAAACTTCAGGCTAGTTCCAAAGCCAAGTGCAAGTATGTAAATCTCAATGTTGCCGTTCCTGAATACTAGGAGTCAGATCTTCTTGCAGCGTCGGCGTCCGCAACTCCACGCCACGAGAGAAACTAACACACGAAACAAAAACAGGTATGGAGCCCACGTCTCTCGCGAAGGAGGGGAGCAGGATGCGAGCAAGGTTTTCTTGACGGTCGCGGATGCCGACAGCATCCACCACAAAGAGTACTTTGCCAATTTGACGCTAAAGGCCATGCCACTCTCAAGGGAAGAGCGAACCTGGACCATGTGGCAGCCACCAATACTGAACTGGAGAAACTGGGAAACGGTATAATGACATCAGCTAGGCTTGTTTTTACTAGCATCCAGCATGATCGGAAACTGACACGACCCCGGAACCGGATCAAAATCTCAATGCATTTTGTTTGTTCTTCCATCTTCGCGTTTCCTAAATCAAATCGCAAACGACCAACACGCGGCCTCTTTTCAGGTTCCCGGTCCCGTCCGGACTTCCTCTTACGGGACCTTTCTGTTCGAAGTTTCCGGTCTGGTGTCCTCCCCGGTGATTGACCACTTGGTCTTTTCGACCTACACACTCACGCTCGCGCTGGCCAACCACCCCATCGTGGACGGGTGGGATGCCGACGTGATCGCGGAGGACCACCACATGTACATGAAGTGCCTCTGCGCCTGCCACTGGGAGTCACTGCTGTCCAACGAGTCGAACCGGAGTGTGAAGGGGATTTCCAAACTGAAGATCGAGGCCCTGTACACCCCGGTGACCAGCTACCTGGTCGAGGACAGCCGCGGCTGCCTGCACAACATCTACAGTCGCTACAAGCAGGCCAGGAGGCACATGCAGGGCATCTCCGAGCTCGCGTACCTGCTCCTCCAGCACTACAGCATCGCCACCACCAGTCGGGAAAGCATGCCGTGGCCGGCGCACCTGCAGATGCTGAACTTGGTGGTCAAGTACTGCACGGTGTCGATTTTGAACTGCGTCCACACGCTGGTCTTGCACCTCTTCGCCGTCACCTTCGCGATCTGGATGGTGGCGGCGCTGTACCAGGGAACGCTGTTTGAGACGTTGGAGCAGCTGAACCAGATCCGGCTGGAATCGACCCTAGTGAACTTCCTGTGCCTGTTCCTCCAGTTCTCCACCCCGATCTTCGGCGCCGTGATCGTGGGCGCGAACTGGATGGGCGTAAAGGATTCGCTGGAGGGCTTGTACTGCCCCTTGTACTTTCTGTCGACAAAAACCTCCACGAGGGACGAACTGTATCAGGACATGCAGTACGGCGTCGCAACGCCCGACCGGAACGGAAATTTGGTCAGCGTGGAGCCACTACCAATGGGGACAGACTTGAAAATGATGAAGAAGAAGGGCCTGCAGATCGTGCCCCTGCAGAGGAAACTCACCTACTGGGGCCAGTTGAAGACCTTCGTGCAGGTATATAGTATGTTGGAACTTTATTTCATACTTCGAGCGGGTTGTCGTGCGGCAGTTTTTGTTTCCATCTTGAAGATGAAAAAATACTGCGTATTCCATTTATTTACAGGTTTACACCGACATCAACGTGATCGGGCAGCCAACACTTCTGCTATACGGCACAATTCCGCTGTTCCAGACGGCAATCTCGCTTTCGCAGTACGGACACAAATTCGATTACATCGTCGCTGCCAAGCCCGAAGCGCGAAAAATCGAGTCCGCCACCACCAGCAGCGGGTCGGCTTCTTCGTCCGAAGAGTGCGACAACGTCGTGTAAATTATAGCATGGACATGTAAACTGCACTTCATCATCTGTACCTACTGTGCTCCTTCTCCGTTGACTCCTTCTTCTATTCAATCGCGATACTCCTTCTATCATTTATTTCTGTGTTGACATCAATTCCAATTGTGATCCTAAACTAGTATGACATATACTCTCCTGTGTTTTACAACTACTGTTCAGTCGAGTTTACGTTAGCATCAGACAAACGTGATCATGTTTTAGCTTCTATTCTATTCATCTAACCTTCACCAGAAGCGGCCTGCTGAAGGTGGTGCAGGTCGTGAGGACCGCGTGCAATTTGTTGCTGCGGCCTTCTTCTATCAATACCATGCATTTTTTCAAAGTGTTTACGAACCAGTATCAAAGAAAGCCCTATCTGTAGATCTTTTAGCGGACTAGAGCGGTAGACGTCGTCAGCTTGACGATCAACTCGAGAGGTACGACTCACCACGACGGCGGCGTCAACTCGTACTAAGTGTCAATCTGCTGAAGCCTTCTACTCTCCTAGAAAACCACCGACAGCATCAGTACTCCAAGTTTTGTATCCTATCTCGAAGACAAACGTACAAAATTAACGTACAGTGAATCTTGTCAATTTTGATGAGAAAAACTGCCACGAGCACAATGTGTGTCGGCAGCACCTCTTTTCTATACCCTACACTAGTTTGCCATCCTTATCGTAACTTTTTACCGACCTATTTGCAACTCGTGCAGTTGCTCGACCCTTTCGTAGCTTCCGTACCGACCTCTCAACACCGTATTAATTGAGTTGTTTACTCGACATTTACAATAGCTGCCTTAAGTTTTGAACCCCCGAAATGGCCGCGTGGTAGTACAATAGGACAATGCTGCGAATGACATCACGCCCGGCCAAGACGAACCTAGTACTCCCTTGAGAAGTACAGACCCTCTTCGATGATATTTGCAAAATAAGCAATAAACGCGTTTGATTTTTTCTAAAGTTTATTTGACCGGGATAAAACAGACCACAATATCCGAAGAGATGAAGTGCCAATTTTATTTGGAAATATTTTCACGAGCACTACAGCACCTGTATATTATGTTGTTTACAAAAAACGTTCGAAGACGAAAACCTGATTGGCCCCTGGCGCTCAAGGGAAATGCTTGAACATCAACGGGCAAGCCTGCTCGATCGCTCCTCTCTCTCAATTGCAACTTGCCTGTGCGCAATCGCTGTTGAATGAGTAGAGGGGTGGTCTTCGCGAAAAGACTGCCGAAACAATTTTGACACCAGGACCACGTTACAAATCACAACAATACTGGGAGGAAAACAAAACGACGATAAGAGTACAGTGCTTCTACTGAACCTCAGCAATAGACTACTACTAGAGCCTAGTAATAGCTTGCAGCAGAGCAACTTCCAAAATTCCTTTCCCTAGTACAGGCCCACAGCTTTGATACAGTGGCATCATTGTGGAAAAGTTGATGTGTCTTGAACATCTAGAAATTCGTTTTGAATCACAGGGGGCATGATAAATTGATTCATAAATAAACATGATTCGATAAAAGACATCAAGCTCAGTTACACTGAGTTGGGAGACGAGCACCACTAGACCCCCTCCTAGAAAGCGTTTTCATCTTCATCATAGCGTGAGAAAAAAAACCGTGGTAGAAACAAATAGTCGTGGTGAAAATTGAAGGCAAGTGACACTTGAGGCACTACCATCTTCCTCTTCGAAGAACATGATTATCCGAGAAAATGACGACTATAGCATGAGCAAAATTACCAGAGAAATTCCACGGATCGCTCTCCTATCTACGCTGCTTAAAATGTACCTTTGCCTTGAAATTGATAGTGTCCTCTCACGAAAACTGGTTGAACCAGATTTCGTCTGGGTTATTTTCAAGTGCAACGTCGATGAAATAGGAATGTCTAAAGGCCCTCGATTCGGATTTCAATTTGCATTTTCATCCGATCGAGGTATCGCAGACTGACGCATTTTTAAGCATGAGAAATATGAATCAATCGAAATGAAGAAAAAATCGCAGGCGTTGACGAAGATGAAGATGTCTCTTCGAAATTTGTGGCACGCATTGAAAAAAATCCAGGAGCATTGTCCGTTGACAATCATCTCATATAATTAATTTCAGCGTTGACGCCGTGCCTGGTGTTCATCCCAGTCATTTTCCCTCTCGTCTTCGTCACAACACGAGAATCGTCTCAGAGTGAAAAACGAAAGAGCGCAGAGTGGTTTTCGATCATTCCAAAAACAGGAACTGGTGAGTGAGTATTAGAGTGTGTTTTGCTCAATTGGGCAGTGAGTGTCCGTCGGCATACTAGAGTAATGTTTGTCGTGACAACTAACGCAAGACTAAGATTCATATTAACAAGAGGCCACGAGCCACCAACATCAACATGAAGTCTATCGGAAGGCTGTTGTACGACAGCGGACGCAGGTCTATTTCGCAAAGAAACTGGCTGCAGTCTTCTTCTTCGGGTTCAATATTCGAGCTGCGCAGTCTAAGTCTTGACACACCGGAAGCAGGAGCTCGGCGAGCTTGGTTGAATACATGCAGTAGGCGTACCATGATGGGCTCTGAAGCAGAGCCGGTACGGACGCCTAATATTGCCACTACCCCGACCGACATGCAGGTTGAAAACTCCGGCAAAATCAGCACGAGTCAGTCTAATCGAACGAGAAATGCACTGAACATGGCGGATGACGTCAAAAAACTCATCCTACGGAAAGAGCTACAACCGTCTTATTCAACAAACCGCGTGGGTATCGTATCGACCTGCTCTGCGACGCCATGCGCGCAATCGACTCTGGTTTCGAGTTTTACACATTGCCGGTACGCTGGCCGGCAACCACATTGTACAAGTATCGGAGCAGTCATGCAGACGTGTGGTTACCCCTCGTAGTGAAAACAACATCGACCGCGATCCTATCTCGGAAGATATAGATACGTGTCAACACAAACCTTGATACCGGGGACGAGGTGCTATTCGACGACGACCAAGAGCCCAGCTACCGATTCAAGTATTCGAGAAGCAAAAAGATGGACTCGTTCCTGCAAATCCACATTGGTATTGCTCCTGCTGCAGCTGCAAAGTTCTTTGTCTACGATCCTTTCACGCGGTATGATAAAGCGACTAACTCTGGCGATAAAAAGATGAAAGTGCGGAGGGGCCGCGGAGAACAAAGGCCAAAGTTCTTATTTCGTTCCTTTGAGGGGGCACTGGACCCACACTCTCTGGCTGACGTTTTGTGCGAGAACTGGCACGCTTCCACGCCTCTATCCCGGTATGATTGCTTTCGTTCAGTGACGGCGACGATGGATAATCCAAATCAAATTGTCGCGTCCACCGCATTGGCCGAAGCCGATAAACTTTTGTATCATCCAAATGGTTTGCGCTTGAGTTTCCCACCGCCGTGTTTCCGGACTCTCCACAACAGTCTGCTAAACGAGCACAGGATCGTTCATCGAATTGCGATCAACCGTTCGCAGTATTTCGGGAAGGAGATTAAGCTGTCGACCAGGTTCAACAATAGCGGTTCAGGAAGAGAGCGTCCATTAAGTGTTCAAGAAATAGAGTGCCTGGATTTTGTTATTGTGCTGGACTACGAGCAGGCAGAGCTGCAAAACTTACGGGGGCTTTTTTGCTTGCCGAAAAAAGAGGTCATTGAATGTCTCACCACGTCAGAAAGAAGAGCTAGGTCGCAGCCCCACCGGCAACACGAATGCAGCGAAATAAAAACCTTTGGTCTGTACCCACCTGCCGTTGTACCACGGCTAACCTGGGCAAAGACAAAAGAAAAGGCGATGAGACAGATGGATTACTACATTGATCCCTCCTTGAGCGGTGCAGGAGAGAAATTGAAGAATATTTATTTGCGCAACAACAATACATCTGCATGAATACCTATGTATACTTATCAGCATACCCGAGACCGAGTGAAGGCAAGAGTGCAAACCTTAGGTTGCTTTCTCAAAGGAACGGTGGCTCGAGCCGCTGCTTTCACTGATAGTGCATTGAGTGTTCCAAGTTCATCATGAGTAGCAATGCGAAGAGGGCACATCTGAAAAAATTGAAGAGAGTGAGTTTTTGACCATGAGTGAATTAGTCGGTTTGCTTACTCAGATCCTCCGAGGCGGTGACGAGGCTGCGAATTTATTTCTGTAATTCAATTTCAGAGAGGTATGACTATGAGCATGCAGTGCACGAAAGGAAACTATAATGATGCAACATAATAGTCCAAAGCCAAACTTAAAACTACTATATTCACAGGAGGCTATTCTTCGGGAGGAAGTGCTATTTATTTAGCCCCCTTTTTTTGGAAGAAAAACCCGAAAGAAGTACGGGAGACTGGAGTGATCTAGTTTTGTTTTGTCTTTTTGAAGTGGAACTAACGGAAGTAACACAATTCTGTGAATGGTTTTGACTTTTGTGTAGTCAAACTTTAGGAGAGGAAGTCTAAACTGTTCCCAAGACCATAGTCAAGGCGATCGCAGTGTATTTTTGACCAATAGCTCAAAAGGCGAAACAACTTTTTGGCGCAAAATTTCTTTTTCAACGAAGGTTTTCGTGTCGCTCCACAACGAGAGGTACATACTTTTTATCCAGGTAGTAACCGAAGTTTCAGGAGTTCTCTAACAGAAAACCGTGGTCGTCTTTTCTCTTGATCACGACATCGATCACGACTATGGCCGCTGCAAGCCAGGTGACGCAGCAGCAGCGTCAGCCGCGCGCGGCTGCAAAGAAGCCGAAGGGGAGTGCGCAGTCGCGTTCGGGTTCTTCCTCCTCTTTCGAGGATCTGTCTCCTTACATGGAAGACGAAACCACTTTCGGGGGGAAGTCTCAACCCGAGACCCCGGCGTTCCGGGACCAGACGGAGAACACGTTGGTCTTGTTACCGCGGACCATGGAACCTGTGGCCAAGGGAAATCGTTCCGGCGCTGCTGGTACAGACAACTACACGCCGTTTTTTTAATCTTGATCCGTAGGTACAGGTTAGTAGCACCACCGCATGCAGTGTTGTATTTGCAAAGCAACAGCAAGCCAGTATGAGCTTTTGCTTTTTTAACTCGTATAAACTTAAACAAAAACAGGTTCTGTCAAATCCTCCAACTCGGGCAGCCTTGTCCTGGTCGACAGCCCGTCCGACGTGATCTCTCTTTCTTCCTCCGGAAACGCGCTCGCTTCCTCGAATTTCACCAGTAATGTGAGTTTGCTGATGTCTTCGAACGCTTCGTCCCCGGCCGCGTCGACCAAGCACGCAACCGGACAACTGCGGATGTTGAAGAAAAACAAGTTCGGGGTGAAGCCCTACGAGGGTGAACAAGCCGCGCAGATTGGTACCAACGAGCTGGAAAGCGACATGGATTCGAACGAGATGACGACCGATGACTTTCGCTACAGCGGCACGAAGCGTGGCGGGGTCGTGAAGCGGTCCTTTCAGTCCGCGGACACGCATGCGGGGAGGCAGGAGACTGGCTCCTGGGCGCAGCGCAAGAAGGAGCACGAGAAACGCAGCAAGGCGAACAAGGACAAGAACCGGTTCGGGGAATTTCGCCCGCGCCACTACGCCGGCACCGTCGGGTTTCTGGCCAGCAAGGGGAAGCAAGCGGAGATTCAGGACGTGAAGGAAGTGGTTTTTCACATTAATTCTGGAAGTGCGCAGCAAGAAAATACGCGTCCCATGACCACAACTTCTGGTGCCGGTGGAAACAAATCTAAGATGCAGTCCACGGCGGGCAATAACACTTCTACGCCCGCGACCTGGACTCCGCGCACGTCTCCGGCGGGGAAAATGAACTATGCGCAGATGAAGACTATCAGTTTGGACAAGCCGTTGAAGTGGGCGATTGAAGCCGATCTGAATTCCGGGTGCCAGGAGCTCGCGAACATCTCGCAGATCCCCGTGCGCGTGGAGCAAAATCGTCGCGTGAGCGGCAAGGTGCTCGGCGGATCCCCGATGAAAGGGCATCTGGAAAAGGTGTACTACCCGCAGGGAGGTGCGAATTCGCCTTCCGCGGCGGAGGCCATTGTGGACTGTCCCACGATTGGTGGCGGATCCATGATGGGCAAGACTACTCCGACCAAGAACCAGAAGCTTGTGAAAGGAAAAGGAAAACACGAGAAGAGCGCTGGCCGCTTCGAGGGCAAAAAAACGGCTTCTGCGGGCGCCGGGCAGCAAGAGCGGGTGGAACTCGTGATTTCTATTATGATGTACGATCACAAGTGAGAAGAGGAATGAGGAATCATACATAGTAAGGTGATGAACAATCCGAATCCGAGGAAGCGACGCGGTGAAAACAAGAACGAACCACATAGATTTTGATCTAACAGTGGCTGCTTGCGGAGTAGTTGAAAAGTCACTAGATTTGTATGTCTTAACCATGTGAAGCAAGTGTGCTATATTATTGTACCGTGTCAAATAATTTCATGTTGATATGATCGCTATCGGAAGACGGTGTTTCCAAAAATCTCGAATCCCTAGTTGAACGACCAACATAACGACAAATTTGAAATGATATATTGCTCTTGCATTGCTACGAAAACGAAAGAAAGGAAAAAATAGAGTACCGATACAAGTTTTGAAAACCTGCGATCATTCGTCTGACAAAAAAAGCTAAAACATGCAATTATCGATTGGGCGAACACTGCAGACTTATATTGCTGACCCCGGGATTTATGCCTGAAATCGGTAAGCTGAGTAGCCGTAAAGGCCCAGGGTTCTCTTCAGCATATGCTTAGCGCGTGGCTCCTATCCTGCATTTTTTGCTTCATAAACATGTCAAAAGGGAATGCCATTCTTTCCCGAGTTTATAAAGGTATACATAGAGCTCCGATATTGTTGCAAAAGCTAGAAGTAGAATTGCACATCAGAAAATGGCACGCATCGTTTGGCTGTCTCGCTGGTACTTAAGTACTTGCAAGTGGCACTTATAGTACAGCAGCACGCCGGGCTGAGTGTAGACGAGTGCGGTCATCATGGCACAATTTTAGTCTTGTATTCCAAAGATCACATCAACACACAATCCCCGCGTCACATCCGAAATCGGTAGGCTGAGTAGCCGTAAGGACCCCTTCCGCCTACGTTTATTGTGCACTACTGAAGAAGTATATCGATTAGTCCTAGGAAAATTGCACCTTTCAGCATTCACTATCACTACTGTGTTTCCTTGCGAGCGGATACATAGCATTTCCATTTTGAGCATTTCCAGTTCTTTTTGTTTGTTTTTTATCTTCTCGACCTGATTGATGTCAGCTACGAGTCACAAGGAGGCAGAGGACACTCGTATGGATGTCAGCTACCAATTTTAGTCTTAATATCTGAACTTCTTTGTTAATTTTCCCGAAATATATTTAGCTTCAAAGAAAAATAAAGTATACAGTTTAAGTAGCACAATTGAAGGGGACGCGGTGAGATTCGGTGTTGCTCTAATTTCATGCTCTCGAAAGTCTGCAAAATCAACGTAATTTGTTGCAATGAATTGCAAGTTGCGCTGTTGAAATATCACTGCACTCGAGAATCTCATCCATTGATTTGCAGCAGTCTTTCCAAATTAGGCAGAGCTTTTTAAAGGAACGGGAAGACGAACAAGTGGCATGACGCACATGCCAATTTTCCGTAATCAAAAAAGCATACATAGTACTGTTTTAGCAAACACTTTTTACAAAATTGCCCCGCGAGCAACTTAATCTTAACTCCATACCAGTTTGTCATGAAGTAGCCCGCGATTCAGCGTTTACAACGACGTGTAAAAATATCAAACATTCCATGGCGGGAGAAAAGTTGGCCCTTAAGATGAGTATGGAAAGTAAAACACATGCAGAGCACGGACAATTATGATGGGATGCATAGTTGTATTCCAACTAAAAAACCTTGAAGAATGTTGAAGCCCCTGCGTGTTGTACAGATGCTCACATCATCAAAAACGAGTAAATTTTGCAAACACCGTTGTAATTTGAGAGTACGCATTGAAAGCCTTATACCATGCTTGGAAACTCCAGAGAAGGCGACGGAGCCGCTGCAGTTCCGCATGGATTAGTTTCTTCACAGCTGTATAATTTGATGTTCACCAAACATTACATTGCAGGTGCGTGATAGAAGCAATCTTCGTTTATTGTGTCTGTTTCACGAGATAGAAGCCTCACTACACCCCTGGAGAGGCACGAAATTCCAAGGCTGAGTTTGTCTGAGCTGAGCTGCCGTCTTCACAAAGTTGTGGTTCATAATAAGTATCGCCTTGTTTACGCATGTAAGACGTAAAATTCTTGTGTACTGTAGTTTTGTTTCAGCGTCAACTTCGTGATTAAAACCGGCTTGTCAACGTAAAGTCGAGTCAGATACTACCTCGTATTGTTTGAATTGGCTGCTGCTACACTACGCTGTCGCAACAAAGTCCTCCTTCGCTTTCTACTTCAGTCTATCATTCACTTTCTTCTCGTCCACAATCACAACGGAAACATCATGGCAACCCCGACAATTCCCCACCCCTCTTTGGCGAAAGCCGATGACTTTCTCCGGGTGATCAAGAAGAATCACGACAAGCGGTGGAAAAACGGCATTTCCTCTTTCAACGCGGAACGCGCTCCGTTCTGGCGGTTCGTGGTCAACGGCATGAAGGTGGCCGACTCGTGCAAAAGTTGCAACTACCTCCGGGCCATCGTCGCTGCGGAGATTGCCGTTTATGCCGATCGCGCGATGCTCCCGCCAAAGGCCGCGCGGACCATGTTTGCCGACCTGGGGAAGAAGTTCGGTGGACAAGTCAACATCGTGAACAGCGCCGAGGGGGTTGGCACCGACGTGGACGATGGCGAGATCCCGCGGATTCTGGCCAGCGCGATTCAGGACCTCGGGCCGAAGGAGACCATTCCGGAGGACGTAAAGGAGAGGCTGCTTGTCTGCGCAAAGAAGCTGATGCTGAACAACAAGCACCTGGGACCGAAGACCAAGCCGGGGCAAGAGATGGAGTACTGGAGTGCGGACCTGGAGACCCTGGGGCAGGACTTGCTGCAAAAGATTGGACAACTGAATTCGCACGTTTTGAAGGCGGTGGAGGACGAAGCTGCGGCGAAAAAAGCAGAGGAGACGAAGAAGATGCCACAGCAACTTGCGCAGCTGCTGGACATGATGAATGGGAAGAACGCGACAACCAAGAGCGGGCAGGAAATGACGCAAGAGGAAACGGACATGCAGAACAAATTTAGAAACTTTATGCGCCCCAAAGTAAGTGCGTGAGTTCGCTTTTGTGTAAAGTAGTTGTGTTAATACCGAGGAGCCAGTGCTTTTTTTCCGCATTGGATCTGTGAACAAGCATCAACATGCGACAAAAAAAGTTGTCTGAAGAAATTAACTTCTACCCCCAAGAACAGGTGCAGAAGACCCCCGGCGGACCGTTTCTCCCCATGAACGACGAGGAATACCAGAAGCATTTGGACGCCGTGAAAGACCCCGCCAAGAGGCGCAACATGTTCGCCCCCCTGCCCAAAGACGCGCTGGACAAGTGGCAGAAAGCGGATCGGGAAGCGGCGCAGAAAACGGATCGCCGGGACAAGGTGCTGCAAAGCATCGCCATGCCAAGCGGCCTCGGTGAGATGGAAACCGTGCGGGGGGCGTGATGGAGGTACTGCGCAGAGGACAACACGCCCTATCGCTGATCTTTGATGCCTCGCAAATAAGTTGGACGCCTAAGCCTCTGCCTCGCTTTGTATGATGCTTAATATTTTCAGATACATTTATGTTGCTGCTCCCTGACTGTACAGGATGGCCGTTACACTAGTACTAAACGTTGATGTAGTCCATTGAAATGTACGGAATCGAAAACCAAATGAAAAGATGTATCAACCAACGAAATGATATATGAGTTGCAGTTTTGCCAGCGACACCGTGTACAATAATGACTTTGAACACTTGTTCGCAGGCCTAGTAGTGTACAGCTTTCATTGTTATTGAACCCGTCGAAAAGTGTACCAAGACACAGAAAAGAAACAGCTCCCTTGAAGACGACGCTTTTCGCCGCGGAGAGAAAAGGCAAAATCCAGGCAGGCGGCATTGATTTTCGCACGATTCCAATTTTCGTTCTCGAGCAAACTGGTTTCGGAGATCTCCGTTTATTTGCAAAGTAGCGGAAGAGCGCAGCCATATTTGGATTATGACTGCTGTAAGTTAATTCTTGCAGATCGTTTTGGTGCAACGCCAACGCCCGGTAGTTTTGAACGATTACGAGGGACAGTGCAGGAGCGGGTGGAGTTATTGGACAGGACTTTTTGTTGCGGTAGGGCGAAGTCAGGCTGCGGCTCTGAGACTGAGAGGTGGACCCACAACACTGGTGGGATGCATGATGTGCAAGAGGAGAACTAACAGGAGCGAAAGGAAAAGGGCCGGAGTGCATGAGTTAGTACTTTAGTGCGCAGTACTATTTCAAGAAAAGAGAGACGTATGTATAGAGGGTGATCGATTCTACTTCTTTTTCTAGTTCAGGTTAGTCGCTGTTTCATATACAATCGCAACATGGTGGTCGCATTGGATTTCGGCAAAACGAAGCGCGGCCAGAAGGTGTTCGCAAGCGCGAAGCCGGGGTCTTACGTTTCCAAAAAGGACGTGGTCAAGACCCTTGATCAGAAGCTACTCGACGCAGCGGAAATTGGCGATTTCCGAGGGGTCACGAGCCTCATCGACGATGGCGCCGACGTCAACTGCACGAACCACAAGGGCGCAACGCCGTTGCACGAGGCTGTGGTTTCAGGGTACAGAAGTTTGGCTTTTTATTTTGACTGCGGCCGCCGCCGCTCCGTAGAAAATGTGAATGCATGATCATGGGCATACAACAGCAGCGTACAAAAAGGGTACGGGAATCAAATAAACGTTGACTTGATCCAAATTTCGCAGCTCTTGCCCCACTCTGGGCGTGCTTCTCCGTGCCGGCGCCGATCCCAATTTCGTTACCGACTACGAGAAGCGCACGCCGCTGCACCGGGCCTGCTTCCACAAGTTCGTGGACGTCGCGAATTTGCTGCTGATCTTCGGCGCAGACCCGTATGTAGTAGATGTCGACGGGAAGGTCCCGGGCGAGTTGGGGCTCGAAAATTTCATGAAGAAGCACAGCGAGTCAGACGATTGCCTGTACAACAATATCGACCAGGCTGAGGTGGAAGCTGCGGAATCTTCAGATCCGTCTTGTTCAAAACCCAAGATAATTTTAAACGAAGAGACGACGCCCGCTCTGGGAGATGAACTACAACCAGACGAGTGCCCCAGCACGGACACCACCCCCGCGCCGACTCCGTCGAGCAAGGAGAAGAAGAAAGAAACGTTACTGCCCTCTGTGGAGGAGGAGAGCCTGATGACGCCGAAATCCGTCGCACCGGCAGACTCAGAAGTAGCCGCCGACGACAACGACGACGCAGTGTCGGTCACATCATCCCGAAGCCAGGCTTCGCGCGCCTCGTCCCGTGCGGTTTCCGACGTGTCGGGGGTGCCCTCGTTAGCGTCCACCCGGGCGCCGAAACGCGGGGCGCTGACGAACCGCGCAGACCAGCTGGCCGAGAACCGACAGAAGCTGTCCGACTTCCGCGCTACGTGGAAGCGCGTCAAGGAGGAGGCGGCCGCGCGGAAGGAGGAGCGCCGGAGTGAGGAAGAGAAGAAGAGGCTCCTCGCACAAAAGGAAAAGGCTGAAAAGCAAGCGCAGCAGGAAATAGAGCGCAAGGAAAGGGAGGAGCGCGAGGCCAAAAGAAAACAGGAGGCGAAGGAGCGCGAAAAGGAGCGGCAGGCGGAATTACTGGCTGCAAGCATGGACTACGAGGACGACCAGAGAGACCCCGAAGACGTTGCAGCAGAACAGCAAATGCGTATCTGTGATTTATTTCCTGATGATCTCAATAAACTTGATCTTGATCATGTGGCTTTGCTCGTTCGCGCGTGATCGGAGCAGACATGCAGAATAAAATCAGCTTCAGCTTGATCTCAGGATGAATACACTGCAGGTGCGGAGATGCAACGGCGGTCGCAGCTTCGTGTCTGCATCACAGATGCGGGCGAGCCACAAGTGAATGGCGAGTACTACTGCACGTTTTTCGACACGTACCGTGTGGAATACCGGGGAGTCGACGACGAAAACCGCAATCTGTACTGGAGCTCGTTGGGGAACGAGTGGCGGCTGTGCGTGAACGGCTACAAGGCGGGGAACACGCTGTACCGAAATCCGAAAGTGACCAAGACCAAGGAAGTGCCGCTCACAGGGTGGCTGCCGTGGTTCGGAAAGAACCCCTGCCCCGTTTTCGAGGAGCTCAACAAGGACTCCTCCGCATCTTCCAGCTTGCAGCCCTTGCAGAAAGAAGCCGATGAAGTTGACGATACGAAACTACCGGAATCTACAACAGCTCCAGTGGCGATGGAGAAAGAGGACGCCGGAGCAACGTCCCCCGACGAGGAGGCCGGTGGTACGGACCACGGGGCCGGCGTTGCGCCAGCCAGCAAGAAGAAGCAGTTTCTCGAGTGCCGGTCTATTCTGGAGATTGTCGCCAAGCCAGACACGTACGATAGCGGCACCGACGTGGTGATGCAGGAAGTGAGTAGTGGAACGAGTAATGAGGCAACCACAAGCACCGCCACCGGGTCAACATCATCGTCGTCCTCTTCCTCGTCATCCGGAAATAAAGCAGACGAAAATTGTTCTGAAAAACTCGATGCGGTGCTACAGCAGCAGTTGGACCAGCTGCTGCATTTCGAGGATCCTTTGGAAAAGACGGAGGACCAGGACAGCCTGTGGGCCGCGATCGAAAGCTGCAAAAAGCAAGGGAACGAGGAATTTACGGACGGGCAAATCAAGACGGCACTGGAATGCTTTACGCGGGCTTTAGACGGGGTTGAAAAGATGGATTACCCGGACTCGGTACGGGCAAAGCGAATCAAGGCGGTGTTGTACTCGAATCGATCGCTGGTATAATTGCTGTAATATCTTTTGGTCGTGCCTTGTGGTCATGCTGTTGCTGGTGCGTCATCATTATGATGTGGGGCAAATAGATCGACGTTGCTCATTCCTGCATCTGCAACTTCTTTCTGCACTCGACTCCACAGTCCAGAAATTTTAGCTCGGAAGATTTGTGTTTGTGTAAAATCCAAAAAACAAAAAACTTAGGTTCTTCTGAACGTTATCAGTGAGAAGCTGTACGACGACGCGAGGATAGTGGACGTCCTGTATCAGCAGATCAAGCTTGATTCTTCCAACGCGCTGCGCGCCGATCCCGGAAACTTCAAAGCGTACTATCGCAGGGCGATTGCGTGCCGAAATCTTTGCGAGCTAGACCAGGCACTGGAAGATGCCACAAAGGTGGTAGAACATTACTCAGCGAAAAACATGCAAAACCCCGAGGCGGCAAGGTTTCGCGAGGAACTCATTGAAGAGGTACTTTGATATGTAGTCGTCATTACACACACACCAACAACATTTCTTCTGTTTTTACTACACAACACCGGAAGACTATGAAGCACGTCGCATCGAGACGGGAAGTTGGTGATATCGTCTCAAGATAAATTTGTTTCCTCGATGCACGCTACGACCGACGTTTTCAACTAGGTGAAAGCAGAGCGCAGGAAATGGCACGCGGGGAGCAGCGAAAGATGGAACCGGGCGCAGGATCGAATGCAAGACAAGTATGCTACAACGATTGTGGCGGATTGTCTCGTTGAGTCGAAAGCGAAAAAGTGGACGAGGCAGCTGGTTGAGAAGAAACTGAATCGTACCTGTTTTCTGTTCTTCACTTCCATTTGTTTCTAAAGAAGATCTTCACTTGGCACAGCCTTACTCGACTGAGACGGGCCCCGGCACGGCTCTGATGAGCTAAAAACGTAGGAAATTTGTGATGTTTTTCCGCGAGAAGCACCAACATTCCCTAAAACTAGGTCCCGGCAAGGACGTCGGTCAGTTTCTGGACACTTTCTGTTCGTCCGAGGAGTTTGCAAAGTTGTACGCGCCGTCCACGAAAGGAGGCAAGCAAACGTACCCAGCGCTCCCCGTGGAGTCCTTCACAGCGCTCGTGTCCGTGCTGTGTCGTGCGGAAAGTGGTGGTGGTGGTGGTGTTCTTTCTGTTGACGACAAGAAAAAGTTTCTTGACGCAGCGGAAAAGTGTGTGAGCAGCGTGGGCCTCGCAATGCTGGCAGACGACGAGCAGCGAGACGTGGACGCACTGAAAAAGCAGCTGGCTGGGGCGTGAGGACCCTTCGGTGCCCTGCTCCATCGTCCCAGGGACGACGAATACCGTCCTCTGTTTTCTCTCTGGTCTATTTTTTCAACTTTTGGACGTGGATGAATTGGATGAAAGAAAAAGAAGGACTCATCTTTTTTTGCGAATAGCACTAGCTGCTAAGATATCTTGGAATACACATTGCCTGTAGTAGTTCTTGTGAATGTTGTAACAGTTCCGTCCGACGACGCAATACTCCATCAGGGAGGGAGCAAATCTTCGGCGTCTCGAAAAGAGGAGGCGCTCATTGTAGAAGTAACCCCAAAAACCATAATGATACTCAGCTCATTTGAGTAGCAGAAGGAACTGTCAGAAAACCAGATGTAACGATATTCATCACAGGAGCGAATCAGGCTTCATGTTCATTATCGTCCTGTATCACGTCCTTGATCACAGTGACGGTAAGTGTTCCCCCGCGATAACGACAATATCAATAAAGACCAAAAGCCGAGTCATGATTTTTCTTGCGTCTCCTGCGATGTTGAGGCTAGCCTGTCACAAGCCTGGTCACGTGTGTTGAATCAATCAGGATGACCAAGATGCGCTCTTGTGCGCTTGAAGTTGCAACTGATGAATCTTTGGCCGTGGCTGTTTGTGGTTGAAAGCAGCCGACGTCACAAGCGATAGAACCTACACACCGAAGTGCCGATTTCCAAACAGTTGTACTAGTCATTCACACGATTTGCGTTTCACTTTCACAGCACTCTCTTTTGCGTATAGTATTTTGTAGACACGAATTTTCTTCACCTTGACATCAATGACTCAAATTTATTCTATTTCTTCTCCAGGCGCAGCTCAAATCAGGTGGAAGAGATGCTTGCGTCACTGCAACTGCATGCGATCTCTGCAGCATTACAACTTACACGAGCACAGTATGTATGCAGCTGCACAGACATCATAGCGATTGCGTAGAAATACACGTCCGTAATATTCTCTTTCAATCTTTGTCTTTAGGTGTTGGTCATACTTAGACGTAAAACAAGCAACTTCGACTCCTTGTATGCTTCTGCAAGCAGTGTTGAGCTTGATCACTTCTGAATTTATGAAAACTGAAAATTCTCGAACTCTCCACGACTTTCTATCTCCTCCCAATATGAACTAAAAGACAATCCACGACAATCTTTCTCTGGCTCTGGTATCAGCACAGGCAGCCAGCGGTGTTCCGCAACCTGCCGGTTGGTTGGCCCCCAATCATCCCGCATCTTGCCAAATCAAAATACGCTCCAGCACCATCCAGCTACGACCGGAGACGCTGCGCTTTGCGGCACTGAGTTTAGAAATACGAAAAGTACCACAAAATCGCTCATGCCGGACAACACGGGCGCCAGCCACAACCGCCGGGTGTTGACCGAATGGCGGGGCAGCGTGAACAGCATCTGCTCCCGGCCCTCCGGCGGTCGACTACTCCGTTTGCGGCAACACAACGCCACGAACTGTGGCGGGGAGTCGAACCCACAGCCACTGGACGAGGAGGTTTTGTACAACTATGGCACGGCGCTCAATAACAAGTATGTTCCCAACTCCCAGGACTACAATCTGCACTTGGAAAACAGCCCGGAGCTGCCAAGCTATCCGTCGTACGATCTGTCGGTGGTTTCCTCCACAAAGGAGGGTGCGGAGCTGCTGGAGCAGCAGCAGGACAGCTGCGTCAACACTTCTGCCGCTCCTAGCGCCGTGCACAGCTGCCGCGAAAGTGTTCTTGTGGAAGTAGAAGCCGAAATAAATTCGAAAATTGCTGCTACTGGTGCCGCAGGCGCTGCAAGTAGTAATTTCAGATACAGCTCGCACGTAGTACAACCGCTGCGGGAGGGCAGTAGCTTGCAGAATAGCATCTGTACCACGAGCTCTACAACATCGTCCTCGGCGGATGGCGGCGCGGCAGTGTATCTGGGAGGCTGCAGTTCGACGTCGTCCGGCGCATCCGCTTCAAGAAGTCCGCACTCTGATGTTCTTTTTCCCTGTGCAGGAGCTCCATCGAGCTGCACGGAAGATGCGGAAGCGGATAAGGAAATAAACCCGACCGATGTTCTTGGAACAAACGGGGAGAACCTGACGTCCGGAGATAGGGATCAGCAGGCACATGCTGCAGCCGCCGGCGAGCAGCCTGAGGGTCGTGACTGCAAGTCCGAGAATATTATGAGAGCGGGCGGCCAAGTGGAGGAGGTGAAAAATCAGAAGGATAAGCCAAACTACCAGGGTGCAGACAAGAAGCTGCAAAGTCGCCAAGAAAGTGTGTTCACGGGCTCAACTGCTGCAGCTCCTTCCATTGTAGTCGAGCTAAAAATTTTTTATTTCCCTTGCATCTGCGAGCATACTGTCTTGTTCTCTGTTACGCCTTTTCGTGCTGTCGTGTACTGCACTACTGCTGGTGTGGTATGTAGTCATCCCCTGCGAATGTAGTAACCCATTTCATTTGTTTTTCTATAATGTGTAGAAGTTTTTGATGAACTACTTGGGCTCCATTTTAAAATTCGACCAGATAAAGAGTCGCAAGCTGCTTGTGCTGCAAAGATCAAAGTATGAAAGAAAAACCAAATGTCAATCAACTTCAGCATTTGAAACAAAAACAGGTACGGAGTGTGGCAACAACTGGCAGCAATAGCGTTCCCATTTCCATTTTTGACACGATCTCCCCAACCTCCCGGAAGACTTCAGGCTCCCCGAATACTGCGGCCAGCGAGACGTCTCGGAAGCTACCAAATGCGGAAAAAACCAAAACGAAAGACAACGGGCGTAGCAGAGCCGGGACGGGGAACGCGATCAAAAACTCGACCACAAGTAACAAGAAAAATCATTTGCATGCGGTAACCAAAAAGCACGGGGATTCAGGAGCACAGCAGCAAGGATCTTTCAGCTGCTCGAAGAACCTGCACAATCCAGGAAATAACGGAAGCAAGACCGCCCAAAACCACACTAAATCCGGTAGGAACAAGCTAGGCCAGAATGCGGGCCGGTCGAACACCAACGCCAGCAAAAACGGCGCTTCGCCAATTCCAGCTGGGAGTAGCAGACAGGGCAGATCATTTGGAAATGACAGCAGTATGACCAACAAACATCAAGCGGCGGCTATATCTGCCGCGGCGGCATCCGCGACCAGTGCCGCCTATCACGCCTACCAAATGGCGGTCAGCAGTGCAAACGGTGCGGTCGCCGCTTTGCAAGGTGCAATGTCCTCCACCGCAGGGCTGCACCCTTCGTCGTCGTCGCACCTATGCAACGAAAAAAGTGTATAGTACAGTTACACATTCACATTGTGTTGCAGGCCAAGCAAGACAGACAAGTAGGTCTGTCATGCCGGATCTGCATAGGGCTCCCTCTCGTTTCACACGTCCTTTGCCTTTCGCTTGCTGCATTGCAAGTTTTCTTTCTCATGCAGAGAGAGTAACAGAATCAGAAACATCAGTGTATCTGTAACAGTTTTTTCGTAGGATAGCATCTCGACACTGACCAGTGGCTGGAGGCCGAGTTTTCTGATTTGGACCCGACTATCAAATGTAAAAATGTCTGGGTCTGGAAATTTGTGATGCTGAGTGGCGTAGCATGAGGAGGCCACAAGTGCTGGCTCAGCATGACAAATTTCTGAGCTCGTAGGCGTTGCCTATTCTGCATGACAAACTGCGTCTCCGCATGACAGAGAAAAAAATCTCTTGGGCAATGTGCATGACAGATTTAAGAGTCATGCCAGACAAGCATGACAAACATGCATTCTTCCAGACCCAGACACTTTTACATTTGATACCGACAAGTCTCGAGCAACTCAACTCGGCTTGGCGCCAGGAGCAGCTGCTACAGTCCAGCCAGTTGGTCCACCAATTTCACCAGTACAATGTGGCTGCTGGAGGAGGAGGATGCGTAGGTGGAGCTGCCTCAGCGGCACCAACAGCGGCTCTTCATGCTCTTTCCGGGCCGCATCCCTGGATCCCCTTGCACCACCCGCCCTACCCCGGGGCGGTGCCAACACATTGGGTGCAAGTACCTGTATACGCAGACACGGCAGTGGGTGCACCAGGCTCTTCAATTGCGCAAGTACCTGTATACGCACTCGGTGGTGCTGCAACAGGAGGCTCTTCAATTGCATGCTCAACCATTGCAGCACAAGGCACAGGAGGTGCCGCTGCCTATCCACCCGGCTTGGAGCATCCATCAGGAAGTAGGGGTGTTGCAAGTACGCTGGCCGGTGCAGCAGCAGCTGCGGGCACAACCACCGGTGTCGAGACAGTAGGAGCGGACTCTGCACTTGCCGACGCCGGAGTCGTCCCGCAACACATGCACTCCCTCCCTGCCGCGTGGTGGTCTCCACCCCGAGTAGTACAACCAGCCACGACAGCAAGCGCCGGATCGGCCACGGCGGGAACCTTGACTGCGCACCACCATCCGCATAGCAGCAAGCACCACTACGACGAGGCTTCGCTACGCCGAGGAGCAGCAGCCCAAGTGGGCACGTACACGACCTCTGCGGGAGCGCCACCGGGTCTGTCGTTGTCTTCTGCGGGGGGAAGTGGAGCGGCAATGGTTGCGGTCGCGTCGCACAAAATGTCGAGTAACAAGACATCAACCTCAACCACAGCGGGCACGACCACTTCATCAGGTGCTGCCGCTGCAGGTGCCACAACATCAGCCACGCTAACAAGTAACAAGAAGCCCGTGCGCCAGCCTCCGGGACTGTGTCAGGTGGAGGACGATGCCACGACAAGTGCGGGGACGTCAAACATCTCCAGCGCTGCGGCGGTGAGTACCTGTTCGGGGACGAACGAAAACAACGTTGTGGGACCTCCCGAGATGACCGCGGGAGAAGCAGGTGCTAGTAACCTCATGAATTTTTCGATTTCGTCCAACAATGGTTGTAACAGCTCGACTTCTTCTTGTGCAGCGCCTATTGCCGGAAGTGTTCTTGCAGGGACGAAAAGCGGGAATAACAGCAGCAATAGGAAGCAAGTGGAGGTCAGGTCTCGCGGACAGCAACACAAAAACATCTACGGTATTCTCCCGTCGGAAAGAGAGAAGCAGGAAGAACTGCAGGCGGCAACGAATGCGCAGAAGAAAAAGCTGCAGAATGCGCTGCTGGAGGAGCGAGCGAGCAGCGCCAAGAAGACCAATTCGAGTGCGGTGGGAGCAGGCGGACTGAAAAAACTTAGTCCGCAAAAGGAGGCTGACTCAAGAATGAATGACGCAAAGCGCGTGCTGTTCAACAATCATGCATCCACCGGAGCTCCCACGACAGGGACAGCTGCAGCGATTCACGGCAACGACAGCACAAATAAACAGACTGTCGAACAAGCTGCTAAAAAGCAAGCCGGATCCACTTCACAATCGGGTGCGGCGGCCGCATCTTCCGGAAAGAGCAGTAGGCCACCTCCTGATGTAACTACGACGAAAAATGGCACGAGTAAGACCAAGAACGGTATTACTGCTGTAGGAAATGGAAATTACGCGATGCCAGGGTCATGGACGGCGTCGAAAAAGGGCGCGGCGGGGATGAAAGGCGGTTTCGGTGGGCTTTTCAAGGGAGGTAAGACCGTCTCCCCCCCGGGAATGCCGCCGCCGACCGCGAGTCAGTACCATTTTGCCAATCCGAAAATGGTACCCCCGCCGGTGCCACCCCCCTGTCTGGTAGATCCAACAAGCGAACAACAGGTGGACAAGGACGGCACGAAACGAAAGCGCGGGGTCTTTGTCGCACGGCCCGGGCAGGAGTCCTCAACCTCGAATTGGCACGCACATGTGAACCATCACGGGAGCGGGAGTGGCCTTAACTTTCCAAAGAATGGCAAGAACCCAAAATCGCCCGGTCTGGTAGCGCCGAAAACAAAACACGCAGTGAACACCACAGCAAGAGGGATGGCATCGTACCGATTGTCTACCTACTGCGTCACTACATTTACTACCTGACGAGCATCACGTTTGTAGATACATCAGAGAGGTGATGAATTTATGAGGTCTAAAAAAACTCTGATTCGTTCAGTGAGTACTTCGAGCCGAAAATAAAGAGGGCCTCTTTTATCTTTGAAAAAAAAACTGCGCCCACAGGTTTCCCCCGCCACCATACAGTGTGTACGAGTACAACCAGCATGCCGCTGCCGCAGCGACTCTGGGAGGAGCAGGATCGGGTGCGCAGCTTCACCATCACTATCCGCAGGGAAGTCACATGGCCCCTCCACCCGGCTTGGCAGCTGCTAGAGGAGGACCAAGTACGAGCGGGGGAGGAGGTGGCCCGCCGCAGGTGATTTCCCTGATGAACATGCTCGACAACCCATTGCGACACATGTCACACAAGTACCTGAAGAAAAATAAGCATCAAATGCTGGTGGGAAAGAACTTAGTCTCTACTAATCAAGAAGAACAAACACCCACTACACAACAGAACCAACAGCCGCAGTTGGTCGTGGAGCAGGACCCCGATGAGCACGTGTCCTATGTGCAGTATGCGACAAAAAATGCGGCTGCTTGAGTCCACGACAAGGTCAGGGGCTGATGCAGATAAAGAAGATACAATTGTTGTCATTCGATGTGAGTGATAGTGAACGCGTCTCGCGACCACGGCACGCCTCTAGGCATGAGCAACATTCCAGGTTTCATGCCGGATGTTCATATCGCGACGCAGGTCGACGTTTCACACCTCGCGGATCGTTGTGAACCGATGTTGATGATGTTGGTTTGAAACCTGAAACGAAATTTCACTCGTGGTTGTGATCAGATCTTCTGCCTCAAGCCAGTCTGCCTATTCATATTTCTCGCCCCCACGCTGTCGTACCCGCGACAACAAAACCAACGAAGGATTACACTCCACGAACCAGCGCAGGAGCTGCGGGGACCACGTTCGGTCGGCATCTGTTACAGCCTGGACATCAGCATTACAGCGCGGCGGGACCTGGTGCGTCGTCGGCGTCCGCAGCTTGTACTGCGGGCGCGTCAGCGGCAGGGTTCGGTGCAGCAGGGCCTTTATTCGGGTCACAAGGCGGTGTTGAAGGCGGCGGTCGTGTCCACGGCGGTGCGGAATATCCCAACAAAAGTACAGCCAGGACGAGCGGTAGCAGCAATAAAGCCGGCTCACTCGCTGACTGGAATGCTCGCGGTGGTAGGGGTGGTGGTGTCGCAGCACCAGGCGCCGGACAACAAGGCGGAGAAAAATATCTCGCGCTGTGCAGGGGCTCGAACAACAAAATGCAGCACAGCGCCGCGTCTCACAAAGATGATGGGGCGGTGGATGATCCTGCTAGTACGTCGTCCAGTGCTGTAACAAGAGCTGATTCGTCAATACACGCGTGCGCTGGGGGGAATACACAGCAACAGGTGCATCAAACTCAAGAACTGGTGTCACAACAGGAACAGACATGCGCAGGCCAGCAGTCTCACTTTCCCACCGCGCTTGACTTGCTGGCGTATGAAGACGAGGAAGATCTTATGGGTGCCCTGCCCTTCGGCTATGGACTACTCTTTCCCGAATGCGTGGAAGGACTTCGGGAGGAGTGGAGAGCCATGAAGAAGCAAAGCCAAGAGTCGCGGAAGAACTTTTTGGACACTCCCATTGTCAGTCAGTGGACCGGAGGAATTGAGCCCGCTGCTGCAGCGATGGCAGGGTAACTTCGACTACCAGTGATCCCGACCCTCTTTTATATATAGATGGATCTCGACTGTACTTGCTCCACGTCGGAAAGCGTACTCACTCAGGAAAACTTCGGCAGCAGTTGCCGACATTGACCTATTTCAGACTGTAAAAAATAGAGCTCTACTCTCTTCTTGTTCTACATTTGGCGCTTTTGGCTCGTCGTGATTTGTACGCATCATCGTCGACCACGACCTTCGACGCAGCTCGAGGTACGTAAGTATGCAGTCGCTGCAAGAAAACAAATTCCTTCACTAAAGAATATCCTGAGTATGTAGATGTACTGACTCCAGTTCTCTAGTTGGCAACTTTTTAGGCGTCTGGCTCGATTGGAGCACTCGTGCCTAGGCTGCTAAAACTGGTTTCTGAGCAACAGCAAACTGTGCTGCTCTTGCACGTTCGGTTTTTCTTTATTTTTCACAGACTGTCGTTTGATGCTCATTCTGCTGCCTCTCACGTGCAATTTTCTGTTTTTGAGTTTTGCAAGAACTTTTACTTTTAATACTTTTTTTCGTACGAAGTTGGAAGTCAAAAACTTCGAAAAAGCAAAAAAAAGCAACAAGAGCAACTTCGAATACTTGTACACCTCTTGATTTCTACGTTAACTTCGTACAGTAGAATTAGTACTGCAGATGAAACTACTACTTTTCAAACTTGGAAGTTCAAGCGGGCGAAAAACTACTATCGATTTTTTACACTTCTTCGGGTATAATTAGAAACACAATTTTTTTCTCCGTTGCTTAAAAAGAGCTACAAGCAACCTGGTGATTGAATATGTAAAGGACGACCGCATATTCTGCTGCGGGACAGATGGCGCATTACGGCGTTCGCTCCTCGGCTGGAATGGAATAAGGTTTCCAGCGACGGCAGGGTGACATGCGGAGAGCCACGCACTGGTTTATGTTGAAACAATTTCTATTTAGAGTTAACCAAGCACCACCCGTCCCGTATTCACACAAATAATTCGAATTATGTGCTGCATCTTCTCGACATCGACATGCTTATTAATTCACACCTCCAAAAATCCAATTTTCAAACGATCGTCTCTCGTCGTGCGACCGACAGAGTGTTTGGAACCCAACAAGCAAAGTAGTCGTGGCTTGCACGACGTTTGTCAAGTTGCATGTTAACAACGAAAGGTTCAGGAACACTCTGAAGACCTATTATCTTCTTGTAGATAGTCTCGATGAGCAGGCCTCCGAATGATGCTAGTTTATAGCGACTCGATTTGTACGTGTACCCCACCCAAACAGATATCGATTTTATTTCCAATGTTCTACCGCGGCTTTGCTGACGACCAACGAATCAAACTCCCTCGTTGGTGCGCCATCACGCGCGTTTTTGCATTAGATAGAGGCCTCTAGAAAATTAGTTCTTCGAGGGAGTCATCTTTCGATGTTGTTGCTGCCGAATCGACCCAGTCGCGCTGCGTCTGCAAGTACTGTACTTGAAACAACAGGGTAGCATTTTTTGGCTGCTATGTTGTAACTAATCTTCCAAAAATGCACATGCACAACGTGTTGTAGTACAAAAACACCGACTAAGAACGTCACTAGAATTACACCTGTTTTTTTCCTCACAGTTCGAGAAGTGCAGAAATTTTGATGGTGAAGTAGCTAATCCCTGCATTACTTCGCTGAGTGAAGAGCTGAACCAGTAAGCGACGGGCGAGGCAAGACTAGAATGCACCTGATGAATGCGAAGATCCAAAGTGGTTGCTTTTACCAACAAAAACAGAATCAGCTTTCTGGTCGCGGAGGCGAGCAAATTAGGTTTCAGTGATTGATTGATGCATGTTGCAGCTTGTAGCTGGCGCTCGGCCAAGAGGTTTCGTCGATGGAACACAGACCAGGGTCGATGCACTCAAAGACACGCAAAACGATTTTTAGCAGAAATCTATTAATTCATGTTGAGCCGGGTCAGCATTTCAACTGTCGACAACATCAGTGTGTTGCTGCCAACATACACTCATTGCTTGTGCGGATAGAATATGCAACAAGGCCATCGTCCAATAGTAGCACGTAGTAGGAGGGGACTGACCACCACGTTGGAGCACAGCGGAGTCTATCCAGGGCTCAATCGAAGCCCATGGTGTGGATCTGAACAACAACTTGTGTGGATCTGAAAAACAAGATCATTCGTGGTGGCAACTGCTGCGAAACAGAGGAAGCTGCTAAGCAACACTAGAACTGAGGATGTTGAGCGTACTAGAAAAATATGGAGATTCCACTTTCCGTGAGAATAGATCCACAGCGGCTACTTACAACCAAGAGGTCCGATCCTGAACCGCAAGCCGGGATCTGTGATGATGAAGATCCGAGTCCGATCTGACCTAATCGTGGATCAATCTGATTGAGAGCTTCTTCTGATCCGTGTCTCATTCAGTCGTGATGGCGCAAGTAGAATTTCTAAATGGCATGCCAATAGATACGAAAGGATAAACTAACCGTCATCTCGACGTCCGTGAAAATCAAAATCATAGCTAGAACATAGATCTCGCCCCGGGTCAATTGTAGTCTAGTAGTTCCCTCATCCTGGAATGACAATGAGTTCTGTAAAGTAGTTTTGCCTTTTCACCTTCTCCTCCTGCAGACACGGACTACCGAAGTCCTACACCTTACGACTATTCACCACGACATTTTTTCGTGCCTGCGATTTATAACATTTTTCACCGTGGTTTTTTCAGTTTTTTGGAAAACGCACCAAGATGTCTCAACCGCAAACCACCGTTATTGTCACCCCGCCGCCGGCGGGCGCGGCTTGCCGCGACGATTCCAACCCGATTGGAACTTTCGGGTGCGATAAGCGCGTCAACCCGGGCTGCTGTGTCAAATTTTTTTGCTCCGAGTGTACGGTCACCAATTACGAGGGGCTTTCCTTGTTGGCGATCATCGGTATCTACTTCTGCGCTAATTTTTTGTCTTTGATAAGGATGTGTTTATGCCTATGCATCTTCGAGCACTTGATGAAGCGGGTATTTCTGAAGTTGCATTTTTTGTATGCAGATGGACACGACGTTAGCAGCGATTACAATCACCCGCGTGAATCAGTCTGCGTTCTCAGTCACGAGAAAGAGATTTTCTGCCCCTCCTGTGATAAAAGCGTCTTTGGAAAAGCATAGATATAACAGCCCAAATACGAAAAAAAAAAACAGGTTGGATCCTGATGCTGCTTCCGGGTGCGGGTCACGGTTTGTTTGGTCTCTACGTGTGCTGCTGCTACCAGCCCCCGCTTTTGGGTGTGCACTACGGGAAACCTCGCATCAACGTCGTTGGCGGCCCGGTCAATGTCGTCCACGCGCATGCTGGCGAAGACGAGCATTTGCGCTACGATGACTTTGATGATTCAGATGACGAGCGCCTGATGCCGTAATTTGGTCGTCAACAAGTGACTCGTCAAACAAACGTTTGATTTATCCGCTCCTCGTTACATCTATCTGCGAAGGAGATGTGCAAGCGGCGCCGTGGTGGTGATGTCTCGGTACCGGCAACTTCTATACGAGTTGTGCACTCTCGCACGAAGATGATGTGTACTTGCCAGGTGCTCGCTCCTTCGCAAAAGGAAACTACCATAGCAAGACCCTAAATACAATTTCGTATCAGCTCTACGTGTAATATTTTTCATAGCATATGACGACGCTGTGTACAACGGTTTTTTCTCAACCTCAAAGGACTTATAGAAAGATATGCGGCGATGTCTCAACATCATTGAGAACTTCTGAGGTCAGAAAAGTTTTGGCCTTTTGGAGATATACGTTACAGAAGCCGTGCAGCTCTCAAAGTTGATGTTGAGTGATTTGTCTTGGAGAGGAGGATGTAGACTAATCTGTAACGTAGTTGCGCCGAACAGTTTTACGTTTTCTGGTTTTTCAAACCTTTTGATATTAAAGGCACGAACGAGTCGCGGTCTGCGCGATTTCGATATTTCTCCGGAAACCTATCGGAACGACGAGGGATTTTTATTTTCGCTTTTTGATGCAGCTCTAGCTCTACTAGGTAGCAGAGCTTGTCATGCACACTCAAGTTCATGCTCAAGAAGCGCTGATGTCTGCCACCTAATCTGCGAAACGAGAACACAAGGCTACCCATTCGAGTACATTTGGAAGTATGGGACAAAAACTGGAAGTGCGCGAGGAAATCGTACGATGAGTGGTTCTTTGTCTCTAAATTATGCTCACGGAACTATTAGCCTTTCATTTTCTGTGTCGGATAATTGCATTCCTGCATTCTCTTCTCTGGTTCAGTTTTATCGGGGGAGAGATGCATAGAGTAAGCAGGCATCCACATTAAGAAAGGAACACACGAAGTACGCTTCTACTGTTTACCTCTTTTCTGAGTCTGACACTGATAATCAACTCTGGTCTGCGCATTACTCTTCCGTAAAAGGTCCAACCGTTTTGGATGATCCTCCACGGATTTTCGCTTTGGGCTTGTATCCAAGAACACCCAATCGATTGCTGGTCAAGGTGTTCGTTTAGATAAATGAATCCATTAAGGTATTCGAAGGTCGTTTTGAGTGTGCCGGTTCGACACTGGTTTTGTTCAAAAAAGATGATTGACGACAATTCAAGTGGCCGTCACAAAGAAAAATCATGTCGGTGGTCTTTGAGTACTGCAAAATGCAGTTCGGTTGTCCTACCTATTCAGGGTTCCATCAAAGATCAAGCTATGCGAGGGGTAAGAAAATTGACGCCGTCATTCTCTGCACTTTCTTGTACTCTGAGAGATTTCCTTTGTTTCGTTTCCTTCTTTGCATCACTTCGTAGTCGTACGAAGAGATAAAGAAAATTTCTTCTTCTGCACCAGAACCAGTTCGCAGTATCATGGGAAAAATGACATCTTCATTCGAAAAATGCCTCTCTGCAGTCACAGGCATGTACGTCTTGTTCGTGGCGTTGCTCGTCGCGCCACTTGTGCACAGCACGGGCAGGGCGAGCGCGGTGCACAAGCAGGCAGGACCGCCCGGTTCCCTTGTTGCGAATAAGCTCCAGCGTGAGCTCCACCGTTGCCACACGGAGCTTGGACTGCTCGAGAATCCGGATGTGGTCAAGGACTACAATTACTTGAATGTTGCAGGAGTGTACTGTGGCACGCTCTCGTGGTTACGATACACTAGCGCCGCAGACGCAAACAAGCATGTTGGCGCAGGAACCTCTCGCCCCGCAGTTTTTCTGGACTTTTTCCTCGGCGCAGGGGGCTACCAGCAGTTTCTGCAGCAGGCCGTTGAAGCGTACCAGAGGGAAGAGTATCGCAAGGGAGCGAAGCAGGCGGATCACGTGGCCGCAGCGAAAGAAGCTTTAAGGGTGTAAAAAATTCAGCTTCAAGAACAGCTTTGAAAATTCGGCCTGTCGGTTTTTATTTTAGTCGCAGAGACCTTCAGAGTCAGCGCCAACATACAGTGGCGCCGCCAGCTCATTTCGAGCCCCATTTCGCTCGCAGAAGGTCGCAACTCGTGCGAAAGCGACCATTCGCGCCGCAAAGCATCTTCTGCGCGTCATTCGCGAGGTTCTGCGCATATTCTGCGCTCCGTTGCCAGCATTCTGCGCGCAGTTTGTCACTTCGTGACGAACTGCACACAGAGTGAGTGGGGGAACGGGTTCGCGAACACATCAAAAAACAATAGAAAGAACACCACACAAAACGAGTCAAAGAACGCCACACAAAACGAGTCAAAAAACAGCATAGCGAAAAGACAGCGTTAGGCGCGGATAAGCGCTTCCAGCGATGCCTGCTTTTTTGTGCTCAAAAAGCCACGTTTCTGCGATCAAAAAAAAGCGCGGCTGTTTCTTGCTCTCAGGAACGAACGGGAACTGGAACCCTCCCGACTCTCAAGTGGGCAAAGTTCCAGTTCCCGTTCCTGTAGCTTTCTCTGTATGAAAGCTCCAGCGCGCAGGAATTGGAGCGCTCAATTGCGGAACTCGAGCTGGAACGTTCAAAAAGAGAACGCTCCAGGTCAACACGAGCTGGAGCGTTCAAGAAATGAAAGCTATAGGAGCGGGAACAGGAACTTTGCCGACTTGAAAGGCGAGAAAGTTCCAGCTCTCGTTCCTGAGAGGAACAAAAAAGTGGGCGCCAAGGTAGTGCGCCAGCGTCTCCGCGGAGACGCGCGGGCACTACCTTGGCGGACAATTTGCACCTTCATCTCCAGTTGTTCTCTTCGGAAATTCCGAGGTACAAAAAGTGCGGGTCACGTGGCCGGGAGCGAAGCAGGCGGATCACGTGGCCGCAGCGAAATCAGCTGCTGAGGATGGGAAGAAGAGCGGAAGTTGGAAAACCAAAAGCCGAGGACCTGCATCAACTACGGATGAAGTGAAAGACGCTGCGCAGCGGATTGTGTACGTTACCTTCGAGCGTGATCACGATGTCATTCGTTCCGTGCACATGGCCCCGGGTAAGGGACTGCTCGTGAGGCCGCGGAAGAGTACCACCCTGCCGCATCAGCACGTAAAGCTGCACGATTTGGGGGCTAATGTTGGGTCAGAGGAAGCGTTCGGTCTCGGGCAGGTCAAGGCGCAAGAACCTTTGCGAGCCAATTTGACAAATTGGCTCTCCGCTGCTGCTCGATCCAGAACTTTCGTCGGTGATCTCGTGCTGGCGGACTCGCTAGCCGTCTTGGTGAAAGGCGAAGCCCTTGGCACCATGGCAAAAAGTTCCGAAAGCGGGGAGACGCCCCAGCAGTCTCCCCTTAGCACTGCGTGTGAAGCGATCTTGCAAAACCATCTGGCGCAGCGGCAGGACGCCGGGCAGTCACGCGGGAACGCAAAAGCCGGCGCCACGTCGCTGGGGAGCTTCATTCTCTTGGACGGATCGATGTGCGCCACTGTTCCGCCGTCGAGCCATCCTGAGGAAACTACCTGTTTCGAGCGCGAGTGGCTTGCGATCGAAAAGCATTGCCGACCGAGGGTGCTCTTCGTGAACAACGTGAATTTGCCGCAACACTCGGGCGGCTGGATCCGGGAACACTTGGTGACTGCGAAAAATTGGTTGGAAATCTTCACCGACGCTATGATCGACGCGGACGGTGGTGGCGCGCCAGCGCCTGCGTTGCGGGAGTTCTACCGGCACAGAAAGTTTGCCATTCTGGTGTCCCCGGAAGCGGAAGTTTTGGAGACAGGGGAGGGAGATGATGCAGCTGCTGGCTTTCCGAGCCAGACACTCGCGGCTAAGGTACTAGATCTCGTATGGTCATGGAAATTGATGTTGATGTAGAAGTAGAGTTTTTTGTACAGTGCGGAAACACGACTCTAGGTGCGTGATATTATGGAGGCATGATGACATGTAGAGTCCTCTGTTTTTCTTTTTGCATTTTCGTGCGCGTTTTAGTTTTACACTTTATGGTGCACTTCTGCATCACGAGTTTGAGTTTCCACGTGTCAATAATCCGCACCGAGCGAAGAAGAAACTTTCAACGATTCGATGCAGCCGCCAGCCGAGCCGCTTTCTCGGCGTCTCCGCGAGGGTGCCGTCAAACTCCTGCGCATTGCCGACCAGATCCAGAAGACAGGAAGCGACATGGTAAAGACTGTTTTGCGGGACGGCATGACTATCACGCACGAAGATGGCGCGCAGCCAGATCATGCCAGCACCACTACGAGAAGCAAATCCGAGGCACAGAAGCTGCAGAGCAATCTTTTCGGTATCGCCAAGCTCCGCGCCGGCGACAAAATCAGAGGTGGGGACCGGGAAACGTTTTTCACGAAATTCCTAGATGACATGAACACGCTTTTCTTCGACCGCGAGCTGCAAGCGGATCATGAAGAAGATCATGGAAAGCAAATGGGTGGGGAAGTAGTACTAGCAGACACCCCGCCCGGGGTAGCAGCTCCGAAAAAATCTTCTGGGGCCGACGTCATTTTCCGCAACTCATTCGTGTTGCCCAACATCCCGACACCTTTTGTGGCATTGAAACGAGACGTCAGGCAGTTCTACAACTATGCCGTTTCCATGGACTTGTTGATTCCGATGAAGACTAACGAGCCGCCGGCAGATGAAGCGCGGACACGGCCGAACACTGTCGCGGCAAACAAGCAAGAGCACGAGGAAAGCACCTCCGAAACGGGCACGACCGCGCCCCAAATCATCCGCCCCGAGGACCTGTGGGAATGCGCCGTGTACACGGAGTTGCTGGACGTTGCGGTGCTGAAGCCGATCGGAGTCTCCGTTTCGTCACAAGTGAACTTTCACCAGGCCCTCGCTTTTTCTCCGGATACGAACGTCATTCGGCGGCAGTGGGAACGGCTGCGCCTAGGCCAATTTGTAGACGACAGCGCGAAGGCCCTAAGTCGGGCAGAGTGGGGCGTCACTTGGGAACGGTTGCGGATAAGCTTAAAGCGGTTTGCACAGCATGCAGATAACCCTGCTCGAACCGGTAACGGGGAAGCCGTGCGAAAACAGCGAAGTAGCTCGTCGTGCGCGGAGTTTCTGGGCACGGTGACGGCGCTTCTGCAAGGGAGGAACGAGGAGACTGCCGACAGCATTTTTGATGGTGAAGGCGTTGGAAGCAATTCCGAGCAACCGACTGAGAAGGCTGCAACATCGGACAACTCGCAGTGCCTATTCGACAAGTTCGTACCGTCCACTCGCGTCCGCGACTTCGTCGTGTACGAGCGCCTTCCCGATGTTGAAAACGAACTCTGTCCGTCGTCCGTGCCTGCTCGGAACGAACTGCGGCCGACCGAAGAAACTCCTCATGACGGAGTAAAGCACGCCGAAGGGCGAAGGATCTCCTCGCACCATCAGGAGCGCGATCGAACAAAAGCACAAAGTTTGCAGCACCAGATAAACACGCTGTTTGATCACGAGGAACGGTTCGTTCGCGACTTGCAAGATCTGGAAAAGGCAATTCTCGAGTACATTCCGTCCTATTACCTGTCTCACGACTCCCTGGGTGAACTCCATATTCTGCCGACGAGCCGCGTGGCCTTGGACACGGCACGGGAAAAAGGTGTCGCCAAGCAGACGCAAGAAACGACGCAAGCGGGTGGGCAAGAGTCTGCGCGTCATGTTGCGGTGGAAAAATCCCTGACGATCCTTGGCATCACGCTGTTGAAACGAGCCCGCGAGAGTCTGCTCAGTTTCCGCCGCGGCTTCATGCTTCCCCGGCTAAGTGTTGCGATGCAAGCGCTCGCGTTTAGGAGCATACAGGAGCGGCAGAAGCGGTATCTGCAGTGCTTGGAAGGGCAAACGGTCTCCGATCAAAAAGGACGAGAAAAACGGACACCAATCGAAGACTTCGAGCATGTGGTGTGGCCTGTAGTGGCGCGGTTTTTTGCAAAAGCGAAGGCTGCACTTTTCGGCTTTGATACGGATGCAGCTGCTAGGGGCGCTGCTTCAGGACCGATTTCATTTGCAGATCCTGACCTCAGCCTGAACATCGGTAGCGTCTTCAAGTCTCTTCGCGCGGAGAGTCGCAGCGGCCAGGAAGTGCCCTTTTCCTCTTCTGCGAGCAGCAGCGCGCTAATCTCTTTTCTCGAGCAGGAATTCCGAACCCGCCAGAAGGGCAAAGAGCAAGTTTTTCCATCCACGAAGCGCGAGAAGGACTCGGCGGGAGGAAAAGGGGATCAGGCCGCGCCTGCTGCAGCGCTGTATGAAAAGCTCGAGAAGCGACTGCTGAAGCGAATCGTTGTCCCCGCGGTACGGAGATTCGGCATTCACCTCGGCGTATTCGATCCTATGTCTGCCGACTACGCAGTGCGGGCAAAGTTCACGGACTGCACGACACCCGACTCAGCAAATGCATTCGGGGCACTGGATCAGGCCGTGCGCTTCTGCTGCAGTGAGCTGGAGCCGGAAGCGCCGGAAAATCATTTCAAATGGAACCTGGCACTGAGTCGGCACATGCCATTTGAGCTCGCTGCCTTCGGTGGCTACACGATGGCACACCCAAGCACCGAGAAAGACACTGACAGAAATACCTCAACAGGAGGGTGGTCGACGTACAATAAGATAGAGGCGCTGGTGCATTCCGCCGGCCTACGTGTGGCAAAGAAACGCGTGCAGCGCCGAGAGGAAATACTAGACGCACAGACCACAGCACCGAAAAGCGAGGCGACCAGTGCGAGCGACGGCGTGCCCGGCGCTCTTCGTGCCGCGTCGGTGCAGCGACGTCCCGACCTCGAGATGGGTTTGAGCAGCAGTAGTTATCTGTTCGAACTGCTTGCGCGACGAAACGAAACGACCCGCTGGGCGGTGTCTTCCTGGTTTCCGTTGGTGAGACGGGAACCGGTAGTCCAAGCCTTGGCCGAATATCAACAAGGTAGTGCGGGACCATCCGGCTCGAGCGGCTTTCTTTTTCCATTTCTGGCGACACTTATCCAAGACCTGCGCTCGGGGCTTCACAAGCACCAGCTTTCTTGGAGTGCAGGGGATTCCGACGAGACGGTGGAGCGCAAGATGGAACTGATTTCGAACACCCTGCAGGATCGCGTTCAGAACGCGGCATCCCTTACGGCGAAGGGGACAGGAGGGCGGGGTACCACGAAGAGCCTAGCGGAAGTCTCGGCGATGCTTGAGGCTGTGGCGAACGAGAGAACGACCTCAGCGAGCCTAAACGCGGCCGCCCTTGCGAGCGCACAGGAATCCGCGTCCCGGCTGGATTGGCTGCACAAGAGTCTGCCGCGGTGGATCACCCTGCTCGGGTACGACGTTCGTCCGACGCCATTCTTGCACGTGCTCACAAGGGCCGACCGAACTGGTACTGCTGCCCAGTTTGGTTCGTTTGCAGAGCGAATGTCCTCTGCTCATTCACTCGCTAGACAAAACCAAACCGAGGGCGGTGCGCACGGCCTCCTTCTACCCCAGCGGAGCAGCGTGCCGCTCCTGAAGCACTTCGTTGCTAAATCGGAGACCACTATCTCGCCCTTGGAGCTACAATTTGCTTCCACCACCAGCGCCGCTTCCAGTATTACACGAGCAGGAGACGCGACGTCGCCGTGGCCGTTAGCAAAAATTCCGCCCTTCGTCTTTTCCGTGACAAAACTCGCGGAGAGTTTCCGAACGACGAGGGTGGTCCGCCAAAACTTAAATTTAGCAAGCAGCACTGCATCTGCTCAGCAGCATTTTCAAGGGGAAAACTATAATCGCGGCACATTTCGGCAGTTCAACGACCAAGATTGCCTGGGCTTCATCCAGAGCCATCCCTTGCCGGACCACTTCCCCGAGGCGGAAAAGGTGTTCATGAAGTACTTGAAACACGGGCCGCACCGCGCAGACTGGTGCCTGCTGTGGGTGCTTTACCACAACGGCGGGATCCACCTCGACAGCGACGTGATGGTGTACGAAAACTTTCTCCCCTTCCTCGCACACGGAGAAAATGCAGCAGTTTCTTCGCGAGCGGAGGTCATCGCGCTGGTGACGGCGAGCGAGCCCTTCTCGGTGGACACGGGCGTTTTTGGTACGACCAAAAAGAACAAGCTAGTGCTGGACGCGTTGTCGCACATTTACCAGTCCAGGAAAGACCACGCCCGATGGGCCGCGCCGTTGTCCGAAAGCTACTGGGCCACCTGCTGGATTCTTGCCGGGGCGGTGAAAAAATTGTACGTGATGGACCGCTGGGAGAAGGTGTTCTGGCTGAAACCCGTCACCATGGAAGACTATCTGTTCTAGTAAAAACGGCTGGACCGCGCGCCTCCAGTTGCTGGATGAAATGGACGTCAGTTGGCTTTCCAAGTTGTGAGCTATTGTCTGACGCAAGAGCTGCTCTTTGGTTCGCAGCATCGATTTTTTTATTCCTATGGTTATTCTTAGATACCAATCTGGTTTCGCTTTCGTGTCTTCATGTTCATGATAGACTTAGACGTGTACAATTTTTAAGTTGTAGCTCTTTAGCACGAGCTGCTCCAATATCGACGATCTTGTTGGTGTCTTACATTCGATAAGAACGCCAGCACTGAAGCCTGCCATGAACCAAGTTCGATGCCTCACGTATAGTTTGGGTTTCAGTTCGCATGTATCGACTCTGATCAAAAGATTAAATTTGTATTCTCGCATCTTCACTTCACGTTGCGACCCTTGTGCATGAGACGTGCGTCCAGCGTGAAGATGATTGCGCTCTGTAAGTAAAATCCATTTGTGATGTTGCACGATAGGAAGTTAAGTAGTCACCAGTCAGTTTGCAAGAGCAAGGCTGGTTTTTGATACTAGAGTTGATAAGTAGAGTTAGAATTTGGTAGTTTGTTGATACGTAGTATCTTGGTTTGTGCATACTTGGGATCTTGATCAGCTCCTACGAGTTGAACGTCGGGCAGCTCTGCAGCTCAGGAGGCCCAGCAAAACAATTTTGCGATAGTTGCAACCCCTTTTGAGAACTTCTTGGGACAATCAAGAAACCGGTCTTGATTAGTGCCGTATGTGCCGGAGCTCTTACAGCCTTGGGCGCGCAACCACCACATCCACCTCCTCTATGCAGACCTCCACCTCCTAGCGTAGCCATTTTCGGACTCAAGGTTGCATGGGGGATGGAAGCGGTACAGTGACAGTTCGTGAGATTCTGAGTCAGGAGAGATGAAAGCATGAGGCGAAGAGTGCGGGAAGAACACAGAGCAACAAGCTGCTCACTGCAAATGGAACGCACAATATGAGAGTTTGATTGAAGTTCATTCGGCGGTTGCGTGGAGATTTGCATATGCAGGAGGTGAAGAGCTTTACGTTTGTTCTGCATTGCCGTATTAGGTTGAAGTGAATTTGTTCTACTCTTTCGTATTTACGGGCTATCTTACGATTAGCAGAACGACCATGGCGTCATCCTCGTCTTCCAGTGGCACTCCGTACCAGCGAGTCGGTGGCACTAACTCCGCGCCGCCGCCCGCCGCAGTCCTCCCGTCCGTTGATGAGGCCGCGACTCTTTTCAACGCTAACGAGTCGCCGCGGCCCCGCTCTCCCGGACGGATGCGGGTGACCCGGGACAACGACCTATCCTGAGTAAAAACGTACCCACGCCAGAGTTGTAATGCAGATTTGCAAAGACAGGAAGACTTGTAATGCGCATCCCCATGAGAGCCATTTCCAGTCGTGTTTTGGAATTTGTGATGCTGTGAACAGGATGAGCAGATGAATCTGTGACGCGACTGCACTTGCTAACCTGCACTACACTGCAGAGCGCAACTTGTCATGCGTGACTCACAACACTCCTAGGCTTGTGTTGCAAAATCCCAATCCTGACTCTGGTGTGGGTACGTTTTTACTCAGGATACGACCCGGCGCCCCCGCCGCCCACCGGGTGCTGCGCGATCCGCGACCAGGACATGGTGATCACTGATTTGGCCCCCTTCGAGCAGGGGAGACCGTGCTACCTCGTCGTGTTTCCGATTTTTCTCCTCGCGGTGCTCGCGATGTTCTTCCTCCACTTGGAGTTCGAGCTTGTGTTGCTCCGGACGCTCGACAAGGAGAAGATCGAGGAAAAAGTGCAGAAGTTCCTGCCGGCCGGGGCCAGCTACTTCCGGATGTCGCTGGAGTCCATGCGCGACCGGCTGTACGTTTCCGAATTCTCCGTGGCACTCACGATAGGCATCGTCCTCTTCGTCGTGTACTACGTCGGGCCGAAGATGATCGCGAACCGGTTTGTGATCCCGATCAAGACGCCCATTAGTCTGGCCTACGTGTGGCGGGGCGCCAGTTTCGCGGTCCTGCTGGCCTTCGTCTTGGAGGCGTACGGACAGGTAGAGCTGATGAAGAACATTCAGTTGAAGGAGGAGGACGTCGACCCCGCCGCGAATGGTGCGCAAGAAAAAATAAGTCGTGCAGTGGCTAGTACAACCACGGCGAGCATTGGTTCTCTTGCCGCGGAGATGGAAGCAGAGGAGGCACAGTTTGACCTTCTGTCGACCCATCTGTCAGACGGGATGGAGCTGTTTTCGAAGGACTCGGTCCAGTCAACGAGCTTCGCGTCCGTCCCCTTGACCATCTACAGCATTGCCGACTACGCCTTTTCGAATGTCTGCAACGTTGTCGCTGCGCTCTTCTCGTCGCCAGGACCAGCATCTGGAGCAAGCAGAGAAGAAGATGCTGTTGCGTCCTTATCTCCTGCCTCTGCGTCGGAGAGAATCGCAGAGAAAATTGATGACGTGCCAGCGATTGCAAGGACTAGCGGAAGCGGTCGTGAGGTCGTTGGAAGTGGAGTAGAAGAAAACGCGCCGCCCGGAAGCAACCGACGACCATTTGTCGTCGAAAACGATGCGCTGCCAATGAACGGCGTGGAGCTCGAAAACGCGACCACATCAGCTTCAGAAGATCGTGATGAAGAACTACACATCATCAACATCGACAAGGATCCCGATGAAATGACTCCGCAGGAGCTGGCGCGCCACGAGCGCCAGTACCTGCAGAGTGAGGATGACGCGGGCAAAACGTTGCGCTTGTTCGACGCGATAAAGGACATGGAGCCCGAAAACGACCAGGAGGGCACTCCGCTCGAGGAGCAAGAGGATAGGCGAAGAGGACTACTACACGACATTCGAAATAACGAACCAAAGCCAGAAGGAGGAAGGAATCTTATGTCCCAGGAAGAGGCAAAGAAGCTTTTGTCGCAACGGCAACACGACAGCCCACTGAATCAGGACCAGGGTCAACAAAAGAAGAAGAAAAAGAACTTCCGCGACATCCTGAACAAATCGCAGACCATTTCGAAATACCCCGGTTTGATCCTCGGCGTGATGTTCTTTGCCGCTCTGTTCGAGGAGATCGCCAAGCTTCTGACGCTCTTGTTCGCGTTCGCGCGCGTCAAGGAGGAGATCCTCTCTACCCCCACGTGCTGTTTTTGCCACAGCTGCGGCTTTGGCGACTGTCGCGGCTACATTGTGCGAAGGTTTGAGGCATTTGTGTTTTACGGTGTGTGCGTCGGTCTGGGGTTCATGCTCACGGAAAACGTCAAGTACTTCACCATGATCGGTTTGTCGCCGGACATCGGATTTCACCGGGAGGAGGCCGAAACCGAGACCTACTGGATGCGCCGGTTTCTCGCACTCGTGAGAAACTTGTTCAACCTGCACCCCTTCTTGACGGGGTGCGCGGCGGCAAGGTACAACAAAGACAAACAGTGTTTTCTGACTACTGTTCTGTTTTTAGAATGAGAGACAAGGAGCATGCCATACCGTCCGTCCGAAAAAGCAAACAAACTTTGTTCATCCCAAAACAGGATAGCGCCCTTCCTCTACCATCGCGCAGAGGTCGCTCAGCATCCCCTGTCATCCCCCACGGCAGCGGCGGGTTCGTCATCTTCGCGAGGGCAGCCGGTCCCAATTACAGAAGAGGCCGCAGGGACATCAGCAGCGGCAGAAGGAGAAGCTGCACCAGCTCCACCGTACCAGAGCTTTGTCCGGATTCACCATAATCCGGACTACACGGTGTTATTCAAAGCCTTGTGGCTGCCCGTTTTGATCCACACCCTGTACGACGCTGGGTCGGTGTTCATCATGCTCATCTCGCCCTGGTGCCTGCTCTGGTTTCCTGTGTTGGTATCTCTCATCGCCATGGTGATCTTCTACTTCGACGTGGTTGCGCTGCGAACCTTGAAGATCGACCCAGATTTCTTTCTCGAGGATGCGCCCAATCGGAGCGGTGTCAACACCGCCGGCGGGGGACAAGATGGTATCATGGCACTGCAGAGTGTGGTGTGAATTGGAATTTTTCAGGACCGACCGCACTCTGGTTGGTACCACCAATGGTGCGCGTGCACCGGAAAGAGAGCGTGAGCGGAAACTGCCGGTATCCCGAAATTGAACTTTAAGGGTGTTGCAGCTAACGCCTTAGACAGGCGATGGACAAGCGTGGCAAACAAAGTGACTGGTCGTGAAAGTAGACCGCAAGTATCAGGGAGACAGGTACCTGCAGCTGTTCGGAAATCGCGTTTCTGATCAGAGCGCTGCATGAGTTTCTCTTGGGTCAGAGTAGCTGTATACAAGTGCGAGACTTCCTTGACGTGGAAGTAGCCAGCCGTCGAGTGAAGATGTTGCATACTTATGCAGCAAAGAGATTCCATCACAGATCTACTTAGATCCAAATCAGCGCATTTATTCCAGTGTGACGAGCGAAAGGAAAACGAAGGGCTTTTGACGCGGATCGAAAAAAATTGGTCCCGCGTTCCATGGATTATGCAAGATGTTCCGGCTGGTGGCACTGACACCTGTGCAGTGACTTGACGCGCAAAAAGCGGGCCTCGGATATTAGCATACCCTGATTTTTTCGGCTGGTATGTCGAGTTCCTCGGATACCGACCCCGGGACCCGGCGGGGCAAGAGGAACGAGGATGGTGATAACCCGCCTCCAGAGGGCGAAACGGGCCCGGACGGGGAACCAAGGGAGCCGAAACAGGAAGCACCAGCGCCACCGGTTGCGAAAAAGCCGTCGAAAAGGCTAAAGATGAGCAGCGATAAGTTTCTCACCGTCAGAGACCACGCCCAAAGGGCACTCATGAACTTCTACAAGGAGATCGACGCACTGCAGCTAGTAAAAGTGTCGAGAACGTACGTGGAAAAGTTAGACGAGCCGGTGTTTGTGTCGCTGCTTCTTCCTTACTTGAAGGCGACAAACGAGGGGCTGATGGACGAAAGGTATCAATTTTTCGACAGAAGCGAGTAATCATAAACAACGCAACTGCACGTGCGATTTTTTTATGTAGATGGAATGCGCCTCTACACCACTCAAATCCAACTATTGTCGTTTGAATTTCCACTGTAGTAAGCTGAAGATCTACCACGAAAGTTTGGTTCAAGGGTATAACGAGGCGAACAAAAAAATCCACAGCGCCTTTCCCACGCCGAGCGAGAGGGAGTTCGTCCTGCGTTTTGCGTGTCATCAGCTGTTCGATTCCGTCAGCTTAGACGGCACCCTGTCCTGGGATTCACTGCTGGAATTCATCATTCATTGGAGCGACGGATTAATCGAGAGAGAGAACTACGCGAAATTTTTCCTGACGCCGAATCTGATGTGCCTGGAGAAGCCCAGCGCCATCGACGGCGGGTTTCAAACGGCCTACTGTGTGGAAAACATACCAAGATACGGCGGAAAATGCGTCATTCTACTCGAAGCCGGGCTGGAAGAGTCTGTGCAGGGCGGACAGGTTTTGCGCTTCGTCGACCCAATGACGGGGAAGTTGCGAGGGACGTTGAAGGTATCAATGAAAGAGGCATTTTTAATCGCATGAGGTTCAGGAGGACGCACGAGGAACCCGCACCCGCTCCAGGTGGATTGAGATTAAACAGTGTTCCTACTAGTCGTCTTTCGAATTGTTCGGTGAGGATTTAAGATTTTCAAATTTGATCAACACTCTTCACCGAAAGGTGCCCGTACCCCGCGCCCCCATCCTTGTGCAGAAGGAGGAGGACCCGGGTCCGACACGAGAAGTGTTATCCGTGCAGTACCTCCCCTACACAAACGTGCTGCTCACGGCCAGCAACGCCAAGTTTTTGATGTGTTGGGACGTCGACACCAACCGACCCTGCAAGAAGATTTTTCTTCACGACCAGAAGGAGGGTGCGCAGCTATTGACCTTCTCCCACCTCCACTACAGTGAGGAGGAAAAGAGCGTGTTTCTGATCGAATTCGAGCAGGGCCGAGTTTACCGCTGGTATTTGCAAAACGTGAAGTGGAGAGCATACAACGAAGATGTGTGGGATATCTACATCAAAGACGACCCGAGAATAGTTCCCCTGACCAACGGGCACGGGAAACCCGTCCTGTGCTGCGTGGTACCACCCTGGAGGATTCTTTGTGTTTGAAATAATACGTGATACATGGTATCAACATGACGAGGCAAGAAAAAACGTATACGTGTTGACATGAGGCTACTTCCTCGATGTTGATCTTCATTCGAAATTTATCCGTGATTCAAAAAACAAAACTATCAGATGCTGACCGGCAAGCGCATGCTTGCCACGGGTTGTGTGGACGGCAGTATCATTCTCTGGGACACGATTTCCAACGCGAAAAAGCAGCACCTCTCGCAAACCAATGGGCACAGTCTGGGTGTGAAGAGTTTAACTTTCTCCCCGGAGAAGCAATTGCTAATCTCTGCCGGCTACGACAGTCGGGTGATCATCTGGGACCCCCACGCGGGAACGAAAATCTCCACGCTTTGCGAAGCTGGGTGCTCCATCGTCGACATTTGCTATCCAAGAAAAAAACTGTGTTAGTGTAACTTTATTTGGCTGACAGCATCACAAATATGCTCTACATGACAGAGAAAACCTGTCATGCGTGGCTTGTAAGGGAAAATACACATGAAAAAAGAACTTCATGGTTGTGTGGCATGACAGGTGTAACTCTGTTGCATGTTTTACATTACAGAGTTACACTTACACAGTTTTTTTCTTGCATATTTGCCTGTTAGGCTTCAACAACTACGTCTGCGCTTTCGACAACGAAAGCACCTGCAAAATCTACGATTTGAACACGTAAGTCCTGTATTTGAGTTTGTTTTGTTTTATTCAAGTAAGTAGTTCAACTTCATCAAGCATAAGCAAAAGTGACGAGGACGCGCACCACTTCAGGATGCTGCTGCAACTATTTGCTTCGACATTTTTTCAATTTTTTTATTCAGTAAATTCAAGAAAAAAACCGCAGCCTTGAGCAGTTCCAAGTTTTTGTCGCGGACGGCGTTGGGAAAAACACGAAGGGCAAGTCCGACCTGGCTCTCGGCCCGATCAAGTGCATGTGCAAAATCTCCGAGAACAGAATAATGTTTGCGGGGAGCCGAGTTTTGTTCTGGGATAGCACGCCCGAGGATCCGTTAGTCACGAGCGAGAACCCGATTCCGTGCTTTGCGTATTTACCCTATCCCAACCAAGAACTGGCTCTGCCCGTAAAGACCGACATCGTGGTGTGGGACGTGTTTCGGGGAATACCAAAGCGCACGTTGGTCAAGGTACAACTCCTGTTGATCTTCGCAGAAGACACTGCTGATGTGACAAGAAGGTGAAAAAGATGAGGCTGGTTAATGGTGCATGACGATTCTGAAATGAAATGTTGAGTGTGTCAAGAAAACCACCATAAAATAATGATGCAACGTGGTGAAAAATGAAATCCGCACGTACTTTCCACATCCAGGTTTGCTCCAACCCGGTGACAGCCCTCTCTTCCGCGAGTGAGGGAAAACGCTTCCTGGTCGGGTCAGAACGCGGGGAGGTCGGAGTGTTTCTCACGAACAGCTGCGGAATGCGATTGAAGTCCCTGGCCGCCCACCAGACGGAAATCGTTGCGGTCGAAGCGCTGAACGACGTGAAGAGGATAGTTTCGCTCTGTGCGTTTAAGGTGATCCACGTCCACGACGACACGCACGACCGGAAGACGACGTTGCTGAAGAAAATCGAAATGAATAATTGTTCCTTTCTCAAGCTGTCGGGCATTCCGCACGGGAACGTGATTGCGTGTCCCGTGCAGGAGGGCTACGTTGTGTGGTGGAGCGTCGCACCGATCAAGTACGAAGCGGGTGAGCCGCCGGCGAACCACGAGGACTTGGATGCAAACGAGAAGCCGCACAACAGTCCCGTGATCGGGTGCGCGTTCCTGGAGTCGCATCCCCTGCTGCTCACGTTAGACTCGGAGGGCGTCATCGTTTTTTGGGGGTACAGAAAACCTCTGCCCATGTACTCTGTCCACTGGAAGAGCAACCTGGAGAAACACTTCGAGGATAACATGGGCGCGCTCAACACGATATCAAATGCAAAAGTGTCTGGGTCTGGAATGTTGCCGGGTTTGTCATGCATATTTTGCATGACCCAAAATGTCTGCAATGCATGACCTAGCATCACAGATTTTTAGAGGGCTTCCTGATGCCTAACCCGCATGACAAATGCCCTCCCCACGTAGCACAAACTAGACTCCTCTTGCTGATCATGCAATGCAGGAATTTTTTAGAGTCCAGAGTTAGCATCACAATCTCCAACTCTTCCAGACCCAGACATTTTTGCAATCCATACACGACACTGAACACGCCGATAAAGAACCTCGGCGGCATATCCTGTGCAAAAACATCCCCACACCCCAGAGTTGTCATGCAAATGTGCAATGACAGAAAGATTTGTAATGCGCTCTAGCATGCGAGGCATTTCCAGTCGTGTTTGGGAATTTGTAATGCTGTAAACAGGACGAGAAAATGGCTTTGTCATGCGGCTTTCCTTGCCAGCCAGTACTACACTGCAGATCGAAACTTGTCATGCAGAACCCCAAAAACTTGGGGATTTGTGTTGCAGACTTCCCATATTGACTATGGTGTGGGGACATTTTTACATAGGATACGGCACCTCCGCGTCCAGCACATTGACCGGAGCCGCGACGGCGGACGGAACCGGCGCTGTCCCGCCACCGGCGTCCACGCCGGGAGGCAGCAGCGGCCGAGAAACGAGCGGCTTCCTGTCACCGGAGAAACAAGCCCTAGAGGACGAAGGGCCGCCGCCAATAACCAGCTGGGCGCAATTGGGTACTTCTACCGAGTAAACTTTGTTTGTCAACAGCATATGGTCTTCTTTTATTTTTCAAGGCACGACGAGCAGATGAAGTTGAAGTTTTTTTCTTGTTCGTCTTGCCCTGTCTCTGCTATGTCTCGTCATGGGCTATGGCTAAGTATGCTGTGTGAAGATCTGCACTTCCGTGCTCATTGGATCCGATATTAACCAGGGGGCGTAACCTCCATGGCGTTCGACCGCACTCACAATCTGTTCTACGTGGGCACTGACAGCGGGAGCGTGAGCAAATGGTCCATCACCGAACTGCTGAAGCAGGTGGAGCGGTCCATCCGGCAACGGGAAAGAAAAGCGTCCAACTCTTCAAGTTCGAATCCCAGTTCCGGGATGCAGTTCCGGCGCAACAGCCAGATCAGCAGCAAGAAGGAGAAGGAAGTGAAATTGCACCTGAACTGGCTGGTCTCTAACGCGTTCGGTAACGTGCAGACCAAGGGGCCGGTCGACTTGCTGCAGTACGGAAAGGACAACTTGCTCTTCGCCAGCAACATTTTGCAGCAAACGGTCTACCTGCTCGACGCCAGCAATGGCACGATCGTCGGGAAACTGCAGAAGAAGCTTTTGCTATGGAACTACCCCGTGGAAACTGGGTTCCCGCACTTCCACCAAATGATTGCCAGCGGCGCCGGGAGTGGAGCGAATTCTTTGCAAACAACACTGGAAGGAGCTGCAAGTGGGGCGAATTTCACAAGTGGAACTACGGCAAATAACATCACGGCGACAACGGTCAACGAAGGAGGAGGACCTGCAGGAGCAGTGGACAAGGACGCGGCTCTTGTGGTCTGCACCACCTCCGCGGAGCAGCTCCTGAAGATAGAAACGGACAAGATCAACAAAACCCTGTCCATATGCTCTGCAAAAGTATCGTACTCGTAAGTACTAATTGCAATCATGCATGACAAATCTTGTTTCTTAGCCAAATCAGCATTACAAACTCCATTTTTCCTTCTGAAAAAACTTGTATTGCGATTTGTACTAGTGCGATGCTTTTTCGCAGGATAGTCCATCCGGGAGATGGTGGAGATGCCCGAGACGGACGCCGACGTGGAACACAAAGCCACGGATATCAAGAAGAAAAATCCCCCTCCCCACATCAAAACGGAAATCTGTGATGCAGATTTGTGGTCACAAATCAGCTTTGTCATGCTAGAAGGAAAGACGTGCGGAGTGTAGTGCTGGCTGGCGTGGGAAAGCGTTGCGCCTTCAGCATGACAGAGAGCAACTGGAAGTGGGAAACAGCATGACAAATTGCCTACAAACGAGGCCACAACTGCGGCTCTTGGCCCTCTGGCATAGCAAGTCGATTTGTGTACTCAAATACGGCATGACAAGTTTCGTTTTCGATATGGGGAGGGGGATTTTTTCCTCTTGATAACGGAACTGCAGGACCCAGAGCTGATGATGAAGCAGGAGAAGAAGCAGACCGCGATAGAGGGCTCCTGGCGCGAGGAGCTGCGAAGAAAGAAGAAGTTCAGCGACAAGGTTCCGTCCATGTGCTCGCCGGAACGAATCCTGCAGGCCAGCCAGAACCGCAGCGTCCGACTGTCGCGCCACAGCGTGTTTTCCGACTCGAGTGAGTACCTCGGGTCCATGAGCGATGCCTCCAACTGGAAGCCGCCGTTGAAATCGGGGCTAAAGCGCGGAAAACGCTTTGAAGACAGCGTGCAGTCCAGCGGCGACCGGTTGGCAGAAGCACTGGACAAGATCGGAGCGGTGAACATTGCTGAAAACTTCAGGAGTACGAGGTTTTAGCGTACATATTACAAGGCGGCGCTGCAGTTGTGGGCTCGCAAGACCGGGCTGCAAAGAAGAATTATCCTATGTTTTAGTCGAGACGTCCTCGAAACAACGAATCCTGTAAAATCATTTTCGTTTTCGTTTCACTTGAAATAGTCATGTCACTATCGCTATCGACGCTTCGTCCCATTACAGAAATGACATCTTCAAGCATCAAAACAACTTCGAACTTGTTTTCGTTTTCGCTTTGACAAAAGATTGCGCGAGAGAGCTAGAATGTATCTGCTTATTTGTATGATTCACAAAAACGCAAGCACCACAACGGTGGCAGACAGGAAATGCAGCACGGTCTTTTTTCGAAAAGCTCACGTAAAAAAAGGAAGCGCGGCTTGCGATTGGTGCTTTCCCTACGACCAGGGTGATGCGAGCCCATGGTGCATTTAAGTACTTGATTATGTTTCTCGGTGTCCCATCGTGGTCGTATGTCTATGTGTATGTTTACGAAGGGATGAAACTGAAAGATCGTCGTGTGTTTCGAACTGACATACAGGGAGGAGAAGATGAGAAGGAGTGCGTGCAGGCTCGTTCCTTGTCAAATTGTCATCGTCTGGAGAGATGGAAACGCAAAGTGTGAAAGAAAATTTGGAGATCGCAGGCTTGGAAAAAAAACTGAAGATCATTTTTGAAAACCAACTTCAACTGAACGAACGTAGGAAATTCTCGTGCGTGAGCTTTCGCAACAACCTCTTTCTACCACAATTCTTGCACGTTATCAGTGCAAAAAAAGCGATGGGTTGGCAGAGATTGAAGTGCAGCCTGGCTGCTTCTGCGGCTTTGGCCGCCGGCGTTTGGGGAATCGAGAAGGAAAAGCTGAAGACCGAGGACAAAGACGCGGCGAAAATCAGTGACGCGCCGGTGCAGTTTTTGGTCTATTTTTGATGAGTACTTCGCACAAAACTTTTCAACTCGACCGAGCTTGCAATTTTTCGTTATCAAAAGGTGGAAATGAAAATGAATGATGGAAAGAGCATACAGCTGTTGCAAGCTTCCACTTTTTCTAAAAATAGTGCTGCTGATGCACGCACTTGCCGATGCCAAGCCACAAATTTATCAGGTATCTGATGACCAGTCCTTTTTGGAAGCCGGGACTGCCGCCGGGATTCCGCCGCCAGCATCTGCGTCACCGGGGAGCAGTAGTGGACCGCTTGCCGGTCCCCCGGGCAGCAGCGAAATCGTCGGTGGAGCACCGCCGGCAGCCGCGGATGTTGGCTCAGGACTCCCCCCGCCGTCTGTTGCTTCCTCATCTGCTGGGCCACCAGTTGTGCCCCCGCCAGCAGTGCCGGCGGCGGATCCGTCCTTGTCCCCTAGCGACCCCTCTCCAGTGCTGGGCAGCGCGGACCCAGCCCTCTCCGGACCACCAGCGGGTAGTACGCCAACCACCACGCCCGCTTCGTCACCCGATCTCGTGGACTCGCCCGCGGCTCCGATGGCCGCCTCCGGTCCGGCGACGGGTGTATTTTCCCAAGACGGGTACCCGAACCCCAACGCGGATGTGATGGCCGCGGCCCCAGCAACATCCCCAGAGAGCACCGGCGAGGCGCCCATGGCCGCGTCGGACGCCGCTGCGCCGCCCGCACCACCGATGGCCATGGACGAAGGACTCTCCGATGAGCAAAAAGCGTTTGCGACCGACAACGCCGTGCCGTCCGTGCCGTCCTCAACGCCGGTGGACCCCGTGGTCTCCGCACCGATGTCATCCTCGTCCCCCGCCGACGCGTCGTTCGGTGCAGCTCCTTCGGTGCCCCCGATGAGCGCTCCAGTGGCGAATGCGGGGCTGCAGGCGGCCGCGCCAATGGATGCTGCTGGTGCGGCGGAAGCAGCAACTTCCCCGATGTCCGCTTCTTCCGCCGATGCGGCCGCGGCCGGGAGTACTATCGCCGAACCGGCGGCCGCCCTCAACAGTGGTCCCTCGGCCGCAGCTGCACCCGCCGGTATCGCGGCCGTGGAGATCGGCAAGAAGGACGAGCCAGTGGCGTACCACCCCTACCCGGCCGAGGACGAGCGCAAGGTGGGCGAAGAGGAAGCCGAAACCACCACGCCGGCCCCCGTGATCATCGTGAAGCGGCGCCGGAAAATGCTGCGCTCGGAGAAGGACAAAGCGGCAGACTCGTCCTTCGTCCAGGCCGCGGTGGCCGCGGGCGGTCCCGATGCAGCTCCGGCGCCCAAGGAAGAAGGTGCCGCGGCGGAGGCGGTACGTGCATACTTACTTAATTTTATGACTGAGTCTCCTGGTGCTGTTTGGATCTTTCTGAGTAGCTGAACATACAAAGTACGAACAATAAACTAGATCGACGTCCAGGAACCTATCGCATCAAAAGTGCACAATTGCGATCTGAAATATCTACAACTAAACGTAATAAACAGAAACCGGAAGCGAAGGAAGGCGCGGCGGAGGGCGGCGACGCCGCGAAAAGTGCCGCACTGATGACGTCCCCCGCACTGATGAAAGCGATGCTGCTGCCGGTCGGGTTGGCGGCCGCGAACTTCCTGTTGCGCTAAAAGACGCAAGTGAGGGAGGGAAACGGAGCACGCTCCAGAAAAGCTCAAAAAATGCTTGTGCCTCGTGTATTTATGGATAAGAAAATCATCAGGAATAAAGCTAACAGAAAGACGAAGATAGAGAAGAAAACACTTGAATTAACTGGAACTCATAGACGCCAAGCGTTGGGCACAAAAATTAATGACTCTACGCTTAGAATTAGATTGAATCTGAAACATGAAGAACGCAACACAAAACAAATGAATTGCAAAAGTAGAGTTTATCGCTACTCCAATCTACTAACTTGACCTGTTGCTGTTGTACCAAGAACTCCTAAACCTAACGACGTGCTGCTCCTGGTGTTTGTCCTTGTTTGTGTGTGCTCGCTTGACCGAATATTATTCTTGACAGTACGACAAACAAATACAAATTAGAATCATGCGAACCCCCCGTGCTTATCTTTACTGTGTTTCAAATGAACCATCTTGTACCAACTTTCGAATGCGTTGAGCTACAATTCAATTGATGACTAAACTCGCACAAAAAATGTCCCCTGTTTCAACTTTTTTCATCGGAATGAACAAGATGAAATTGCGCACTTTTCTTGAGCTTGATGAATGTTACCTAGTTCTGGCAGGCTTTTAATGGCCACTAGTACTAGCTTACCTTGCAAATCCAAATTTTGAATGTATTGTTTCGGTTTCTAGCGTGAAAAGAAAACACCACTGATGAATTCCGAGAATTATTTGTAGAAGACCAATGTGGTACAAAATATTGCAATAGGCCGACAGCCAACAAGCGGCATCCGCTACTTTTCTGTCATCGTCGCGTTCGGAAGAAGAATTTTGTTTTGGAGCCAAAGTGCTGCCGGATTAGCAGTTCGGTGTCGATATTGGGATTACATACCTTTTCTTTGGCGCCTTTTGGCTTTGTGCAACCGCAGGAGTTCTGGGGCCTGGGTCAAAAATAAACTAACGCGTCGTCGTGACATTATCGCTTTTCCTATAGATACGTAGATTCGCAGGCACACTTGTGCTCCGCACAGGATTCTTCATCCCTGTAGCAGATCGAGGTTTGCACAACAAGCAATCTTTTTCGTCGAACGTTGCTAGAGGGAGAGATAGAGTTCGAGAGACTCGCTACCCTACATTGCTATGAATGCGACGAGAAGTGCAGGCCCAGCTTCGTAGTAATGTGGTCGCCGCTCGTAGGAGGAATGGTGGATGGAGGCTGTTCATGGAAGCTGAGCACGAAAAATCGCCGCGTGATGATCCGTCATCTACTTTATTCTGCATCACATGCATTACCATTAGCTCGAGATACTACTAGCAAAGCGTGTTAGCCAAGTAGTCAAAGCAAACGAAAAACTCAGAAAAAAAAGCCCCGACGTCTACTTTCAGAGCTCAAAAGAACGCAACCGACGAACGTAAATTCGGTCCGGTGTGCAAGCCCGTGATTTCTACTTTTCGTTTTCTCAAGAGTACAAAATGTTCTGCATTCAGAAGGTCGTCCTCGTTGCGCTCTGTGCTGCCTGCGGCCAATGCGTCTCGCAGAATTCGAGATCCGCCGCAGCTTCCTCAACGAAACTGCACGTGGAGGCATCGGTGGCGGCTAAACCTGACGCAGTGGCAGTGGAGTCGATATCGGCAGCCAAGGTAAAAAAGGTGCGGTTTGGATATAGTATGATGCAATGCGACACCGGACACGACGGGTGACTGAGTGTAGACGCAAGCTTGCTCTGCATGAGCAATAGCCGTCTGGGATCAGATCAAGATAAAGGTTGCCATGTATGTTATCTTATTTGCGAGGCATCACATTCAAAGAGTAGCAATGAATCGCACACCCACGACACGTCGACAACATGAGCAGCAAAAAAATCCAGGTCGGCTCCCAGCAACAAGAACCGCGAGCGGAGGCCCCAAAGCCGAAACGGCGTATGATGCGGTCAGAGAAAAACCCGGCCGGTTCTTCATTCGTCGAGGAGAAAGCGCAGCCGGGCGCGGTTCCGCCGGTCGCCGCACCAGCGGGAGTCGCTACCCAGCCACAAATGGCACAGCAGCCCATGGCAGGCGGTCCTGCTCCGGCGGGGATGCAGCCACCGGCTGCCGGTAGTGTCCCAGGCGCGAACCCGGCTGCCCCAGTCGACGGCAACGCGGCATTGCAACCGCCAGCGGCCGACGCGAACGCCGCGAACCCGGGGGACGCAGGTACGCACTTGAATTTATGTGTTTCCTTCGGGATGATCTGGTACCGCTACCGCTACTGGTGCATAACTGAGACCGATGTACGTTCTTCACCGCCGTCGAGTCAGAACAAACTGTATTTTGTGCTGTTTAGCGTATATCTGAATGCTGGCCTCCACGATGCATGGTTATGGTTTTTATTTAGCTGGTAGACCAGATCGATGAAATCGCACCAAATCACAGCACCGGCAGATGGTGCGGCTGCTGCCCCAAAGGAAGTCCCGATGGTGTACCTGGCGGCCGGTGCTTCGGCGCTGATTTTGCTGTGCCTGGGAGCGATGTGCATGATGTCGGGCACGCCATCGGAAACTGTCCATGCAACACCGTCGCCGCCCGGACCGTGAGCAGGCTTTGGTGCGTTTTGGGAAGCGATTTCATATCGATGAAAATTTTGAACCTTCTTTCTGATTGTAGCTGTAGCTGTACCTTCACCTGATGTATATCCCCATTAAGTGTACCTTCCGATGATTTAAACTACCAAGTAATTCCATTTGTAATTCGTGAGTGTCACTCTCACTGGACGCACATGTATAAAATCAAAATGAATATGAAGATGGAGAACGGTGTCGTGCAACTAAAATTGATGAGTTATTTTTTCGCGCGCCTTCTGCCTCTTTCTCCCTAAAGCAGGCTGCATGCTCTGCTAGAGCAAGAGCCTGTGAAGCGAATATGTATGTAATTGTATGATTCTATACGGCGTTAGCGTTTAGAAGACATTCGTAGAAGGAAGAAACTATCAGAAAGTGAGCCAGTTTGGTGAAGAAAAATAGAATTGAGGACTAGTGCAACCGAGCAGAAAATTACCTAGCAGGAGTGAAACGCGGATAACCTTTGTCGCGCCCATCCTCTTGCGACTCCCTATTTGTATCTATCGGACACCCCCGCAGCAGAAGAATGAAACGAAAAACCTGCCCTCCCTCTCTGTTGGAAGCAAGCGATAAATTGAAATTGCAACTGCATTTTTGCACACTGGAGGAATGGGATACAGAGATCACAAATCAGACTATGCTGTAGTCGTCGAACTGCAGAAGCAATAATTGAACGCTATTGCAGATGCCGCCAGGCGTGAATATCTACTGCGCTCTGTCTATGAGTGCAGCAGCGCATTCAGGTAGTTGCAGGAGAATCGCAAACCGGTTGCGAAGCCCGTCGACATCGAAGCGTCCAAGAAGAACTAAGATCGTTCATCGAGGTAGTTGGGGATAATATTCGTGGAACGAGGACATAGACAAAAAGGATTCCTGTCGCTTTGATGATCATGATCGCTTCTTTCGTTGCTGTAATCGCCCACCCATGTGAATGCAGCTCGTCGTCGGCAATACGCGTGAAGGCGCCAGCATGTATCGATCTAGAAGAAGAACTCTGCGTCTTCAGCTTCGCTGTTTAAGCAATGGAAAATCGTTTGTCGTGTACCTCGTCTTGGACTTCTGCGGTGAGACTGTACTATTTAACGAATATAAGCAGCAGTTCCCGAACGGAGTCTAAACAGCCACAGCTGCTTGTCATAGGTAAACACGAAAAATGATCTGGTGTGGTAAAAGAATCGAAATCCGAGTCGAGGACTGTCTCAGGATCGGCCCCAGGGGCTGCTATGTATTCGCTTCGCAGCTATGTATAGATATGAGATACACGACATTCAAATGCAAAGAGTGGTGAGATCCACTTTGGGCATGGCACCAGCTGAACGGCGGTTATTGTGAATCCAGAAGATCCCCGGCAAGTAGAAGTACTACCTCGTGAAGAGCAGAGTAGTTGGCCTATCCGTCACACGACACGCTATTGTCGCTGATCTCCCGAGCGCGGATGCGATTTTTCTGGAGATGGCTGAGCGCTTCTTTCTGCGGCACGACAGCCATAGCTGGCACTCCGGCAAACCTAGACGCTCCAGGGTACGTTCCTGCTGCAGCGCCGGTAGGGAGCGGCCAGCTGCTCAAGAACATGGAAACGCCGGGGATCGGAGGAGCATCATCGAGCATTGCGAGGAGATCAGATGAGGCGCAAACGCTCGCGGACAAGGTCGAGCGCCACTCCGCGGCATGGGCGGACCGAGAAGGGGCTGTATCCGCTGAAGGTCGTGGAGGTGCATCAAAAGGAAAAGTAGAGGATGTCAGAGTGCTTGCTGTACATCAGGATTACAACACAGTGGTAGGCGAACATGTTGCAGGAACTTTTGGAGGTCGAAGAGGAGGACAAAAAGCTCGTACCTCGACGTCGCGCGCACTTGTGGAACCGCAACCGACGGCACACCTGTACGGTGTCGTGACGGCACTTGCGGGGGGAGGTCGTGAGCATGATGAGAAAAAACATGGCAGTGCGCGACGAGCAGCCGTCCACGGTGGCTATGGTTCTAAAGCTACGGGGAACGATTTCATTCTCCGCAGGGAGGAACCCCTACGTCGTTCCGGGAATAGCGAGCGCGAAGCAACAGCGACCTGGTACGGAGGCGTACTATCACACCACGCTGTATCATTACGGCCAGAAGCGGTGGAGTTGGAAATCGTGAAGGCGGACCAGGGTTCCGAAGGCGGCCAAGAAATTAGCAGGCAAACTGCAATTCCTGTTGCAGAAGCAGGTGCGGAGGTGGTTGCAGACGATGACTTTCCTGCTCGATCCCTCGAACAAGAATATGATTGGACGAAAGGGAAACGCCAGGTGTCCAATTACGAATCCCGTGTTAAGTCAAAGTCTGGCGAATCAGATTCAAATGCTAGCAGGACAAGGAGAATTTTATCTCCGATAAAGACGGCAACGTACGGAAAGCAGAGAACGAGAAGCAGCACTGCTACCTTCCTCAAGCCGGCCGACGGCGACTTGTCTTTTTTGAGTACTGTTTCAAAATTCGATGAATTTCGGCCGCAATTCGGAATGAGTCAGACGAACGCGGCGCTAATTGGTGTTGCTTTCTTCCTGTTGATCACTGCGATTTTTAACACGGGCGCTTGTTTGCTAGCACACGCGTCTCTCTCCGGACGTGATGCCATCAGCCGTGAGGAAGTTATGCGGGACCATTTGCAGATCAAGGTTACTGATGAACGTAGACAAGTCCACGACGAGGATGGATTTGCAGATGAAGAGAGCGATAGCGGAGGCTCTGGGCTAGAGCACGGTGACGCTTGGGCAGGGGAGAGTCAGCACTCACTCGACCTTCAGAAAGGGAGCGGGCGAGCTTTATCGCGAGAAGCAGAGCCAGTTCTGCTATCGAATACCGCTTGCTTTGGCTTGAGTGCAGCAGCGAACGACGCTCATGCGGATAGCCGTGGTAGCCATGTTAGGGCGCTACCAGCAAGCGACTCTGTGGCGCAAAGAAGAAACAAACTCGATGACATCCCGGACGAGGAAAAGCAGGGTCGTCGCAGAGCTCCATCGACCACCTCTTCGTTTCTTTATTACCGTATCGGGCCGATGTTTTGGTACGATACCGCTCAAGACTTGTCATCTGCGCGAGCCGCCCCTGTGCGCAGATCCCTTGACTTGCGGATTGCTGATTTTGTGTCCACGACCTACCTACGAGGCCAGCGACTGGTGCCGGTGAAGAGCTTCCCAGATGCGTATCAGCCGGCCGGCGTTCTGGTGCAAGTTGCACAGGCTGGGTACATTGTCTGCCTTCCCGGAAGCCTGTTCGTTTTCTTCACGTTCCTGTCACTTTGGGCAAGCAACCTGCAAACAACTGATGACCGACGAACCACTCAGGGGCTCTCTTCATCACCAAGAGATGAACGTGATGGCTCTCTGAACGAAGATGCAATTGTGATGGGCGTGTTGCTCAACCTACTTCCACTGCTGCTTCTCCTGTTCGATTCGCATTTGAACGAGCAGCCGTTGAAGCTGCAACACTGGCTGTACTACTTGCTGTTTTTCATGAAGTACTTGGCGTTCGTCGTGGTCTGCTTCATTTTCGATCTGCGCGCACCCTGCGATTGCTGCGCGGGTTCCCCGGAGATGGCAGCACAGTGTCGCGACCACCAGGTCTTTCCGCCTGGCTGCCGCGCGATGAACGAGGAGGAGCAGGCGACGTACGGGGGACCGTGGAACTCGCAGGTAGCGAATAGAAACGACCTTGCCGCAGCTGCAAGCACGGATCCGGAAGGGGTATCGGTAAACAGGGCTTCTGTTCCACAGGGAATGTGCAGCTACTTCTCGGGCTTCTACAATTGGTCAACGCCAGGCATGGTGCCGGTTTACGCTGGCTTTCTGCTGTTCGCGGTCGGGCCTTTGACACTGGCGGCTGGCTGGTATTTGATCAGCCGTCGGCATGTAACGGAATGGGAGAAATACGGGTTGCCGTGGGAGTCGCGATTGCCGTTCTTCTCCGAGAGGGTGAATTTGACACTGAATCCTGCCCCTTCAAGCAGTATTGTGGAACCGGAAGACGCGGTGGCGGTTCGCGAGGAAGACGGTGACGAGATGCACGCAGTGCCAGCCTCGTCTGTGCGTTCTCTTGGCGACGAGGAGCGGGGCGTTCCACATGCACCTGCGGAACAAGACAGAAATATCAAGTATGCCTTTGTCGTGAACACTTTCTGGCTTGCGCGATTGCGAGCCGGACGCTGTGAAAAAGCGACGCAGTTCGTAAGTAGCGGTGAAAAAGAGCACGATCACCAGAGCAGTACAACAAAGCTTTCTGCGGTTGCAGCCAAGAACGAGGCATCATCTTCCGACACGACGTTCGATCCTGATCACGGTGGAGAACTAAATCCAGAACTTACAGAGCCTAGCCGCAGCGGGCGAAGAACGCAGAGCAGAAATTCTCCATTACTTTCAGCGATCGGTCGTGGGCCCGACGAGCACCCGCACGGTGGGAGTTCTAGAATGCGACCGCTCTTGGGAGAGCCGCCGCTCGTACCGGGTCAGGCAAATGCTTCTGCACGTGATGGAACGTCAGCGCAACACAGAACCGGTCGCGTTCCACTTCGAGGGGAAGATGCTGCAAGCGCTCCGGATCCCGGCCACGCGATTCCCGCCAACGAGGTACAGAGCTACGCGCGTCCGACTCCCGCCAACGAAGATGTAGCGAAGATTCAACGGCTTGGGTATTTGCGAGCAGGACTTAGCAGCCTGACGTGCAGCTTTCGCGTTGGAATCACAAACAAGGAAGCTCTGGATTTCTACGCAAACAGTCGATACTTCACGAATGATACGAATTTCCTTCTGCTATGCAATGTGGTTGGTTAGCGAGTGCCGGCTCTGAAGTCCAATGTTTCTGGATGGCTTGTGGTGCATGCAATATTTTTCTAAAGACAGTTGCACGCCATGCACTTAGATGGGGCCCTGCTCCACATGTCGGATATCAGTCACCGAATCCACATCTGCGGAGTGCTCCACCTAAGAGTAAGAAGAGAAGCAGCCAGCAGTATTTTCAAATGATAATAATTTCGGTTTGGGCTATGTCATTTGCATTTTCTTCTGCGCCTCGCCCGGCAATTGAGCTTTCTCATCGCATAATCCATCCGTTTAGCAATTTTCGGGGTGTATAACGTGGTGATTCTGTACTCCCTCGCGTTCGACCTGATTCAAGACGAGTCCCATGATCACGGGTGGTTTACGTATCTGAAGCACTGGGTATTCCTGTTGACCAGCTTCTACTTGATGCTGGCGTGCTACGTGACGTACACATCGCAAAGCACGTTGAGAAAAGTGGCAGGATAGAAGACGCCGGAAGTGAAGCGTCTAAGTACACCAACAGCGTTAGGAGAGCCGCCATGTTTGCACGATACAGTGATAGCGATGTTTTGAGATTAGAGCTGCAGATGGTTTTAAACGATAGCGAATAAGTTGACCTCTCGTAATCACATCGTTTGGTGGCAGGGGAAGCGTGAGCATTACGATACAATGAATTAGCCGCGCCAACATCCGACGAAGTACGGTTCTTGTGAGATAGCACCAGAGACTAGCTTGTTGCTCTCTTGCGCCGTGTCATCTAGATGGATCGACGTGTGGTGCATAGAGTGGAGTGCGCAGCGGAGATGAAGTGTGTTCTCAGGTCCGTCAATCCGCACGTCGCGCAAACTTTTCTGAAAGAACAGAAGCGGATCGAGAATCTTAATCTTACTACATGATGGACTTTTTTCCGAAAATTACAGTCTGCGCTTGATTTAAGTATATCTTCTCTCACTTTGTTCTGCGAATACCTGGCTTGCTTGAGACGAAAACGAAAGCTTTCAGCGTGGTTTTTTCAAGATCGAGCCGAACGGTCAAGAGAACCTGAGAGTAAGTAAGCAGCAAACCTATCTGACCGCATCAGCGTGTTGAAGCAATCAAATAGTTGTCATCAAAATCAACTCTGTATTCCATACCCCGCAAAAAAACGCACACTCACATCTATCTTCGCAAATCAATCAAAACTCGTAGGGAAATATTGTTTTTTCGTTCATTCGAACACAAAACCACCACACAAGATGGCCAAGATGATGAAGATGATGTCCATGAAGATGTCCATGAAGGTATGTCGTCGATCTGTTTTCATTTTGAGAAACTGAATCGGCATTCGCCATTGCATTTGATATGAAAGTTTACATTGGTTTCATGAAATGTCAATGCGTCATCACCAAAAAAAAAATCAACAGATGGGCATGAAGAAGATGGCCATGAAGAAGTCCACCATCGCCAAGGGCAAGCGCGCCAAGGTCTCCGTCTTCAAGGGCACCAAGGCCAAGACCTCCGGTGGCCTGAAGAAGTCCGACTTGAAGAAGAGCAAGTCCGGAAAGATCGTGTCCGCCAAGAAGTCCGCTGCCAGCAAGAAGTCCGCCGCCGGCAAGAAGATCGCCGCCTGGGGTGTCGCCACCGCCAAGGCCCGCAAGGCTTTGGGCATCAAGGGATTCTGCCCGGTCGGTGGCAAGACCGCCAAGGGCAAGGCTCTGTACACCAAGGTCAAGTCCTTCTACAAGGCCTAAGTCGTCTTCAAGACCGCTGTGAGGTGAACGAAAAAACATATTTCCGCGTGCAGCACCATCGATGCCTCTTGTTCTAAGAGGCTTGATTGACTGTATGTTATGGCAACGTATGTTGATCATGTAAGCGATCACTTCGTTTGTGACGCCGTGCACACGAGTGAGCTACCTTGCTTGTCAACTGTTGTACAGACTACTCGCTTGGAACAAGTGGTCGATCCACAGTTCGCGAGATGAATCTGTTGACTCTCCCGTGGTTGAAATCACTGACGAGATGTTAGCAAAATCACTGCAAAGCAATCGCTGCCGCTGGCTTATGCTAGGGCTGCGTTGACACAAGAACCATTTGTGTTCGCGAAGCCAAGTGGAGCTTCCCAGTTGTTTGCCACAACGACGATATCATATCGCGTTGTCGTGCCGCTTCGGTTTCAGGTAAGACTCGCAGTACGTCGCTCGGCATGTGTATAGGCTCGCATTCGGTCAGCGTTCTTTAATGGCATCTGAGTCGATCAGCATTGATTGTGAAACTACAGCTCTCCGAATTTTGGAATCTGTGGTGGATCAGTACGGCGATTTGCGGAGCTCGCGCGTGCAGCGAGGTTTGTCGCATCTATCTGTGGTCGTTGTTGATAATAAATGCAGTGGATCCACACACGAAAAAATCTCGGTCAAATGCGCTTGCCACAGACGCAAGGCAATTTTTTTTACTACTAATCGTGGAAATATAAAATCGGTACATTCATGAAGTGTACAGTACAGGGATGTGGATGTCTGCTGGTTTACGTAACTTTCAAGAGATTGATACTACCACTGTTTGATTTTTGTATGTTCATCATGTTAGCGCGCTCCAAAGCTCAGCGGAAAAAATACACCGAGCCCTTAACGGGCAAGCTGTAGTATGAGTGCAGCATGCCTTTCGGGGTCTCTGGTTTCAAAAGAGAACATCAACAGCAGCCTACGTGGTCTGCCTCGTGTACCGCGCAGATTGCTGCGCCGGACGCCGACGCGACTGGCGCGTTCAAGAAGAATCACCGTGCGCATGGGTAGCTCCTCGGGTGGCTCGAAGCACTCTCGCGAGGAGTGGTTGTTGACTCTGGATCCCAACCGCAGCTCTGGCAGAGTGCCGAACCTCGCTGCAATGGAAAGCGACATTGGCGCTGTCAAGGCGTGGAAAAAGCGTAGAACAAAGGCGCAGAGCAATGTTCCAGCACGTTGCGACCTCGAGTTCAAATGCGAGCTCTGTTAGCCGATGTCGTGACCCGAACTGATTCGGATATATTCGACAGATGATTCAAGGATAGAAATTCCGAGAAAAAGGGTATGTCAGCCTCAGCGCTGCACGACCTTACTTATTGACAGGGTGTGGCTCAACGACGAGAATATTAACCTTCTGCGCAAGCGTAAATAATGAATTCCGCTTGCAGGATTAATGATGATGATATTAACCAATTTCCAATCGATGTAAGTCTCGTTGTTGTACTTGTGGATCAACGGGAGACGAATGAGAAGAGATTGGAATCTTCGAATCACAATCAAAGGATCTTTCATTTCGGGCCTTGAACAGAAAGAAACAAAGTGGCATTCTAAATCGATACTCGTGATCAATATTAATGTAATCATAGCGAAAGAATCTTTTCATGAGATGGGATGGAGATGGTTGGATGGATTCAGAAAAATAGGAAAAAAAAATCGTAAATTTTTTTTTTCTATCGAATGCAAATTTGTCGATAATCAGGATTCTCTAAATAGAATTCATCAAAAATGATATGTATATGTTTCTGATTTTCCAGAATTTTCAATGAATTTGATGTTTTCTTTGGAAAAAATTGATATTTTCTTTCTTGGTCGGATATAATATCGAAAAATTATGATTCATATTTGTCGTAGATTCGATTCGAGATCTTTCTTTCTTTCTTGTCATGTCTGGGCATGATTCAAAGTGTCGTTCTGGCCCGGTCCGAATTTGTCTGATTGTCGTCGATCTCATCATCATGTAGTTCTCTCGATTGGTGAAGATAAAGATAAAGATGGAGAAATGAAGTAGAGAAATGATATTTGAAGAGTAAAAAAATGTCAAGTTCTAGTTCAAGAGTCAAAAGTTAATTCTTTCTTTCGATAAGGTAATTGTAAATCGATAATTTGTTTATTTTCTATTCTTATTCTCAATCTGAAAAAAGAGAAAAAAATAGTAAATCCGCTTTGAGATTTCTATTTTCATAAAAATCCAACATCTCTGTTTTTCTTTTTTGTTTTTCTATCTTTCCAGTTTCAGCATGTCATCGATTTTCGGATTAGTATCCTCATGTTCTCGGATTCCTCGGATCGTCGGTCTCGTTCTCGTTTTCGGATCGGCATCGACAAGCTCTCGGATTCCATATTTCGGAATCATCATCATCATCATCTTTTTCGGATTCATTCCATGCACCGGAGTGTCTTCTTGTTTCCCAATCGGCTTGTCGTCCGTTCTCCCCAGTCGTTCGGAGTGGGGTGTGGTTCTGTTTAGTATAGGGGCGAAAGGACGACGGGCAGGCTTGATGATGAGATGGATGATCATGATGAATAATTCTAATATCCTTATCTTTTTCCCAGTGGGAGACGACATATGTAGCAGCATCGTAATAGAAAAATACCGGGTCGGACGCCCCCGCCACCAATCCGGGCCTCAATGGGATCGGCCCCCAGTGTCATCAAAAGCAAAAAAATCATGATCCCCGCAAAAAAATTAAAAAAAAGTGGTGGCGCCCTGTTTTTCCTGCGCCCGGGGTAGTCTGGGGCGTTTTCTTCGTTCGCCTCTTGGCCCGAAGGGTGGGTCCCGGAGGTCGGCGGCTTCCTTGGGAGTTCTCCGGTCGTTGGTGTTTGGTTTTTTTTATGCGACAAAAAATCTCAAAAATCCGGCGCCTGAAAAAACCAATGGGATTTTGCCTATATGAGAAAAAGAGCCTCGAATAAATCTTGAGACAAAAAATTTCGGGCAGTTTTCTCTTGGTTCAAATTCCCATTGGTTTTAACAGGGCCGGTTTTTATGCGACAAAAAATCCGGCTTCGGTATACCATGGGGGTGTCGACCCCCTGTCGACCCCCTGTCGCAAAATTAATTTTATTTTGCCCGTTTCTCATGTTTTGCTTGTGATTTTGGGTGGTCTGGTGTTTTTGTGCCTCGGGGTCGGCGTCCCCAAGTAAGACACCCAATTTTTATTTTTTGTCGCATCGGTGTCGCAAAATTAATTGTTTTTTGTCGCAAAATTAATTCCCGACTCTTTTTTCTTTATGGGGGTGGCAGGATATTTAGGTCGGGTCCACCCCGCAGCAGTGTGTGGACCGCAGGGCACACACCCCCACAGGGCTCATTGGTGTGGAGTTCTAGCGGGGCGTGGCAGGCCATCCCATCTTTCTGGTGTTTGCGAATTCGTGTCCTGATTTCCTGACCACATTGAAAGGGATGTTTGGGTGTGGGGCTTCCCTTGTTCCTTTCGCTTCCAGCTTTCCCTGCCTTGTTGGGTGTTTCAACTCTTTTTCAAAAAATTTTTTTTGGAAAAAGAGCATGGGAGTTATGATTTTTTTTTCCGCCGAGTCCATTGGGGCCCGATCCCGTTGACGGGCCGACCGGGGGTGTGGTGGTATGTGCGCGGGGTGGTTGGGGGACGTCCAGGCGCTGCGTTATTGTTAGTGTTGATGGTCGTCTTCCGGTGTTCCGGCCCAGCATTGGGTCCGTGGTGTGGGTGGCCAGCAGGTTCGGGTCGTCCCTCGTTGTCATCGGTGTGCCGGATGTGCTTGCAGCTGGTCAGTGGCTTCTCCCGGAGCCGTGTGGTGGTCGCCACCGGTCGTCGGTTCTGTTTAGACATACAGGAGGGGCAAGGGGGAGAAGAAGAGCGAGGCGTTGTTGGTTCAATTTCAGACCTTGAGACTCTACCAGCAAAAGCAACACAGAGCAGCAACGTGGTAGAATTATACCGTGCCGGACGCCCCCACCCCCCTCTTCGGTCTAGTGTGTGGTCGTTGCCTGGGGTTGGTGGGGGACGTCCCGGCGCTGTGTTTTTTCTAGCGCAAAGGACTGAGCTGTTGTTGGTCTTGTTGGTGTCCCGGTGCTCTTCCCCTGGGTGTCCCCACGCGCCTTTGTATGTGGCCGCGGGAATGTGCGCCGGTTTGCCGATCGAAGTCGTAGCACATGGCGCGGGTGGGCAACAATTCCATCAGTGGTTCGTCTATCGGACGGCACCGACATGAGGAGGGTGGGCGCCTCCGTCGCAGGATCCCCACCGACTCCGGGTGGGGGGTATTGCGTTGGGGCATTGCACTTACCACGGTATGGTGGGCCTCGCCCCATTGTGTCCCGGCGTCGACTGCGCTCCACCCGCGTGTTTCACATCCCCAATCGGCATCATACCGTTGTAAGAGCACCCCCACCCCTGTGATACTCCCGGACCATCTCCGGCTCGTCTTCCTCGAGCTGCAACTTCCGCCCTGGTTCGCCCTCGTTGGTACCCGGCGCCGACACCTCCCAACAACGTCGGCGTTCTTCGGACGGCCACAATAGACACGAGTCGTCCCAAGGGACTGCACGGCTGTATTCGAGATGTATTTGTCATAAGATTCGATTCGAGATGATTTTTGTTTCTTTCTGGTCATGTCTGGGTAGGACTCAAATTTGTCATAGGATCGGATCGATATTCATATTATATTATCTTTTTCGTTTTCATCTTCAAGGTCAAATTCTTTTCTCACAAAATCTCAAATACAAATATTATCATCTCCGAATCTGGGTATGAATGTTTTTTACAAGAAAAAAAAATAAAAATGAAATTATCCATCGAGAAAATTAATATGAAATTCTCCTTTATCGGAATTGATTCTTCTTGAGGAATTTCTTCTTGAGGAATTTCTTCTTGAGGAATTTCTTCTTGAGGAATTTCTTCTTGAGGAATTTCTTCTTGAGGAATTCAAGATTTTCTTTCTTTCATCATCATCACCGAAATACATTGGAGGAGGAATATGTTATGGATTATATCCTGAATCCAATCTTTCAAATCGATTCTGATGGGGGGAGAATATGCAAAATTGCAATCTTTTAAATTGTATCTGATTCCGATCCTGAAATTCTCGATGATGATTGATCATCTATCATTGATATTATTTCAAGAAAAATATCTCCTCGGATTATTATGAATGAATCGAGAAAAAAACAGAAATTCCAGGACCAAAATCCTTATCATTTTCATTCTTTCACCTCACCTTCCCAATTGTTTGCTAGACGACTACACGAAACGAAAACAAAACGAAAACAGATTCAATCAAATTCTATATTATGATGAAGATCTGAATGACATGATGATGATGATTGAATCTCAGACCGAACCTTTGACATACTTGAATCTATCATATATACCCTGCCACACATGATTGACGTTGACCAGAAAGATAGACTCATTGTAAAAATTGAGATTAATATTGATGGATTGATGGAGATGATGAATTTTTTGACGGATTGATGGATTCAGGGCCTTGAATTTTTGACGCCATGCTCTGGCATGGAAAGAAAGAAAGAAGTAGGAGATGATGATGAGAACATCTGAAAGAATGATAATAATAGAAAGAAATCAATGCATAGGATGAACATGATGGCGTTCAGATGCACAGATGCTTGCTAGCTTGCATTGCTACGCACGGACCGATGCTAAACTAAACACACGAAAGGTTCGAACATACACAAAATTTGCGTCAGCTTCTAGTAAAATAGCGTGTAGCAAGTATGTTCAAATTATTCGACTTCGACCCCTGTCGACCTGTAGACAAACAAAAGCAGTCTTAGTGCTGGGGGTTTTCGGGAGCTTAACTAGTATTTGTAAGAGCTCCACCATCTCTGATTTTTGCTTTCTTCCATCCTTGCTCGCATCGCGTAAGATCATGCTTTTTCTAGATCTGTATTGCGTGGCGTGCTTGCTTTGTGCTTTCATTCAGTGACTTGGCAAAAAGGAGCCAGAAAACTTGCTGCCTAATCACTGTGCTTCTAAGTTGCGTCTGCTCGAAGCAAAACCGGATCTACATCCACACGCTCAGTCCAATGATAAAACATTGCGATGGGATGAACATGATAATGCATAGGATGAACATGATAAAATTATTGCGATGGTTTCCAACTCCATATCTGCAGCTGAAATCCAAGGAGCATGGTTGGTTTTTTAGGATCTCACAAGCGAATTGATTTTTCTGATTCGAATGTCTGCGTGCAACTTTTTGCGCATCCATGTTATGAGATTGTTTCGGCCATACTAGTTTTTGTATTTCGCGCTAGCGTTCTGTTCGGCTGCTCCCTCAATATCGTAGCCTACGGGAAAACTTTCTTCCACGAAGCACATTTCTTCGATTGTTCGCAGCGTTACAAGTGGCGATGACTGCACGCGCCGAGAGCGGAGGATGTAGTCAGAAAGCCGGCGCTTGAAGTTCTCGAATTCTAGAATGACGTGGTCCAACTGCGCCTGCTTGCTGGCCAATTGGGTGTGGTACGTGTTGTCTTTCTGCTGGTAGATACCCTCCATCTCCTGCACGTTCTCCTGTCGTACGAGGGCTTCCTTTTGCAGTCGCATCCTCTCCTTCTCCAGTTGCCGCACCTTCTCCACCAGGTTCCGAGCTGCGCGCTCCGCGGTGTGCAGCTTCTCCTCCGACTTCTGCAGGTCCTGCTTCAGCTTCAGCCGCTCTGTTTCGCTGACGCCGAATTTTTCTTCCAGCCGAAGTTTTTCGTTTCGCAGCTCGGAGAGTCGCCCGGCGGCGTCGTTGTTGCGCTCGATGAGCCGGAGGTCCTGGACATACTCCAAATTTTTCGCCTCCAGGCGTCGACAATCCTCGTCCATGCGGTCCAGCCGACGCTTCGTTTCGGCTTGCAGCGCTTGCGTGTGCGCGAGTTCCTTTTCGCGAACCTGGAGCGCGTACTCGCACTGCTCTGCCTTCTGTCGTTGCGCAACAGCGTCGCCCGCGGCTTTCTGCCAGTTTTCCACCGCCTCGTGTTTGTCGCGTAGCGAAACCGCAATTTGCTTGGACAGTTCTTCGTTCACGAAGCGTAGGTCAACCACCTCCTGCAGCAACTCATTTTTGTCGCGAATGTACCCCATATGAGAGCGCACAAGAGGACCCCGTCCCCGTCATCCCTCTTTGTATGGCGTTTTGGCCCGCAATTATAGAAGGAGCACCAGCTATGCTAGCACGTAGCCTGTGCTGCATGACAAGCTAAACATGCGCAGAAATACTCTTTGGGTTTCGTTAATGGGTGGTGCAAATCACGCCAAAATAAGGCAGCAGCTGGATAGGATTTGGTTTTTTTTTTTTTGCATTACAAAGGACAATGAGGGGGAACAAGGGGAGTTGTTGCGCAATGTCATAACCCCGAATGGTGCGCGTCTTTGGAGGGGGGCCAAAATAATCAGGGGACCGTGCGCCACCCGGCCGGAAAGAGGGCTTCGGGCCGTCTGCCAGTCGCGCGTTCTGGTGCAGTGTCTGGTACGACGGCAAGCCATAGTTGTGAAGAGTCTGCGGCGAGGACTGCGGTCGACCCAATGATCCGAACGACCGCATGTAGGCGCCTTCCTTCAAATAGTGGTCCAAAGCGTTGGTGGCGGCCGAGTCGGCTGGAGACCGCGGGGACGAGGCAAAACTGCGAGAGCGCCGCCCGGGTAACATCAAGTATCCGGGATCTTCTGGCGGTGACGAAAGCCGCGTAGCACTTGTAGCGGTCCGGGCCGAACGCTCGAGCGGATCACCAGGGACGGCTGCTCGTGAAGATGCGCCCGCCATTTCCTCCTGCTCCGTCCTCTGAGTTAAGGCTTGCACTTGCTCCCCCACTTGTTCGCTCCTTGCAACTGCAGCGGCCGTGGTCCTCTCCGCACCGACCACCGGCGATGGAGTGCTCGTGTTGACGATCGCCATATCAGAATTACAATTAGTGCGAGGCCGTCCTTGCGCTACTGCTTCCACTAGCGGAATGGCGTTCTTGATGATGTTCACTCCGGACGAGATCACTTCCTCGTTATTATGGGGCACTACATCACGTTGTTCCGCCTGAAGTACAACAACTGCCTGCTGCGACGAGTTTTCCACCTGTTCAACTAGCGTGTCGGCATAATATGCGCCGCTTCGCTGCAACGCGTCGCCCTCTACTTCCTCACTACGCACCCCGCGAGGACCGCCCACTTCTACCTGGCTTGGGCCTTCTTCGTGGTACAATTCCACTCGTGCCCCTCTGGGACGCAAGTAGTCCGGATACAGGGTTCGCAGGGAGTCATGCGCGTATGCACTGTTTGCGGCGGTTCCGAAAGAAGTGCTCGACGTCGTCGTGTAGTGCCGCAAATCCCCAGTGGGGCGACGCGGCGGGGCGTAGGGTGTTTGGGAACTTTTCCGCGTGGCACCGCCTGTCTCGGCATCGACGATCGCGTCCATCACGCGTGATGCTGCGTGGCGGCACAGGTGCACGATATTGTCCTGCGCTATCCTTCCTGGACGCGCCGCTGCACCGGCCGTCACCGAACTTGCTCGCTTTTTCGCCGCCGCACGCTTGTGCGGTGGCACTTTCGGATACACCATTGCACAGGAAACAACTACGCCTTAGTCGAGAATCGAGGAGCGTCGACACAAATAACGCGGCTGGGCAGTTTTGATGAGGCACGCTTCGCGTGCTCGTGGTCCATGTGCTGAGTGCTAAAGATGAACTCGGGTGGGAAAAAATCGGCAACTATCAAAGGCCCGGGCGACTCATCATTATTAAACGATAACGAGAAGCGAGCAAGGCCGAGCCACAAGCGACGCGATTGCCGTACGCTCACATCTGCCGGTTGGATTTGCCACGAGCGAGCTTGTACACAATAAGCGAAGATATGCGTAATACACGTGACTATCTTCTCTAGTATTCTTTGTCTTTGTCCTTTTTCTTCTACCCTTTACCTCCACTTCTCTTTGTGTTTATTCGCTCGGTCTCAGTGTCAATACTTCCACATAAGGGCAAGGATGTGTATGTGTAACCGCAACACCAGGAACAATTCTAGTAGCATGGTACTACACTTCCATTTCGGTAGGTGTCATAGGACTAGCAATCAGGGACGAGTAGTTGTGAGAGAGACAATACATTGGTGAGTTTTGTTTTTGTGTCACATCACAAGCGAGCCGTTCGATGAAAAAGCGTTTATATTAGCAGCCTTGATCATGTTCCGCATTGTGGAGGCAGATTCTGCGATATTTTGTGAAGCCTCTGTGGTTGGCAAAAAGAACGCGCTTCGGCGGATATTTTGCAGAAAACAGGTCAACAAGTACAAAACTTTTTTTGTGGAATACAAGTCATCATCGAGCTCGTCGTCGTCCGAGGAAGAGTCCTCAGTTCTTGATGTGTAGTTAATTGCGCGATCGTCAACACGACCACCGTGTGATTCAGAAGTCTGGGCAGTATGCTGATGGTTCTCCTGGTTTCTGTGGATACCCTTTTCCGCAGCTGCACGAGGACCAGAGCCAGACTGTACACCGCCTTCCGCATCGACTCTGTCTCCTCGCGTGACCACCACCTCATGGTCGAACTCGCAGGCGTGCAAAAACTTCTTGAAACTTACCACGCTTCCAAATCCGTCGCGCGAAAGCAGACGGTGGAGAGCCTGCATCTGGGACCAGGTCATAACATCGCTCGGGTCCAACTTCTCGAGGACGAAGTCTTCTTGATGTTTGTGGTGCGAAAATAACGGGTCGTCTTGGTCATTCGCTCTTGCTTGCTCTTGTCCACCGTCCTCGGCCGGGCTCGTCTTTCCGCTGGTCGCTTGTTTCTGTCTGCTTAAAGTTGCACCATTTTCATTTTTTTGCAGCGCCGATGACGATGAGCTCGTTGTGTTTGGTGGCGCGGAACTTGCATTTATTGATGTTCTCTTCAAGAAATACAAATAAGTCACCCGCCCAGGTTTGTTAGTGGTTGAAGACGAAGAAGGTTTTTCTTTCCTCATCCTTTCGCCGCTTGTTTTTCCTGAGGTGGAAGGAAAAGGAATACCACCACCTCGCGCAAATTCAATCAGGTGTTCCGCTTGCGAGCAGTATGGAAAGTGACAAATCTTTAAATCTTCGTCCTGCGAGCTGCAAGGCGCCAACCGAGCCAACAGCAGCCAATTTTCCTTTTTCCCAGAGAAACGCAAGTTTCTATATTCAGCCCGGGGGATGGATGCAAATAAGAACACGATGCTGTAGTTTGTTACTGTAGCTACATCAACAGCGAGAGCAGCAATATTGCTATCTCATTGCCAGCTGCCGCGGTCGCGTCGTACTTCGCAACAACGAAACTTTTGTATCACAAGATACGTCGCGGGACGTCGGCGCAGTTAGTGATACCATCCATAGTAGTGGCTGTCGAAGCGTATGCATGGTATGTAGAAGCTTGTTGGGCAACCTGAAGACGACGAGGAAAGATCGGATGAAGATTGTCACGTGCGTATCCGGTCCAGGGCGCGATCCCGTTGCAGATGTTCTTCTGTCGTCCCGTCAGTAGTCAGCACATCTACCTGAGTAGAGCTCTGCGGGTCGTCCAACTTCGCGGGTATTTGCGTGATTGGGGGTATCATCTTCTTCGCGGCGCTCGTGGTCGTTCCATTGTTCCCAGCTGGTGCTCTATCGAATGCAAAAATGTTTGGGTCTGGAAGATTCGGAGGTTTGTCATGCTGGTCCGGCATGACCCTTAACTCTGTATTGCGTGGCCACAAACAGGCTCTCTCGCCTGTCATGCAGAAACGCAGTTTCTCATGCGGAATACGCAGCACAGGAGCACGAAAAAACTTGTCATGCTTGGCGATGCATTACAATGCATTCCTTATTGACTGACTTGCGTTACAAGTTTCCAGACCCAGACATATTTGCAATGCATATGCTCGTCCAACCCCGGGCGCCCCGGTTTCAGCGCCGCCTCCAGCTCCGGCGGCCGACGAGCCGGGCGGTAGACACGGATTGTAACGATATCAATCAAAAAACAAGATGAAGTGCAGCATTTATTTTGATTTATTGCAGTACAATGCACCTCCAGGACGTCCATTTCTTGCAGCAAGTAAAAGTACTATTTATTTCTGCATGACCAAGGACAAGTAGGCAGAAACAGAATCAGAATGTGCAACAAGAATTTGTTTGCCAGAAGATTCAGCTGGATACCGGATTCGCATTCAGAACAAAGGCCTGCATGAAATCCGCTCGGATCTGCGCGAAGGTTCTCTCGCCCGGGTTTATCATCAGCCGCATGAAGGTTTCGAGGTCGTCGAGCAGCAAAAACCCGGTTTGGTGCCGGTCCAGCCCCAGGAGGACGTAGAAGTGCAAAAAGTGATCGACGCTGTAGCAGAGCTATGCATCGCAAAAGTATCGCACTAGTAGTAATCGCAATACAAATTAAGTAAGTAGGTAGCTTAGAGGTATGACAAATGGAATCTATGATGCTGAGTTTGCTTGGAAAAGGGATTTGTCTTGCATAACTGCGAAGATTAGAAGTACAAGTGCGATACTTTTGCACAGGATAAGAGCACCTGGTCGAGTTCGTCCATGTCTTCGACGGAGCGAAACAAACTGGTTGGCTGCATTATGCATTGCAAAATTATTGCGTTTCCGTTTGCGCTCCCTCGTACTAATCAAAGGCATGCAAATAAAGACAAATGAATCTCTAACTAAAGCAAAATCGGTATGCAAAATTCCATTTGTCATGCTGGTGGTGACCTGCCTTCCTGGTATTCATTGCAGTTCCTCCTAGTACAATACTTGTTTTGCAATTCATATGCGTTGAGGAAAATTTCAAAAGCTGCTCCAGGGTGCAACGTGGTTCCTTCCGTCGTAATTTGGACATTGCCTGCTCCGCGGAGAAACGGGCACCCATTTTCGGTAGGTTTTAGAAGAAACGAGCGCTTTCCTGCTTGGTGTAGGTCTAGGTTAATGTTTCTTGTTTCAAGAATATCGAGAATAGTACGGGTTTTTGGTGCATTTACGAAAGGAGCATCAGGTCACTCTCCTTCATACCGCGAATGCAATACGGCCTTAGCAGCTGGCTAAATGAGTCTGAGTCTGTCGTATTTGCAAGATCGTTTGCTTCTGCTTCTGCTTCAGGTGGGGGCGACTTTTATGCCTACTTTGCTTACTGTCTTAATCAGCTCGCTGCATCTGTGGCGTCGGGCGCACGTTCTAGCATCATAAATTCCAAATCGAAATCCAGCAGAGCTACTCTCTTTTAAAGCACTTTTCTTTAGGTAAAAAGTATGCAATTGTTGACGGAGGTTGTCTGATCTCCACGATGCAAGTGACGATCACTGACCACGAAGAAAATATCCTGCCTCCAAGGAAAATGCACAAGTCGCAGAAGAGAATGGAACAAGAGCAGGAACAAAATGAGGCGCCAGACATACACACAACTTCTTCAAGTCGGGAGCTGCCTCTGACAAGACCGGCGTCTTACTTGAAACGGCACTACTGCTCGCGAACAATCCAAGTATGCATATAACAGGCAACCCGTCTGTTGGACATGGAAAGAAACTTCCAGAGACAATTTCGTTTGTACTCACTCAAGCAAACGAAGAAGTTACGTGGACGATAGTATCATGTATCATCTGCTTGGTTGGCTCGCTTTTACAGCGTCTGCGTCGATCTTGATCTTCGTCAGCTATCTTGCTTTGACTGCATCAACATCTTCATGGATCCATCGACATCTTGTTGATTAATTGTACTCTGCTAAGATGCAAAACATGCATACAGGTACATATTTGTACTTATTTCATGTGCGTACCCGAGTGTGCTAGAGGGCTTGTTTGTGGTAGAGATGATCGACTTTATTCGCTGCCGCTGGGAGTAGTCGTTGGATGCCTCTTTTTTATCGTAAGCTTCTAGAAATATCCATAATATGCGTAGTCTTGACCTCCCGGTCCCGCGAATGATGCAGATATTCATTATGGCTTTGTAGGGCTAGGGTCTAGAAACTTAGAGAACCCATATGCGTATTTGAGAAACTTAGAGCACCCATATCGGAGAAGCGAAATACGGAAGTCGTTACACGCCCTGAGTTTACTGCGTTCCTGTCAGCGTGGAGGTTTATTGATGTGCTTGCGTACTCTAATATTATATCGTGATTGCTGTTCATGTTATCTGTTACTGTTTATGTGAGAATAGAGCCTATATGTTGACTATGCTTTGTGGAAGATTGCTAGATATTCATATTGATATTCGAGAAATCCAATTTTGACTGTTCTGTTTTTGGGTAAAAGTAAAACGATTTGGCACGTTCATAGTGTGCACTTTTGGTATTTGCAACAGACACTGATTCTGATACTGAAACGAAAGCGAAACAAATACTTTTATAAACGATTTTTTTCTTGGTTTACCTATTCATCAGCTATCAATCTATTCCTTCTTCGTCGACAAAATCGTTGTTGTTTTTTTTCATATGTTGATCGTAATATGTTGAAGATAGATGTTCTTTGCAAGAAATTAATATTATCAGTTACAGTTTGTCATTCTCGATGAAGGTATTTTGCATACCTCCAAAGAGGAGGTTGATGTAGTTACTATTACAGCTAGGAAGATAGATATGCGTAGTATTTTGCTAAAAACGAAAAAAGAGAAAGACAAACATCTGTTCTGGAATAAAGAGTTTGTTTTTTGGAGATGAAAGTTGTCACCAGAGAGGAGAACAAGAAGAACGACCCAGTAGAAGTAGCTGTGCATGTTCTATTCGGAGCACCACGGGAGTTAATATGCAGCTGATCCGCCCCAATTCAAACCCGTTTACAATCCGCTTCATCATCGGTGTATTTTTAGGGATTGAACGACAACGGCATCCAGTCGGGTGATCCGCAAGCCCGGTAGATGTGCGGAGCGAAGTCGAGATCCTTGTCTTTGATCCCCGTGTTTTCCATCACGTTGCGGTTGCGGTAGGGATCCCAGGTCATCACGCAGGCGAGAAACGCGTAGTAGATGCCAAACCCACCGTACATTCCTCGCATCTTCTGGCGCCCGCCGCGTTCGATCTGCCACATGAACTGCCCGACCAGGTCCCGCCAATTTTTCAGGGCGCCTATAGAGGGGAAGTGCGTGACAGCGACGTATTTGGGTACTGCTGCTACTAGCCCTGAGAGACAGACATCGTCATCCGCCCTCGCATGCGGTCTACTGGAGTGATCTCATTTCATTCTGGTGCACTTTCTTTGATGTCCATGTGGATGTGCATCAGAAGAAAAGCTGCAATGGTGATGAATCCGCATGACATCAAGTTGGCTCTTTTCTGAAGACTAGCAGCAGTCGGGTTCGGGAAGATCACGCACTTCCCTTTCGTAGCGCTGTCTTCGTTGAAGTGGATGCTGCAGGTAATACTCAGGTATGGCACACTCAAGCGTTACATTGATCGCCCTTATATGGTTTGTCATGCAAAATGACCACCACCCACAGGGACAGGCAGCCTCACCATTCGCATTGCCACGATGCAATTAGTTCGTGTGACAAGCTTTCCACGCTCTAAATAGCATTGAAATTTTTATACATGATCGAGTTGTCTATACTTAAAGCAAGACGCACAAGCTTGCCCCTCTGGCTTGTTTTCCTTTTGGTTTTGCTACAACTATTTTTTTATTACAATACATGACCAAATCGTACAGCAGCGATCTATGTAACGTTGGAGAGCCCCATACCAGGTACGAGGCCAGATCGGTGAGCAGAAAGATCAGGGTGTAGACGAGGTAGTCGGCGCGCAACCCAACTTCTCTGCTCTCCACGTCGTGCCGTAGATATGAAAGTAGTGCACATCAGCTCCCCCCGGCAGCAGCTCACAATACGACCAAAAGATGTGCACTGAAGGAGCAATTATTATTTATCATTAAGACCACAAGGGAACCAATGTTGACATCAATGGATGCACCGGGCGCTGCAGCACGTTCTACGACTACGACATTGTCGATGATGATTTGAATCTGATGGCCTCTAAGCCTTAGGTTGTGACAATCCCTGACCCTGTGCGATTCACTCCTTTGTATTCTTTTGAATAATAAATTTATGCACGATCAAATGGGAATTAATAGCAAAACCAATAGCTGTAGTTCTGCTTGTGTGGGCGGTGCGTTATCCCGCAACTACGAACTATGGGTTATGCCGTGCTAGAGGAAAGGGCAAGCACCTGGCATTTGATTTTTGTGAACTTGTAGGCGTAGAGTAGAGAGGAGAATAGAGCAGGAGAGTTCATGTGCACTGTCGTAGGGGAAAGCCTGGGTAGAACGACGCGTCACCGACTAGCCCCAGAATCGGCGAAAACAGCACTACGGAGGCAGTGAACAGACGAATCATCATGCGCAACTGAAACCGCTGAAAGTTCTCCTGCTGCACGAATTCCAGCATGGCGCGGGCCTGTTTTGGGGAAAACAGGGATGATGATGATCATGATGCTGCTTTGCTTCGCATTGATTTTTACGTATAATCGCCTTCACAATATATATTCCCAGCATTTTCATTTTGCTTCTGGTGCTTTGACGTAGTTTTTGTGGAAAAGCACAAAGATGAGAAAGGACCAATGAAAATGAATTAAGGAAGGCCACAGGATTAGAATAATGAATTAGATTCATGAATAACACATGTTTTTTTTTCGCTGCATCAAGTCTAGTACTTACCCGGGTGAGATCCGCGACCGAGACGGGGTACGGGGTTTTCCGGCCCGGGATCACCATGAAGGGCTCCAGCCGTGGGACGTTGGTGGCGATGATTCGGTGATTCGCGAACTGAAAGTTACGGTTGTAGCGCTGCACGGTACCGTCCTCGTTCAGCGTCGTCGTTTCCTGTTCCTGTTCGTCGTTTATCCCTCGCGAAAACGTCGTCCACAACTACACGCGCAAGCCAAAATCAAGAGAAACCAAATAGCGGTCTGCGAGACATGAATCGCAATCGCCAAGAAGAAGGCGACATTCAGTACTTTTACTTTACAGATCGATGCCAAGCTGTTGGCCATCATACATCGCGCGACGTGCGTCGACGGCTGCATTTCCGGGACCAGCCAGTCCCAAAGCACGTCTCAGCTCTTCGGCCGAGCCTCTTTCGAACTGTTTCTAGTTGCTGAAGTGCGATTTTTCTATTGTTATGCGCAGATTCCCGCGCCGTTGTGCCTCCACGGCGGCGCGAGCCCCAAATACTTTTACTTTACAGATATGTGTTTCTTTGAACATTTTCAACTGTCGAGCGGAATCCGGCGAAGCTATCGGGTTGAGCGAGCCGCGGTTCATGCTTTCGTGTCGCGACTGGGTGACCTTAGATGAGACCGACAACACCCGGGAAAGATTTCATGCATGCAACAATGCGTGAGCGTGGGAGACTAAGTAGCAAATATCAGGCATTTGAGGGCCGTCAAGACTCTCCGGGGTGGTAGGTAAGCATCTTGGTCCGGGACGGGCGAGACCATCTATCATTTTGGACGAGGCGGGTTTATGTTTAAGGAAGTGCATGTTGACAGACTTTTTGGAAGGCATTATGCAAAGTTGCGTGACGAGCATGTCGCACTCTGGTGGCAGGGGGTGGCGGGGACGTTTTCACAAAGGATATCATCCAGCTCAAAATTATCAATGTTCATGACGTCGTCCTCCGCGTACCCTTATGCATTGCAAAAAGTATCGTGCTTGTTGAGACTTAGATAATTGTAATTTAATTAATAAGATGTAATACATCAATTATGCATCATCAATGTGCTGCGTTGAGTTTTTTGTATCTATTTTCATCTTGAGCATGCAAGCTTTTCATGCAATTCACACTACGAAGTAGTACGATGCTTTTGCTTTTACACAGGATAGTCCGATGGAAATTTTGTGACATCCAGATCGCCATCAACGCGTGAATAAATGAGACTGTAGGTAGACGCATAGTCTAGTGCTCCTATATGACCAGCATGCAATATTTACCAATCTGATATTTATGGATTGGCATCTGTATTCTGTTCGACCCTAAGTCTTGAACTGTCCCGCGAGCTGCCGCTGTTCTTTGTCGTCTTTGTACTAGTCTGTCTTCTTATAAATACGAAAAATATAAAGTAAACAAAAAATCGTGCTGCATGAGCAGGTTCACAGATTGATGTTAGGTCATGTTCATGGCGATTAGGTGCTCTTTGTAGTGGTGGATACTGCATCCTTGCTGGGCTTTGCCTTCTTGGCCGCTTTCGGTGCGGCACCCTTAGCGCCCTTGCCTTTTCCCTTGCCTTTCCCTTTACCGCTGGACGAAGGCTGTAGTGGGTAGTGAGTGGGTCGATGCTATAGAAGGAAATACTAGGTACGTGTTAATAAGTTTGCACTGCGATCGACGAAATTATCTGAGATGAAAGAAGAGCAACATCATCCATCGTCGTCTAATTCAACTTCTTGTCATAAGTACTTTGCTCTCCTCATCGGCAGAAGGAGTCGGCTCTCCTGCGTCGGCGCTGGGCAGCTCCCCGGCGGAGCCCGGTCCGGTCTTGGATTTGGCGTTTTTCTTCGTTCCCACGACCGACGTTGCCTTGGCCTTCGCGTTCTGATCGTTGCTGGTCATGAAAGGATCGGTTTTCAGGCTTTTCAGGGCCTGCCAGTAGCTCGTCGTCTCGTACTGTGCGTAGGACTGACGGCATCGGAAGAAAACACTGTTGCACTGGAAATTTATGATGCATAGAATGGAGCATCAAAGACGCATTTGTCTTGCTACGAATACAAGGCGCTTTTTTTTCCCTTTGGAAGTACGCATGTCAAGTTTTCTTATCTGTCATAAGTAAACGAACTTGCAATACAAATTTTGCAGAATAGTCATTACAGTGAAACACTTTTTGCTCACGATAGACGGGGGACCGAAACCATGGTCGCGGTTTTGCCGAAGCTGTTCTGCGAACTTACCTTCTTCACGATGGATGAGTTTTTCTTTACCACATTTGTCTATCCAACTGCACACAAGTGCCCCTCCCGCAGCTTTTTTTGCACGGACATGTCAATGATACGAAGTTCCGATTTAGGACGGCGTGCTTTTCCGGGTGATGCTGATGCCTTTGCTTGGAAGCGGCATGAATCAGAAACCAGCAACAGGCTCCAGCTCTGGATGCATGCATCCCATCAATCGTCTGCTGCAACAAAGTAAAAGGGGTCGTGGCCTATCCGACACAAAAGTATCAATAATTTTAGTTGCCTTATATCGGAAACATCAACATAAACATTCACCATATACTTGCATGGTTCGCTGCGATTCTGTTCAATAATAGCACCAATTTGCAGCTGGCAGCTGCAAATTGCGATGGCGATGGCGATGCAGCTGCATCGCCATCGCAAAAACTAAAACAAAAAAAAGGCCAAGGCACAGCAATAGTGCTGGCGCTTTTCGTGCAAGCAAAGACAAGCGCTGCTGCTCCCGTCCTCGCCTGGGATTTTCCTGGTCAGACCACTTCTTGATCTTGTTCTTGGGGCGGGGCACTTGTCACGTGGGGATACCGTCGACTGCTTCTTCATCATCATCTGGTCACCCTCTGCGCCTTCGACTTCCAGCAAGGTGGACCCGCCCTGGGCCACCTCGGCAGAGGCGGCAATCACCTGCGCGCCGTCTTGCTCGCCATCCACGGCGAGCCCGGTGACAAACTCCGACCGTCGCTGCAACTCCGACTTGTGCGAGTTGATGCGCTGCACCGCCGATTTACGGCCAATATCCGACAGCTTTTTCGCAAACTCCTCGGCTGCTTGCTCGTCCTCGTTCACGGTGCGCTCGTGCTCAAGGCGGGCTTCCTCCGTTTGCGCGTCAAAGTTGTACATCCAGGTAATCTATCCTGCGCAAAAAGTATCGCGCTCGTTTGTTGTTTCAATTCAATGAAATGAGAAAGAGAAAGATACAAATTTTTTTTTAATACAAATCACAAACCTAAAACAGCGAGAAAATTCGGTAGCGAGGACATCAGATCGGAGATGGCGGCGATCCAGGCTCGTCATCACTGATTTTCGCGGTTCCAGTTCAACAACAAAAATATGCAGATTATTTATATTTCTGAATATAAATTATTTTCTAAACGAGATTTATTTCTGCCAGGCAGGTGCAACCTTTCACCATTCGATTTGTACGAGTACGCGAATATTTTTGCAATGCATAAGATCGCTGTTGCGACGTCGATACGATTGAATTTCCGGTTGATGTTCGCGATCGTGCGGAAGACCTTGAACTTAAACGGGAGGACATACCCTTCTCAAATAACACATGGACTGCTGTTTTTCATGGCCAATCCTGTCTGTTTATTCTATCTTGTGATGCCAGAAAAATGCGTAGCAAAGGCGGCGTGATGTTGCGCTGGTGTCTACCCCAACCCCTGCTCCTGCATCTTCCACGATTACAAATTTCGAACGAATTATCGTGGTGCTCTTCAGCGCCTCATGCGATCCAGCTCAATTATATAAATACCTACTTATCTTCATGCGGAAACTGCAACTGGTAGCAACTTTGCGCGACTACAAATCGCCAAAAAGAAGGCCGCAACAACAGTCGATGTGATGTTTGATCAATTACCATAAAGGATGAAGTCCTTGTGGATCTTGCCCTTGCTTGCGTCCAGTTTCATGTTAAAGCAATGCCACTCTGCACTGAAATTCACGCCGAAGTGCAGGATGTCGTAGAAGAGATCTTTGATAACAATGATGGCAAACGAAGAGGGCGACAGCTTCAGGAGCGCGCCGCGCCCGTAGGCGTAACGGTACAGATCAAGGACACCTGTAATTTTTTCGAAGAAGTAGTTTTTTGTCATTGTCTCCTCGTCCACGTCGGCAACCGGAGATCATACTTTCTTGACACAGTACGTGAATCGAACGGTTTTTCCGCATTTGCATGACCAGAAACGGTGACCTCCACGACCTCCAGCATTGCTGATAGTGATATTGATTATTGCGTTTCTACTGTTTCTGTTTGCTGGTTCGTTTGATGTGGCATGGATGTATGTTGTGCACGACTTGGTGGTATAAAACAAAAAGCATGAGCAATCTGAGCATTGACTGAATTTACCATTGACGAGAATGCGGACGTAGTTCGCTATCCCACAGAAAAGTATTCCCCCCCCCCCAGATTCTTCGTGTATCTATTACTATTAGAGTCACTCGGGATGATCGTGCTTTTTGTTATTTTCAGTGCTTGCCACTACGATTCCGGTGCTTTTCTCTGCCCAGCCTGACACATCTTTTTTGCGCCCCTCGCTCTCACGTAATCGTTGTCAAGAGCCCGCCACATTGAACTCAGCCTCTGCCTCTGCGTTGATCTGCATGATAGAAAAGTGCGCTTTCCCTTTGTGGCGTCCGCATCTTCCTGTTGTACAGGTAAAAAAATGCAAAACAAAAAGAGTTTTGTTTGCGTATGAATACGGGATGGGGGTACTTTTCCACAGGATATTTTCCAACTCCCACTTGTCCTCCGGCGTGAGGGGGCAGCCCTGGTTGAAGGCGGTGCGTTATCACACAGAAAAAAGCCGGCAGGGCATATTTGTATATCTATATCTTAATATGAAAATACGATTGAAGTCAACTCTCTTGAATGTCTTTATGGACAGAAGCGCGCTAGCATGGGCTCGCCCTTTTCGTTTTGCTAGTTAATTTTTGCATGAGTACAAATATGCCCGGCCGGCCTTGTTTTTCTGTAGGATATGCATCGACAGATGCAGAAGAGAAACAGCGGGCCGACCTTCTTGCTGCCGACCGGCACTTATGCACCGCGAAAGAGAATTATCGCATTGGTAGTAATTGCACGGAATCCACCTTCCACACGCACACCAGCAGGGGGTTTCAAAAACAAAGGGAAATGCACTTTCGGGTTCTGATTTAGCCCTGTGTTGCCATACGGTAATACCAACAAAGGAAAGCGAAGCACAAACAATCCACAGACGCAATCCGATTGCGTCGAAAAAGAAGGGGTCACAATTCCTTGCGGTCGCAGTGCTGATATAGGTATAGCCTAGGAAAGAGGTTCGCGCTTGTTGCAATCAGTACGAGCACAATAGAACTTCTGCAGAGCGTAGCACCCAGACTGAGAAGAATATCGTTGCGAACAACAATTCCATTATGGTTTTGAAAAGGAAGCCACTATCTGCCGTCGCTTCCTGCACGGCCGGAAGAGCCGCCCGCAGGTAGATTGCTCCGATCACAGCCCACATCGCGTAGGAGACCTATCGACAGCCAATTTCCTGCACACGTACGAAATGCATCACAAATTTCGCCATTTTAGACAGAGTACCAGGCTGGATAAGAGTGAGAGAAAAAAGTTTGTCATGCAGAGACCACATCTGTAGTAAGTGTGCGGGAAATTTACAACTGTGCATAAGACCACCGCGCACATCGTGACTCCAAGCTGCAGGGCTAACGGCACGCGCCACGGTTTCATGAGCATGTTGCAGACCAGCAAGGCTACGAAAGGGGCTGGACCCTTGAGGAGAGTGAGCTGCAAAATTTATTTTTGTTCCGCGATTTCGTATATCATTGTTCGGAAAAAGTCGCCTACTAGAGTGTTGACTCACGGCTAGGAGGTTGACTCCCGAGTAACACACGACGTTCAGTGAAATAAACAAGAATTATTACAACGACTACCATCTCAAAAACAAAATTATATTTATCCGAAACTTCGAAGAGTTCTTCTTCTTGCTGTAGCCTGCATTATATTGAAGTCATGTCTGTCATACTACTACTAGCATATCTTTTAGGTTGTAGAACATATGAGATCGCAGGGACGACAGCCACGGAGTACGTAGTAAGTTACATCATCGTATTCATACGCACGTACTTCCTTACCAGTCCGGTTTTTCCTTCCGTTGTGTGCGTGTTCCAGAGAGCCAAAGCGTGGAGGACACAGAAGGCGGCGTACGCTCCCTGCGAAGGCAAGCCCCAGAGGTATGGAATTCTCAAGCGTTACATGAATTTCTGATGCTAAAAAAACAATGAACATCAATGAAGCCCCTGAGTAATAGCTCGTAGAGCCCTGTCATCTTCCACTAAGTGAAACATCAATAGTGAGGCTCCCAGGGCGCCTGGAGGTGAGAAACGAGGATGGCAACTATAGCCGACCATACCAACTGATCGACCAGGAAATGAGGAAGTGGGTTCGTTATGAGGAACGCAAATGCTCCGAGATAACACGAATGAATATCCCGCACAACCTCTGCCAACCACTGCCCTCGATTTCACGAATGAAAAGGCAGATAGGCCGCAATTCAAGAACTCCGGCTGCTCTTCCCGAAGCAAGCTCAACCACCTCCCACAAAGAGCAAGCCACGGGGAACTGATGCAAAAAAAAGCAGGATGCTAAAAAAAACAACCGCGACGGTCATTTTGCATGATAGATTACACGTCAATCATGTATAATTATAGCATCAAGTGAGAATGTAACGTTTGAGAATGCCATAAGATGTTGAACATGACCGTCATAGATATGAACTGGATGAGCCACCAGATATGCGGGTGCACACCCCCCCTCGTCCACCGCATGTTGTGAACGGTAGCTTTTAGTTTTACGCTACTGGCAACAAAATAAGCTTAAACATCAGAAGCACGGTAGCTTTGGCATGGCAAATGTGGTGACGAGTAGTTACTAGTGTGGTGCCCTGCTGCTTCGGATTTAGAAATGATTTGCTTGGGTAGAACCAGTGCCACAAAATGAGGATGAAGTAGAAGGAGGTACCAGGTGGAGAGAGTGTGTGCTTCATCGGTATTTTCCATTTTACAAATGAGAAAAAGGGGGAGTTGTGCAACAATCGGATACCAGGACATGTAGGTGTAGGCGATGACATCGGTGATCCCGTAGGAAGACATACGTGGGCCCAAGAAGTATGGCCTTCTCAGCTGTTGCACTCCCAGCCGTTGCAAACTTTAATTTGTATTTCTATTTCGAAGACCAGCAAGAGCACAAAAGGCGGAACATCGACACGACACGCTGTCTCGTTCGCATGACAAATTTTGGGAAGATTTCGACGCAAATTAGGGCATCTAAAATTTCCAATGCGAGAGTAGAGGATGAGGTTGAGGATGGCGATGGGGGACGGAAACAATAAACAAATGAAACGCGACACAGATAATTTTGCATGACTGAGCTTGACAAACGTGTTGGCTACGTACTAACAGCTGAGAATGTATAACAGCTGAGAAGGCCATAAGAAATAGAAGTTCATCTTGGAGTCCTCGAAAATAGCCAAGTCGCAAGAATTATGCATTGCGAATATGCCTGGTTCTGGAATAAAAAAAGTAGATTTTTTTGTGACGCTTACTTTGAAGCACACAAAACTCTGCGTTGTATGACTGGCAAAAGCTACCAAACTTTTCGCTTTACTAGTCAAACGCAAAAGGCAAATTCAAACAGATGAAAGTTTTTCATGTGAAATCAGATGCATGGCGAAGGAGTATTCGCAAGACCTGTGCTGCTTTTGCGCTCATTGTCATTCTCAATTCATAACGCAAGGCCCGCATGACAAACAGCCACACGGCACTATTCCAGACCCAGACATATTGGCTCTTGATAAGAAGGCTCCGGATTACCGGTACTCGGTACGACACCTGGAGCGGCGTTCCAGTAGCATTTGTCGTTTGTTGCGCATGCAGCGGCACCAGTGCTAAGTCCGCCACAAGCAGTGGCGTCCACTGGGTATTCGTAATCTCGGATTGACTCGCGGACCTGCGGGCCCGTGTAGAAACAGCCGTCACCTAACAGTTCAATATTAAGTTGCAGTTGAAGTACTTATTCGCATAATTTGTGATTACATTGTTCCTAGATCATCATGATCCACAATATTGTCGTCGTCGAGATCATCATCTACATCTAGTGAAGACGATCTACTGGCTCCTCATGAACCTCGCTCACATTCATTATCATCGCCCTGAAGATATAGATAATTTGGTTGGCTCCATCAGCAGGTCATAGTCGTCGCGTCTTAGTCTTCTTCGGGCAGGATAAACACATACTCAAAGGTGGATGAATAAACACAACAACAACATTTACATCGACACCCGGGAAAGAAATATGGAATAAATGCCACGCTGTCACCGGAAATCGAAATCATGTGGAAATAACACGCAATGCACGAAAAAATGCCAGGCACCAAGCGCCTGTCTTGCAGGGATGACAATTGCGCCGACTGTCTGAACACCATATACAAGTTGAGTCTTCTATGCAGCGACAAGATTTGTCACTTAGAAAAGTAGGTGGGCGAAAACGGTAGCGATTGGATGCGTCACAAAATGTTTTCATTCTATCGATTACCAACCTGAAACCAACTGTAAAGCCAATGAATGCATATATCTTTATTTACGTATATTGCAATAATGAAATGTGAATTGTGATGAGTCCATGGATGTAAGAAAAAAAATATCAATATTGTTACCTGTATACGGAATGGTCTTGAGGAGGACCCAGATGAAGTGAAAAAACAGGGGCAAGGCGAGGACGAAGAGATGCTTCCTGAAGTATGCAAACTATGTATGACTATGAAAAAAACCACCGCGACGCCCGAAGGAAAGAACAAAAGAAATGCGCATATTGATATAAAGCATAAGCATCATGAATTGCGTCCACGAACCAGCTCGTGATGGCAGAAGAGAACATACTAGTGCAGAAAGGCAGATGACGGTAGACGTGACTCATGCGTAGCAGCAACATCATGCATTGCCTTTAGACTGTCGTGGGAGAAGGCTGCTGATCCACGATGCAATTTGTTTAGTTGGTTTGAATCAGGTCGTGGGGGAGGGCAAGGGAGATTTTCCTCACGGTACTTCGTTCCGTTCCACACTTTCATCTCGTCTGGAACGTCGGAATATGCATTGTAAATGCTTATGTCGCGGGGTCTGGAGACGTCAACGCGCAATGCTAGTTGTTCCAGGATCTCCTTGAGAAAGGGACTTACTTTCCTTTAGTTTTACCCACCCACGCATGACATTTTTTTATGCGTAAACAGTAGCAGAATGCCTGACCTGAGGGAGAGGGGTTGCGTTTTTGCATGACAAATATAAGCACTTAAATATGTAAGTTGTGCTGATCCGGTCGCCGCGTCACAGATTTTGGCTTCACTCGAAGTCCGCACGACAGGTTTGCATTTGTCTAGACCCGGGCATATGTGCATTTGATACTTTAAAAAAAATTCTGGGCCGGGTGTCCACCTTCGTTATAGACTGGAAACGAGCGACTTGTTTGAAGAGGGGACTAAAGCCACGTGATGTTGATGTTTTTGTTGCATCATATACAGAAAAGCTTCGCTGGACAAGGACAAACTCAAACTGTTGCTGATTCTTGTTTCTTCTTGGATTCGGGGTTTAGTCTTAACCTATCGATTCGGAAAACAACAAGTCGCGACTCAATTTCCGTGCGTAGTCGCGACGGACTTGACCGCCCCGAAGACGCTTTTCATCACCCTTTGGCCGGTCGACTTCGTTTTGACGGCAGCCGTATTTGCGCGCTCTAGCTCCCCTCCATCGGAGAGCTGGTTTTCGATGTCCTGCTGCGCACCCGACATCTTCTGCTATGAACCAGAAGTGAAAGACGAGTCAACGAATGTATTGGTGCCCCTTCGGCGTACTTTTAGTAAACAAGTATATTTCCCTTGCACTAACTTGAAGACCGTGACACGAGAGTTTCTTCCTTTCAAAAAATAAACAAGTATCTGCGCCGCGACGCCGAGAACGTCTTAAGGTAATTCTAATAAATTGATTGGGAAAAGTCTTACTCAAGGTACTTAATTGAATGGGGGGCAAAAAGAAGACCACGAACACAGCCATCGCCATGAATTAGATTTGAAGAACTGAGACTGAAGTTGAAAAAAATAAACATGAAATAGAAGTTTTGGTTGATGAAGAGGCAGGCCCGCTCCCGCTGTCCTTCTTGCCTGGATAATGACAAACTTTCTGAGACGAGGATGTTTCGCTTCGTCCGTCACAGACTCGGAGGAGTCGGAAAAAAATGGAACAGGTACGAGAAACACCACACTTAAAAAAAGATAGGACTGCCACCGACCACACGCGAAGGAATGAAGAGAAAGCACTGGAGTCCTCTCTGACATTCGAAATTGGACGGAAGGAATGCATGGGAAAATGTTGACGAGGACCACAACGGAGCGTAGCTGCAGCCGGCCCTCAGAACAAGTAACAAACTCACATTAGACTTAATCTGAAATATGTATCGTCTTTGTATGAAAAACTTCTGAGGCGACTCGCAACACTCACAAACAAAATAAACAGCATGCCGCTCCTCGAAAAAAAAATGTCGCAGAAGAAAGACATGCAACATGCGGGCTTTTTCCAAACTACAAGGTGTAGAAAAAAAGAATATAGAAAGCCCCACTTGTACTTCTCTCCTCGATCTGGTCGCTGCGATGTATGAACACCGGAAGCTTTTCTTCCGCACACGTGTGAAGATTTTCTTGGCAGTTCTCTCCTTGTCCACAGGAGACTTTTGAAGATTGATTACGTTTTCAGCTTTCATTTGACATTTATACAGATCTGTGAGAGTCGTAGGGTCTTCACAAGTAAGGCTACAAATGACTAAAAAAACTACCATACTTGACATACTTCTTTCATATTCATTATCATTGCAAAACATGACGATACGTCCCGCCTTGTGGATCAGGCCCAGCAAGAACGCAGGAGTTCGACCGTAAAGACTTTTTTTATTTTTCAGAGTTCTCGAACTCGGACTCAGAAATGAGTCCTTACCAAGCTCAGCTCGTTAGAAGATGTGGGTGTGGTTTTCGTTGTAATCATGGTGAATCAAAGGAGCATGTAGTCTGTTACAGTTTGAGAAAATTGTTGAATCAGTTGAACTGAAACTAGTACTGTACATGGGCAGACGATGAACTATCTATGGATGTGTTGATATTCAAAAGAAGATGTTGAAGTTCTGTTCTGAAAACAAATAATCGCAAAGAAAACTCAGCGCCATCAAAAGCCTCGTCCGCGTAGTTGTTCCACTGCATCGCCCGTATTGCGGGGGTCCTCAAGTATATTAAGTAAAATGGTTCATCGTGGCATCCGTTACAATACTTAATACATAAAGCGGATATTTCGGTGCAATACGACCACGACCGGCTAAGTTTATTTACTTCCAGTTTTTTTCCCGCCCGGGGCAGCTGCCGCAGCGCCTCCCGTCGCGGCTGGTGGGAGCTGTTGCACGATGCTTGCAGTTGCTGATGTAGAGCTGCTGGTCGTTGTAGCACTAGCACTGGCAGAGTTCGCTGTTGTAGACAAGGGCTCACCTATTCGGCGAAGGTTGTCTACGCTGGGCCGCAGCGAGCGTGTCGTGCTGGTCGTGTGTTCCCCCGCTCCTGCGACAGTAGTACTGGCATTAACCGTAGTACCGCTCGAGGAAGATGTTGTGGGTGTGACAGTCGCGGTCGGTGCGCCGGCTTTTGTCGTGTCTTTCGAAGGGATTCTCTTTGGTCCGGGACCCGTACTGGTACTGCTTGTTCCGTTTGCTGGGCCGCCGAGACTATTATTCTCGCCCGCCGACACTGCCGCTTTAGAGGAAAACGCAGATGATGCAGTTGTGCCCCCTTGGCGGTAGCTTTCCCTGGTTGTCGCGGGAACGGACGCTCTGACCTCTTGCAACACCTCGCGGATGTGCTGCTTCGTGGTTGTACTGCTGCCTTGCTGTAGTTCTACTTCCGCCCCCGCGTTTGCTTGTTTACTCGTCGTCCCAGTATCGAACAGATTCATTTTGCTGCCGCTCGGTAAAAATGCAGATGTAGTTGAAGAGGAAGACGCTCCTCCTGCGGCAGAAGTGCCGGTCAACACGGGAGCAGGGGGTACGTGACGGTCGACAATGTGCAAGTTTCCGTCATCGTCCACGTAAGCCGACGGCTGGTACTCGTCCTCCACCACCACCGCACCGACAACGGGCCCCCCAGACGTGGAGACGAGAGAGGTGGCGTTGTAGCGCACCCGCGTGCTGCCCTGACTCGAGAGGTAGAACGTCGCTTTCCGCTTGTTGATTGACAGCACGCCGTCCTCCGCCGCGGCGGAAACGGAAGCCGCATCTTGATCGGGCGGTGGAGGTGTAGTAGTCGGAGGTGCAGTTGCACTTGCATTTTGAGATGTTGAGCAGGACGAAGATGAAGAACCTCCACCTCGCGTGGTTTGCTCTTCAGGCGTCGTGACCCGCGTGTTGGTATTGCTAGCACTCGCGCCGGGTAGAGTAGAACTAGTAGTGCCGGGCATGGGCATTCCGGGCCTGGGCGGCAATCTGGCGAAGCTTTCGTCGACGGCTTTCTTCAAGCCCTCGGCCTCGCTTTGCTGCTCGGGCGAAACCTTGTTGCTACTACTGTTGCTGCGCACGGAATTCAAGTCAACCGAGTCGACATTTATGGCACCAGATGTTCCAGACGTAGCACCCGAAGTTGTACTGTCTAGCGTCGCGCTCGTCGTGGTCGTCTCCTCATTCGGATTGTGATTGTTTCCACCTCCTGTTGCGAGCTGCGCAGGCGTTTTTGTGGACCTATTCGCAGCACTACTTTCGCCGATGCCCCAGGCGGTGGGGACCTCGCTGGCGTCCATGATCATTCCCGTCGGAATGTGGCGGTTACTGGTCACACCATTGGAGGCCCCTCCGAGCACCGGCCGCCCAACGATTGCGCCGCTCCCTGGTTGGTAGTACGAGTTCCGCCCAGCCCTGTTCGGGTAATTTGTGCTGTCGTGATAGTAGGTAGAAAAGTGCTGCTGTTGATGAAGGGGGTTGTTTTCGTCGTAATGCTGAGTTCCATCTCGGACTGAGGATTTATTTCTCCCCCGCATCCGCCCAATGAAGACCACCAGGCCGAATACCAGCGCGCCCAGACCGACCGCGGTGAGGATGACGCGGGCCGTTTCGTTGTTCGCGCGTTGCGTGTTCGGGTCGTTGTCCAGACGCACAATTTCGTACACGGGCACCGCCCCCCGCCGACACTCGGCCACGCACGACTGCGCCACGTCGATGTCGATCCGGCAACGGCCGTTCGCGACCGCGGTCTCACAGTCCAGGACGAAGACGCCCTCCACGTTCTTCACGACGTAGTTCGGTCGGTCCGCGAGCTCTTCGTGCAGCGCGTTCTGCAGCACTTCCGTGTCGGTTGTGGCCCGCGCGAGCGTGTCCTGCATTCTCTTCAGCGTGTCCTGTGGATCCGGTGCCCGCATCAGCGTGATCTCGTGCCCGGTCGTGAGGTAGCGATCGGCCGTGCGGACGGTGGTAGAAGAGGACGTCAATTGTCTAGTTGTTGTACCTGCAGCTGTTGTACCCGCACTGCTCGTCTGGGAAGGCGACGCAACCTTCCTAGCCTGCAACTTTCGCACCACCTGTTTCGGAAGCAAATTTCTGTGGGGCATGTCGATCTCGAGGACATCATGACTCTGTGCCCTCATCAACATGTCGCTATCGTATCCTACTTTATTTGAGATCTTCGAACCAGTCATGGACGATAAGGTGCGAAGAAACTTGTTGAATCTCTTCTTCTTGCTGCTGCTGGCCACGACCTCCACCCCAGCTGCCAGCAATTTTATCGGCCTCAACCGCAAGTCATGGTCGTACTCCTCGGGCCCTCTCCTGCCTGGAGATCGAGATTCTACTCTTTCATGATCTTCGCCGGGCACTATTTCAGTTGGAACTCGACCTACGCCAGCGCGTCGAGCCAGCTGCACACCGCGCTTTGCCGCACTGTCCGCAGGGTTTGTCTCGATAGCAGCAGGACGGCGCGAAGTAGACACGACCATGAGTGCTTTTTGTCTCGTTGCTTCCTCGTCCGCTACCAAATGTCTGTCTCTGTGTAGCAGGTCTAGTACTGCTATCCCTATCTTTTCTTGAAACCGGTGGTCTCTATCACCACGGGCCTCCGTCTCTTCCTCCTCGCCTCTTCTTCTAAACGCCCCGGCATTGTTGGTCGCGATGGCGACACTTCGAACCTGAAAGCTGTTGATCCGCACTTTCGACTATCAAATGTAAAAATGTCTGGGTCTGTAAGATTCATGCTGTTTTTGCATGACACAGAAGGTCTGGCATGGAAGCTCTAGCATCACAGGTTTCGAGAAGCTTCCGCAATGCCGAACCCGCATGAGAAATCCCCCATTTTGGCGACAGAATTGAGCAGCTTTTGCTCCCGATGCATGAGAGATTTTTCTGTGTTCGAAAATGCGCATCACAAGTTCGGATCCTTCCAGACCCAGACATTTTTACATTTGATATCGACGTTTCTACCTGGTACTGCTTGGCGAAGGCCGTCTATCGCAAAAAAAAAGTGCTGTTACAGTTACACATTGTCACGCAAGACTGGCAACAGAGACAACCTTTCTCATGCAGGAAATGCTTCCGAGCCTCTTTTCCTTCCTGTTTTCCCTTATGATCTTCGCATTACAAGTTTTCTCTGCCACACAGAGAAAATTTGTGATGCAGAAACTCCAACAAATGTGTAACTGTAACACTTTTTTCTCGTGATACCGTCTGGAAGGCTGCGACGAAGGCCTGGTCCCGGAGGAGGCTGGTGCCGGAGGCCGTGATGGGCAGGGCCATCCGGATCTGCGTGCGGCCAACGAGCCGGACCGTGTTTTCCGGGGTGCGGATGGTGGTGTCGTCTTGCGGTCCACCACTGTTTGAATTGTCACCGCCCCCTCCAGTGCTCGTCGTCCCCCCACTCGGAGGTATCAAACCGTCGTCGTCCTCTGACGCGATGATGATGGGGCCGCCGGTTTCCTGGTCCGGGGTGCCGGCGCTGGCAGTCCAGTCGGCGGGATTTTGGGTTTGGTCCCGGTTCCCCGTGTTTGCGACATTGGGATTGGCGTTCGACGGTGTTGTACTAGAAGTACCTCCCGAAGTGGTTGTGCCATCCGCTGCCGTGCCGCCAGTCGCCGTTGTACCTCCACTACCAGTTCTACTTTCGTCCGAAGATGACGTCGCGCCATCTCCTCCGTTACCACCAGCCCCGGCGGGTGCGGGCGTGGTTGTCGTCCTCTATCAAATGTAAAAATGTCTGGGTCTGGAAGGATCCGAACTTGTGATGCGCATTTTCGAACACAGAAAAATCTCTCATGCATCGGTAGCAAAAGCTGCTCAATTCTGTCGCCAAAATGGGGGATTTCTCATGCGGGTTCGGCATTGCGGAAGCTTCTCGAAACCTGTGATGCTAGAGCTTCCATGCCAGACCTTCTGTGTAATGCAAAAACAGCATGACTCTTCCAGACCCAGACATTTTTACATTTGATATCCTCGTGTTTGCGATTATGTTCCCCCTCCGGGTCCACTCTGCATCGGAGACGACCCACGCGCCGTCGATGCTCGGCGGGTCGCCTATGACAGCCTCAGAATGGAAATCCTCAAAGTGGAAATAATTTGTGATGCATGAAATGCGACACCAAAAAGACTGTATTGCAGAGGACGCAATGGAGGCCGACTATTGTCCTGCCAGGGGTGAAGAATTGGAGTGCTGCTTAGCACGAAACAAGGGCACCCCTTTGCCTTAACCTGCATGACAGACATGCTTTAAGGGCCCGGGAAATTTGTCATGCGCCGACTACAAATGGCGCTTCAACTGGGGTCGTTTTTTTGCATCACAAATCATTTCCACTTTGAGGATTTCCATTCTGAGGCCTTCATATCGCCCGACCCCGTGAAGAGAGCCAGCGCTTCCTTTTCCAAGGAGTCCAGATCGACGGATATCTGCGTCTGCAGCTCCATGGGCAAATCGCTGATGGCCCGCCCCGGTTCGTATCTCGTGTTTTGCTTGCAGTTGTCAACCATCACACGAAACAAGTGCTCCAGCGCCTCCACGTGATCGGCGTTGGACGCGAGTTGGAGCCGTTGCAAGATACGGTTCAGTCCCTTGCGGTATTTCTGCTCCACGTGCTCGGCGACGAGCGTCTGAAAGGTGGCTGTCAAGGCCTGTTGGTCGCTCGGACAGGACCCGCAGGAGCACTCGTAGCGGTCCGTGGCGCGCACCCACCATACCTCGTCGTTGGCGCAGAACCGCGGACACCACTTGTTGCCCTCCGTGCTGAACGACGCGTCGTGGCGCACGCAACACCCCCCGAGGTCCGGCATCGTGATGCCGTCGTCGCAGATGTACCCGTGGTTCTTCACGCCCTGCGGCTCGCACTTCTGGTACTTCTCGCAAAGCGAGCCCGGATCCAGGCACTTCGCCTTGCACTCGTTACTGGTCTCCGAGATGTGGCTGCACAGGTTCGCGCAGTCGTGCAGACACTCCTGGGCGGCCGGGGTCTGGCACATCGTGTCCCGGGATCCGCACAGCTCGTTCTCGAAACACAGATGGCGGTGTCCGGGCACGTCGCAGCAGTGGTGCCGCACCGAGGCCGCGTGCACGTTGGTTTCGCAAATGCAGTGGGCCCGCGCCTGCGCCTGCTCCCACACGGTGGAGTGCGGGTAGCGCTGCGCGCAGGAAAACCAGTCCGCCACCTCGTTCGACCGCTCGAAGCCCTCGGTGTCGCAGACTCGCTTGAAATTGGCGTGCGTCGTGTTCTGCGCGTGGTCGTGGAGGCACTTGATCTTGTCCCAGCAGTCCTCGCACTCACACTTCGACAGCCCGAGGGCGATCTGCTGCTCGCGGTACATGTCCTCCAGACAGAGAGGGCTGCACTTTTCGCGGCACTCCTGCGTGCGGGCGTCATTGCAGTTCGGGGAACAATCCATGTCGCAAAAAGAGCTCCAGGAACTGTGGTAACGTTTTCAACATCAATCTTTAGATCAGTATATATTTTTTTTGCGTGAGTCTGAGTTTGTAAAGCAATGATAATGCGACGTGGAGGAAGGAACTTTTATTTGTTCAACATGACGGTTCGAAAGTTTCAATTGTTCTGTTCAGGTGTTCATCATGGAAAAATACGTACCTATTCCTGGAATTTGACCAAACGTGAGGTGATGAAATGCAGGCTGCACAAAAAAAAAGAAAGGTTGTATGGTGGATCAAGTTTCATACATCATGGCACGAAAAGAGGTGCTGCGTTTTGTATACAGTTGTACCTGTATTGACAGCAATCCACTCGGCCACTCGACTGGTCCCAGTTGGGCACGGTGGCATACATGTCGCGCCATTGCGTCTTCATATCAATTGCAAAAGTGTCTGGGTCTGGAAGAATGCAAGATTTGTGATGCAGGTTTTCCATGACCCATGAGGTCTGGAATGCGAGACCCAGCATGACAGATTTTTTGAGGTCTCTATCATGCCTTTCCTGCATGAGAAACTCCCTCTCAACTTGGTCAAAAGCGGACAGCTTTTGGTACTCACGCAACACAGATTTTTGCGTCATTCAGATTTAGCATGACAAGTTCCAACCTTCCAGACCCAGACATTTTTACATTTGATACTTCAGGTCTGGAAACTCGCAGAAGCAGTCCATGTACAGGTCCTCCTCGATGCCCGGCAAAGTAAAGTCGAGGTTCGGGCTATCCTGAGCAAAAACGTCCCCACACCAGAGTTGTCATGCAGATTTGCCATGACAGGAACATTTGTGATGCGCAACCGCATGACAGGCATTTTCAATCGTGTTTGGGAACTTGTAATGCTGTAAACAGGATCAACAGATCGATTTGTGATGCGGCTTTCTTTGCTAACTTGCACTACCTTACGGACTGAAACTTGTCATGCGTGACTCCCAAAACTCCTAGGTTTGTGTTGCAAAATCCCCATCTTGACTCTGGTGTGGGGACGTTTTTAATCAGGATACGGGTACTGGGACTCCACGCAGGTGGCCCAGGTCAGCCAGGGCTGCGGCTGGTACGACTGCAGCCACCACGAGTGGCACGCATTGCCCCAGGCTGGAAGCGGAAACGTCGTAAGGAGGACGAGACACGCTGTGGTGGCCGACTGGAATAGTAGCAGGTTCTTGCCGCCGCTCGGTAGTTTTCGATTTGGATTATGTCCTCGCATGTTGATGCGGTGCTTGATGTTTTCTGGTGGTGGACGTGGAGGTGGTGCAGCTGCACTTGCGAAAATAACTGCAGGACGAGCTCCACCAGAAGGAATTCCGAATTCAAAACGTTGCATGTTGATGAAAACTAGAAGATGAAGATCAAGTAAAGCTCCTGGGGGTGAATTTGATAAAAATTTCTAAAGAGGAGGACAAAGAGAAAGATAAGGGTAAGAATAGCGGGTAGCTAGTCGAAGGGGTGGTCGATGTAGATCTACACACAAAAAGTCAGTATCCGATATAATTCGCAAAACATATTGAAATTTGAATTCGGTTTGACAAGTAGAAACAAAATTGAAAAATTTAAGTGCTCTAGCAACACCAACAACTCAACATCTTCGTGAATCATACAGAGTTAGGGTTAGCGTTGCAGCATGCAGCCCACCATCGTATTGTTCTTCGTTTACAAGGTGTCTATAGAAGGTGCGGCTATAGAGTGCTCGTTGTGGGTTCCTACTATACGTGTTTGCCGCGACGAGCGACCACGTCTTTCATCTGTGGAAAACTAAAAAAACACATAAATACGGGCACCTGCTCTACCTACCTACATCTCAAAAAGAAGAACGGTCGGGAGTATAGTTCACAAATACCACGACATCAACATCTTGAGGGGAGGGGGAGGCGGCTCTGGCTTAATATGTAAACACGAGCACACGCCCCGTTCCTGGAAAGAATTCGATTCAGGTTCAGAAAATGACTCGGATGTGACGATAGACTGTTCACGAGCGATTCATCCGTCGAGAAAACGGAAAATTTTCTTCTTCACGGAAGTAAATGCGACTTCTCTATGTATGCACATCAAATTCCGAAAAGACCGACTTCGACCGATAATTTGTTCAAGATATTTTATGCGTGTACGACAATCTCTGATAGTACAGATGTAGATTTGTATTCGAACAACTCATATCTTCTTTCACTTTCTCTGACTACAGACTGCGTAGACGATTTGCGATGGCGAAATGAATCGACAGAAATCAACTTTGCAGATAGTGGGAGGATCCGCAACGTGCAACGCGCCAGCGCGCTTCGCATAGAATTAGAAACTAGAGGAAGTACTACAACTTGCGCAAGTAAATGTCCTCCTGACCACGGGTGCGATTGTGAGACTCGCTGTGGCGACGTGTAACAAGTCTTCGTCGCGTGATAGTTCTCGAAGATCAAGATGCAATATAGCAAATCGGAACGCTGGCACCTGGTATATATGCTGTTACTGGTATATCATTGATCTGCAAAATAAAAAGAAACCGATTCCCAGCTGCACAGAAGTCCTCACTCGTTGTCTTTCCAATGAATTTGAACACCGAGTAGAGCAGCGCCCGAACAGCAATCCCTGCACGGCCAGCACAAAATGTTGAGGTTTTTAAATCTAAATCAGCTGAGCACTTCGCTCCTGACAGGTTGGACAATCTGACGTCCCAATTTTCTTTCCATCACTTTGGCTCGGCCTATGATTGCTCTTGAAACTACGACCCCAATACGCCTCGCATTTGTCCAATGCATCAACTTCTTTCCCAATGCCCGTAAATTTCTCAATTTCCAACGCAATCGGCTCATCTCGTCGCCACTCGTATGGATGTGTCAGAGTTGAAATCGACAAAGTTGAAATAATTTGTCATGCATAAAATGGATGCTAGTTGGAGCCCAGTTTTCAAGTGGCGCATGACAAATTTCGGCGGTCCCTAAATCCAGTTTGTCATGCTGTTTAGGCAAAGAAGAGCGATTTTCTCGTGCTACTTTAGCAGCTCGAGCTGTCACCCCAAACAGGCTTACAGTCGGCCTCACTTGCCTGCTCTGCAACACACGCGCCTCGGGTCATGCATTTTATGCATTACAAATTATTTCAACTTTGACGATTTCAAACCTGACGCTTCCATAACTCGTCTCCGGAGTATAACATCGCCGCGTCCTTGCTGTAAAACGTATCCAGAATTTCGATCTCGAAATCGGAGAGTATGGAAGTGTCGGAATCGAAATTGACAAAATCGAAAAATTTGTGATGCACAAAATCGATGTCAGTTGGAGCCTCAGTTTCCAAGTGGCGCATGACAAATTTTGGGAGCACCCAAATCCAGTCTGTCATGCTGTTTGGGCAAAGAAGACTCCTCCTGTCATGCTACTCTGGCAGCACATTGTATACCCCTAAACAGGCTTACAATCGCCCTCATTTGCCTGCTGCCCAATACAGGCCTTCAGTGCCCTACATTTTATGCATCACAAGTTTTTCGATTTTGTCGATTTCGATCCTGACACATCCATAGAGAGGGCTGCCGGATTATTAAGACTATCATGTTGATGCGCCGCGCCTGTTGTTCCCGGGTTTTGTTTTTGATGGGCGGCTGCAGATGGATCTTTGCTATCGGGAGCGTTTTCTTGTATTTGTCCTAACACCGCTAACTCCATCCCCACGTTCCCCGCGATCCGATCCGGGTTGCTTGATCGCGGAATAATTCTAACTCCCTTTTGCAGGGCATACTTCAACAGAAACTCGGCCGGCTCCTTCTGGAATTTATGCACCAACTGCGGGAAGTCGGTCAGAACTGAGTCAGGAGCTTGCAAGCCCGTCGGATTGTACTCTGACTTGTGGTCGCCGACGAAGGAGCCCTTTCCTAGGGAGCCGTAAGCGACTATTTCAATTCCGGTTTTTCGGCAATATTCGATAACGCACGTCGGACGCCACCAGGGGTGGAACTCGAGCTGGTGTGCGGAAATCGGGAGGGGGGAGAGTGGACTTCTGCTACTTTCGGAAGAGGCGGATAGAGGACGACCCTGTCGAAGATTTATTTCAGTGAGACGATGATTCTCCTCTTCCACCGCTTTTCGCAGCAAGCGACCTCCGAGGTCTTCCGGTAGGAGATGCAGAGGACGGCCGGATGAAGATGTTCTTGAAGCGCCTCGATTCATTCTCTCCACCAGCGGTTGCATTTGCCACACCGCGAAGGAACTTACACCTGCGTGACGGATTCTTCCAACGCTCTTCAAATATTCCAGAGCTTTCCAAGATTGCAGACGACACGCGGCCCAACCCATGCCGTGGTCTCCGCGTCGAGTAGAAGAAGAAGCTGTTTTTCCGACCTCCGGGTCGTGATCCTCACACTCCCTCACCGCTTGCGGTCTGCACCATTCCCTTTCCCAGGACGGATCGCCAGCTTTTTGTTTTTCCTCCACCGTCCCACACCGATACTGTTCCCAAATATGGTTTCCGCCCGGGTGGTGGAGGTAGACCAAGTCTATGTAGTCAGATTTCAAGTCCGCGATCTCCTCAAGAACGGCTTTGATCGTTCGATCATACCCGAAGTGCCGAGCCGGATGGATTTTGGTCGTAATGAAAACTTCGGACCGGGCGACCCCGGAAAGCTTCAGGGAATCGTGAATCCGAGCCATGTTTTTGTACATGACTGCGGAATCGATGTGAAATTTGATGCGACTGGTGTTCATCTGGACCGCAACCTTCTTGTTGATGGCGTTTTGTTCCTGAAATTCTCTCTTGGCCTGAAACCACACACCTAGCGCATTCGTGACGCGCTCGCCTCGCCAGCCCGCCGTTCCGGTGCCGATGTGGGGGAGAGTTAGGACCTTTTTGACGAGTGGCGTGGTCGTGGCCTGCTCATGATCACTTGTTTCATCGGAAGATGTAGTTGCTGGTGCTCCTGGTCCTGCGCTGCGTACTTCGCCCTTCTCAATATTTCCTCTTCCTGTGCTTTTCCTCGGGCCCTCGACAGCCTCCCGCTCCCGCTCCGTTTCGATCATATGTGCTGCCATTCTTCCGACCGTTCGTCCGAGCTGATCGGTGTGAGCGTGCGTGGTGTACAGCACGGACATATCAGCCACACGAGCATTCGAGAAGTCCTTCAGTCGAAGGTCGGAGGCGGAGGTGCACGATTCCTCAGTGGTGGATGCTCCTTTTCCCATTCTACACGTTCCGCTAAAGTGCTTAGCGTCGCTACAGACATTCTCGACGAAACGGCGGAAAATCGCGGAATCCTCAATGGTATCTTCTGGAAAAAGATCGCTTTCGAATTCGGTGTAGGTGTTGCACTTGCAACGGTACATGAGCATGACAGATGGAGATGCAGAGCGAAAGGTTGCATGACGTGTTTTCTTCATACATAAGAGCTCTTTCCTCTTTGGACAGAATCAGCTGACGGCAACTCATACTACTAAAGCGATACTTTTGCTGCGATGCATAGACGGCTTGCGTAGGAGGCGAAAAAAGGTGGAGGCGCATTTCGTTCGATTCCTTGCTCTCGTTGTCCTTTGAGACCGCACCGTTCTGCGTAGAGTCGGTAGGGGGAGTGTAAATGGAATCCCCTGCTACGACCAACAGCCCCTCCTCATTCGTTACCATGCCATCAACAAAACTTTCGACACCGTAGATCTTCTCATTCGTGGCTCTGTCGTTCACCTCCCTTTGCATTCCTGGGACTATCTTGCCCACGAATACGTTTTTTATCCACAGCCTCAACCTCTCGATCGCGACAAAATCCTGACAGGGATGGGCACCGCGGGGGGGAATATGAGTGTTCGAATTTGTCGTGGTCGACGCGGCAGCAGCTGGAGTGGCGGAAGTCTTCCGCACACTAACTCGGGTACTGTTTCTTGCTCCAGAAGATGTCGGTGAGTCTGAGTCTGTGCTCTTTTTTCTCCGTTCTTGTTTTCTCCTCGTCCCTCTGTAGCGTATCTTCGGGGGCGTCAGCGGATGAGTACTTACCAGTCCCACTTCCCCATCGGTCTCCGGCCCGTGGTGGAAATACCAAAGCTTGATGCGCAAATAAACTTGCTCGTCGATGCAGTTTTCCACGATGGTGAATTCGATGTCGCGGTATCCACAGTAAATTTCCCGTACACGTACAAAATGCATGACAAATTCCGCTAACTTGCAGTGTGCAACTTGTCATGCTAGACTGGGATTGAAGGCAAGTTTTGTCATGCAGAGACTGCATTTGTACGTGTACGGGAAATTTACTGTGGATACGCGGTCGAGCATGCCGCTGGCCGCAGGTCGTTGTTCTTTCGTTTCCAGCCCCTCTTCCCTTCCAAAAAGCCGGGGATCCATCTCCTCCTTCTTTCCCGTCCCATCTTTCTGCTTTCCAACCAGAAGCTCTTCCTCCAGTTCGATCCCGCGTCTGGTTCCTGTGAGACCCACCCACCGCCGATGATTTGTAATGGCTTTCAGCATCTCGGTGATGGCTGCCGATTTAGCATCCCGGTTCTTCAACTTCGAGTTTCTCCATGGGGAGGGGCATCCCAACCTATGCAATGTAGACTGCATCGCAGCCACACTAACTTCTAGCATATAAAAAGCGTCTCTGAAAAAATGATAATCGAAATTTTTCTATGATCGAAAATGGATGTTGCTATGCAGGAAGAAGAAGATTCACATCATGCAGGAACAGCAAAGCATAGCTGCCCTGCTGATTTGTTTTCGCATTTCGTACGAGTGCGATGCAGCATTTGCAGAGGATAAAAACCGGTCCCCAACAACATCCCGAGCATGATTGTGTGATCATGGAGATTCCGGCCTAGTTCGACGTGTTCTCTGTTCTTGCCAAAGGCAGGGAGCAACGGAAGCAGGCCGGGAACTCGCACAAGGTGTTTGAATCGACCTAGGCCGGACCTTTGTAGGAATAGGGAGGCTATGCATTGCAAAAGTATGGCATTCGCATTCCCACTCGCATCTACAGAAACTGGAATGGCATTTATATCTGATCAGCACATAATGATAATTTTGTCAAAAGCCAAGGTGGAGAAAAGGAACTTGCAATGCGCACTCGACTACGCCTCCATGAAAGTTCTTTGGCACCAGTGCCGCAAGTAGCTTCAGGCGCAGGACGAGATCTACTGTACGGTGCTCAGAACCGCGAATGAAATACGTCGCGAGGAAGTATGTTCTCACTCCAGCGCACTTCGTATCTTCTGCTGCAGACGTTGACGTGCTATGAGCTTAGAGCAGAGATCTGATGTCATGCATCGGTGCAATTCAGTACGTAGAAGTATGAAGATGAGCGTACGACTGCGATGCTACAACTTTGTTTTGCACCGGATATGGGTGTAAACGGTGCCTGCTGCGATAATAACTTCTCGACGCGCCAGGAAGATTTTGCGGCGGTGGATGTTTGGGTTCAAGGAAGAGCTCTCCAGCTCATACCCAGCCTGAATACTTTGCAAAAGCATCTCGCTGGAGTTGAAGCGGCCGATCGAGTTGCGGTGCTTCAGGGGAAGGCACGAAACGCCGCGGGCACGCAATTTATCATTTTCCGCCCCGATAAAATTTTCATTTTGGTCCACAATCAGTCTGTCAGCCATGCAACCGGTGTAGATTTTCACCCGTCCGCTCTGAACGTGATTCTCCGCCACGTAATCATGCCAAGCTGACACGAATTTCTGGTAGAACTTGTCATTCCAAAAAACGTCAGGAAGCTGTTCGTGGTGCGGCATCGGGGAGTTGCGATTCGAGAAGGCGTCTTTGGCAGCGTGCAAGCGGGTGAGTGGCTTACGCTTTTCGGCGAACGGAGGGATGATTACGCCGCCGAAGTAGGCTTTTGAGGGAGGTGCGCTAGCACCGTCGTCAGCTGTCGTGTCGCTTTTCAGCAGTTTATTTTCCTCTTCACTTTTTAATATCCCCTTTTCTTGTCCTTCTCCTTTCTTTTCATCTTTTCCTTGTTTCCCCAAGCTCCTCACTTGCTCGTAGTCCCCCAGATACCGCATTTCCGGTGAGCTCCAGGTTTTCAATTGCCTAAATAACGATCGGAGAACCGGCCCCAGATTCTTCTCTTCTTTGGGGACATTCATGCACAGGCTGGTTTTCTGGTCAAGCTCGTCCGCGAAGCGCCGGACCAGGGCGGGGTCCCATGTGCCGAAGTCCGTCCATTCGTTTCCCCTTTGCCAGCCCCTGCCGTTGACCGCGGAACTGCCCCCAACAGCTTTACCGAAAATGTAGTCGAAGTGGGTCGCTGCGGCATAGATCCGATTGACAAAATAGTCTTCCTCATTAGTCCCCCCAGTATCCATCCGGCTGTGCTCGAACGGAGAGGCTCCTTTGGTGTTGACGAGAAGAGAAGTACTATCTTCAATTCTTGACGTCGAGGATGGAGCAAGGCCATCTTGATCTACTTCTGTTTGTTGCACGCCGTGTCCCGCCGATTCCGAATCGAGATTCGCCGTTCTTTCCGGGTCCTCCTCGGAGCGTCCGAACACTTTTGTTTCGCTGGGTTCCTGGCCCGCTTCTATGACTGCGATGGTCTCCTGTGGCCACTTTCGCTTCAAGTAGTCGGCTAGGAACGCCGTTGCTGTGGCCCCTCCCGAGCCAGATCCGATTATCACGTAATCTGCTACTTGGACGTCAACGGCATCCGACAGTTGTATTTGGTCATCTGGGATGCCCTCGACGCCGAGAAGGTTGCCTACTCGGGTGTCGGTGGACGGGCCCTGGCTTCGACTATGATTTGGATCTCCACCTGCCGAGTTAGCCACCGCACGTTGACCGCCCCAGCTTCCCACAAAGCGTTCGCTGTCCCAGTACGCAGCGGAGAGAGCATTCGCGTTCCACAGGTTGGCCTCTTCCTCTCCCTCTGCTACCTCGTCTTTCTGCAGCACGCAACAGAGATGAAAATTGTAGCGGTGGTCCCAGCACTTCGGATTGCCCTTGGGTCCGTAAGCCTCCTGATCACAGCAAAACTCATAGTCAAAACCCGCATGCCAGCAACGGGGGACTTTTAGGTCTTGAGCGTAGAGTGGCTGCGGCAGCACAACACCGAGAATTGGTAGAAACGAGAACGACGACGACCGCGGCATATTCTTTTGCACGGGTTCGAGTGCTACGCTTAGTTATGGCGTTCGCACGGTTGCAAGGGAAATAGGTCACGCTCACGACATTTTGATTTGTTTATTTAAATGCACCTGTTCTTGATAATCGAGTGTCACCATGCAAATGCATGGTAAAGAGGAGAATGGTACTATTAAACAATACCTTCTACACTCGTCAAAAATTCTCTCAACACTCGTCACAATTGAAATTCTAGTAAAGCTGAACAAGAAAAGCAAAAATGATCGTCGATTCCGCGTCCTTACAGTCAACAACTGCACAAGGCTTAGAAAAACAGACCTTGGCTTCGCCTTCGATCAACATGTACGAATTTCTTATCTGTGCTTTTCACATAAACCATCATCTTTGTCGTGCTTGTCGTTGTCGCCTGTGTCTTTCAGAGCAAGTAGTAACAACATCAAAAAATAAGGATCGCTTCGACGGAAAGATCATTACATCTAAATCGAGGAATCGGAGCTTAAGCTTAAGTACCAATGTGGATGATTATCATGTTCTGCAGAGTTGTGCTTTTCGTTCGCTGACCGAGTCAGAGGTCGCGTGGCATCCTTTAGTGATCCAGCAGAATGAGACGATGCAGAATGCCAAGCTCGGCTGTCCACTCTGCGAAAGCATCGGCGTCTTCCGCATCCTCAATTCGTTTCCGGAGTTCTACGTCTAAATCTTGCAAGCCCGGCGTCCGGCTCAAGGCTACTAGCTGCGGACATGGAGGAGCCTTGAGGATCTGTGTAGAGCTTCCGCCTCGCCGTTCAACGTCTTCATCAAGAGGCGCTTGAGAACGCTCCTCTGCATATGGTACCTCTATGCTCGTCGCGTCTTGGGGACTCGATGGCTCCACGTGGTTGCAAATGGCACGGAGAAGCTGACGCCTCATCGCGTCTGAGGTGAGCAAGTCGAAAAGCCCAGCGTGCACTGGCAACCGGATGAAAAAGGTGTTTTGGACTGTCACTGTGACTGCTAGTCCTGTTCGTGCCAGCAATGGCACGAAGCGGGGCCACTTCGCTGGAACGGAGGGGCTCACGACCAACTTATCGGCAAGAAATCGTTTCCAGTGCTGCTCCGAGAGGTAGTGCACGGGTGGAGAGACAAATGTGCGGTAGTGCACACAGCAAGCTACTAGCAATTCCACAAATTCTGGCAGATCGGATTGCAGATCTCCAGCGCCGTTGTCGCGCTGCTCGAAAGCGGCCTGTTGTCGTCTGTTTTGATCGTCTTCTTTTAGCTTTTCTTTTTCTGTCGTTTGGGGTAATTCTGTAGATTTGTTGGCGCCACCAACACCGTCTTCTAGTGGCTTAGGCTTAGCATGATCACTCTCCTGCTCGCCCCGGTCATCCAGCGTCTGTCTCAGTAGCCGCACCAGAAGTACCACAATCGAACAAACGGCTGTGCTTCCGTTCTCATCCAGATTGCGGGTAGCATACACACCTTCGCAGGGAAGAAAACCCGGGCGCCGCGACAAAAGTATAAGCGCCTCTCGCAACGTGCGAAACTTTGCCGCTCCGTGGAGCCGTAGGAGGCTGGCCTTCTCCTTCTGCCAGGCCTCTTCCCCATATTCTTCTCTAAAAGGATCCAGCGAGGAGATCCCCGCGAACGCTTCGTCTGTATAATTATGCCCGCCTTCTTGATGTTGTTCGACTGTCGCTGCCGCGAGGGTCCTTTCCGGTAGTGGGATTGCATAGGCTCGGGCATCTCCTGGAGCGCTTCCTGCCTGGCCGTCAGACTCGATGCGCGAGCAGTAGAACACAACGCTGCGACATTTGGTACACAGCTTACCCAGAAACGCGAGCCGCTCCTCAAGTTGCTGCATGTACTTGTGATTCTGGCCACGACGATCACATGCAGGGTTGCCTGTCGCGGAATCCTCATCTTGAGTATGACCGCGAAGGTTCGAAGCGTTGACGAAGTAAACGAGCTTCGTGACCTTCTGGAGCACACGGAAGCTCTCCTGCACCTGGAGATCACGCATGTGGTTTCCCGACGGGTTCTGGTGCAGCTGAGTGGCGGCGGAGGTAGCACTTTTGTTCATATCATTCTCGGACCGGTTCGTCCCACAGGCCCTTTGGCCACCATACTCGCAGTTGTTCCTCCCTCCAAGTGCGGCCATCATGCGATCGAGGTGGTCGCCTCCGATTTCGTGAAACCGCAACTGCACGAAACTAGTGTCCACACTCAGAGGCGGCCGCACCTCAACGTCAAACTCCGCGGCAAAGAAAGCGAAGGCTTCCGCCGTGAGAACCGCGGTGGCAGTACCCAAATCCGTGTCCAGGTAAGGCGGTTCATCGCACAGCTGCTTTATTGCGGCCTCCTGCTCTTTCTGTTCTTCATCCTCTACATGACGAGCTGCATCTAGCGGCTGATCCCCGGTTTCAGGATGGTGTGGTATATCAGCGCCTTGGTGCGGCCGTCCGTGTTCATCTTGGTCGTGGTCCGAACTAGTGTGGTAACAGCGATTTACAAAGCTGCTTGTGATCGTGGGTAGAAAGGACTGCAGGCGCGTGAAAGACACATCCTGGAAGCGGGAAAAGCTGTGCAGGAAGGTCGACTTGCCGGCGTTCTGGTCCCCGATTACCAGAAACGAAAAGGTCCGCGTTTCCATGGACGCGTCGTCGTCGTCATCGCTTGGAACTTCCTCATCATGCAGTTCATGTTGCCGGTACGCGAACCGCTGCTCCGTGGCGGCCCGTCCTCTCTCGACAGGATACATCCGAGCGGGACCGCCACCTTAAGGGTGGACCGCTTAGCAAGCGGTTGCTACAAAGATGTGCTCTTATTGCTTACTACTAGTGGACTAAAGTGAATGTACATCGGGATAATCCACCAGCACGTCCCGAAAAACTTTAAAACTGAAGAAACTGGAGCGTAAGCAGTGGTGCGAGGCAGCTCTAAAGGTGCAAATCTTTCGCACGGGCACGGGGGGTGGCGTACTACGCAGAGACAAATGAAGAACAGCCAAGTGGTAAAAGAAATGATTGCGAATGCTAAGTGCTAATGTAAATGCGTGGCGGGGGGGGGAGAACTAGAAGAAGGGCGTAGCGGCCACTGTCGTGTTTGCTTCGCAGACCCAGACTTCAGAAAAAGATTTCCTCCACTATCACCACCATTAGAAATGATCATTGATCTGCAAGTTTTGGATCGGGGATTGCCGTGGCCCCGGTGCAGATCTTTCAAACCTAGATCTGCTTTTACTCTTGCTGCCTTTTTTCGCTTCACCAGATATTCAGCAACATATGCTTCGAAATGGAAATATTTTCTGTGTCGATCTATCACGACTACGAACTTCATATTTAATGAGGCCTCGTAAAATTGAATACTTACACAATACCATGGGAATAATAATAAAGGCACAGAAATCATCTCCGAAAAATGTTCCGCAAGATCTTGCTGGAGAACAAGAAAAGTGTGAACATTGTAGTTAGAAACCACGTCGACACGGTCCCCATTGACCGCATCCACTAAATCGCGCACATGAGAATTTTGGGGATTCGAATAGATTGATACCGTACTTTGTCAATGCCATTTCGATGTTCGTGCTACTTGAAAACTACGGCACGTTCAATGACACGCATACATACTGTCAGCGAGCAAAACATCATGTCGCTTTGATTTCAGGTTCATGTTCACACTCGTACTTCAGTTTTTTGATTACTGGGGATTTTTGAGGTCGCTCAAGGCGAAGACGTAATCCTCATATGCAGCTGCGGCTTTTGCTTCCTTTTTTAGTGACCTCCACATACCGACCATCTCCAGCTCGACCTCCTTGCCGGCGTGCACTCGGTCCAGCGTGATATCCTTCAAGGATTGTTCTCTCGCTCGTCCGTCGCATACGCGTTCCAATAACGGATGGTGGAATTTGAATTTGAGACTTTTTCCATCTGAATTTTCTTGACGATCATCAGTACCATTGTCTTGTCGTCTTTTCTTGGATGACTTCGAAACTCGAGCTCCGTCAAATTGGGCTCGGACTCTTTTGCCGGAACTCTGCTCATAGATTTTGTCTTCTTCAACTACGTCTTGAAACGAGCCAGAGGAAAGACTGGACTTTGTTTTTGTAGATGTAGCAGCAGCTACGCCTCCTTTCTTCGCCATCTCTTTGAAGAGTTCGACTTCCTGAAAGTGAGAGAGTTTTTTCATGACTGGCGGAGCAGATGGAGGTGAGGATGTTGATGATGGAGCTGCTGACGGTCGTGCGGCGGCAGTCCCGCCCTTCCCAGAAATCGGCATAAGGACAGCGCCGGGTATATCACCACGCTCAACGTTTTCGACTTGCGACCCCTCCATATTAGTGACACTCGCTTCGGTGAGGTGTGGGGCGTCAGCTGTGGCTTTGCTTTCGCTCCTTGTTCTCGACGTGCGTTCGCGACGGTCGTTGGGGCGTACGGCTCTGGTGGGGGCAAGATCGTTTGATGACCTGTCTGCATGATCAAGAGGTCGCACGTGGCCCTCGAGAATCAGGATGTCCTCATCTTGTTTTAGATGTGAGTCTTCACTTGCACCAGCAACTGCTGCGTCTGCGCTTTTTTTCTGGACCTTCTCGGCTCTGCCTTGCACTTGCCGGAGTCTGAGTCTCCTTATCGCATCGCGAACCCCGCCAACTTTGTGAATGGCGTCGTACCTAATCTGCTCCTGTTCAGCCTTGTAAGGATCGCGGTGATCGGGAAGATGAGTGCCCGCGTTAAAATTTTGTTCGGTTTCATTATTCTTGCCTTGCGCGTCGTGTTCGTGTTCGTCATAGTCTTCTAGATCAAGTTCCAGATCGATCTCGTTCTTTTTATGCTTGGCCTTCGGTCTGCTTTTGGCGTCCGCGTCTTCAGAGGCAGCAAAATCGGAGACAGCGGCAGCTCTTTCGGGTTCCGCGTCTCGGAGCACCGTATCCATCTGTTGAAAAAAATCAGACGATTTTGTCGGCTCCAGTCCAAAGTCGTTCTGTAACTCCTCTGCGGTCAGATTAAGGAAGAAACCCAGCCCGCCAACATCTACTGCTGTCATGTCATGCTTTGGAAGCCGCTCCGCTTTATCGCGATCAGTAGAGCTTTTGTGTGCGGCGGCGTCAGCTTCGCCCACGGGCTCTATTTCCTCTTCTTGAAGAACCGAATTGCGATCCTTTTTTTTTCTTTGGAATTCCCCAAACATGTCACTCGTGACGTCACCATTGGCGAGGCATGTCGCCCATATTCTATCACGAATTGCTTGCCTCGATGCAAGTTTCGCGAGTTCATCCGCCTTCATCGTCGCTCTAATGTCAGCTTGCTTTTCCGCGCTAGGAACGATTTCGTCCATGCGCTTTTGCAGCGGAATGGAATACTGCTTGGAGGGGCCACCCCCTTTTGTTACAGTCGGCTGGTACATCGCCTTCATGGTCCGGACCTCAGCGTCCAAGCGAAGGCCGGACCTCTGGGTCGGCTCAGGAGTAGTGGACGAATTTGCGCTAGATCTGGTGTTGAGCCCCTGATCGTTTGGATTGTGTGACAATCGTATCAAAATTCGCTTCCGGGGTCGGTTTTGGTGGCCGACATACACACTAAACACCACAACCCAGTAGCATCCATCGGCTTTGACGACCTCACCAGGAAGCATTTTTTTGCAATGCTTCAACCCCTTTTGCAGTCCACCCATCGTGCCTGATTAGTATATGTCGCAACCGTGCCGGCGGAAAGGAGCCACAAAATTCAATTGCGAGCACGAACTAAATTGTTTATACAAGAACTCGACGTCGATAATTATATTATTTACAGAATATATTAACTAGCAAAATTTTGGCACTTTTACCAATATGACATATGACAATATTACAATATGTCAATATGACCAGTGATTTTTGAGCAATATGACCGGAGTCATCGGCCTCGGGGACCGGAAGATGACCTGACGCGCAGCGTCCGTCGCATGCAGTAACAGGCCATCTTCGCTCCCCGACTAATGCGGTGGCGATAACGTCCGGCGGTCGATAGCCGGCCGCCCACCGTTAGCCAGCTGCCTTGCAACGCAAGGGCTCCGCCCCGGATGCCCACTCGTCGCCGCGAGTCCCCTAGGAGACCAACAGACGCAAACTGCTCAAAATTCAGTGTGGTTTTGCCTAGTTTTGCTTTGATTAGCTACCCTTATAAGCAAAAAAATTATATATCAGCACAATGCTACTTAGCCAGGTGGTTGGGCGCGAAAATAGCTGCCGAAAAAGCAAGCTGCGCTGATGCTGCGCCTACAACAGCCTACACGTTGTTGCAATCGACACGCTAACTGCAAAGACAGTGCCTGTGCCAGCAATAGCGCGCCAGGAGTGCGCTCAAGGCTGTAGGGCGTTGCCAACATGTTCGGGAGACAAACCTAGGAGGCGCCTAGTTGGTATCTGCACAAACTGCACAGCGGCGCGCGCGGTCCTAAAGACCGCACAGTCCGCAAGCAGTTCGGACAGGACCAATTTTCACGCGAGGGGCTGCCGCGAGCAATATGCAATATGACAATATGACAATATTACAATATGAGAATGCTACTTTTTTGATGTTTCGCTGCGCTGTCGTTGCCAAGTGTCATATTGAATGATATGTGTCATATTGCTAGTTAATATATTCTGTATTTAGATTGACATGTACAAGAACGCGTCTCACGATTAATTTTAATATATCAACATCATGTATCGTGCGGTAGCAGTAGCTTTTCAACATACTCTTACTCCTACTGCCGAGTTATATGCAAGAAAAACATGGAATTGGAAGAGCGGTCGAAAATAATAAGTCCTAATTGGCAACAAGTGCGTGGAACAGCACGCATAGACCAAGATTGATTTAAAATCAAAACCTTGATCGATCTACTTGTGCAGGTGGACTCGCACCATTGCGATCTTTCCGATTAGTCAGACCTAGCGTCGGCAACGAACGTGAATGTCAGTGATTTCGATTTGCATTGATTTCAGTGAGCTAGTAATGGGATCTCGATAATCGTGGTTATCGGCTGCACCACGATTGAACATTTGTCGAACACAGTGGCATATCGACATCAAGATGAATTCCTGATCGTCGCTTGAAGCAGAGGCCTTGCGGTGGTTTCTTTTCGTCAGTTGGAGGGTGGTCGCCGGGCGTTCCAATGAAAAGTTCCGATCGTCATTGGTCGTGGTTTTCGAACAGCAGCCTCACTCATCTGCCTCCGCACTACAGCGCAAAGAGCATTATTTTCTATCAGGAACCAAAATGCATGATCGTCAGACTCATTTTGTTCCGATCCTGCTTCTGAGCACCAGCTATGTATTCGCATTGCAACGGAAGTTCGGCCGTACCTGTCGAGCTACAGGCTTCATCTGGCGCGACAGCGAGAAGAGAATTGAAATGCGTAGCAGTTCATCTCTAAGCAGCAGGATAGTGCAGTATTTTCGCCACGACAACCGACACGTTGTCCGACGCTCCCCGCTGCAATGCCGTTTCCACGAGCACCTGAGCTGCTTCCTGCACCTCCTTCTGCCCAAAAGCGGTCGCTCCGACACTTGGTAACTGCATCTCCCCAATTTGCTCCGCGGTGGATCGGAGCACGGCTTCGACGATCTCACAGCTCTCGTGCGCGGAAATAGCGTCGAAGAGACCATCTGATCCGATGAGGAGAAACTGGTTTTTGACCACGACGGTGCGGGCGACGCCACCTGCTGCATCACCTGCGCTAAGCTGCTCTTCTTGTCCTCTCCTACTAAAGTCGTATTCGAAGATGTCGGGCGTGGCGATCACAAAGTCTTTGAGGTTTTCCGGCAACCTCCCGATCGACCTGCTCGTCGCCAATTTCCCCAGAACCCGCGGCAAGGGCCCCTCGCGCACCGTCACCGTTTCTTGCATTTCCGCGGACGCCGCCGGAGCTTCCGTCACGTTGGAGACAAAACCGCCCGGCCTGCTCTTTATCCTTGCCAGCTCCTCCCGCAAATCTGGGCGGTGCGAGAACCCGACGCGCTCAATCCTGATGTTCACGCGGGGCTCCAGTTTGTCGCGGGTGAAGAACTTGGTTTTCTTCTCCCCGGTGTTGCGAATCGACCGCTGTTGCAGCAAAACGAGGTACATCTTTTTCGCGCCGCTGTTGCTCACCCGGATTTCCTCGATCTTTCCCAAATCACCGGTCTGCTTTATCAGAACCTTCTGCCCGACGGCGAGGTCCTCGTCCGGGGCGTGTTCCTGCAGTTTCACGGTGTCAACATCTCCGAGTTGTGCAACTTGCTCGTGGTCTCTGCCCGTACTAGCGCTGTCGTCGGTATTTGGAGAATTGGAGTTGTCGTTCGCTTCGTTCTCCCTCTCCGCACCTCCTACGTCTGGCGGCGCTGCTTCCTGGTCCAAAATTTTCGCGAACCACAGCTCGCAGTCTCCGATCTGCGCGACCAGCAGGGTGGTATCAAACATGATTGCGAGGGTCAGCGTGGATCCCGCGTCGGTGGACTGATGTTGTGATATCCAGGCGTCAAACTTCTGCAGGGACTGATGAATCGCGGCCTTGACAAGATTCGTCTGCTCTCTAGTACTTTGCAAGCCCGGCTGGTCAGAATTTGCCGAAGCCTCGGAGTAGATCCTCGTCTGGTCGTGTTGAGGATGAGCATCTTCTCGCTCCTGCAGCAGGTGAGCCAGCAGCTCGGGGCGCAAGAATTGCTCGGGGTAGACGTCCCGTAAGGCCGCGGCAACCTCCTCTCCGTAGTGCCCGTCAAACACACCGAAGACGTGAAACGTCTTTCCTCCGACCTCCGTCTGCAGTGCCAGGGTCGCGTCCTCTTGCGCAGGGCGCCGTCCCTGGGCCTGCGCCTGACCGACGATCGGGTAGGCAAGGGGGCGGGAAATGCTTCTGCCATCGCTTGTAGTCGCGCCGTCGTGCTGGCCAAGAAGATGTCGGTCCTCAAAGCTTCTGCTGCCATCGTCCATCTCAAAGGTCGTGGGAGCATCTGACAAGTGGTCCTGACGCACTTCTCCTCGCAGTGACTCAAGCCCTTCACTGTCAACATCTGATTTGTTAGGAATGGATGTCGATGCTCATCTTACTTGAGGCGTTCCGTGCGGTTCAATATCGACGGAAAATGGAAAGTTATACGGAACGAAGGAATGTATCTCGAACTTCTCACACGTGGGTACTTTTACTTACATTCGGGTGAGAAAGAGGCATGAACGAGGATAGCATTCGGCTCGTGCTTTGTTACTTAATCTCATCTCCACCTGCGCAGCTTTGTCAAATCCAAATGGAAAAAAGAGCTATCTAATAGGTAGGGCGTTCGGGCAACTAGTTAGTGGAACACGAAAGTTCTCTTCGTGCCGCGTTTTGTCCATCTTGTCGTCGCTTTGAAGCATTGCCTGCTCGTCACAAAATAGAAAATAAGTACTGTGGTTCTCACTTCTACAAGTACTTATTGCATTCATCTTGGTTGCGGGCTGAGGGCTGTCTGGAACCACAACCAGAACGAGCAGTGTGAGTACAACAACAAAAAAATTGAAACCGAAAAAAATGCGTAAGTACCTCTTGGAGTTGAGTCGGCGGCGTCCGGCTCAGGCTGCGACGACGTTGCACAAGTTTCTTTTTCGAAATCGCCAGCGTGCTTGTGCACATTATCGGCATGATCATTCTCTGCAGCAGCCTCTGGGCCCGAGGAAAAAGTTGATGTCGTACCTGCTGCAGCCGCTCCTTTCATCTTGTTGCCTGACGACATTGCTTCGTCGTCCACAGCAAACCAAGGATGCCGCAGAGCTTCCGTCGCGGAAATCCGAAGCTCCGGTTCCCAGACCAGCATTCGCCGCAGCAGGTCCCTTGCTAGGCGGTCCGGCAATCCTTCTCCACTGACATCGAGCTCGCGCAGGAGTTGTGAAAACTCATTTTCGCTGCAGGGCAGGAGAAGGTTCGTGCCAGGGTGACGATCTTCGTGTTGAGCGTCCTCATGGTCATGCTCTTCATGTTGGCCGCGGCCCCCAGCGGCACTTGCACTTCCCAGCGACTGTTCGTCAAGGTCATCAAGGACTGCGGTGTCCTCTCGATCATTCGTACCGCTGTCCTCCGCAGATGTTCTTAAGCCACGACCGGCAGGATCTTCATGTTGACCGCTTGCTGCAAACCCAGCACTTGCGCTGGAATTTCTCCTTGTCCCTGCAAAGCCACCGGGGACCACGGTATGTTGCAGATGCAACCATGGCCGCACGCAATTATCGGTGAAGGCGTGCGCTTTGAGCGCGTTGACCACATCCTTGTCAGAGAAGCCGAGTTGACGGTATTTCATTTCGAGTCGTCGGCGCTTCCTCTGGTTTGACTGTTCGTAGCTTGCAAACTGATCGCTATTGGTCTGGAAGTGGTTATTTCGCGCATTCGACGAATGCTTTCTTGTAGTACCAGTGCTGGACGATGTCGCCACGTCATGAATTTCGCGCACTTGTAAAATTTCATCGATTCTGCGCCCTGTCACGATTTCAAGAAAAACCAGACCCGCGGCAAAAATGTCGAAACTTGGGGACCGATAGTAGGGATTCGTGGTGATATTTGATGTCGAATCATCCGCACTGCTCGTTGCTGCGAATTGCTGAGCAGAAGTACTATCCATCGCCGCTGCTGGTGCTTGCTCCTGCTCGAAATTGGAACCGACGTCGTTTTCGGCTTCGGAGTCATCTTCAGATCTCAATCCATTTTCATCATTTTCAAGATTTCCTGCAGGAGCATCGCCATGGTTTAGGTTTTCTTGTCCGTCCGCTGTCATCTTTACCGAACCTTCACCAGCGTGCAATGCGGTCGTACCAGTTGCAGGAAAAAACGCCTCGGGTGGTAGGTATTCCGCGGTCTCTTCCTGCGCAGTGGGGCCCGTGCTAGAAAACAGATGCTCGTACTTTTTCAAATTTTCTGCTGCCGTCGTGTAGTGTATGTTTTTCCCGTCTTTTTTCCCAGGCTTCGGAAAGAACACCGCCGAGCCGAAGTCTGCAATGCGAAGGTGGAGCTCATGCTGCTCGTCCTCACGAATGAGCAAATTTCCGAGTTTTATGTCCCGATGTGTGATACCCACAGCGTGGATCTCCGCCAGACCATGCAGAAGCTGGTACATGATGGACTTCATGACTTTCAAGTTGCTCATCTGCCCCTGATCGTCGCCAGGATGTGGTCGGCCTGCGGAACCCCCGCCTGCTTCCAGTGTTTGCAGTGGGGAGGAGCCCCGGCCGCCACTTCCACCGGTGCTTACAGCCAGCGCATCTTCGACGCCCTCGCTGAGTGAAGGATTCCACGGCAAGGCAGGTGGTGAAACAAGAGGACCCATCGACGAAGGATCGAGCGTCTGGTGGAGGAGGACACCATCTGGATTTCTTCTCTCGTCAGCTGCGCCTGCTGCTGCAGTCTCCGGCAGTGGAATCGCGGGAGGGAGTAGCGCTTGCTCGAGTTGCAGCTGTCCGCTCTTCGAAGATGCTGGTGCAAAGCCGTTGTTATACGCCACAACCCACGAGGCCGCAGCGGACTCGAGATGCTGCGATGAGGAAGAGCTGCTTGTGTGGAAGTCTAGCAGTGACGCCGGAGCGCCTGAATGCTGGTCACCAGTTGTAACGGGCGCGTAAGCCGATCCGGTCGGCGGGCTTGTTCGCGGCACGAGAGCAGCTTCTTCCCCCGCCGCAGAAGGCGACCTGGTACCAGTTCCCTGGCTCGGCCCAGCTCGAGTGTTTCTTGCTGGAGACTTCAGAGACCACCTATCAAAAGGAAAAATCCCCCCTCCCCATATCAAAACTGAAATCTGTGATGCAGATTTGTTGTCACAAATCAGCTTTGTCATGCTACACGGGAAAAGATGCGGACTGTAGTGCTGGGTGGCGTGGGGGAGCCTTGCATCTTCAGCATGATAGGAGGCAGCTGAGAGTGGGAAACAGCATGACAAATTGCCTGCAAACGAGACCACGACTGCGGCTCTTGGCCTTCTAGCATGACAAGTCGATTTGGTACCTCAAATCCTGCATCACAGATTTCCATTTCGATATGGGGAGGGGGGATTTTTCCGTTTGATACCACCAAAACGGACTTGGCTCGACCGTGGTGCCGTCCGCAGACACCCACTATGGAGAGAAAAAAGTTTGTCACAGTCACTAAGTAGTTGCAGGTTTTGCATTACAAATTTTTTTAGCATCACAACTTCTCCTTGTATTGCAGAAACACTAGGGAAATCCCTTATGAAGTGTTGCTGTGATGCATTTTTACGCATGACAGACAATTTTGTGTTGCAAAAATGCCCATGAGTGATCGTGACGAACTTTTTTCTTTTGATACCCACCAGAGCAGGTGCAACAGCGAATATCCTTCGTTGACGAAAACCAGCCACATTTGGTCTTTGTTTTGCCCTGCCGAGAAATGGTCCAAGTACCTAGCCACGTGGGGCGCGTGCCGCAATTTCACACCAAAGAAAATTTCTCGCTCCCCCGACCGGCGGATTTCGCCTTTGGGCGCCGGCTCCTCTTTATGCTGATTTTTGGCGTGCCTGGTCGTGGCCAGCTTGACTTCATCCTTCTCCGTGAACAGCCGTTTCAATACCACCTCCTGATATTATGACAATGCACAACTCCCCCTCCCCCTCATTTGTCATGCAAAACCCCAAATCCACGTGCTTCCCTGTGGTACTGTTTGCATGACAGATTCCGGAAGCCCAAACAGTACTACACTAGGCGCATGAATTTGTCATGTATAGGCTCCTTGTGTGCTGGTGCTTTTATTGCCGTTCATGCTATACAAAAGAGGGGGAGGGGGAGTTGTGCACTGTCATAGGTATTCCCCCGTTGCAGTTCGCTCCAGCGCTCGCCAGACCTCGCCGAAGCTTCCACGCCCGATTCGCGTGCGCGTGTCCCGCTGGTCCGCTGAGCGGAAGAAATAGCTGTCGTCGTCCTCCGTGTAGCCACCACTACTTGCCGACGCGCCGCCTTCTAGCATGTGGGGAATATTATCGCCGCGCGATGTTGACGCAGTGCCTTTCGTTCTCCTTCTCTTGTTCGCGAAGCTGGTGGCGTACAGATCGGCAAGCCGGTCGTAATCGTACTGGTCCTGTTGGTGGTCGTAGCTGTAGCTCAGCGTGGTGACGATTCTCTGCGCCAGCTCGCGGTACGGCAACTGAATGCCCCGAGCCATGAAAAACGAGTCCACACGTGGAACGAAGCGGTTATTTCTGTCGGTTATCATTCCTTTTCCAGGTGACTGGTGTCCCGGCAGATGACTTTCTGTTGCAGATGGTCCTTGCAACAATGGCTGGTGTGTTCCATAATCAACATTGCGGAAGTTGTCACCGCTTCCAGGAGCTGGAATCAGTTGCAGGCCCTCTCCTGAGGTCGGGCTGTAGGTCAACCATCGCGAGGACAGAGCGGACGAGGACGTTGATGCGACGTAATTGCTGGCACCACTAGCACTATCATCGTATCCATGCAGTCCGCGTGTTACTGGCAAAGGATTTACAGCATTTCGGTCGGGGCACACGGCCTTTCGCGGGAAATAGAACTGCCTCCCAGAAGCAGTTGTTGAGGAAGGTTGATCTCCTCTTCTCGGCTGCGAAATCGATTCGTCGTCGTGATCGCGTTCGTCTTCGCTTGGGAGGTCTTCCTCATCCACACGCGGGCCCTGCTTAGGGAAAGAGGCACTGTTCCTCGCATCTGCTGCTCTGCCCGAGCCCGTCCGGCTACGATCCTCTGCAGATGGTAGATAACGCCCTGCATTCGGAGGTTCAGAGTCCTCTACTCCGGCAATCTGCTCAGGCCCTAGTCCGGCCTGCTCAACGCCATCTACGGGGCAGCGCAAGTCGATGTCAATGCGCTCAACCAGAATGTACCGCCCATATTCGAGGACCGCGCCCGGGCGTAAATGGATCTCCTGCAGGGCACCTGCTGCCGCTGCATCGCTTTCACCTTCTTCTGCTGGATGCATCGTTGCAGAGACAGAAGCTGGTCTTGCAATTCCTCGGTGCTCGATATCAACACTTCTCTGGGAGGCGAGCGCCAGCTCCCTCGATGTGATTTGCGATGAAGGCTTGTCGCGATCGTTGCCGCTCCTTCCTGATCTCGAGTCATCTACAATATGATTTGAGGGACTCGACGTCATACTCAGGCTCATGTCGATGCAACTCGCCTCATGATCCCCCTGAGATTCCATATTCTTGACGCCGTTTTTGTAGCAGACATTTTCTCCATCAACGCCGGAAATTTTACCGCCATTCGCTGAAGGCCCTTCAATTTTGCGGGTCCTGGTCGTGAAGGAAAACGACGTTCTTGCGATTAGAAGTTGAAGTATCGAATAAAAATTCCAGTTGTAGAAGACGCTGCAGCATAGCAGTAGCAGCACGAACAAGATGGTTGTGGAAAAGAGCACAGTCGCTCTGCCACACCGGCGTGCGTTCCCCTGCTCCTGCGGCGGTACAACTACGGTAACTTCGATGGTCTGCTGGTCAACGACGTCGAGCTGGCTCTCTGCTGACTCGGGCATTTAGCTCCGCCTTCGAAAGTGGGTACGTACGGCAATGGGGACGTCCTCGTTGGTGCCACGTCTTCAATGAGATCTTTCGTCACAATCCCTCGTCACTTTTCGCAACGGACATGAAGATCTTTGAATAGCACGGAGGACCAGGAGGTGGTATGTGGATGTGGTGCTTTATGAATGAAATGAAACTTTTACAGTCGTTCTCGTTGCAGTTAGCGTTTTCGTCAAATAAAAAGCGTTTAATCGAAGCATGTTAGAACCATGAGGACCATCAAGTCAAAGAAATCACGTAAATAAAATTCTGACTAAATACTTTTCGTTCTTATTTCGAAGCGTTGGGCCCTGCATCATCGAATATCGATGGGCGTTATCATTCATATCAATGTCAATTTGGCAGGCTTTAGCTTTTGTCGAAATGCACACTAAAGCGCATGTAAAACGTACTTATTTATCTAATAGGCGGTCTGTAGAGGTACGTTCTTGCAATCTATCTCGACATGACGTTGATACACATGCCTGTTACAGGGCGCGACCGCCACCGGCGTTTTTGCTTAGTATGCAATCAATCAGCGTGGCTTAGAGATAAGCATTTTGAGATCATCTGCACACGAGCGCGAGGACGCCGCGTGCCCTGTAGTTGAAGAGGAGTAAACAAGTTTTTCCGAAGTTCGTTTCGTCTTGATCTCCACTGCCGGGGATGACATGCCTGGGACAACTTCATCACGACCGGTGACGCGAAACAAGAGCTATAGATTCTTTATCACGACGAGAAGCACAAGATGAACCGTAGAGCTACGAAACACCACGGGTTCTTCAAAGCGGCAGGGGCAGAGCGACCAGGGAAAATCGGTGTCAAAAACGTGATCACAGTGGTGACTCCATCCCTGGTGGTGATGACGAGGAGTTTGTCGCTTTGTAGTTCCATTTTGTTCAATATCTATACCGTCCTCAACATTCTTCTACATTCTACATGATGTAACGCTTGGCGAGAGGTCTTTTTACAAGGTGGAGGTACACGTGCCACATTCCAAGAGCGAATCACGACTTTTTGGATCGTACAAATTGAAACTACAACTAGAAGCAGAGCTCATCAGTTGGTTGCGTTGTCACTTTCTGCGTTGGCACGACCTCTTCCGGCAGGAGCTCCATCAAGAGCAGTACCTTCTTGCCGCTCTGCGTTTGGAGGTGTCGCGTTTCCGCTCTTTGCTTGCCGGGGGCTAAGTAGTGCTGCTTTCCACGCCGTGAAGGGTATCGGGTTTGTGTTCGTTTCTTCAGCGGGCAGAGCAGAACTAGTACCAGCCTCAGGACTGGGGGAAGCGGCGTCAGCTGGGTCTTGTGCCCGCTGCCCGAAGTTACTTGACGACATCTCGTCCGCAACTGCAGACTCATTTCTCACGGACAAAGGCGAGAAAGAGCCGGATCGTTCTTCCGATATCGGAGTCAATTGCCTTACGGACGATGTGGACTCCTCAAGAACCACGCTCGCTGCCTTTTTTTGCGGCGCTGCGGACGCTTTTGTTGTGGACGCAACTGCAGTTGGGGTGGACACTTTTAATTGCAGCTGCGGGTCCGCTTCATGATCCCTGGTTGTACTCGTGTACGTGACTGGATATTCAACAACATCCTGCCTCGAACTGTTTCTGTTCCTCTGGTTATTTGCACCACCCCTGCCAGCTTCTACAATTTTCACCGTCAGCGGTTGCGCTAGGGCCTCGTCGTCGTCAACCGTTGCCACCTGGAGGTCCTCCTCGAGAACATCGCCTTCCTCCTCCCCACCGTAATAAAACTCGCTGTCGGCGGACATGTGGAGTTCCTTTTTGAACACGTTCGCGATGTCCTGCTCGGGGTAGAGACAGGTGTGACACGTGTAGAAGAAGAGCACGCAGCAGGTGACCAAAATCGCGACGCACCCAAGGAACAGGAACAACCACTCGTGGAGAAGACCCTGCATGGGCTGCGAGGGCGGGTACAGCTTGTGCAACTCTTTCATGATCGCGGTCCCATTCTTCAAGGTGTTGATGGGCTCCCAAACCTTGTAGACCGCGGACTTGTAGCAGCTGCGCTGCTCTTTGTCCTCGGCGCCGGTCTTCGGGTCGACCGGGCCAGTCCGGAAGCTGTGCGAGTAGCTGTTTAATTTTGCGATCGAAATTTTCATTCTATGCTTGAGCTTGGGCTGGAGGAGGAAGAGGAAAGACGACAACAGCGTCGTTTAAGTTTATTAGATCAACTATGCATGGTTTGCAGATAGAGATATTGCTCGTGCGTTGTAGAAATAATCATGAAGCAGCACCACAACTTCCTCGTCCCCCACTCTGTAGAAGACACAGTGACTGTGATTTCAAATACTTATGCCTTTATGTTCATCATGAAATATGATCACTTTCACTTCTCAAAACAAGGAGAACGAAAACAATAACAAGAACGTCGTGCGTTTTTGTTTTATACTAGCTGGTCCCTTCGCTAGTCTGCAACAGGAGACACACTGGGGCGTTCGACGAGAAGATGCCCGTCAGATTAGTCAGGGGCGCCTCTGACGCAAAGTAGAAAGGTATCGTGAGCAAAAACATCCCCACCCCAGAGTCAAGATGAGGATCTCGCAACACAAGTCGAGAAGTTTTGGGAGCCAAGCATGACAATTTCGTCTCTGTATTGTAGTGCAGTTTAGCAATTACAGCCGCAACACAAATCCATCTACTCATCCTGTTTACAGCATCACAAAGTCCAAAACGCGATTGGAAACCAACGCCTCTCATTGGGATGCGCTTTACAAATCTTCCTGTGGCTGCAAATCTGCATGACAACTATGGGGTGGGGACGTTTTTACTCAGGATAAAAGGGTAGTTGTTGTTGTGTCCGACCGCGATTTTTTCGAACGTCTGCACGGGCTTCAAAAAATAATCCTCAAAACTCGTCTTCATTGCTCCGCCAACTTTGCCCAAAACCCCAGCCGGAGGTGTCGCTTGATGCTCTTGTGTTCTTGTTTCACCTGCACCAGGTGCTGCTCTGTCACTTTCGTTTCGCACCGCGGCTTCGGCTTCGCCAGCGTCAAGAACAGAAGGCGTTGTTGTACCTCGGCCTCTACCCTTGTTGTACTCTTGCACATTTCTTCCTCCTGATCCAGTGCCTCCAGCAGCAGTCGACGCACCACCTTCTTCACGGATAATCTGGGTGCCACCCTGGTGGAGTTCCAAAAATTGAGAAGAGAAACTAGTACTAGTCGCGTCAGACGATGCGCTGGTGCTCGGATTTCCATTTGGCTTCATGTCACTGGCAGGAAAATTCTCAGCAGCAGCACCATTTCCATGCCGGCCCCAGCCGGAATGAGCGTCTTGGCCAGCGTGATTTTCGTGTCGCTCCCGATTAGAAGTCACCCCGGTCGTGGCGCTGATTTCCACCGCACCGTGCGTCGCGGCCTCTTCGTGATTTTTGTCACCAAGAGAATCTGGATGTTTCTCGTGCTCCGGAATAGATTGGTCCCGTCGGCCACGAAAGCTCCGCCGTCCTGCGAGAGCGAAACTCGTCGGTGAGTGCAATGTCGCGAACCACGTAGCGAGTAGAAGTTTAAACATTCGCACGAAGATTCGCATTTGAAGACACATCCTGTCCGAGTTGGCTTTCCTGGGTAGAAGGTAGTTTGTCAGACGAAGAAAGCGACAAGGTTGAACAGATCGATACCTGCTTTGTAACACAGAAGCAAGACTGATACTGAAGGAAAATACAAATAGACCAATACAGAAATGAAAAACTCAAAGAAACTGTTTTTGTTGTGGTGCTGGGTGAACATAGTAAAAGTGTTGTGTTGTAATCAAGTAAGAAGTAGCATGAAAGCGCATCTGCTATTCCGATCTAACACGGCGGGTCTGGGGTGACTACGAGCACGATTTTTGTATCGATGACGAATTATGACACGACTTGTCACGACCACGACGCAGCGAGAAAAGCGATTCAAATGTTACCTCTCCGCAGGAACAAGTCGCATCTTGGTTTTGGTTTTAGCACGACAGTCTGAACTTGAGTCTTCAGTTTCGATAACGCAAGATGCAAATCCAGTTTGGATTCCGTCAAATACTACGTTGCGACAGACGACGAATGACGCCGACACGAAATCAAGTCGCGCCAGTGAACTGCTGATGCAGCAACATCGTCTGACGTTTCTTTTTTGATGTGCTGTCACGAGTCACGAACACGATCAAGATCAGCAAAACGCGCACCCGGGTAGGATGAGGCGTTGTCTCTATCTATCTTCCATGGGATTGCACAAAAAAAGTTATCGCGCAGCCATCGCTCGTCGATCCGTCCAGGTGGAAAAAGTATGAGTATCCTCAGCATCGGTTTTTCTTCCAAGAGCGCGAACTGAAAAACCAGGAGTCCAAATCGTCCACAATGGACTTTTCTGGCGCAGATGCTAGTGCGGCCTGCCTTGAGGATGGGCACTCCGGGTTCAGTATCGTCCGTTGCTCCTCGTCTGCGAACCCATGAGGTGGCACCAGACGGTCAGCATCATGACCAGCCTGCGCCTCCTCAGGATAATGGTGGTAATCGTTGCACTGCTCAACCGCTTCGCTACTGCGTTCAGGACAGCGATCAAAGTCTGCAGTGATCACACAATCTGCATGGCCCCGCCCGAGTCCATCTCCAGCGGCGTGATCCGCCGCCGCCGCAAGTACAGAAAGATCGATCGAGGATGATGGCCCAGCTGCTGACAGGATATCCCCGGGTAGATGTCTTGTGGTTGTCGTGGTACTCCTTCGCGAAGCAGATGGGGACGTTTTGCCGCCATGCTCAGCGTGCTGCTGGTCTCGACGCTTCCGACTTGTTCCACTATTCGACCCGGAAGCTAGCACCCCGGCGATGATGCGTTCGCGGTTGTTTCTCGTCAGTGTACTTGAAGTAGTAGTCGTCCTAGTTGTTGCCGAGCCGTCCATGGGCCTCGCTTTCACTGAAGATGATTGCGATTTGCTAGCCTGGCTTGAAGAGGCATAGTTGTGAGCGCCGGCGCGGCCTCGGACTGCGCTATGGTTTCTGGGATTGGAGGCCTGGCGTGGAGGCCCGCAGCGAGATGGTAATGCTGGCGCTCTGATAAGGTTAAGGATTTTTTTTATTTTATTGATTTGTTTTTGTGAGTGTCGTGCTCAAGGATTTTTTGAAGCATTCAGCCCTACAACTTCCTTCTACTTTCGATGGCTGCTTTCGCAATTTTGCACAAGCAGAAGACATCAACAGGTAAAGACGAACGAGAAAGATATTATCTTTGTACCCGTGCTGTCCTCCATCAGCCGCATCCTCGACCTCGCGACGTCGCCGGAGACTTTGGTCTCTCAAGCTCGCTTCGCGCTTTCGGCTTTCCTTTGCGTAAGTGGCTCGGCTGCGTTCTGCGGCGGCAAAGGCAGACTTCAGTTGCCGCACAGATTCTAGGGGATCCACCCGAGAACCCGAACCAAATCGCTGCGAGTGCTGCGAAATGCGAGCGGACGCTCGCGCGGTAGTGCGCGACAGCGGCGCGTGCGTGCTCCTACTCTCTAGCACACTGCCCGCCGCACCAGCAGATGCGTTCTTCGTTCTCGAAGAGGACGGATCATTGTATGCTGAAGTGCAGGAACTGTTTTTGCGAGAAGCGGTCGTCGTTGTTTTACACGCCTTTGTAGCGGCCGTCGTTCTGGTTCTGCCTCCAGCCGTGGTCACTTTGGTCGTGTTTCCCTTTCCACCGTGCGTCATCGCAGCGTTCGTACCACTTGGAGCTGTGCCCTCGTGGTCCTGCGTGTGCAAGTTCCGGTAGGATGGAGGCATGCTTTGTGACTGCAGTGCCGCACCGCTATGGAGATCATCCTGAGTTTGGGTACTACTACTATGCGGGTCCTGCATGGGCTTGGGCTGCAATTGCCGTAAATCGACTGGGTGATCAACATCTGCGGGCGGTGCATCATGTTCATGTTCCTCTAGTTGAGGCTTCATTTCAGGTCCGAACCGCGGAGCCTCTTGCGCGTAGTAGCTGTTGACAGATTCATCAAAATGATCCCAGAATGAGTAGAAGTAGTTAAGGTCTACAGGCAATAAAAATCATAATCAAGAGTAAGAAAATCTCAAATTTTTCCGCATTGTCTATTGATGCAAATCCTCTCGAGACGGTCACAGGAGAAGTCCTAAAAAACATAGAAGTGGTACGCGCTCGTCAGCTGGCTCAATGCGAGACCGCCGGCTGCCGCACGGGCCGGGACCGTGCTTCCGTGGGGCTCCTCCAGGGGTGGATGAACTACAGGGCGCAGGAGCAGATTGGTTGCAATGCTCGTCGTCGTGAACATAGTACCTGCAATTGCGCCAGTTGCTGTTGCAGGTCCTGGTGCATTCGAGGAAGAACTCGATCCAGTGTACAGAAAATTTTTCTGTAGCTGTGCGGCAGCTGTGGTTTGGAGTACGGGTCTGGTAATTTGCAGTTTCTGCTGTGCCATCTGGGGCTGAGCTTCCAGCTGGAGGTGCTGTGGTACTGGTGCAGCCGTTGGATACGCTACGGCTGCTGGCGGGTCAGATCGAGCTCTGCTTGATGGTGCAGAACTGGGAAGAATTTCATCCCGCACAATCAATGCCGGCATGGGCACCAAGGGGGAAAACTGGGGCGGGCTGCACTCTCCCATCGAGGACCGCTCCTCAATGATCGGATCTAGATCACGCCGTCCGGAAATAAATTGTTCCGCGCGACGCCGGTCTTGGGGATCAAACTGGTAGCGGACTGCCGTGGCCGGTACTGTCGTTGGACGGGAAGCTAGCCCGTCAAAACGAGGACTCGCTCCTCCTTCTGGAGAACTTTGCTGGGCTCCACTGCTGATTGCTGAATCGGCGTGACGTGCGGCCACGTCCGCGATCGCAGTTACACCGGCCGCATGCGGTTGGTTGCGAAATTTCTGCCTTCCAAGCGGTAGCTTAGGCGGTCCTTTAGGCAGGGTAGTTGAGGCAACGTGCAGGCTGCGCGCGGTCCAAAATGGCGAAGACGCGTCCGGCGGGGGCCGTTTCACGGCCGGAGGCGGGGAGACGTGGCGCAGCAGCGGTGGCTCGGGCGACAGCTTTCGCAGGGTGGGTGGCGGCGAAAAGTGGCGCGTTACGGCATCTAGAAGGGATTCCGGAGGCTGCATTCCGCGCTGTGGCTCGGCCTGCTTCGGCAGAGCGAGAAAGTTGTGCTGTTCATTGTTTTGATAAATTAAGGCAGCTTCAGCTTATGTCTCTGTGACTCGATAAAATCCCGCGTTCTGACGCAGCAGCTAGTAGCATAAAAGCCACCACGGCGACAAGAGAGGTCAGAACTACAGATCGTTGGATATTGCACGACACGTGCTCAGGTAGAAGCACTGCCTGTTAGGCAGATGCAGATTCAACAATGCATTCACAAACTTCAAATCATCGATTCTACCGGCAATGCGACGACACAATTTAGCGATCGGCTTTGCAGCAGCGGTTCTTTCTGCTTTTCTCCCTGAAGGGCAATGGCGCCACCTGGCGCGGGTTCCGACGTGCGCGGACGATCTGCGGCACTGCGTCCTGAAGCGTTACTTTGTTCTGCAAGTTCTTCTATTCCGGCAGTTCCAGAGACAGATGCTGGAATTGGTGCATCAAGCGATCTACTCTTAAACAAGTCGTTCCACGATGGCACAACGCCATTTGACGTTGTACTAGAAGACGAGGAAGCGGAGGACCCCATAAATTTGGTCGTGTTTGTTCTCCCGACAAATTTATTCTTCGCTTCGGAGGGTGGAGCGACCTCGTCTTCAACAATGAGCTCTGCGAGTACAGGCCGCTGCTTGCTTGAACTAGATCCACCTGCTGGACCGATGGCGCGCGTGGTGGTGGAAGTAGTTGCACCACTTCCGTCTGATGCTCCTGCAGAATATGCTAGAGGTGGAGCTGCGCCCGCGTCGGCTCCTGGTGTGTTTTTCTCGGTAACAAAAATCTCAGGTGTCAATGCCTGCCGACTATCTCCTTCGTCTTCCTGCACGGAGGAACGGTTCAGGTTCTTTGGCTTGGTGCTCGTGTTATACGAGCATCCGTTCAGCGGCGAAATGGGTCCTCCTTTGCTGCTGGAGGAGCTCAATGCCATCAACGGCAACGTCGTACCTGCGCCAGGCCCGCCTGCATTCCATTTGGGAGCTGGAAAGCGAGCGTTTGGGGAGTGTTGCTGCGACAGGAAGTTTGCTCGCCTGCTGGTCGTGCTCCGGCTGCTCAAGGTCGACGTCGGAGATAGTATCGCAAGAAAAAAGTGTCACAGTTACACATTTTGTTGCAGGCCAAGCAAGACAGACAAGCTCCGTCATGCCGGATAAGCATCGGAGCCTCGTTTCACGCGTGTTTTCCCGTAGGATTTCTGCATTGCAAGTTTTTTCTCTCATGCAGAGAAATTTGTGTTGCTGCATTGACAACAGGAGGTGTGTAACTGTAACACTTTTTTCTTGGGATAGATAGGGCACAGGGACCACTAGCGCCTTGTTGTGGTGCAGCTACGCCTTGGCCTTGGAGCAGCAACAACTGCTGTTGCTTCTGCTGCCCGATGACATCACCAGCTCCACTAAAAAACGAGTCGTCTTGCTTTCCTGACGTTGCAATGGGAGCCGCAAAGCTTAAGCTAGTACTTTGCTTCCGCTGATGAACTGCAAAATTCTGGAATTGATCGGACAATAGGGACAACCTTTCGTCCATGAGCTCCTGCTGGGTTTTCCAAGTGCGGATCGCGTCTTGCATTTTCGCACTCTGAGTTTGCACCTCGTCTTCCAGCTGCCTGCAGCGAAGCGCCGACTCCTGCAAAACTTCCTGCAGCAACTGCTTTACACGGGTTTCCGGAAGGTATTTCATCTCGTTGCTACACTCTTTCCGCAGCTTTTTCGACCGCAAAGTGATGTAGCTTTGGTCTTCTTGGCCTTGATGACTCTGGCCCGCAGCAGTTGTCGCGTCACTCCTGCTAGTGTCCCCATAATTCTCAACATCTGCAGAGGTTTGCCGCAGCCCCAACTTCATGCTAGTGGGCCCCCCTTCCCCTTCGAGGTCGCTCAACATTGTCGTGCTACTGGAATTCGGTTCTTCAGTGAGGTCCTCAACGAATTTGTCGGCGCGCGCAAGCATCGACGAACCGAGAGGGGCAAAAAAGCCGTTTGCTAGAAGTTGTTCGTCTTTGTCCTGCATTTTGTTCGGACAACTGGCCGTCCTCGTCTCGTCATTCGGTAAAGTTTGGGACAAGCTCGTTGTACCGCAACCGTTTTTACTAAAAGTTTGATCTTGAAGATTTTCCTGCTGTTCCTCGACGACCGCAGAATGTAGTTCTTCGCCACTTTGGCCACTATTCCTGATTTTCAGCATCAGGTCAAGGGCTTTTCTGTGGGCTGGACCGACCTTCTTTAGGAACTTGACATCAACGTCGCCGTGAAGCAGCTCGCTGGGAGAAAGTGAGGAGGATCCGGCAACGTCGTCGGCATTTGCATGTGGCGGGTGCCGATAGGCATCACTTTCCGGGGAGCATGCGTCCGTCGTCTTCGCATACTGCCGGCTGATCGTGCTCGTCATTTCATCCACCTGTTGTACTTCATCACGACTATTTGCATTTTTCCCGCCAATTGTCCTCACCAGGTGAAGATGCTGCTCGAAGGCAGGCATGGCTTGATAGAATGGTTCTGCCCCCGCGGAGGTCCTCCACGACCCGGCCCCGTGTTCCTGCTGTCGTGTGTTCGTCAGTTCTTGATCTTCCCCCAGAAGCTGGGCGGCGTCCCTTGTTGTGGCCGCGGATTCTTTCGTTGTCCCCCTCTCAATATCTTCCACCCTGATCTGCTGTTGGTGCCGGGGTGCCGTGCTGTAGACACAGGATCCTGGCGGGACTAGCGATTCCGCGCTCGAGGTAACCGGCGAGCACTTCGAGGGAAGAAACTTCGGATTTGTCATCTTGGTCTCAGTGGTCGGAGGTGGACCCAGTTCGTCCTGATACGCACTCGTGCGAAGATTTGGAGTCGAGGAAAACGTCGCGGTCTTGTTGCCCCCCGTTGGGGCAGTAGTACAAGCAGCAGCTGCGTGATCGACGAACACGAGAGCCTCACTAGGAGGTGCAGCGCAGGACCCGCTAGTGCTTTCCTCCAGGATTCCAGCGGAAGAAGCTGAGGCGCAACTTGAGGACAAGTTATGGCCGTAAGTTGAGGAACTACTTCCACCGTCCTCTAGCGTGCTGCTCGAGTTTTCAATTTCATCCTGACCTCGACCAGGGATGGCGTCCTTTCGGCCAAGGGCGAGTCCGCTTCGCCGAGGAAAAACTTCGTCGTCCATTTCCTCCGCTGTAGTCGTGATACCGTTATCCACGACCGTGACTGTGCTGGTCCTCGGTTCTTGCCGTTCTTCGGAAGAGTGACCACCTGTCAATGTCGTGAACATCTCGTCTGCGCACTCGCCAGTTGCAAGGAGAGCTGCGGCGTCGGATGCAGACCTTGGGAGTTTTGTAGAAAGTGATCAAGATCATTTATGTTTGACTTTGTCATGACATCACGATGGTACCGATGATGAAGCTGCTTCTGTCGTTTGTTACATCAATGACGACAAAGAGTGAAGACTTTTATTTTCTCCTCGACACCGACACGATCGATATATGATTTTGATTTATCAAAAATCGGAAAAAATTTTCAAGTGCGAGGTCACAGAAACGACAACACAACTACTGCACCAGCAAGAAAGGTCAAGAAGTGCAATAGCATTCTTTACTGCTCTTCTCTTCCTGGTACAACAGCTCCAGCTGTCCCGCCACGCTTTACACGATCGGCCTGCACAAAGGGGTTATTTGACAGAGACGACGTCGAGTACATTCGTGCAAGCTCCATCTCATAGGCTTTTTTTGCTTCTTGGATGCTCGCCGAGTTAGAGTCCAGATCTGCTCGATTGTCCATAGAGAGTGAGCAAGAACAAGATTCATCTGACTCGTCCGCGCGTGCATCTTCTAGTTTGGCTTGGTTCATCTCCAGGAGTTCTTGGTTTTTTCCAGCTATCGCGCAGTCGTTATGATTTTCGTAATGCCGACGACCTCCAAGAGTTTGAGTTGTATCTAGAGAAGCCTGGAGGTGCTCGCCGGCTTCGGGTGGATTTCGACTGTTGAGATCACTTCGCGTGCTGGTGTCTTCCCGCGTCTTTCCGCGGACTCGTGCGCCAAGTTGTGCACAGGTTTCCACTGGATTTCTGTCAGGCTGGAGTTCTTGTGCTGGATAATTGGTGCTTTGCGCAGGGGTCGCTGTTTCCGCACTCGCAAAAGCTGCAGGAGCTGGCTTTTCATGATTTGTTTGTGCTTGTTCTCGGAGCAACTGCGCTCCCGCTTTGGTTAAACCTTCGGTGAGTAGTGCCAAATTGGATTTTACGATCTCGCTGTTCTTGGAGTAGTAGTTTCGAGATGCAGAAGATTTGCTGTTCTCGAGAAACGGCGACTGACTCCCAGCGGACCGCGGAGAGGAGGACCAATCGCGGGACGAGCTACTCAGCAGGGTCGCACTGTATTCGAGTTCATGCTCATGCAGCTCGGATCGGATTCCAGAATCCCGAGCGACAACATCCCCGGTGCTGCTGCGGCGCTGATGGTCCTGGTGTGCCGTATTTTCCGCGACCCTAGCCAGCGTCGGAGCGTTGAGAAGATGACCTGATTTTTTTTTTCCATACTTTTGCCGAACAAGAAAACTGAATTTGCTATTGCTCGCTCCATCACGATTTTATTGTCCGGAATGTTTCGAGCAAGAAGAACACTTGAAGATGCAGTTTCTTGAAAAGCAACGACTAACAAAAGGATTCATTTCGAACTAAAATCGAAATGGATTGAAGTTTAACTTTAAGCAGTAGGCCGCATCGCAAATTTCTACACAGATAGTGAAAGAAGATGATGATAAAAGCACCCTTTTCGTTTGCATTTTCCGCAACTGGTGTAATTAGTCTGGCCGTTCCAGCGATCAACGCATCCAGCGCAGCCCCGAGCTCTAGGCTGTCCGACGGGCTCACCTCCTTTGTAGCCATACCAGCCGTTTCAGTCTCAAATCTTTCTGCGGCTTTAAACTTTCGTCTCCACCAGGTATAGGTGCTCTTCTACTTGCTTCTGCATCTTCTATATCTGTGTCGCAAAAAATGGACAAGTAAATAAACTGGCACTGGCACTGGGAGGGCAAGTGAGAGTTGATTTATACGTTCGTTGTACTACATGCAGACACCAATAGGGGCACTCAATACTTCTGAGGAAGAAACACACGAAGCAAAACGATACTGAACGCAATGGCCTCGGTTGCAACTTCTAAAACTGCGTATCATTTTGGTGTTGGTTATCTCTCGCACCCACAAGGTGAAAATAAAGCATCTGATATTTCTTCCCCGACATACCATTACCAGGACGGGGGATGCAGACACAAATCGCGCACAAAGGAGAAGGAAGAGGCGGATGCACTACAATATTCTTATTCATATTCTCGTAGTAACCGAAATAACTGAAACTGTGGAAGAACATGAACAGATGGCGGTGTGCCGGATTGATCGCGGTGCAGACGACGAAGGTATAGGTACTCGCGCAGAAGGAAAATCATTCACATTTTTTGTTTGCCTCCAAATAAAATCTACACACACATAGTTCTTGAGCTAGAGCTTGACGACTGATCAGTCGTCAAACGAGTTCTAAAGGCTTAAGTACTGTCAAATGTCAAACACAAACTAAGGCTTTGTCTGAATAGTTTGTGCTTGTGTGAATAGTTTGTCAGTCGTCGACTGACGCATATACAATAGACGAAATACATCTGCAAAAACGGCCTGAGCAATGTTGTTCATGTTGAAAAATCAAAATATGTCTTGATGAGTCTATCTCTATGTAGATAGGCTTTGACTTTCTTCGAAACTGAAACAAGTGACAATTTCTAGTGAGTCCTGTGAATCAACTGTAGAAAAAATCTCAATAGTACATAGCGTGAACGTAATTGGTACTCAATTGAAACGGTAGTAGGGTTCTGGTTCCTAACTTTTTTGTTATAATGATGATGAAGTAAAAAGCTAAAATATCATTTATCATGTGCGTAATAAAAACGAAAACCGTAAAATTAAAATAAAGAATCCGCATAAGATGAAACAGCAGTCGCATCTCATGTAGAACGGATGCATCTTCCTTCATTTTGCACACAGACGGTGACATTCTGCAGCTTTGCCTTTGGTCAAGAAAGTGAAGAGTATTCATCTTACTTGCTGTTTAGTTTTCTACAGTCAGCTAAAATACCGCTCGTTAAACTCGCTTATCCCTGAAGGGGTCACCCTTGTCCGCAGTTTTGCTCGGATATTCAATGAAAATTAACCACTCCCACTCACTTCTTGCGTGAGAAAAGTCGTCTTCGCTTTTACCACATGTTTTGCATGACAAATTATTGGGTGGAGCTGGCTAATTTGCAGGGAATAGCGGATGCGGTACAGCGATTTTGTCGTCGTCACCGGAGAAGGACATGTGCGACATGTTCTGCCGGGTTGGAGCCGGGACAAAGCCTCGATCACTATTGTTGCTATTGTTGCTGTCGAGGCTGCTGCGCAGGTCCATCGTGCGCTGGCTTTGCGGTGGCGCGCTGCGATCTCGGTTGGTGCCGAAGGACGGGACGAGTCCACCCTCGTTTATTCTTGCCCTTGCGTCATCCTTCGAGTTGTTTCTATTACTGCGCAAGCTTTGATTGCTAGACTCATCGCCGGCCAGAGAGATACCGTCGGAAACGCGGGGCGGGAGCGAGAGCGCAACCACATGGCCACGCGCGTCGGTCTCGACTTCGGACTTCTGTTGGTGAAGCTGCTTCAGCGCTTCGCCCTGGATTTCTTCGACTTCAGAGACCAAGTATGACGACGTTTCGGAGGACTTCTTGAGCTTGACGCCAGACGTTTTGGACTTGATCCAGGACAAGATGTTGGCCGAGAGCGCGGATCCATCGCCTGTGGGAAATCGTTGCGATTCGCCGGGGGCCAGCATAGCATCGCTTGGCAACATTTTGATCAGGGAGCTGTCCAGTCCACTCGTGGTCGTCGCCTGTGACCGCGCCCAGTCCACAATTTCCTCGCTGGCCTTGTGATGCTCGCTGTCGCCCGGGAGGCCGCTTCGCGGAGGCGCACTTGCTTGTCGCCGTGTCACGCTGGCGCTGGATGGCGTGTTGTAATGTGACGTCACAAAGCTGCGGATCTCAGATTTGCGGTGCGCCGCGTCGCTGCGGTGTGTCATGCGCGGGCTGAACTTCCGCTGGAAGCTGTCCTTCAGCCAACGCCGGTGATTCGGCGCAAGAATTTGGGCCGCGCCCGGGATGCGCGGCAGTCCGGTGGGATCGACGCCTGCCGCCGGGTCAAGATTCGCGTTTCTGTGATAGATTATCTTTGATGAAGCTAATTAGATCCAGACACATAGTACATAGGTTGTTTTGCGTGGCACTTTCAATACTCAAAAAGAACATGCGAGCTTGAGCGTCATAAGAGAATCATCCGGGGTAGTACTATAGGTTACGCGGCTAGCAGAGTAGCATTTGATAAATGAGCAACACAGCAGCGACTTCTAATTGAAATGCAAATGGTACACTTTGCTAATTACCTCATGAGCATATCGAATTTTCGATGTAGGTCGTCGACGTTGCGTTCCACCATGATAAATTGCTTGCAGGCCAACAATGCCTGGTTGGGCTGCGTGATTGTCGTTGCGCTGTGGTCGAGGTGCGCGTGGTCTCCGACGCGCGACGCGCGATGCTGTTATCGAGCGGAAGGAAGTGACTTTCGGCAGTGCTGCTACTAGCCCTAAGAAAAATTGCAGCCTACCATGCGGATTCTCCATGTCATGCAAAAATTACTCAATGCCATGCGCATGCGTTCCGGAGTGGTTTCTGGTGCACCTTGTTTTACAATCGTAAAAAGAAAAAAATTCCGTAGGCGAATCCGCACGACAAGTTTCGTATATTTCTCAGGGCTACCAGCGGCCAGGAAAGCCAGTGACTTCCCCTTCATAACTGTTCTCGGAGTTCCTGTTCTCGGTGTTTCCGGAGTTCGCGGAAGAATTTCGGGAAGGCGTAGCAGATGTTATGGAGGCTGTCGATCGGCAAATGCAGCGTCTTAACGACCGTCATGGCGAAGGCCGAGTGCGAGTGCAGTGCCTGGTTCGGAGTCGCGGTTGTGAGCGAGGCCAAGGCCGAATGTACCCCGAACGCCGTGCCCGGTTTCTCGAGCCGCTTCTCGAACAGGTCGGGCAACGGGGGGTCCATTACGTCCTCGATGCGGTCCACTTCGCAAACGGTCACCGTGCCAAACTCCAACACATAAAACCCGTCCGACTCGTCGCCCCGACGGTAGACCGCATCGCCCTGCATAAACAACCTGTTAGATAATTTTACTGACCGTTAGTCGGCTAGTAAACAACATGTCAGTGAAGTTCTTATCGATAGTTGCGTTGGATGCTTTACCTATAGCATACGAATTTTCCAATTATGAATCTTGACTGCGTTTGCGCGTTATCCTGAATGCCACGTAGAAGTACTTCAATCCCATTTTCTGGCAGACGTCTGCAAGCACTGCTGGTGGTGCATGAAGCAAAAATGGCAGAGCCACAATGGTGTCGTGAAATAGCGAAATGGCGACTTCGGTGGTTAGTGATTTGCTGAGAATGTTCGGGTCCAGCAGGTGCATGTTGCCAAACTCATTATTCACCCAGCGAAACTTGAAGTAGTCTTTAATCCGCTGCTGCAGGCACGGACTGAGGTTGTGCGCATTATCCGTGAGCTCTTGCAATGCCGCGTCCTGGCAAAGGTAATGTAAGTTTGTTGTCGTAAAATAAATGTAAACTCGAGCAAGCAGGTGGATCGGAACTTAATATTCTATGGAGTCACAACAAGCCTTGCGAGAGAGCACAGAGAAAAAAGTGAAAAGGCAATAAATCGCCACCCGCAAAGGCTTATCAATATGATGTTCATCTTTATCTCAATGAAGTACTTAGTTGTCATTGTCACCTGTTTCCTGCGGAATTCTTTTCGGGCGTAGTCCGTGTTCTTTACGGCATCGAGGATCTGTCCGATCAGAATTGCCTGCAGGATCATTCCAATCCACTTCAGCCAGAAAACGTAAGCAAACATGCTGGCATTCCGGACAAACGCATTGGGCTGCACTGGTTGAACCAGACCCAAATCAAACGCAGCACTGTACACCGCGACCCAATCCGGCGTGGTCGTAGTAAGAGACCGCCTCTCTACGCCTACGGCCTTGTTCATGCGGAGTTTCTCGTTATTTTCGTCGTATTTCAGTTGATACAACTCGGAGTTTGCATTTCTAAAATTATCCCTTTCAGCCGCAAGAGCACGTCCTTGAGCAGCGTTTATTTCGTTACCGCCAAGAGAAGCATCCTTCTCTTCAACTAGAAGAGTCGAAAATATTTCTGGCTCTCTACCGTAGGGCTGGTCGTAAGAAGTTTCGAACAGGGACGACGATTCAGCATCTTCAGTAGGGGTCTTCTGTGCCGCAGCAAGCTCCTCTCTAAGGATACGGTGGTACTGCGATTGCGGGACCCAGTTGTAGTCCGTAGCTGCGTCGTTTACACCTCCGGAGGACACCCCGCCATTCGTCGTGCCATAGGGAACGGAATACCATGGTGTTGTGCGACTGGTTGTGCCGTTCACTGTTGCAAAATTCACAGGCCTAACGTTGTTCATAAAGTTGCAATATGAGCTGCAAACTTGGAAAGCCGCTTCCTTGGCAGTCGTGTGTATCTTCTGTGCGCTGCGGGCTCAACATAAATACTCTTCATCTTCTTGACGGGTGTCGGGTTCCTCGTATTTCGTCTTTTGCTTTATTTCATTTCGTCACGAACTGCTTTTTGAATGTGCCATCTCCACGAGGGATTTATTGGCTTTGGGGCTGTTCGCATGTTTGGCCTTTGGCATAAAAGATAAATGCACCGTAACAAAAATACTAGAGATACTGATACAATCTTCACCCGCAGGCGACACACTGAAGATGCAAAAGACGTTCAACAGTTTGTGCAAACGACTACAGGTCGTGGCGGTTTTCCGTTTTTTCCGCTCTGGATAGCCACGGGGACTTGGTGCTGGCCATGAAGACTGCCTGCTGGTAGTGTGCCTCGGAGTCGAAGTGGTTCTTGTACTGCATCAGCAGGTCGTAATCCTCGTTCAGTTTCTGTTCCAGGCCCTTGTGAAAGTGCAGGCCTTGGTAGTACCCCCCGTCGATC